GGCAGAGCAACACTACCCTACGCCGAGCTCGCTGATCTCGGCTTGCATCGCCTTGCCATTGCCGAGGTCAAGAGTCAAGCCTCGAGACGGCTATCAGGCACGCGTCCCCTTACACTCTCCATACGTAAGCGTGGTTGGATTTGGAGATGCCAGAAGCGTTGCCAGTTGCGGTGGCTGGGAAAGACGGTCTACCAACGGAAGCTTGTACTCTGGAGCAAAGCTGAGGCGGCACTTGAACTCGGCAAAGAACACCCAATGCTTGTACATCTCCAGATCACGCGCTTCTGGTGCACGCGCGGTCAAGGAGAGATAGCAACCAGGAGGGTAGATACGGAGGAGTGTGGCTGGAGACACCGTCACCGAGTAGAAATCAACATCGGTTGCGCTCACCACATCCCAGTCCTGTACTGGCGCACAGGCAGGAACAGGCGGCAGACGTGTACCAGTGTCAGCAGCAGAGGCAAGGAGCATTCTTGGTGGCTCTACCGGTGGCTCTGGCTCTGCTCCTGGCTCACCGCCACCCAGCCAAATCACAATGCCATCCGCTGGTATGTCCTCTTGGTGGAGTTCCTCTGCATCTGACGGTGGTGTTGGCTCCGCTTGAGGCAAGTCAGGTAGCNAACTCAAATGGTAGCAAATGGACCCAATGAAGTTCCCAGATAGTCAAAGTTGCATATTTGTTTTGACCTCTGACCAGACAGTCATATAACCCTAACCCTATCTACTATCTGGCTGAACAGGCGGTACATCATCCCAGTCATGAGTAGTAATGCCACTGTCTTGCGTTTGCGTGTCTTGTGGAGGTGTTGCGGCCTGCACCTGGGATTCTGGAGACGGTGGTGCTTGAAATTGGAATATTGGCTGATGAGCTACCGTGTTGGGTTGCGTCTCTGGTGGTGTTGGTGGCAGTACCGCCTGACAATGTCGGATACCCTGGTGCTTCCTGAGCGCCACTGCATTCAACACTACCTGACCGCAGCTGCACGCCACCAGTCCACAAGCTGCTGCTGCATCCTGTGTAACATGAACACCAGCATGCGCCTTGCGGATGTGGTTGGTGATGTTGGTGATGGCGTAGCTGAAGGAGCACACAGAGCAGTTGACGGAGGTCATCTTGAGATGGAGCACGTCTGCATGGTAGACAGGAGATGAGCAACCGTTCTGTCAGCTTCCATTTGTATCAGACCGTCTTCTGGTTTGAAGCTGACCGTCTTGATCCTTTGTAGCAGACCGTCTTGCCTTTGTAGCTGACCGCCTTGCTGCTTGTATCAGACCGTCTTCCAGATGGTGCCGTCTTCCTGCCAGATGGAAATTGCCAGGAAATCCAAAATGAATACAATGCGTCTCTAGTTTTGAAGCTGACCGCCTTCCTGCCAATTCAATTTCCTGACTTGAAATTTCAATTGGACCATCTTGCCAGGCCACTGACGCACCAACATCATTCCACCGTCGCCATAAAACCTAACCCTGCCTGGCATGGCAAGCATCTTGCATTTTTTGATGGGGTGCTTGCTTGCCTTGGAGCAGAACTTGATTTGCTTGACCATGTTGGCAAATGACAAACAATGGCAGGTTCCTGGCTCACAGAAGTGACATGCTTCCAGCAACTCTGCATCATAGCAAACTGCCAATTTCACATCACCAGAGCCAGCCAAGAGCACTATACAAAGGTTCTGCTTAATGCAAGAGTAATCAGCAGCTACAACAGCTGCCAGACCCCTGGCTTCTTGTGTACACAAGGTTCAAGACTCTGAGACTTGAGTAGATCAAAAAGATCCTTGAACCAATAAGCAATCTTCCATTTGTCAGCTGCCCCACAAGGGATCCGGCAAAAATCAGAAAAAAAGGGCCAGAAATTCGCCGAAGAGGATGCCGACTGAGCGCTTTCAGATCCTTTCGCTAAAGTCCGTCGAAGCTCAGTTGCTCATCGACTCTGCTTCGACTTCCGTCACCATCATCATCAAATCATTCGGTCAGCGATCATCATCTTGTCTCGACTGGCTCGACGGAGATCAACAAGGATGGCGTTCTCTGGCGCACTCACGCTGACGGATCTCAATGACTACCTCGGACCGTCGCAGGCCTGCATCAAACCGGTCGAAGGCGCCGATGCCCCATCACAGGATCAGCCCGACTCGTCCACACAGCCACTCGATCCAGCCGCGTCAGCATCCACACAGATTGCGATCGATCATGACGGCTCCTACTACGAGTCGTCCTCGGCATCAGCAGCGGGCGCATCTGCAGCGGGGGAATCCAGCAAACCTCGGCAGAGGACCAAGCTCGAGACGGCAGAGATCTCGCTCAACGACTGCTTGGCGTGCAGCGGATGCGTGACGAGCGCAGAGAGCGTTCTGATCACGATGCAGAGTCAGGAAGAGATGCGCAGAGCCATTGATGAAATCAAGCAGTCCAACGAGCCCAAGCTGCTCGTCGCTTCCATCAGCACACAGTCGCTCGCTTCGCTATCCGCCAAGTATACCTTCCAGCAGCAACAGCAACAGTCCGGATCATCGACAGCTCCTTCCACCCTACCTCTTCGTGTCCTGCTTCTTCGCATCTCGCATTTCCTCAAGACCGTGTTCGACTTTGATCATGTCTACGACACCACGTTCGCCCGCCACATCGCCCTCAAGGAGCACGAACGAGAGTTCTTCCAGCGTCGCGACAACTCTCGCAAACGTGCAAAACTCAGCAGTGCCGTCGGCAACGACGACACGCAAACAGATGGCGCGACACTGCCAATGCTCGCGAGCGCCTGTCCCGGTTGGATTTGCTATGCCGAAAAGACACACGGCGAACTCCTTCCGTACGTCTCGACCACGAAGTCGCCACAGCAAGTAGCAGGTGTCATTGCCAAGCGCTTCCTTCCAGAGCGACTAGGATTGCTCGCTGGGTCTGGAACAACAGACCCTTCTCCCTCAAAAGGACCCACCATCTACCACGTCACAGTCATGCCCTGCTACGACAAGAAGCTTGAAGCGTCTCGACCCGACTTCTATGACGACGTGACCAGCACCAAGGAGGTGGATTGCGTGTTGACCACTGGCGAGCTCGACAAGCTCATGCTGGACGAAGGTTTCGACATCTGTGCTGCCGTACCTGGAGAGCAAGAAGCGATGCAGCAATCTCTAGCCGACCTCAGTCTACAGCAAGCGCTCACATCTCGTGCCACCGACGGCGCCGACGCAGTCTCGATCTTGCCGCACTTTCCGCAATTGCTCGATCAGCCGGGCAGCAGCAGCGGCGGCTACCTGTTTGCGCTTATGCGCGCGGTGTGGCTTGACTGGATCTCGGAGAATTGGCATCGGTTCCCGGAGTCGGTGCGAGACCAAGGCGTGCTACCAAAGCTCGACGTGCGCATCATCCGTACCGCTGACTTTACCGAGTACATCCTCCGTGCGCCGATGCAGCTTGGCCTGTCCGATGACAATTCGTCATCTACGATCTTGTTCAGAGGCGCACAGTGTTATGGCTTCCGCAATCTGCAGAATCTGGTACGCAAGCTGCAAAAGCAGACGGGAGCACGCAACACGCGAGGTGCAGCAGGCAGGTTGGTCGACGCGGATGGCAACGCAGTGGGCGCTGGTGGTCGCAACAGGGCAGGTGCGGCCAGAGCGAGGGCGCGAGGGCGTGGCGGCATGGTGAGGAGAGGTCGAGGTGGAGCGACAGCAGCAGCGGCGGGATCAGCCGTCGTAAGCAAGAGCAGTCCCCTGAATCCCGAGGCGGACATCGTCCCGGCTCAGATCACCGCGGCGCAAGAGGAGGAAGAACGAGGATACGACTATGTCGAAGTCATGGCCTGCCCCTCGGGTTGTGTCAATGGCGGTGGGCAGATCCGCCCCCCAACACAGATCGAAGTCGACGCAGCTCCCACACACATCGCAAGTGGCAGCACCGACCCTGAAGGTTACGCAAAGGGAGGCTGGGCAGCAGACCAAAGCGGCAGGCTGACCGAGCACGATGGCCTTGAGGACCTGCTCAGCAACAAGGCCTGCTCTAGAAAGAATGCCGTGGAGAACGACAGCGAAGGCGCCGAGATGGAAGATGGAACCAAGGAGAAGGAGATCACAGGCTGGAAGGGCACGAGCAAGGAATGGGTGCGACGAGTAGAGGAGGCCTACTGGCAGGGCTCGAGAGTTGCATACACGCCAGTCGCTGTCGCTGTCAATGGCGCTGGTGGTGTGGCGAGCGATTCTGGTGCTTCGTCGCCTACTCTCGTCGGCAGTGGTGCCAATACGCCCCTGTCGAGCAGCAACGCCAAGTCGATCCGCGTCGAGGATCACCAGAGGCTGCTCGAGTCGCTCGCGTTCTCAGAAGAGTCGAAGCGGACCGCAGATGCCGCTTCGTTGGGCGGCGCGGACAAGGTCGGTGCCGACTCGATGGCATATGCGGACGTCTTGGCCGATTTGGTCGTCAAGGAGCTTTGTGTTCTCGCAGCTCCGAGCGACGACGCTACAGCTCTGGACAAGGCAAGGAACGGGCTGTTCCGAACGCAGTACCGAGCGGTCCAAGACGAGGCGGTCAACGGCCTCGGAGTTCAGTGGTAGACAGACGCCGCACAGCAATGAAGAAGACGCTCAGCAAGCCAGATGACGCTATCATCGCACAACACTTTGTCTGAATGAAGAATGAACTTGTCATTAAATAAGCGAATGTTACTGTTAAAATGCCCCCCACTATTCCCTGAACCACTCTATGCCTTGAGGACATTGACCGTCAAACCCAAACTATGAATGCCGCTGGCAGCCACGGCAAAGTAGTAGTAGAAGCCAGGCGGGACGACGCCGTTGTCGTTGGGCACGCTGAGCGTCACCGTGTTGCCCGAGGTGCTGCGCACGGTCAGAGGCACACGACGCTGGTCCGTATCGATCGAGTGCGTCGACGAGCCCAGCCTGACCAGCACGTGGCTCAACCCGCTAGCGCTGCCGAGCGATACGGTGAGCGTGCCACCTGGTCTGACACGGATCTGGCTACCGCTCTGCTGGCTGGATCGGAGCGAGGTCACCCTCGGCCGCGTCGCTGCGTATCCTTGGGAGTTGAACAGGTAAGGCGGCGAGTAGAACTGCATGTCCTGATGGTTGCCGGCGTCGCAATTGCCGCCGACGTAGCACAGTCCGCCGCCGCCGCTCATCACGCGTCCGTCTGGCAGGAGCAGCGTCGTCGAGTGGTAGTTGCGCGGGACGGATGCGGGCGCCACCGCCGTGAACGTGCGTGAAGTAGGATCCCAAATCTCGGACTGCAGCACGCTGTCCGAATCTTGGAAGACTTGCCCGTACGTCTGACCACCCGTGATAAAGACTTGACCGTTGGGAAGGACGACGGCGTTGGCGTAAGCACGACCGTAGTTCATGTCCGGCAGCTGCTGCACGGTGGGGTTGCTGTTGACGCCGTTGATGGTGATGGTGTGGGCAGTAGGGAGTCCGGGACTGTTGGTGTATGACTGCGTACCTCCAGCCGAGAAGATGGCACCCTTGGAGGCATCGTACATGACATTGACACCACACATCTGGTCACTGTTGCCGTTGCGTGTACCAGCTGCCGTGACGCCGCCGCTGCCCGAGGTGGAGTACCAGTTCATCTGCCTGCTCGGGCCGGCTTGAAGGACGGAGCCACCGGACCAGGCGAAGAGCCAGGCGTGGTTGTCAGTTCGCCACGCTCCCTCGGCATCGTAGGTCGTCAGCATATTTTGCACCTGTGCGCCCGGCAAAGGGGACCAGACGTTGGCGGCTGGATCGAAAACTTCACCATTCTTCATCGGCACGCCGTTCTGGCCGCCGATACCGCCGCTGTATGACCCGCCGATGGTGAAGGCGCGTCCGTCGGAGAGCGTCACGGAGCTCTGGTAGCCCCTGCCCGTGGTCATGTTGGCAGCACGGCTGAAGGTGTTGGAGAAGGGGTCATAGATGGTGACTGCAGCGTCGGTGTTGCCGCCGTCGATGACGAGTCTGCCGTCAGCGAGGGCGTTGATGCCCGGGCAGAACATGTCGTGCATCGTGTTGGACACTTCGAAACCGCTCTGGGTGTTGGCGGAGAAGTCGTAGCTGGTGAAGGCGGTCTGGGCCTGCCCATCACCGCCGAAGGTCGTCGGGCTCCATGACGAGAAAGCGAAGAACTTGGTCACGCGCGGAAACTGCGGAACAAGGTACGCGGCGACAGGAATGACGTTGAGACCGATGACGCTGCTCCAGCGGCCGTTCTTGGTGAGCGTTGCTGGCGCTGTCCTGCTGTTGGGTGAAATTCTGAAGGTCTGGAAGCGGTCGCTCTGCTGCCAGTTGAGCGTGTAGGGTGCTCCCTTGCTGAGGCAGTTCTTAAGGACGGGGTCCCACACGCCGTAGAAGCAACCAGGCGTGTTGCTGCACCATTCGATGCAGGAGGCACGGTCGGGCTGGGGGATGATACCGATACCGTAGGTGTTGTAGTCGGACTGCGGACAGACGTAGAAGGTGACGTTGTTCTTGGCCTTGTAGGCGTAGCCGGCGTTGTTGGGGCAGTTGGTGCTGGTAATGGGGGTGCCGTTGGTGGGTCTGTACTGTCGCTTGACGAGGTCGGCAGCTGCATGGAGGCTGAAGCATGCGATGAGCAGCCAGCCACCTAGCGCCAGGTGGGAGACGAGGAGGTTGGCCCTGTTGAGCTTCATGGTGCGCGACGACGTCGATACGGAGAGAAGAGGAGGCTCTTGGTGGGGGCAACGAGGTTCACGTATGTGGACGATCTGGAAAGACTGTCTATATATGTATTGCCAACTAGCTGTACGGCAGCAGCGGACCTGTCTCACGGACGGAATGCAAAGCTTGCATGTGGTGCATGGTCACTGGTTTGTCTTTGCTTTCAATGCTGGATGAGAGTAGGCGTCCCAAGGAGCTGGTGCAGCACCCTGGTCTCTCGAGCAGGCATGAAAAAGCAGGCTCGACTCAAATGTGCCAGGGGTGCGGTACCGGCACAGCTGCTGGAAGCGCGGGCAGAATAAGGTAGGCACGAGGGAGCTAGGCTCTTGGCCATGCGGCTCTGAAACAGATTATGGGACGGTTCGAGCTGCAAATGTTTGTGATTCTGCAGGGACGAGGGCGAGACTTTGCCGGATCGACGAGCGGGGAGGCAGACAAAGTGGCAGATCGACAGGGACGGGAGGGCGCAGGATGTGCGGCAGCGTCTATGCGAGATTCAGGGTTTGAGGAACAGCAAGCAGAACTGAGCGGGCTTCAAGGCTCAGCAGGCCATGTGCGAGACTGCATAAAGTTGATTGTGAGCCAAACAGTCCGGTTCTGCCCTGCATACCCGGACAAACAAAAGAGAGAGCGGGGCTGCGGTCTGCGGGCTGCAGGTGCCAGAAGAACGAGGAGCGCTGGCTCGCTCAAACTGACAGACAGAGGGTCAAGCGACCCAAGAGAAATTTAGAGCTCGCCTTAGCCATTTGGCAAAGTGTGAGACATTTTTGCGTCCCGAACTTGCCCTTGGCGCCGAGATCAGTATCAATTGGTTTCGGCTGTTCAATCCTCCCGGTGCTGCCGGTGCTTGCATGTGCACCAGGACAAGTGAGTGCTCCGGCACCGAGACCCGACTGTTGGCAAGATTGAAAGGTCTCAAAGGCGCATTGCGGTCCGTAGCGCACCGGTCAAAGGCAACAAGCTGCGGCCTGGCTGAGCTCTAATTACTCGGCACGCATGTCGCCTGAGCAGCTCAGGCGATCCGCACTCCTCGTGCAGGACAGGCCATGCAACAGGCAATTTTTCACAATTGTAAGATCTCGTCTTCCCGTGTCGATGTGGGATTATTTTCTCCTTTTCGGTGCCTCCTTTTCTGGCTCGCTTTTTTCGCGCGCTTTCTCAACCTCATCTTGGTCGCTGCCTGCTTCCAGGTCGCTTCTCTCCGAACTCTCCGAGCGTTCGAGACGGCTGTGAAATGCTCTTGGTACGCAGAGATCCGTTTGTGCCGGTCACTGCGCTCAACGAGCAACGACAGCGACCCAGCCGTCTCTACCGAGTAGCCGCAAAGGAATCTGCGAACAGCCATCTTCCCGAATCTGATAATGCAGGCCATCTGCTTCGCATTCGCCACCGGACCAAGGTCACGTCAGGTGGCCGCAACACGCTCGTCTAAGCAAGCAGGTCGGCGTTCCCAGAATAGTAAGAGCAACGGCGTCAAGCGGCGAACAGCACAGCACGCTCCTTTCTCGACGGTGCCATCGGCGTGAAAAACGGTGGAAAGCAAGGCGAAAATCAACGATGGCATCACTGATAACAGATCTGCAAACAAAAATGTCAGGCGAATCATGCGCTGCGCTCTTTCATCTCGCCAATTTCAAGAAGAAAAAAAAGGTGGTTGCAGCTCGAGACACCCTGACTCGCACCGAGAAGGATTTCTTCTTGAAACGGCCCAGGCTCGGTGAGGCTTGATCGCAGCGCAGCAAGAAGAATCAAGACGCCGCTTAGGAGCGGGTTAGTCGCTTATCTTTGATGGCCTTCAGCGAATCACATTTCTCTTATCTTTGCCATCCGCCGCCCACCTCCACCTTTGATGCATCAAGCTGTCCAACTGCGATGGTGTTGACCGTGTGGGTAGCTGATGAGCACGCTGCTCGGTCGGCTTTCCGTTCTCTTCCGCAGCGCACAGGACCGCTCAACTGGTTTCTTCCAGGTGGGGGACGGTGTCGTAATCCTTCTTATCCGATCTGGTTGATCTGTCTGTCCCGCTCATCTCCTCTAGTGCCAGCGTCGAGTGGCTGCTGTGACTCACAATTGCGCTCGCCCGCTGAAGCCTAAGTGTGGTTCGCTTCCCCACCGCCGGTGCCCTCCACTCAGTCCAGTTCTGGTGTGAGCGAGTCTTGATGAAATCTGTCTGCGCAAACTGTCCCGGAGCGAGTCGGTCTGTCGGTGTGAGAGTATATATGCCATCCTGAACAACGCAACGCTTCCCTCTTGTCCTCTCGAACCATCCGTAGAGACATCCTACGCGCCCATCACATCTTCGACATCATCATCAACTACAGACCCTTTGCGTAAACACTCACCATGTCGAACCTTCCCTCCGAGCCCGAGTTCGAGCAGGCTCTCAACGAGCTCTCCTCCACCCTCGCTCCCTTCCTCGAGCAGAACCCCGAGTACAACAAGGCGTTCCAGATCATCCAGATCCCCGAGCGTATCATCCAGTTCCGCGTCGTCTGGGAGGATGACAACCACCAGGCCCAGGTCAACCGTGCCTACCGTGTCCAGTTCAACTCGGCGCTCGGTCCCTACAAGGGCGGTCTCCGACTGCATGAGACCGTCAACCTCTCGGTCCTCAAGTTCCTCGGCTTCGAGCAGATCTTCAAGAACGCGCTGACGGGTCTCAACATCGGCGGTGGTAAGGGTGGTAGCGACTTCAACCCCAAGGGCAAGAGCGATGCCGAGGTGCGCCGATTCTGCAAGGCCTTCGCTACCGAGCTGCAGCGTCACATTGGACCCAACACCGATGTCCCCGCTGGTGACATTGGCTTCTCCACCCGTGAAGCCGGTTTCGTGTTCGGAACGTACAAGCAGCTGCGCAACGAGTGGACCGGTGTCATTACGGGCAAGGCGCTCGACTGGGGTGGAAGCAACATCCGTCCCGAGGCGACCGGCTACGGACTGATCTACTACGTCGAGCACATGATCAACCACGCCGAGGGCGGCAGCAACGGCTTCAAGGGCAAAAAGGTCGTCATCTCCGGTTCGGGCAACGTCGCCCAGTATGCGGCGCTCAAGGTTCTCGAGCTCGGTGGTACGGTTCTGTCGCTCTCCGACTCCAAGGGCTCGCTCATTGCCAAAGACGGCAAGGGCTTCACCGCAGAGATGATCTCTGAGATCGCCCAGATCAAGTACAAGCGTGGCGAGCTCAAGTCGTTCGGCGATGCGAGCGGCGCGTTGGAGTTCCACGAGGGCGCGCGACCGTGGACGCTGGTCAAGTCGTACGACGTCGCTCTGCCCAGTGCGACGCAGAACGAGATGAACGAGGACGAGGCCAAGGCTGCTCTTGCTGCAGGATGCCGTTTCGTCGCAGAGGGCTCCAACATGGGTCTCGACCAGGCTGCCATCGACGTGTTCGAGCACTCGCGAACCACTTCCGACACTCCCTGCTGGTACGGCCCCGGTAAGGCGGCCAACTCGGGCGGTGTCGCGGTCAGTGGTCTCGAAATGGCCCAGAACTCGGCGCGCCTCACGTGGGCCCCCGAGGAGGTCGACCAGAAGCTCAAGGACATCATGAAGAACGCCTACGACAACTGCTTCAAGACCGGCCAGAAGTTCCCCGCCAAGGGCGACAAGGTGGCCGACAAGCTGCCCTCGTTGGTCGGTGGCGCCAACATCGCCGGTTTCAAGAAGGTCGCTGATGCCATGAGGCAGCACGGCGACTGGTTCTGAGTGCAGAGCTGCTAGAATCTCGCGTTCACTTTGTTCCGTTGGTGTATATGTAGTCGTAGCCTCACGATCCAAAAAGCTCTTTGTTAGAAGCCGCTATGTCGATCTGTGTGACCAGCTGGAGAGCATGTGGAAGTGCATGATAGAACTTGACCTGCCTTGTCGATGCAGCATATCTGGCGCGAGTATCAAGCCGCAGGACTGTCCATGGGATGCAGAGATTGACATTGCAGGAGCTTGTCATTGAAAGGCGATGCGTGAAGCAGAGCGTACAGTTGCGATGCGACTAGAGACGGTCGCGCTTGTACTGCTTCTCAAACTGCTGGTTGACCGACATCATCTTGGTGTTGGTGCCGGGCTCGACGTTGTTCCAAGGGGTGGGGTTGTTCTTTCGGTCCCAGATGACGTCCGGGCCGCGCGCGAGTCGGCTCAGGTACCTGTTGGGGAGGCCAGAGAAAGGATCAGAGTCAGCAGGGTGCATCGAGGGTCGGTCTATCGCAAACGGGCCAGACGAGGCAGGGCGGAGATGCACCGAGATGGTCGATGAGCCGATTGCAGGCAAGTCGAGCTGTCGATATCGCGTGACTGCGTGACTGCACAAAGCGGCTGAGCACGAGGCTGACAAGACGCATACGGATGTCTCGAAAAGCCATCCCAGGCCCACCTGAAGGGGCTTGAGAAACCGGATCGAGGCGAATCGGAACCAAGCCGAATCAATCCATGGTCATGCAGCAGCTTGCTTCGAGCCTGTCATCGGCTTCTTCCACTCTCGCATGTCGGACCGTTCGGAGGTGATATTGATGCGGACGACGACTTACCAGGTGGCGCCACCAGCAGCGAGACCAGTGATAACGTAGATGGGAAGAACTTCGGGAGCATACCTGTTTAGATGGGAGCGCCGATAAAGCAGCAAGAACGGGTGTCAGCAATGCAAGCTCGTCATACTATGTCTCTGCAACGATTCCGTCGTGCCCCATCACTTTGGCCGCCCGACCTCAATGATCCTGCCGCTTTCGATCGAGCACTGCGTATCCTCGTCTCCAGTCCACCTTGCTAGGACGACTGCAAATCGCCACTCGTCTCTACGCACCAGTTCTTCCACATGAGCTGACGAGCCTTGTTCTTGGCGGCCTGGGCGGCTTGACTTGCGACCATCTTTGCGGTTTTGCGAGGTGTTGTTCAACGGGTCAGTTGAATAAGAAAGTGATGGTGTTGATGCTATTCAGCGACGATGTCGAGATGTGCAATTTGCAACTTTGGGCCTGTGGATCTGCTCTCGCACGAACGTGGAAGAACGAGGGTGTCGAGGGCGGAGAGCGCGAATTTCCGTAAACGACCGCTGCTTGCTGGGAGGCTCGGTTCCGATCATGGTTTTAAAAACTTGTTAGGCCGTGCTTCTTCTGGTTATGAGGCATTTTCCAGTTTAGCGAGCTTGGGCCTTGACGAGGGTCTTTCTCCTCTTGGGTCGAGACCAGACGGCGGCTACGGTCTGTGACGTCGCTTGTTCTCGCTTACGACGGCCCTCTTGGAAACAGTGCGGAGACCAACACCGGCTCAAGTGACCCTTTCTCGCACCGGGCCCACAACGATCCGGCCCCACACATGGGCCAAATCTCACTCCTCTGTTCTCTCTGTCTGTTCATCTCCCTCGACGGCCAAACTGGCGGTATAACACCCACATAATGAGGTGATGCGAGAGCTGCGGTCGGGACCGAAGCCACAGAGTGACAGGCGCATCTCATGACACCGGAGTTGCGGCGTGAAACGCAGGTGTTGCATGTGCCTCGTTCGGAGTGACTTTCCAGCTTCGCTAAAAAGCAAAAAGCATTACGTCCAAAATCCCGGGTCAAGCCTCCGAGCAAGACTCGAGTTCAGGCTGCAATGGCTCGTCTGCAAGCTGTGACGCTTCTCTGTCGTTGTCGTTGAGCTGCAGAGGAGGGCACTTCTTTCCAAAGCGAGCGAGTGTCTGATGTGAATTGTCGAAAGAAACAGAGGCGGCAACTATCTGAAGTCAGGTTTGTGACTTTATGGCGTGGTGCATATTTTGACGCTCGGATCATCCGTGCATTCAAGGCGGCTTCATAAGTTAACCAAAGCGCTTGCTCTCTCGCTCTTCAGTCTTCTCACACACCAGCATCGCATTGTCCGGGGTCGAATGATTGTTCCTCTCTGACGATCACATCGCAGCTCGAACGAAGGAATGTCTGCTGTCATCACTTTCCCACGATAGAGTTCGCAGAGGAAAGCACCGCAACACCCGACTCGCCCTTTCCCAGGCTACTTTGCTAGACGAGCCAAAGCAAAGACTCACCCCACATCTCGCCGCTCAGCATCCTTCAAGTCGACACTCACCGTCACCGTAGCAACCTTTGCCAAAGCCGACCGCTGACACCATCGTCCCTAACGTCTGCACAACGTGTCGACAGCCATGGTCAATCAATCCTCGCCTTCTCCACCGCCAAGCTCGGCCGCATCGGGCTCAGCGTCCTCAGCACCGCTTTGCACTCTGCGCGTACAGGTGCTCTCGGCCAAAGGACTCGCTGCCAAAGATCGCAACGGCAAGTCAGACCCCTTTGTCACCGTCAGCCTGCCCGGCTCAGCCGCCTCCTCTCGCCATGGTGCTGCTCCGCACAGCCAAACCGCCGTCAAGCAAAAGACGCTCGATCCCACTTGGAAGTCCGAGGAAGCAACCTTCGAGTTCCCCGTCGTTCCAGACTGGTACGGTCCCAACTTCACCGCCGTGGCCAGCGAGCAGATCGACTCGAGCGTGGTGCGAGCTGCCCTTCAGCATGTCGTCGTCGACACCAGCAGTGCTAGCTCAAACCACTTGACACCAGATGCTGCCAACAATGACACAAACGCAAAAACCCGCCCTCGCCTCGGTCTCCGTTCGGCCTCCGCCAGGAAGATCACAGGAACCGCTTCCAAGATTCTCGTCACGCCCGTCAAGCTAGGCGCGGCCGGTGCTCGCGTGGTTGGCAGACAAATGCCACGGCCCATGCGTCTTCGTCGCCGAAATCGGCCTTCATCCTCTTCCCTGCCCGCGGACAGCCTTACCAGCTCAGACACTCTTCTGGTCGACGGCAGCAAACCACCACGTGGATCCATTCAGCTCGACGCTTCCAACGGTATGGTCTCTTCCATCGAATTTGTCATCTGGGACAAGGATCGTTTCTCCGGCGACGACTACATGGGCGAATGCTCGCTTCCCGTTACGTCGTGGTGCAGAGAAGGTCTCGCCGAGTGGTCCAATGCTCAGTCGCTCTGGCTGCCTGTCGAATCGTCGCATCCGCACGCCAAGACTAGCGGTGAGCTGCAGGTCAAGGTCGGCTTTGTTTCCACTTCTGCGTCTCCCTCCGATCCTGCCGCATCCGCTGCGACGCAAGGTCCGCAATCTTGGAGCGTCGACGAAGTCTACAATCGCCTCGTCTTGGCTGCTCTCGGCACGCAAGGCGCGGCAGTACGAGCCGTCCCTGCTTCCCAGTCCGTCGGCACTACTGGCCCCTCAGAAGCCTTTGTCGACGATGGATTGAGCAGCGACAGCGAGGACGATGACGACGACGACACTGCTGATGACGAGGATGACGATGATGGACTGGATACTGCCACCTCCGAAGGCGAACCGAGCGATCTCAACGACGGTCTCGAATTCGACTCGGACGATGAAGATGTCTACAACCAGCATTACGAGACCGTAGCCGGTGCTTCTGGCTCTTCCTCGTCGCAGCCCATGGCAGCATCGACATCTCAGTCAGGAAGCCTGCTCACCCCTCCGCCGCAGCAACAGAAGGGCGGCAAGGTTCGACGCATGTTTCCTCGCAACATTAGTTTCAGGTCGAACAACAACTCCGGCACTGCGACTCCCGTCGACGCCGGATCTACGTCCGACTATGGGCCGTCGAAAGGCACCACTCCCGCCGAAGCAGCTTCCGCCACCGGCGCCAAGCCGCGCATGAGGCGACGACTGCCCGGCGTCAAGCGCCTCAAACAAAATGCAGCTATCCCTCCCTCAGGCGCAGAAGGGGCCAGTGCGACGTCCACAGCACCGCCTCGTCGAGCAAAGCGGCGAGGTCGTGGCGGTCGCAACCGTCGCGGCCGCGAGTACGCCTTCAAAGCAGGTATGGGCATGGACATCATCGGCATCGTCATGATGGAAGTCAAGGGCGCTTCCGACCTGCCTCGATGGTCCAACATGACGCACACCGGCTTCGACATGGACCCCTTCGCCATCATCAGCTTTGGTCAAAAGATCTTCCGCACGCGTGTCGCTCGTCACACGCTCAATCCCGCGTGGAACGAGAAGCTCATCTTCCACGTCCGTCGCCACGAGACCAACTTCCAGGCAAAATTTGCAGTCTACGACTGGGATCGAATGTCGTCCAACGATTACGTCGGTGGTACCCAGCTTTCCATTGCCGATCTGCTCGATGCTGCACCCAAAGCGGATACCGAAACAGGTCTGTACAAGACCGACGACGAGGGCACCCTGGGCTCCATGAAGGAGTTCGTTCTGCCTCTGACTCGAGTCGAGAAGGATGAAGAGGCCAAGTATAAGACCAAACGCCCGACGATGACGATTCAAGCCAAGTTCACGCCTTACGAGGCACTGCGTCAGCGTTTCTGGCAACAGCTGGCTCAGCAGTTCGACACCAACGACAGTGGCACCCTGTCGCGCCTCGAGCTGTCGAGTATGCTCGACAGTCTCGGAAGTACGCTCAGCACCAAGACGCTCGACAGCTTCTTCTTCGAGGTCAGCAAGAACCCGGAGGAAGACGAGCTAACGTTCGAAGAGACAATCGTGGCGCTCGAGAAAGAAGTTCAAAAGCCTTGGGATCTCAAGCGGAAAGCGACACGCGCGTCGAGCTTCACTGACGGTACCCAGACGCCGTCGTTGCTTGGAGGCGTGGGTTACGTCGGAAGCGATACGAATCAGGACATGGACGTCGTGGGTGCTGATGCGCCCGATGCTGGATCCGTTTCCGACACGCTGGACCCAGCACGACCCGTTCCTCCCGGTGAGAGCGGCGTGTCATCAAATGGGAGCGACCGTGCTGCAGCAGATGCCACAACCAATCCTGGCGGCATGGTGCGCACGCTGGGCCGCGACTTTTCGGCACTGTCTTTGACCTCGTCCACCGACTCGTCTTCCAATGCTGGCGGACATTCGTCCAATTCTGCAGCAGACTCGACCACTCGGAACCACAAAACACGAAGCACCTCTGGCTCCAGCTCTGGTATACTCTCGACCTCGCCGTCGCCAACACCTCCCATGATCAAGGTCGAAAGCAGGGAGGGCTCCCCGCCCGACGACGACGACACGGTCGCAGTCGAACACGTCGTGCGCCTTCAATCGTGCCCGCTATGCCACCTGCCTCGCCTTCGCAAGAAGGGCGAGATGGACATCATCACCCACCTTGCTGTCTGTGCCTCGCAGGACTGGCGACGCGTCGAGAGCCTCACGGTACGCAACTACGTCACGGCCACCCAGGCGCAGCGTAAGTGGTACACCAAAGTGGTCAACAAGATCTCGCAGGGCAATTACTCGCTCGGCGCCAACAGCGCCAACATCATCGTGCAGGATCGCACCTCGGGCGAGCTGATGGAGGAGAAGATGCAGATCTACGTGCGTTTGGGCATTCGGCTGCTGTACAAGGGTGCTCGCTCGAGGATGGAGGGAGCGCGGGTAAAGAAGATGCTCAAGAATATGAGCGTCAAGCAGGGTGTCAAGTTTGACAGTCCTGCGAGCGCGCGCGAGATCCCGACATTCATTGCGTTCCACAACCTCAACACGGACGAGATCCGGGATCCGCTTGACAGCTACAAGACGTTCAACGAGTTCTTCTACCGCAAGCTCAAGCCGAATGCGCGGCCCAATGAGGAGCCCGACAACCCTGGTCGACTGGTCAGTGGCGCTGATTGCCGAATGATGGCGTTCGAAACGGTCAACGAAGCGACCAAGTTCTGGATCAAGGGTCGGGACTTCACGGTCGCCCGTCTGCTCGGCGATGCAGCCAAGACGGTGTCCAACATCGATTCGTACCAGAACGGCGGCGCACTCGCCATTTTCCGCCTCGCGCCGCAGGACTACCATCGCTTCCACTGCCCTGCGGACGCCACCGTCGGCAGACCCGTGTGGATCACGGGCCAGTACTACACGGTCAACCCGATGGCCATCCGCTCCGCCATCGACGTGTATGGCGAGAACATCCGCGTCGTCGTGCCCTTCCATTCTGAAGCCTTTGGCACTTTCTATGCGGTGTGCATTGGAGCCATGATGGTCGGCTCGACCGTGCTGACCGTCAAGGAGGGGGACACCGTGAAGCGAGGACAGGAGTTTGGGTTCTTCAAGTTCGGAGGGAGCACCATCGTGCTCGTCTTTGAGGAGGGAAGGGTGACGTGGGATCAGGATCTCGTGGACAACGGACGGGCGGCGATCGAGACGCTGGTGCGCGTGGGGATGGGCATTGGGAGAGCAGGCGGTGCAGAGGCGAAGACCATTGGCTGATTCAGCGAAGACAAACTTAGAGCTGCCGAGACAATTCAGAACTTTGCGCAAAGCATTTGTGGGTGATGACCCATTGCGCTGTGATGATCGTACAGAAGCGGTGCCGAGGGCGAAATGAGACTCGAACGACTTTGACGCGATCGCACTTAGAAGCCTGTGAGAATGAAGGCGATGAGAAGTCAGGGTCAGTCCTCTCTTCCACACCCATCTGCGTCCTTCTCCTCGCCCCTCATCATCTGAGAAGGTGAAACACTTACAGCAATCGCAATCGAACGGACACAAGGGCGTATCGCCTCCCTGACCCAGCTTCAGCTCTTCCGCGGTGAAGATGCGCAGGCCGTCATCGGTGCGCTTCCGTGCGCTGGTGCCGCGGCTGTCGGTGAACTCGTCCAAGTCGTCCGCTGGCGGCTTTCTCGCTGCGGAGCTACTCCTGGAAGTGGACTTTGAGGATGTTGGTGGGGGCGGCTGGGAGATCGTATGTGAGGGTGCGGAGGTGTCGCTGACCACTTCGACAGCTCGCGATTTGGGCTTCTTTGGCTTCGCCTTGCTCGTTGTTTCAGCGTTCGTGCTGGACGTTGCGTCGTCGTGTCGCTTGCGCTTCTTCTCCGGTTGTTCCTCCGCTGGCTGTGAGGCTCCCTCGCCGCTCTTGCTGCTCTTGGCCTTCTTGCCATCACCAGTCTTCCCCTTGCCATCGCTCTTGGACTCTGTCTTCAGCTTGGTCTTGCTCGCCGATGCGGAAGCGCTACCTCCGCCAAAGATGTCGTCAATCTCGCTCGTCGGTGCTGCCGAAGTGGGCTTCTGCTTCTTCGCCATCGTTTTGCGGCTGGGTAAAGCTGTAGATGTCGAAGAACGGTCGTGGTTGATGCGGGTAAGATAGGTCGAGGGACCCAAAAAGTGGGCTTTGCCTCCACACTCGAAGGAAAAGATTCCTCGGATGTCGGACGACCGACCCCGCACCTTCTCGTGCTATCAAGGTGGGATGAGGCTGGGACATCATGCTGAAGCGGGCGTACACGGCTCACGGGACGAACAGATGGAAGGCAGAGGACGTGAACGCTGCGTTGCGTGCTTGCGAACGATGTGTGTGAATGCTGTGTTAGAAAGCTGCGTGGCAATGCGGATGCGTGCTTTATAGTCAAGAAGAAGTCACTTCCTTTGAAACCACGGCCCTTCTCCTTCGTCCAAGTCGTGGAGCCCGAGGTCCTTCTGCCCGAGACGACGTTGGACCACTGGCTCCTTGATCAAGCCTATGACTTGTCTTTTGAGTCATCATCGTCAGCTGCCTCTCCTTCACCCTCCTTCTCGGTCGTGGCCGAGGCCGCCGCCGATTCGACCTCGAACACTCTCGGATTCTTCCCAAGGAACCCCTTCCACTTGTTCCTCGCCATCCCCTCTCTCTGGCTGATCGCCTTGTCCACCAACGCCAGCTCGGCCTCAAAGCTCTTGACCACCTCCTCCTTCCCTTTCTCCCCCTTCATCCCCTCCACCGCCTCTCTGAGCACCCGCTGCGCGGCATACACGTCTCCACCCAACCTCATCGCCTGCGCCTTCCTGTACTTGGCCTTTGCATTGCCCGAATCGCACTTGAGCGCCTTTTCCGCCGTCTGAATCGCCCTCTCGTACTTCTCCTGCTTGAGGAAGCACGCAGCCATGTTAGAGTAGACCATGGAGAGCTCCTTTTCGCTCTGCGCGGCGGGCGTCTCGCCTTCCTCTTCATCCGAGGAGAGGTCGTCGGGCTGACCGTGCCGACCCGAGTTCTCACCCATCAGACCCAGAATACTGCGGTTTTGAAGACCGGACAGGTAGAGCACCGCGTGGTGATACGACGAAAGAGCGGAGGGGATGTCGCCAGCGGTAAAAGCGGCGTTGCCGGCGGATTTGTGCGCAAGGCCCGTGCGGAGCTTGCCTGCCGCTGTGGCTGCAGCTGTCGACGTTGACGAGGTGGAGCTCGATGCTATGTTGGACGCCATCTTGAGCGGGTGGGTGTGGTGCTGTGGTGGTGGGGAGTAGGGGAGAGGCTGCGCGCAAGGTGGGTGTCAAGTGTGGGGAGCCGGCTCGTGCGCCCGCGTGGGATTTTTCGAAGAAGGTTCTGGCATTTCATGCTCCCACCATCTCGAAACTGCGAAAAGCCACTCACGTTCCCCGGGGCACGCCGCACTTCATTTGCGCTGTTCGATCGAATCTGCACTTGCCTGGGCTCGCGATCCAGCATCAAAGACGGCTACACAGCACGATTATCTCGAGTGGGAACCTTATCGACATCTGATATTAAGCAATAGAAGGGTGATGCACGACGTGAACGAGTATTCTATAGATCGGAAGGATTTTGAGGTGTGTCGCCCTCTAACGGTTGCTAAAGTGGAAGATCTTGGTGAAGAGGATGGTGGCGATGCAGTTGAACAGCACGAAGCCGATCAAGATACCAGCGTCCCTGCCGCGCTCGGCGAAGGTGATGCCGAAGGCCGAGTAGAACTGCTCGCCGGTGCGGTAGGTGCAGTACATGCAATCGGTCACCGCATCGGGGTTGGCGAGGTAGCCACCGGCGGCGGTGATGTAGTTGCCCGCCCACTGTGCACACGTCTGACCCGAAGGTGGGGAGAAACGCGAAAACTCGTTGGCCGCGCACTCGACCACCAAGCCCGAGAGCTCGTTCGAGATGAGCGGCGAAATGGTAAAGCGGATCGGGTTGACGTTGTACAGGAACTTGCTGTAGAAGCTTGGCATGGACTGCGGTGGCGAGAGGATACCGCAGGTGAGGTTGAGGATGATCGTCAGGAATGGCACGAACAGCGAAGCGAAGTAGCCACTCTTGGAGAACGAGGCGATCATCGAACCGATCGAAATGGCAAACATCTCGAGGAGGAACGTCATGATCCAGAAGTAGGCCGCGCGGTCCGAAGCAGTGTTGAAGCCGGCAAGGTAGTAGATGAGCACGAAGAAGGCGGTGGCGCAGACGAGCGCGTAGGGGACCTCGGAGATGAGCTGCGTCGCGGCGAACACGGTACCGGCAAACGTCTTGGACGTCTCCTCGCGAATCCAGATCGATCGGGACATGATCCAGAACGGCATGATCTGCGCCATGATGATGGCCGGGATAATGGCCAGCATGAAGATGACGAACAGACGGTACTGGAGCGACGCGACGTTGTTGCCGAGTTGCAGGAAGAGCAGACCGGTGAGCAGAGCAAAGGCGAGGTGCTGGAAGAAGCGCGTGTACTGGTACGAGGGCTGGCGCCACGTGCTCAGCATGGTTCTCTTGAGCACCACCTTGAACTGGTACATCCACGGGGCGGCGTACTCGCCCGAGCCCGAGTGCTTCTCCTCCTTGGGCTTGGCCGCGCCCTCGCGGTTGATCTGCTCGATCATACGCAGGTTGTCCTGGTGGTCGTCCGATTCCAGATACCAGTCGGCCCAGTCGCGGTCGCCGACACGGGGCTGGCTACCGGCTCCGATGGCATCCAGCATGTACTCGGCGGGGTTGACACCGGGCGGGCAGTGAGCGCCACGCTTGCCAAAGTACTCGATGACGTGCTTGCCGTCCTTGCCGATGGGTCCCGAGTAAACCGTCTTTCCACCGCGCTCGAGCAGCAGCAGGCGGTCGAACGTCTCGAAAAGCAGCGCCGAGGGCTGGTGGATGGTGCACAGGATGGTCTGGCCGTTGTCGGCGAGCTTGCGCAGCAGACGGCAGATGGTGAACGCAGACTGGCCGTCGAGACCCGAAGTGGGCTCGTCAAGGAAAAGCAGCATCGAAGGCTTGGCGGCGAGCTCGACACCGATGGTCACCCTCTTGCGGTCACCCACACCGAGACCGAACTGCGGGTAGCCAATGATGGCGTCGGCGATGTCTTGCAGCTCAAGCAGCTCGATGATGTCTTCGACGTACTGGTCCTTTTCGGCCTTGGGGATGTCGTGGCTCTGACGGAGGTAGGCCGAGAAGCGCAGGGCTTCGCGGACACTGCACATGGGCTCGTGAATGTCCTGCTGCTCGGCGTAACCGCACTGGCGCTGGAACGAGACGTCGATGGGCTTACCCTCGATGAGGCGATCACCGCTGATGACACCGATCGTCTTGCGGTCAGCGAGCACGTCGAGAAGCGTCGTCTTACCGGCACCGGAAGATCCCATGAGCGCTGTCATCTGACCGGGCTTGACATAACCAAAGACCTTGTCGAGCAGCTTGCGCTGACCACCCTGGACGGGGACCGTGTACTCGAGGTTAGACCACGTGAACGCCTGACCGTGGACCTCGAGCTTGGCCTCGGTCTTCTCGGTAGCACCCGATCGTCGGTCCTCGAGCTTCTTGTTGAGCTCCGTCTCCTCCTTGTTGGACGGCTTCTTGACCACCATGGCGGACATGAAGGCGCCCTGGTCCATGGTCTCGACCGAGAGGGCGGTGATGGCGATGAAACCGACCAAGAAGGCGATGAGGATGCCGACATCGCGCCAAAGATGGCTCGCCTCGTAGCCGAAGCTGGCAGTGAGATAGTCGATACCGGGGATCTGGTTGGAACCGGGCGTGGCACCGGCAAGCGTGCAGATCTGATTGTCCGTCAGCGCCGTCGGGTAGCCAGGACCGGAGGGGATGATCTGTGCACCCTCGCAGGTGAAGGTGACGCGCTTGAACTCGTTGATCATCAACGCCTCGAAGGCGTAGAAGACTGGGTTGATGTACGAGATCCAGAAGAGCCACCTCCTCATGGCCGCCTGCGGAATCACATAGCCGGCCCAGAGGACGAGCATCGACATGACGATGGCCGCCAGACGCGCCGCCGAGTAGAAGTTGGTGGTGATGGCGCCGAAGAACGAGAAGAGCGCACGGAAGGCGTAGTAGGCAACAATGACGATGAACCAGGCGGTGAAGAAGGCGGCTGCGCTGCGGTCGAGGCCGGCCATGAAGTAGACGATGATGACGAAGAGGGTGGCACGCGGTATACCGAACGGCATGTCGGCGAGGAGCTGGGCGAGCGTCAGGGCCGAGGGACGGTAGAAGGCGAAGCTGGTCTGGCGGGCCAGAATGGGCCTGCCCATCATCTGCGAAGGCAGTTCGGCGAACGCCGTGAGCGAGTTGAAGAGGAGCAGCAAGAAGAGACAACCGCCGCGCGTGAAGACACCGGCCGAGGTGGTGGGAAGGTTGTAGAAGATACCACCGGTGAGGAGAGCGACGACGATGGCGGTGACGTAGGACATGAAGATGTCGAACTTGTCGCCGAGGAGCATCTGCATCTGACGGAGGAAGAGCGCCTGCACCTGGGCGGCGTATGAGACCGAGTACTGCGACTTGCTGCGCACGCCGCGGTGCTTGGACTGGACGACGGCCTCCTTGAACTCCTGCGTGGCCTGGGCGTCAGCGGTGGCGACGGCGTCAAAGGCCTTGCGTTCCTCGACAGCCTGGGTGAAGAAGCGGCTGTTGCGGTAGGCAGCTTCGAGCGCCTCGGGGTTGCTGGGCACGTTGTTCTCGTCACGGCCCTCCTGGAAGATGCGCTCGTACTTGTCGGTGCATCCGGTGATGTAGTCGGCCGAAGTCTGACGAGGACGGTCCGCGAAGCCGAGGTCGATGAAGTACTGCCTCGCCTCGGTCCTGGGGCCAAAGTAGACGCATCGACCGTCATCGATGACGAGCACCTTGTCAAACTGCTCCCAAATACCCTCGGAGGCCTGGTAGAGCGAGATGAACATGGTAGCCTCAAGGATGTCGGTCAAGACACGCATGCTCTTGACGTAGTCGAGCGCGGTACTGGCGTCGAGACCGCGCGTAGAGTTGTCCCACGAGAAGACGCTGGCGCCGGAAGCGAGACCTTCAAGGATCGAGACACGCTTGCGCTCACCACCCGAAACACCGCGCACAGTGGCGCTGCCGACGAGCGTGTGCTTGGTGTGCTCGATGTTGACCATCTTGAGGAAGGTGTCGCGGATCAACTTGCGGTAGGTCTTCTTGGTGTGGTCTGGGAGCATCTTGGCGTGGGCCTTGAGACGAAGGGCAAAGTCGATGGTGCGGGCGACGGTGAGGGTGGCGTGGTGCTGGTCGTCCTCTTCCGAGTAGACGACTTCGCCGAGGTATCGCCTGCCCATCTCCTTTGCGCCGATGCCGCCGTAAAGCACGTCACCCTTGGTGTCAATGAAACCGCTGCGCTTGTTGGCGATGGTCTTGAGGAAGGTGGAGCAACCGGCGTTGGGACGACCGATGACAAGCACCATCTCGCCGGGCTTTGCGCAACCGTTGAAGCCTTGCAAGAGGTCGCGCGTCTTGGACTTGGATGGGTCGAAACCGAAGAGCTTGAGAATGCCGAAGATGGGACCGATGACCTCAAAGAGCGCCATGGAAGGGATGGTGGGCACGTTGAGATCACGCGAGGCGGTGCCGATCACGCGAAGGTCGGACCAGGAGACGCCAAGCTTCTTACGCTTGGTGCCCATCTGGTCGGTCTGCTCCTGGGTGCCGGAAAGCCATTCGCGGAGGTCGAAGGGCTGGTGCTTTTCGAGATCCGAGTCGTTGCCCTTGCCGGAGCTGAGATGGCGTTCGAGCTCGTTGAATTGGCGCTCTGCATCGGCGACATCGACGTGGCGGTCGCTGGAAGCCTCGGCACTGGGCGTCTCGGAGGTGGCAGCGGTGTGATCGTGGGCATGTTGGGGTTCGTCGTCATCGCGACGAGAATGCTGTTGGGCAATGTGGTTGTCAGCACCTTGTGCGTTGCCCAGACCGGTGGGGCCGAGAGCGGCCATGTTGGGCAATCAAAGAGGGGCTAGCTCGCTGTCTGCTTTTGGAGTGTTGTTCGCCTGGCACGATAGCCGGCTGGTATAAAAAGGAAAGGTCGGGTCGCTCGTGCTTGTGGTGTAGAAAGTAGCAAGGAGCGGCGTGGATGGTAGCTGGTGGACAGGAGACCCGTCGTAGAGCGAAGGCGATCTTTGAGTTACAGTAGGACGGAGATAGGCGAGTTGGCGGCACACACGGCGGGGGACTCTATATACTCTGGAATCAGCTCAGCTGGAAAGGATTAGGGTGAAGGCCAGCACCGGAAGATTTCTCAAGATCAGACAGCCGCCCGCGGACACCGAGATGAGCAAACGCGCGGTGCGGCATGGCATGGCCGAACAACAGAAGGAGAGGGGGCAGAGGGAATCGTACGACGAGGGCCGGAACACTGGCGGAATTGGGCGTTTGTGCGAGCCCAAGGGCGAATCAGGTTTACGGCATCAGAACAACAACACTGACCTGAGCTCGCCTCGGCTCGCGTTTGCATGTCCTCAACCCTTGTTGCGACCCTCGAGGCGCTTTTTTCTTGAAGGATCAATCTGACTGGGATAAGGATCAGGTCCACGGCGACCAAGGCCAGGGGTTTGCTTACTCTGCGGCGTCAGCGACGATAGGAGATCAGGATCCGAAGAGGCTATGGCAAGTCCTCGGAGGTGGATGCTGACGGGCCGGGTTTGGACATGATGCCAAGCCCAAGATGGGCAGTCATCAGCCACAAAAGCCATACAGGTACGCGTGCGGCCGTGTGCTGTTTTGGCTGCGAGAGAAGCAAATCTCTCAACAGCGCAGCCCAATGCACAGTGCAGCGCAGGCGATCCTTTGTCTTGACGCTTCCGTCGGGGCCAGCAGCGGCAAAACGTTGCGGCGCTTTTTCAATTTTAAAATGCAATCAAGCCAGTTTGAAACTCGAACGTGTTTTCCGAAGGAAATCAACACGCTCACACCCACCGAGAGCCGACCTTTTGCTGAATTTCCACGGAGAGGAGCCACTTGGAAAAACACGTCATTTTTGTGTTGGCCTTGAAAAAGCTTTGTCTCCCTTGGCACCTCACTCGGCATCTGCAGCTTGGGCGTGAAACGTCTGACGCTGCGAATTCCAAGCCAGCCAGCCTTCTGGTTCCAACTGCCGATTCGGCTTCTGTCTTCCGTCGTCTCCGCGGAGCAGTCATCATTCGGAAAGCTGCTTCCCGCGTACCAGATCTAGCTCTTGTGATTTTCTTGTTGACAGCGATTCAAGTGTCAAAGCTCATCTTGCGCGTTTCCCACGAGGAAGGCGCCACAACAATGCAGCGACTCGTCATGTGCGAGTGGTGATCGCAAGTCATCTCTTTGTTCGTGAGCGAGACCGAGGCTGACCAGGCTTATACCATTCGCCGATCCCCCAGACGGGTGGACTTGAGCATCCTCATGCACTTGACTCCTTTCGCACCACGCGTGCAACCATGCCCATTGCCGAGCATGCGTCGACGTGCATGGCAGACCCAAGCTCACGGCTGCCCTCGCCTCCATGGATTTGTTCCACTTTCGGCGCGGCCGGTCAATTTCCTTCCTTGAGCATGCAACTCTTTCTAGCACGCAACGGTAAATAAGCCTGGGTCGGATGCTCCCGGCCGTTCCCTCCGCGGAGCAAATCGTCAAGCTCCCGGTATAGGTCTAACAACGTCACGTCCGCGCTTCCAGCCCTCATCTTCATCGTGGCCCAATTCTGCACACAGGCCATCATACTGAGCCGCAAAGGCGTATTCGTTGACGTTCGCATTGCGTAGATCGTGCATGCAAGACTTCATACATAAGGGTATCGTTTGTTCTTCCGAATCGTGATTCGTGTCTGACTCCATCCACCTCGATGTGAAATGCGAGTCCTTACTGAGGCGGCTTCGACGGCGAAGGCGGCACCTCGACCGTCTTGTCCAGCGCAGACGTGCGGCTCGCTTCGGCGGGCAGCGCCACTTCAGTGATGCCCCTCTCCGACATACCCGGCCGCTGTTCCACCTCCTGCCGTGCCTCTTGGCTCCTCGTTGGCAATGCAAACGGTGCCACCATTTGACTCGGGCTCTGCTCAACCACACTCGTGCCTGTCGCCGGACGACTGCCACCGAGCTCCTGCATAGGCACGGCCGAAGCGGTGCTTGCATCCCGAGCTGCCTTTGGCGTTCGTGACAAGCTCAGAACACCAAGTGCAGCCGATCGGAAGCGTCTTCCTCCAAATGCGCTGCTAGCACTCCTGTCCAACTGTCCTGGCGAGTACTCTCCCAGCTGTGAGTTCTGAGAGAGATCCCGGCGCAAACCACCGTCTCTGCCTGGCGTCAACAGTCCAAATTCACCCGCCTCGCGTCGGCGGTGCTCGGCTTCGTATCGACCCATGATGGTGCTCACGTTGGCTTCGCGACGCGGCGTGGTGCCGTCTTCCTCGTCTACCTCTTCGGCTGCTTTCGCCTCCTCGAGTCCTTCGAGTTGAGTCGAGGCATTGCCAGACACGTTGCGCTTCCGGCGACCCTTGGACGCCGCCAGCCTCTCCTTGAGCCCGATGCGTCTCTCTTCTTCCAGAGCTTCGGCTCGCAAGGCTGCCTTGAGCGTCACTGTCTTCTGCGTCGTGCCGCCCGAGAAGCCGCTCAATGCACCCGAGGCATCGCGGCGGTACGTCCTGCGCGACGTGTTGCGGTCCAACGTCGTCGCGTTGGCGTCGCGTCTCTTCGTAGGTGTGAGGTCCGTCGTTTGATCGCCAGCAGCGGTAGTCGGAGAGATGTCATCTTCGTCGTCTTCAACGATCTCAGCGCCGCCGGCGCGTTTGCGACGACTCGAGCTGCGATTGGGAATCATGACCCCAGCTTCAGCGACGCTGGCTAGAGGCTCTGGTTCGCCCATGCCCAGTCGAACGGACGCACGCACCGACGTGGGACTTGCGGGTGCTTGGCTTTGATCGCCGCTTCGCCACGAGCCATGCGAGGGCACCTGCAACAGCGACGGTCCTCCAGCGTAGCCCTTGCCCGCGCGCGAGGAGGCATCGCTGCCCCGCCTGAAGAGGCTCGACGACGAGTGTTGAGAAGCGCTGTCGCCGGATCCGGCGCGCTCGTTGCGACGCAGAGCTCGTTTGTAATCCTTCATGAGGTTCTTGGGGATGCTTGCAGCGGGGTCCTTAGCTTCCTCGACAGCTTCGGTCTCTTCGAGATGACGAGCGAGCTTGTCCGGAAGCACAATCTCCTCATTACCATCAAGCAGCATGTCCTGTGGCCGAACAAAAGTGGCCGCCTCGCCGCCAAGAGGAATGTCATCCTCGTGGGAGACGCTCTTCTCGTTGTCGTAGTCGTCGTCATCCTGCTCGTCGTCCCACTCGCCAACGATTCCGCCACCGCCTTGCGAGCTGACGAGCGCACATCCGTACCACTCGATGGTGTCGAAGAGATCGACGGGCGCGAGAGGATTGCGGGGCAGCCAGAGGAAATCGTCCATCTCCTGATTGTAGAAGGGATTGTTGTAGCGCGCCGAGTTGTTGGGCGTGTCGTCCCATCGCACCGGAGGATGAGGTCGTACGAGCTCGCGACCCTTGAGAGAATCTTCGTAGTCATCGCCGTGCGATCGCTGACTCGACTTGGCCCATTCTTGATCGGTCTTGGCAGCGTTTTGCTTTGTCGGCTTCGGCGCATGCTGGTAGAGGGGATCGGTGCTGGTCGCGCCCTCGGCCCAATTGTTCGTCTCGTCGCTGCCTGTGTTCTGCAGGATCTCCTCGTCAGGGACGGTGGCCAGCTGACTCGGCTTCTTTCGGAGCGTTCCGTAGTTGCTGCGGCTGCCTCGCCTCCTCGAGCGCTGACTTGTCTGGCGCAACAAATGTCCCTCCTCGTCGTGCTCGAGGAAAGGAGCGTCGCCATCTTCGAAGCTCAGATCGTAGTCGTCCTCGCTTGGCAGCGGGGCGTGGGAGGCGATGGCATCGAAGCCGGACAGGAACGGACGATCCTCGCTTCTCGAGCTGTCGCGACGGCGATGGACCACATGCTCGCCTTTGACCTTGCGAGAGGCTGTCTTGCTACGTTGCGTAGTGGCGGAGGGATCGTTGGGCACCTCGCCGTCCATGTGCTCCGCCTCAGCAGCAGCTTCGTGCGAGTTGCGGAACGTATGAACATGAATTTGGCTGGTGGGCGGCAAGCCCGAGATGGGTCGACGATCTGCCGAAGGGCGGTCGCGACTCGGACGCGGAGATTCTACGAGATCGTTGATGCCCAATGAGTTCTTGGCAGCATGGCGGTAGTGGAAAGCGTGCTTGGCGGTCTCCTTGACAATGTAGCGAGGCGTCCTGGCGATCCCTTTTGCGCCGACGCCGACAGCATTCGCGGGTGCTTCGCCTTTGGCATGCGCCGTAGCGAGATAGCTCTGTCCGTCGAGACCGTTGGCGTTGAACGAGTCGTGAAGCCGTTGCCAGACGCGCTGGAACGTCGAGTTGGTAGGCGGCGGCGGAACGACAGAGGGGTACCTGCCTGAAGCGAGCGCGTCCAGCGGTTGGCGGCTGCCGGTCCCTTCCTCAGCCGTGCTGGGACCGAGGTCGTTCCTCTGCATCTTTTCCCAGAGCGGACGAGAGTCGATTCCGCAGAGCGCTTCGGCCTCCTCGTCATCCAAAGCCCGGCACTGCGATTTCCACAGGCGCGTAGCGATGAGCTTGGTGATGACGGTGAGCGGAATCAGCAACGCCGACATTCCGATGTACACCGGTGCTCGGCGAAGAACGGAAAAGAAGATGAGCAAGACAGCCTGCATGACCACGATGGCGTCGAGACTGTAGCGCAGCAGGCGGGTAAAGTAGAGCACACCCTCCATCTCGTTGAAGCGCCTGTAGTAGTGGTAGGCGAAGTTCTTCTTGAAGATGACGATGGCGAGCGAGAGATAGATGAGGGCGAACGGGATGACCAGTGGGTTGAGCAGCGCAAAGATAAAGACGATGGCCATGATGTTGATGTGCAGCGGCAGCCAGTAGTATCGGTTGAAATTGCGCGGCAGTGTCTTGATGGCTCGTACTCGAGGTGTCGCCGCTTTCCTTGCGCCCCAGTGTTGCAGAAGCGCGATCATGAAGCCCATGTGCTCGAAGCCGGACTGCAGTGCCAGCTGTAGAATCAAGTAAGAGACGAAGAAGGGCGCAGCCGAGGGGAACGAACTTGCAACGGTGGTGAGGATGGAGCCCGTGTTGCCGACCTTGGTGAGGACAGTCACGATGACAGCGGAACCGACACTGAAGAAGATGACGACGTTGCAAATGACAAACTTCCAGTAGCGTGCAAGGCACATGTCGTACAGAGCACTGAAGGTGACGAAACCTTGAGCGCGCTTGCTGACTTGGAAGATGAGTTCGGGCACCGACATGGATGCCAGCGAGACGAGCAAGGGTGGCAAGGTGATCGTGACGAAGCCGGTGAGTTTGGGGTTGTCGTCGAAAAAGTTGCCGAGGCCAGGGATCTGTTTGAGCTTGTCGACGCTGAAGATACCAAGGACGATGGCGTTGATGATGATGACCCAAAAGATGGTGAAGCCCCACGTGACGACGCTGACACCAAAGCCACGAACGACGTCGACGGTGAAAGATGTCTTCATAAGTCGGTCCCAGTCGAGATCCTTGACTTCGGGTGCGAGGCGCACCTTGACGACGATTTGGTCCTTGAGCTCACGCCACACCATGCGCGCCTGACGAGGATCACGAAAGGTGACAAAGGCGGTCGAGGTGGGCTCGTAGCTGGTCGGAGGTCTGGATCGCATCTCTGTGACGAGGGCGGTGAGCAGGTTGAGCTTGGTGAGGAGGTAGTCGATGGTGGGCACCGTCTGACCGCGGAAGAGAGCCGACAATCTGGTAGCTGGCTGGAAAGGATCAAGCAACTCTCCTGGCAGCTCTTCGAGCGCTTCCCATACCGTCTCGCCGATCTCATGCTCGTGGTCGGCATCATTGTCACCGACCTGCTGCGCCTGTTTGGCATGCGAGCCACGGTTAGTGGGCGAGAAACGGGCCAATCTGCGCGCCAGTTCTTCCTCGAGCGCTTTGCCTGCCGTGTGCTGAGCATGGCCTAGCTTTTCAATGTCTGGGTCCAAGGCTTCCGAAGGCGTTGAAGTGCCCGAGCTCGAACCGCTGGTGGGCGCAGTCTTCTTGGCCTGTTTGCGGAAAGGGCGGCGGAGGGAGGCCGCTAGTCGTTTGAACGAAGAGGAGGAGTTGCCTTGCTTGTCTCGAGCAGGCTTGCCCGCGGCCCGGTCCCTTTCCTGCTTGCGCATTTTGAGGGTGCGACGACCGACGGTGACGAGCACGTCTTGGGCTAGCTTGACATGCGCTGCCTCGAGTTGAGTGAGCACTTCTTGGCGACGAGAGAGCATGGATGCGAGTTCGTTCATCTTGCGCACCAGGACAACCGTCTGGATCGGGCTCTTGAGATGTCGATTCGGATGCAAATCAGGCTGAGGACCATCCGGTCCGTCACTGTAAGCCGAGAATTGGGCGGGTGGTCCAGCGTGATGCTCGGCTGAAGGCGATCGATGATCCGAGTCGGAGCCGGAAGTATGCTGAGCGTCTGTGTCTGCGGGATCGCGGCGGACACGAGAAGATGAGATGATCTGATGGTCGCTTTGGCCGTCGTTGGAGGAGGCTTGGTCGTCGTCAGGACGGAGGAACTCCTCAAAGTAGCGACGAACGCTGGCCTCGTCTCGCATGGTGGCGGGCAGATTCATGACCATCAAGGTACGTTGACGCCAGCCGTCGCTGTTGTCCGACGAGAGACCTTGTGCCTTGGTCAGGTTTGGGTGAGGATCTCGATGGATGGGAGTCGTGTCGTCGGCGGGATTGAGGGGAACGCTGCGTGCTTCTTGCTTGGCTCGGATGACCTTAACTCGGGTCTTTTCGATCTGAGCCTTGCGCACTTTGAGCGAGCCGCTGCCGATCCACCAAAGCGCCAAGATCCAGGTGATGCTGAGGTACCAGAGGAGTACGAGGTGGATCCAGAGAAGCGAACGGCCTCTTTCGTTGGGCACGGTTGGACATTTGGCGACCTCTAGCTCTGTGCAGTCGGGAGCGGGGGTGCTAACGAGGTAGGAGAGGGAGGCCCGCTGCATGTCGGTGGTGCTGATGCCGCGACTGAAGGTGATGTGGATGGAAAGCAGGATGGGGGCTGTAGTCAAGCATTGAAGGAGGACCCACCAGAGGCAGGCGCGAAGGAAGCGGACATAGACTACGGTGTCCATGCCGGTGTGATCCGCATACCATTCGTCGGTGAAGGAGATGGCGCGTTTGACCCAGGCAAATGGCCAGCGCGGGAGCATGGGAGAGGGTGTGGAAGCATGGAAGACGCGCGATAGGTAAAAGTGGCCCATCTCCCAATCTTCGCATGTATCCTTTTCTCGAACATGTGCGGGATCGTCGTGGACACCGCCTGGGGGATGTTGACGCCGAGCATCATCATACCAGAATTTGGAGAAGCGTGTGCGCGGTAGACGGCGCAGCTGGCGGCAAGACTCGTAGGTGATGGCGGAGATGGAGCCAACGACGGCGAAGATGACACAGGTCGAGACCAAGCCCTGGAAGCTGGAATTGATCTGTCGCTCAGTTGCGTCGGCCATCTTGTAGGGTACCGCCTAGCTCAGCGGTGACGAGCCTATGAATGGATGGTTGGATCAGGGACAGTGCTGAAACGTCAAAGGACAGCGTTCAAAGACGGAGCATGGTGGCAGTGACAGTCGACTGAGCAGTGACGATGGTTCGGAAGGAGCGAAGCCCAGCGGAGAGGTCGTGTGACCGTCGGAATGACGCCGAAGACGCCAAGCCGGATGAGCCGCAGCGAGTCGTGTCGGGATGACTGTATGGCTGGCTTGCTGCCTGGATCGCTTTTGGTGGCTGTGGACTCAGCGGGATGCGCTTTGCGAGAGAGTGGTGTGATGTGATCGTGTCAAGGAGGAAGAATCCAAAGTGATGAGAGGCAAAGTCGCATCCGTGTGTTGAATTTATGCAGCTGCGTCGGATGATGAAAACAACGAGGCAGCACAGCACGGCACACAAGGTTCCAGGCTCTCTCTTTCTCTCCGTGCAGTTGCCGCTATGGTGCTGCATGCTTTGCAATTTCTACGTGGGCGGCAAAGCAACAATCGCCATGGCTCGGACCCCACAGTAAGCGAACAAGATCGTCAGCCTTCATTCGGACCGGGACTAGGTGAGTCGGATGAGTGATAGATGCTCGCAACACAATAACGAGGCTTTTGACGTCGTGTGTCTGTCACAACGAGAACCGGTCTGACAAGCAAGCATCGTCCATCAATCGACGGTAGGACGCCAAGAGCGAAGCAAGCGCTGAGCAGGATAGGGTCCAGACAAGCAAGCGAGCCTCCCACTCTGACTGTACCAAAGCCGACGAGCTCAGGGGTTTCAGTGGAAGCCAGAGCGGGTCTGAGGCAGCACATTGTTTGGCTCGCCGAGTCGCGCGCGTCTCGTCTCGTGCATGCTGTCTGTCGCTTGCTTGCCTCGCCGATCCCACTTACGTCGTCGTGCAGTTATCTTTTTCCCTTCTGATATAGATCGGTGATCTCTCACGTCCCGATCTGTGTCTAGATCAAGACTTGAAGCTTTCGGACTCGCCAGCTTCGATCCACCTTCACCTCACCTTGCGGCCACATTGTGATTGTCGAGCCTTCGTGGCTCAAACAGCGCGATCGCGGAATGTGCTCACGTCAGCATGACAAGCCTCCATCTCTCGGACCAGGCCGCAAAATTATGGCGAAGACATGAACAAAGCAGACTTGGCACAAAGGGCCACAGCTCAAAGCCATCTAAACCGTTGTGGCCGAACAAAGTGCCCAGCTGTCCGAGTCTGACCCTTTCTTTTGATTTTTGGCCCTTCTGGAAGCGAGGCAGGAACCCATTTTCTGGTTCGCCCACCAAATTGAAACTTTGGCAGCCAACAACAGCCATTGCGGCTTGTCTGGTGGCCAGCTGAAGCGTCGTGGCACCGAGTAACACGGAAGATGCTGTTCTATTGTGCGCTGCTGTGATGATCCGATTCATCGAGCTTGCAATCAAGTCTGCCACCCTTGCCGTGCCGCCAGTTTCCTGAGGGAAAATAAAAATTGGATGCGGCACAGCACGCCAGTTGAGCCCGCCGTGACAAAATCGTGGCAGGGTGCGTAGCTTCAAATGGCGTGACTCAAGAGTCGGGATCGGCCCTTCCGCTCGAAATTTTGACAGCGACTCGGTTCCATAACTTACCGCAGGAGCAACGTGATCTGCCAAGGCAAAACGTCAGCAGCGCAAAAAGGGGTCACGTTGCTATCAATTTGGGCTGACTGTCTCTTTGACTCGCTCCTCTCTTTGCCTTTTCCTCTCACCACCACTACCATCACCATCTCGACTAACTCGTTTCGCGGTCTGCCCCTCTTCTAGGCGCACACATCGCTCTGCCCGATTCTTTCGTATCTCCAACAGATCGAAAGTCAGGTTCACTCTTTCCCCCCTCTCCCCCCCAAACCGAAAGTCTCTCAACCCATTTTCAACCAAATCTTACTCTCTCTCTCTCGATAAAGCTCACTTTATTTCTTTGCCAACGACACCATGAGACCTCAAGCTATCTTGCCAGATGCCCTTTCCGCTGTGGGTGAGACGCCGCTCATTCAACTGAACCGGATCCCACAGTCGGAAGGCATCAAGTGCAATGTCATGGTCAAGTGCGAGTTCTTCAACGCTGGTGGCAGCGTCAAGGACCGCATCGCACGTCGCATGCTCCTTCAAGCTGAGCAGGACGGTACCCTCATCCCCGGCAAGTCCATCGTCATCGAGCCCACCAGTGGCAACACGGGTATTGGTCTGGCTCTCGCCTGCGCCATTCGAGGCTACCGTTGCATCATTGTGCTTCCCGAAAAGATGTCCGCCGAGAAGGTCAACACGCTTCGTGCTTTGGGCGCCGAAGTCATTCGCACTCCTACCGAGGCCGCTCACGATGATCCTCGTTCCAACATCATGACCGCGCGTCGTCTCGCAAAGACCATGCCCGACGCCGTCATCTTGGACCAGTACAACAACCCCAACAACCCCACCGCCCACTGGGCTACCGCCGAAGAGATCATCGAAGCCATCCAGGCCGGTCCCGCTCCTCCTTCCTCCACTTCACTCCTGCACGGCATGGCTGGCCTTTCCCTCGACAAGGAGCCCCTTGACTCGGCCGCCTCGGCTCGTCCTCTCACCCCGGACTCGAACCGCGGCGCCGACGAGCTCAACGGCTCTACCCAGACTTTTTCGGACAAGGTGGACGTCTTCATCGCCGGCGTCGGTACCGGCGGTACCATCAGCGGCATCGCCTCGCGCCTCAAGCGTGCCGACCACAACCCGAACTGCTTCGTGCTCGGTGTGGACCCTATCGGATCCGATCTGGCTCTGCCCGCCACGCTCAATGCTCTTCCTGAGGGCAGTGATGGCTCGTACAAGGTCGAAGGCATTGGCTACGACTTTGACCCCAACACGCTGAACAAGAAGGTCATTGACGAGTGGTACAAGACCGAGGACGAGCAGAGCTTCGTCTACGCGCGTCGTCTGATCAAGGACGAAGGCATCCTTGCCGGAGGCTCTTCGGGTGCCGCTGTCAACGCCGCTATCAACTGGCTCAAGCCCGGCGGTGCTGGCTACGACAAGTTTGGTTCCAAGTCGGGTCTCAACGCTGTCGTTGTTCTGCCCGACAGCATTCGCAACTACATCACCAAGCCGTGGTTGGTTTCGGATGCCAAGCCAGAGCTCCGCGAGGCCGAGATCGACTTTGCCAACTTCCAGTAGATGATCGGTCATAGCGCCGTTCGTCGGCGACTAGCTCCGTGTCGTTCCTCCCCCTTCTCCCCTGTTTCACTTTCACTGTTTTCCGAGCTCGTTACCTCTTCGATGGCTGGTCGTCGTCGCTGCTGTGCCTCGCGACAATCTCTCTACCTCAAACCTAGTCATCCTCGCCCTGTCATCATCGCCCCTACCAGGCACAGCAACGCTCTTCTTCGCGAGTGCTCAAGCTCAACACTATCTCAACACTATCTCAACCACCAACACCCAAACCTTAGGCGAACGCCCCTTATACCTGAACCGGGATGGGAGATGGAGTAACAGAGGGGGTCGGACCTCTGTTCTTGCAATACCCATGCGATGCTCTTTTCATCCCGGTTCGATCTGCTTTCCACATACCCTTGGCTCTTCAATTTCCCCCTTTTTGCTTTTCTGCTTCTCACGCCATCCACCTTTTCAACTTTGTCCTTCATCACCGCCCATCTATTCATCAGCTCGGCCACGTTGCATGATGGCGATCGTTTGCTCGATAGCTTCCATGGACGTGGCCGTTCGGGCTTGGCCTCTTTACTCTTTGACTTTCTCATTTGGCCTTGTTCGGATCCCCCTTGATATATCTTGCTTTCATGCTCATCGGTTTCACCGACATGCCGACCTGGTCTCTTCGGATCAGTGCGGCTGTCTAGGCCGATGCTTTTGCACGCTCGCTTTCACCCGCCTCTCTTCGCATCAGTCACGGCTTTCAACACTGCATTCTGATTCCCTTTTCGTCGTTCGCAAACCTTGCATCACTCGCACACTCGCATCTCTACAACTCCGACTTGTTGTATACTATCATACTGCCAGCTAATCGCATCCGCACTTTTCCCCTCAAGCTCGTCTGATTGTGTTTAGCTCTTGGCTTTGAAAGATCTGCCTGAGACGATTGACGCGCGCTTCAGGGCTTAAGGAGCACGAGGGCATGTCGAGATATCCGTCTATCGTCAATCGAGCAAAGGGAATGGGAGACTGGCCCTCGCATACTCCATGGTCTTGTGAGTGATACCAGCTGGCCCTTTACTGCTGCGTGCTGGGGCGGACAGCTTATCGCTGAGTCGCAAAGCAGATGGACCGCGCCAAGTGTTATCGCGGCAGAGTCGAAATGGATTTGCCACGCGACCCTGCCCGCGTCGCATAGCGCGGCTAAGTTTTGTCCTGACCGCACATCCACGGCCCAATAGAAGGGCGCGATCTTGAAATGACTGTACGCTCTCCTGTCGCTCACAAGTTGGACAGCGAAGACAGTGAGCGGCGTACAATGCGCAATCAGCCGAGGGTCGGAACGCGAGGTCGACAGAGGCAATCAAGGGAATCGAAGAACGAAGTGAAACGTTCCAGGATGGTCTTTATCGACAGTCGATTGGCTTCAGTTCAAAAGCACAGCTGTTCGAGGAGGCTTTTGATATGGAAGCTTGAGAGGGCTGCAGAGTCACCGCTGACGCGGTGGGATTTAGCTTCGCTGCTAAAGGTGTCGTCAGCTATGGGCGCAGCCGCCGCCCTCTTGGTACCGCGCTTAACGCTCCTTTCCCTGCCGAACCCTGGTTGTGAAGAGAGCTCGTTTAGATAGTGAGTTTGGGCTCCGTCACGCGCCTGTTCCCGAAGCTGGGCTCGTCTAATCTCGGACCTGATTCGTTAAGCTCTCAACGCTAAGATTGCGCTCGCATGGCAGCCTCGCGCTTCCATGTCAATGTGTCGTAGCTTTTTCGGTCTTGAGCTCATTTGATTTCCCCACAACCTTCTGCCATGCGCATGAGATGAAGGAACAGCGGCACCTGCCGTGCTTATCTCGCATCAGATGCTGCGTGTTCACCCCATTTCATCTGCCCATATAACCCGGACCTCCTTCCACGCCTTCATCCCCTTCTTGGGTACCACCCCAGCTCGGTCTAGACTCAGACTTCCTTGCTTCCCACAACGCACTCGCTCACTAGCAACTCGCATAAGAGCAAGCCACCCGCGTTACCTCTCAGCGCCCTTGCCACGCCGTTGTCGTCCCTCGCTCTCTCCCTCTCTCTCTTGGCATTCTCTGGGCAGCCAACCGCTCCTTCATTCATAACCGAAACTGACCGCCACATCTTCCCCGCCACCGCCTTCCAGGTATGGAACAAAAGCAAAGCGAGGTATACGATGACTCGTCCAAGCCCTCCAGCGCCGTCCTAGATTATCAAGTCTCGTCCTTTGCGCCCGAAATGAATTCGGATCATGCTCAAGCCGAGGCTCCGATGCCACGCAAGCATTTCAACACGTTTGCGCTCATCGGTCTTTCGTTTGCCATCCTCAATTCGTGGACCGCTGCAAGTGCTTCCATCAATCTTGCACTAGGTGCAGGTGGTCCCGTGGGGGTGGTGTACGGCCTTCTCGTGGGCACCGTCTTTGCCACTACCATCGCCGTCTCCCTCGCTGAACTCTGCCATGTGTTCCCTTCGATCGGCGGCCAGTATCACTGGGCTTATGCCATGGCTCCCAAGCAATACCGTGCTCCCATCGCCTATCTGGCAGGTTGGGTCGGCACCACCGGCTGGATCGCGCTCGCCTCGAGTGCACCTCTCTACGCGGGCTCCACCACCATGGGCATCATCAGCATCTACAAGCCCGACTTCATCCCTGACCCCTGGAAGCTGTTTTGCGTCTACATGGGTCTCACCATCTACTGCGGTATCATCAACATATGGGGCGTTTGCATCCTCAACAAGATGAACCAGGCTGCTCTCCTCTGGTCTATCGTTGGCGCCGTCACGGTCTTCATCGTCTGCCTCACGGTTCCCTCCACTCAGGGTCATCGCTCCAGCGCTAGCTTCATCTTCACCGACTTTGTCAACCTCACTGGATGGCCGGACGGTATCGCATGGATGCTGGGACTGATAACGGCCCAATATTCGTTAGTTGGCAGTGATGGAGCTTCTCATATCATCGACGAGATCGATCGTCCCCACATCAATGCTCCCAAGGCCATGGTGCTGGCCTGTCTCATTGGTGGTACTTCAGCGTTCTTGGTTCTCATTGCTGTTCTCGCGGGCATCAGCGACACGGAAAGCGTCATCAGCGCAGGAGCAGCAGGCATCGTCGAAGCCCTCTACCAGGCCACACTGAACCGAGCTGCTACGCTCTGCTTGACCCTGATCATGTTTGGTACCATCCTCTTTGCCGGCCCTGCTCTGATGATCACCTCGAGCAGAATGGTGCAGGCCTACGCCGCCGATGGATGCTTGCCTTTTCACAAGAAGCTCGCCTACGTCTCACCCAAGTATCAGGTGCCCGTCTATGCGGTGCTCTTCTGCTGCTTCTGGTATGTCGTCTTTGGTGTCATTCTGTTTGGCTCGGTGATTGCCGTCTCGTCGATCGTCAGTGCTTCGGTGGTGATGCTGCAATTGTCGTACGTGGTTCCGATTGCTGGAATGCTGTTCGGTGGTAGGAAACGCATCTTCAAGCGCACCAATGCAGATGGCGACAAGGCCGACGAGGACGACGATGAGATCCCCATCCCGTCCGACATCAAGTACACGCTGGGCCCTGTGGTGGGACCCATCATCAACACGATCGCACTCTGCTACATTGTGCTCACCACGGTGCTCTTCCTCTTTCCGTCCTACATTCCCGTCACCTCGGGTACTTACATGAACTACTCGGTGGTCGTGGTGAGTTCGACGGTGATGCTTGCCATTGTCAATTGGTTCGCTTTTGCACGGAGAGGGTATACGGGCCCAAAGGACTTCAAGCAGATCCTCGAGAGGGCCCATGTGAACCGAGCCGAGTAGCCTAAGATCTCACATCTGCCTGTAGATCTCTTCTACAGTAGTTGGATAGGTGTGACTGCGTTCTTTGTCCAGACACGTTGGTTACTCGTGTGTCTGGCGCGTGTTGTTGAAGACGCTGCGAGTCTGTAAGTGAAAAAATCAAATTCAGGGTCCCATACAGGGTCGAGAGGGTCCGACACCGGGTCGCGCAGCCACCCATCAAATATCAGTTGAGAGTAACTTATTAATAGTTTCCAAACTTGAATTGCAGACTTGACTTGCTCCAATTTCAATAAGGGTAAAGAAGAGTCTAGGCCCTATTACAACTTATTGTTCAATATTTCACCCTGCAAGGGATGCCCCATGAGGCACACGGCTTGACTGAACAAACTCTCCCAAGCTGTCTGCTCTTCTTGCTCTTGCTCTTGCCAGCCTCGCTCTTCTTGACAGCTTTGGCACGGTCGAGATGATGGGTGATTTCCTGTCACCTCATTTGCCGCAATTTCTAACTTGAGGCTGGCTCAGCTTGTTCAGTACCAGCTTGGCTCGCTCGACTCTCCCGTCCCGGTCTACAGTAGTCGGCGTTTCTTCTTGATGACCTACTGGGTGTGTTTGCCACTGTTCGCCGCCTCCTTCTGCCTCTCCCTTTGCCCATCGTCGTCACGCTCCCTCAGCGAGGTTGCTTGCGCTCCTCGTCAATACCCTAACTCCCTCTCATCCGCCGCTGCATCTATCTTGGCCGCCTCCTCCTCCTCCTCCTCCTCCTCCTCCTCCTCGATTCGATCGATCGCTCGCTCGCTCGCCGCCTACAGTAGACTCGAGTCAAAGGAATCACATTTCAGGCCCATCCGATCCACCCAGTCGACTGGCTATCACAGCTGCCATGGCGTGACACAACGACTCTCAAGGCGTCGCATCTAGCATCCAACTAATTGATAGCCACCATGACAGGCTCCTCTTCTTTTCCCCATGATGAGTGGGGCACCTGGCTCCGTCGATATCAGCTCGGCGATTGGGATCCACGTGCCGTCGTCAATGCGCCAGATCAACCCACAGATCCAATCACCGTCGTTCGCACTAACTCTGGCTCCCCTACCGCTCCCATCCGCCATGCTCCTCCAGCTCCTCTGGCTGGTACCGAGGATCCACTCAGACTGGATCCCAATCTCGACTCGCAATCAAGATCCTTCTTCCAGCAAAACGGCTGGCTCGCTGCTCCGCCTCTTCGCCAGCAGCACCGTCGTCGCGTTCTCGAAGCTATCCATCGTCATGGTGTCAAAGCGTCCAAAGATCTCCTTCTCCACGTCAAACACGCCAAGTCCGTCTTCAAGTGCGCCTACGCCTCGGTCATTGTTCAGACTTTCGACGAAGCTTCCTTGCTCATCCTCGCTCAGGACGGCGGTGATTCGCTCGTACAGCACGTTCCTCAGACCGTCAGCCTATGCTCGCACGCCATGCTCTTGCCCGACGACGAAGTGTTCGTCATCAACAATACAACAGACGACTGGCGCTTTCGCTCCTGTCCTTCTACCTTGGCTGGCTCAGCCGCAAGCGCACTCGGCAGGCCCATGAATTTCTATGCCTCGGCGCCTCTCATCCTTTCCTACACCCTCGATGGCGTCGAAGGCCTGGTTCAAGTAGGACGTCTCTGCATCATGGACGAAGAGCCCAGGTCTCGCTTTGAGGACCAGGATGCCGAGCTGCTTTCATCCATTGCAAAAATGGCCGCCGACTCCCTCGAAAAGGATTTTCAAAGCTCCAGAAACGCAAAGGCGACCGATATGCAACGAAGAATTGGCTCGCTCGTTCGCTTGGTCGACAACACTTCCATCTCACAAGCCAAAGTCCACCTTCCGCCTTCCATCCTCGCTGGATCCGGCGATGACTACCACCGTTTCTCGAGCGCTGTCCTCGAGCGCGGTTGCAACGATCTCAAGGATTGCCTGGGTGCAGCTGCCGTTGCCGCGTTCGACGTCAGCCAGTTTCGCCTCGGGCGGCGCCCCGCTAACGACGCACTCGAAGCTAGCTCGACAACTACTTCCCCCATTTTGCACCAAGTCGACAGCACTGGCTGTTTCGACCACGCCACGCAGCCCGCAGTCAACCTGCCGCACACTGGTCCTTCTGACGCAGACCGCGCCAGCAGACCAGCGAAAGCCGACACCGCGCTGCATGCCATCGATGTGCGTCCAGGCTCGTCGCCTCCCAGTCTGTTGGGCTTCTCTGGCCCCCAGGAATATCGGCCAAAACTGCCCACCAACGTCGAGGACCTCAAAGCCATCTTTGCGACTCCTTTAGCACGCAGTGCCACCGAGACCAACATGAACACGCGCTGCAAGTTCTACCGTAGACAGTCTGGACCCTCTGCGCACTACCAAGAGGTCGACGACCAGTCTTTCTATCCCGTCTTGGAGACGGGCGAAAATCCATACATTGCCTTGCTGCCTTTGGACGACCGAGTGACGTCGTATGCTGTCTGTACCTCGTACGATCAAAACAAGAGTCGTCCCGGCATCATGCTTCTCATCATGTTCACCGCTCCGGTAAGCTTTGAGGAGCCGGAGCGCTCGTATGTCGAGACCACTACTCAAATCTCGTTCGGCAGCTTGCTCCGTCAAGAACGCTCTTCGGTCGAGTCTTTTCAGTCCGAATTCCTTCGCCACGTTCAGCACAACCTCCGCACGCCGTTGCACCGCGCACTCGGTGCCGTCGACTACCTGCGTGCAGCCATCGACGTGGACGACTCGACTGACAGCATCAAGCTGGATCTGTCCGCCAACGGCGTGCTGTCTACCCTGCTCGAGTCCATCTCGCTCTCAGGTCTCACGCTCAACTCTTACATCGATGATCTGCTCAGTTTCCAGACTCTACTCGACCTCAACGAAGGAGTCGTGCCGCCGATCAAACCTTCGCCTACCAACATTGTCAAGCTGGTTGAATCGATCGCAGATGAGGAATGGGACTTTGCTCAGCGTCTCGAGCTTCAATCGCGTTCGGTCGGTTCGTCCACATCGCAGGGGGCCCTTCTAAATGCGCTTGAGCTGATCGTCCAGGCGTCGCCAGAAATACGTGAGCGCGACTGGATTGTCGATGGCAAGTCACTCCAACATATCGTACGTAAGCTCGTCTCGAATGCCCTTCGCTTCACCAAACAAGGCTATGTCGAGATCAGCATCGCGATTGCTGCGCCCATCGCTGGGATTGAAGGCATCGTCCATGCCTTTGACGCCTCATCACAGCTCGAGATTGTCGTGGCAGATACCGGCGTCGGCATGACGGAAGAATTTTGCAAGAACCAGCTCACCACGCCATTCAGTAAGGCTGACTCTTTCCGTGACGGCATCGGTCTCGGCATGGCCATCGTGTCATCAGAGCTGGAGAAGTGTGGCGGAACCTGGTCTGTCGTCTCCGAGGTCAACGTTGGTACGCGAATGTCCGTTCAACTCCCCGTTCAACCGACCAGAACTCAATACCCTCGTGCTCGATCGAGTGAGGTGGATCAGAGCTCGAATGCTTCCAGGCTTGCCGTCGCCAAAGTAGCCTTCCTCGGCTTCGAGACGCGCGGTCTCGACAGGCTGGCTACCGCGATCTTCGATCACTTTGCACCCTTGGGAGGCCTCGAAACGACGCACGATCATGCTGAAGCTGATTGCATCATTATGCCTGAACGCGAGGCGACGAAGCTAGATTCGGGTCCCGAGCCGTTCTTGGCGCACGTCAAGCCAGACGCAAGATTCGTCGTGATCAGCTCGTCCTACCTCACCAAGAAAAAGGGGCTCGAGAAGTTTGACGGAAGGGCGGTCCTGCTTCTATCGACGCCACATGGGCCCACCTCGATGCGACTTATGGAGACCTTCCTGTCAGATCTGGAGCCGATGCAGATTCGCACTGCCGATCCTGCACCCAACACTCTTCAGCACAGGCCCAGCGTCATCGGGACAGAGCTTTTAAACCATGACAAGCATCATCGCAACGGAACTGACTGCTCCAGCCAGTCCGAAAGCGGTCTTAGGCCTCACGATGGTGCTGCCGTTGTTTTGCAAGACACAATTGGATCGTTCAGCGTCAATCCAGCCTGGCAGGGCATGGCGGTCGAAGCAAGCAACAACGAATTTCGCGTGCTCGTGGTCGAAGACAATCCGATCAACATGAAGCTGCTCACCACGCTCTGCAAGCGCCTCAACATCCGCTACGAAGAGGCGTGCGACGGTGCCGAAGCCGTCACCAAGTTCGAGTCATTCCGACCGTCAGTTGTGTTGCTTGACATCTCGCTGCCGGTCCAGGACGGCTTTCAAGCATGCACCCAGATGCGCGCGACGAACCATCCATCCTTCATCGTAGCCGTCACAGCGCTGGGCTCGGAGGAGGACAAGGCGAGAGGCATCGAGGTCTGCGGGATGGACGCGTGGATGACCAAGCCCGTCTCGATGCGACAGCTCAAAGCCGATTTGGAGTTCTGGAAGCGCAACTTTGAGCAGCAGCAGGTGCTCGGTCTGAGGAGGACCAGCTTCTGATTCGCGCGCTGGCGAGTCGACAACATACACACACTTACACACGCACACATATATTGCATACAGTCACCGAGGGAAACATGGGATCACGATTTGGGACACACTCATCTTATACACCGCACAGGATCATGTCGTCACATAGAATCAAGGGAAACGCTTGCATTGAAGTTTGAGTTTGACCTTCGTCCGCGTGCTTGAGCTTGTCACTTGTCGACATCCAACACGATCCTTCCAGCGATCCTTCCATTGATCATGTCCTCGAACACGTTGGGCAGGTCGCTCAACCCCTTGAGCGTGTAGTGCACCTTGACTTTGCCCCGCGAAGCGATCTCGAGCGCCTCGTGTGCATCTTGACGATTGCCCACCGCCGAACCGACGATCTTGTGCGTGCACAGCACCGTCTTGAAGATCGACAGCGGCAGGATCGAGTTGGGCATGCCGACGATCACGAGTGTTCCGCGCGGACGGATGTAGTCCAGCGCAAGCTCGTAGGCGGCGGCACTGGCGGCGGCTACAACGGCGGCGTGCGCACCGATGCCCCCCGTCGCTTTCTTGATGGTGGTCGCCACGTCCGAGGTCGATTTGAAGTCGACGCTGTTGTGACAATGCGAGAAAGATGATGCGTCTTTGTCAGTGACTAGGAAAGGACGACACAGTGTGCGGGGAAGGACCTGCAACTTACAAGACTTCACACCCGAGCTCGAGACTCATCTTCTTCTTATCTTCTCCTGTGTCAATACCGATGACCCGAAGGCCAGCATTCTGAGCATACTGCACGCCTAGATGACCCAATCCGCCGCCCGAACCGGGGATGACGACCCAGTTGCCGGGCTGAAGATGCGCCTCCTTGAGCGCGCGATAGATGGTCACGCCAGCGCAGAGGATCGAAGCGGCTTGGTCGAGCGCGACGTCGTCCGGAATCTTGGTCAGGTAGCGCGCTGTGTGTCGGACGTATTGCTGGAACGTTCCGTCGACCGCATCTGTTCGGCAAGCCCATATCAAGCAATTGAGTTTGTCAGCCTATGCATAAAACGTCTCCTAGGACAGCGGATCGCAACTCACATCCGCTGGGCTTGTACTGCGGGCAATTGATCTCGTGCGACAGTCGGCAGTATTCACAGTTGAGACAGGCATCGGCAATCCACTTGATGCCTACCCTGTCGCCAACTTGCACGTAGTCTTCCGACCCAGGGCCGACGGCTACGACGACTCCAGCGCCCTCGTGGCCGCCGATCAGCGGCAGCTTGGTCGGGGCTGGCCAGTCACCTTGCAGTGCATGCAGGTCTGAATGGCAGACTCCCGTGAACAAGATCTGATGAAGGGACAGCAAACAGTTGAGAATTAGCATTCGTGGACGCTGGAGGCTGCTGCTGAACAAAACACTCACTCTGACCAGCACTTCGCCCGGGCTCAGGTCGGACTGCTTGACATTATCCAGCTCCTTGATGGAGATCTTTTCCGGCCCGCCGTTCTCGTAGAAGATGGCCACGCGGTTGGCGGATGCCAGGTCCAATTGAGTCTCGCGAGGATCTTGCACCATCTTGAGGCTCTTCTTCTTTGCTTGTGAAGGTACTGTCGTCAATAGGGGAAGAAGGTGTGGGGATCCAGTATAGTCGTGGACTCTTGAGTCTATATACAAGTAGCCTTCAGGAAGGCAGGGTTCCGTCGCACGACATCGTTGCGCCTCCCTCACGGAGGAGCCACTTGCCCTCGGCCCCAAGTCCGTGCGCGGACGCAAGGAAGACGTCTTGCACAAGCGAGAGAACAGCCAAGGTGGGAACCTTGTCGGGATTGCTACCCCGCAAAATCGAAGCATGCAGCCTCGGCTGTCAAAATTGTCGCGATAGTGCCCGGTTAACACGGCCACTTTCGTTCCGACGGTGCCCACCCGGCCCTTGCGCTGCAACACACACTGATACACGAGCCATACACCGAGTGTCTGATGCTCCTACGGACTTCGCGGGCCGTCCAGCTCATCAGTTGGGGCCTTCTGTCTACGTTCGTAAGAGCGCATGAACGGCGGTCACAAGACGTTCCCGTCGCAAACGCTGGCGGACCGCGTGATCCAAACTCGGATTGGAGCTGGCGCCATCGCCTTGAGGCTCCCCGAGCGTTCGCTTCTGCGTCTCTTCTCTGTGCACTTCAAAGTGGTAAGACCATGAGGAAGGCGGCTGATGCACGGCTCGTCTCTACCGCCATTCGATAAGCAGCCCTTTCAATTGCATAGTCGCCGCCGACCTCTCCGAGCCTCCTTTCCTCTCGCGGTCGATGCAGGAGGCTTTGACATCAGGAGAGCTGCTGAGTTCTTGCGGGCGATCATCTGCTCAGAGCATGAGTCGAACGGGCATCGTCGAGCAGGCTTCCTCGATCCGGTCTCGGGCGAGGCTTCTGTAGGAGCAGCTGATACTATGATCCGGGTGGTAATGCTGGAGACAAAGAAAAGTCGTCAGACTACAAAAACTACACAAGACAGATGAATTTCTTTTCGCCAATTCGTGTTCATGTTGCGATTTCTCCACTGTCAAGAAATGCATATTTGCTCCGCTGTCTCAATTTTTGGGCACCGTGTCATTTACAGGTCTTGGTAGCTTTTTGACACCGCAATTTGCAGCAAATATTCTTTCCCTTGGTTTTAACAAGTCGACTGCAAGCTTAATCAGCAAAATCTCTGCTAACTTAAACCTACCTTTTCATTCAAACGAGCAGACAATTGCAACGACAAACAATTTGCTCGAGCAAAAATACTGACCCTCTGAGTGAACGAGTGCGACGCTAAGCTTGTGATCACAAAAAATGGATGATCGACACAAGTGTGCGAAGAAATTTTGTTAGCGACACGCGCGTATCGCCTTGCAAGCCCCCTCGCTAGACTAGTTTTGTATTAATCTGTGGCTTTTTTTGCACGCGGACATGTGAGATAGCGTCTTGAGGAAAATGTAAGCAAGTATGCCGACAGAATGAAGAGGCCAACAGATAAGTCGAGCTCACTTTGCTGACCGGCTTCGGTGCAACTCATCGCTATCACGAATGCTCCCGCCCGCAGGCCTTGAGAGCCGGACGATGGGTCTGAGCAGCTTAGCAAGGCTGCTCGGTATCATAGGGCACGATGATGAGCTGTTGCACGATGCTTGGTGGCGCGGATAGGAGCAATACCGTATCACAGAGCAGAGGAAGAGGACTTCGCAGAAGGTAGTTTCAGGCTGCGAAGGTGCGGTCCGTTTGGTCGGTAGACTGACGCGAACATGCATTCAGCCTGACGAAGACAGCCGATAGCGCTGGCCCACAGCGGCGACCAAGAGCGACGTCGAGGCGTACCCGAGACGTTGTGTTGCGTCCTGCTGTGCTACAGAGAGACCGACTCGTCGGAGAAAGGACGCTAGCACCTCCGCCTTGAAGGGTCCAACTTGACCTGTCAAAAGGGTCGAGAAGATCTTGGACTCAGCTTCAGATGTGGAGAGCCGACGGTCGCCGTTGAGTCGAGAAATCTTCCACACCGCAGACGCGCGCCCAATTTTTGGCTACGCACAGATCAGCCAATCAATCATCGACGTATGTTGCCTTCCCGCCATCATCCTTGTTCTCCCCGACACTTGGCAAGCTCGCATAAGCAGAGGCCGAGCAGAAGCGTAGCCAGCTCAGCTTCGAGGAGATCGCATCGCCCAAGATGCTGTACCTCGCGCACGCCTATGAGGCCTCGGCGGTTCTGCAGACCTTGCCTCTCGCATCTTTCCTTCCAACGGGGCCGTGTCTAGCTGTCGTCAAGCACTCGACCGTCGAGTTTCTCTCGCTGGCTACTGGTGTGGAGGAATCCCCGTCTTCGGCGGCAGGACTTCTCGATCTCGTGCAGACCGTATCGCTTCACGCTCGTATCCTCTCTGTCCAGGCTGTGACAGATCCGAGCTCGTCGAGACAGACCCTCCTCGTCCTCACCGATCATTACCGGCCCCGACTCATCAGCCTTGCATCCTCAGTCAATCCCAAGAACGGCGAAGTGATCATCGAAACCACCGCAACATTGGCCCTCGATGAAGTCGCTCGCTCTCCCGCAGAATCTGCGTTGGGCATCTGGACCGAGCCCTTCTCACCCACCACAATCAAGCTTGGTCAGAGAATCGCACTTAGCCACGTATATAAAGGTGTCGCAAAGGTCGTTCCGATGCCAGCTTCCACAGCTTCAACAAACTCGGAAGTAGCAGATGATGCAGATGAGATCATGCACGACGTTTCCAGCACAAAGACGCCCTCTCCTGGTGTGCAGTTCTCGCAGTCCTTCAGCGTCCGACTGCCACACCCCAATCTGCTGTCGTGCGCAGTGCTCAGTCCCATGTCCCAGGCCTCCGTCCCCGCCGTTGCTTTGCTCTCTCAGTCCAGCGTGCCTTCGAAGATTCCTGGCTTCGGCGAGCAATGTCTTCCAGTGCTTTCTTTCCATTCGGTCCACGTGTCCAGCCAGGACTTCTTGCCCATGCCTTGGGGTCCTCCACGAAAGCCTCCTCGCAGCGGAAGGGACGACGACGACGACAAACGCCTTGAGGCTCAGTCCTCCTCTGCTGCCACTCAGGCAAGTCGCGACATCAAGGCCGCCAAGAACGACGATAAATCTTCCGCGCGCAAGAAGCATGGCCCTGCCGCCATGGGCTCCAAAGCGTCCATTGGTGACCTGCGCAAGAGAGAAGAAGATTATGCGAAGACAGACCTCGCTCATTGCCACGTCCCCTTGCCTCACGCTGATGCGGTTGGCGCCCACTACGTACATGCACTTCCTGCTCACGTTGGTGGCGGCGTGCTCGTCTTTTCAGAGAACAGCATCCTCTATGTGCCTCCTCCCACGAATCCTCCCACGTCCACAACTAACAGCGAGTCCGCCGATCCGGCGACGGAAGCCTCAGATGCCAAGGGCAAGAGACGCAAAGCGAGCGAGGGTGGATCCTTCGAGCCTCGAAGGCGTTCCTCCGGCGCCGCTCAGGCACGAACTTCGCCCGCCAAGACAGAGCAAGTAACGACTGCCGCCACTCCAACACCCTCCAACGAGAACGGCAAGCGCAGGCGCTCCTCGGTCAATGTGCCCACGAGCGGCGCAGAGACTCCCTCTAACGCCACGACCTCATCTTCAAGCCGTCCGAGGCTGTTCCGCGTCGGACTCCCACATCCCGTCCAAGTCGTGTCGGTCGTCGACATCGGAGATGCGAGCCCTTCTCAGACTACGGGCACGATCGCCTTCTCCGTTGCCTTCGCATGCCATTCGGGGGCACTCAACGTACTGCGACTCACCATGCCTGACGGCTCCGAAAGTTCGCCTCTTCCCTTGCAACCCAAGTCGATCAGGGTTGAGACGCTTGGACACACGTCCCAGCCTGCTGGTTCACAGGCTCTCTCCTACCTCGGCGACGGCCTCGTCTGCGTGGCAAGCGCAACAGGAGACAGCTGCATCTACAAGATCCAGGAACACAACGCCTCCGACGATGCAGCATCATCGTTGAATGCACAGGTCTTGACACCGCCGTCTTCACCTACAGAGGCAAGACGCAGAAGACCATCGCAGGCCATCGGTGCACCACCTGCCAATGCAGACCTTCCCTCCGGAGGCTCGCTCGGCGTTGTTGAAACATGGCAATGCCTCGGTCCGGTCGTCGATTTCGTGGTGGACGATGGCGCGGGCGGAGACCCTACCTCTTCATCCGGCGCACAGGCTAGAATTGTGACGTGCAGCGGAGCTGGTCCGAGTGGTAGCATTCGCGAGGCTCGAAGCGGTGCGTCCGTCCAGGACGTGACTTCGCTGCCAATCCCCAACGCGCAGCAGATCTGGCCTGTCCATTCTGGCGACGATGCTGCCAAATACTCGATGGGCGTCCTCGTCGCATTTGCCACCTCGACGGCTTATTTGCACTTTGATGCCAACGGCGACCTTGCCGACGCTACCGAACGGCTCGCTGCAGCCGGACCAGATCTGTCCTTGCCTACCATTGCCGCCGCGACGGTGCTCTCCCACAATCAAGGACCTCTACTACTTCGCATCGCCCGAACGGAAGCTTCACTCGTAAGCTTCACCGACGACAACATTACTAGTCTGCACAAGTGGACGCCCCCGGCTGGCGTTGAGGTGACAGCTGCAAGCGCCAATGCGACCGGCCAACTGATTCTCGCTCTGAGCGATAAGACTTTGTTGTACTTCCTTGTCGAAGGCGGGACGCTGGTCCAGAAGACCAAGGCCGAGCTAGAGCACGAGGTTTCGTGTACCGACATCAGCGCGTTGGTTGAAGACAAGGCTGCGCAAATTGTGGCCTGCGGTTTCTGGAAGACGAGAAGCTTTCAGATCTTCTCGCTACCTGACCTTGCCCCCGTCGGCCAGGCTTCGGTCGTGCAGCAGCATTGTTCCGCTGTCCCGCGATCCATCCTGCTGCACCGCTTTGCAAGCAAGCAGTCGCAAAGTCCCTCCGACGGACAAACAAAAGCCTCGCTGAGCAACCGCGACGCCCTCACCCCGCATCTGCTCATCGGTCTCGGAGACGGCACTCTCATCTCGTACAGCTTAAGCCTCCCCACCAAGGATAGCTACAGCAAGACAGTGGGTCTCTTCGATGCCAAGACGGTATCTCTGGGCACGCAAGCACTCAAGCTCGACGCTTTGGAGACCTCGGCTGGCGCCCGTGTGGTGGCAGTCTCCGGCAGCCGCCCGACCCTCGTCTTTGCCGACTCGAAACGCTTCTCGTACAACGCGCTCAAGTACAAGGACCAACGCAGCGTCGCTACCCTGCACGCTGGCCCCGGCAGAGTCTTCGCTGCGTTCGCTTTGTCCGACTCGATCGAACTGGCCTCCATCGGTGCCTTGAGGCAACGTGACATCCGCACCTTCCCCCTTGGCCTGAACCAACCTCTTGCCATTGCGCAATGGGCCAACAGAAAAGTGTTCGCTGTCTGCACGTGGGAGTTCCTTCCTCTGGGGACTGCGACCAGATCCAACGGACCACGAGGAGCAGTGCGCATCCTGGACCACACTACCTTCGAGGTGCTCGACGAGATCCGTCTCGAGCCGGACGAGCGACCGAACTGCATCACCGTGCTGCGCGCCCAAGGACACGAGATGCTGGTCGTCGGGACGGGTTTTGTAACTGATCAGACCCACGAGACTACTCACGGACGCCTTGTTGGCTTCGACGTTTCGTCCGGCTCCTCACGCACCAAGGAAGAGCGAGGAAGGCTCCGCAAGTTCTTCGAGCATGACGAGAAGGGCAACGTATACAGCGTGCAGTCCATCAACAATCGTCTCGCGGCTGCCGTCAATTCCGAGGTCAAGATCTACAGTGTCGTCGATCCGCGTCCGAGCGATGTCCCGGCGCCTCGCATCAAGGTGCGACAGCGAGGCAGTTGGGCTTCCTCGTTCATTGCCTGCAATCTGTCGGTAATCGAGCCGGATCGAATCGTGGTCGGAGATGCGCTTCGATCGATGAATGTGCTCCACGTGCATCCATACACGGCCAGGCTCACCGAGATCGCGAGGGACTGCGATCCGTTCTGGTCGACCGCCACAGAGCTGCTAGACGACGAAAGCCAGACGTACATCGGTGCAGACATCAGCTTCAACCTGTACACGACGCAGAGGGTGCCGCTTAGCGAGGAAGTTAAAGCGCGCATTCGCCGCGCTCGCGAGCAGGAGATGGAACGGTCGGTCAACGCTGTGGATCCTCGCACAACCAGAGATCCTAACGAGGTCGATCGATACGCTCATGTCATGCAGCGCAACGCAGTCTGGCATTATGGTGATATGATCAACAAATTCTGCAGGCGTAAGTACTTTCCCGCATCAGCCGCATCGCAATCGCTCGGCCCATCCGCTGACATGCGCTCTCTCTCTCGCTCTTCTTACTTTTTCAGGATCGCTCGTCCCAGACCCGGGGCCAAACGCAGCAGTGCGACCACGACTCTTGTTCTGCACAGCCGCCGGCGCAATTGGCGTCATCGCGCACGTTCGAGACGATGAGGCCCGTCTGCTCGCCAAGGTCGAACGCAACATTCTCTCGCTCATCGCATCGACTTCAGCTGCAGCCTCAGCCGGCGTCGTGGGCAACATCGCACACTCGGACTGGCGCACTCTTCGAACGGACCACCGAGTTCAGGCGCCGGCCGGCTTCCTCGACGCCAACGTCTTGCAGAAGTTTGTCGATGGAAGGCTGGACCGTCAGGAGCGTGACAAGGTGGTAACTGGTCCAAACTCGGAGGTGGAAGCGCTGGGAGTGGAGAGAGAGGTGGTTGAGCAGCTCATTGAGGCTTTGAGCCAGGTTTGTTGATGTCGTCCGACAAGGGTCACAGACACGCAATCTCACTTTCAGTCTCTCTTGATCGACACGCAGTGTGACGTTTGATTGTGTTCGGACAGCAAACGATGGTCTGACCACAAAGTCGTTCCATCCGGAGTGCGATTGCTCTTGCAAAAAAGCTCACAAAACAGCAGCAGGAGTGACGTACACATGACCCAGACCATCGAGCGAGACTGTCTCGCGACCACCCGACATACTCTGGTACTGCATCTGCAGCGACGGAATAGCATGGTATCCGGGAGACAGGCATCGAAGACCCATCGCGATCGTTCTGCTCTGAGAGGGCAGGATTGAGGCCTGGAGGCTGAGATGGTCCTGAACGGGGATGAGGCCATTGAGCGTTTCGGCTTGTGAAGTGAGCAAGGAAGATTTGAGACGGGCTGAGTCTGCGTCCATCAATCTGCCCTTGACGAGGCCTGCTGTTGTGTCCATTGAATCTCTGTTTCCCGCCTTTGCCAAGTCGTGACTGGTCAAGCATGGCGACGGTTGCGCCCAGGACAAGGTCACGCCTGCGATCGCATCCGCCTCATCATCGACGATGGACGCGCCAGACTTGTAGAGGATGGCGAGATCGACCATGACTGTGTCGCCCGTTTGGAATCGCACCGCTCGCTCATCTGCGGTCGACACGAGGATCGATGTGGGATGCAGCGTTTTCGCGCCCGTCGACACAGATGGCCGCGCAACACCGTCCTCGCCTAGACTGGATTCGAACTTGACTTCTCCCTCTGCAGCCACGTCTCTGGTATTGGTACCAGCACGACTGACGGTCGAAAGAACGACAAGGCCTCCTCCAGCCGCCTCCCTGATCCCGGTCGAGGTGGACATCCATGGCCGGATGCTCTTTGTCGCAGAGTGCGAAGCCGTGCGAGTGCGGGTAGCTCTTGCCTTGGCCTTGTCCAAGAAGCTCGTTGATGTCTGCGGGTGCACCAGTTCTGAGCTTGGAGCTGCAATTGTTGCGGTAGACACATGACGAGCTGAGCTTTCTCGGAGTGGCGTAGGGAATCCTAATCCCAGTTGACCTGATTTTGGCGTCCGCGTGATGTCTGCTTGAGTATAAGTCGATCGATTGGCACCGAGCGCAGCTGCTCGCAACGATGATGCAGAGTACTGCGCGTTGCCCGCCACTGGGCCGGCAGCAGACTGATCCAAACTGCCCATAGACGGCCCTTTGGCGATGTAGTCCCGCTTCGCAGCATCCGACAAAACCGGTGCGAGATCGAGAGCGCAGTTCCACTGCGAATCAAAGTCAGCCAATTGCTCCTGCTCCCCCTGAGGCCGGCCAGAGACGGTGATGGTGACGTTCCTTGCACCGGCCGCGCGATTGTCCAGTGCTCCAGCACGACCGTTGTGCTGCGCATGGTCCGCTTCGGCCGAAACATAGAAAAGCATGTTGTGCTGGCTGCCGCGCGTCAACTGTATTGGCAGTACCATTGCCATGGGCTGCAATGGTTTCGCGAGGATCTGATGCGAATCCTGCTGATCCGCTCCACCCTTCTCGATCTTGATATGGATGTCGTTGACGACAAAGCTCGACTCGGACTCCATGGGGTTCTCGAGCTCGACGCTGAGCACCAATCTGGTGCTCTCGAGCTCCGCCGAGGGCTGATGCGATGACGGGCGACGGTGAACATGGGGGTCGTATTGTGTGACGAGCGTACGCATGCGCACGTTGAGCCCGGTCTTGAGGGGTAGGATCTGTCTGGTGCTTCGTTTGTAGATCTGCAGGCCTGGCGATTGCTGCTGCTCTTCCTCCAACTGCGATCTGCTCGTGCCCTGCGACGATGGAATTGGGGTCAGATTGTGACCAGAAGCCGGCCTCGATGCGAAAGAAGCAAGGTCGCCATTGCTGCTCGGACGGGACGTCAATTTGGTGCGTGTTGCGTCGCCGGTTAGGGCCTCGCTTCTCCGGCTCTGTATTGCGTGAAGAGCGATTGAGCCCGAGCGAGGAGTGATGACGCTATTGTTGCCGCCAATGACGTCCTTGGATAGGTGTGCGAGGTAGGAGCCGAGACCATTGGGACCGTCGAGGCCGAGCGCGGAAGAGGCTTTTGCTCTGGCTTGACTCTGAAGCGGCGATTCGTCAGGATACACAGGACCTTCGTGCAGAGGAGTGAGGAGCGAGTGCGCGAAGCCAGAGCGAACGAACGCCTTGGAAGATGGTGCAGGAATGAAGTGGTCCAACAGCGCATAGTCGAGGCGCAACGTGAGCGCAGCAGTGACGGAGAGCAGGGGCTGAAAAGGCGTTGCCAAAAAGTTGATGGGCACACGACAATGCCAATGAACGCTCCAGTGCTGCGCCTCGTGCGTGAGATAAGCACGATGCGATGAGCCAGCCGCCGTGGGTGTTGAGGTTTTCGGCTCATCTTTCAATGTGCGATGGGGCTTAGGCGGCTGGTTGCCAGCCCAAGCGTTGGAGAAGGCACGGACGGAGGCATGGTGTGTCTGATTTGGGTCGGCATGAGGGTTATGCGATGGCAAAAGCTGGAGGGATTCAAACTGACGATGAACGCTAGAGAGAGGCTCGTATGGATTGGTAGACCTGTTGAGGCGTGTGGAGGATGATGACTGGTGGGGTACGTAGTCGGTGAGAAGGTTGACATGGATGCAGGCGAGGAGTGCGTTGAGGTGCGGCGGGATACTCTGGTGGCCGAGGGATGCGGTCACTGGCAGAGCAGGCAGCGGCAGCGCTTGTGAGTAGACAGCACCTTGCGCATATGAGGAGGAGGCTATGGGTAGTAGCGGATCCGAAGGTAGTGTCAAGATGGCCTCCACGTTGAGCACTTCGTCGAAGAAGACGACCGATCTGGGGGTCGAGGGCGAGGAAGAAGGAATCCTGAGCGAAAGACGACCTTTGGAGAAGAGCTCAGCCAGATCAGCTGCTGCCAGAGACGGCATCGCAGCCAATGAGAGCTGCGAATTGAGCTGCTATTAAGCTTGCAGTTGGGGTCAGTGGAGGTAGGGAACAAAGGATGTTGTCCAACACTTGTGTTTAACGTTTGGAAAGAGTGGTCTGAGCGCCAAGGAAAATTCGACCACTGTTAGGGCGTCGAACCGCTGTGACCCCCGGATTTCAAGAGCCGGTTGAGGCGAGGATGTAAATCATGCACAGGCGAGTCATGTCGAAGCTCGACTTGTTGCTTGCCTTCGCTCGACATTGTTTCCAGCCCACCTCATATCGGACTCTGTCTATCAACATGTCGACATCTTCGAACGGCCGAATCGCTACCAACCCATCCACCAAGGTGGACTGGGACAAGCTCGGATTCAAGGAGCGCGATGTCAACGGTCTGGTGCGCGTCACCTACAAGGATGGCAAATGGGGCTCACTCGAAATCTCCAAGGACAGCCACCTGAATGTGCATGCAGCTGCGCCCTGTCTCAACTACGGACAGCAGGCATTCGAGGGCATCAAGGCGTTCCGAAGCTCCACCGGCTCGGTGCGAGTGTTCCGACCTCAGGAGAACTGGCGTCGAATGAACCTGAGTGCTCGAATGGCATCCATGCCTGAGCTGCCGCAGGAGCTTTTCTTGGAAGCCATCAAGGTGGCCGTCGCGCTCAACCTCGAATATGTTCCTCCTTACAAGAAGAATGCTTCGGGAGGTGCGCTCTACATCCGACCTCTTTTGCTCGCTACTGGACCCATGCTTCTGCTGGGCAGCCCAGACGAGTTCACGTTCTTGGTGTGGGTGACACCCGTGGGCTCGCTGTATGGCAGCGGTGCCGAGATTCCTGCCGTGGACGGATTTGTGCTCGACACATTCGACCGGACCGCTCCCATGGGTACGGGTCACACCAAGCTTGGTGGCAACTACGCGCCTGTGTTTGGTCCCACGGCTGCAGCCAAGAAGCAGGGCTACCCTATCACGCTTCATCTCGACTCGGCTTCTCACACGTACGTCGACGAGTTCTCCACTTCGAACGCGCTCGGCGTGCAAAAGGAGGGTGATCAGATCACACTTGTGGTTCCTGACAGCACGTCGATTCTTCGATCGGTGACCAAGCTCAGCGTGCTCGATATCGCGGAAAAGCTGTGCGGCTGGAAGGTGGACCTGCGCCAGGTAGCATTTGAGGAGCTCAAGCAGAACAAGTTTGCCGAGTTCATGGCGGCAGGTACCGCCGCGGGCATCACACCGGTGCGATCCATGTCTTACAACTCGCACAAGCCCGAGCTCAAGCACGAAAAGCTCTCAGCTGAGGGCCCCAAGTACACGTTCCCTTCGGACAACAAGGTGGTCCGCATCGACTTTGGAGACGGCAAGACTGCGGGTGAATGTGCCCAGAGGTTGTTCGACGAGTGTAAGTATGACCCAAGCGAAGCAAAGATTGTCGCTGCCAAATGCAATCGATAGCTGACCTCAACTCTAACTTTTGCGCAACAGTGACTTCTTACCAGTGCGGCGACCAGCCAGACAAGTTTGGGTGGCTCTGGCCAGAGGAGGGGATCGTTGCCGAGGATGCTAACCTCGATCGTTAAGCTTGGGTGTCGTCTAGGACAGTATTCGCTTTTGCATTCGAACCTAAGATATCATATCTCGATCTCGATCTTGTGGGATGCGAACTCGAAAGTCTGAGTCGTCAGAGGGTCGAGTCTTGCACGGAGAGGCTGAGAGTTGTCGTCTCGACACCGAAGAATCTGGCTATGTTAGACCTCAAATTCGCACGTGATGGATCTGGTAAATGGATTGTCTGGCCAAGCGCCCCTGCGCCTGTGCCACGCCTGACACTTTTTGGATTGTGCGCCTGGACCAACTGCTGCCGAATTGCTGGCTGCAGTCGCCTCACTTTCAAGTCAGCAGCGGGCGCTGTTCAACGCAGTCAGTCATACCTTGATATCGAGCATTCTTCCTTACCGTCACATTCTCACGCTTGTCACTCCTTTCGTCGCCGTCACCAGCGTCACATTGCTCAACTCGTGTACAGCTGTGCGACAGACTGCATTCAGCCAACTCAGCACCCACTCAGCAGAGTCGCCTTGGACGCATCACCCACACAACCTTCCCTCCACCTTCTCGCCTCTCGTTGGCGAGCGCTATACCTCGCCCACCATGGAGATGATCTCTTTCAACATGGACCACGGCTTTCTCGAAGGCATCGTCCGTGGCTACCGCACATCCCTCCTCACGTCCAACAACTACTCCTCCTTGACACAGTGCGAGACGCTCGACGACTTCAAGATGCAGCTCCAGGCCACCGACTACGGCAACTTTCTTCAGAACGAGCCGAGCCCCATTTCCACATCTACCATCGCCGAGAAGGCGACACGCAAGCTCGTCTCCGAATTTGAGTACCTGCGCACCAACGCCACTCAACCCTTGAGCAAGTTCCTCGACTACATGACGTACGCCTACATGATCGACAATGTGATCCTGCTCATCACGGGCACGCTGCACGAGCGAGACACACACGAGCTGCTCGAGCGCTGCCACCCACTCGGCGTCTTCGAGACCATGCCCGCTTTGTGTGTCGCCTCCACCGTCGAAGAGCTCTACGACTCGGTTCTTGTCGAGACCCCTCTGGCTCCCTACTTCCGCGACTGCATCTCCAAATCCGACCTCGACGACCTCAACATCGAGATCATCCGCAACACGCTCTACAAGGCCTACCTCGAGGATTTCTACGGATTCTGCAAGTCGCTCGGCGGCACCACGGCAGAGACCATGTGCGAGCTCCTCTCGTTCGAAGCCGACCGTCGCACCATCAACATCACCATCAACTCGTTCGGCACCTCGCTCTCCAAAGAGGACCGCGCGCGTCTTTTCCCCAGCATCGGCAAGCTTTTCCCGGCTGGAAACAACGTTCTCGCCAAAGCCGACGAGCTGGACCAAGTCAAGAGCGTTTGCGATAACATCCCTGAATACCGCTCTTTCTTCGACTCGTCAGCAGCATCAGGTGGCGGTCAACCTTCCGGCGGCGGTGGATCGAGCGGCGAGGCAAACGCAGACATGCTCGAGGACAAGATGTTCAAGCTCGAGGTGCAGCTCAACCGCATCCTCACCATCACCCAGTTCCAATTCGGTGTCTTCTACGCTTGGTTGAAGCTCAAGGAGCAGGAGATCAGGAGCATCACCTGGATCGCAGAGTGCATCGCCCAGAATGCCAGGGATAGGATCTCGGATTTCATCCCGCCTTTGTAGTCCGTTGTGCATAGAATTTGGTCATGTCTATTGGAGTCCCGTTTGCAGAGTTCAGTTCGGAAGGTTTGGTCTGTGTCTGCTGACCGACGACGTAGATGCACAAGCTCGAGCGCAGCGCACGACCGATGCTTGCTCCCGAGGGGCGACACACTGAAGTCTCATACCCGCGCACAAGCTCATGAGATCTGAGCAAAACCCATTGCTTGCACTGTCTGAGCTCGCATCAAAGCGGAATATCCACCCCGTCCAAGATGGCCAACCAGTCCTGCGTGTCCAACAGCATCGGCACGTTGGCGAGCACATCGCCACCACCCGCGCCCGCGGCCTTGCCACCGGCCGGAGTGGGCGGGAAGAACGCTTTGTCCCAGTCCCATCCTATCCCTGCGGCTGTTTCTGCCGGCGCGGCACTGGTAGTTGTAGAGCGGACTGACTCCTGCTGCTGCTGCTGGTATGCGGGTGTGGGGGAGAACGAGGGCAGGGGGGCGGGGTTCCCCGCTGCGAAACCTTGAGTATATGCCGACCCAGGGTTGCGCGTCCCGGCACTCGTATAGTCAACAGCGTTGGCCAAATCATGCAAGCTGGGACTGTTCCTCTGTCCATCCAGCTTCTCCCTCCCCAACAGGCCATCTTTCCTTCTTGCCCCACCACCATAACCGCCCCTACCGGCGCTGCTGGGGCTAGCAGCGGGCCCAGTCGCCGGACTCGTCCCCGTACTCCCACTGCTCGGCGAGCTCTTCCCTATACTCGGCGCCATCACGAACGCCGTCAGATCGCGCTGGCTCTCAAACCTCCCCCCCAGTCCACCCATCTCCCCGCTCGTGGCCGGCAAACTCTTCTGCTTCTGTCCGAGCTTGTCTAGCACCCGATCCCGAAGTTCCGCCCGCCCATTGAGCAGTGCGTGGATGAGTTTGGTATTGAACCCCGCCGTTTGATCGCCTCGCTCCGCGAGCTTGCTGAACAGCGACGCGATCTCGACGAGTTTGGACGAGAACCAGTCGAGGTCGACCGAGGATGAGGCGGGTAAGCGCGTCGAGTTTGCGTCTGCGGGTTTGGGAGTGGAGAGCTTGTTGAAGAAGTGCTTGCTCTGCATGCGGGATGGGGCAAAGTCGGACCCGCGATCGGGTTCGTCTTCCTCCTGCCGTGCTCCTGGTTGCAATTCGCCGGTTTTACCTGCAGCTGCGGACGCCGCAGCGCTAGGTTCCTGCCCCAGAATGGGAACACTCAGCACAGTGCAGGCCAAAAACAGATGGCGACTGATCCAACTCGAGCTGAACGGGACATACGGACTGCTCGCCATCATCCAGATGCTCGGCAGCAACTCGATGAGCCGTCGCGCCAGGTTCAACGCGTAGTATCGACTCGTCACGTCCGGCACCCAGGGGAGGAACATGAGGTTGCTCGTCACCAAGCAGCGCAAGGATAGCCAGGAGGAGGTCATGATGAGCGCATCGGCGAATTCGCGATGCAGCTGGTTGATGTGTGCGTCGCTGACGTCGAGGTGCTGGTTGCGCTCGAGGATGTCGGGCAGGTCGGCGAGGATGGACGAGTGGGACCGACCGCCGAGGTGAGGTCGCGGCTGCGTCGGATCGTACATGCCGCAGAGACCGCGGTCGATGTCGAGGATGCGTTGAACGGCTTCTTGATCTCGCGTGCGTTGGGTGGACCAGTCGCCCGGCTTGCGTGTCGTCAACGCCGTCAGTTGGGCAGGCAGCAATCGGATCTTCGATACGAAGCGCGAAAAGTCGAGCGAGACCTCCTCGCTGTCCCGCAGGTAGCCGGGCGTAGGCAGTGGTAGCACTTCAGCCTCCTCGTCGATCATGGGCGTCCGAGCCGCATACAGGCAGCTCCACCTCTCGATGATGACCAGCTGAGCCCCGATTCGCCTCCTCATCTGCACCACCTCGTCGTCGGTCAACTCCGGGTCGTCAATGTGGAACAAATCGGATGCTTTGGCTGCCGATTCGTCGTACAAGTTGATGCGTAGCGCTCGGCGTAGAGACTCGCCGACTAGATGGTACGACGTCTCGGTCATGCCGAGCAGCGCGGAGATGCGAACGGCGAGCGTCTCGAATCCGAACCTGTCGAGCGAGGCGTCTGCGATCGAGTCGATGTAGTGCAGCCAGGGCTGGGGTCCGACTTCGGCGTTGCTGTAGATGGCGCCGCATCGACCGAGTGCGAGAGCGCTGGTGACCCACTGATCGCGCTGCTCCTCCATGCCGCGTGTCAGCTCGAGCTCCTCCTCTCGACGCTGCGGGATCATGAACGACGTCGAGGCGAGACAGAGGAGCAAGCTGGCCACCATGGGACGCGAGATGCCCGGTTCGTACAATTCCGAGTCTGCATCCGCCCAGGCAGGCACCGCTGGAGGTGTGGTACTCGTGAGCCGCATCCACGCTCGCCAGAGCTGCTTTTCTTGCACGGGGATCATGAGGTACACCATATCGCGAAGGAAGTACTCGAGGATGCGTTCGACATCGCGTTTTGGTGGGAAGAGATGCGCGACATCCGCCCAGACCAGTCGATCGTTGGTGGTCAGCAGTACGCCCGGCGGTGATGCTGCGTGGTCGTGGTAGTAGTATGACGAGGATGAGCTGGATGGCGTTTGCTTCTGCGATGGTGCAGCTGGGAGGATGGATGCTTCGAGCTGATCGATGGTCCTGCGCAGCATGGCGATATGCTCCTGGACTGCGGTTGTCTGGTCGTGCTGGAGTGATGGAGATAGCACGGCTGCGGATGTGGACGGCAAGGACTGCCTTGAACTCGATGTCGCTATCGCCTTGGTGGTGGATTTGGCGTTGCTGATCCTGGCCTTCTTAGGTGGTCTATCGTGCTCCGTCGCCATCTCGGACGTAGTCGGTGAGTCGGCGCCATCGTGCTCATCTATGTAGCATTTATCCTGCGTGCCTCTGAGATGGCAGCTCGCGCACGGTTTGACTCGATCGCATTTGGTCTTGCGCTGCTTGCATGGTTGGCAATTGTAGCGATACGCTGCCACCTGCAGCCCTCTTGGTTTGTCCGCCATTGTGGAGCGTTGTGTGCTCAAGGCTATCGATCGACGATGCCTGTGATTGCTGACGAGGCAGCGATGGTCGAAGGGTGAAACGTAGGAATTCCGAGAATGATAGTGATGATGGTGAGCAAGAAGTCGTGATTGCGATTGTGTTACGTTGAAGTTAGCTAAAAATGTCGCCTTCACTCCACCCGCGGAATTGGCGCGGCGCACTGAGCACATTTCCAACGCGAATGCTCCTCGCACCTCGACTCCCACTCCGTCCGCTGTGACCGCTTCCTTGGACGCCAACCCACTTCGTGACTCGAATGTGAGACGCAGTTTGGGCTCGTGCTGAGATTCGCGCAGCTGGCGTTGCCATGTTCGATGCGTCTTTGCTTGTGCGATAGGTCATGTGTTTGCGTTGGGATGGGAATGATAAAGTACAAATGTTATTGGTATGCAAAATGCGAGCAGAATGTCGACGTAAGACGTCGTCCGCGATGATAATGATGATAATGATGATGAGGAGGGCGGCTTCGCACTTCTACTTGCGCTTCTTGACGAACAGGGCGTTGAGCGCAGCATTCGACGGTTTTGGCGGGCTCGCTGGTCTCTTCGGCAGAGCAGCAAGTCCACGAGGGCTTCCGTCGCCCATACCATTGCGATTCGGCAAGCCGTTCGGCGGACGAGCTCTGGGACTCATGCCCGTGGGAGTCACCGGCTTCTTTGCAAGGCCTGTTGGCACTCCCTGCGGACTCTGTCGCGTCGGATCGCGAAGTTGGCCCGCGGGCAGACTATCGGCTGGGTTACGGGGTCGGGAAGGTCGCATCTGCGCATCACTGCCATTTGTAAGGACCTTGACTCGTCCGTTGGCCACGGCGCCACCTCCAGCTGCTTTGAAAGGCTGCGAGACCTGTGCTTGCGACTTGCTGCGATCCCCGCTTTCGTCAGATACTCGAGGTTTCTTGGGTAAGATCTTTGGGTCCTCCACCACGATGGCCTTGCGCTTCTTCTCAGCCGTCTCGCCCTTTCCGACCCGCAGACCGTCAGGGCTCTGCACTGGTTTGCGCAATGGCGCGGCATTCGTGCTAGGAGGCGGAGGCGCGTACGAAGTCGACGTCGAAGTAGCCGACGTCGGCGGCGCCATGGACGGGGGTCTGGCAGGGGGCGGACCGGGTGGTGGCGCGGCTTTCGGATGAGTGGCACCATTGGCTGGAGCAGCATTGGCGATCGAGGGCCGTTTCTGCTCAATGGTTGCGTGGTTCTTGGCCAGAGTGCGGTCGCCTTTCTGCAGCATCGCCACCGTGATCGGCTGCAATGCCCCCTGCTGCTCGGCAGTGGCGACAAGCCTCTCCCAGATCGCATCGCCGCGACGAAGATGCTCGGCGTTGCCAACGACAAACAAGTTGCTCTTGGCACGCGTCACAGCGACGTTCAGACGTCGACGGTCGCCCAAGAAACCGATGCTCGAGGGTTTGGATGCTGAACGGACACAGCTGAGGATGATGATGTCCTTTTCCTGACCTTGGAATCCGTCGACCGTATTGAAGTCGATGCGATCGGTGATGTCGATACCGTAGCGCTGCTGGAAGACGCGCTTGAGCTCAAAGACCTGCGCTTTGTACATGGTCACAACGCCGATTCTGAAGTCGAAGTTCTCCCGCGGGTTGTCGGTCCTTAGCCGCTCGTACAGTGCCAACGCGACGTTCGCCTCTTCCTTGTTGATGATCGAATGCATTCGACCGGGCGACTCCAGCCCCTTCGTCGAGAGAAATTTGAACGGCCGTGTGAGTTCGAACTTGTGCCACGGTTGAAGCGTCAGCTCGGCCATGTTGGGCCCGTCTTGCAATTTCGAGTCGTAGAACGCCTTGGACGGGAACACCGAGATCTCTGGATGCATTCGGTACTGAATGCTGAGCAGGTGCACAGCTTGAGGTGATCGTTCGAACATCCTCACAAACAGCGACTGCGAGTAGCCGAGCTTGTCCGCTTCCTGCGAGATCACGGTGGGAGGCAGCTGATTAGGATCACCGACCATGATGCACTGCTTGCAACCGTAGCGGAGCGGAATGATGCTGCTCAATTCTACCGCCTGCGCAGCCTCATCGATCACCACGGTCTCAAAGTCGAATGCAACGCCACTCAGCATCTCGTGACCTGCGCCAGAAAGCGTCGTGCAGATGACATCGGCATCGCCCAAGATCTCCATCCTGGCGCGTCTCCGGTCCGCTTCTCGCTGTCGATGCTGGCTCTGCTGCTTGTCCTTGGCTTCGTCGAGCTTGGCCATGACTCCAAGCCTCTTGGCGGACAAATTGCGGATCTCGGCCTCGAGGTGGGAGACCGTAGCCTGAATACCAGCGGCTCTAGCTTCGGACAGCTCCATCTGCTTTTGCTCTCGTTGCGTCTTGAGGTTGAGGATCTCTGCATGCAAGGCGCTTGGATCGGCCGAGCTGCCCCCGTTGCGGTTGTTGTCAAAGACACTGCCGCCTTCCAGCCGCTGCTCGATCAGATAGTCGAGCGAGATGTCCTTGACACTGACGTTCATAGTATCTTCTCTGCCAACTCGCACGACTTTGGGGTGGAACATTTTGCCATCGGCTAGACGCATGCCGGCTCTAGCTCGTTTGGCCACCTCATCGATGGCAGCGTTACTCGGGGCGCAGAGCAAGATCTTTTTCGTGGCGCCCACCTTGCCTTGCGTCTTTCCGGCTTGCACGGACGTCGAAGGGCCCTTGCGGTTCGAGACAAAGGCGCCGATCAGCGCACAGATGGTCTTGGTCTTACCAGTACCGGGCGGACCTTGGATGAGCGAAAAGCCTTCCGTGGCGAGAGAGCCCAAGATGGCGCGAGCTTGCGGCTCGTTGACCTGATAGCCTTGCATGGTCTTCTTGACCTCGTCCGCGGCAAGCGTCACTTTGGGAGCGACCCGAGCGCGGATGACGTCGCTGAACAAGTCATAGTGAGGCGCTGCCATCAGAGCTGCAAACTCACGATGCAGAGTCGTCAATGAGAAGAGCTTCTTGAGCTCCCACTTGGATCGGTTGACCAACGCCGTACTGGCTCCTTGACGATCCTCCGACAGGCAGCACCGCAACGTCATTTGGTGGCCTTGCGGATGACGCTTGAAGGCTTCGACCTTGGCAAGTACAATCTTGGGCTGCTTGCCCGAAATGGCGGGCGTCCTTTCCTTGAGGCGGACGATGTCGGTGTCGTTGAAAAACTCCTTGGACGGCAGCGAATCTGGCGGGATGGTGACGTTGACGTCTACGAATGCGTCGACGGTGGATCGACCCGCTACCTCGAGGGGGATGCTGGATGCGTTGGACGATTCCGCTTCCTCTTTGGCCTGTTGGAATTGCGCCCAGCATTCGAGCAAGAGGAGAGGACCGAGGACGGAGCCGTAGTCGTTAGCGTTGCTGAAGTGGGGCTGGATGCGTCGGTACTCAGGAGCCTTGCCAGCCATCGCTGGAGGACGATTGCCCTCGTGAGCGTAGTTCCACACCAGGATGCTTCGATGCAAAGCGGAAAAGTCAGGAGGGCTGCGTAAGATGCGCTTGCGTTCGGCATCGGCGCGTTCACGCCGAGCGCGCTCCAGATGATAGTCCTCCTTGACGACGATCTGTCGCCGCTGCGGCTGGTTGATCTTGGGCACGCGAGGCCGGTCCACCTTACCACGAAGCGCAGCCAGTCCTTTCGCCTCGCTTTCCTCGTCGCTCGAGTCGGACGAAGATGAGGATGAGCCCGTAGAATCGCTGTCAGTCGCTCCTGCTTTCCTCGCTGCTGCTGCCTTTCCTGCCTCGGTGGTCGGACCGGGCATCTTGTTGATGAGCGCACCTGTGACCGAGCTGACGGCCGCAGGTGCTTTGACGGTGACGTCGTCCTCATGGTTGCGACCCCATCGAGCATCGCCATTGCGTACATTGGCATTCTGCGGTTTCCAAGAGCGATTCGCTCCACCGAGCTCTTGTCGTAGTTGAGCCAACTTGCCTGTGCTCGCCTTTGGAAGCCTCGAGGCAGCTGATGAAGAGCCGGCAGATGGGTAGGCGCCTCGTGCCGAGGCGCCGCGATACGCATTGATCGGGGCGGAAGGCACAGACGCGGGCTGTGCTTTCGGGCGCGTAAAGTCGAGCGTGATGGGTTTCTTGGCCGTTGTCGGAGAGGAATCGTCCTTGTCGACGTCGATGATCTGGCTGGGATCCACTTTGCCAAAGCTGAGCTTGGACTGCTTGAGCTTGTTGCGGCGTCGTTGCTCTTGGCTGTTGCTGATCATACCAAAGTTGCCGACACCCGCCCACCAGTGCGAGTTGTCGCTCTCCTCTTTCGGTCGCGTGGAAGTCGCTGCAGACGCAGACGACGTCTTGGTACTGCCAGAGGAAAATCCATCTGCGCGTTTGGTCGATGCGGCTGGCAGACCAGGAGTGGATGTGCTGGCGGTCGACTGGGTCGTCTTCACGTCCGAGGCTGCGCTGGCCGCGTCGTCATCCTCGTCACTGATCTCGATGACGCCTGCGTTTGGATCGAGGCGCACCTTCAGATCAGCAAGCTCGTCGAGGGACAAGAGCGTGTGTCGAACGGCGGCATCCTTGATGCCCATCTGCTCGTTGATGAAGTTGAGCATCTTGGTCTTCGACTTGGCAGGGAGGTCATACTCGACACCGAATTGATCGAGCGCCTTGAGGATGAAGGATTGCGTTTCGCGCAGGATCTCCTCGTCGTTCATGCGCAGCCAGCTTGTAGCCGATTCGATGGGCAGGGCGAGCGCATGCACCATCATCTCTTCTTCGGCTGGCTGCAGATCCTCGGCGTCTGCGTCGCCGCTGGACTTGCCTCTCCACCGAGCTGGCGCTTCGGCGGCCCTCCGCACGACGTGACGAAAGACGGCAAGGGCATCGACCATCTCGGTGGCAAAGATGGTGACATCTCGGAACCACGCCACCATCTCCTCTCGAGGTAAGAGTGTCGACCAAGCAGGCGTTCGTTTGAAGATGGACGAGACACTTTCGCACATGAGACGCCAGATGGTCGGAGCCTTGAGCGCCACAGCTTGCAGGGTGGAGCGGTCTTCGATGAGAGTCCACGACGTTCCGGGACGCAAGAGACCATCGGTGCTACCGGCAAGCACATTGACGATGTCGGCGAAACTTCGCACCATCCACTTGGCCAGCTCGTTGGCCTCGATGAGGCGGCCGGTGACGTTGACAAACTGCTGGAGGTAGTCTGCGAGAGCTCGGAAGGACGAGGTATGGTTGATCTGGAACAGGATGCGGAAGCAGTCGGCTCGACTCTCGACAGTGCTGAATGCTTGACGCAGCAGATTTTGGGCAGGTCGGTAGATGTCGGGATCGGGGCAGAGATTGAGGAGCAGTAGGCTGTAGGCGTCTGCGGTGCACAGCTGCTGTACTTCGTCTTCACGAGCGAGCTCGCCGTAGTCAGCGAGTTGCTCTGCAAAGTCGGATCGACGCATCGCTCTAAAGGCACTTTGCACGCTGGCAACCGACTGTCGAACCCGCGTGAGGTACGCATCGTAGGCGGGCGTGGTGCCTTTAGAAGGCGGCTTGAGAACATGCGTCTGCAGCGATGGCTGGGTGCACACGGCGATGCGAGCGAGAGCGCCAAGGAGGATGCTGATGCCTTCGGTCGAAGTGGCGACGGATGTGACGCTGTAGACCTCCTTCCACAGCATGGCGCAGATCTCGACAGTAGGGTAGTCTTGACGTGCGATCTCTTGGTAGAAGACGTCGGGCGACACGAGCTGCTTGTTGTCGCGCTGAGCGCGTGATCGCTCTTTCGATTTGCTGTTGTTGTTATGAGAAAGAGACGAAAGCTTGGTCAAGGCACGCATGAGCGTCTTGGCGTCTCGCTCGAAAGCTTGAGCAATAAGGTCGCGCGCGGCTCGACGTGTGGCCTCGTCTGACTTGCTGTCTTTGGCCAAAGCGATCTGTGAAATGGGTGCGGCGTAGAGGTCGACCACCTGTCTGCTATTTGCCTCGTCGGAATGATTGAGGACAAGATCGATCGCCTCGGTGAAGGCGACAGCTCGGCACTCGTTGGGAACGTGGCCTTGCTGCATGCGCTCGAAGAGGAAATTAGCAAGGCGCTTGATGGCCTCGCTGAACAGCTTGCCGCCGTGCGACTGAAGCGTGTCGAGATGCGGACGCATCCAGCCAAAGAAGAGGCCCCGTTCGCGTGGATTCGAGACGGACTGAGGCGATTCAAAGAGCGGCTTGGTGAAGTAGGGATTGTCAAGGATGCCAGAGAGAATGACGGTGGGATACTCGTCGTCCTTGTCCGAGCTGGACGCTGTGGTGGATATGCTGCTGTTCCATATGGCTGGCCCTCGCAGTTTCAGGAGGGTTGCGTACGCCCTGAGGACATCCCCGAAACGATCGTGTCTATCATGCACGTGGCTGAGGATGGCTGCAGTGAGGTCGGCGGCCAGGCAAGGCGCTGCGTTAAGGAGAATAGAGAGAAGGGACCAGTCGGCTTCGGCGCCCTGATCCGAGTATCTCTTTTGCACGCGTCTGAGGGCCTGAGCAAAGATGCTGAGCGAGGCCGTCTCGGGAGTGAGCGGCTTAAGAAAGAGCATCGGTCTGGCAGCGAAGGAGCGGATCAAGGCATCTTGGTCGATGCAGAGCGTGAGCAGGCCAGCGGGCAGCTCCGAGAGGTTGCTGAGCTGTTCGCTCTTCCAGACAGCTTTGAGCGTGGCTTCGAGTCTCGCAGCGTTGGGCGAGGCGACCAGAGTGAGGATGGCGTAGATCTCTACGCGGCTCAGCTTGGCTAAGGAAGCATGCTCGGCGGTTCCTTTGACTTTTTGTACGGCATCGAGGGCGAGCTGCTCTTCGACCGAGTCGAGATAAGCAAAGAATGCGTCGAGCTTGTCCGCGGGGAAGGAAGAGAGGTAGGTGGAACGAAGGTGATCTTTTGCCCTGAGGAAGCCCTTGTAGCAGTCTAAACAGTTTGAATAGACAGCTGAGGTGACGCGTGCCTTCCATCGGTCGATGTTGTCTTTGTTGCGAAAGCTGAACACACGGAGCATGCAGCTCTCGAGCTCAAAGTCGCATGGTCGCGCAGCGGAGCAGAAGATGTGCGACTGCTTTGCTTTGCCCGCGTCGAGGAAATCGCAAGCAGCCTGGAGGAGGTCCGAGAAGACGTTAACGTCGGCCTGGCTGATGCGGGTGCGATCGAGGAGGCGCTGGAGGTTGGCCGGTAGCGCTGGCGGCTGCGGCCGAGCGGCCTGCCCGCTGAGAGGGGTGGACGGAGGAGTCATCTGAGTGATGAGAGCGACATGGTGGTCAACGGGATCGGGAAGGTGCGATGATGCTTGTATAAGAGAAGAGGGCTAGCTGGAAGATGCTGATATCGTCGGCATTGGAAGCTTGCGAATGAAGAGACGAGGCTGCGAATGATAAGCTGGAACAACGCTTTGTGAGCGAGTGCGATGCGATGCCTCGACGAGAAGCGGGAGAACGAGTGGATGCGGAATGGAATGCGGGATGCTGGCGCTGGGTCTAGAATGCTTTGTGCTGTCCGAGATGATGGTGAAAGGGTCAGATTGCTGCCAGTGCTCAGTCGGTCGATGAGCGATGCTGCTGAGTCGATAAGTGTGCGGATAGAGTATGTGCGTGTGACTGCTGAAGAGTGTGATGGACGGGTGCTTCCGATGATGGACACCTTAGCAAAGTGTGCTTCTTCCGCAGCAGCTGAGCCAGAATTTTTAGAGCTGGCCAGGCCTCTCCGTATGTGACAAAATGAGAAAGTTGGGCGTGCGTGTGACTTAAGAGAGGAGGAGCGAATTGCAACTGCAGGCCAGTCAAAAAGTCTTACACACGCCTTGGCCAATTTACGCGTCAGTCGGTCCCAACTCCACTTTTCCAGACAAAGCTCACCGAAGCACGCGACGAGGGCGTCAGCCACGAAATTCTGAAGTTGTTACATCTTCGCGTTTCAAGCTGCTCCGATCCCCGATTGAGATGGAGGATCTGTTTGATTGTGCGGGCCTTGAATCGACAAGTGGCTCTCTCTGTCGGCGACAACGATCAGCCTCTGATGGCCAACGCGAGCCTGGGTGTATCGGCTTATCTTCTCGAGCCAGAAGATTCTCCGTATGGATCGAGCTCGACCGCTCCGTTGCTCCATCTGCCAGCCTCGACAGCGATCGAGGAAGGTCGTTGAGGCGATACGAGCCCGTCTGCTGACCGATCCACCGACAGCTACCTTGACACGATCCCACGGGGGATGCAGATTGGGACGCCACACTCGAGCTTGAGCGTGTGCCACAAGTCTGGGATCGTGCGGTCCTCCTTCGACTGAGGCCGTGGGGAAGAATCTGCATCCGGACACTCTGCGAACTCGGACAGGAGCTCGCTTTCTCTCCCAACCCTGCACAGTTTGATAGTGTATCGCCGACGCCGGTGTCTCCGCCTAGGGGAGGCTCTGCCTTTCCAAGACGCCGGCTCAGAGTCCGACAGGCAAAATAAGAGTAAGCTAGACAGGTGACGACGTACTGTATGCTTGGGCCATTCTCGGTGCCTCGTCGCGCCCTACTAAGCCCTCTTTCGACGTCTGTTCTCTGCTGATATCTCGCTTGCCTTGCCGAGAAGCGGAAAAGAAAGAAGAGGCTCAGAACCAGGCGGGAAGAAACAGATGAAATTTCCGACCAGGCAGTGACTTTGTGAGGCGTCGATTCCACATTCCGCTGCCAATTCACGTCGACCCTTCCGGTCTCTTGTTTGGATGCGGCTGCTTGTTCCGTCGGACTATTGATACCAGCATTCGGTCTGAGCTGAGAGGCATGTGAACCAACAGCGACCACCGCCATACGAGAATCGAGCGAGCGAGCATCGCTTTCACTTTGATAGCCTCCTGATAACGAGATTTCGCAACAGATGGATTCTTTATTATATTGAAAATGCATCACAAAAAAGCAACACCAAAAAATTAACGAGAAAAATAAAAGAAGCAACGTGAAACCTGCAAAGGATCGACATCGGAAGTCCAAGGTCAATTCGCCAGTGGTACTCGCACCCTCGATGATGATTTGGTCCAAAGCGAATCAGTCGATCGGCATGCCGACACGGTCAAGCCCATCAGCGACTTCCGTTGAGATGATGCGATCGCAAAGCTCTGTGTGCTAGACCTGGCCACATCTCTGCCGGAAGGTTCCGTCCGATGGCAGAGCAGCCGCCACCGGCTACTTGTTCCGTAGGCAAAGCTGTCACATGGGCCTCTGCTTGCGAAAAGCCGAGGCGAGTCAGGGACCAACAGGCGTGCCGTGCAAATAGCCGCACAGAGGGAAAAGTGCGAAAATCAGGGCCCACTTTGGCCAGGTGGAGCGAAAATAGCCGCGCCCATTCTTTTTTTTCGGTTGCCATCATGACGATCTTGCAGGGGAGACAGAGATGCAGCGGCTCGAAAATGTCTCAAATTAATTTGATTTCTTACGGCTCTGCAAGAGAGAAACAAATTGGTACGGCCAAAGAATTCGGGTTTGACGGCGTGCATGTGCAGTGCAATCCCTGTCTTTCTCTTGACAGCGGATATCGGCACCGTCATCCTTATCCCTCACCCGCACCGACGAGCACGAGCACGCGCACAAGGCGAAAGCGGCGGCGAAGGAGGGCAATATGGCTATGAAACATATCGAGGCCGCGCTTTGTTTGTTCGCTGTTTCGAACTCATCTGTATTGGTGGGGACAGCCGCTCTCGGCCCTCGTTCAGAGCTGATACCACGGCGTCCTCGCCGCAAGGGCTCTCACACCGGTTCTGTCGCTTGCAACCGTGAGTGAAAATAAGGCTTGAGCTTGTGCGATACAGTTTGACCCGCGCGGGGTGTCCACCTTTGGGCGGTACAGTCCACAGGAAGCGGGCGTTGCGAGGTCTCGGATATGCCTATTGTCGCCTTGCTCAGCTGCTCGCAGTCACATTGAGTGGGCGTGGGAGGTGAAATGAGCGAGGGTGTGACTGTGCCGAAGGCTTCCACTCGCCCCTGCTTTCGGCTATCTGTCAAGAGTGTGACGACAAACAAAAGTCTTTGCTCGTGGCTCAGCTTGGTGCCCCCTCCTCCTTCCCTCGCACAGCTTCATCGGCATACTTATTCACCCTTGGTCTCGCTCCCCTTCCTTGCACGCCCCGCGTACCTTCATTTCACGCTTGCTTCCCTCGTCACTGCTTCATCTCTTTGCCTTCCCTTCCACTACCATTAGCATCATCCTAAGCAACAGCATCAGCATCACCGTAATCCTCAGCACCAGCACCATCACTCGCATCAAGCAGACTATACCATTCGCATCCCGGTCCCGCAGTAGAATCAGCCCTCCAACTCAACTCAATCATGGCGCGACCACTCGCCTCCAGTAGCCGCAGCTCGTCGGCTTCCTCGCTAGCTGCAATCGAGACCCCCGACTTTCTCTCGCGTCACACCTCTCAGATCTCCTCCTCAGCCACCTCGATCCTTGATGAGCCCATCAGCTACACCGTAGATCTCGCTCCTAAGCTCTCGTCCGCACTCTCCACCTGTCTTTCGTCCACGCTCGACGAGATGATTCGCACAGAAGGCGGTGGAAGCTGGCCACCAAGACCAACCTATCGCGACTCGTGGCCTCACTGCCTTCACATCTACGACCGCGTCGCCAGGCAAGCGCCGCCACGCTTCGTCACTCCACAGCTCCGACCCAACTACACAGACTCTGAGCTCCGGCAACGCATCGACGAGAATCGACTCTGGCTCGAGCAGTCCTTGTCGTCTGCCGACGTGCAACAAGTCATGGCCACTCTCCCCGAGCTCGATGTCAATGCTCGACTCGGCTTCCTCGCCTGCACAGCATACCTCATCCACCTCTATCGATGGGGCACACTACCTGTTGTCGCCATGGCGCAAGATGAGAAGAGCATCGCCTTCCCCGACTCGATCCAGACTCCCTTCCGCTGGCTCAATGACTTTTACGGCATCGAGTCGAGCGGCGGCTGTCTCTACTCCATGACCCTGGTCAACGTCGTTTCTCACGGCGGTGACGACCTCGAACTGGTCTACTCCAACATGCGCCACATGCCCTACCCGTCTGTTGTGGATGCAGAACGATACAACGCCTTTGTCTTTTATCAGATGGAGCGCCTCTCACTCGATCTGTACCATTCTATCGCGCAGTGCCAGACATTGATGGCGCAGGGTCAAGAGCAACAAGCCGCCGATGCGCTCAAGCAGGGTCACGTCGCCCTCCGAGCCGCCTTCCGTCACTTTTTCGACACGCTCAAGGAGGAAAAGATCCGAAAGAGCGTCTGGATGTCGCACGCCCAAGGTTTCCACGGTTGGGGCGTCGACGACTTTGACGGTGTTTCCGGCGATCACTCGCTGCTCATCAGGACGTTGGACGCCTTCCTCGACATTCCTCTGCGCACAGAGCCTGGCTGCCCCTTTGCTACAGCTCAGGTGCCTGTCAAGTCGTGGGATGCGCTTTGCCCTGTAAGCGGCGCGAGTGCTTCTACCCTTGCCGCTCCCGTCCTAGTCCCGACCGCGGCCCCTGGTCTTGTTGGTCGATTCTACAACTGGATGTGGCCAACCTCTCCAAAAGCAGAGACCAAGCTGGCCACCGTGCCCTGCGTTGGAAAGAAGCAGATGAAGGAGATCCGATTCAGCGAAGTGCCCTACTCGAACGAATATCTCCCTCGTGGTCAGGTCAAGTGGATCCGAGCCGTACGCGAGGCTCGCTTGCGCACACTAGCATCTACTACACCGAACTCGCCCGTGGCGCTCGAGATGAACGAGATGCTCAAGACGTTCAAGCTCTGGAGGATGGGCCACACGCGCAAGGCGGTCTACTACGAAGACCTCGAGCTTCCCGAGAGGAAACCCATGACGGCGTCGGGTGGTGTGGGGGGTGGTGTGGCTCAGGAGGACGAAGGGCTGGCGCAGATGATGGAGAAGCTCGAGGCGAGGTTGAGGGCGCGCATCGCCGCCACCAAGTGAGCTGTCTCGTGGTTTTCACTTGGACACTTTGGAACGCATCTTTGTCTTGCTACCGGCCTTTTAATGCATCGCATCATCTTTCACATCTTGAGTTTCGCCTTGAATTATCCCGGCCGAGCCCTTCTTCGCAGACGGAAGCAACGACGATGCGAGAACCTTGTCGCCACCTTGTTGAAGCACGAGCTGAAGAGCACGTTGATGACCCGCAGCACCGTACGCAAAGGTTCCCGGCGGTCACGTTGATGCTACCAATGCGAACACGGACATAGCTCGGGCCTTTTGTTCACCTCGTGTACCTGAGTTTGCCGATGCGAGCCGACAAAGCTGCGGTAGTGGATGCGATGAGGCAGGTACACGAAGGGATCAGTCGAAAATTCGCCGGCGAGTGAGGATGGACGACGATGGCTGCACGTGCAGCAACGTTGCGGCCTGAGTGGCAAGGGTGTTTGCGGCAGATGGAATCTTCGAAACGCTGCCGCCGGGTCGCGCTCTGTTTTTTTTTTGACACTCCGATCATGCCGAAAGCTGCCTGCCTCGCCACTTGGACCGTTCATACCTTCATACACTCACTGGACCATATGGTCGTAGAAATCTGATCAGCCTGTTCTGGTCCACGTTCGCCCTAAACTACCGACAATGCACCGAAGCTCAAAGATTCCCAACCAAGGTTGACCGATGGAAATCACATCCTCGAACGCCAAAGCCTGCTTGGTACCACCACCCTCGCCGTATACCTATACGCATAGACGAAAGGTAGCGCGGAACGAACACAAATGATCTTGGAGCAGCTCCATTCGGCATGCACCTGGCAAAACGTGCACTCTCTTGCCTGGGCGCGAGCGCTCGAGTTGATACAGCCTGCATACACGTGCCAAACTCGACAGGCGAGAGCGGCAGCTTTGAATTTTTGCCCCTCTCGCTTAGAGCGTCCAAACTGGCTCGCTTAGGCGCCATTTGCGGCACAATTGCCGTCGGTCCCTGCAGCCGCTGCCACCACCCGAGGGTCAAGGCGGGGCAAGTTGCAGGGTCGGTGCAGGACCGTCCGAGCGCCATGCCGGTAAGATGCCCACGCGAGGGCAAGACACGCTAGTCCACGCTCAGGACGCTTTTCGGAGCTGTCATTCACTGGCCCTGCATCCTCGTCGAGTACCTTCGACGATGGAAGTGAAAGTATAAAGACGTCGGGTCTGCCATCCCTTGTGACCACCTACTCGCCATCACACCCTCACTCTTCCACCGCAATCAACACTCTACTCGAGCTCTCCGCGCCAACATGGAGGTGCACACGCTCGCCGCCACCGGTCGCTCGGACACATCTGACGACGTGATCCAGTCGAAGTCCTCGCCACCTTCCACCCCTGGCGCTCACGATGCTGCTCACCAGCTCACCGCTACAACCTCCGCCGGCGAGATCAAGAAGCCGCGCTCCAACAACTCGATCCTGCTCATCCTCGCTGCCGGCTGTGCCCTCCTTTCCGATGGCTACCAGAATTCTTTGATGACCATGACCAACGTCGTCTTTCGCACCCGCTACGGCACCAAAGTCTACGACGCAGCGACCCAGACCCGCATCTCCAACGCCTCTCTCGTCGGTGCTATCATCGGTCAGATTGCCGTTGGACTCATCTGCGATCGTGTTGGACGCAAAGCCGGCGTGACCCTCACAACGACCCTGCTTGTGCTCGGCGCGATCTTCGCCACGGCCGCCTACCCCGTCGACAACAAGCCAGCCAACATGTTCTGGTGGCTCACCGTTGCGCGCGGCTGCGTCGGTGTTGGTGTCGGTGGTGAGTACCCCGCATCTTCCACATCCGCCTCCGAAGCCGCTAATGAGCGACTCGGCGCCAAGCACCGCAGCCAAGTCTTCATCCTCGTCACCAACCTCGTCCTGGGTCTCGGCACCCTCGTCTCGCTCGGCTTCTTCATGGTCGTCCTCCGTATCACCGGCTACCACGACACCAAGGACGCGGCTGGCTTCCGCGACCTCGGCATCATCTGGCGCACCGTCTTCGGCTTCGGCGCCCTCTTCCCCCTCATCATCTTCTATTTCCGCATGATGGTGCTCAACTCGTCGCTGTACCGCAAGACGGCGATGCGTAAGAAGGTGCCCTACAAGCTGGCATTGAGGCGGTACTGGAAGAGACTTTTGGGTACAGCGGGTGTTTGGTTCATCTACGACTTTGTCGTCTTCCCTCTCGGCGTGTTTAGCGGTACCATCATCAGCACCGTCCTGCACAACCCGAGTCTGATCCGGGTCGCGGAGTGGCAGTTCTTCCTCTCCTTTCTCGGCCTGCCAGGCACGTTCATTGGCGTTTGGGCCCTTCCTTATTTGGGTAGCAGGAAGTGCTTCATGATCGGTCTCGGCGGTTTCCTCGTCCTCGGCCTTATCATTGGCTGCGCATACGAGCAGGTCAGCTCCAACGTCGCCGCCATCGTCATCCTCTTCGGTCTGCTTGCTTCATCAGGAAATTTCGGCCCAGGCAATATGTGTGGCCTTACAAGCTCAGGTGAGCCCGGCAACATGTGTGGTGCACATCTAGAAGTTCACCCGTACTGACCCGACATTTCTTTCTCTTTGCGCAATAGAGGTCTACCCGTCCGCCCTGCGCGGCACGTTCTACGGCATCTCCGCAGCTGTCGGCAAGACGGGCGCTGCAATCGGCACGCAAGCCTTTACGCCAATCCAAACGCACCTCGGCAAGAAGTGGGTCTTCATCATCTCGGCCCTCTTGGGACTGACTGGTATCGCATTGGTCTACTTCTGCATCCCAGAGACGACCAAGTTCGATCTCGCCGAAGAGGACAGGGCGTGGTTGCAGCACCTCGTGGACAACGGATGGGAGGGCGAGATCGGCGATGGAAGCGAAGGCGTGACGGGCGCCAAGGAGGCGCTTGGTAGGGTCAAGAACAGCGATGCGGACGATATTTCGACCGACGACGAGGAGAGCGCGCTCAGTGAGAAGGCTTCTCGTTAGGATCATCACAGAATGTTTCCCGTTCAAAAGAGCTGCAGATTCAGCGGCTAACGATCATGGTCATGTTTGAAACCGCAATGATACGCACCGAATGAGAGTGTGAGGTTGATAGACCACAAGTTCTTCTTGAGTGTTCCTCCGTGGCGTAGGAAAGCAGCGCCGCAAAAGACACGGCGCCATGCAACTTCGGGCCGTATCTCGGCCTGACCGCTGAGAGACAACGGTGGATGAGGTAGGCGCAGTCCAGGTGGCGAGTCCTGTTCATCACATACCTCGAGGCGCAACCCAACTTCGGAGTCGCCCGCGTTTTCCCAGACGGCAAGCGTCCTCAATCAGGCTGCAAGAGTAGCGCAAAGGCTCTCGCATCGAATGTGAAGTTACGCACTTGGACTCGACGTTTGTCGATCAGAAAACCATCACCATGTTGATTCAAGCTGCTGGAGCGCTCCTCATCTTGGAGCTACTGGCGATTCGATTCGTTCAAGCAGCTCTCATTGGGTCAAACAACGACGATGACACGCACAAAACAGACAGCTGGTCTCCGTCCCTCGGGCATCAGCAACCCTGGCCACCCCAGAAACCATCTTCCTCATCCTCGAGCGAGGTTCTAGACGGATGGCGTCCCATAGACTTGCATGTGTCGAACGATCCACACCTTCATCAGCCGCTGAACTGGGCGCTCGACTCTACCACGCAGCCCACCGGGCTTCAAGACGTGGACTTTGACATCCTGCATGCACTTTCTGCGGATCTTTCGCGTCCGTCTTCAAGCCATCTGCCCGTCGAGCCCGGTCAGACAGCACCTTCTGATCCGACATCCGCCTCCCCCCACTCGTTTACCAGCATCGCCCAACCCGAAGCGAAACGCCCTCGGGTGCCTCCACCTCCCGACCTCGCAGCCGCCATAGCGTCGCAAAGGGTCAAGTCCGCCGCCATCCGGAAGCGCATGCGCTGGCCCGAACCGCGCTCCTTCTCGCACCTCGTCTCCTACCCACCGTTCCGCAGCGTTGCGCGGCAGCTCTCCTCCGACACCTCACCGGAGATCGCTTCCCGCATCGTCGCCGCGTTTGCTGGCAAGCTCCAATGGGTGCCCCTGTCGCGCGACACGTCGTTACAGACAATCTTTCGCGATCGAACTCCGTACAAGCTGTACAGCCGCCGTCTACCCATCCGAATGGAAAGACAAGGTACGAGCTGGAGCGTGCACATGACCCAGCACAACGTACCTCTCCGACGAGAGGGTCTGACGCAGGGCACGCCGCTCCACGGCAAGCCGTACTATGGATTTTGGGGATTGCCCGAGGATGTGAGCAGCGGCTCTGTGCCCGCGGTGTTTTACGGATCGGGGATTCTGGAGAAGGATTCTGGAGAAGAAGGATAATGCAGTCGTAGACGGGCATTTCGCCCTGCTGATTGAGGAGCTGGAGGAAGAGGCCAAGGCGTGAGCATGGAGTCAATGTCGGCTGAGCTCTTGAACGAGTTATCGTTACTGATGTACGTCCTCGCTCGTCTGGCATCGGTCACCCACACGATTATCGCGTGCTTTGGCTCCGAGGTAATGAGAGCGGTCCCGCAAGAGGACACAGCAGCGCACAACGTCGAGCCACATCTTTGCCTTGTTGGTGGGGGACACCGGTCACGCGATGAGGATAACGCGGTCCAGGCCCATTTGAGCGGTTCATCCCCACCACGAGCTACGACTCATCTTTGGTGACTTTGCGTGCAAGGCATAAAAAGCGCCTATCAAGCCCACGAAAGGATCTGAGTAGGTTAAGTTACGAAGGCAAACTTGACTTCCTTCTACCTCACGCAGTCGGCCTCCGATCGCATTCTCAACCCTATCACCATGCTGAGGACCGCCATCTCGCTGCCAGTCTTTGGGCTGCTGCTGTTCCGACTCGTGAAAGCGCTACCTATGGACCGATACGACGAAGCTGGCGCGCATTCATCACACCGACCAGCCGCCTGGGCGCTCGACTTTTCGACGCCACCTGCCGACATGGAACCGGCCGACTTTGAGATCCTCCGTGCGCTCTCCGCTGATTTCTCGTCACCCGATCCCACTGCTTCACACGACGAGAGCCAAGGTAGCAACAATCTGCCTCGTCCTGGCTCGACGGCTTCCCTTGTGGACACGGACAACGCCATCGCGCGTCACAAAGCCACCACATCCATCGTCCGCGGCCGCATCGGCCATCCAGAGCCATACACCCTCACCTTGCTCCCCTACTACGCGCCCTTCCGAGACCACCACCGGAGCCTCACGCACGACGACTCGCCGCAAATCCCATCGCGCATCGTCAACGCTTTTGGCGGCAAACTCCGATGGTTCCCCGCCACTACCTCGCGCGAAACCCTCGTGCCGCACAACTGGCACAACCGGTCGCCGTACAACCTCTACAGCCGCCGTCTACCCATCGCGATCCACAAGGACGGAGAGAGGCTCTCGGTGCATATGACGCAACACAACGTTCCGCCCCGAACCGCCGGCTTGACCCAAGGAACTGAGTTTTGGCGCAAGCCGTACTATGGGTTCTGGGGGTTGCCGGAGAAGCCGGAGGGTGACCTTCTGCCCATCGTCTTTTACGGACTGGGCACGCTGGAGACGCAGGATAACGAGGCGGTGGATCGACATTTGGCACCGCTGATCCAAGAGCTGGAGGGGAAGGCCAAGGTGTGAGTGTAGAGTGAATGTCGTCATATGTGCTTGTCGACTAAGCCACTGCCGTGCTTTCATCGACCTCTCAACGCTTCTTATCTCAAAAGTCTCCGGCTGAGTGTCTGCCCTTCTGTCTCGAGTGTCTCTAGCATGATAAATCGCTCGTCTGACATCGATCGTTCACATGACTTTCGTGTGCATTGGCTCCAAGGTGATGAAAGCGGTCCGCCCAAGAATACAGTTCCAGTCAACGGGCCACGCCGTTGCCTCTTTGGTCAGGAAAAACGATCGCGCAATGAGGTCGTCGCAATGCAAGCGGCAATCGCGCCGTTCAAGCCACCACAAGGCGCAACTCGTCTTCGAGACCCATTAAGTATCTGCTGGCAGCATCGGTGCACCTCGAAGCGTTAGAAGCACATGTCATCCAACGAGCACTTGAAACCGATCTTTGCCAATTGCGTGAATGTCACCATGTTGACGCGTATTGCTGCAGTGCTCCTCGTCCTTTGGTTGCTGACTTTTCGACGTGTGCAAACCGCTCCCATGGAGCGACACGATGATTCTGCTCTGCAAGCAATACACAGCGGCTTTCGGCTCCCTGAACCTGGGCAGCACTGGCCGACCCCGCCCTCCCCGTCCTCGACCGATTCCGATCGCTTCTTTCCTGGTCCTTGGCATTCTACGCCCAGCAGTACTCCTTTGAACAGCTTTCATGAACCGCTATCATGGGCTCTCGATGTCGATACCCCGTCCGCCGAGCTGGAGGATGTAGACTTTGACATCCTCCGTGCTCTCTCTGCGGATTTCGCGCAGTACAGTTCTTCTTCGAATCAGCCCAGCGTCGAGCCGTCAGCCGGACTGACAGGTGCGATGCCAACCTCAGAGACCAGCGGCGCGCAGCGCCCTCAGGTCACCATCCCTGCGTCTCGACCGGCGCGAACGAAGCTGCGACCGTCTCCCCAAAAGGCGGCGGCCATCGAGCGGCATAGAGTCCGAAACGCCGCCATCCGCACGCGCATCGGCTGGCCGGAACCATCCGTCTTCTCCCGTCTCGATCACTACGCGCCCTTCCGCTCACCCAAAAAGCAGCTCACGTTCGCCGATTCGCCCCTCATCCCTGCCCGCATCATCGACGCGTTCGGTGGCAAGCTCCGATGGGTGTCCCTCTCGCGTGACATGCTGACCAAGGTCACCTTCCACGATCGATCGCCATACAAGATGTACAGCCGCCGCCTCCCTCTCGCCTTCCAGCAGCACGACGTCCGATGGAGCGTCCACATGACGCAGCACAACGTGCCGATCCGACAAGAAGGGCTGACGCGGGGGACGTCGCTGCACGGCAAGCCGTATTATGCCTTCTGGGGCGTGCCAGAGGATGTGGAGAGCGAATTCTTGCCCGTGGTGCACTACGGGGCGGGGGTGCTGGAGAAGGAGGATAACGAGGCGGTGGATCGACGGTTGAGATCGCTGATCGAGGAGCTGGAGGGGAGGGCGGCGTGAAGGTCGAATGTATGCCATCAAGTGTGCGAGTGACTGGTATGCTTTTCACCCGGTATCGGTCTTGATGCTTTCGGATCGCAAAAGCACCAGTCAGACAGCAATTTGACTGTCTCTCGAATGTCTTCGGCACGATTCTCACTCGTTGATGTATACCGCACGAGCACCTGTTGGAAGCAGAGACTGTCGACATGTACAAGAGAAGCAGGTGCATCATCACCTCGCCACACCTCTCTTCATGTGTTCCAACAGCGATCCAAGATGCGCATCTACCTCGTCCACATGCATGCCGTCAAACCACCCGGCGCCGTAAAACGTCACGGGTACCTTATCTTTCACTTCGTGCTGAGCCACCCCCCAAAACGCATAATACGGCTTGCCCTCCAGCACGCTCCCTACGAGCACGCCGCCCTTTCTTATGGGCATGTTGTGCTGCGTCATGTGCACGTGCGTCAATCCCTCTGCGCCTGTATTGGGCAGAGGGAGCACTCTGCTCGGATTCATGTAAGGTGAGCGTTTGTGGTATGCCCTTGGATCGAAACCTGTCGGCATCTCGCGCTTGTCCACCCAGCGCAGCTTGCCAGCAAACAACCCATTGACGATGCGATCCCGAACGGAGTTGTCGCTGACGTAGGCAAGTTCGCCCCTGCCCACCAGATGGCGTAGCGGAGGCACCTCGTCGAGACGCGCCAGGGTGGGCGGTTCGGGCCAGCCAGAGGCGAGACGGGCGCTGGCGAAGCGAGAACGCCGTTTCGTCTCGCGGTCCATGAGCGTCTTACCTCGACCGCGTTTCTTGCTGCTGCCGGCGGTGAGGTCCGCCGAAAGGGATTGGAGGATCTCGTGGTCCGTCGCATCGAGCGGGCGGTCCGAGGGCGAGAATGATGGGGACCAGGAGGGCGAAGACGTGCCAGGTGAGTTGGGCGCCACCAATTGGGATGGACCAGAGACCAGGTCGTGAGTCGGAGGCTCGAATGGATCGTGGCCTCCTCCATTGCGGTTCATTGGCCAGGCAACGGCCAAGTTGCGCATCACCAAGAGAACAATAAGCAGTCCCGGGATGATTCTAGCGAGCGTCATGGCGTGAGGGAGTCGTGAGAGTTGGAACTGGATCTGCAAGCAAGCAAGAGTGGCGGCCCTTGCAGTTTGTACTTCTTCAGTGTCAGTCACTCGAAAAAGTTCGCTTGACACCGAAGGTCGAGACGCTGGGCAGGTGGGGCGTTGTCACCACCGTGTGAACGCTCTGAAGGCGAGTTCATAGCCACAGACAGCATCCTGTCGATCCGCACTGAGGTTGCATCAACCACATCAAGATTGCCTCCCTCTGTCGGTGGCGCAAATGGGCCGGACCGGCCAAATCCTAGCTCTTCATTTCGGCGCCGGACACGGACGAAAGCACGACATCAAGTTGGCAAGCACCAAAGGTTGCTTGGATCGACACTGTCGTCGTTTGGAGGAGAACAGAAGAGATGTGGTGCTGCCTCGATTGACGACTCGATCCTTGGCGACGCAGACAGCTTGGATCGGGCGATCTCCGCTGGCTTTGATCCTCAGTGGCGGCGCATCTCAGTTATCGGTGGTATGGAGGCGGCGCTTGTTCGGGTTCCACCCGCACCACGACAAGGCGCCGCTCAAGATTGAGAAGCATCGGGTTACGGCCATGAATCGGATCAATTGGCTGGCTTTGAGATCCACCGCAGCCGGCAACGAGGCATCGGACATGGCGGCGGTTGCGGCTTGCCTGCCGGTACATGCTGGATAAGTTACCGCAAGGGTCTGCCGGAGAGAGGGTGACGTTGCCCAAACGTGGCCGCGACACCGAAACATGGGTGTCCTTGCATCTTTGGATGCATCAGTGCTCTACGGGAGCGCTCAACACACGGGATGCAAATGACAAGCCATCGAGGGAGGATGTGCGGAGAGCGAGGCGAGGGTATGCCGGGTTTGACGGGGCAAGCTGCTCAATAACGCGTTGCCCCCACGCTCCCCGCAATCTGTCTTTCTCCGCAAAAATCAAGGTTGCGGGCTTGAGGAAGGGGGCGCGCGGCTGCCCGATTTGGTCTTGCGTCAGCTGATCGCCCGATTCAGCACTGATTGTCTGTTTCGGGATCGCTCTTCAGATAAAAGCAGACGGGCTCTGCCGTCCACAGTCGTTTCTGCAGCCAAGCCGGTGCTGGAGCGAGGCTGTAGTTCACAGAGGGCAGCAGCTTCGGCGTCTTGACATGCACGTCCAAGAAGGGCATTTTATCGCGCTCGGTGCCAATTGACCGGCTTGGCTTGAGAGCAAAAGCTGCACGACCAAGTCTAGAGCGAACATCGCTCGGCCTCTTCAGCACCCTCGGCAAATCACTGCACTTCTCTTGCTGCTCTGCCCACCCCGCGAGGACAGTAGACTCACGCGAAAACTCGAAAAGACGAGAGGCAGCTGCATCTTCCCATCGCCTTCCTCAACCGAGACGCCAACTTTGCAGCACGCTTGGCGGTCTGATCTTGTCCATCGTTGACCCTTACTGTACTTATGTACTCTCAGAGGGCTTCGCACTGTGTGCGTCCGATGCACTCTGCATGAACGCAGCTTGCGTATTCGAGTGTGTAGCATTTGCGATCTAGGTCGCAGCTGCTCTTGCTTACCCCGCAAAAGGACCATCACGATGGAGCGGAGTAGGATGCTATAGCTCAGAAGCGAGCGCGGTCGTCATCGAAATTGCGGGTCTGAGCGTCGATTCCATCTGAAGCGGAGTATTTGAGGCTCTGGATCAGTCAAATCGGGAACTGACGCGCAACCTTGTTTTCTCCTCACGTAAGGTCCCCTTGAAATCGCACAGACGCGAACAATTTTTTTTACCAGGAAAAGGCAGGGCTTGGCCAGTGCAATCCTGCTTGTCCGAGACGCCGTCACTGCTGATCTGCAGTGGTAACTTTTTCACATCTGGATATCAAAGTGGGATCGCTCGACTGCGCTGTGCAGCCTACTTTTTTCCCACTTTGCTACCGTCACACCTTCGGCTGCTGGCCGACGCTCTCTCACTGTTCTCACGCCTCTGCATCCCATCCATCTTGAGCAGGGGTCCTTGACCGCAGCTCTCTCACTCTTCCACCAACACCCAGCTTCCTCTCGCTTTTCACCCACTCCGCAGCACATCGCCTCGACCCAACCTTCTCCATCGGCCCATCCGACCGCCGCCGTGTACCCTGTTCATCCGTGTTTCTCTCTGTCTCTCTGTTCAGCTCGTGTTCTGTTCTCTCTCTATCTGACCTTGCATCCCCACCATCATCGTCCCCAGGCATCACCTTGTTCCCACGCCTGACTTCATCCACAGCTCGCTTCCTCCGACACCGCGCGCTCGTCCCCCCGCTACATTTGCCCCGATCACTCACCTCCTCTGACCGTCGGTGATCGCGCACTTCAACAGCCTCGACTTCGTCGGCGTAGTAGCACTTCCCTCTTCGCGCCCGCAGACCAGTCCACCAACCATGTACGCCTCTGCTGTCCGAAGGTCCGCCAATTTCACCTTGGCCAATGGTGCCCAGATCCCCAAGCTCGGGTTCGGCACCTGGAAGATGACCAAGGAGCAGGCTACCCCTGCTGTCGCTCACGCTATCAAGACGGGCTACCGCCACATCGACTGCGCTTGGGCTTACCGAAACGAAGACGCCGTCGCCGCCGGTATCAAGAAGTCCGGTGTGCCTCGTGAGCAGTTGTGGATCACCAGCAAGCTTTGGAACAGCTTCCACGACCCAGAGCACGTTGAAAAGGTACGTAGCCTTTACATGGAAGCACTCGCCCTTTAGACTGTCTTACTGACCCCGACCTCGTCTTCCCGTATTGATCGCAAAACAGGCATTGGACGCGACCCTCAAGGACCTTGGCACCGACTACCTCGACTTGTACCTCATGCACTGGCCCGTCGCTTTCCTCAACTCAAAAGGCTCCATGATTCCCTCCATTCGCAGCACCGGTGGTCACCCCGTCGAGAGCACCGACCTTTCGCGTGATTTCATGGCCACCTACCGCGTCATGGAGGAGATGGTCAAGAAGGGCAAGGTTCGCAACATTGGCGTCAGCAACTTCAACATTCGCCGCACTGGCGAGGTCGTCGACGAGTCCAGCATCAAGCCCGTCGTCAACCAGGTCGAGGTCAACCTCGGCGTCCACAACGACGAGCTGCGCAACTACGCTCACGCTCACGGCGTCACCCTCCAGGCCTACTCGCCCTTTGGTTCCAGCCAGAACGTGGCCAAGTACCTCGAGGACGATGTCGTCGTCGACGTTGCGCAGAGGAACAACATCACTCCCGCTCAGGTCTTGCTCGCTTGGACTCTCGGTAGGGACATCATTCCTATCACCAAGAGTGTCACCCCCGAGCGCATCGAAGAGAACTTTGCCACGCTCAACGTCAACTTGCCCGAGGACGAGATCAAGCACCTCTCCAACGAGGCCCTCAGCCGACCCATCGAGCGCACTGTCGACCCTACAGAGGGCTGGGCTGTCACGGACGAAATCTTCGAGGACGGCGTTGATCAGACGCGCGAGATGGAGCTCAAGGGCGGTGCCTACGTGCCCCCTCCCGCTCACGAATCGCCCGCCGAGCACCGTCTCGAGCCCCGCAACGACCCCGAGACCCCCTCGCGCATGTTCCACACCGCCGCCCACCCCCTCGCTTCGTCGTCCGGCAGCAGCCGTCGTCCCACCGCCGTCCAGTTGCAGAAGTCCTTCTTCCGAAGCTTCTCCTCGTCCAGCCGATCCGCCGCTGTCGCCGAGGTCGTCCCACCTAGCGCATCCGAAGCTCCCGCCGTCAGCGAGAGCTCGCTCCTGCGCACCACTTCCCAATCCGCCCTCGCCACCCCCGGTCTCCGCTTCGTCGACGGAGAACAGAGCATCCAGAGAGAAACACAGAAGATGAACATGTACACGGTGCGTAGAATGTCCACATCGACCCAGACTCGAGCTTCCGTTTCCGCCGCCACTTCCCCCATCTCGGTCACCGCCTCGCCCGCGCTTGCTGCCCGCACCAAGGCATCATCCTCGTCGACATCGTCGCGCAAATACCCGGCGAAGAAGTCGTTCCTGTACGAAAAGTACCTTCGCCTGCTGACGGACAGCCAGATGGTGGTGGTGCTGCAGCACAACAACCTCTCTGTCGCCGAGCTGGCCAAGGTGCGTTCGGACATTGCGGCTCTCAAGCTGCCCGAAGGTCAGACGGCCAAGGCGTCGCTGACGGTGGTGCGCGCGGGTCTGATGAAGGCGGTGACGCGCCAGTTGGCTTCGAACCCCGCGATGGAAGCGTTGCAACCGGCACTCAGCGGTCCGATCGCCTTGCTGACGTGCGAAACTCTTACACCTGCGTATCTCAGTGCGCTGTTTAACGTCGTGGACCGCGCATTGGGGCATGTGCCTCCGAGAGCACCGGCGATGGGCGCCAAGTTCCCCGAGACGGCCGTGGCCAACCCGAGACTGGTGCCCCTCGCAGCGGTGTTGGAGGGCAACAGGCTGTTGCAAGTGCCCCAGTCCAGGGATGTGGGCAGGATCGGCAGCCTGGACACCTTGCGCGCCCAGATTGTCGGTCTGCTGAGCAGCCCTGGTCAGCAGCTGGCTGGTGTGCTCAGCCAGGCCAGCGGTCAGCAGCTCGCCATGACGCTCGAGGGCAGGAAGAGGGACCTGGAGGCCAAGCAGTGATTCCCGCATTGCTTCGGGCCATATCCCCCTTTCGCTTTCCGTTCGTCTACACTATTCCCCCTAAGCCAAGACTTGTATAGATTCTCTCCTAGTTCACGTCCATTATAATTAGTTTTCGAGCATCATCGTGCTGTTCGTTCCTTGTTGTACGTGATGAGCATACTGACCCCCAGCCCACGCTCCTCCAACCCTTCTCTGCCTTCTCCTTTTCTCCTCCACCGCCTCCCCATTCTCCCCCCCCCTTTAACGCACGCAGGCGATCCGTGACGCCCAAGCGCACGTCCTCACCTCGGATCCATCCGCGCTCGTCTTTGGCGAAGACGTAGCCTTCGGCGGCGTCTTCCGCTCCACCATGAACCTCTCCACCACCTTTGGCCGGGATCGCGTCTTCAACACGCCGCTCACGGAGCAGGGCATCATCGGCTTTGCCATCGGCCTGGCAGACATGGGCCACACGGCCATCGCCGAGATCCAGTTTGGCGACTACATCTTCCCGGCGTTCGACCAGCTCGTCAACGAAGCGGCAAAGTACAACTACCGCTCGGGGGGCCAGTTCAACGTGGGCAAGCTGACGGTGCGAGCTCCGTGCATGGGTGTGGGCCACGGTGCGCTGTATCACAGTCAGAGCGTGGAGCAGTTCTTCATGGGTGTGCCTGGATTGAAGGTCGTTGTTCCACGCAGTCCGATTCAGGCCAAAGGGTTGCTCAGGGCCAGTGTGGCGGACGACAATCCGGTGGTGTTCCTCGAGCCCAAGATTCTCTACAGGGCAAGCGTCGAGCAGGTCCCCATGGATGATTTCACCCTGCCCCTGTCTCAAGCGGAGATCGTGCGACCGGGTAACGACCTAACGCTCATCTCATGGGGCGCACCTCTCTACGCATGCGAAGAAGCCCTTGCGCTGCTCGCCAACCCACCTGCCTCCATCGCCCAGCACTTCCCTTCGAGCATCCGAGGCGCCAACGTGGAACTCATCGACCTCCGTACCATTCTGCCATGGGACCGCGAAACCGTGATCAAATCCGTCGCCAAAACCGGTCGATGCGTCATCGTCCACGAAGCCCCCGTGACCGCCGGCGTCGGCGCCGAAATCGCCGCCGAAGTCCAGAAGAACTGCTTCTTGAACCTTGAAGCTCCCATCACCCGCGTCGGTGGGTGGGACACACCCTTCCCGCACGTCGGCGAGCTCTTTTACAAACCCGAGGCCGTTAGGATCGCCGATGCCCTGGTCAAGTGTCTGACCTTTTAGAATGCAATGCATGTACAGGTTTTGAATGAACTCGCACAGCGTGTTGTGTGCTGTGCGAGCTGACCTTGATGCGTCGTTCCGAGTGGTTGCGATGGGTACAAGTACAAGTGGGAACCGCTCCTGCCGGATCCTTCACAGATTGAACACCCTTACCGTGCCCACCTCCTTCTGTTCGTCGCCCGCATATGCCAGCACGTACTTGCTCGGATGCCAAGCCAGCGTATTGATCATGCTCCCCTGTCCCAACATCACCTTGTGCACCGTATCCCCTTCGCCATCGCGTCCCACACTCGGACACGTTGCATTGATCGAAATAAACGGGTCCTCTCCTCCAGCAGCAAGGAGCTCACCATCGAAGCTGAACCCAATCGCTCTTGCTGGAAACGCCAGACTGGTAATCATCTTGACGCTGAACCATTCCCTACAATCCCAAAGACTCACCATGGAGTCGCTCGAGGCGGTGGCGACGAAGCGCGAAAGGGGTTCGTGTTGGATGCAAAACACGTTTGCTGTATGGGCTGAATGCGAGTGGACCCTCTTATAGTCGGATGTTTGATGGAGGTGGACGCTTCCACTCCCACTCGAAAGGAGCAGTAGTGAACCGTCGGGGGAGAAGGAAAGCTCATTGATCTCCTCTCCACTCGCCCTGATCGTCATCTCGGTCCAGCTCCCATCCCCTGCAGGTGGGGTGGTGCGTCTCGAGCAAACCGTATGAACAACCTTGTTCGAGGAGATATCGATGATCGACACGGTATCCGTCTTATCCCCCACGGCTACGACCTCGCCGTTCGGGTGGTAGGCAATGTTGATATTTGCCCCTGGCGTAACCACCGTCGCTGTCTCGCCGCGCGTTCTTGCATCCCACAACCGCACGGACCGATCTCCACTCGCACTAGCGAGCACCTCCGGGTGGGTAGGATGCCAACAGAGCTGGTCGACCGACTCAGTGTGTCCCCGGAGCTCGGTCGATGCGCGATGGTCGATAGAGCGTTCAGGCACCCACACGCGGATCAACCGGTCCGCACCACAGGTGGCCAGCTTGCGCCCGTCAATGGACCAATTGACGCACCGCACGGACGAGCGATGCCCAGAGCGAAGATCCTTCGTTTTGAGACTGGGGAAGGTCGGCAGGTGGATCTGGCGGTCGGAGAACGAGGCGGCTGTGGAGGGTGGAAGGCCATTTTTGGACGACGACGCGGTCGAAGAAGGGTATAGCGAGAGCGACATCGTGAACGGCGCACGACGGGTATCCGCGTGGGTACAGAGGGATGCGACCGGGCTGGATGTGGACGAGCGAGGAGGTACGGATGAGGAGAAGCAAGGGTCCTTAAAGCCTCCACTCGCCGCTGTCACGTGTAAGATCTTCTTCCCGTGCGAGAAACCACGCAAAAACGTGGCCAGAAGAACGTCAAAGATGCACTGTTCAGCTCGAAACAACACTTTTTTTTTCTCTTTAGGTGTGGGTGGGCCTGTCTGTGCGGCCTTCTTCTGCGCTGCTTCTGCCCGAAGAACCGGCGTGTGGCACCACACATACAAGCATGCGGCGTTGGAGTGGCACCGAACTGGCGCTGGTCGTGCTGTTGATTGCTTCGGTGTTGTTCCACTTTCGCAGCTCCACTTTCCTCCCACCACCACCACCATCACCTGTTGATTCACCACAAACGACATCTTTCACCATGGAGCAGAGTAAGCACCGTCGCAACCCCACCGCCCTCCTCCTCCTCTATCCGATGCTGACCTGTTCTTTCCCATCTGCGCCTTGCTAGCCTACATCATGATCAAGCCGGACGGCGTGCAGCGCGGCATTGTGGGCGAGATCATCCGTCGATTCGAGAACCGCGGTTACAAGATCGCCGCTCTCAAAATGACCCACGCTTCCGAGGAGCACCTCGAGAAGCACTACAAGGACCTTAAGGGCAAGAAGTTCTTCCCCGGTCTCATCAAGTACATGGCCTCGGGTCCCGTCGTCTGCATCGTCTTCGAGGGCAAGGACGCCGTCAAGACCGGTCGCGTTCTGCTCGGCGCCACCAACCCGCTCGACTCGGCCCCCGGCACCATCCGCGGCGATTTTGCGATTGATGTCGGCCGCAACGTCTGCCACGGCTCCGACTCCGTCGAGAGCGCCAAGGCTGAGATCGCGCTTTGGTTCGGCGAACAGGACGCCACCATCAACTACACCCGCGCTGTCGACTCGTGGATCTACGAGTAAACGTGCGTTCCTCGCTTGCACTAGCGCTGCTAGACAGTAATACGACTTCGTTCGATACATTCAGCCATCGTCTGTGACCGCCAACATGGACCCGCGCCGGATTGCTCGCAGTGAATGAGGATGCACGTTCGATTTGGTATTGCGTTCGGACCACAAGGTATATGACTCGCTCGAACCGTGCTTGGTAACAGTAGCGTCTCGGTATCAATGGCGTCTTGGATGACTGGTTCTGGTGTCGACTCAGAATGAGGCCTGACCCGAGGATGATCGGCGTCTGGGTAGTGGAACGGAAAGTTGGTATCTAGAGAACGATCGGAGGTCCTCTTCTGGGATGTTCAACGGTGAATGAGAGCGCCGGTGGTGAGTAGAGCGTCGGCTCCTCGGTCCTGGCTGATTCTGCTGCGGCTGCCTAGATGATGCTGCGAATATCCATGACGGATCGCGAGGCAACCTGAGCCTCCTCTTTGTCCTCATATTCGTCGTCTGCGTCCTGCACCATGTCCACGTCGTGGTTTGGAGCGTTGTCGGCAGCGAGGAGCAGGCGTGTGCTTCGTCGGTGGCTCGAAGTCCAACCCGTGTGCGTTGCGTGATCGCGCTTCTGGTTGGGTCGATTCGACGTGCCAGCACTCCTGACCCTGTTGGTGTTGGCCGAAGGCAGCCCCGACGTCGAACGAGAGACAGCACCTGTACCGCCACTCTTCTTCTTGCTGCTCCCAACCTCCGCCGCCGGCGCGTAGTGCACCTTGGATCGGCCCCTCACCGTGATCGGATGACTGGTCAGACTCGCCACTTCGACTCCAGCAGCAACACTGAGCGGCCCCTGCTTCGGGTACGCCAGCAACGTCAATTTGAGCGCGTAGAATTGCTGACTAGCCGCACCGCGCTGACCGTTGTTCATTGTCGCCGAGCGGATCTGCACCCTGCGAAACGCGGCGATGGTGCCCGTTCTGACAGCAGCCTGCTCATTAGCCGAAGCGTCTTTCGCCAGTCTGCCTCCGCTACGCAACTCGACAGGCTGAACAGGCTCGCGAGGACCTCGCTCTCGAGCGGGTCCAAATTGAATCAGAGGCACGAGACCCTGACGACCCCTTTGTAGTCGACCGTCCTCGTTGATGACGTGCGCCGTCATGTGCACAGCAAAGCGTTCGACCACGAAGGCGGGACGACCGGCGGGTGCGCAGATCACATCGCCTTGCAGCGCATCTCGACGTCGACCTTGCTCGTCCTCGAGGTGGAAGGAGACGTCGATCTTGAGGTAGTTGCGACGATAGCAAGCCCACTTTCCGTCGACAACGCTGAAGCAGTGGTGAGAGGTCGAGTCGAGCTTGCAGAAGAGTCTGATGCATGGCGATGCGAGAGAGAAGAGGGTCAGCTGACGTTCATCAAGCCGATGTCCAAGTATCGGCGTGGACTCACTTTGTGGAGGCATCATGGCGACCTACTTTGGTCGCGAGAGGGAGGATTGACTTGAATTCGGCGAAGATCTCTCCGGTGCGGCCTTCCTGGGGCACATCCGACTCTGCCGTCTGATGCCGTCCCTCTGGAGTATCTCGGTGAAGGGCGGTGGTGCGTGCCGACATGGAAGGACCCGCAAGAGGCTCCTCGGATTCCTCCTCCTCGCTGTCGCTGGTCATGTCGGCAAAGGGCGACATGGCACGGAGGACTGGCATGCTGTACAGGTAGCTGTCGCTGCTACTCTTCGACAGCTGCGTGGTCTTGGCAGGCGATGCGTGTGCCGGTTTGGCAAGATCGTCGTGCTTTAGTGCTGGAAGGGCAAGCGTGGAGTTGTTGCTAGTGGCGTTGAGGTTGTGCCGATGAGCAAGAGGGAAGGCAGGCAGCGAATCATCGCTGCTCGTTGGCGAGATAGTAATGGAAGAGGTTTCGGACATGGCCATGGGCGAGCGGGTCAAGACACGGGATCCACCTTTTTTTGGGGAGTCGAGAAAGTTGGTGCTGCCGCCGCCATGTTGGCCGAGGTAGAAGTCAGCCTCGCTGCGCAGAGAAAGACGACGGGGAGTCGAGCCTCCGTGATCATCGAATTGCATCAGCTCGGCTGGGAAGGGTGCTGGCTCCAGGAAGAGTCCGAGAGCATTGCCGGGCAGAGCGAGGTGGGACGAAGGCAGGTGCGATGCGTTCGCTTCGAACGTGCGCACGCTGTCTGCTGTTCCAGTCTTGCTTGGAGAGTCGAGATACTGTCCCGACGTCGACCGAGGAGGAGTGAGGAGACTGGCACGGCTTGAGAAGTAGCTGGAGCTCGCGACCTCTGCGGAGTCGTCCTGTTCGGATGTAGACCGGATCGAGCTCGTCGGAGTCCGGGGAATGCTGCAAGTTGTACAAGAGAGCATCGTCGCGAGATAGAGGAGGTCAGTACAATGCTTAAGTCATGAGGCAGAGGAGACTGTCACTGAGCCTACCGCGCGGAAGACCACAGGGCTACGTCATGCGCATCGCGACGAAGACTGGAAAGTGCTAATTGCTCGCTGGACCTTCTTGCTGGAGTCGAGACAAAGTAAGGATTGTGCCTGAATTCTGCTTTGTGGCGAGTCGAGGGAAAGGAACCGAGAGGAGAGGAACGAAGAGGTCCAAAGCGGCTTGGCGAATGATGGCCTGACAAGGGCGGCAGGATGAGTCGGCCAGAATCGTCCAAAGTGAGAGCTCTGGGCTTGGTGGGCAACCAGACCTTGTGGGATGGCGTGAACTCGCCACCGGTCTTGATCGTGTTGTGAGAGGTAGACAAGCTCTTTTGGTGCTGTGCTCCCCGAGAAGATCGTGGAGAGGATGGCACCGCGTTGGACACGATGGCCTGACTCGCGCTCTCAGACACGGCGGACTCGTCCATGATGCGAGGTGACGGTAAGGGGAATGGCGGGAGCTTGGACAGCTTGCGGGCCTTCCGAGTGGAGAGGGTTGGCGAGTCTAGCCAGTCGGTGCTTCCGTCTAGTCGATAGATCAGATCAGATCGAGGAATGAAGTTGCAGCCTGGCGTATGTGGTGTGACCGGCTGAGACGAAATTCGCTGGCTTGCGTGTGAACGTGAAGAGCACGGAGGGGTGAAAAGCAGGATGGGCTTCCAGTCGTAGTGGCCAGGATCCAAGGGATGGAGGCTATGGCATGGAGTCGGAGGCGGCGAGACTAGACTGGTTGGGGGAACTGGAGTCGGATACTGTTGCTTGACCAAGGAATGAGCGATGGCGTTCTGGGAGGAGGAAGGTCTCTCGAGAGTCGAAAGGGAAGGACGAGCGATGGATCTGTGAGAGGTATCTGTGATCGGTAGCGACGAGCAGTCCTGTGTAAGACGAGAAGGACGACGGTGAGGTGAGGGGAAAGGCGGTGAAGTTGGCAGAGGGAGAGGCCTGTCCTTATAGTTGGGCGCTGGGCCGAGCATCTCGGTGGGCGTTGCTTCGTCAGCAGGCATCGAGGGCGGATTCATGCCCAGCCTAGCAGGAGCAAGGGGCCAAAAGACGGGTGACTGGTCGAAGCGGGAGGTCCGTCTCGCTGTGTTAAGGAAGGATCACAAGTCACTGAGGCGAGCAGGAGCAAACGTTGCTGGTCGGGATATGGGACGGAAACTGGTTGTCAAAGGAGAAGGAACGAAGAAAGCAACGTCGCCGGTATCGTCGAGTCTCGGTCTGAGCCGTGTATGAGCTGAATCTTCGTTCGTGTTCGGGCTTGTGCCTGTGTCGGCTCGAAGCTTTTCTCACTTCTTTGAGTGTCACCGGTGTCGTTGCAACGAGGACTTGAACAGCTCCAGTGCGTAAAAGCTTGGTCTTTTTGACGGATGATGCGGACAAGTGATCCTTCTCTACGTCAGTGAAGCTTAGACAAGAAGCGGTTCCTCTGTTCTTTGAACGGACTTTCTGCTTGCCGACGGATCAGATCAAGCAGCATGAATTTTCGCACCAAGCAGAGCGTGAGAAAGAAAGGCAATCAGCTTCCTTGCTTGTTTGCACCGACGACTGTCCACTTGCTACTCAGAAGAGCAGAGGAAGAACAAAACCAGCAGCACCCGAGTCGGCTTATCTCCGATGAGTGATCCTGCTGATTTGTTTCTTCAGGAGGAGAAGGAGAGGAAGGAGGCTCGAGCGCTTTGTCGCCACTCAGCTGCCCAAAAATGCACGCGAGCAGTGTCAACCCAGAAGCGAGAGAAGGGACGTACCGCAAATTTCACTTGGACTCCACGAACCGACGGAGCGGTCCAAGCGCCTGGCCAAGGCAAGCGACAGGGAGACTAGTTCGGAGGAAGGCGCTGAGAATCGCCAAGAGAAACAGATCAGCCCGTCGAACTTGGTCTTGTCGAGAAGCGAGTCCTTGTTGCGCCCAGTTGACAGCTCGATTGCGGTCCCACGTTAGGCGACGATGAGCCGTCACTGGGTGTGCGAGAAAGAGAAGGTCGGCTCGAATGATCGTTGGTAAAGAGCGAATATGGGCGGCAGACTGGAGCAGCCGACTTTCTGGATGATGCCGTTTCGAGTCGCAAAAAGGGTCTCGACCTGGAGCTCGGGCGCAAGAATGTGGCGCGCAAAGCCGTCTTCGAGGATGGACCGCTCCGCTCGCTTCCACAGCCTCGTGAAGAATCGAAGCTGTTGATCGCGAAGCTGCTTATCAGTCGGAAGGAGGGCAACACCCGTGATTCGGTTGCGGTCCCGTCGCAGCCAAGTTTCTTGTCGCAGATCTTCCGACGACAAATGGGGAGCTCGCCTCTCTCTCCTTCTTCCGACTGCGATGCGGCTGGTCGAGAGAGACAAGTTGTGAGTGCCGGGCTATGAAGAAGAAGCGAGAGTGTGCTGAAGTAACAGTGGAGAAGTTGTTCCCACGCTTGGGTCCAATGAGTGTCGAAACGTATGTCAAGGTATCGGAAGAGCGGTAGTGGGTGCAAACGAAGGACGGAGAAGGGCGAGAAGAGCATCCAGATTTGGTCCCTTTTTGTCTGCTGCAAGGGTTTGCAGCGGCCTCGCTTCGAGGCTCGAACTGCTTTCTTCCTCGGACCGCTGCCGCTGTACCTGTCCTTTTGCGAAAAGGTTCGGTGGTAGGCGGAAGCAGCCGACCGTAAGCGAGCGATTGTAATCGTCGCAAGGAGACTGGTGAGCTGCCTCTCCGAATTTTAACCAGCCTGTCTCTTGTCGCAGTCTCTGGAGAGGAGGGTCTCGACCCTCTTTCCGTCGGAACAAGCCTTCTTTGCGCAAGAGCATCGAATGCTCTTGTGATTGGGCCAGTGATAGCTCAACGGCAGAGTCAGAGCGACGATTGCACAGTCGGCACGTCCGTCAGAGCAGAGTCGAGCGGCCAGAATACGAACAAGGGGCGCGGTTCTTTGTCCACTGTGGCAAAGTTTGCTCCAGCAACTCACGTACAGTAGAAGTCGCAAGACAGCTTCCGAGGGTGGCAATGCACAATCCCCGGCGTCGTTCCATTGCGCCTGTGTTGAACATCGTTCCTCGTCAAGAGTCAAGACGAAGCAAACGGACAGTGTGCTCGGATTTCGCCGCGTTTATTTCACGACGGATGGTTACAGCGCGCCGACGTTTCCAGAGCGCACATCTTGGCTAAACCAAGCGTCCCCTTTTTCTCGTAAATGCACCAAGCTTGAGCTTGTCGCTGGCTCAGCTTCCCTCTGCCAAGCGAAGGACGAGCCAGCATGCCAGCTTCAAGACTCTCCTCCAACTCCATCGCCACGCTATCCACAATCCAAGCTTCAAGCTCTGCACGGCCCTCTACGCAGACCCAATGTGGTGTGACTTCTCACGAGGCCGCAAAGGCGCACAACGAGGATGAATTAGTCAACGATAGTAGAGCTTTCCAAACTTGGTATGATCAGCACACCGACACGGGCGGAGACGAGAGCCGATCTCTGAGCCAGTTGGCATCGTTCATAAGCTAGATCGTGAACAAGAAGCCAATTTAGAGATCTTGCACGCCGCACAAGCTCGATGACCGCCCCTACAGACACGGACCGGCAGTCGACCTCGACTTTCTTGCTCTCGATGACACCTTTCAAGTCGCAGCAACAAAGAGGCTCAAGAGGTCTGCTGTCACGACGAGACATTCGCTCAACTTCTTACTGTCGAGTTTTGTCTTCGACGGCCAAGATTAGAGCAAATACGCCTCCAAACCTCCCGCAAGAAGCTTGCGTCAAGATTGCGCCATCATCTACGGCTTTTAGGTTCAACCTTAGGTCAGATCCAAGACCGGTGAGTGTAAGACTAAATTAAGATCCGGGCTGCCCGCTGCCGGCTGTTGCTTGCCCAGCACAAACTTAACCCACATCAATTGGTCGTGGAGACGAACGTCGAGAAACTCAAATGTGCGCTTCGAGAACACGCTTGCGCCCACATGCGCCTAGGAGTGCATGCATTAGGTTTTGGGGTGCTGTCAAAACCCTCATCAAGACAAGTCCGCTGCGCAACCAAGCGGCCCATCTGCAACCTTGCGCCCTCTTGCACCGGCATACGGTCCAGATTGCAGCCGCTCGCATCTTCATTTGCGGGCATCTTATTGTTTATTCACTCGGACGATCGGAACGCGACAGTCACGTATGCCAACCTCGCTGACGGACGACGCTTCGATCTGCAAAGCACCGGTGCATCGTCCTGCACTTCCACAAATCCAGTGTGTCCCGATGTCGCAATGGCGCTTGATTCCATCATATGCAGAGATCAACAAGAATGGTGGTGGGTATCAATACTCGTTCCGTCGCACCGCTGTGCTATGCGGTCTTTTCAGCGGCAGCCGCTGCATCCGATCCATCGCCCGACTGCTTTCCTTTGGCCCACTCGAGCGCTTGCTGCCTTTCCAATCCGTACGTCTCTGCGCGCATCTTGGCCGGTGGCTCCCTCAGCGCAAACGGATTCGGATCCTCCGCCTCCAACGACGCAAAGGTATGGTTGATGTGTCGATGCGTCGCCTCATCCGCCCTCACTGCCCTGATCACATCCACCAGCATCGCCTCATCTCCCAACTGCCAGTACTGCTTGGCGATCTCTGGCGCCGCCACATCCTCCCATTCTGGCAGCCTCCCTTCCTTTAGATCCTCCAAGATCAACGAATACGTCACGACCGCTTCCTCCTCCAGCACGCCCACGAAGCGATGCGCCACCCGCGGCGCCATGAGATAGAACACGAAGAAGAAGTTGTAGAACACGCCCTGGGCGAGCAGCGCAAACGTCCTCGCGATCCATCCGGGCTTGGCGAGCTCCATGAAGGTGAGCAGATGCATACGCTCGTTCTCGGCGTCCTCGAGCATCGTGTGGATCCACCCTTTATCGCGCTTCATGAGCCGGAGGGACTGGAGGTGGCGACAGGTCGCAGCAACCATGCCGGGAACGCCAGCGATGGTTTCGAGGAAAATGATGCGGTTGAGCCACGCATCGGGCCCGAAACAGAGTCCTTTGGCACGCATCTCTTGGAGCGTCATGGCGCCGTCACTCTGCGAGAGGTGGGTGAGGTCCGCGCCGGTCTTGTTGACTATCGCTGTTGTGCCTTGGGCTGGTGTCGAGCTGGCTTCATCCGAAGTAGTATTGCACTGCTTCAGCTTATCGACTTGCCTAGCGAGGTGCGAGGGCAGACCGACCGTCTTTTCGACATCCTTCTTGAGGGGTGGGAACTTGACGCCGTTGTGATCGGGATATCGGGTGGCCATGTCGAACACGGTGCGTGCGGCCGTGCACATGGCTCTCGCCACCTTGTCGCCCAACGTCTTGCTCTCGCGATGCACGACCTTGACGCTGTCCAGCTCGGTTTCCGAGTAGATCGGGTGGAAGAGGAGGTAGCTTCCGTCGGGATGGCGGAGACCGGGTGCGCCTGGACGGTCCTTTCCTTGCACGGCGGGTTTGCTGGGAGAGATGGTAGTTGAGAATGCACGACGCGAGGAGGAGGGTGCAGGCAGCGGATGGCGCGCTACGACGGTGAAGAAGAGCGCGACGGAGACATGGCGGTTTGCGGTGCTGCTCGTCGTGCGGAGCAGCAGGGCCGTCGCAGTGTGTACAAGTGGTGTACCCAGCGGCATGGAGTAGAGTTTGAGTGGTGGTTGTGTGTATGCTTCGTTTTGGTCTGATGGAGGATCGAATCCAAAAGTCGGTCCACGAGAGGGGGCTGATATACCTTTGACAGCCACCTCGTTCGGTATCATTCGGGGAGAACACCAGACACACGGACCAGCAATACGGGCCACGCCTTCGTGGTACCGCACTCAAAATGAGGCGGCGGAGCGCGAAAGCTGCCCTGACAGCTGTCCGACCCTAGCCGACCCGTTTGCTCAGCTGACGGGCTGAACCCTGCATCGAAATTAACCTTTTCCCGTGTTTGCCTTCATCGTTTCATAGAACTCGTTGCTCGGCTTGTGGCGTGTGCTCGCAACGACCCGCACTCACACGAGAGCTCGTCGAAGATGGCGTGGAGAACGAGCTGAGGCATATTGTGAGGTTCGGGGTCGGGGAGGGATTAGAGAGCGCTCCCTGAAGCCTCCGGACCGGTCTGCTAAGCCCACGTGTTGGGTTCGGGAGTCGCCGTGTGGGATTCATTTGACCGGCGCCACCAACTCGCATCTTCGATTGCGTCGATCGTCTTCCCGAGCATCGTATGCATGATCCTGCTCAGCCCATCGTTGCTGGACCGCTGGACCGCTCCGCCGCTCGTATTGCTCAACTCATTGCGAGACGTGAAGAGTGGAAGTTTCGTACGCCCGTATAATTGCCCGACTGCAAAAGGATCAAAGGCAACAGCGACCCACCCAACCTTGCGAACACCCTCAAGGAGGGAGAGGGCCAAACGAAAAGCCTCCGAAAGACTGACGACATCCCGCATGCCACCGCCACCTCTTGCTTCCGACGTTCCGAACGAGGAACGAATCAGATTGGGATGATTTGCTATGCATATGACTCGTCCAGCCTTCGAATGGCAGAGCGCTCTTCCGGTCCGTTTTCGAGGCGGCCCGTTCCGGAAGCCATTTCCTAAATCACTGTTACATCGAAATTTGATTCGGGCGATCCGTTCGCAGATCTCATCCCCCGCCTATCAGACCTTCTGGCTCTGCATCGCTTTCGAGCCCGCAACTCTCACACTGTGTGGACTCCGCCTCGATCCACACATCGTCACCAAGGCAGACGACCACAGCGACATCCAACCCAAATCTCACACTCGCAGTCCAAAAACACACACTCACACACAACGCAACGAAGAGGACCATGGTACAAGAGCGCTTTGGCATTGACAAATGCATGAGTGCTTTTTGGGTGTGTGTATGTGCGAAACAACGCCCTCCTATCTCAGAGAGTCATTGTTCCACGAAATGCGGTGTGTGTGGGTGTGTTGCAAGAGAGACAAAGAGACAAGGAAAGAGGAACGGGTTTACTTCTTGGCCTGAGCCTTGAGCACGTTCTTGACAATCTTGGCCTCCTCGACGAGGAATGCGCGGATGATGCTGTGCGGATGAACAGGAGGGGAGGAGATGGGATGGTTAGTACAGTGTTCGTGGATCTTGGGCTGAGATGTGATGATGCGGATGATGGGTGTGCGTGGTGTGTCGAAGATGCATCGCAGCGTGCAGTCGGTGTCATTGGAAGGTGCAGTCCAGCTGTGCCGGCGACGCATCCAAGCAAAGACCGCGCCGTCTGTGCCGAAGACAGACCATGCCAATCAATCCACCATTTGTGCTGTGAAAACTCACCGAGTGCGAACGCAAGACGAGCAGCGCGAACCGCCGTAAGCGCGCGAAACCGTCTTTTGACGCTTCGAGATGGTGCCAAACTCGCGGGGCCTGTGGGCCTTGATGCCGCTCAGGTCCGAGTGGCAGTCACCGCACTTGGGCACAGTGCCGCGCTTCTGGACGTGCAGGTATCGGAGGTGGCCACCGGGGGTCTTGACCACCTGGCGACGAGCCGACTTGGTGTTGTACGGGTTGCGCTTGCGGAGAGTGACACGCTCAGCCATCTGAATAGGTGAAGCAGGATGAAGGAGGGAAGGGTCAGTATGCGGTTGAAGGGATAAGGATTGGACAGCAGTCGGACAGCAGTAGCAATAGCAGTGGCGGGAGCAGAGGTGGTAGACATAGCTGACGGCTGGCGAACAGGATGATGTCGATACGAAAGGCGGTGCGCGTGGGTACGACGACATTAGGAAGATGCGAAGCGGACTGTGGGCCCGAGTGGTGGCCGACACGAGGACGAGGTGGTGAGAATGTTTGGTCGAGCCTGTGCCGCTTGTCGTGATGTTGGAAGGCCGAGACAAAGAGCAGCAAGCTGTTGACTCCCAATCCACCACGGGTCACGACTGATGTCGTCGCCGTCAGAGTCATGCAAGACAATGTCCAGCGGACAGCCCATCAAAAGCGCATGCTGCGGAGTGGCGGCGTTGTCGAACATGTGCCTGGCTGTGCATGATGTGTCGCATTGTCGTCCGCTTACGAAGTGGAAGTCGGTAGCGGTGCTCGAAACCCATCAACAGTACCCTTGCGTCCAGGTCGCCCAGCATGCCCATTTCGACTGGCACGGCAAGGCTAGGAGTCCAAACCACATGTGTATGTAGCCTGCAAGAGAATTACTGCTTGAGCATGATCGATCAAGCGTTCGGCCGTTGCTCTAGCGGTGTGCGTGGGTGCCATGCCATCCAAGCTTTGTGATCTGAACTGCATCCTCCGTACCTGGTTTGCAATGGTCCTACTGATGCCGGGTGGTGCCAGACCCAATGATGCCGCCAGAATGCTGTCGCGAGAGGCGATGCAGCTGTCGATATTGTCATGGTTGGTGACGCCTTCCTTTATGCTGACGGCTGTTCCATATCTGAGTGCTGCTGTCGCCTATCGATGCTGCCTGCTGATCCTGCTACCACACCTGCTGTCTACTGCTGTTGCGTCCGTCTGCTGCTGAAGATGCCGAGAGATACCAACCTTGACGAATACTTTCTTGATGAGGGATGGGTGAAGAAAGGGTTGGTGGGGAGAAAGGTTTGGCTGGGTAACGACGACGACTAGCAAACTGTCCTCGTGTGCGGCTGGCTGCTGCGACCTGGGAAGGATGGCAAACCTCGAATTCGAGAGAGACTGCTGTACTGTTGACTTTGTGCTCACTGCGTAGCCACTGTGCTCTGCTGCCGTCGAGGTCTGGAATTTCGACAGAGAGCCGTGTGCAGGCTGAATTCGAATGAGATGGCGCAGTCACGTGCGTCAAAACCAGAACTGTAAAAGTTTTTTAGTCGGCCTCGTCCAGCCAGAAACTATTTTTCGAGTGGCATCCAAGCATATAGAGGTCTAACACTTTGACCAATGCGGATCTGTGTCAGATCTGCGCGGAATCTGCCGATGAACAAAGTCAGAGCGGGTCCGCCTCGGAAGGCCATGCGAGCGAAAAATTGGCCAATCCGAGAAGAAACGACGTCGAGGCTTCATCACCATCATCTTTGATCACCTCAGATCCCTCCACCAACGCGGCCGCCTCTCCTTCCCTCGTCGCCTCGCCGCCATGGTCGCAGCACCAGCAACAGCGTCGACCTCACGTCTCACACGTCAACTTGGCGGCCTTCTCCTCTCCTCCTCATCCTCCGCCTCGTCCTCCTCACGGATCGCCCTGCCCGCCCTTGCCTCGGCCTCCCTCGGCAGCATCCGTCACTCGCACGTCGGTTCCGCACCACTCGATCTTCCTCCCTCAACATCCATCCAGATCTTGCCCTATCCACCGCACCCGAATCCATCGCGACCTTTGCTGCCCTCCCTTCGCCGCGCGCGCTCGGTCCTCGTCCAGGGTCCCAAGGGTGAAGTGCTCATCCCTCTGCACGAGTGTATCAACCTCTCTGACGCCGAATCCCGAATCTCACTCAGCATCAAGGACGATTCGAACAAGAAGCAGCGCGGAACATGGGGTCTCACGCGGTCGTTGCTCAACAATGCACTGCAGGGTGTGTCCGAGGGGCACACGGTGAGCCTCAAGCTGGTCGGTGTCGGATACAGGGCAAGCGTCGAACCCGACCCGCTACCGAGGAGGAGCAAGTTGGATATCGCACTGAGCGGGGAAAAGTCGTTCTTCGTGTCCGAGGCTGCGAAGCAGGCAGAGATCGAGAGGGAACAGAGGGCAAAAGACAGCGCGGAAAAACAGGGCGCGGTGAGGTTGCATATCCGACTCGGATACTCTCATCCAGTGCTGCTGCCGGTTCCGCATGGCATCAGCGTGCTCGTTCCACAGCCGAATCGGATCGTGCTCAAGGGTGCGGACAGGGAGCAACTGGGTCTGTTCGCAAGCCAGATCAGGAGCTGGAGGAAGCCAGAGCCGTATAAAGGCAAGGGCATCTTTGTGGATGGTGAGACGATTCGTTTGAAGACGGCCAAGAAGAAGTAGAGAGTAAGCAATGCGATATCAGCATCACCAGCAGCTTCCTGTTCAGTGTGTGTCTCTGTGCGCGTTTGAGGCTGCCTCCATGAGAAGACGGCGATGTATATATTGCTTGCGTATCTACCCATCGCTGAGGGAAAGCACCTCGTCCTCGTCCTCCTCTTCACTGTCCTCTTCAGCAATCGCGTCCGCCGTCAGCGTCGCATCTGGATCTATCGCATCGCTTCTGCTGGTTTTTCCTCTCGTCGATCTACTCTCCCTCACTCCCAGCGGTGACGCCTCCCTACTCTCCCCTTCCTGCCGCTCTTTACGCTGTCGATGACTGTCGATCGCCCACCGCCTCACCCTCCTCAGAATCTCGGCCTCCTCTTCGTCCGTATCCACCGCCTCCTCTCCCCGATCTTCCAGGCTCAACATTCGCTCCGTATCCGCTTCCAAGCTCTCCTCTGATGGGGGGACGATGACCATGGACCCACCCAAACTCTCGGCATCCGTGTCCACCCCCACCTCGCTTTCCGTTTGAGAATCGAAATCGGTCGTTGGGGGTGTTTCCAGCGCTCCCAACCCGAGCACCGGTCTCGGCGGGGGCACGACGTCGACGGTGGAGCTCGAGACGGACACTCGCCTGCCACGCCGACTGCGCCGCGAGAGAGGGTTGCGATTGAGCACCCAGGTGAAACGTAAACCCGGTCGGCTGAGATCGTCCTTGCTGAACGAGGGGCATTTGCTGACTCGCGCCAAGCAATGTACGATTAACCGCAGAAATGGATCGTGCACCAACCACACCAGCGCATTGGGTGTTCGTTGGAACTCGATCAGCTGTCCTCCCTGGCCGGACTTGATCGTGTCCAGTGACACCACGGGTACCTCTCCCGCTGACCCTCCGTCGAAGGGGGGAGTGGTGAAGTCGAATGCGGTATCGAGCAAAACTCGTCCCTCCTTTCGATCCGACGTTGAGGGGGAGAAGACGTGCACCTCGCCTTCGGACCAAACCCGTATCTCGCGCTCGACCAGCCAAATGAAGCGTTCCAGCTCTCCCGCTGTACCGTCCCTCACCATCCGATCCACTCCTCCCACCTCCAACCGTCTCAGCACACGCTGGGCATCCTTGAGACTAGAGCCAAAATGTCCCTCGTTCGCCCCCTTGGCATCGTGCGTCGGCTCGCTGTATCCCACTCTGCTGGAGGAGGGAACGGGGAGGTTAAGCTCCTTCTTAGCGACGGTCGCTGGAAACGTCGAACGGATCTCATTCGAGTGCAATCGATAGTCCTTGATCGTCGGTCGTACGGCATGCGGGTTGGCCAGCAAGCGGGCGTTCTCGGATCGACGCTGTTTGCGACGTCCCTGTTGCGGTTCTTTCGCCGGCAAACGCGTGCGCGTGTTGCGTGAGGGTGGATAGGAAGAGGAGGATGCACGAGGATGGAGTAGGTACGAAAGGTGGTTGGCTTGGGAGGAGCCGTTGCGTAGGATCGAAGGCATCGTCATGGGTATCGCACCCGCGACTGAGGAGGTGGGCTGCGGCTTGGGAACACTGGGGGTGGTGGCGCCATGGCCCGTGTCGAGCGTCGCCGGGTGCAGTTGAAGATTCGCCTCTTCGTCCATGGTCGCTTGATCTATGGTGTTCTGAGCTTGAGATTCCAATTCGCTGTAGAACAGGCGTCGATCTGGTCTGTTCTCGATCTGTTGAGGTGATCGTATGCAGCTGGATGTCGTCGATGCTGAGAAGAGGGTCTTGAATATGGCACCGTGCGGGGTGCATCTGACTCCACCCTTTCCACGGCTCACGTCAGATTCGGCGAATTTTGCTCTCCGGCTTGCAGGCCCAAATTTCACGCCGAGATCCGGGACCATGAAACGACCTTTACATTACTATCGTCGTTGTTTCTACATATCACATTGGTGTCTCTGCAGTCAGAGCCTTTGGCGTCGACAGAAGCACGCAGTGTGCCGGAGAGGGCGGCGCGATATCTACGATGGGCGAATCTTGACCTCCATTGCCGAAGGTACGCGCGCTGAGGCTCCCCTGCGTGTCGTACGTCCCTCCCGCCATGGATGCGTCTTGACTGACGCCGCTCAGCCGCGATCCCAGCTGCAAGTGGAGTGCAGCGAAGAGTCCACGTCGACGGCGCACCTGCGAGCAAGAGGTGGTCGATTTGGCCGAAGTTCCTGTCCCAGGCCGGGAGCTGAGCCGGCGCTGATCGAGGACAGACCGGGTTGTGTCGGAAGTGATGGTGCAGGCAGAATCGGCGGTGTCCGGACGAGCTGCTGTCACGTAGGTGGCTTCAGGAGGTTCGCGACAGTCAATTCGACTCTCAGTGTGGGAACATTGAGCTTTGGGCTCCATGACGCTTGGCGAGCAGCGATCGGAGTCGTGCGCGGCAGGGTCCTCTTTCGACGAGATTCCGCTCGAGCTCGCTGCAGTCTTCACGGCTCGGTACGACTTGACATCTATATGGGCCGGCGTCTGTCCATCATCGATGCCCGTGACGTCCCCTGCGACTGACTGACAAAGAACAGCTGGTCCTGCGAGAGGCTTCTCTTCGTGCAGTCGCTCCGCAGTCTGCCTGTCTTCGTTCGATTTCAAAGCGTTCCTCGCCGATCCTCTGCTGCTCATTCGAGGCGTCAGGCCGGCTGCTTCACCAAAATTCCCTCGCGAGAAGTCAGGAGGCGACAAGGTCGTGAACAGCCTCGCCGACTTCCCAGATGTCTTGTTTCGTCCTTTGCCCTGCCCAAAGATTGGCTGATGCGCAATGCACCCTGACGCAAAGTCCACAGCGTGTGCATAGTCAGTATCGTACCCGTGCCTGTTGCGTGGTTGAGATGCAGACCAGCTTGGAGGAGGATGGTCGATCCCTCGCTTGCTGGAGCGAGGAGCGAAATCGCTCGCGGCACGAGTCGAGGCGGGCGAGAGTTGGAGTCTCTCGCCTCGATAGACGTGGTCCGGAGTGGACGCTGCTTCGTGGAAGGAGCCCAGCAAGGCATTGGTGTTGGAGCCGGAGCGAGTGTCGAGGGCCGCTCGGCGTAGGGACCAGGAGCTGGAGGCTCGTAGGCTGTTGGTATCGGACCGACATCCGTGCGTCACCATATTGGTAGCTTGTTCTGAGAGAGCGAGAGCATTCCCACCGTACAGAGCGGTTGGTGGTCGTGCTAAAGCGGAGGTTTCGTCGTACAGATCGATCACGCATGGTTGCGATGCGTCTGATCCCGGCTCCTTCTTGGTTTGACCAACATGGCCTTTGTCTCGCACGATGAGGTGAAGAGGCTGGAGACTCGCACCATCGTCTTGTCGGTTACGTGCTGCTCCCGGCCTACAAAGCGAAGCGGAGATGAGATAGACGACGCTGATGGCCAACGACGCAGCACAAGCCGTGTACGTTAGCATCTGACTCGTCTTGTTGACTGAGACGTTAACCCAAGCCACGCTGCCAGCAGCTTGGCCAGGTACGGCGTCGATCTTGACACAGTGAGGGGCGAGCGGCCGGACCAGATAGACCGCTGTTCCGAAAGCGGGTGGGCTCTTCTGTGATCCTAGCTGCGTCGTCGGTGGGGGCGTTCTCGGTCCAGTGGCGGCTGTGATGTTGGGCATCGCCCCTGGTGTGGGAACAGGTAGCTTTGAGGAAGTCACCGGGTGAGAAGGCCCTTTCGCCTGCACGTCGCAAGGGAGAGTGGAGAGCCTATCGAACGTCATCGCAGACGCCACAAGGAAGCAGAGCGCTCTGCAAAAGTGAGGAGAACGCTTGCGAGACCCCTCGGTAAGCCGCCGACATGCAGAAAGCTCTTGAGCGACGATCAGGCCGCTCAGGCCGATGAGAGCGGTGCTGACAGCGGTAGAACGGATCGTGAGAGGATGTACGAGAAAGTTGATGACAGCTGCGAACCACAAGATGACGACTCCAAGGAGGTGGATCGCCATGCAGGATGCCGACGCCATGTTCGTGGACGGTGAAGATGGTGTCCCCGAGGTCTGCTTTGTGACTTTAGCCAGATAGCTTGGCCTGCGATTGCTCAGGAACGTGTAACGTTGCTGGCATGGGACTAATACGAGACCAGCCCGTTCCGTAGATTGCGCCAGGCAATGTGACAGGTAAGCGTTTCGGAGCGACAGTAAAGCTGCCGAACGTGATGCTTCTGCACAGCAGAGTCGAGCAGGACGCAAGCGGTAGTAGAAGAACGCAGACATACGCCTTGCAAGCTGCGTACTTCTTTAATGGCGAGACAATGGCCGGCTTCATACAAGCGACACGCGCGGCAGCAATCGATCCCACAGAGCGGCGGCCATACCCTTGTCTTGGCACACCGGCATCTCCGGTTCCTGAGACGGCAACCTGCCCTCAAATGAAAAGAGACTTTGCCGTCAGCAAGGCTTGACGGGTCACAGAAGGAAACAAATTTGATCATCGACGTCGTGCTCTTCGTGGTTCAACGCCACATGAGATGGCAGCTGCGATAGCCGTCTCATATGTTGCTGCCCTTTCAGGGACTGCCGGCATGTGTTGATGTGTGGGTTGGAGGCGAACAATGAAAGTGGGTCCAGCCACAGGGCAAACAAGCCCGCATCAACAGGTATGAAGAGCACATGCATCCCTCCTCCATCTTCGGAGAACGGAAGTCGGAGACGCAGGCTGTACGGAGCGGGGCAGGGCTACTGTAACTCGAAGGGTGGTGAACCCACCAACACCGTTGCCGCCAAGATGGACTTTGCCGCACTACGCAGTACTACGCAGTCGCGGCGGAGCAACCGAAGTTACTTTACTGATCCGCTTCATTCTTTTCGCTAGTTCCGAGGTCATTTCAGGGCATCACTTGTTGATCAATGACTGTCGTTGTTCTCGGTGAGGATCAATCTTGCCGACTAATGACGACAGGCATAGAGCCGACCTAACACGCTACTGAGAACTAGCCTTCAAAAATCTACAGCTGTCAAATCATGAACGCCGCAGCGCGAATTCCGCGGCTGTCAGCAGATCTCGCCAAGAGCCATGGCGGATGATTCGTCATTGCGCTTCGACAGCACAGCCTCGGCGACTTGTTTTTTTTCCTTCTTGAGCCTCGCACAGCCTGCTAGAACCCTTTCCCCACCTTGTCGCTCGCCACCATGCTCGACGAGCACAGCCGACTGCGACAGAAGTGCGGGCTGTGTGTCGAGACAGTGCGATCTAAGGATCGGAATTGAAAGGCATCGACTCCGGCTATTCGACCCGTGTGCCTGATCCACTCCTGATTCGTGTCTCGAGCCCTCTGAGAGTCGCGAGAGCGGTACGTGCTGTGACGGGCGTCGAGCGCGAGGCTGTGGACCTTGGCGCGGCAAGGCAGATGGGCGGGCGTCAGGGTCTTGCCAAGGGCATTGTGCGAGCACGGCCCGTCCTCTCCTCGTGCATAACGGCGTGCGTGACGGAATCTGTCTCCACCTCAGTCGACCGTCGAGAAAAGTCTCATAAGTAGCCTCTCCTTTCATTCCCTTCCCCTACCAATTCACCATCACCATCTCTCACACCCGCAACACCTTCCCAGAGAGCATCTCGCCTTTACAACTCAGCACCATGTCGTACTATCCAGGCGGTCCCTCCTCGAACCAGTCGTCGTATCCCGGTGGCCCGCAGTCGTCGTACCCCGGCGGCGCACAGTCGTCCTACCCTGGCGATCCACTCGCGATGCCTTCGTCCGGCGGCTACCAGTCCTCGTACTCTGGCGGACCTCCATCATCCTACCCTGGCGGACCTCAGCCGTCGTACAACAACGGATCCGGCTATGACTCGCATCAGAGCTACAACAGCGGACCCGGCTACGACTCGCCACAAGGCTACAACTCGAACTACGGCCCGCCTTCGAACCCGAACCAGTCCTCGTACGGTCCTCCTTCACATGCAAACCAGTCTTCGTATGGCAACTCGTCGTCGCCTTCACCGTACGCAGGTCAGCCACCGCAACAGCAGGGTCCGATGCAGTACGACCAGAACGGCCAGCCCATCGAGGGCGAGCGCGGCATTGGCACCATGGCCGCGGGAGCCGCTGCTGGTTGGGCTGGTAACAAGATGACGGGTGGTCACATGGGCACCTTCGGCTCGATGGCGAGCGGAGCCGTCTTGGCGCAGGCGGGCAAGATGATTTTCGAAAAGATGAACGATAACAAGAAGCCTCACAACGGCGGATACGGTGGCAACCCCTACGGTCCTCCTCCCGGCGGTCATCACAATCAAGGCGGCTTTGGTGGCTTCTTCAAGCACTGAATGTCGTAGCGTCCGATCTATACCCTGTCCTGCATGCAGTTTCGTTCGATTGATGTTGCTTCCTCCCGTTGTCAAATACTCACGAGTTTCACGTTTCGCTATAATTACAATTCACAATGTCCGTCCTGTTGTTCATTGGTTCTGCATCGCGAAAGCATGAGTTCATGGCTTGACAAAGTTGGCGACAATGTTGACATCTTTGCACTCGCTGTCCTCGAGCCGGGCCACTTCGTTGCCGTTGACCACTTTGGTGATGGTAGGAATGCACTTGATCGCATACTCTTTGCGGAACCTGTTGTCTGGCGTTTTCCATCTGAATCGAAACAAAGCAGAGTGACGATGTCAGCTCGATCGCCTCTCATTCTTTGCTTCGTTCTGGGTGACGACTTACTCTGGCTTCTCACCGACAAGCACGATATGGCCATCTACGTTGCTACCGCCAAACACCTTGTCGACCGCAGGCTGCGCATCGACGCAATCGGGACACCAGGGTGGGGCGCCCGAGCTGAAAAAGATGAGGAACTGAGGCTTGTCCCCTGACGAGGAGGGCACGTCGTTGGATGTTGTGATCGTCATCTTCGATGTTAAGGGAAGCGGCTGAGATGATGGAAGCTGAGCATCAAGATCCAAAAAGCGAGCTCTAAAAAATGTCACAGAAAATCAATTTGTAGCGCACGGGCAGAGCAGCGCTTAGAAAAGTGTTGGTCTCGTCTGAACTGAATCGGGGGTGAGTCGCGTTCCTCTGGCGCGGCGCGTTGATTGCTCCTGACAAGCGCTTTCCTTGCAGGTGTGGAGGTTTGCTGCCATTGCCATTCGAGCTTGGCTGAGCACTCACTCCCTTCTTCCACCACCACCATTGAACGCAAGCAGCATTGGACTCATCGTTTTCCCTCGTGGAGCGCTCGCTTTCGTCACGATCATCGCTCTCTACAGATACCCGCGCTGTCTGTGCGCACTCGCCAGAGGTACGCTTCTCCGAGCCTCGACCCTCTCTTTCGCCGGAAGCACAACTCGACTCTCCCCGTCCTACCCCCGGAAGTCTTTGCATTCGCTTCAGCGCTTTTTGACCATGTCGGCAAGAAGTACACTCTCCAAGCGAGATGCGAACACGCTCGCCTCAGATGCGGACGGCACATCGCAAGCAGGCGCAGCGAAACGAGCAAAGACGGGCATAGCTCTTCCAAAAGACGATTTCGACACCTCGGATCAAGAATTCGACGAAGAAGCCCTCATAGCTGCAGCAGAGCAGGCCGAGTCTGCTGCGTCCAATCCGCCGTCCTCTCAGCCAGATCCAGCGTCGTCGCAGCCATCTTCAGCGGCAAAGTCTTCAGCGACGACAACAGCTCTCGACTCTGCCGCCGTCTCCGCTTCGTCTTCGACACCTCGTTCATCCCTTCGTCAAGCCACGCTCACTCCGTCCAAGAACGGGTCGACCATGAAGCTATCCCAGTCCTCCGCCCCGTCGGCTGCCACTCCTTCCGACCTAGTCCCGAAACTGCAACCACCCTCCGACCCTCCCGCCGACCCACTGTGGCTCGAACGCCAAACCATGTCTCCCACCTGGCTCTCCATCCTCCGCCCCGAAATGGAAAAGCCCTACTTCAAGACACTCAAGACCTTCCTCGCAGCCGAAGACAAGGCTGGCAAGAAAACCTACCCACAACGAGAGCTCATCTACTCGTGGTCACGCCTCGTCCCCTCCCCGTCGCACGTGCGCGTCGTTGTTGTCGGGCAAGACCCGTACCACGGACCCAACCAGGCTTGCGGTTTGTCGTTCAGCGTCCCCAAAGGTATTCCTACGCCGCCCTCGCTGAAGAACATATACAAGGAGCTGGCGAGCGAGTATCCAGGCTTCAAAGCGCCGAATCATGGATGCCTGGATGGGTGGGCCAGGCAGGGCGTGCTGATGCTCAATGCGTGTCTTACCGTCTCGGCTGGTGCTGCGGGGAGTCATCACGGGAAAGGCTGGGAGGGGTTGACCAAGCATGTGTTGAAGCGGATCGCGGATGAAGCGGCGGGGTCGAGTGCTGCGAAGGCGGCTAATGCGAATGCCACGGCCAACTCCAAGATCGCTACCATGTTTGCCAAGGTGCAGAGCAAGTCCACCGACAAGGAAGAGAATCATTCCGAGCCATCAGCCAAGGTCGAGCCGAGAGAGGACGGTGATGCGCAGCAGAGCAAAGGCGTCGTCTTTCTCGTTTGGGGCGCTCCGGCGGCAAAGACACTAGCAGAGGCAGGCGTGACCGACAAGAGTGCCAACATTCTCATTCTCAAATCGCCCCACCCTTCGCCGCTTTCTGCGCATCGCGGATTCTTGGGCAATGGACACTTCAAGAAGGCCAACGAGTGGCTGAAGCAGCGCTACGGCGAGGAGGGCATGATTGATTGGGCGAAGCTATAACCCGGGCCGCCTCTCATACTCGGCTCGACACAGGAACAGCAGCACAAATGCAATACCTTGTTCTCATACATCACACAGGGTGGGACACGACGTCAATTTGCGCATTGCGAGGGGAATCAGCCGGTAAGCGGCCAATCGAGCATCTCTCCAAAGTTCCAGTGCACACTCTTGACCTGGGTGTACTCCTTGATGGCATCGACACCGAGCTCCCTTCCAATACCGGAGCTCTTGAATCCACCAAATGGCACCGCATTGCTCACCACCACGTAGTTGTTGACCCACACCGTCCCCGCCTGGATGGCGCCGCTGACCCTCATGCACGTGTTGGCATTCGAACTGAAAACGCCGGCGCCCAGGCCGTAGCTCGTGTCGTTGGCCAGCTTGATCGCCTCCGCTTCGTCCTTGAAGCTGGCCACCGCGAGGACGGGACCGAAGATCTCCTCGTCGACGATCTTCATCCCGCGCTTGCAGCCCGAGAAGATGGTCGGTTGGACGTAGAACCCTTTGGCAAAGTCGCCCGTGCCCTCTGTCCAGGCGCCACCGCCGATCTCGACCTTGGCGCCCTCGGCTTTGCCGGACTCGATGTAGTCGAGAATCCTCTGTTGATGTCGCTGCGTGATCTGGGGTCCCTGGAAGGTTTGCGAGTCGAACGGATCGCCGATGGTGTGCGCCTTGAAGGCTGCGACGAGCTTGGGGAGGAACTTGTCGTAGATGCCCTCTTGGACGAAGAGGCGCGAGCCGGCGGTACAATCCTGGCCCTGGTTGAAGAGGATTCCGAGCGCGACCCAGTTGACCGCCTGATCGATGTCAGCGTCGTCAAACACCACCACGGGCGACTTACCGCCGAGCTCGAGGGTGACCTTCTTGAGGTTGGACTGGGCGGCACGTTGCATGACGCGCTTACCGATGGCGGTGGAGCCGGTAAAAGCGACCTTGTCGACATCCATATGGCCCGTGATCGCATCACCCACCACCGGGCCGAGACCATTGACAACGTTAAACACGCCCTTCGGCAGACCCGCCTCGACCGCGAGCTCGGCGATCTTCAACGCCGTCAAGGGCGTCTGTTCCGCCGGCTTGAGCACTACACAGTTGCCCGCAGCCAACGCAGGTGCCACCTTCCACCCGAGCATCCCGATGGGGTAGTTCCACGGGATGATCTGCCCGCACACCCCCAAGGGCTCGAGACGCGTAAAGGCCAGCTTCTCGCCCTCCTTCTGCTCGATCGTCTTGCCCTCGATCTTGTCCGCAAGCCCGGCGTAGTAGCGGAAGCAACCGGCGGTGTCGGCGATGTCCATGGTTTCGGCGATCCATCGTGGTTTGCCGTTGTCCAGCGATTCGAGTTCGGAGAGTTCCACGATGTGTTCTTCGAGCAGGGAGGCGAGCTTGAAGAGACACTCGGCGCGTTGGGAGGGAGTAGAATTGCGACCCCAGACGGTGTTGTATGCGGTTCGTGCGGCAGAGACGGCGAGATCGACGTCCTCAGCGGAGCCAGCGGAGACGTGACCCAACGAAGCACCCGTCGCCGGGTTGATCGTTTCGAGTGTGTCGCCCGTGACCGAGGGCACAAAGGCATTGTCGATGAACAGACCTGTGGGGACGGTGAGCGTCTTGCCCGAAGGCGAGGCGATGCTGAGCGTGGAAGAAATCGCCATGTTGACAAAGATGCGATGGCAGAGTGTGTTGGTGTAAGGATTCGAGGAAAGAACGTGGAGGAGGTGCCGAGAGGTATATATGGAATCTGCGCTTGCCCGATCGAGGATGCCGAAGAAGCGAGGCCTTATCTGGCCGCGTGCCCGGCACCGGCGGTCAACGACCAAGCCAACCTGCCGTGTCTGCGTATCGAAAACTTCGTAGCCGCCACCCCATGTCGAGCTGCTCGAGCAGCAGGGTCCGGCATCGACATTGGCCCGTGTGCTGCTTCGAGGAAATTGGCGCGCTACCCGCGCTAATCGCGCCTGCCGCGACGATAGGGTTCGCAGCGAAAATCAAGACTTACACAGGTGCAGTGCCCAAAGCAGGACGGACCCTGGACGCAAAAACAGCGCGCCGGGTAGAGACACTCGAGACGGGCCTAGGCAGGGCCAGGACAACCTACGAGGGTAGCTCAACGATGCTCTCCGAAGGGCAAGCAGGCGACGGAAGCTGGCAGGGGAGCGCTGTGTTGCGGGCAGTCGATGCGTAGCCTGCAGCCGTGCGAGGGACAGCGAGCCACGCGACAAAGCAATTGGAGTAATGGCTATGGAGCGGCTTCGGACGGAATTCCATCCTGCTATCGATTCAGGCCAGATAGATCATGTAGGCATGTTCATCGTCGAACACTTGACTGAGCCTGGTGGGACACTCCGACTGTTCAGCTGACCGCAAGCGTCGACATCGTGACGGAAGAGCGAGGCGACGTTGTCCAAGAGGCAAGCCCGGCAATCGGAGCCAAAGCTGGGAGCTGTTCCGAGTGCCGAAGCCGAGCACTCTTTTGGCTGAGCTTGCGTTTCATTTGCCTCGTTACCTGTTGCTGCACCTCAACCATCAACCGGCCATATCCCGCTAGCCTTCATTTCGCCAAACGTTCGCTTCTGCATCTTTTGCCAGCGTCAAAGTCAATCCGGTGGGCACTGCTGCTGAGCTTGCTCCTGCGCAACCCAACCTGTCCTCGGCAGCCCTTCCGTGCGCCCTTCTTTTGCACCGGTCCTTCGGTACCGACCGAGCGGCTGCCAGATAAGCGGTTGCTGCACGGAACCACGGCGATCAAGTAGTTGCCGTGAATCCCGACTCGGCTGCTCATCAAACATTTGCTGACATCGGACGGCTTTCCACATCACCTCGATCGCAAGCGCAGCTGTGCATCCACTGTCGTCCCTTCCATCGATGTGCTACAGGTGCGCGTGAGGTATGACGTCTCAATTGACCCCTTCCGACCATCACCATCCGTCACATCTCGATTCTCGACCGACAAGATAGCCCAGCAAGCGGAGCGGTCATCTTTCCACCATGTCTTCGTCCGGATCGAGCTCAGCTTCGGGCTCCGGATCCCCTGCCGCTGCCTCGTCGTCAATAGCAGCAGGCTCAGCAACACGACAGCTGCAACAAAACGTCTCTTCCTCTGATCTGCCACCTTTCATCAGCAGCACCAACGGCGATTCGGGAGCGGCAAGCTCGCACAACCTCGACGCCGATGCATCCAACCAGGCCAGCACCAGCGCATCCGTCCCTCTAGCAGGCAAACGATCCCGCTCCGGCTGCCTCACATGTCGAAAGCGCAAAAAGAAGTGCGACGAGACGCTCTGCGAAGAGACCGGAGGCTGCTGGCGATGTCGTAATGCGGGGTATCAGTGCGAAGGCTTCCGAAGGGCGCCGGTCGTCTTTGCGCCTGGTACCGCTTCGTCGTCGAAAGGAAAGCGGACCAAAAGATCTCCCGAGGCCGACTCGCCAGGCACAGGCAGTCGGGTCAAGCTCGAACCGGGGGCGAATGGATACGGCAACGGGCTCGCAGATGCGCAGTCGGCAGCATTAGGCCATGCCTCCTTCACATCCGTGGGAGCCGCGGGCGGCATCGATCAGGAGAGCCTCGACATGGCCAACAGTCTAGCAGAGTTCGCTGGTCTCGCCACGAGTTCAGCTGCTTGGCCGCTCGCCAACGACATGGCTGCCACCGGCTCCCACGATAGCATGTCCAAAGACGCCACTTCGACATCAAACTTTAAGAACGGCGCACCGTCTTCCTACACCTCGTTCGCGCACCCGTCCATGCTTCCGCCCGCTCCGCAACGGCCTCTTCCACCCGACTCGTCGCTGCTTCCTCTGCAATCCCCCATGATACCCTGCGAGATCGTCGGCGACTGCCTCTTTTCCGGCCACCACCTGTGTGCCTCTTGCTCTGCCGTGGCAAATCGACTCATGCAGCCCGACCCAGCGGCCCTCGCCGCGCTCGACGCCGACCTCGTGCAAGTCGCACCTTCGCTCTCCACGCCCACGGGATCGCGCCACCATTCCCCCGCCCTCGATGGGTATACGGACACGCACGCTGCCGCGCACCACGCCAACGCGAAATCGCGCCTCGTGATGGAGTCCCTCATCGGGTATTACAGCACGCTCATCGTGTGCTGGGTGCAGGGGTGTGATGTGCGCGGGCTGGAAGCATCGACGCTGTTCCGTCAGCTCGTTCCGTACCTCCTGGACAGCGTCGACAAGCATCCACCCCTTCGACTGTCCATCGCGGCCGTCACGGCCGGCTATGTCGGTGGAGCGAGACTCACCTGGCCCAAGGACGTCGTTGCCATCCATCAGTGGGCGAACACGCTTCGAGCCGACCGAACGAGCATCGCCGACTGCGTCAAAGCGAATCTCACCTTTGGCTTCCCCGGCACACCGGATACCATCTGGTCTGCGTCCCCTGGATCGGAACCGCATGGCAAGGGCGCGCTTTCGCCGGCCAACGTCGAGCGTCTGCGTCGCGCCTCGTCCACCCATGCTACGCTCGACGATCTGCTCGTGGGTCAAGCGCAGACGTTGAAACACCTTGCGGTGCGATCGCTCGAACAAGCCGTGGCGGACTACAAAGCGAAGACCACCCGTGCGATGGGAGTGAGTTTTACGGAGAAAGGCTTCATCGCCGAATGCGTGCATGTCAACCCGCTGCTCATGGCCTCGCTCAACATCGCCATCTACGCCTTCGCCGAGGAGGGGATGACGAGCTACTTCGAGGAGGCAGCTCGAATGCGAGGACTCATCGAAACGCTATTGGGCTCTTTCCCACCGGTGAACCTGTCCAAGTTGACGAGTCACGAGCATTTGGGTTTTCGAACGTATGTCTGGTCGGATGTCACCACTGCCATCGCTTGCGGGACGCGACCGCATCTTCAACTCGCACTGTCGACCTACATCACCGACGTGGATGTCACCACGAGTTCGCAGGATCTCACGTTCAGCATGATCGACGTCATCCTCGTTGCGTTGTCGGACATTGCGCGGTTGCGATACGAATTCGATGGAGGGGACTTTAGCCGCACTGCCCGACGCCAAGCGGGGGTGCCGATCCCGCAATGGGTGCGGGATCGAGCTAAACGCATCCAGGCTCGGGCCGAGTCGTGTCGGATCAAAGGACCTCTCACTACGGGAAGCGCGATATGTGCTGTGATGACCAAAAGCGCATGCATCATCCTGATTCACACGCTCATCTACCGTCTCGGTGCGCTACATCCAATCATCGTCAGCCTGCTACGCAGCATGTTGGATCTGTGGACTAGCGCGGGGGAGAAGTACTGCAAGAGTGTGGGGTGTAGCAACTTCAACCTCCCCATGTTCGTAGCGAGCTCCGTGGCGGTGAGCGAAGAGGACAGAAGGATCTGCGAAAGCGCCATGAAGGTCGTCGGCCACGAAGAGGCCGGTCCGGCGAGCGGAAGGGAGTTGATCAGGGAGGTGTGGAGGAGGAACGATGTTACGGGTGTTCCTTGCTTTTGGACGGATGTCGTTGCCAGTGGCGAGTATGCGGTTGCTTTTTTCTAGGTCACCGTGTGTAATGGTTCATATCTGCCTAACAAGGTGCGAACAACGTCGGGTTCATGCTGAGGACGATGGTGAGGAGGAGCCGGCCGAGAACAGCTCCCCCACGATGAAAGATCGCCACAATGTCTCGCTCGTCCTCGAGGCTGGTCCGAGAGCAGGGCTGATCCTTCAGACAGTGCAGCCTCATCTCTGGACCGTCTCGGAGGGAGCCTATCCGACGACACGCTCCATCAAAAGTCTTGGCGAATCACAAAGAGGCTTATCTACCCCGCACTCGCTTTACGGTCGAGCGTCGTCCTATCTTAGCATACGCCATAGCGTTCCTGAGTCACGATAAGCGGAGCTGGGTTCGAAGCAGCGGGCATGAATCGCAGCGACGGAGGTGGAGCGACGTCGTCCGTGGTACCGTATCGGGTTGAACGGGTTCAACGGGCTTCGCTGCATGGACGACGCAGCATGTGAGCTCATTCTGCGATTGCGCACGTCCCAGTCGAGCGCGACGTTCCTGCATCGCCAGGCGAGAAGCACCACCGACCTGATCAGAGACACGAGAGGCAGGGGGGAGGGGCGTGGCAGAGGATGCGCATCGTGACGCGCCCGATCTCTACATGGGGTTAGCCATGGCAGCGCTTCATGAGCACCAAAAGGTGCCCGATTCGACGCAAGCGATTTGGCTTTAGAGCGACAACGCCAAACCCGAGCATCCGACAGCCTTCGCAACCCAGTCTCGGAGCGAAGATATCCGAAAGCTTAGCCCAGAGCAGAGCCTGTCACGTACTGCCTGACTGAAAATTCAAGAATCATGCGCCAAGAAGTTCGCCTATTTCCGTGCTTCTTTGCCCTCTCAAGGCATGAGAGCCAAGGAAGGCGAGAGCTTCCATTTTGCGGACCTCTCTCTTCCGTCCGCCACGCGAGCCATAGACGGTTTTGCCCGAACGATGGTGGTTGACCGCCTAAACTCGTCCCTTCTCCTCGAGCCTGCGACTGTTCGGTATTGTCGCCGAATCAAATGAGGCTCGCTTGGAAGTGTTGGAAGTGTTGGCGTTGGCGTATCAGCCAGCTAGCAGTGAGTTACCGCAGTAGCGCACGTACAGAAGCCCACTTTCGTCAGTGGCTCATACCATGTCGGTCCCTCTCCTCGTCGAACATCGAAAAGCTTTTTTTTGCGCGAGAAAAGTCAGCGATTCAAACTCAACCAACGGCTGAGAGTCGGCCGAAGGCATCCTGCAACTCCGCTCTTCTTCCTTTTGAGCAGAAGCATCAGCGAAGCAGGCACAGTAGAAGGGCAGTGGGTTGCGGACTGGGAAAGGGCAAGAAATGCCCGCCTGGATTCGGTCGTCTGCAGGTGGGCATGCATGCGAAATTTGCTTGGCACAGCACCAAATTGCTCCGATCTGGCATTTGGCCGCACAAAAGGAACCCAGGTTTGATCGTCGAGCAGAGCGGAACGACGTCCTCCGAGATACCGTCGATTCGTACCATTCCACCACCTCTGTCAGATGACTTGTCGACAAGATGGTGGCTCGTCCAATGAACACCTCGGATCGGTCAACTATCTGATCAGTGCGAGACCACCTCCGCCATGCAGGAACCGTGCAACGTGGAATCGAGAGACCAGCTCGAGATCTCGACGTGGGCTAGCTCGCTCGCTCTCAAAACAAGCTGGCAATTGGAATATGCTGTTGGTGGAGCCAACGTCTTCGTAGCTCGAGGCGATCAGAGCAGCCAACGGAGAAAGGGCGAGCCAGGCAGTAAGCTCTCACCGATGGCAACCAGTGAAAATGTAGATGGCGCTGCACCCCGCAGTCTCGTTCGCAGCCCCTCGCTTAGCAATCAAGCTCGAGCGGATACCTGACTGACTGGCTGACTGGCTGGAATGCTGGCTGATAAGACTCGGTTTCTGGCCATTTCATGGGAGCGTGTTTCGATCGGTCTTCGATTTTCTGGTGCAATTCATGCGTCCTAGAGCCGCTCGCTTGTATGGCATGGCGTTCTTGGCTCGTCGTCTTTTCACCGTGTCTTTGTCACCATATTACAGGTCAAACGACGCTCGACGATAAGCAGTCCATTCCAGCGCCTTAGACTGAGAAGAACAGGACCGGAGGAGCGTCAATTCAGACCGAGCGTCGTCGGGAAGCGCTGGCGACTTGTGGAAGGAAGCGGAGAGACAACGCAATCAAACCTGTCACAAGAGGAAAGTTGCCCGGTGCATAGTTTGAGTCGCACTGCAACGGTCTCGAATCGGCAGAGTGGAAGCACACTATGGGAGCCACTTTGGAACGGCGCTTCTTTCGGTCGGTGAGTCGGTCAAATGGCTTCTTCTGTTCCCAACCCGCGGTATGTCGAAGCGTGCCTCCAAGACGCCACCGAGCGTCAGCAGCATGCTGCTCCCGCAGGCGCCATAGACGCACCTCGCGACGAGACAATGGCGCACCGCCATCGCGTCTTCATCGAAATTCGTGTATCTCTGCATGGTGCGAGTGGGAGCGAGGGCGGTACAATCGAGAGAGAACCCCTTGAAAGCGAGAAACCGACGGCGATTGGTCCGAGGATAGCGAACAAAAACTGGGTCGCTGCCCCAGTGCATCTCGAAAAGTTTTGTCCTACGCTGCTGCCTCCTTCGTTTGACAGCTTGGCGCTTCTGCTGTGTCGCGCTCTACTGCGGTATTCCGCCTTTGCCACTGGAAAGCCCCCGGTGCACCCATGCGCAGGCCAAACACTGCAAAGCACCTCGAGCGTCGGAAGCTTGGCACCCTTGTTCGACCCTTCCATTGATGAGCAGTTGTCCTTTATCACCTCGCCTATGCAGCCCACATGATACTGCTGCTGCACTGTGGTCGTTCACCCCGCTTCCGCGAGCCAATCGTGCTTCGTCGTCGTCGTCGGCGGCGGCGGTGTGGCTCGCCTGCCTGATAAGCGTCTTCGTTGAAGCCCTGCCACGAGACCCGGGTGGTGACCGAGCCTCTGATTCAGCGCCTGTCACACCACCGCTGCTCCTCCTGCTGCATCCAGGCACCATTCGTAGTCCTCATGAGACCATCTCTGTCCAATCGTAGCCCTTTTCGCTCAAATCCGCTCCGTCCCTGCATGTGCAGAGGCAGCAGCAGCAGCACCAGAAGCGGACGGGCTGCTCCGCACCCGCCCTCGCCACTGGTCCGCCATCTGTCCACCCACTCACGCTAGTCTGCCACCATCGCTCTTGGCATCCCACCCTGGGCGTCCGCTCCTGCCTATGTCTCCCATCGCGCGACCTTGCACTTCGGATCGGTTCCTTCCGGTCCCGTCCAGTCCAACGTCCACCACCGCTGACCGTCGTCCACTTGACCGATTGCGAACGAGTCACCCCTCTCGCTCCGCGCTCGTCCATATTAATACCCTTGCTCTCGTGTCCACTCCTTCCTCTCTTCCTTCGTCACCCTCAAGCCCACCTTCCCCCTCTTCACCCTCCCCATCGCCCTTCACCATGGCCGCTCCCACCCCCACCTGGGGACAGATGCACAACGAGGCCAACGAGATCACCGAGACGCACGTCCCTCACTACCAGGAGCACCACGGCCTCCAGGCCCGCACTCCTTCCGTCGATGACGAGAAGAAGTCGCCTCTCTCCTCGCAGGATGGTCTCGACGCTCAGCTCCCCGTCACCGGCTACTACGATGCCGAGAAGAAGGCCGTCGCCGCCGATGAGGACTACGAGCCCGAGGATCTCCACTCCGGCAAGCAGTTCGACGAGAAGTACTTTCCCGAGGAGACCCACCAGCTGACGATCCGTTCCATGGTGGTCGGTACCGTGCTTGGTTGCGTCATTGCCGCCTCCAACGTCTACCTCGGTCTCAAGACCGGTTTCACGTTCGGTGCTTCGCTCTTCGGCGCCATCCTCGGCTACTCGATCATCAAGGTGATGCAGAAGGCGCTTCCCGAGAAGCTCGGCGGTGGTTTCTTCGGTCCTCGGGAGAACTGCACTGTCCAGACCGCCGCTACCGCCGCCGGTTCGCTCACCGGCATGTTCGTCGCCGCCGTCCCCGCCATGTACCAGCTCGATCTGCTTCATGACCCGCTCAAGGACTTTGGCCGCCTCATCACCTTCTCGGCCGTCTCGGCCTACTACGGTGTCTTCTTCGCCATCCCCCTGCGCAAGTTCTACATCTTGAAGCAGAAGCTCATCTTCCCTTCGCCCACCGCCACCGCCTACACGGTTCGATCGCTCCACGCCCCCGGTGGAGAGGCTACCGCCAAGAAGCAATCGCGCGCCCTCCTCTACTCGTTCGCCGCCGCTTTCACCTTTGTGGTCGTCAACCAGTACGCCTCGGGCATCCTCATGGACTGGCACATCTTCTACTGGCTGTACAGCTGGGGATGGAAGAGGGCCATCGTTGTCGACAACTGGGGTTGGATCATCGAATGGACCCCTGCGTTCCTCGGTGCTGGTATGCTTTCTGGTATGAACGCATCCTACTCTTTCTTGGGAGGTTCGTTCCTCATGTGGGCCATGATTGGTCCTGCCATCATCGCCACCGGCCAAGCACACGGTCGCAACACCGGTATCGCCCCTTACTACGAAGGTGACAACCCGGAACCCCTCCGTTGGGCCTACACCTCGATGAGCTTCAACCCCAACACCACCCCGCTCAACCGTGCTTCTCCTCGTTACTGGGGTCTCTGGCCGGGTGTGCTCATGATGCTCGCCTACTCGTTTGCCGAGATCGGCATGAACGGACCCACGATCTACCGCGGTATGCGCGCCGGTGCACAGGAGATCTACTGCAAGATCGCCCGCAAGGACCCGCCCACCTACGAGGACGCCATCGCCGACCCTTGCGAGAAGAAGGACCAGGTTCCCGTCTGGGCCTGGACCGGCGGTCTGCTGCTCAGCATCGTCTTCACCTGCCTCGTCTGCACGCTGCAGTTCCACATGAACCTGGGTAACGTCATCCTGGCTATCATCCTTGCGTTCCTCTTCTCGTTCGTCGGTGTGCAGGCGAGTGGTGCGACGGACACCAACCCGGTCGGCTCGGTTGCTAAGGCGTCGCAGTTGATCGTGGGTGGTGCATTGCGTGGTCAGGGTAAGACCGGTGCTTCGGGTCTGTTGGAGAACCTGATTGCCGGTTCGATCGCCTCGTCTGCCGCCTCGCACGCCGTCGACATGGTCGGAGATCTCAAGACGGGTCATCTGCTTCGTGCCAAACCCCGCACTCAGTTCTGGGCCCAACTCTTTGGTTCGTTCTTCTCGATCTTTGTCTCGACCGGTCTGTTCGTGCTGTTCACCAAGGCCTATCCGTGCATCACCAACGCCGATGCGGACGAATGCCCCTTCGCCGCTCCCGCCGTCGCTGCCTGGAAGGCCGTCGCTGTCGCCGTCATCTCGCCCAAACTCCCCGTCAGCCTCTCCTCCGGTATGACCGCCATCGGTTTCGCCATCATTTCCGTCCTCACCGTCGTGCTCAAGTACAAGGTGATTCCGGCCAAGTACCACGTCTACGTGCCCAACTGGAACGCGGTCGGTCTCGGCTTTGTCGTTCCGCAGGTGTACTACCCCATTGCCATGTGCATGGGTGCCACCACCGCGTTGATCTGGAAGGGAAAGCGCCCCCAGTCGTTCGATCTGCTGGCGTTTGCCATCGCCGCCGGTTTGATCGCCGGCGAGGGCATGGCGGGTGTCTTCAACGCCATCCTCACCATCATCGGCGTCGACGGCGGGACTTATGGTAGCACCGTCGGTCTTCCCCCTTGGTAAACTTCACGATTCGTCATGGGCATCAACACACACTTGTATCACTTTTCTCTTTATGCCTTACTCATGAATCAGCATACCCTTTTCTCTCACGTTCCACATTCCGTGCGATAATTTTTTGTGTGATGTGGACCATTGTTTTTGTGAGATATGTACCCTTCGTGAGAAATGTGATAACAGAATGGGAAGCAATTGCGTCGGGGGTGCGACGTGATTTTTGGAGCGGGGCGCGGCGACAACGCTCAAAGGATAGCGCGGACGATGGTGACGTTTCGCTCTTCGAACGCCAACCACGTCTGAGTTCCCACGACGCTGTCGAGCGAACCGGGACTGTCAACGCGCTCGAACACTGTAACGAGGAAGCCGTGTTCCACGGTCAAGGGTCAGTCATCTTCCCACGAAATCCATTTCCCATGCCCGAAAGGTTAAATGAGTGGGACTTACTGGTGAGCTCCTGTCCCTCCTCAGTGACAAACAAGCGCGGGGTGAACTGGGGTCCGATCGCGAGGTTGCGCTGCTGCAACTGGTTGCCGGTGTTGGTGCACGAGCCGGAGCAGTACTGCAGTCCTGAAGTGGACGCAAAGGCGAGATTGTACGCGTCACCATCCTCGATGCCGTTGTTGGTGTAGAAGCTCGACAGTGTGCCGCCCTGACGGGAGTTCTCGGTGGACGGTACGCAACGGGTGACGCTACCTGCTCCGCCCTCTTGCGACGAAGCGTAGGGGTACTCGTCTGTCCGACAGTCAGAAGGATCGAGTCAGCTCGACGGCCAGTGAGCACCGAAAAAAGGGAAGGAAACTTACCACACGAGTTGGCATCCGACGGACCATTGGCACACCGGTTGGGCGACTTGCACGCCGTCTTGGCCCGGTTGGTAGAAGCGTTGGCCGAGTCTCGGTGCAGCGTTGTTGGCTTGCCAGCGCAATTGATAGCAAAACAATCGTTACTACAAATATTGGGTATACGTGTGCAATCCCACGTCAAGGTGGCTGCTTGGGCAGTGCTGGCCATGCCGAGCAGCGCGATGCCAGCGAGGATCCAAGAGAGACGCATCATGTTTGAGGGAAAGGGAACTAGGGCGGGGTGGCTTTCGGGAAGCTCTTGTGATCGGGGTGGGGTTCTTGAAGAGGGGAGCTGTTGCGTCTTTGTACTGATTGACCGCCCTTCGATGAGCATGCTTTATACGATTCGAGTCTCGAGTGACAGACGGAAGACCGGATGCTGAACAAGCGCAAGACAGCGATAGCCCTCCCCCGCACTGCGAAGGAAACGCAGGCGGCTGTTCATGCGGGTAACAGCAGCCTCACTGCGGTGTGTGAGAGCACGTTCTGAAGCATCCGCCGGATATGCTTTCTATCAGTCATGCGACAGCGCTTTGTTCGACGGTCGTCCAGACAAGATTTCTGCTCAGGGTTCACGCCATTGATTCTGTATCAAGCCTGTCATGCGACGCCCCAAGAACAAGCTCGACCAGCACCGAGTCCTCGGAGAAGGGCGAGAGGCGAGAGAGAGAGACGTCGCTTAGCGCCACACGTTCTGATATCGGCTAAACGGGTTGCAGCGTTCAGGGTTCAAACGCGCCCCCTTTACCTCGGTAATGGACAATTGAGCGTGTGCTGCCAAGACTCGCTGTACTTCCTTCGCGCTCTGCTAGTAACGAAATCGCACATGCGGAAGTCGGACCCTACCGTCACGGAGGCGACGAGAAGCGAAGAGGCTAGCGTCCAGCTTTGCATGCGGCTTCTCGAGTTCCGAATAACCGTCGTATCACTCCCCCCCACAAGATAAGCAGAGCGTGTTGGACTCGCGCTTGGCCGGACAGGAACGTGCCATCAGAACGCTTCAACCGCTAACGATAATGCTCTGGCTCCCATTCATTCAAGCGAGGCTGCGCTGGCTATGGGGGACGAGGATGCTCGGAAGCGCTAACTCAACCATGAGTGCTCGCATCCAGCCTCGCAAACGGACTCTCAAAACCATCTGCTGCCGGAATGACCGTCCTCTGAGCATACTCTTGTCAGCAAGCCGGAACACGGTCGCGGAACGTGGGATCGAAAGGCGGGCTCGATTTGATTCGGTACATCATTGCGAGTTGATACGTTTGAGAACAGTTTTTTTTGAAGCCCGTTCAAAGATCAGCATTGACGTGGATGACCATCTTTCCTTGATGCTCCGGCTTGGCGTAGTCGTCACGCATCTTGTCGACCTCCTCGAGCGGATAGGCGATGGTCTTGACCTGAATCTTATGCTTTGCGACCAGCTCGCACATCTCTTGTGTGGTCTCGGGATCGCCCAGCAGGCTGCCCTTGACGGTGATGTCGCGGAAGATGAAGTGGTCGTAGTGGATGGGGATGGGGTCGTTCGGCTGTCCAACCACCATGAAGAGACCGTGGTTCTTCGTGATGGCAAGCCCAAACTCATAGGCGGGGATCACGTCGGTGCACATGATCACAGCATCGGCTCTCTCGCCGTCCAGCTGGGTCTTGACGAGCTCATCGACAGCATTGGCGTCGTGACCGTCGATCTTGCCCGAGTTGACCGTCTTGTCTGGAGGATAGGGCAGCGACTTGCACATCTCCAATGGCGCATCTCGTGCATCGAAGAGCCAGACCTTGTACCCGAGGCATTTGCCAAATTGAACACCGAGATGACCCAGCGCACCTGCGCCAATAATGGCAAGAGTTTGGCCTTGCTTGAGCCCACACTTGACGATCGCAGTGTAGATGGTTGCGCCGGCGCAAAAGAGTGGTGCAGCCGAGTCAAAGTCGAGCGACTCTGGGAGCACCACGCAGGATCGATAGTCGGCAAGCATGTATTCCGCAAAAGCTCCGTCTGCGGTCACACCGACCATGTCCTGATTCTGACAGTAGCGTGGTGTGCCACGCTTGCATTCGCTGCATTCACCGCAAAAGTCGCGGAAGGTGATGCTGCCAACGCGATCGCCCAGCTTGAGCGGCACGTTGTTATTCTGGCCATCGTCGCTTCGCTTGCCACCAGCAGCGTTTGAAGCGGCATTCGAGCCGAGTCCAACGACCACACCGGTAGGCTCGTGCGATGGGATGAGGGGCAATGGGTTGCGTGCCTTGCCAGCAAACTCTCCTCGCGCCACCATCATCTCCGTGTGACAGTAGCCGGCGGTCGCAATGCGAAGGAGCACGTCGTTGGGTCCGATCTCGGGCACGGGCACGTCGTCGCGCAGCACATAGGGCGGATCAGCGTTGAACTCCTCGATGCGAAGCGCCTTCATCTTCTTGGGAACGTCGGGTGCAATTGTTGACGACATGTTGAGTTGATTCCCGTAGTGTCGTTATGAGTACAGTGAGTTAGGAGGGTATGGTGTCTGCGAGCAACGGGAAGACCACCTCAACAAGCCTTGTACACAGATGGCCGGCGGGCCTGTGCAGCATCATGAGCCGCCGCTCGATGATGCATGTCGTTCGACACAAGGCAGCCTGCGGCTATACTCTCGGCCTCCACTCGGTGACGATGCGTAAATGCGTGATCTGCAAATCGGGACCCGATACTGATTCGAGTCGCGTAAATTGGCTCTCAACGCGCGTCTCGTGCTGCGAATTTGGCCAGAGTCCAACACTCTTGTTGGTCTTGAGAGCCTTGCCTTCCACACGATCCTCATCTAGAGCATCAAGATGACGAGCGTCGCGATCGCACCACCGCCAGAGCTGCGCAGAACCATCCTGCGAGTGTTCACCACCAAGCACTCGCTGCAGCTCCATTCGTCCGCCATCTCGTTCATCACCTCGACACTGGCAGAGCATGGACTCTTGGAACAACCACTCGAATGGGAGGAAGCCATCGATGCGCTTGCACAAGGCGTCGTCGAGGGTCAGTCCGACGTCGATCCGAAAACGCCTTCCACCTCTCGGGCAGCTACACTAGCTCGCAACGGCTCGGCTGGCCGCGGGCTCGATGACGATGACAGCACGGATCCGTCCGACGTAGTGACAGCAGCGGCACTCGAGAAGGTCTACTCCAGGCTCGTAGTTGCCGACTCTGCTGCTCATACCAACCCCGGCGTCGTCGACGATGGCGTTCATCGGCATCCGCACGAGCTCACAGATGGAGAGCTGCCAGATCCGCATCGATACTTTGGCGTCCACTCCGCCTTCTCCCAGCCAAAGCTCGCCTTCGACCCCATTCGCAAAGTCTTCGAATCATCAGCGTCATCGCCAACAGTACTGCCAACAGCATCGACTCGATCGTTGTTCCCAAGACAGCGATATCACATCCTCAAGAGCGTCATTTCGAGGAACGAGAACTTCTGCCCGCCGCTCGCCATCCCGACCGCAGGCTCCTCATCCTCGTCACGCAACAACGCAGCGGACGGCTTCATGAAGCTCACCTCGACCAAGAACCTGCTCGGACGACAAGGGCAGCGTTTCCTGCTTTTTGGCATGCTCAGCACCTCGTCCGACGGTCGTTACGAGCTCGAGGACGCAGATGGAACAGTTGGCCTCGACCTCGAGAATGCGATCCCCGGCGAAGGCATCTTCACCGAGGGCAGCTTGATCCTCGTCGAAGGCGAATACACCCAGGAGGAACGAATCCGCGTCTTTGCCATCGGTCATCCACCGAGCGAGACGCGAGCACAGGCACGATTGATTCATGCCCACACCGACTTTTTAGGCCCGCCACAACCGCCCACCGTCGCTTCTGCCTCCGCACCCAGTCGAGCCGCAACATCCGCGCCGTGGAGGGGAGCCATGTCGGTCAAGGAAGAAGCGGCCTTCCAAGTGCACGAGGCCAATCACTCCGACCTATGCTTTGTCATCTTTTCCGACCTTCATCTGGATCATCCCAAGACGATGTCCGCGTTCGCCACGGTGCTGCAGGGATATGTCGACGCCGAGTTCATCCCCTTCGCGCTGGTGCTGTGCGGCAACTTTGCGAGCCAGCAGTACTCGTCCGCTGACATGGTGGACAAGTACAAGACGGGCTTTGCGGCGTTGGGCGAGACGCTCTCGTCATTCCCAGCGGTGGTGCGGACCAGTCACATCATCATCGTTCCCGGTCCGCAAGATCCGTTTTCGACCTCGCTCGTTCCGCGACCGCCGCTTCCAACTTTGCTCGTGCAGCCGCTACTCTCAAAGCTCAAGCCCCTGCACGCGACGATTCACCTCGCCTCGAACCCATGTCGCCTTTCCTACTTCTCCCAACAACTGGTCATCTACCGCGACGACACGATGACGCGTTTCCTGCGCAACACAGTGCGCATCAAGGACGAGACGCACGAGCAGGAGCGCGAGGAGCGCGAAAAGGAGGAACGCGATCTCAAAAAGTTTCTCGTCTCGACGGTGCTGGATCAGGCGCATCTCGTACCGTTGGCGCAAAGGATTCGACCGGTGCTGTGGGACCACGATCACGCGCTGAGCCTGTATCCCATGCCCACGGCGCTCGTGCTCGCAGACGCCTACGATCGGTACGAGCTGACCTACGAAGGATGTCACGTCGTCAATCCGGGCTCGTTCCGCTCGGGCAGCGGGTTCGCCTGGTCGACCTACTATCCTGCGACTCGAAGGACCGAGCCCAGCGAGCTGCCTTTGAACTGAACGTTTCACTTTTCCAATTCACATGTTTGAGCAGCAAGACCAGAAGACCGTGTGTATGTCTCGAGTTGAGTGACGGGGTTGAGATCGGGTTGATCGAGTATCGCCCGATGAGACGCTGGGACGGTCGTGAGTGGAAGCTCGTTCAACTCGCATGAGCCCGAAAAAAGAATTTGCCGGCCCTGCTTCAGGCACAGCCATATTTCAATTTTGACTCGACCTCGCACAGCTCGCAACGATCAGGCATGCTTATGGTTTGGCGATAGAAGCTAAGTTGCCGTGAACCGGCAAGGTTTGAGAAGCATGATCGAACTTGAAGTCGCACAGACGATCGTGGAGGATGCCGTGTCTGCAACCGCGTGGAGGCTTTTTCTTCCCCTGACAGGCCGTCTCGCTTAGGAAAAAAAATCATGCAAGGCGACGTGCGAGCCACCGGCCCCTGTCTGCCTTTGGCCGGCGTTCAAGGGGTTCAACATCTCTCTCCGCGAGTCGACCCTCCATGGCAATCTTTTGGTACCGCATGACTCCGTTGCTCGACGCCGCTTTCAACATCTCATAGAAGCATGAGTGCCGTAGGGAGCGCTTGAGTAGGCAATTCGTGTCTGATTTTATGCACATGCTACAGTGTACGGATCGCACTGCATCGATGTAACGCAGGTCCAGCTGCAAGAGATAGAAGCTTGCCTGTATCTTCCTGTTGAACAAACGCACTGAGATACTGTTCGAGCGGCCTGCAAAAGGCGCTGGGCGATCTGCGAAGGCAGTCTGAGCCTCGCGACGAACGCAAGGAGCTGGCAGTGGCGCTGCAACCAGCGCCGGGGCTCGGCACGCATGGTACTGTCTGCAAGGTGCAATGACAGCTTCGACCCTCGTTTTCTAACTCCGCACAGAGATTCTACCCGCTTCAATTTGCCGCACTGTCATTGTTCTCCTAGTGCGATGTCGATCTCGCCTTGTGGAACTTCTATTCCCCCCTTGCCTAGTCGATGCCGCTCGGTAGGCACCTGTCAGAATGCGCAGTGGAGTTGAAACTGTACCTTGTGGGACGGCTCGAAGCATGCGGTCACTGTGAACTCCAACTTTCATCTTTCGCTCTCCTGCGGTTCATGCGGTGTTCGCCTTTGCTCACGCTTCGATACATCTTCTCCTTTCGTGAACCCCTCTGTAGCGTCTTACTGTCTTTGCCGCCGGCCACTTTCGCAATTTATAAGAGAGCATCGCCGCGACCTCCGTCCGCCGTTCCTTCTTCTCCTCATCCCACTCACTCCACTCCCCTCCACGCTAAACCTTTCCCCTCATCGATACCCCTTTCTCCCCCCGAAACGCACTATCTCCTTTCGTCCATCACACGCACACATACATTCACGCACACCTCGACTGCACGTCGCCAACCAGCCAAGATGCGCATCGCTTCCACCGCAGCGGTCGCTGCTGCCGCGGGCACGCTCCTCGCCCAGATCCCCTCCGCCCTCGCCGTGCCGCACCAGCAGAGCCTGTACAACGGCTACAACGGCCTTTCCACTCCCGCGGCCGAGTTCTACGACGATAGCATCCCCGCTCGCGTTCAGCACAGTGTCTGGTCCTCGCTCACCTCGTTCTTTGGTCAGTCGCACAACCCCGTTCAGGTCATCAAGAATGCGCCCGGTGTCAAGATGCTCGACTCGGGCTTCCCCACCGCCGACATCGATAGCATTGCCGCCCCTCGATTTGTGCTGTACGGCGACGAGGATGTTCCGGGCCAATCCTACGGTGCGCCACCTTACTACAACATCTCCGGCTTCAACGTCTTCAACCTCGCCTTCTGGACGGTCAAGTTCGGCGTGGCTGATAACGCCGCCAAGTTTGCCGCCAAGAGCGACGCCGACAAGAAGTGGTTCAAATCGCGCTACGCCGGTGCCGGGATGAAGCTCATGGTCTCCGTGTTCGGCGCGACGGATACCCCCCAGAGTCTCGGCAAGGACCCAATCGAACTCGGTCGCACCATCGCTGCTTTCGTCAAGAAGAATGGCCTCGATGGCGTCGACGTCGACTACGAGGAGATGGATCTGTTCGCCCAGGGCAAGTCGGCCGACTGGTTGATTAAGCTCACCAAGAGTCTCCGAAAGAATTTGCCCAGCCCCGACTACATCATCACCCACGCTCCCGTCGCACCTTGGTTCAACACGGCCATGTATCCTCAAGGATACACCTACATCCACCAACAAGTAGGAAACTTGATCGATTGGTATAACCTGCAGCATGTATCATACGCTTTCCTGCTCCTTTCCGACGTCATTACCGGTGCTGAAGCTGACCAACTTCTTTTCCTACCCCTTCTTCGGCCCTTCGCATCATTCTTGCCCCTCCTTCTCTTCTCTTCTGCTCCTCCTTTCAACCGCAAACAGGACGTATAACCAACAGAATTATGATACGTGCGATTCGCTCATCTGGAACTCAGGCGACAACTTCCCCTTGACGAGCTTGTTCGAGATCAATAAGTACTCCGGCGTCCCGCTAGACAAGCTTGTGATTGGTAAGCCTGCAGTGGCCGGTGACGCGGACAACGGGTTCATGAAGCCCTCGGTGCTCGGTGGCTGCCTCAACATTGCCGTTCAGAACGGCTGGAACGCGGGCGCCATGTTCTGGGAGTACCCGCACATGACACCCAACCGCCTGAGCGTCATCACCGACGCTGCTGGTCTCAGCTAGATCCGCTCACTCACCCCCACATCGACAAGCCTGTAACTACATCTCTTGATCATGGACAATCGAGCTTTACATTCACATCTTCTCGTCTCCTGTTTGTGTTGTGTATCGGCGCCTGAGCAGCTACCATCGATGAGGAGAAGCACGGCGTCGCTCGCCCGCGGAGCGAGCCGCCCGAAAAAAACAAATTAAAATTCAAAAAAAATAAATTGCCACGCGAGCAGGCTGAGTGCTTTGTTTGACAGCTGAGCCGTGTGCCGCTGCGGAACTCAACCCGCTCCCGCACGGAGACGGCGCCGTGTGTCAACGGCCTCGTCAGTGAAGCGACACGCTTTCCAGCTGTGAACACATGTATGCTCGAGATGAAGTTGAGCTTTCTGAAATGAGCGGGAGTCTCGTGGTGTTGGCGATCAGCCTCTCTTCACAGCGACGACGGGAGGAATGGGAGACGCACACGGCGGTCTCAACTTCGACAAACCTTGAGCCACAATGAGCCTGGACAACCTCTTGCACAAGATCTTTGCAAAGGTGAGCCTCGCTGACGGCGATCATTTTCGACTCGAGTAAAGCGACAAGATCCGCATTTCCCATGCCTCAGAGGCGCAAGGAGTTGCCCTTGATTATGCTGTCGAACCTGGCCAGGTGGGCTATGAGCATTACAGCTCGGGCGTTCAGACGATTCCAGTTTCTCGAACGCTGCGTCACGAGACCGCAGCCGAGGTGAACATTCTTTCGTCACAAGCTTCCGTCACACGCAATAGAGCAGAATTTGAGTTTGGTTTGGTTTCCCAGCGGCCTCGATTGTACGGGATGTAACGCGTTGAGAATGACAGCGACTGCGGGAAGCGAATGTGCCAGAAGCATGAGCTGGGCCACATTGAGTTAAGCTCAAGCGTCCGCTCTGTGCGGAGACGGAGACACGCGTGCGAGACGAACACAGAAAGCTCGCCAAGTGTTTCTCTTTTGTGATACAGTAGTTCAGACAAAATCGTTTGATATCTGTGACCAGCAGTGCGGAAATCCATGGCTGTGCGACGAAAGGAATTGAGGAAACGACAGCATCGGCAGACTTCAAGGCACGACATATTCGCTACTGCACGGCTTCACACGAGGCCTTGCGATGCTGGTGAACGTCCTGACTAACACTAATGGAGCCTCGCTGCACGAAGAGTGCATCCATCAACACAAAAATATATCAAAAATATATGAAAAGTATCGGCATGATTCCGCCTCGCCGTCTGAGAACGGAAGCGGGCGTCTGCGTCTCCCGCACACGATCCTTTGGAGAGTCGTCGACTACGTCACATGCCGCAAACTTGGCCAGCTGTATCTCCTAGACCACGAACGGCTCTTCCTCTCGATCGTGCCGAGATCTCTTTGTACCTCACTGCACGGTCATCGATCGAAAGCTCGCGGAATACTTTTGTTGTCTATGGGGTCTTCAAGGTGACTAGTGAGGTCCATCGTTTGAGCTGCCATAGCTGGGCGCGAGGCCAATCGAGAGCGAGGCGTCCAAATCGGCAGACGAGGGCAGCGCGTTGTCCGCGTACCGACTGTGGGTCGCCCCGCTGTACTGCTGCGTGGCCGTGTTGTCCCTCGCCAACGGAAAAGACGAAAGCGCACCTGCGTCCTGATACTGGCCCACTCCACCGTTGGACAAGCCCGGCTCGCCTTGGAACAGCACGTTGCTGGCAGGGTATGCCTGGTTGATGAAGTGAGACGGCACGTAGGCGCGGTCGTAGCTTCGTGCCTGCTGGTTGTGTGCGCCGGCCGAGGCGGGCAGAGGCAGAGACGGGGTCGATATGGACGATGTTGAGCCAGCATAGCCGTACGGCCCGTTGGCGATGGCGCCAAGGCCAAGATCCACGTGGTCCGGAAGGGCTGTTGACGAGACGGAGAAGACGGCGGAGCTGGCAGAGGCGGGTGGTGAGATGGAGGACGACACCAAGGCGACGTTGGACAAAGCGCCTTCGGATCGGGGCGTCCACGACCCAGCTCCATTCTGAGCACTCGTTGAGGCGGTGCCGGACATACTCAGCAGTGACGAAGGCCAGTGAGAATCCACGTTCAGACCTGTGCCGTCCTGGGATCCAGCATTCCATCGGTCTGCCGTTAGATGCGGTGACCACTCGGAGCCAACACGATCCGATCCAGCCGATCCAGCCGTGGTCAAGCCTCGACTGCCGACAGCGCCGAGCTCGATGCGAGCCAGCGAGGCGTTCGATGTGCGCCTGCGCTGCTTGCGGCCCTGACCCTCGTCTCTGTTGTAGCCGTCCTTGCCGGGCTTGGCAGCTGAATACGAATTCGCTTCGTCGCCCTCCTGAGCGCGTGCTCGCTTCGGACTGGTACCACCGTAGGCGATCAGCATGCCCGCATCGCCCATCAAGGACCGAAGCGCCTGATCGAGCTGTCCGATGATCTCGCTCGAGGTCGGCACGCGGTTGCCGTCCGGATAGAACTGCGGCAGCGCGAGCAGCCGGATGATCTCGCTTAGACGCTCTCGAGCGCCTTCCTTTGTCGAACTCGAATGGCGACCCTGCGCCTGCTGGTGAGAATCGGCAGGCAGGAGCCATCGAGCGGCTGAGAGACAGCCAGACGCCATGTACTGCGGGCTGAAACGAAGCATGGACGATGGCGTGGCGTCCTTATCGAGCACCTTGGCGATCAGGAAGTCGAGCACCTTGAATGCTAGCTCGGTGGCAGTGGCGAACCAGCGATCGCGCAGCTGCGAAATCATGCCGTAGCCAGCCGAATTCGAGCAGGCAGCCGAGTAGAGCTGCAGCGCTCGACCAAAGCGGTACAGCAGCAAGACAAAACCGGCTTCGGCGTTGCTGTAGCGATCCATACCGTAGCGAGCCACGTACTCTTCGCCGTACGAATTGAACCAGGTCGAGAAACAGTCTCGCTCCTGCTTCAGGAGCGCATCGAAGCTGCGGCTCAGCTCACCCTCGGAAGGCGGAGAAGCGCCGGTACGAATCGAAGCTGCGAGACGGTTGAAGCTCCTCTGCGAGAGAGCGAGGTCGAGCTGATAGGCAAGACGGGTGTCATAGGCGGACATGGTCGAGTGATTGAGTTCGTACCAGGCTCGGACGTTGGGAAGGTCGTTTTGCATGATGAGGTCGGGTCGCCTGTGCATTGTGTTGCGCCGCGAGTCGCTCTGCTGGCTCAGTTCGAGAAGGCAGAGTTGAATCCAGGTGCGCTGCTGCATGCGTAGGATGGTGGTCTGATGACTGCCTTGCAGGAGATGCGGCGGCAGAGTGGGCGCGTATGGGTTGGTGGCGGAGGCGACGCTCATGCCAGTCTCGAAACAGAACGGAAGTCCTAGCTCGTACGCATACGCGACGGCAGAGGCGATGGTCTCGGTGGTGGATGGGTCACCTGGAGCAGCCCAGATGGCGGTGACCACGAGAGCCTGAATGTGGTCGACGCTGCAAAGTGGACGACTGGACGCATGCTTGAGAATGGCCGCCGCTGCTGATTGGCATTGTGGAAGAAGGTCGGGTCGGAAGAAGCGGCTCGAGATGCCGAGAATGGTAGAGAAGAGGATGGGAGACTGTTCACGCACGTACTGAACTGTGTGCAGGCTTGGCTCGAGCAGTGCTGCGATGGGATTGAGCTGCGTCATGAAGAGGCCAAAGAGGTAGCAGGCATCTGCCCAGCTACATGCGTTGATACGCACCACATCGTCGTAAACACTCGAGGCAGGTGCGACGGAGCTGACTGGGCTGAGCGAGCCCGAAGATGCCATACCTGCTGCCACGTAGGTCTGATTGGCGACCATCGCTGAATAGGACTGGGCAGAGGCCGTTGCCGGCATCGCCAGGTATGCTGCATCTCCGGCGCCATCTGCTGTCGCCGCTGCTGCCAGATCGACACTGAGGGGATAGCTGGTACAGCGTAGCAAGCTGTGACGTGCCCGCCTCAGCATCTCTGGGGTCAGCACGACGTTGCGATTCTCGTCTGCGATGACCTTTTCGAGCTTCTTGCCGCGATGATGCTCGCGGAACTCGCAGAAGAGATCGAGTCGGTTGCATCTGGCACACCGAGGGTCGTTCGGATTGCTCTTCCAGCATTTGACCTTGATGGCGCGACACTTGAGACATGCGAGGTTGGATCCTCGCTTGGCGGGTCCCCCTGAGCTCTGGCTGTTCGCATTAATGCTGTCCGAGCGAGAGCGTGCGTTTTGGCTGCCACCTGACTGCGAGTGTGGTACTCTGTGACCATGGTTCTGGTAGTCGTAGTGTTGCTGCTGTTCGAAGCTGCGCTGGTAGTGAAAGTCATGCTGCTGCTGCTGTAACGGCGCCGAACTTCGTGACTGATACGATTCGTCGTACTGGGAGTAGCCATGGTGGCTAGAGCCTTGCAGCGGGTATGCTTGCGCTTTCGAACCGCTCGCCTGAGCATGCGAAGCAGCGGCTGCCGCCGAGCTGGATCCTTCCGAGAAGAAGCCAAAGTCGTCCATAGCCATCACGCACAACGGACCAGCTGCGACTCCCATGTAAGGTGATGCTCGACGCGCCGCCGTGTGGTCTGCTTACGAGGATGGGCACTGCCTGCCGGACAAGTGCAGAAGCAGGGCGCTGCAAAAGCTGGAGGTGCGCTGGGTCGAGACGACTTGCTCGTAGTCAAGACAAGATGTTTGGATCCTTGCCTAGCGAGCTGCTGTAGAGGAGCTGGGATGATCGCAGCTGCGTAAAGCAAGATCGAATCGAGCCCGTGAAGAAAGACGTGGTGGTCGAGGTGGTTGTGACGCGACTTCGTGCATAGGTCGACCACTTTTGAGGAAGGAAGGACATTCGAGAACGAGCAACAGCAGCAAGTCAGCCGACTAGGTGGGGCTCGCATGAACGGTGGTTCGTATGCAAAGGATAGGAGCGTTTTCGGGAACGAGATGAGACTCGAAGAATGGTGCAATGTCGGCCATGCATGCAAGTCCAACCGTCTTCTGGGTGTCGGTCTGCAACCAGCAGGAACAGGGCAGGTCGGAAGGAGGGAGACTGGCGTCAATGCGCTTCAATGGTAGCATGGGCAAAGGTAGGAAGCCTGTAAGGGGAGGATGGAAGATTTGCAATGCGATCAGACCAGCATCACTCCGGACCGGGATCATCGAGCTCCACTTGCTTGCTCAGAAAGGCATGATGGGCGGCATGACGGATCGTCTGGCGGGCTTGGTTGTGGCGGACTGCCCGCTCCATGCAGGAAGGGCCTCGCCCTTGAAGGCTCAAAGGGCCAGGCCGATGCAAGGTGAGTTTAAAGCGTACACGCATAACCGAAGCGACGGCGAGCAAAGACAGAGGGTGAGACAGACTGAACCAGCTTGTCGCGTGCCGCCAGCGACATCAGCGGAGCCGCAAGACAGAAGGAATCGGAACTCATATGCACGAACGCTCCGATGGGTTGCGAAGAAAGGTTTGAGGGAGGACCACATTAAAGCGAGATCTGGGTGACGCGAACGGGTGTCGGAGTCAACAAGAGGTGAGCATGAGCTGCATGATGCGCTGCTCGCCTAGTCAGCTAAGGGGTCTTCTCCTTGCTGAACAGAAGGGCAGTGCATAGGCGAGGGGCGGTGTTCTGTGCACGAGAGAGCTGTCAATCTCGCTGCCAAACCTTACCACGTCCCTGGTCCCCTTTCGCCTTCAGCGCACGCTCCCCTGCCTTGGATCCTGCCCTCTGCCCACCGCCCTTGCTTCATTGAGAGGTAGAGGATTCGCGATCAGCTTGGGCTCCTTGAGCCTCTCATGAAGCTACCATGTCTGCAAGGGCTGCTGGGAGGGCGAAAATGGAGCAGATTCAAGGCTCGAGAAATTAGAACGACACGAGCATTTCGGAACGAGCTCGGTTCTCTCCGCTCGGCCCTTTTTTTGGCCGGTTGTCGAGATTTGTGCCTTGCCTACACCCCGGACCCAGACATGCTTGTCGAACTGACGTCGCAAAGATCTCGTTCGATCAGCAGTCCGTGCCGCTTGACGTGACTCGCTTAGCTTTGTTGGCGTTTCACGTCGAGATGTCCCGTGCCCGACCCTCACGTGAAGCATCGACCGCATCTCTGTCTGTCTGCTGCATCGATACGATATTGATTGCATCGTTTCGAGCAAGGCAAATCGTCGACTACTCCATGCTGCTGGCTGGCGGGCGAATACGATGCCTCGCAGAACGTCTCTGCCGTGAGCTGCATCCAAGTCGTATGATACATTGGGCTGAGGTTGAATTTACACCGCCAAAGTTGTGGATCAGTCCGACTTGACCGGCGAGGTGGAATTCTCGTGCATGCATGAAGGTTGAGGTCAAATGGGACCATTGTTGAGCATGGTGCACCGACGCGAGACCGAGTTTTGCTGTGAGGCTCGAGAAGAGTCTGATCGGCGAGATTTGAGGAAGAACGGGTGATGCACGGAGTCCGAAACCGGCGACGCTGCCCACCATGCCCGAGAAAACGTGGGCGATCGCAGTCTAAATTTGGTACACTGACATCAACCTCAATCAGCCAGCAAGTGGACAGACCTTGAGCGATGCTGCACGCCTTTTCACCTGCCGATACACGCCCAAATTACCCGTCCCTGCATCTTCAAAAAGGCTCCTTCGGGGAAGTCATGTGCAACTCGTGGTTCCAGCACATCTAATACGCGATCAGAATGGATGCTGAAAAACAGACGAGGGCGCAGGAGACGAGGCGACTTGACGCGTCTTTGCGACAACGATCGCTGTTCGAGGAGGCAGCTTCGACCTCCTGTCGATCCACGAATTGCGGACAGAGGCGGTCCGGTCGTATGGGATGTACGATGCCTGGTCGTGCTTGCTTCCTATGCAAGGCATCAGGAACCCGTGAACGGCTACTGCCACGAGGAGCGGGGGATGTACCAGCGGTGCTGTCATGCATCCTATTCTCTCCAAATGCCGGCCGCCTGGACGACCAACTTTTTCCCGAGGTGCAGCGGCACAATATCAGTCTGGGCGGTCCGTCATCGGCCGACGGCCTGTACATTTTTTTGCAGGCAGCTTCACTGCAGGGGTGCTCTCCGTGTAAAAGTGTCGTATGATGCGAACTTTGCGTCACTTCGGCATCTGTAGATTTGCGACCACTACGCAAGGTCCGATCTTAGAGGAACGACATCCTTGAAGGATGGTCAACGATTGCAGTGAAACGACGAAAAGCGACCAAGCGGTATGAAAGACCTCGAAGAACCAGACGACGGCAAGTGAGATGCGCGTAGATCGTCAAGCTCGATGCTTCGGGCGCGGCTAGCTCTGAAGCGGGACGAGGGTCCAGGGTCATGCGAGTGCGACATCTCTGCAGAGCAGTTGACTGCGACAACACCTTCGGAATCGGTATCGGAGTGGCATTTGCTTTGCTGAAAGCGGTGGATCCGCTTTTATCACGCCTGCCTCCATGATGAGCTGTGGTGCTCGCGATGCACCTCTGCTGCCGAGTACCGTCCCGGTCGCCAATCAGCTGAGAGGAGGATGCAGGTCTACGGGTAATGCCGCTTCGGTCTCGGTGTTTTCGGGGTTATGTTGACCGATAGGAACCGAACTTTGGGCTGCAGAGATGGTCGAATTCGCTCAGGCGGCTCAAATCCGACGCGCGAAGATCTCTACGTCCGAGCGGGTGGCTTTCGTTGGACCCTGGCGTTCATGCGAGGCTTGCGAGAGTGAACCATAACAACCATCAGGCACCAGCCGCAAGACGAGGAGCTCACATCGATATGCTCTGGTCCGCTCCGCTCTAACGAGGCGTCATCTTCGGTCTCGACTCTACTCACCCAGGTTTGGCGGGACGCAGTCAACAAACCGGGTCGGAGATGCGCCTGAAATGGTGACTGAGCTCGACAAGTGGCGGTTCCATTTCCGCAGGTCTGGCCATCTACGCCCTGATGCACTGTGAGCGTTGACTGTCCAATGCGCATACCGTATGAGCCAAATGAATCAAAAGCCGAAACGTATACAGTAGTGAGAATGAAGGCGTGCTTCTGATTGGCAATGGCGAAGGTGAGTCTGGTATCTATGCTGTGTATCTTCTATGAGAGCGTTTATGCAGCTAGTGCGGTGGGTGGTGCGACGACCTGCTCGCTATCGTTGGCATCCGTGTGGAAGGAAACTTCCGCTCTCGGACCTGCCATCGGTGTGGATGCGATTGCATCGCTGCCTGATCGGGCATGTGTCGACGGATGATTTGCTGCAATGGAGGGCGAGATCGCTGTATCGACGAATTGCGTATCAAGGGCTTCTGGCTGACCCGGTGTGGAAATGGCAGGCGAGCCTCCGGGTGATCGGAGAGACCTAAGATATTCGTCTTCGGTCATCTTTGGCCCAAATTGAGAACCGAGCACGTCCCTAAAGCTGTTCAGATGGCTTGGACGAGTCCCGAAGGAGGCTTGCGGGCCGATGCTGGTATCCAACAAGATCGGTCGGGGCAACGAGGAAGTTCCGTTGACGACATCGGACGCACTGACTTCTGTTTCGGATCCGAGAGAAGGACCATGCTTGCGGGCCTTTTGCGCCATCCAGCCTCGACGATTGTTCCTCTGCGTCGGTGATGCAGCACGAGCGCCTTGACTGTCTCCAGGGCCGCGATGGCGTCCCGTGGACGCACCCTTGGACCCGAGCCGAAGAGCACGCAAGAGACCGTCCATTGCCTCCTGCGCCTCGTCCTCGCTCAAGATACTGGCGAGAACGCTGGTCATCTGGAGCAAACGTAGCGAGATCTGCTTGATGCCGTCGTCGCCGCCGCCGCCAATGTTGTTGCCTTCGGCGGCCGCAAAGGCTGGGTCGAGCTCGGCCAAGTGTGCGAACAGATGAGAGAGCCTCTCCTGAATGGGGAAGAGCACCTGATCCCTAAAGACGATGAGAAGCAATCGGCGGACATCAATGCGCTGCGTAGCGACCGCGTTGGACGGAGCGAAGGCGGAGCTCGTATTGAAAGGGCCGACGATGTTGCTGGCCCCACCTCCAGCCGCTGCCCCATACGAAGACGAGGTCGCGATGAGACTGCGGATGGCCGCATCCGTCTGAATGGGAAGAAAGCAGGCCTCGCAGTAGGGGAGGACCTGTCCAAGGAAGAAAGTCCAGACCTCGACCAGTCGCAGCAACAGGCGGGTATCTTCGAGTCCTTGCAGCTTGGAATTAATGGTCAGGATGCCTGTCGACGCCAGCGACATGATGTCGAGGGTGAGGGATTCGACGGCATGGCTCTGACCGCGATCGAGCGTCCTGCGTACGTGTAGGCTCACCATCTCGTTGAGATCTTCGATGCTCGTGCGAAGCGCTTCGCCGTTGAACAGAGGCAGCACCCGGATACAGATCATCTGCCATGTGTCCGAAGAAGTGTTCGGACCGGCTGGAAAGACCATGCTGGCAGGATTTGGAGACGTTGTGCCAGCGACGCTTGTGGGAATACCTTGGGGGTAGGCGCCGCTGAACTGAGTGGTGTAGGTTGCGCCCAGGCTACTGCTGACGCCAGGAGACGCACTGATGCTGCCCCGATCGAGGCTGGCGTTTGCGCCCGTGCTGCCTGAGGTGCCTGCGTGTCCACTTATGGAAGCTTGACGGTCGGCCGCGAGAATGGATGCTGCGGTGGGCGAAGGGAAGTAGGTGCTTGCGCTGCTCGACGGGGCCGCGTCCGGGCCAGCCAGCATCGAAGAAGCGCCTGCGCGCTCGAGCTCTCTGGCCATCATCCTCGGATCGTATGAGCTGAGATTGCGCGTCGAGGTCGGGGTGGTGGTGAAGGGTTTGGGTGTGCTCGTTGCGGAAGCAGCAGCGCCGGGTGTCGGAGTGGTAGGGCCCGTGGCCGCATTGGCGTTCGTGTTGGACCCGATCGCGTTCGAGGCGATGGAAGCCAGCGTCGATGAAGCAGGCAGCCCGACTGCCGCTGCACTCGCGGATGGAGTTGAGCCCGCAGCTCCCGCACCTGAGCCGGCGCTGGTCGAGGTTTTGGAGGCCGATCCACCACCAGCTAGGTGTGCCACCGTCTTGGCGGCCGAACTAACAGAGTCTTGCTGAGAGCTGAAGCCGCGCAGATGATCCGTCTGGTTTTGACACAGTATGCGAACGTAAACGGGACGAGATGCAGACGCAGTGTGGGAAGATGGTAGTAGCAATCTGCTGGGCATTCTGGATGTCACATCAGCAGGGCCCTCGACGAGGTCTGTTTGTACTTCGCCAAAGTCCGTATAGTCGGACTGCGCATTCGAATGAGCGGTCGTCGTTGACCCAATAGGCGCAGTTCTACTGGAGGTAGCGTTTGGCTTGGTGGGCGAGGCAGAGTCGGAGTCGGAGGGAGAAGGGAGCTCGTCGTCCCTCTGAGTTGGCACCGCAAGCTCGAGACGAGACCAGCCCGTGTTCTCGAGGCGCACCCGTTGATAGGTCGTCTTTGGATCTGTCCAAGGGCTGGAGGGCGAGTCGTCGTGAAGCGCCATAAACACACGCAGCAACTCAGCGATGGCGATTCCGTGAGCAACGATGCAAATGTGCGCCACGTCAGCAGCAGCAGCGGACTGTTCCGAAGGAGGCTTCTTGCGGAGCGCCTCGACGCGCGGAAGGATGAACTGACGCACCGCCTTGGCGATCCTCGCATTCACCTCTTGGAGCGATTCGCCGTCGGGAAAATGAAAGTTGCGAGCATCTTCGCCGCTCGAGCCCTGCATCCACTCTGCACTGGCATAGCTTTGACCCTCGGCTTGTCCGAAGTTGATCTCTCGCAGCGACATGGATTGCACCAGAGGCGGTGGTGGGATGGACCGATTCGACTTGAGGATCTCGTCGGCGGTCATGGCAGCGCGCTTCAAGTCGCTGCAGTAGATGGCTGTGAGCGGCACATTGGCGAACGACTGACCCAGCGCCCTTGCTTGACTGATGCCATTGGTGGTGAGAGGCGTATCTCGGAAGCCTGCCCAGATCCCTTGCTGGTTGTCTTGGGACTCTCCGTGACGAACCAGCGTCACGAGCAGGCGGTTCAATGCCATCGTATGCGGATCATGCGAGATGCAGCTTTTGGCGGAGACTCCGAGCGATCGACGAGGCGACCGAACGTGCTTAACAAAGAAAGAGCGGGAATGCCGATCGAGCCGTGAGGATGGTGACTTGACTCTGCTGAAGCGGACCCACAGATAGCTCGGCTCTTCCGTGTCGTGTGAGCAACACAACGTTCGGCTTCGTCGTGAGCTCCTTCTACTCTGATGCTGACTTGAACGCGTTGGTGACCGTGCGGCTAGGGGTATGCTGGTGGTATAGCACAATCCGCAGTCTGCGGTCCGTGCTGCTAGTATGCGAGTGTCGATTTCTTGGCTGAGTGACCTTTCACGTAACCTGGACCCTGAAGTCAGCATCAACCCTTGGAAAGGCACACCACGCTTCCGCCAAATCACGCATTTTCCTGCGCAGCTGCTCTGGTGGAACTCGCACAAACGACTCTTGCTTCTTTATCAAGAGGTTGCTTGCTTTGGCCTCTGCTATTCCAGTCGTCACAGAGCGGGCCGGGGCGAAGCTGTGCGCTACGTCAAGTGAGCACAGTTGAAGACCGCGGGGAAAGAGTTCCTTCCTAACAGCGAAGGTGCTGGACCCTCCAACGTCCCATCTGACAGCGATCGGGACCGCTTGCTGTCCTTTTGCGTCACTCCGCTGGCCACTCTTACGTCGGTATACAGACTACTCAGCAGCAGTAGCGCATGGTGAGGATCACCCACGGCATGCTGAGTAGAACACGGCTCCCGTCGAGGTCAAAGAAGGTCTGCGACTGAAGTCTTCGGGTGGGGAAGCTACACTCGATCGGGTGAAGGTTTCTATTTTCGAGCCCTCCTTCTCGCACGGGCATGGAAATTAGAGCTCGGCAATTTAACCTGAGCTGCGCGGCCCCCGCGTTCCAAGAAGAAGCTGGACGAGGTGGCACGACCATATTCCATGATCAGAGCTCTTCTTGATCTTCCTGCCTACCACACTCGACCCTGGTTCTCCACATTTCAACCGCGAATCGATACATTGGATCTACACGATGGCTTCCGCAAAAGAGTTCAAGGTGGTGCTGGCCGGCCAGTTCGGCACGGGTAAGACCACGTTTGCCACCCGCGTCAGGTCGGCCAAGTCTGACAAGAAGGAGATCAAGGCGCTGAAGACGACACAGTACCCTGTCAAGCTCCAGACTTCGGCGGGTCAGGTGACGCTCAACCTCTTCGACACCAACCTGCACGCCAAGGGCGGTCTTCCCGATGACGGCTTCTTCCGCACAGCCGACGCTGCTGTCGTATTCTTTGATCTGACCAAGGAGGAGAGCTACACTGCCATGGAGGACTGGTACGATGCTGTCATCAAGGCTAACGGTCGCAAGGGCAGTGAGCCCCTTCCCATTGTCGTCGTCGGCACCAAGGCAGACAACATCAAGGTGAGTTTGGATGGAAAGGCACCTCCGACGGCACCTCCGAAGCTCTCGTCGGCGAGATGCCGATGCTTGGAAGCTTGTCGGCGCGGCCGCAACTGTAACGACGCAATGCGCTGACCGATTCTACCTTTTCGTGCCCCATGTGCATCCTCTCGCGTGTCACAGAGCCGAGACATCAAGCCAGAGGCGATCGAGTTCCCCCGCAAGAAGGAGCTTCCGTACCGCGAGATCTCCGCCCAGGCTAAGTGAGTGCTGCGAAGCTCATCTCTCTATCATAGCAAGCCAAGATTGTTGACCCCTGCTTTCCTTTTTTCTTTTTGCTGCTCAACGCCACCAGCTACGGTGTCAAGGAGCTCCTCCTCGATGTCTGCAAGTCTCTCCTCGGCGACTCTGTCCAGCTTACGAGCGAGGTGGACTTGGATAAGGCTTCGGTCGACAACGTGAGTTTCTTTGGGCTCTGCTGCTATGGCCCTTCCTGTTTGAATCTGACTCGATCGCTGACATTGCTCTATCTCTCTGTGTATGACTCTCACTCGTTCTCTTGCAGATTGACGAAGAGCAGCTCGAGAAGCTCTACAGCCAGTACGAGAAGGCTGCCTAAACTGATCATACACTGCCCACTAGAGAAGCCTCGTCTACATCCGCAATGTCGACAATCAATCACAGAGGAATGTGTTTGTACGAAGGCATCTGTCTGCCGTCTCGTCGCAGTGTCTCGCTTGAAGACCAACTCTCGGGTCATCCGCAGCCCATCAGGACAGATTCGCGACAGGACCCTTGATCGGCGGCAGAACCAAGGCTCACAATCTGAGTTGAGTCGGGTTGAACCGAGAGGAGAGGAGCAAAGAGATTGCTTGCGAAGTCAGCTCGTGTGTCAAGAAGATCCGCGAGAACGCTGAGACGGAACGTGGTCAGGCCAAGAAATCGCCGTGCTGATTCACCATTTCGGCCCTTCCGAACATCCTTCCTCCACTAAGTTAGCCGATCTTCTCTCACCGAACACAATGCACCTTGCTTCGTCATCGCTCGAGTTCCCTCAGCGCCGAGTCAGCAATACTGATAAGGATGAACAGCTGCTGCCACAATCCGACTCCAAGTCATGTCGGTCTAGCCGCCCCGAGCCTGGAGTGGCGTGTGAATGAGACTTGCTGAGTTTGTCAGCCGAGCTTGTTCTTGACCGAACGAGTCGAACGTCGCATAGATCAGGTCCCACCAAGCCCTTCTGCTCAGTTCCTGAACCCTTGGGAAGCTGCTCAGACCCTGCCTCGTTGTCGCTTACGGTCTGTCTGATGAGACTGGAAGGCGATCCGCTTGTCAGAGGGTGACCCTCAGACTAGCACTTCCTCCATCGACGTCCACCATCTTCTGTCTATCATCTGCTCGCAGTCCGAGACACCGACCACCTTTCATCATTATCACCATCAAGCGCACTCTGGACAACATGCGACTCAACGGCGCTGCAGGCGACGTCCCTCGCAAGGTGGACGTCGACCCGTACTTTGACAACACCAAGCTCATTTTTGGAGAAGCAGGCAGCAAGGTGCCGTACACTCCTCAAAACACATGGGCCGCGCCCAATGGCGACCGACAAGACTACCTCGAAAAGACCAAGGGAATGACGGCCATGCAGAGGGTGAGTCGCTCCTTCTGTCAATCATGTCGCCGCGGACCAAAGATGCAGTGCAGTGGGTCTGAAGACTTCGTCGCTTCCATACTGACTTTCTAAGTCCGCCTCCTCCGCTGTCATTCGCCTTCACACCGGCAGCACGTCGCGTTCTTTGACGGCGACTGCGATGGTGTGATCTGGCCCACAGACACTTTCTTCGCCTTCCTATCGCTCGGCTTCGGCTTCATCCTCTCGGCGATGGCGGTGATCATCATCCATGGTCCCTTCTCGTATCCCACGCTGCCGCGCAAGGGCAACAAGCTGCTGGATTGGCTTCCGGATCCGTTCATGCGAATCTACGTGGCCAACATCCATCGCTGCAAGCACGGCTCCGACTCGCAGTCTTACGATCGCCGAGGCAACTTCCGACCGAGCCAGTTTGAGAGCATCTTGGACGACTACTCTACGCGCTACAACACGGATGCGCTTTCCTTTTCGGATGCCATGGCCATGCTCCGCGAGCGACGAGACCTGATGGATCTGTTCGGTTGCTTTGCCTTCATGTTCGAGTGGGGCAGCTCGTACATGCTCCTCTGGCCTGCCGATGGTGAGTATGACCAAGGCCAAAGTCTTGGTGGCAAGCGTCTTGAAAGCGTGTTCATTCGACTGACTCGCTTCGATGCCGAATCTCACCTGACCGTTCAACAGGCTACATGCGCAAGGACGACATTCTCGGCATCTTTGATGGCTCCATCTTTGTGGTGCTGGCTCACCGTCACAAGACTGGACGAGGCGGCGGAGCATTTCAGCCAAAGAAGGCCGGATGAAGCGATCGATTGCACTACGCCCAGTCTTCGATGGTTCGTCCTTCCCCCTGTCCCGGCGGTTTGTGGCGTGCGAAACCACGATTGTTTGTGTCTTGCATCTGAGCGCTTTCAAATAGGTGTGCGCGCGCGTTCGTCTGCCTGACCACTAAATCAACATGCTTGGCACTCTTATGCTGCTGAGCGCAGTCGAACAGATGAAGAGCGAGGGAGAGGTGGTGGTCTACTGAGGAACGGGTTGGGACGCAAGGGTCCAGAAGAAAGTGTTTGTCGACTCGGACGTGCAGGATCGCATGCAGGCTCTGCATACACAGTGTGTGGGCGTGCTTCTTCCTGGAATTCGCACTCCGAATCAATTGGCAGTCACACTCTGCACAATGAGACACACACGCAAGCAGAGTGGTTGCTGTCATCGAAAAGTGTTGCTCTCCTCTGACCTTCTCACGACGGCCCTTTGTCCTTTTCACCGGATGCTGATGCATCTGGCGCTGCGCTCTCGAGTTGTTCCTCTGAACTGAAACGACTTCGTGAAAGCCCAAGACGGCCGAGCTCTCATGATATTACCCTGGCTCAATCTCTTATCACACAGTCCACGAACGAGCAGGACGTTGACACCCATCCACAACCTAATCTTAATCTGCGGGAGGCTTAGCTGCAGAGCCTGCATGCGGTCAAAGCGGCAACCGATGGATCCACAAAGCTTAGCGCTGGAGACCTGAGCCCGCATAGCCCTCGATGCGCGGACGTCGGCAGCTCGTCAAGGCCTTGTCCCTTCCGCTAATGTGTCCGCTGAACCCTCCTTGCCATGATCTCCTCACCTGGCTCGGGTTTTGTCATCCGCACTAAGCTTTCGAGCAAAGCATGAGTGGGCCCAGGCAACAACAATCGAGGCGAATGGTGTAGCCCACCCCACCCGCAGCTGTACGGCTACTTGTGCCCTTGACCTACGTCTTGCCGGTCAAGCATCATACGCACACAACCCCTGGCTCCCCTGATCTGGGTTCTCTTGGACAGACCCCAAGCTTTGCTTCCTCTAACTCAGGCGTAGATAGCCTCTGAGCAGTGTGGTCGAGAGCACAGGCCGTCGAAGGCAAACAAGATTTGCCTCTCTGACGCTTGGACCCTTCACCTGGCTAGTCACCCGCGCATGATTTGCATTGCATTGCATGACCTGACTGCACGCCCCCCTCACGGCCCGCTGTCTCTTCTGCCGATTGCTGAACCCACATCTTCCGCTTCGGCCCTGACTTCGTTGGCTTACTATCACCATCACGACAACCACGCTGGACGGACCTCATTCACCAGACTCGATTTGACGGTCTTTTCCATTGTCCAACTGGATCTCATCTCATCTGGCCGCTCAATCCGACGCCGAAGAGCCCCTTCATTCACCGCTCTTTGGCCTTGCTGGCCGTGAAGTCAACACACAGGAGCTCCGCAGCCAGCCCGGCTTTGCAAGTGCGAAGGTCAGCTCTACCTTTTCGCTCCACCCACTGCACTCTCCCCTGCCTTAGCCAATTTGTTGCAGAAGCACGGTGCCCCTTAAAACTTCAGCAAGTCGAGCTCCAAGCATCACCGCCCCGGCCTTCTTCCAGCTCAGTCACTACAGAGAGCGCATGAGCCCACGCCTAGCCCGACGGCTTCCTTGTGCACAGAGATCCATTTAGCACCTTCGTACGCCCATGGCCAGTCCGTCCATCAAAGACGCAAGACACCATGGCACTGGTCTTCGTCGGCTTGACTTCCTCTCACACATAAAGCGGACCAAGCCAGAACGTCGAGTAGATCGTCTCGAGCCTCTGTCAGCCATCGGTGGTGAAAAAGAGGCGGCATGATACTCAGTCACGCTTTCATTCCCACAACTTCATTTCCTCCCGGCTTGACCTGCGTCTTGTCCGACTCTCATCCGGTTCGCCTTCGCTCGGCCAGCAAATAGGCGTCCACAGCAACAACGGTCCCACCCGGCTTCATCAAACGTTGCAATATCCATCTCGACAACCACCACATACATAAGGACGTCTTTTCGGAAGACCAACACTGCATCACTTCTTTCAGCTGCGCCGACATTTCGTCCCGATCTCGACTCCTCTCGACCAACACTGCACTGCTCTTCTTCACTTTCCCTGGTCTCCCTGCATTTCGGCAGTCAAGCGTTCCTGCCATGATGGATCAGCCCTCTACCATGCCAAGCGCCATGGGCGAAGTCACCCCCGTGGGCACGTCGGCCAACACTCCGTCTGGTCCGCCAACCTTCATCGAATTTGCCCTGGGTGGCAAGCGACTGGTTCGCTACAATCGATTGGCTCGCAGTGGCGACATGGACGCGGCGGTTCTGGGGAAGGGAGGCTTCGGCTGCGTCTACCGATATGCAATCGACGCATCCTTCACGCCACCTTCGTCCATGGACCTCTCCGTCTCTCTCAATTCAGCTGCTGGCCGTCGTCACGCATCCGACCTCTACACGTCCCGTTACTCGGAGCCCCCTGAGCTCCTTACTCAGTCGCCTTCTCGCCTCGGCTCGGACAGCAATCCTCTCTTGAAACCCCCCTCGCTCGTGGCCGTCAAGCTGTGCCGTACGCCTTGCTCGGGCTCTTTCGACGAGTTGCAAAAGACAAGCTTGGTCGACAAGAAGACGCGACGAGCCGACATGCAGGACGACACCAAGGCGCACGTACGTATCGTCAGGGGGGAAGGTCGCATCTTTCAGTACCTGCAAGCCGCACACCAGGCATCAAGCCGGTCCGACGACCCTCCTCTCGTCAAGCTTCTCGCCAACCTCTCTGCCGCGGGCCGGCAGCGAGACCGGCAGCATAAAAATATGAACTCTTTCGACGAGGACGATGGACCCCCAACGAGACTGCTTGTGTTCGAGAAGCTGATCGAGATCGATGCAGAGCGTACACCACACGGATGGACAAAGTCGAAGAAGACGTGGACGCATGAGCGCGTTGAAAAGGTAGCCTTCGAGGTCATGCAAGGTCTTCAGGTGAGTCATGCACTTCTGCAACACAAGTGTCCGCTTTCTCTGCCAGAGCAGCGTACTGAAAATTTCCTCCGTTCTTCCTCTCTCAGTTCCTGCACGAGCATAACGTGACGCATGGCGACTTGAAACCGTCCAACCTCATGCTAGACCCTCGCTCTGGCGTAGTCAAGATCATTGATCTCGGTGCCAGCCGTCGATTCGTGCACCTGTCCAACAGAGAACGCAACAATCGCAGTGCCGTCGAGGACCAAGATCGTCAGCTTCTCGACCGCCATCGTCCAGTCACACGACTCGCTCCCGAGCTCTGCGAGGGACTCGGCTCCCTCACCGGCTCGCCCTACTACATGGCCCCAGAGATCCTCCTTCAGGCTACGCGGTACGTCGACGTATCGGGTCGCGCTCGATCGGTGCTGGAGGACTACGAGTATGACTACCCCACCTTCCTGCCCCGGGAGCAATGGCCCATGTACCAGATTGGACTCAGCGATCTGAGACGAGGCTGGGGCATCCGTGCCGATATCTGGAGCTGGGCTTGCACCGTGCAGGCATTGTTGCTCAAGACGGTCGACGAAGATCAGCGACCCAGCAGCAGCACCATCTCGCCGTACGACTTTTCCTTCTCGCGCCATCGCGACGAGATGATCGATCCTCTGCATGAAAAGTCGCCGGGAGAGGACGATGTGCCGCGCTTCCATCAGTGGTGCCGCGTTCTTCCTCTGCTCATCGTGCGTATCGCCTTGGAGCCGATGACGTTGACCCCTCAAGCGGATGGCTGCACAGCGGTCATGCGATCTGCTCTCAAAGGGTGCCTTCGACATCAAGATCTGAGGCCTACGGCGGACGAAGTCTTGCAGATTCTTCGAACCTTGAGACCTGCTTCTCGAGCCTCCTTGATACCAACGCCCATCAGCCGCCCCTGGTCTAGCACTGATTTCAGTCCTCGCCCGTCGAACATCAACAATGCTCGCCACGCTTCGTCGTCCGTGGCTTCCAGCGGCCACAAGGCTTCTCCCCACCTGCAAGGGCACGAGTTTGATCAATCAAGATACGCTACTCCCCCTCTTTCCTACGGTCATTCGAGCATCGGTACGCCTCAAGACACCTGCGAGACCACGGAGAGGAATCGCCTAGAGGAGACGCCGGACCGCAAACAGAAGGGGCGTCAGCGAACGAGCACAGCGGATTCTACCTTTCTTCCCGCCCCGCCGTCGCGGGAGAGCCAGCTGAGCATTCAGGTGGAAGCAAGCAGCAATGATGCGATCCCTCAGGGTTTTGAGCTGGTCAGCACATCCCCGACGCCAAAGATACCGAAGGCACGGACGACAGCGCTAGGGGACCGGGGGCGACCAGCGACGGCCAGCGCAACTCTGCAGCCTTGGGCCGCTTCGCAGCAGAACGCCCAGCCCGCTCATCGAGTGCTTCTCGAAGGGCCTCAGGCTTCGAGGTCTCACCCTTCGACACCCGTCACCGTCGGCGCTGGAGCGTCACGGTTGTGCCCCGAGGCAGGGGTGCGGATGGCAGGCGATGACCGTAGGAGGCAAGACCTGCCGCCGTCGCAAACAGGCATGCTGCAGCGCGGAGCGGCCGCAGACGCTTCTGCATACCCAGCAGCTCAGGACGGTAGTGGGTTGGGGATCTGCTGGCCACTGGAAGGAATGCACGGTCTGCAGCTGAACAGCACCGGAGCTCCCCGATCTGCACCCCTCGGAAACACCATCAGCGTACCCTCGAGCCCGATGGCGCACAATCGAGGAGCATCGTTGCCTCTTCTCCAGTCGACAGCGGAGCAGAGGCGGGGAACGTCGCTCACCGTCCCTCCACCGGTGGCGCTAGGCTCGGTGAGACGGACAGGCGGGGATGATATCGGAGGCTCGCCCCGCAGCAGTATTGCCGATAGCAAGGGTGTCAAGCCGAGCAGCTTGATGGCGACCCTCAAGAAGAAGCAAGTGCGGATCAAGGAAGGGTCGAAGAGGTTGATGGGAAAGCGAGGAAGCGATGACCATGCCCAAACGAAGGCGAACGCGTTTGAGTATGGATACGGGCAAGGACATGGACACGAGTCCGAACAGGATCCTGCTTTTGGGAGCGGTGCATTCGGTCATGCTGGACATCATGGCGACCCGATGTCTTTGAGGACGAACACCATCCGAAGCTACTCGACACCGGCCACTTCGACCTTGCCGCCTCTGCAGACCGCTTCGCCCCACGGCAGCATGCGATACGAGACGTTCTCGAGCCGCCGGGCTGCCAACCGACCGGAGGACGAACCATCCCCCACCAAACCACTGCTTCGCCGTCTCATGACGTGGGGCAGCACGTCCTGAACTCACTTTCTCTTAGCCTGTCAACGCTCATTATACCCGAATCCAAGTTGCAACGTCGAATCGCTACTGACCCACCTCATACAGCGAAAATGGAGCTTAATGCCTTGTCCTGCCGATCTTCTATTGCTGACCTCGCTGAATGTCGAATTGTCTCTGCATGCTTTGACACTTTGGGGTCAGCTCCGGCCGGACGGTAGAAACCAGTACGCAGCGTGTCAGCAGCTTTGACGCAGGGCAGCAGCACGTGAACGTGAAAGCGCGCTTGGGTTCGGCCAAAATCCAATTTAAGCTTTTTCTGTTGATTGCTCCCTCAAGCCACGATGATCACGAAGGGTCTCTCAGGAGCACAGTCTCGGGAGCAGAAAGATCCACTTTCATCATACACCGCGGATTCACGTCCCAAATTCCAAGCGTTGGTCTCGCTGCCGGTAGATAATCATGCATCACGTTGCAGCGGGCGGGCGCATCGTGCGCCTCTTTTCATTTCAGAGACAATCAACATGCCATACCGAAGCCGGGTTCTACGGCGCTGTGTCTCCGGATCTAGCTCTTCAGGACAGGCATGTGGCTATTGCCCGCTGGTCTGGCCGTCTATCCGACAACTCTCCGGCCCTGCTTCGCTTCAAGTGGCCTGGATCTGATCTGAAGAAGTGGGTTTTGGGTCAAATATGATAGCCGAGCTGTTGAGTTGAGGCTGTCTACCGCCGATTTCACGCTGATCTGCGTTTTGGGTTCCACATTCACGTTTTGACGAGCTAAAGCTGCCTTCGGCTGCACTCCGCTTTGTGGAGGAGAAGGAGCTCATCGGCCCCTCCGACACCCATCTTGTCATCCATCTGACAACTCAGCCATCCTCAAGACGATCAACTCAACCACGAACACCAGCAGTAACGGCGCTTCTTCCGATATCAGCTTCGAGTCGGACCCACCCGAACGCGTGCCATTCCAGCTCAGCAGCATTCCCACGGCTAGGTTGGAGCTTAGCCGACGAGCATCGCAAACAGCAAGCAAGCTTCTCAGCCCAGGCAAGAGCAAGGATGCGTCTGCGGTGATTCACCTTCCCTCTCTATCGGCACCCCCGACGTGTTCCTACGACAACACAACGCTGCGCTTTCACCTTGCGCTCTAAGTTTAGGCGCTCGGTCCTCGTCACTGGGGCCATCTCTTGACGGCACATCCGAATCAAGTCCCAACACGTTCTTCCTCCCCACGCGCTACCCCTATCATCAGTCAGAACGCTGCAGCCCACAATGTCGGCACAAGCGTCTTCCAGCGGCGCTACCGATGCGTCTCGAACCGGCCATAGCGATGCCACAACAACGCCTGAAAAGGGCCAGCCCAGCCGCAAAGCTGCCCTCCTGCCCAGTCTCAACTCGCTCGGCTCCTTTCTCGCCAGTGCAGGTGGCCTTTCTGGCGGCAAAGCAGGTCAAAGCGCATCTGACATCCCACGCACCGATGCCGAGCTCATGATCTCAGACCCAACTCCCACCGAGTGGGCCGACGAGCTGAGTCCCACCAAGGGCACTTTCAGCGCGAAAGCCTCAAGCTCCATCACACCGCGTAATTTGAGCGAAGAAGTCCGCTTCCGTGGAAACGCAAGGCCTAACCGCAACGATAACTCAGATAAGCAGTCTTTCATTGCCTTTCCTGCGCCCACACCGCCCACCGCGCCTCTTCTGCGCGAACTGGACGGCAGCGATAAGCGACCCGCCGGGTCAAGGACCTCTTCCACGACAAGCACTGCGCGAGAGTCAGAATCGACCCTCGCTCGCTTCATTCACAGCCCCGAGCCCGCCGACAGCACCGTCTCGTCTTCCATCGATACACCCCCAACTTCAGTCAGAGATTCTCCGCGATCGTCAGCCAAAGACGCACGGCCGCTGCCCTCTGTATCGCCTCCGCCTCCATCGGAGTCCACCATCAAGGCCGAACACCAGTCCAACGCATCCACCTTCCGTGCTGATCCAGCTCGCTCCAACCAGACTCTGCCACGCTCCTTTGCTGCTTCTCGATCGCCGGCGTCCTTCACAAGAAGCTCGACCTCGGATGCGAACGCAGAAGGCAGCACGTCGGGCCCCACAACGGTCAACGGTGGACGCAAAGCTTCAAAGCAACTCGAAGAGGCCTTGGAGAGCGACGAGAAGACCGCGCGCAGAGCATCCGGCCTACGCGCTCGATCCATCAACGGACTCCGCGGTCTAGCAGCTGCGTGGGTACCCGCCCGCTTCAACCCTGCTTCGCTTCCAACGAGCTCTGCGTCCTCCTCCGCTTCGTCGAACGGTGATGATTCGTCGCTGAGCCCGCACAGCACGCGACGACGGGATGGCATGGCGCTGGTGACAACGTCAAACGACAAGACTATGGTTCGTCACGGAGCGAATGACGGCAAGCGCCCGGTGAAGCTCGATCGTCGTCGTCTCGATAAGGCGGTCAGCTTGGCGGTCGAGGCAGCGCAAGCGGCGGAGGAGGACGAGAGGCTATGGGAGGAGAAGCGCGCCAAGAAAGCAGCGCAAAAGGAATCCGCCAATGGTCGGCCCGCTTTGAAATCGGCAGGATCCAGTACGAGTCAGGGCAGCCAACGTCAGTTGGCTCGCGTTGCCGGCTCCGGCTTGGATGCAGACTTGGTCTCGGACGGAGAGGAGGACGAAGACGAAGATGACCTTGGCTTTTCGCTCGACCTGTACATCTCGTCGCTCGGCTACCTCATCGCTGCCATCTCGGACAAGGAGGCGTCCGGCCTCAACGACAAGCAGAAGCAGGACATCCAGAAGCGTCTCGAGGAAGGCATGTCCAAGCTTGGCTTTGATGCCAAAGCCGAGCTCGAGCAGGCAGAGGCCTTGAAGCGCGAGTTGGAGCTCGAACGAGAGAAGTTGAAGCTGCAACGAGAGGTCGAGGCTTCGCCCGCCAACGTCATTCATCATCATTATCATACGGCGATGCCCAGCAGCTCCATGTTTGGCGATGCTACCTTTTCGCGTGCCCATGCTGCGGCGAAAGCTTCGTCGCGGGGGTCGTCGTCGCTGGCGGGCAAGATCAGCTCTTCGGTGCTCGATGTCGGTTTGCATATCGGAGCGGGAGCGCTGTCTGCTCTCTCGGCGAATCTTTCGGCTATTGCACCAGGAGGTGGGGGTCGCAAAGCATCGGGTGGGTCGGCGTCATCCAAGGCGAGTGGTATGGAGGATCCGCGCATCACCGATCTGGATAACGACGAAGACCTCAAGAGCATGTCCGAGGCACAAGCGGCGCAGACAGCAGCGTCTCAGCCTGGCAGTGGAGCTGCGACACCTCGAACAGCCTGGACGAGGGCAATCAGCCAGAACAACAAGCAGTGGGAGCTGGCAGTCGCTTTCGCCAGCACGGCCGCTTCGGCGCTGGCGAGCAGTCTTGGTGCTGTTGCGCGAGATGACAAGGTGGACTCACGTTCCACCTCGACTGCGGTGAGCACGGTCGACGGTCAGATCGGCAACGGCCCTCTGACGCACGAGCAGCAAGTCTACCTGGCCAAATACGGCCATCTCGACGGTGCTCCCGCTTCGGATGAGAGCATCGAGTCGGCCGAGGATCGGCTCATCCTGCTGTCCGCTTCGCTAGCTCGGTCGCTGAAACGTTCTCCGCTTCCGACGCAGCTCTATCAGCTGCTCCGTCAGCTGGTTTCGATCCTGGCTGCCATCGATTCGAAATACAGCCTGACGGAGAAAGGCACGCAGCTGGCGGTGCGCGAGACGAGCCGCGCCATGCGCTTCGTTCGTCGACACGATCTCCACGTCAAAGCCGTACGAGTGGCATGGGCGGCAGCAGAGGCGGCGGTCGCTGCGCTCGAAGCGTATCGCGATGAACGAGGATGGATGGAGGTGCAGCAGCAGCAGAGGCTTGCAGCCGGAACCAACGAAGGCAGTCCGTACAATGCGATTTTGAGCGGCGGGACGACGCCTCTGTACAGCGGGTCTCCGCCGAAAGACGGGGCGCGGCTGGCTATTGCGGATCGGACGACGGTGGAGGCGCAGATCGATGATGCGGAGAAGCAGATCTTGAAGGCGGCCCAGGGGGAGAGTTCCAAGAAGAAGGCGGGTGTGAAGGCGTGAGGAATGATACCCAACAGTGCCGAGGCTGCACCGCATTGCAGAGGTGTTGGCTCGGGCTAGTATACCCCTGTCTCTCTAATGACTTGATTTTTATACGCCGCTTTGACTGTGTGTCGTTGTTGCAGTGTGGCAGTGAGCTGGTCGACCGAAGTTTAGGCTTCAGAGCGAACTCGTGGTGTTTGGCGACGTGCCTTGGTGCTTTGGTGGTTGCTGCTGCGTGTGCCCGGCTTGATGCTCAGCAGAGAGGGCGGCCGACTGCGCATCGTGCTCACCAAGACTGTCGCCTTTGTCGCCGTGCTTGGCAGCATCTGCTTTGGCAGGGACAGGGAGTCGTATCCGGCGAGGGACGACCTCTACGAGCGAAGCTGAAACCGGCCGGGCGAGAAATTCCAGCTCCTCTTTGCTCGACGAGAAGAACTCCTCTCGCGTCACGGTCCGCCCCGACACCTTGTGTCGCACCATCGGCCGGTTGTAGATGAGGATGTGCTCGAATTGCGAGTGCTGCATCTTGTCGTGCGTCGCAGTGTGATAAGGAGAAGGAAGGGGAGAAAAGAGGGCGGAGGTAAGGGGACAAGCGGAAAAGACTCTGCGCAGGAGATTTCATTTGGACGACGCGGAACGACGTGCAGACTTGCTGTGGATAAGGTTTGAAGTCGAGACTTCAAGATTGAGTGCGCTCATTCAATGCATGTGGGCTCAAAGTGGGAGCTTCTGTGTCGCCCGCACAATGACTTTGTAGACTCACGAAGGACTCGGCCAGAAGCTCCTCATGAGTCGCAATGGTTTTGTTCCTCATCTGCTATATAATCAAGCTCTGCGCCTCGATCACTTTGTTCCGAGTCCCACCGTCTGTGCTGTGCATCCTCTCAGCACCTGCTCCTCCTCTGCAATAATCAGCCATCTTGAAACTGTCCCTCAACTGTTGACGTCAGGATGAGCGCTCCCGCCCAGACACCGTCTTCGGCTAGAGACGAGGCCGTCGAGATCGTCCTGTCCCTCACTGTTCCGGAGGATAAGGAGCACGCCGCCATCAATGACATTGTCAGATTCCGCAATCAGCTCTGCGACAAGCATGGTCATTTCTCGGGCTACATCACCAGAGAGGGTCATGGTAAATATGACATCGTGAACACTCCTGCCGCTCGTGTGCCAAACGACGATGCGCCGAGCGGCCAAGACGCGGAGGAGATGACGCCGTCAGAGCGACGCAAGGCCGATTCGTTTGTGCGCCTCCGCGAGCTGCAGTGGATCATCGAAAACTTTGTCGAGGATCCTGACAAGCGTCTCGAGGCTCTAGCCTTGCTGAAGGCCATTAAGGACTGGATCGAGAGCAAAGAAGCGGACGACAACGAGGACAACGACGACGATCATGTCGATCACGCTGATGATTAGCACTCTCAATCATCTTCTGGTAGTCTCGATGTTGATCGGCTTCCACTTTCACCTCTCATTTGCTTGGCGCCCTATCAATCAACGTCGTCTTTCCGAACTTCATCCTCTGATCAAGGACGAAATGAGTGTCGAAGCTGAGCTCAAGTAAGGAAGGGTCGGGGTTCCTGTGAGGCGAGATATTCACCACGTGTCAAAGCTCCAAAAGAGTGTCTGATTTTCTCAATCCCATTTTTGGGAAAAGCCGAATTTCCCGCCAAAAATTGGCCTCGGGGCCGCTTTTTTTCGGAAAAAAAAACGAATTTTCTAGTCATTTGAGACTCCGCTTTCAGTTCATATACCTTCTTCCCTTGATAGCGTATAACAGGTCCCAGTTAGTACAATGGTCAGTATAGGGCACTCTCATGCGGTTGCCGTTGGCACCACATCGTACTGCTCAGATCAGGGTTCGATTCCCTGGCCGGGAACTTTTTTTGGCGTGCTTGCTTTGTGCGAGCCATCTTTTTTTTTCGTTAACGCATTCACAATTTATCTCGGCATTGCGCACGGGCTTTCCACGTTTCCTTCTTATCTTCCATCACCCTCATCCTACACTCACAATGTCGTCGCTGAGCATCTCCGAAAGCGAGCTGCAAGACATCTACACGTTTGCCATCGACCTGTCGCGCAAAGCGGGTCGGGCGATCGTCGAAGGCTCCTCACGCCGGTTCTCTTCGTCCGCCGGATTCGATCAGAAGAAGAACACGGCCGATCTGGTCACCGAGACGGATCAGGCGACGGAAGAGCTCGTCAAGAAGGAGATCTCCACCCGCTTCCCATCGCATCAATTCATCGGGGAGGAAAGCTGGGCGGCGGGGGAGGAGAACGCCATTGGCGATGCGGTGACTTGGATCGTCGACCCGATTGATGGGACAACGAACTTTGTTCACGGTTTTCCCTTCACCTGCATCTCGATTGGTATTGTTGTCGATAAGCAGGCCGTAATTGGGGTGGTCTATGCGCCGTTCATGGATACGCTGTACCATGGATGCAAGGGCAAGGGGAGCTATGTGAGCAGTCCGCACCACCAGACGCCGACACAGCTGCCATTGGCCAACCCACAACCGCTGCCGAGCCTCACCCAGGCGCTGGTGGCCTTCGAGTGGGGATCCGACCGTCGTTCCGCCGTGCTGTCCAAGAAGCTCAGTTCGTTCGCCAAGATCACCGGCGATGCGGAGGGCGGCGTAGTAGGGGGCAAATTCGCCCAAGGCGTCCGATCGATCGGATCGGCAGCATTGAACTTTTGCCACGTCGCAAGCGGCAGTCTGGATCTGTACTGGGAAATCGGATGTTGGGCATGGGATGTTTGTGCCGGGATCGTCATCGCTCAGGAAGCCGGCGCCGCGGTGGTCGGCAGTCAGACCCACGCAAAGGAGGTCATCGAGGCAAAGGAGGGATTCAACGTCGTCACACCGCAACTGCTGACGGGCAGGAAGTATGTGGTGATTAGAGCGATCGATGGTGCGGATGACGGCAAGAACAGGGACGCGCAGAAGCATATCTTGGGCGAGTTCTACAGTTGTGTGGACGAATGGGATCCCTAGTCCCGTCGACGCTGGCCCGCTTCGTACACCAATGTCTCCCTTGAATTGCCAAGCACACAAAACGATCGCAGCAGACAAGTCTCACCCGTTCGCAGGTCGAGCCGGAGATGAGGAGCAAGTTGCGTCTCCCTTCACACACGTCCGTCAAACAAGATCCGGCCCCGTACTTCTCTCACAAGCAGAACAAGACGTGAGCTCCTCTCAAAGTGCAAACATGCATTGCGAATAAAGTTCGTATAGTTGTGCATGGCTCTTAGGCCGTCTGATCCATCTTGCCCTCTGGGCTGTCCACGCCCTCGACCTCATCGCCCATGCTCAGATCGTACCCCATGAGCGCATCGTCCGTCCAGCCCAGGGGCGGGCCCTTGCCTGTGACACTAGGATCTTCGCTCGCGGGCAGGCCGAGCTTCTCCCTCAACTCCTGCACCTCCCTCCTGCATACCAATAGCGCCTGGTCTCGTCTCTCGAGCCTCTTCTTCATCCTGATCAGGTACTCGTTGCTGTGCCTGAGCAGGGCGACCTTGGAGATGGCCTTGTTGGCAGCGCGCGCTTGGTCCGGATCGCCGACCTCGTTGGGTTCGAAATGCTCCGCCTCGCGGTCTTCGGCGGTTCCGTCTGGACCCAAGAGCGAGCCGTTGGGTGCATCCTCATCCAACGTGATCGCCGGCAGCAAACCGCGCAGCTCGTCAAAGCAGAACTTGAGCGAATCACGTCGTTTCTGCTCGGCTGCCTTGTGCGATGTTCGGCGCGACTCGAGACCGCCTGCGGACTTGTAGGTCATCCACGCATCGCGGTCGGCTTGCGAGAGACCGCCAGGTTGGATCGGCATCCCGTTCATCTGAGGCGGAAGGTTGAAGGTGACCTTCGGCCCACCGGGGCCGGATGGGAACGGCGCGATGGCCGGGTACATCGGTGCTCCAGATTGGGCTGGCATTCCCATGGGTTGCTGCATCATCATTTGTTGTTGCTGTTGCAGGTCGTCGCCGCGGGCCTTTGCTTTCAGTGCCGAAGACAGGGCGGCAGGTCCAGTGCGGTTGGGGGAGTTGGCTGAGCTGCCGGGACTCGAACGGATGCCCATGATGGAGCTGGGCGTAAGGATCTTGTTGGTGGGCCCGGAGGGAGGGGGCATGGCTCCACCGCCGGACAAGTCAATCGGCGAAGGAGTCGACGAGGTGCCTTCGCTCTGCGCTACGTCAGCAGACTGATGCCTCGAGTGCAGACCCGGCACTGCGTCAGGTGCAGTGGTGATCGAGGTCCTGCGCGATCCCGAACCAGACGATCCGCCATTTGCGTGGCCGTTGCCGTTGATCAGCGGCGTCGCTGTGCTGGGCGATGCCAGACTGTCCTTCTTCTTCTTCAGCGACGGCCCAGCGACGGGCTTCATCAAGGGCGACGGTCGCACCTTGTTGGCACGCGACTCGGCGGTGGTGCTGCGGTTCTTTCGGATCTTGGACGATCCTTTAGCGATTAGCGCGAGAGGCGAAGCGGTCGGCGTAAAGTTGTTGACGGCGCTGACGGCTGGCGAGCCGTGCATGCCCGGTTGCTGCTGCTGATGGTGTTGCTGAAGCTGCATCTGCACCGGTGGCAGCATCATCTCGCCAAGGCTTGGCGGTTGCGGACCGAGCGCTGGCGAAGTGAGGGGCGAGAAGAGCTCGGACATGACGATGCCGGTGCTGCCTGTAGAAAAGACGCTGGCAGGTGTTACGGCGGGAGACTCGAGCGGGGTGTAGTTGTTTAGGTAGTCAGGACCGCGGCGGTGCTCGAGACCGACGCTGCCAGGCTGAGAGTTGGGCTGAATGGCGAGCGGTGACATGAAGTTGGCGGAGCCGGGAGGGCATGCCGAGCCATTGAAGGGTCCTGATCCGATAGGTGTGATGAGACCGTACTGCGCCAGCACATTTGACTGATCACCAGAAGCGCCGCCTTGACCTGCAGCACCGCTCATTTGCTGTTGTGGTTGCTGTTGCTGCCATGCATCCTGACCTTGGCCTTGCGATTGCTGTTGTTGCTGCTGCTGCTGCTGTTGGTACTGCGCAGCCTGAAGGACATTGTGGTGCGCACTGGGATTGTTACCGGCAGCAAAGGCATTCTGGAGGGCCATGAGCAGACTCTGCTGTTGACCGGGCGAGAGCTGACCAGCCGAGCCGGACAGATTGAGCTGGGGATTAGACGAGGGACCGGCGCCTTGCACATTCTGCTGATGTTGCTGCTGCTGCTGCTGTTGATGACTTGCGTGCTGCTGCTGCTGTTGCTGCTGCTGTGCCTGCATTTGCGACTGGTGTTGCTGCAGCCGTGAGAGTTGGTCAAGCTGCTGTTTGAGGAGCGCGGTCTGCATGTTCTGGATACGTTCGGTCCTCTCGCGCTCCATGAGCATGCGTTGCAAGTCGGAGATGGACAATTGCGGCATCTGACCGTCCTGATCGTTGATTTGAGATTGCGCAGCCGACGCACCTCGACTGTGATCCGAAAAGTGGGATCCGCTAAAGGCCATCTCGGTGGGTGCGGCAGAAGGGGGACGGATGTGGCCTTGATCGCTGGGGCCAGCTTGCGGACTGGCGGACGCATTGTTGTCGAAGCGGTTCCGAGTGTATGCCAAGGGCGAGCTGGCGTGGGAAGCGCTGTTGAGAAACATGCCTGCTGCGCTGTGCGGGTTGGACGAAGAGGCAGCGGCGCTCGGATCTGACGAAGCAGTGGCGTGGGCGAAGGCGGCAGAGGGACTCGGATGATGACTGACGGGAGCTGAGCCAGCTTCCGAGGGTCCGTTGTGGTGCGAGCTGATGGATGGCGCAGCGTTGCTGCTGGGGAAGATGTTGAGATCTTCGAGACCCGAGTTGGCAGTGGAGAAGTCGGCGTTGCCAAAGTCGAACGTGTCCATGAACGAGTTGGGCGTGGAGGACGAGGGGAAAGGATTGTGGGACGAGGCGGGGCTGTTCTGCATCATCTTGGCAAGCTGTGCTATCTCAGGAGGTCGAGAGGGAGGTGTATGTAGCACTGACTCGATGCAGTGTGCGTCCGTGGACGACAAGATGCCTCTGAGAATCGAAGAGACACGATATCTTTGTCACGATGGTCGGAGAAGCCGGGTCGAGTATGGAGCTGCTGCCGCACGGATGACAAAGATTCGTGGTTGTACCGGTCGTCTGATGAGGGATTGGATCGGTCGAGCTACAGTAAGGAGAAGTGACTCGAGGGTGATATGAAGTCAAGTGGGAGGATGTGGGTTCGATCCGTGAGGCACAAGGTGTGGCCGCCTCGAGACGGAGGTTGCGAAGGTTGGAATGAATCGGCGGTGGGTCCAACGGATGGAATGCGGCCGTCTCCGCGAATGAACGTCGTTTCAGACTGAGCAGGACTGACGACGAATGGTATCGGATAGGCTGTCGCAGAAGGAATGTAGGTGAAAGAGGATGGAAGGGCGAGAAGACCTTGGTCGTAGGCTGCAAGCCGGGGCTGATGGTATCGACGACGATCAGATCTATCGCCCAAGCCTGAAGATCTGGCCAGGGCAGTCGCAATGGTCTAAGACTGAGTCTGTGCCTGCTGAGGTTGTCGTCAGGATCCGTTGCTGCGTCTTGGACTCTGAAAGCGCTGCCCCGGGCCAAAAAAAAAAAGAAGTTGCTCGGGTGGAAATTGTCGAGAAAAGGGCGAAAACATAAAGTTGGATTTCCAAGCCAAAAACAATGGGCGGGCGCCCTGAGCTAAGAAAGTCAAGTGAAGGAAGAAGAAACGGACAAGTGGGGCTATCCGGGCAGAGACAGACAGGCGACCAAGCGGACAGCCCACCGGCAAGCGGTCAGCAGAAGGCGGCGCTGAGATCAGTGCAGCCCTTGCACTGGGAATAGGCTTTGCTCTCGACTGCCTTGTATGCAAGCGAATTCAAAGGAGCTGCAGTCAACTAGCCCCATCTGCGGCTCACAGTTGGACACAGTACCAATAGGCGAGGAGACCAGGGACCCGGCTGTAGACGGAACGGAGAGAGAGCGCAAGAGAGAGTGGGAGTGAGCGGGGACCGAAGTTGTCCATCGTCTTGCAGCAGCTTTGCGTGTGCGGTTCAGCTGGTGGATCCGCCCATCTCGGGCTATGCGAGAAGCGAGGCGAGAGAAGGCCGGTTGAGGCCCAGAGAGAAGACCGGGAAATCGCGTCTCTGAAGGCGAGCGAGAGAGGCTTTCAGCTGCGTTCAAAATCAGCCTCTTCTCGGTCTCTCTCTGTCCCTCTCTTCGCGTTCCCACGACTTTGGCCCGCAAAGCGGTCTCTCTCACGCTTCTCGAGCTGATTTCTCTACGGAACGGACCTTGATTCTCCGCTGTGCTCTCTCCCGCATCCTAGCCTCAGGGTCGTTGTAGATGCTTGGCAGCCAGCGTCCGCTCCCAAACGCGTCGAGACGGCGGATCAGCTACGATCCCGAGTGCCACGAGCCAATCGATGGACAGCTGCGAGCTGACTTGCCGTCGCTTTTTCCATGCAGCAGACAATCTCTTTCTTTCCTTGTTGTAAAGCTCGCCTGGTTGAGGACTAAGAGCTGTCTCAGCTTGTTGGTATGATCGTCCGACCAAAACTTTGGTGCAGGCATATTGTGAGACGCTGCATCTCGAACTAACGCGCATGTGAGGCGGGAACGGTCACATTTAAGGCCGACAGTCGGCTAGTCCCTCTGCTAGGTGGGGGAGCTGAAATTGTCCATTGTCCTGCCTTTGAGCTCTGATCTCGCTTCACGGAGCAAGCGAAGGAATCCAAAATCCCTAGGAGCACTTTCGTCTGTCAAAGGGAGACCGCACAGCGGCAGCGGGTCGGAAGGCGCCGACGCCCACCGATGTCTGACAACAATGAGCGACTGCATGATCGATATGCAGCAGGGTTGACACTCTAAATTTCCTCAGCACAAACAAAGGGCCGTTTGCGGACCGCCAAATCGCTGTAGATCCCTTCATGCTCGTTGCTCTGTCGTTGCCCCGGGCCAGAGTGATCATCCCCTCGTCGGCCACCTCCCTCTTCGCTTTAGCAGTAGTCGATGACGCAGTGATTCATGCCAGATGATAGTTGGCTCAGGTGAGCGATCCGGAACCCGGGATCCACTCTCTTGGCCAGCCGAGGCGTGGATGACCGGCGTGGGTGAGCAAGCGATGATGCGTTCCTACGAACTGAGTGAGAGCTCTATTTCGATGCGCATCTCAGGAGAAAAGGGCGCTTCATGCTGGAGGTAAAGTTGACCGGCATGTCCGACCGTCAAAGTTTTTTCTCTCACGCACAGCAGCGTCGTTGTCGGTATCGTTCCGACGCAGGCAGAGCGAGGGCCTGGTCGTCTTTCGGGATGTGTGAGTCGCTTTACTCGTCATCTTGTCGAGCTGCGCTTGATCAATTTGTGCTTTGAAGGACTCGTCGGACGAACCGTCGGTCTCAGCGTTAGCGGACAGCCTGCGTGGCTCACCAACCAATCGGATTCGGTTGGTCGAAGAGATCAGCGGCGCAGCCACGGTTTGAAGCCTCTTTGCAGGTGACAGGTGCAGCTTGCAGCTCTAAGATCTGGTTGGTCGGCCGATTCGCAATTGCTAGAGCCGATGCTCATTGGTCGGGACCAGAAGTGACAGCACGGCCTGCAAGACCTTCATTGGTGATCTCGCCTTTGTGTCAACGTCCTATTGAGCCACAGACGAATCTCACCGCGCACAAGCTGCTAGTGAGTCTACTGAAGATCGTTTGCATGTGTATAGTACAACGAGGATGTCGTCCGACGAGAGGCGAGTCGAAGATTGGATCAGGTGCCTGGGCAATCGCTTGACCAATGGCCCTTCTTGCCGCAGCGAAAGCAGCCGTCGTCCTTCCCGCCACCTTTCGAGCCACCCTTACCCCTCCCTCTGGTCTTGCCTCGACTGCTTCCTCTGCTTGAACCTCTGCTGCTGCTACTGGCGTTCGAGAATACCTGCTGTGGATTCGGGCAGTCCGAGGCCCAGTGACCCTCTTGTCCGCATCGGAAGCATCCGCCGCTAGCCCCGCCGCTGCCGCCTCCTCCGGCATTGCTATTGCCTCCATTCGACGATCCACCATACCCAGTGTTGGCCGAGGCGCCGCCTTCATCGGCCCATTCAAAGTACTTGCAGCGCAAGTGCGCAGCCGACCGCCCACACGTCCAGTACGACCGTCCTGCGTTCGCTCCGCTATTCGACACCTTGCACTCGGCTTGCAGGCTGCAGTTGCATCGTTTGGGGCCCGGGGCGGTCTTGCGCATGTTGGAGGACCAGCCGTCCGAGTCGCCCTCCGGAGGATGGTTTCGCTTTGCTGGAATCGTGGTCGTCGTTGTGCTTCTGGTACTGCTGCTGCCAGAAGGCGCGTCGGCCCAGTCGAAAAAGTCGCACTTGTCAGGTGCACCCATCGGCTTGGCGCATGCGAAGAAGCGACGGCCTTGGTTCGGACCTGGTTTGTTGGTGGCTCGCTCGGCGGCGGTCTCGCCGCAGAGACATTGCTTTGAGCCGCTCGCCTCGTTAGCGGATCCGTTGAATGTGCGAGATGGGGCAGCGATGCGAGCTGGTGGTGGTGGTGGGGGGGACAAGGTATTCTTTTCCTCGTCGGTGTCGTTTCGTGGATCGGGTTGCCTCGTCGGCCGTGCTGCTGCCGCTGCTGCCGCTGCGCCACCTCGACCACCACGAGCGCCCCGAGTGCCCCGAGCGGCGACAGTCGCTCTTCCGCGACCACGCCCACGCGCAGGAGCGCCACCGTTGCCACCGTCTCCCGGTCCGCCGAACCCGCCGTCGCTATCTGCATCGCTGTCATCATCAGGAAGACCGTCCTCATCGCCCTCCTCCCTGTCCAGGAGCTCCACTGCGCGTGCTTCATGCCCAGCATTCGGGTCGGTCAGATACTGAAGCACCGTCGCGGCGATGCCATCGAATTGTCGGTTCGTGAGTGCAAACACCTGCCGATACTCCTCGATGCTTTCCGACACGGTGTCTGCTTTCGTGCGCTGGCCAGCACAGATGAGCGACATGCGGAACTCGGTCTCGCGACGCAGCAGCGGCTTGGTGAGCGACTTTTCGAGGTTGAGCTGATTGTAGCCCTCGACGAGGCCGATGCCGAGGGTCGAAGGGACCAGGTAGGTGACTTTGCCCTCCTTGACCTGCATCACGTAGCGACGCTCAACGACCTTGGCGATGTGCTCGGCGATGGTGGCGTCGGTGCCGATGCCGTTCTTGTCCATGAGATTGACCAGATCGGCCTCGGTGAGCAGCTTCGGCGGTGACGTGGAGCCTTCCTTCATCTCGAGTCGAGTGGGGCGGAACGTCTCGCCTTGGACAAACGGCGGCAGGAGATTGCCTTCCCACTTGTCGTAGGTGAAGACCTCGAGGTAGTTGCGCTGGAGGATGGTGAGTCCAGAAGCGTGGAACTTTTCGCCGGCAATGTCGATGGCCACCGTGGTCTGCGAGCCGATGGCGTCGCTCCAACAGCTGCCGAGGAAGCGGCGGGTCACGTAGTCGTACACGCGCTTGTCGTCTCCGGTTAGACTGTTGGCGTGCGAGGTCGGATGGATCGGTGGATGTGCTTTGTCGTTCTGCTTGCCTTGGCGAGGACGCTCGAAGGCCCCGTCCAGCAGACGCTGTGCAATGTTGCCCCACGCACCATCGGCCGTCTGCTTGGCGATGAGGCTGGTAAAGTCAAAGTCCTTGTCGTATTGATCCGTCTCTGTTCTTGGATACGACAAGAAGCCCTTCTGATAGAGCGATTCGGCCACGTCGAGGATGCGCTTGGGTGCGAGTCGCAGGAGACGCGATCCCGACTTTTGAAGCTCGACCGTGGTGAGCGGATACGGCTTCCACTTCTTCGTCTGCTTGTTGGTGACGGTTTCGACGGTGGCGTCCGGGTTGGCTCGGCAGAGATCGCGGAAGACCTGAACGGCGCGTTTGTCGAACAAGTGCACCCGATCCCAGTTGAAGACCACCTTGCGGATCTCGTCTGGCGGATCATCTGGCGAGGGGTCGCCTCCGGACATGCTCCGCGTCTTTTGTACTTGTAACAGCCAGAACGGTTCGGGCACAAAGTGGACGACTTTCTTGTATCTGTCGACTACGAAGCCGAGGGTCGGAAACTGACAGGGCCCGTAGCTGATGACTTGCCGCCCCTCGTTGAGTGCGGGAATGCGGTTCTGTAGCGCCAACGTCTGCATCCGCGTGAAGGCGGCGCCGATGCGGAGGTCGAGCTGGATGCGGGACTCGACCGCGTCCGCAGCTCTCCAGTCAAGTTCGACGGTGTTCTGACAAGCTGCGTGGATCTGCGAGTCTATGATGGCGGAGAAGCGGGCGCGCATGACGCGGATGTTGCGGCGGACCTTGCGGATCTCGTTGATAATCTCGCTTCCAATGTGCTCGCCTTCGCGATCGCAATCGGTCCAGATCATGACTGCGTCCGCATTGCGAGCCTCCATGCGTAGATTAACACCGATGGACTTTGCGTCGTCGCTGATGTCGGTGACGATGGGCGCTTGGAAGAGATCCGCAGGCGAGCAGGAGAACCAGGCCTTGTGAGCCGGGCCAAAGTCGGAGCTGGTGAGGTGGCCGCGGACCGAGGTCATGGTCATGTCGACCATGCCCTGCACGCCGGGCATCTTGTATTGGAAGTCATAGTTTCGGCAAAACTTGTCTTTGCCTGGTCTGTTCGAGGGGTGGCCGCGGGCCAGGATGTTGGCGATGCTCTTAGCGATGGAGGGCTTTTCGGCCACGCACAGAATCCTCATGCCTGGAATTAGTGATGACGGAGGCTGGACAGATGCTGATGCCTGGCTCGCAATCGTTCTTATGCGTGGCCAGAGGTGTGTCTGCGAGTGGTACGGTCGTGAGATGGAGATGCGGGGTGCAGTGGCGGTCTGAATCGTGGCGAGTGAGTAGCGGGTGCCTTCCTGGTGTTGTGCGGCGAGAGGTCGTGGCACATGGTAGCTGGAGGTCGGTAGGGAAGTTGACGCCTTTCGACAGCGCTCGAGTATACGACTGCGGACTAATAGCATGCCATGGACGGAAGCCGTGCCTTCGGGTCGACCTGTTGTGTGACCTGGCTAGCCGTGCACCACCATCATCGCAACCGTCGAGAGCATGTGGAGGTAGTCGTTGTCGAGCTTCGGCGTTCGTGCGGAAGAGGCGGGCGTAGTCGACCTCGGTTTGCTCGTGTGGACCGTGGATCAATGCAGCCTCGCAGTTACCAGCGATCGATACGAGCGTTCAGACGGTGATGGCGAGAGTCCTCGTCTTGTTGGAGAGCGGCGAGAAGAAAGGTTCGAGGCCGCTTGAGCTGCAATTAACACGGCTGAGTTGAAAACTTCGCGTTCTCGTGTGACTTTTTTCTCACGCGTCAGAGACCAACACTTCATCAAGTCACACAAAACTCAGCCAAAATCCGCTCAAAGCTTTGTCGAACTTCCGCACCATCGCCCTCATACAGCTGAGTCGATTCCGCATCGCTTAACAGAGGGCATACGTCCACATACATCAGCGGTCTTCTACGAACATCCGCCAGCACATCCACCACGGCAACCCGCACAAGTCCAAGCTTGAGCTCCGTTCTGCTTGAGCAACAGCGTCACAATGCTAGCCGCACCCTCTCCGAGCACAAAGCCGCTGGCGACGATGATGATGCCGATCCCCGCCAGTGCGGAAGACGACTTGGATCTTTGCCCCGACGCAGATGCACGCTGACGCGAATGGTACCAATGCGCAACCAGTCCACCGACCAGACGGGTCAGCGAAAAGTTGGGCGTGTTCAGCATGCCTACAGCGAAAGCGATGCCGCTCGGCACTAGCTTGGCCACCTTGGCGGCAGCGCTTGTCCCGACCTGACCCTCCTCGTGCAGCGCCTTGCTACGAGCTAGTGTCTTGATCACGCCCGTCACCGCGAAGATGGCTCCGAACACGATCATGAACACGTTGACCTTGTCCGGCAAGTGTCCGTGATTCACCAGCCTGGCGAGGTTGAGCCAGACGGCAGCTGTCGGCGCAGGGAATTGCGGTCCAGGGATCTCGTACGCGTTCGTGTACAGCTTGTACGCAAAGCTGCTCACCAATATGCCGAGAGTGCTGCCGATCAGCTGGCCCTTGAACTGGGACCGTGGCGACGCACCGACGAGGTGTCCGGTCTTGTAGTCCTGCATCAGGTCACCTGCTTGCATCGCACCTGCCTCCGAGATGCCTCCAGCGATCAAGTTGGCTACCACATTGCCTGGCTGCACAAGCGCAAAGATCAGCTGCGAGATCTTGCCGATACCGGAGACGGGGTTCAAGTCGGTCTCGCCGAGCGCACGAACGCCTAGGATAGCGAACAGCGAAGCCAGAACGATACCGAGGAGAGTCGCCCACAGTGAGATGCCCTCCGCGCCGAACGAGATGTAGATCAGAACGACTGCAATCAGTGTCGAACCCAGCAAGCCGGCGATGACCCATGCCTTTGGGGTCTGACGAGCGGGCGGCTCATGGTCTTCGTCCGCTTCCTCTTGAGCGTCGGCATCCGCATCACCGTGCCCTTGATCGTCGCTGCCCTGCTGTCGGCCCTGCTTCTTCTTTGCGGCCAGGCTTTTCAGGTCTCGGATGCCATTGCTTGCCACCAACGCCACCAGTCCAACGATGCTCTCCGAGCACATGATCGCCAGGCTGATCCAGAGGATCCATCCCTTGCTCCCTTCGTCCGAGTCGAGCGGATGGCCAGGCGCCCAACCTCGGAAGTACGCCAGCGGGCTCAATACGGCCCAACCAACGATTGCGCCAGCCGTCATGCTGACCGTGGTAGGCAAGCCCATGATGATGCCTTGTCCGATGTAGTTGAGGGAAGGCGTGAACCAGAAGCCCCACATTGACGCCAGGTTGTGCGGTGGGATGAAGTCGAACAGCGGCATCGCGTATAGCACGGGGATGTAGTACGAGAGGATGGTGAATCCGGCGGATCCAGAGAAGGACCAAGCAAGCGCCTTCCAGCCTTTCGAGCTGTCGATCGAGTCTTGGTGGCCTTCCTGCTGGCTATCGAGGTCGGCGTCGCTACGGTCCTGCTCGCTGAGGAGGGCTGTTCTCTCGTTGGCGGCTCCCACTTCGGCATCGTCCGAATAGCCTCGCCGCCTTCGTATCGATGCATCGCCCACATCTGCGGTCGAAGTCTTCTGTCCGATCAGCGGCTTGTTGTGCAGCACGCCTATCAACTGCGCTGTCGCCGTTCCACTTGGGAATGTCAGCTTCTCCTTGACGATCATCGGCTCGCGCAACGGCGAGGCGAAGAAGACGCCGAAGTAAGCCAGAGCGAAGCACCATCCCACGAGATGCACAAAGTCCAGATCGATCGGGTCACTACCGTCCTTCTCCCACGTCAGCTTCTTCAGCGCTGGGATGACGCCGACCAGGCCGGCCGAGAGCGGCATCACCCCAACGGCGGCTGCCGTCGTCTGCACCAGCACGTTCTCTTGCGGTGTGAACGGGCTCGACATGAGCACGAACCGTCGACCTGCCAGATCGAGGTGGCGGGGGAGGATGCGAAAGAGTGCGAACCCGAGCAGCGAGCTTTGAAGCGACATCATGCTGATCCAGCCGGATTGAAGGCCGAGGTAGAGATTGGTGAAGGCGAGGAGGCATCCGATCAGCAGGCCGGCGAGCACGGCTCGTATCGTAAAGTCGTCATCGACAGTATCGTCAGCAACCGGGGCGGCATGATGGTCTGTTGTGCTTGGACCGGATCTCGAAGCTGCCGCAAGTGGCTCTGTCGACGAGCCACGCATCGTCGCCGTGGCAAGCAATGCCAGCTTGCACGGACAACGTCGAGTCTATGGTGAGCGAGAACAGGATCCTTGCGGCTCGTCACGACGTCATCTAGCCGTACTCTCCGCTCTTGGTGTATGTTGAGGCCCGGTAGATGCAACGCGTGTGCGAGCAATGGTTGTAGGAGAGCAACGGCAAGCTGAACGAAAGCTAGCATGTTGGACCCCGTCTCCTTCGGCTGTCTATCCAGTTGATTCCGTTGCGGCAATCTATGCACGGAATGGCGTCACGCGAGCGAAATTCCACCGCCTGTTACAGCGGCACACGCCGCGGTCTAGCTTGATTTTCCGGCTGTTCGGGAACGCACGGTGAGCGCGCCCGAGAAGCCGAAGCATCGCTGGTCAAAGCTTGATCATGAATGCGCAGCCAACACCTTCCATCACTGCGAACTACCACCATCATCGCGTCGATCACCTCCATCATACCGGCTTCGCTCTTTGTCATGTCGTCCGACACCGCCGCAGCCGACGGCGCAAAGGGCTACCTGACACCGGACCAAATCGCCCAATTCCACCGCGACGGCTACCTCCTCCTGCCCTCGTTCTTTGACCCTGCGCCGCTTCTCGCGCACTCCAAGTCGCTCATCTCGTCCTTCTCCCTCGCCGATCACCCGCTCACCACCTTCTCCGCTGGCGAAGATGAGTCGCACGTTGGAGACCGGTACTTCCTCGACTCTGGCGATAAGATCCGGCATTTCTTCGAAGAAGGAGCCATCGATCCTATCACCAAAACTCTCACAGTAGACAAGGACAAGGCGATCAACAAATGCGGTCATGGGTTGCATCTGCTCGACCCTGTCTTTCGCGACTTTTCCTTTTCGCCGCAGCTTCAGGGGGTGGCGCGCAGTTTGGGGGTGCACAAGGACCCACGCGTGCTGCAAAGCATGGTGATCTGCAAGCAGCCGAGCATTGGGGGTGCCGTACCGAGTCACAATGATTCCACCTTTTTGTATACGGATCCGCCGAGTGCGGTGGGCTTCTGGTTTGCGTTGGAGGACTGTACGACGAGCAACGGATGTTTGAGCTTCCTACCTGGCAGTCATCGATGGCCGAAAGGCACGAGTCCAAGCCCTTCGGACGCACCAAGGCCAGCCGACGCGCACAACGAAGCCCTGGGCACGGCGAGGGGCATCAACAAGCGTTTTGTGCGCAAACAACCCTCCAACCCTGACGCAGGTACCACCTTCATTTCGATTGCGCAAAACGAGGAGGTCGAATGGGACGAATCCAAGGCCGAGATCGCAGAGTGCAAAGCAGGGACACTGGTGCTCATCCACGGCAGCGTCATGCACAAGAGCGAGAAGAACCTCAGCGACAGAAGTCGGTTCATCTACACATTCCACATGATTGAAGGTGAGGGAGCGAGGTACGACGAGAAGAACTGGTTGCAGCCGACACAAAAACATCCTTTCCCGCGACTGTACGATGGCGCGTGAATGCAATACAAGTGATATACAATTGCGAATGATGTGACAGACTATGCAAACAAAGAAAGATGGAGCAACGAAGGAACTATGCGGAACCTTTGACGAGGTGTACGCCTTGCTTGGTGAGCGCCTCCCACCCACCTACGACGCTATACGCCTTGACACCTGCCTCGCGCAACACGCTGGTCGCTAGACGACCCGTCTCGCCGTCGTAATCGACCACGAGCGCTTCGCGCTGACTCTTGCGCAGGCAAGCCAGCATCTCGGGCAGCTCCAACGCGTTCAGCTCTGCGACGCCGTTGCCGGGGCATTCGTGCTCGACGCTCGGCTGTTCAACGAACCGCTTGTTCAGCTCGGTCCACTGGGTCGCGAGCAGCACGGCGTCCGCGTACGGGCTAGGATCGTCAGCGTTGAGGCTGGACAGCGGGATGTTTCGTGCATGCGCCAGATGGCCCGCTGCAAAATCGCGACGGGAACGCAGATCGATGATCGCCGGTCGCAACAGGCCTGCGGACTGAACCGACGTTTCCGAATCCGACTCGGACGGATCCGAACTCAACTCGGATGGCGAAGGAAGCTCGACGTGCGACGAAGAAGAGAAGCGCGGGTAGACGAGCATCGTCTGCGCAGAAGCAACGTCCAACACCCAACTCGTCGAGTACTTGTACTGATCCACCTTGAACAGGTGCTCGTTGACGATGGGTGGGAAGAGTTCGGCGTCGCACTTGTCAAAGTACTCGTCGACGTATTGGAAGGGTAGATCGCAGCAGAGAAAGACGGCTTGGATGGGTTGACCATCGTTTTGCTGACGCAGCGCCTGCAGTGTTCCCGCCCGTTTTCTGCGCTCGAGCACCTGGAAGAGACCCTGCAGCGAAAAGCCAGAAGAGGGACCGCAGACGATGCCGTACCGACAGAGCTGCATGGACAGCGTGTAGCTTTCGCGCGAAGCGACGTCCTCGACGTCATCCACGAGGGGCTTCCAGGGAAAGTCGACGGGTTCGAGCAGCTCGCGCGGACGAGGACCGGGGATCTTTTCCCCCCTCGCCACGCAGACGCCGACAATGTGCATATCGGGCTGGTCCTGCTTCAGACGGGTGGCGGTACCCGTGATGGTGCCGCCCGTGCCCATGCCGCCTGCGAAGACGTTGATGTCGGGCAGCTGGGCGAGAAGTTGCGCGCCGGTCCAGCGTTCATGCGCCGCAGGGTTGGCGGGGTTCTCGTACTGGTTTGGGTTGTAGACGCCTGGTTGGGAGCCTTGCGAGGCCGCTTTGGCGATGCCACCCATGGGATCTTGGGGCGGGGACTGGGAGGGACCGCCGAAAAGGGCCAGCTCGAGACCGAAGAAGCGCATCAGGGAAGATTTGGTGGGAGAGACCTTGTTCGACATCCATGCGCGCACTTTGGAAACGCCGTGCTGACGCGCGATCATCGACATCGAGGTGACGGTGGAGCCGGAGGAGGACTCGGTGACCGTGTGAATGGGTTGGGAGGCGCGCTGCTCGGGGGTCGAGTCGAGGGAGATGACGCCACCAGCCTCGAGGAGCGAGAGCGCTGTTGAGTAAAGTGGAGCATTGTGGATGGTGACGAGAGGTGGTGGCGATGATGGCAATGACGAGCAGGAGCAGCGATAGCAGTGTTAGCAGAGAGGGAGAAGGTCAGCATGCTGAAAGAATCAAAGACGATGCACGTCGACACAAAGACCCTGCATTGGATCCTGTTTTTGACATTGTTACACCGGCGCTTCGTTGATCCTAAAATTCTCGCGAAATTCAGATGGCCCGCGGCAGCTGGTTTGAAATGGCGTGATCGAGCGCCAAATCACGCAATTGCGCCAGCTCTGAGCAAAGAGTGCAAAAGTTTGCACGCCCAGCACCTCTGGAGCCCGCCACAGCCCGAGCTCGCCATCGCCGCCCAAGTTGATATCAACTCTGGCGCCCCTTGCAGCCCACTTGCCCCCGCTATTGTTGCGCCCTTCCGGTGCATTGCAAAGCACGTAAGAGCTGCAGCAGCGACCGGTCAATAGTCGATGCTAGATCTAATCTTATCTGCCCTCCTTCGTGTCGGCTAGGCAGATGAGATAGGAGATCGCTTGTCATGCTCCCGCCGCCTATTGTACCCTCACTATCTTATCTAGGGTCTGCGAGAAGCATGCTCCTGCCGAAGCAGCATTGTCCTTGCATCCTTCCGTCCGTCCTTCATGACCACATCCATCGTGAGGACTCCTCCGAGGATCGAGCTGGCGATAGCATCGCGAGGACAGACGTCGCGATGCAAAGAAGCTCGATTCTCGCCTCAGCCTTTCATCCAGCGATATGCAGAGTCTTTGGTCGGGCAACTGGACGCGGTACTTACCGGGCAAACTCTTGACATTGGTGGCGGGCAGAGCGGTGAGCATCTTGGCATAGATGCGCACGCCATCGTCGTGGTACGGATTGAGCTGGGGTGGCAATTCGACGAGTGGCAGCGGCGCGTTCTTGTCCGGGTTGAAGTAGTCGATCAGACTGTTGGGCCCAGCAAAGACGTTCATCCTGCTGGGATCGTAGGTGTGTTTTGAAGCTGTCGACATGTTTGCTAGGATAGGTGAGGTGATGAGGAGGTGATGGAGGGGGCGATGGGTGATGGCGACGAAAAGAGCGAGCGTCGATGTTAACTTTTCCAGCCTGCTGAGGTGGAAGGGCGGGCCGGGCGAGCGAGGGGCAAGGGTGTCGATCGAGACGGGCCAAAGCCGTGTGCTTCCGCTCTCGATGGAGGAGCAAGCGGTTCACGCGCCACGCTCGCGACCAAACTCGGTCCGCTCACCAGCGGTCGAATCCATCACAATCCACAGGACCACAGGCGGGCCCTCGATTTTGAACGAGGGCCCACCAGCGAGCAAGCGGAGAATTTTTCTTCATGTCGCGAGCGGGTTCTTTCACAGACTGACCCGCAGGCCTAGACCGAGGCGATTATTCAAACGTGCATTTCCGCCGTCTCGCCTCCCAAAGTTTTCTTTGCTCGCACGTTCAATTTGATTTTCAAAGGGGGTTCGGGAAAGACTCTAAACCTGGGTCCCGATGCGGCGAGGCCTCTGAACAGTGAACACAGCACCACATCGGATCAGATAACGAGGTTTAGCGGTATCATTAGCAACATAAGCATGAAAGTAGTATCGAGTCCATGAAAAAGAAATGTAACCGAAAGCGGATCCACGACCGAGAGCCGGCTCACATCGACATGCTCCTGATGCGACTGCCCATCTCGGTGGGCTCCATCGTCCGGCCCCTCGGCGTCATGCCCGCCGCCTTCTCTGCAGCAATGACGTTCCTCTCGTCGGCCAGCTGCTCCCTCGGGTCGAATGCCTTGGGACTTTTGAACGTGTATCCGACAAAAGCGAGCTGCTTCCTCATTTCGAGCAGCTTGGGGCCCTGCTCCCTGTCCCTCAACATCGGGTCTCTGGGCTGGTCGGCGTTCGGGTTGTCGGCCGCACCCGGTGCTGCCAGCGGTGCATCCTCGATGTCGTCTTCAAAGTGCTTCGTGTCACCGGCGTGGCTGAGCGCGGGCTGGAACGGCGGTCGCGTCCGATGCAAGTTGTCCCAATCAATGCCCCGGAACCACGGATGCGACATGAGCTCCTCCACGCCATCCTGCAGCCCACCACCGCTGCCGCTGGATGGACCCTGGTTGGCAAAACCGGATCGTCGCGCACTTTGGAGGTAGCTGTTGGGTCGGCTGACCGATGCGCTGGCTGTGCTGCCCAGCCGATCTTCCCGCTCGCAGACCAGACGCGAGATAAAGTCTTGTCCCTCGCGCGAGATCCTGGGCTTCGGCGGGAAACGCAACGTCTGCTTCCAGTTGAGGATCTTTTGTCGCGTCAGATGCCTCGATTTTGATACAAACGGTGGGTAGCCGTAGAGCATCTCGAAGACAATGACACCGAGGGACCACCAATCGCACGCCTGATCGTACCCCAAGCCGCGAAGCACCTCGGGCGCCATATAGTTGTTGGTACCGACCACCGAGTAGGCGATCTTCTTCTTGTTCTTCTCGCGCCAGGTGAGCACGTGTGTCTTGGGCGTGCCATCGGCATTGCGATCGGCCATGATCTCCATCAGCTCCTTGTCGGAAAGACCAGCACCGGCTTGACCGGGACCAGCACCGCCTGCACGACCCGTCGCCTGGGCAGGGCGTCGCATGCCAGCAGCCGCGTGCGAGTCGTCCAGATCGATACCATGCTTCTTGAGCAGATTCTTGCGCTGCTGGTCGTAGTAGGCTCCATCGTGCGCCCAATGGAATGACTGGCACAGTCCAAAGTCGGCGAGCTTGATGTGACCGTCGGACGTGTAGAGGAAGTTGTCTGGCTTGATATCACGGTGGATGTAGCCGAACGAATGCGCTTCGTGGATGGCGAGCACCATCTCTGCGACGTAGAAACGCGCAAAGTCCTCCTCGAAGATGTCCTTCTCGATGAGCAAATTGAGCAAGTCACCGCCGCCCATGAACTCCATGATGAGGTACAGATGGTCGACGTCCTGGAACGAGTAGACGAGCTTGACGATCCACTTGGCGGTAGCGCTGGCCGAGGCGGACGTCATGAGATCTCGTTCGGCGCGGACGTGCCCCTCCTGTCCCTTGCGCAGCATGTCAGCCTTGCGCAGCTGCTTCATGGCGTACAGCTGGCCCGATTGGCGTTCCTTGCAGAGCGCTACCACACCAAATGCGCCGTGACCGATGGTCTTGAGCTTGAGGAACGAGTTGATGTTGACGCGCGCACGCAGGTCGCGCAGGTAGCGCGTCTCGTTGGCCATCCACGCCTCGCGGATCTGCTCCTTGCTGTGCTCGGGGATGCGCAGCGCGGCGAGCTCGGCTTCGAGTCCCGCTCGTCGCGTGTCGCGCGCCTTGGGCTTCTTGAGGATGCCGTAGTAGAGATTCTCGAAGTAGATCTTGGCGGCCACGCTCTTCTCGACGGTCTCGAGCGAAGGACGCACAGCTGCACCGATGGGCTGCGAAAAGTCGGCGAGGTCCGTCATGCCAGCCGTGTCGACAGAGCGAAGGCTGTCGAGGATGACCATCGAGTTGCGACGTTCGGCAGAGCCTTGGTATGCGTCCGCCTGAGCAGGAGCCTCGAACATGGCATTGATGGCGTTGGGAGCAGCAGAGGGGAGACCGTCGATGTTGCGGCTGTTGCGATTGGAAGCGCCGGGAGAGGGCGGACGGTACATCATATAGTCTGGAGCCACGACGTTGCCATCGCGAGCGACGGGAGGCGAAGGGTTGACGAGCAGTGTGCCGGCGGTGTTGGTGCGAAGTGCCGCAGGCCTGAAGACCGGCTGAGCAGGCTGGGAAGAGAGCTGCATCTGCGCGTTCATAGCCGCCTGAAGCTCAGCATCGGCGCTGAAGTGAGGCTCTTCGGCGATCCCGGCAAATGCCTTGGACTCGCGTGCAGGCGACAAGGCGGGAGCGGCTCCGCGCGACACTGGCGCATCAGGGCGAAGAGTGTTGTTGGAGAGTGTGCTGTGACCTGCAGTGGCGGTTGTGGTGGTGAGCATCGAGATCTGGCTGGGTGCACCGTTGACAATCTGGAGCGGACGAGGGTTGTCGCGGATGAGACTCTCCTGATGCATGGCAGCTTGCACCTGAGCGATGGCCTCGGCTTGGTTTCGAGCTGCTTGCAGTCGGAGGGCCTCCTTGATGGGCTCGACCCACGTCGGATCTGCGACTTTGCCCACGCCATCACGACCCCATCGGTGGAGGATGACCTCGGCTTGCTCTGCGTCGCTGGCATGAGCCGCATGAACAAAGGTCTGCGTTTGTGGTGCTCCCACCATGTCGACGCTAATGCGCTTCTTTTGCGCTTTCGGACCCATAATAGCAGGGGTGAAGAAGTTCATGGCGGTGCTGATGGCAGAGGCATTTGCCGTGTGCGTCGAGGGTGCAGAGAACGAGGGACGAGGGAAGGCACCGGGCACAGCCACCGATGGCTCCTTGCGCGGCGAGCTGGGACCTCGAGGCGAGGCATTCGCAATGTAAGCAGCGTTGGCGCCATACTCGGGACCGGCTTGGAAGGCATCCTGGGTGTTCTTGCGAAGCGCACCGGAGGCCTTGCTGAGGGTGGCGCGGAATTTGCCAGGAGACGAGGGACGCTGCGACGAGGAGGGAGGAGCTAGTCGATTCTGCGATGGACCCTGGTTGTTGACGAGCGACAGAATATCCCAGAAACCCTTGTGCATGAAGGCACTGCCCTGAACGGTCGAGCGAGGAGGTGGTTCTTCCGTGTCGCGGTACGAAGGGTTGTTTGCGAAGCGAGAGGGAGCGCTGTTGAGATGCGGGTTGGCATACTTTGCGGAGGGCGCAGGAGGCGGTCTGGACGACTGAGCGGCTTGCTGAGGGTATCGTTGAGGCTGCTGCGGCTGTTGTGGGGTATATTGCCTGGGTTGATACACGGGCTGCTGATAGGCAGGAGAAGCGCGCTGAACGATTGGTTGCTGGTAAGCTTGTTGCTGTTGTGGTGCCAAGTAAGGATGTGCGTGGGAGGTATAGGCATTGGCACTGGCGTACGCCGATGGGCTGACAGTAGGAGGCATCCTCTGGTTGTATGGCTGGTTGTACTGCGTAGAAGGAGCAAGCGGTCGCGATGGAGGTTGTTGGATGTAGGAAGGACGCATTCGCTCCTCGTACTCGTACCAAGCGGCTTCTTTGGCGGGAGGAGGAGGAGGTTGAGCGAAAGCGAGACTGGTTTGACCATAGTAGGGCATGGCACCGGCGCCTCCTCCACCACTGCCGCCTCCACCTGCACTACCTCCTGAGCTAGAGGAAGAAGGCATGGGCCTAGCGCCCTGCGGACGTGCTGCGGCCATGGCCATTGTGTCGTGCGGATCGAAGTGCGGTTCGCGTGGATATGACCTCGATAGTTGCCTTGTATGATCCTACGGATGTTTGACTTAAGTAAGGATGGCGTGAACAGTGAAATGATATGGTGAATGGAGAGGTTTAGGAGAGGCGAGCCAAAGGAATAGGAGTTGGTTGACGTTGAGGGTGCATCAGCTTGAGTGTTTCTCTGCATGCAGATTTTGTAGCGGCCAATTCAAAAGGGACCCTTGTTTGGTTTGAATCGCCCCTTTCTATCTTGAAAGCGTGCAGATCTGCGAGATTCGAGACCAACACTTCCCGCCGCGCGTCGACTTTGTCGCAGTGTGACGAGTCTCGTCCACCGGCTTTCGCTCTCAAGCCACAGAGATGCTCAGAGTTGACAGAGACGCAACGCATGCATCGCATCGTCGGCAACGGCGATCCGTTGTTGTGGGAGAGATCTGAGATCATGTGGGTCCAAGGTCGAGACCCAGCAGACACATGGCCGTGTCGCACCATGCCCCTGTCTTGAAGCCGGTCACCAGCAGGGCGGACTTGCAATCCACCAACAACACCAATTTAGAGTTCACTCGGACGGCTTTTGAGAAAACATTCAATTGTTTGCAAAGGGGGCGTAACAGCCACCCGCTTTTTCCCATCGTGTTGATCCTTCTCGCTGTTCTGACACGATCATCTATCTTCCCCTTGAAGCTTCGAGTTCATTTGCAGTAATGAAGCATGCTCTCTCAGTACCACCTACGGGCTCTCCTTCACAGTGTGGCCAATCACGCGGTCAACTACGGCTCGCTCGCAACAATCGGACTCGCTAGGAGCCATTTCGGTGCGATGTTGAGACTAAGCTGGTGCATTGCCGATGATCCTCTTTATCGATCAGCAGGTGCCCTCGCCCGCAAGTGTGTATGTTGTGCGATGATTCCTGCTTTCCACTGAGGAGGGGCCCCAGAGCACATCTTGCAGCGCGCAGAAGGCGGATCCCTTCATGTCAGAATCTCTCCGAAGACCTTCCGAGCCACCTGTCCAATCTGTCGACCAGTGAACCGCGGTACACGGCGGATTAACAGCTGTTTCTTCCTTCCGCAGCGCCGTCGACGATGGCTGGACGGCGCACAAGGGTACAGATCCGGCGTCTTGTGCGGATCTATTTCGCTTTGCGCCGTCAATGATTTGCAGATAGCTGCTCTCTCCTGCAACCCCGGCAATAACTCCCCGGCAGAGACGCCGTCGTCATAGATGCTGAATTGCCCTCCGCATCCTGACCTCACCTACTGTACCGCCCACGCCTGGTCTGCAGAGGGAATTGCTCGATGAGTGCATGCCGCGGAACAGGAATCTCGCCTGGCATCGCGCAAACTTCTCGGCTGTCCAAGCGGCCATCGAGATCCAGCTGCAGTGCTACACCATCGCGCGTCGCTCTTGTCTCGGTCCAACTCCGCACCTCGCTAAGCCATTTCTCCAAACTCGCACCGTCGGCTTCACGCTATCCGCTGCACTGTGACTTCCGCCGCCTGTCCGCCCGCCGACTCGTCTGCCGCAGTCACCCGACTTCCGTCGTTGCTGCCTCGCCTAACCGCGGACAAGGCTGACGGAGGATCTTCGCACCCTGCTGCGTGTAGTCGCCGTGGGGGCAAGGGAAAAATTTCGCCGAGAAGAGCTGTCAGCTAATGCCCCCGCACTTGTATGACGGCGCACACAGCGTCTCGATGGAGCGCCGCGCGGGCGCCTCGTCCTCAGGCAGCTGGAACACGGTGCTCCGTCCTGCTCTTCGAGCACGCATCCCATATATAGCAGCTCGTCAGTGCCGGTCACCGTTGGGCCCGCCATCACGAACGATACCTCCCTCGACCAGCCCTCCCCTACCGGCTGTCTCTTACCAAGATGCGTCCCTTCAAGGCGGCTTCACTGACGCCCTTGCTGGCGCTCTTTGCCACCGTTTCCTCCACTCTCGCCCTCCCATCTACCGTCCTTGACAAGCAGCTGGAGGCGCGGAACAACGCTATCACCCCGTCGTTCGACGTCACCTCCTGCCCAGGCTACCAGCTCGTTGGCTCCCCTAACTATTCCGACCACGGCTTCACCGCCCAGCTCTCGCTCGCCGGTACCGCCTGCAATGCGTACGGCGTCGACATCCACAATCTCACCCTCTCGGTCGTCTACGAAAAGAAGCACACGCTCCACGTCCACATCTACGACACTGCTAAACAGCAGTATCAGCTTCCCAACGGCCTGATCTTTGACCGCGCTTCCTCGAACCCTGCCAACATCCAGGATGGCTCCACTGCGGAAGCGAGCGACTTGATCTTCCACCACACGGCGGAGAACGGTACTCAGTCGGGCAGCTGGGCGTTCTGGATCGCACGTCGTTCCACGGGCGATGTCATCTTCGACACGCGCTCCTCCAACATCCCGACGTACGACAACGGTATGAACAACGTTTCGAGCGATACGAAGCGCAACAGCACCGCTATGCCCAAGCACGAGCTCGTGTTCGAGAACCAGTACCTCCAGCTCTCGTCTGCCTTGCCGGAGGATGCCAACATTTATGGGCTAGGCGAGTACGTGACGGGCAGTTTCCGTCGCAATTCGGACGAGACGCTCCAACCATTCTTCACGCTCGATGCGGGCACGCCGGTGGACAGCAACATGTACGGCTACCATCCGGTCTACCTCGAGACGCGTCGAGGGAGCGATGGCAGACTCGCCTCGCACTCGGTGAGCATGCTCAACACCGCCGGTATGGACGTGCTGCTCCGACGCGGCGTCGTGCAGTACCGTGCCATCGGTGGCACCCTCGACCTTCGGTTTACTAGTGGTGACTACCAAGTGGACGGTTGTGTCAAGAACAGCCCCAATACGGCCATTCAGCAGTACGTCAACTTTGTCGGCAACCCGGTGCTCCATCCTTACTGGTCGTTTGGATTCCACCTCTGCCGATGGGGCTACAACAACGTTTCCGATACCCAAGCGATTATCGATGCGATGCGCGAGAATGAGATTCCGCTAGAGGTCCAGTGGAACGACATCGACTACCTCCAGTCCTTCCGCGACTTCACCGTCGATCCGCAGCGCTTCCCGCAGAGCGAGTTTGCGCAAATGATCTCGAAGCTGAGGGAGAACCATCAGCACTACATCCCCATCATCGACATGGCTATCCCGAAAGCACCTACCAACTCGTCCGACACGTACTACCCGGGCACGCGGGGGGATGAGCTCGACGTCTTCCTCCACAACCGCAACGGTACCGAGTACATCGGCGAGGTTTGGCCCGGGTACACGAGTTTTGTCGACCAGCAGGCCAAGAATGCCGGGCAATGGTGGACCGAGGCGATCCGCAACTTTAGCGAGATTGTCGACTTTTCGGGCATCTGGCTCGACATGAACGAGCCGAGCAGTTTCGTGATCGGCAATGCGGCGGGTGCAGAGACCAACCTGTCCGATACCCCCGCCTATACCGCTGCTACCAGCGTCGCAGGTTGGCCGCAGGGCTACAACAACCTCACATGGGGCAAGTCGGGCAATATCACCCTCAACGGAAGCTACACCTTCCAACAGGGTGCCGTGCAGAACAACGACTCGCCCGCCCAACGACGATCGCTTCTCCCTACCTTCTCGCGCGAAGATGGACTGGTGAAACGTCAGACGGACGACAAGTTTGGTCCCAACACACCCGATTATCGGTATGCCAACGCGACGCAGCGCTACCTCTCCAATCCGCCTTATGCGATTCACAACGGCATCCACAACAGCGAGTCGCCGCTCAACATCAATCTGGACCACAAGACGGTTGCTATGGATGCTGTCTCCGCTGACGGCCAACTGGCGTTCTACGACGTGCACAATCTGGATGGCACTTTGGAAGAACAACACTTCTACAACGCCCTACGCAGCATCCGGCCCAACGAGCGTCCCTTCCTCATTTCGCGCTCGACCTACCCCGGTGCCGGCAAATACACAGGTCATTGGCTCGGTGACAACTATGCCCTATGGACGATCCTCCCCGGCTCGGAAGCGTACAAGGCAGGCGCGGGGATGGCCCAATCCATCGATGGCGTGTTGCAGTTCCAGATCTTTGGCATCCACCTCATTGGAGCTGACATCTGCGGGTTCAATCGCAACACTGACGAGGAGCTGTGCAATCGATGGATGATGCTCGGTGCCTTTCTGCCGTTCATGCGCAACCACAACACCATTGGGGCCATCGCACAGGAGCCTTTCCGATGGGACAGCGTCGCCAACGCTTCGAGGATCGCGATCAGAAAGCGATACGAGATTTTGCCGAGTTTGTACTCGCACATGGCGCGAGCGAGTGCCAGTGGCGAACCGGCAGTGCGGGCGGTGTGGTACGAATTCGACGAGGTCTTTGAACAGACCAAAGACTACGCACACCAGTTTTTGTTCGGAGACGATCTCCTTGTGAGCCCGACGCTCGAGCCGAACGTGACCAGCATCAAGGCGCTGTTCCCCTCGGCGGGAGGTAGGTGGAGAAACGTCTTCACGTGGGAAGCCCTCGATGTGGTGCCGAACAAGAACGTGACGGTCCCCGCAGAGTTGAGCACCATCAACGTGCATCTTCGACCAGGTAGGGCGCTGCTCACCCACACCAAACCGGCATATACCGTCCACGAAACCGCCCAGAGCCCCTTCGGCCTGGTCGTCAATCTCAACAACGACGGATGGGCCAAGCAACACTTTTATCTCGATGACGGAATCACCCCTGCTCCGACGGACAATTCGACCCTCATCGTGTGTGCGCAGGACAAGTCCGTCAGTGGAAGCATGGACGGCGCATTCAGACCCAACCAGACACTCGAGAATGTCGTGGTGCTGGACGTGCGGGAGAAGCCAGAGACCGTGATGGTGGGCGGCGAGAAGGTGCAGTGGAAGTGGGACGGAGGTAGGGAGTTGTTGAATGTGACTGGGTTGCAGTTGGATCTGGGTAGCCAGTGGAACGTCTCCTGGTCCTAAATGGGGACGAGGATCATCGCATCCATGTACGTGAATCGTCTTCTGGAATAGCATCTGGATCTCAAGCATTGGTGGCATCTGAAGTTATGACATGAAAAGAAGTCTTGAATACTCTCCCATCACTTCCCCTCACACAACCATCGAGCCAGCAATGCGTTTGAATAAGTTATCGCGAACCAACAACATATGCTAAGATGATACTATACTTTGCTTCCCCCCGAACGTGCCTCTTCCGGCTACGCTCTTCCACCGGCGACCTTTCTCTGGCTCAACAACGAGTGCAGCGTGCTGATCAACTCGACCCTCCTGATGGGTTTCGACACGTACGCGCTCATTCCCGCCTGGAGACACTTCTCCTTGTCGCCGAGCATGGCGTGTGCGGTCAGAGCAACGATGGGCACCTGATCATCGCCGAGCGTCTTTTCAAACTCGCGAATTGCCATGGTCGCCTCGATACCGCCCATGACAGGCATGCTGACGTCCATGAGGATGACGTCGTAGCCGCGCTTCTTGACCGCCTGAACGGCGAGGTGACCGTTGTCGACAATGTCCACCTTGTGACCCTGATTGGTGAGGATCTTGCACGCCAGCTTCTGGTTCACCACGTTGTCCTCGGCGAGCAGGATGTCGTACGATACCTCGTTGGCGCCTTCGTTCGGCGTCGCTGCCGACGACTCGAGCGAGGGCAGCAGGGCGTAGTACAAATCGGCGAGCGAGGTGGGCGTGTTGATGTACGAGCTGATGCCGTGGTCCAGGCAGTAGGTGAGGTTGAGCGTCAACTGTGCTGGGGAAACGAGGTTGATGGGGATGTAGCGCAGGTGCTCGACATTGCGCAGATCCTCAACGACGGCTAGCGAGTCGGCGATGATGGCATCGATGCGGGGCATGCTGCGCTTGCGATGCGATGCCTCATCGACGCTGTGCACCGTAAAGGGCTTGAGTCCCAGATCCTCGATCATGGCCTGCACCCCCGTCTCGTCGTGCAGCGTATCCAGGTAGAAGATGTTGCGTCCGGCGTAGGGTCGGATCTTCTCCTTGACTTGCTCCTCGGTGATCTGATCCAGCTTGACCACCATGGTGAAGAAAAAGTCGGATCCCTTGCCGTAGTTGCTCCGCACCCACAGGTCACCACCCATAAGGTTGACGAGTCGTCTCGAAATCGATAGACCGAGACCCGTACCTCCATACTTCCTCGTGGTCGATCCATCCGCCTGGCAGAAGGTGTCGAAGATGACATCGAGCTTGTCCTGCTTGATGCCGATGCCTGAGTCGGAAGCGCAGAATTCGAGCATGGCCTCGTTGCTGTTGACCATCTTAGAAAGCTTGCACTTGAGGGCGACGCGTCCGCCCGCATCGGTGAACTTGACGGCGTTGCCGATGAGGTTGGTGATGATTTGCTTGAGGCGGAGCGCGTCGCCGATGAGCGGGTCTGGACAGTCGGGAGCCACCTCGTACATGAGGTTGAGCTTCTTCTGCGTCGCTCGCACCGATAGCGTCTTGAGGACGCTGAAGACGATGCCGCGCAATGAGAAGGGGATCTCCTCAACGTTCATGCGACCGGCTTCGATCTTGGAGATATCGAGAATGTCGTCGATGATAGCCAACAAATTGCCGGCGAGCGTCGAGACCGTCACCAAGTTCTCGCGCTGCGAGCGCGACAGCTCGGTCTCGAGCGTCAAGGCCGTCATACCGATGATACCGTTCATCGGTGTTCGAATCTCGTGCGACATGTTGGCCAGGAACTCGGACTTGGACCTGTTGGCCAGCTCGGCGGCCTCCCTAGCGGCCGTGTTCTTCTGGATACTGTCGCGCAGACTGTACACCATCTGGTTGATCTTGGTCTTGAGCGAGTCCATCTCACCCGACGCTTCGACGGTGACGAAACGGGTAAAGTCACCGTCGGTAGCAGCGGCGGTGATCTGGGCAAAGGCACGCACCTGCGACGTGAGATTGTTGGCCATGATGTTGACGTTGTCGGTGATCTCGCCCCACAGACCTTCGATATCCTGCTTTTGCGCTTGCACACCGAGCTTGCCCTCGGTTCCTACCTCGCGAGCGACACGCGTCACCTCGGAGGCGAAGAAGCTGAGCTGGTCAATCATGTTGTTGATGGTCTTGACGAGGTCGAGCATCTCCCCGGAAACAGGGATGGTGACCTTTTGCGTGAGGTCACCGCGTGCTACGGCGGTGGTGGCGTGAGCAATGGCACGCACCTGCAGCGTCAAATTGGCCGCCATGGTGTTGACCGAGTCGGTGAGGTCCTTCCACGTTCCACCTACGCCGAGCACGGTAGCGCGACCGCCGAGCTTGCCTTCCGTACCGACCTCCTTGGCGACACGGGTCACCTCGAACGAGAAGGTACGCAAGGATTCCACCATGTTGTTGACCGTCAACTTGAGATCGAGGAACTCGCCGCGCACCTCTACATTGATGGTCTTGCTGAGATCACCGCGCGCAACGGCAGTCGTGACGGTGGCGATGGAGCGCACCTGGGTGGTCAAGTTGCTGGCCATGCCGTTGACTCGCTCGGTCAAGACAGACCACTGGCCCTTGACGTCGTTGACCTTGGCCTGTCCTCCGAGACGACCCTCGGTTCCTACTTCCACAGACACACGGATGATCTCGTCGGAGAGTGTCTTGAGTTGCCGGACCATGTTGTTGACGGTGAGCTTGAGATCCAGGATCTCGCCCTTGACGTCGACATTGATAAACTCGGTGAGGACCCCCTCTGCTACGCACTTGGTGACGCGCGCGATCTCTCGCACCTGCGAAGTGAGGTTGTCGGCCATCTTGTTGACGTTCTCGGTCAGGTCCTTCCAGGTTCCTTCGACGTTGGGCACGTGCGCTTGACCGCCGAGTTTGCCGTACGTGCCGACTTCCATCGACATGCGGATGACTTCACTGGCAAAGATGCGCAGCTGACCCACCATCGAGTTGACCGTGTCCTTGAGCTGGGCCATCTCTCCTTCGGCGTCGATGTCGATGGTCTTGGTGAGATCACCCTTTGCGACGGCGGTGGTAACGACACCGATGGAGCGCACCTGGCCTGTCAGGTTGGAGCACATGCGATTGACGTTGTCGGTAAGCTCCTTCCAGACACCTTGCACGCCAGGAACGTTGGCCTGACCGCCGAGTTGACCTTTGCTGCCGACTTCGCGCGAGACACGCGTGACCTCGGTGGAAAAGTGACGAAGCTGATCGACCATGACGTTGATGGTGACCTTGAGTTCGAGAATCTCTCCATCGGCTTCGACTTCGATCTTTTGCGAGAGATCGCCACGAGCGACGGCCTTCGTAACGAGGGCGACACCGCGCACCTGGTTGGTGAGATTGGCAGCGAGGCGGTTGACGACATCCTTGAGCTCCTTCCACGTGCCTTCGACGCCATGCACCTCGGCTTGACCGCCGAGCTTGCCTTGGGTTCCTACCTCGAGCGAGACACGCGTGACCTCGGCGGCGAAATGCGAGAGACGATCGACCATCTGATTGATGATTTCCTTGAGTTCGACCATGACGTGGCCCTGTACGGGGACGGTGATGTGCTGAGTGAGATCTCCGGTAGCGACGGCCTTGCAAACGCGCGCAATATCCTGGACCTGAGCCTTGAGTAGACGAAGCTCTTCCTGCGCGGAGAGGCCGCTCTCGTCGTTGTAGCGTTCAAAGGAGCCGATGGGATCGTCGGCACGCGGATGCTGACCGGTGAGAAGCACAGGGCCGTTGAGACCCATACCGAGCGGGTAGCTCAGCGGATATTTGGTGCTCTGCGGTTGCGAGTGGGAGAGTGGATAAGGGAAAGGCTTGCCAAAGAAGAGGTTGCGGCCGTTGACGTGGTCCGCAGCATCCTCGACGGCCCCGGGCGTGCGTACGATCTCGTGGTTGCGAGCGACCACGTCGAGATGATCCTCTGCTCGCCAAAGACGTTCTGCTAGCTTGCCCAGATTATGCTCGATGGTCTTTATGCGGTCGTCGGTGTGCGGAGAGTTGAAAGAGGGGAGAGGCAGGCGGACGATGCCGTCCAACTGCTCGTCGCCATCCTGCAGATCGATGGATGCAAGCTCTTGGGCGATATCCAGGCCGCTGGTGTTGGTCTGGATTCCGTTGGGCGTCCTTGTTGGATCCACCGTCATGGCGCGACGCACCGCGGGGGGTGGTCTCGAGTTGACTAAGGATTGTGTGAGGAGGAGGAGGTGATCGACCAGGTCGGTGGGCAACGAGGCCAGATCAGGAAGCGGCGTGGTGGTCTGGCGCGACAGGGAGGCACCCGATGTCGGCAATGCCGACTGTGCATTCAAGGTAGCTGCCATGGTGAATAGGGACTGCCGATAGCTGAGATCGACGTTTTATGTGGAAGACTCGTGCTTTGCTGCGGTTGGACACGACGGAAGGGCCGGCGGTGGTGACCAAGACACTCGGGTCAGCTTGTTCGGATTGCAGGCGATTCGCGTGGAGCGTGGGAATGCTGTGGAGATGAGAATGAGCAATGAATCGATTGGCCGTGGTGGGCGCTTGCAAATGAAGAGCAAGAGGCGACAGCACGACGAAATGCTGAGATGACGATCAGTGGACGTTTGCGCAAGACATCCTTTGGGCGAAGATGTTGACAGACGATGAGCGAAGAGGAGCAAGGGACCCGAGGAGCAAGTCTATCGACGCCAAACAATGAGACGCAGTGGTGGAGAACAGTAAGCTGCTGACCGGAGCAAGCTCGTATATGCTTGCAATGAAAGTGGGTCAAGGTGCAACGCGGTGGTAGTGGGGCAGCCGTGATGGGAAAGACTTGGCTCGAAGGGGAAGGCGGCTGTTGTTGCTCGAATGAAAAGCCTGTTGCGGGGGGTCGAAGAAGGTGGTGGGGAGACCGGACGTATCGAAAGTGAAGACTCGTTGCTGGACGAAGACTTCCGATGGAGTGTCGAAGCGATCCTGGTGCTGAGCCGAGACTGGGACGCGGAAGCCGAGCAAAGAAACGGATGATGCGGGAAGAGGAGGATGATGGGTGTCAATGGAAAGAGCAGAGGGCAGCGATAACTGCGAAATGGCGAGCGGCAGCGGTGAGCAGCAGCAGCAACGGTGGTCAGGGTCGCGAGAAGGAGAGACAGGAAAACAGAGCTCAAAAGCTGCAGTCGTTCCCACAGCCACGCCAAACGCCTAAATTGCGCTCTTTGCCCAAAGGGCGAGCCAGAGTCGGCAGAGCGTTCAAAGGGCACGGACACGGTCAGGGCCCAGTCACGCAGGCGAGCGAGCGAGCGAAAATCACACACACGCACACAAGTCAGAAAAAAAGGCTTGCAGACTGGCAATTCTCGAAGCGAGGGAAAGGGCTCACAAACAGCAAGCAAGCCACGAGCCTCAGCAGCAGACGCAGCAGCAGCAAGCAAGCCGCGTCGGAGCTGGAAACCTGAATCTTGACCCTTGAAAAGCGTGCCGCTTCAAGTCACCTGCCCAAAATCATCAATCTGGCCACGCAGCAGTTCAATCCAAACAAGAAGAGGACGCTCAGATTCACCGTGAACGGGCTCGTCACCCGTACCGTCCCGTTCCCTCGTTGAAAGCTGGAGCCTGATACAGTCATGAGCAGCTGTCTCGTCTTCCCCAAATCGAGCGTCGAGGGCGGCCATTCGCTGAAAGGTCGAAGGACGGGAACAGACTGTCGAAGACTCGGTGACCTGGAGCTCAAGTGATCGCCGTTCTTGCTTGAAGGGATGTCTTCAAACAAGAAGTCGGCAGCACACAGATTGCCCTTTGATTCAACTGAACGGTCTTCAAGCCCAACAAGCTTTTCATCTCGTTTCAGACGATGCATAGGCGAGCAGGGTCCCCTGGCTCAGAGCATGACTACCAATTCGCCAATCAATCTGGCACCTGGACCCTGGGATTGGCGTGCCCTTTCTGTCGATCGACTGAATCGCGGCACTTTGCCAGTCAACGCTCAAAATACAGGCAAAGGAACAAAGGAAATGGGCCTACCATTTCACAGCTGCTTGCTTGATAACGAAAATTTTGCTTCCAGGCCGCACAAAAGTTTGGCGCGGCTGTTGGTGTCCATGAGTGCAACATGGCATGCGTGTGTGCTGCAAGCCACAGCGTGACGCAGATCTGGCAGGCGAAATGGACGGAGCAGCTTCTGCCGGTCAAACACTTCGCAGGGCGTGACTTTAGGACGCCGTAGCCCGCTCCTTTCTCTTGCTGTCTTCCAGATGATGGTCTAGACAAGCTTTGCCGAGCGCAACAATAGATTCGAGAGCTCGCGCAGAGACCTTCGAGTCATGAGAGACCTCATCTTCAGCCCCTCCCCTCCGATCCGCAAGATGAATCACACGCGCAGCTGCAAGCCACACGAGGCTTACCTCGTCAATGCAGAGCTCTAAATTCTTGCCGCGAGGTGTCACGCATGCCTTTCAGGTGATCGAATCAAAAGCCGCTTTCTTTTCGATTGACTGAGCAGGGAGGCACCAACTTTTTTGTTTCCTTTTTTTACAAGATTTGGGCGTTCATTTTCTCAGCCATTTTCTCACCATGCGGAAGCTAGTAAGTTATGACTTCCAGCGACGCCAAACAAGGCAGCTCAAAGTGGTGATCGAGCAATGCTTCGTGCATGCCGCCCTCAGACCAGATCAGACTCGACGCGCTCAGAGACGAAAGGACACAATGAGGTGTCAAGGGCTGAAGCGGCGCCAGTGAGCGCGAAGGGCTAGGCAGCATCCATCCGCGGTTCGAAGGGGTCCGCCCTTCTCGCATAGCGGGCTCGTGAAGGAATCGCTCTGCGTCGGAGGCTTATCGGACCTCAGACGACTACTCCCGCTATCGAGCGGCCGATGAAGGAGTCTGGCGCCATCAGGAGGTCCAAGCAGTCTCATACCTGATCACTCGCGGACTTCGCTGCGGGTCGTCTGCCAAAGTGTCTCACGCATCGTTTACGCCGACTGCTTCATTCACGTCGCATACGTTGCCAGCCCACCGAATCAAGTCCGTACAGCATGACAGTGGCTGAACGATCCCTTGTCGCTGTGTTCTCGAGGCTCGACCGCACCTCATCATTCATTTCTTCGCACGTACAAGGTGCCTTGGCCACTTGACAGAATTAGCACCTCAACTGCGGTCTGAGTCCTGTCTATTCGGCTTCGGCCGTCGCCCACCCTTGGCGGCCCTGTTGGCGGGGATGGATCTCGTCCGCGGCCGGCTCTTCACAACATTTCATATATTCGCAGCCGCCAATTTGTGGCACTGCAGACAATTTGACGTTCGAGGTCCCACCTCTCACGCCTGCTTGGCAACGCCAGCCCACAAAGACGATGACAAGTATAAAACGAGGACGCCGCATCTCTCGAAGGGATCCATGGTCCCTCACCTACAGTCTTTACTCGGACTCTCGTCTTTGCTTTCGAACAAGGTCCCGGAGGTAGCGCATCGCTACCAAACGTCACGATGGCACACTTCCGATCTTTGCTGCGAAGCGGATGCGTGGCGATGCAGCTGGCTCTCTGTCTCGTCATGGGGCTTCGTCTCGTATCCGCCTCAGTCATTGGATCAGATTGCCTTCGATCGGCGAACCTTCCAGCATCTCATCCCGCCAGCCCCTGGTTGCTCAACACGACAGCCAGAACCTCAAAGAAACATTCAGCCGGAACGTCTGGCGGCTCAGAAGCGGCTACAGAGCACCAAATCAACAAGGAAACAAGATCATCAGAGTATTCCACGGCTGAAGGTAGAAGACCTTCGTCGCAATTCGGTTCTACTGAACCACACAAGATCCGTGAAGAACCAGGACGCATTGGGCTCGACCAGATCGTAAGCGACCATTTCGGTGAAGCGATTCCGTCCGGCAAGACGCTGCGGACGAGACAAGCAATCTCGGTTGTCGATCCATCGCCGGACCCGTCGAGCTCTTGGTCGCCAGGCTCTGCTTATCAACCTCTCCCCTCCGACAGCTCGCCAGGTGGCCAAGAAAACGCCAGCGAATATACTGAAGCTGGGAGCTACAGTCCATCCACGACGTCGTCTTCTGACGATAGCAGCAACTTCGGCTCGTTCTCCTCGTCCTCCTCATCGACTTCGTCCACCTATCAGCAACTACCATCTGCGGTTCCTTCAAGCTTGCCCAACATCGATGACGGCGGACCGAACGATGCTAGCTCGTCATTACCACCCTCAAGCGCCAATACTACCATCGCAACGACGCCGCAACAGCCTCACCAGACTTCGAGCTCAAGACTTACCACAGCCCTCGCTGTAGGAGTCACTGTGCCTGTTCTGCTAATCGGACTGGGATTGATGGCGCTAGCGTGGCTGTACAAGCGACGGCAGCGGGAAAGCGCGTGGCGACAAGATCACGAAACCGAGGGCAAGCCGGATGAGGAGACGGCCCGCGTTACGCCCTGGAAAAGGACTTCTCATACTGTGCCCGCACAGCACTCGCCAGCAAAAGATGTTTCTGGGCACATTCCACCGAATCCTGATCGGCAACCTCGACCGAAAGCCGACAAGACCGCACCAGACGCAGGGCAGGACCCTTTCCCGGGACCCCAAGACGAAAGACCAGATACCTCTCGTTCTACAGGGGCCTCATCCCAAGTGACATCTGTCGTGACCTTCGAATTGCCCCTGCTAGTACCTCGAACTAGCGACGCACCCTCTGACTCGTCTCAGAGCGTCGGCGTCACCAGCGAAGCTACCGATGCCACGGCGACGACTATGAACAGGACGCCGACGTGCGCGAGATCCAGATCGTTGAAGCGCAAGCCTGTACCGCCGCTGATTGACAATTGAAGCAGAATGCATCCTTGTCTGTGATCACAAAAGCAGCTCTCCATTCCCAAACGTGCGAATGACTACCTGTGATCGAGTGAGGTAGTCTGTCATGAACGATGTAAAAGGCGGCAGCTCCGACGTCGCGTGAGCGGACAATAGCGGAGCGGCCTTCCAAAATGGCGGGCCGCGGGCAGCGATGCAGGGTCCAGTTGCGTTTGAAAATTTGGACGAGGCACAAATCCAGTCTTGATGAGTTGGGTGCGCAGTCATCAGAACAGGCCGTGCCGGAGGCTGGCATCAACGGCCATAAGCCTATCTTCTTCACACCAGCTCCATTGCTCTCGACGATCTCGGCCTGATCGACTGAGTGTGCGACGCTTCAAGCTGGACGATGACTTGAGGCCCTCTCCTCCCTCTGCACTGTCGGGCACGGCTCTGTCTCGAGTCGCACAACAGCAAGGCTTTTTCATCTGGCACCTCACACCGCGGCATACACCACCCTCCTTCTGTATTCGTCGGCCACAATGTCCTCCTCGTCGCCCTCCCAGCATTCGCAAGCCTCCACGTCGTCAGACGCTCAAGCGGCACCGCCGATGCTCGACTGGCTGCCCGACGATACGCCTCGCTACGTGTGCGCCGAGTGCGGTGCACATCTTGCGCTGCAGGTAAGCCCTCATCCTCTAACCGATGTCTCTTCTGAATCATCGCTCACACCTTCTCCCATCGCTACCTGTACCCTGTCGGCCCCTTCTCGACACTCGCACTTGCACTCACACTCTTCTCCTCGCAACGCCGCGCTCTCGCATCCGAAACCCACTTCGCTCGTTCTATAGGACGAGATCATCTCCAAAGCCTTCTCCGGTCGAGACGGCAAGGCGTACCTCTTCTCCTCCACGCTCAACACCTCCCTCGGCGCCTCGGAGGACCGGCATCTGCTCACGGGCATCCACACTGTCTGCGACCTGTCCTGCAAGGGATGCGGCAAGACGCTCGGCTGGTTCTACCTCAAAGCGTGGGAGCACAGCCAGAAGTACAAAGAAGGCAAAAGCATCATGGAGAAGGTCGCGCTCGAGAAGGTGAATGCTTGGTAGCACAACTCCCCATCGTTCGACCTTTCGTCCGAGGTCGGGGCGTTGTTCAGTCTCAGTCTCGGTTCCTGTTCGTCTGCAATCGCATCTTCGTTCACGTCTCGCACACTCCTTGAAAGCTTTGTGGGAGAGTGACATGGCGGTTCAAACCGTCGTCTCGCTGACACCAATGCTGCTACCCCTGAAAACAGTAATACACTTATCCTTGCCACCCGCCACCACCTCCTGTCCATCCCGACTCCATCCCAATGCCAGTGTTCCCTTCTCCCCCTTTTGCACCCCACCATCCAGCGTGAAGAGCGCCTTCTTACAACTCCTCACATCCCACACCTTCGCCCCGCCTTCTAGGCCACTACCGCTCGCAAACAGGTTTCCGTCGATCGGGTGGGCGGCGACCACGTCGACGGGGCCGCGGTGTGCGTTTGCGATGTGCACTCCGAGCGTGTTGGACGACGAGCGGATGTCGAAGAGGTGGACGGCGCGGTCTGTGGTGCCTACCACGAGGGAGCCGCTTGCCAGTTGAGCGAGGGAGAGCATGGGTCGCGCTTCCGAAGTGGAGGAAGGGAGGGACAGGGAGGTGTGTGTAACACCGCCACTGGAGAGGTCCCAACCTTTGAGTTGACCGTTGTACCCCGTTGACCAGGCGCGGTTGGCGTCTTTACCAGAGGGAGAACGTTCGAATAGCAAGGACGAAACGCGCGAGGTGGGGGTGAAAACGTTCTTGGCGCCAGTCACGGCGTGGGCGGTGGGCTGCGCGTGGTAGAGCACCATCGTGGGTTCGATACTGCCCGCCTTCGAGCCGGTGGTCTTGGTAGATTTCGACCCGTTGACGGTCTTGCGTCGCTTGTTCGCCCCATCCTCCTCCTCCTCATCGCTCTCCACCTCCACCGACGAAACAAGGTCATCCCACACAGCAACCACACCATCCCACCCACCACTAATAACACTCGTCACGTCCGTCCCCTGTGCGCAATCCACCGCGCCCACCGGCCCATTATGCGCCTCACCAACCCACTTCCTCCCGCTCCTCCACCCTTCTTCTTCGCTCAAACTCCACAGCTGGACACGTCCATCCATACCGCCCGTTACCACCGCTTCGCAATCCACCGTCCATCTCGCGCATGTCAATCCGCCACTTCGACCACTTTGCAGCGTGCTCTTGTGCACCGTGCTAAACGTGTGTGCTGCCTCGGTGGGGTTGGATGGGCTGAAGATGCGGATGCTGCCATCGAAGCTGCTCGTCATGTAGGCTCGACTCTTTGCGTAGGTGCAGTCGACGGAGGAGACCCAGTCGTCGTGCTCGAACGCGGCCAGTCGTGTGGGCGGTAGCGTCGAACGGACGTATTCGATGTTGAGCGTCGATTCGGACGTCAACCCGCTCGACTCGAGGAACTCGCCGAGAGTGGTTCGAAGCAGCGAAGAATCGATGATGAAGTCGAATGGGACCGCACCGGTGGACTCGGAGGTGGAGGAGACGAGCTTGTTGACGAGCGTAGAGAGGTGCGTGCGGCGCCATGAGATGGGCACCATGTAGGGACCCGAGGGGATGGCATATTGGGACAGCGAGGTGGTGAGGTGGATGGGCACGATTTGTTCGGCCGTCGAAGTGGATGATGTGGCCAGCGAGGGCCCGTCGTAGTCGTTGATCGCGCTCATGCTTGCGGATCGTTGCGAGTCGAGCTGAAGAAAGAGTGATGATGGGTGATGAGGAGGGAGAAAGTCGACCTTTTTGGGCAGGGTCGCCATTTTCTGCTTTCTCAAAATTTCTTCTTAGCGGAGGCGAAAAATGGGAGGCCGAATTCCGAGAACTTTGTCTCAAGCCTGCCGGTCTTCATACACAGACCCAACGATATCGCTGTTCACGATGGTGTCGACCATGACATGACATGGCACAGATGCAGCTTGACTCGGAATCAGACACTGCAGCTAGAGCGAAGACGCAGCGGGGACGCGTATATCCACAATGACCGGTCTGTAGCGTCAAGCAAAGCAAAGGAGAAATCTGTCAGCCTCTCTCTTCGTACCTCGTCCCAGCTACTAGCATCGACATCCTTGGGTCGATACTCACTGGCAGACGACCGTATACGAGACTGTTCCCATCCCCATCGCAGCGATGCAACAAAGATCAGACTTGTCAGCAGCACTCCTGGAGTTCCTCGCACTGTGCATGCGGCACTTACATTTGCGCTCCTTCTCCCAAAGACCCTGATCGTACTCGACCAACGCCGCATTGACCAGCACCATCTCCTCCCCATCCCGCCCCAGCACACTCACGCCCCTCGCCTCATGTATATGTCCAAACACATGCAGTCTCGGCCTCAACGCCTCCCTATCCTCCTTCTTGGCCGTGAGCCGTCTTGTCAGCTCTTCGCACCCGACACTCGTCCCGTTATGTATCCGATCTAGCCCGCCGAGTCCGAAGGGAGGGGTGTGGGTGATAATCACATCCACATCGCGAGGTATCCCCGCGTGGATGGTCCTCGCCTCGGGCCCGCGCGCGTAGTTCCACGCCCAACGCTCGAATTCGGGCGACCACGGTGAGCCCCAGAGCTTCCACGTTCGATGCTGCACACCTTTGCGCGGAACGGTGAACTCGAACGACTCGTTCTCGAGGTAGCGCAGCTTAGGCCCGAGGTTGGTGGGGTCAAGGATGGAGCGAGCGGAGGAAACGTCGTCGGGCGAACCGGGGATGTGGTATTTGGCATTGAGCTCCCGACCGCGGGTCTCGTAGAAGTTCTTAGCCGTGCACGCCGAGAAGTCGTGATTCCCGCATGTAAACACCTTGACACTGTGCGGAAGGGACCTGTTCCAATCCCATGACGATTCATCATCGGATCCCAAACGAGATTTGGATGTCAGTCAGAGCCCCAGCAAGTCAACAACGGGGCGATGGGACTCACTTCAACCACTCCACCTGGGCTCGCAGGTCCTCGGGCTGGCCCAAGGTGGTCAGATCACCCGCGTGCAGCAGCACATCGCCATCAGGGATGAGCGTCGTTTGCGAATGCGTGTCCGAGATCAGCACGAACCGCACCCAGTCCTCGCCGGGACGAGGGGGCGGGGAAGAGACGGGGTAGGTCTGATAGACGCGCGTGTCGCGGGTTGCGTGTGCCACTGCCGACATGACGTGGCTTTGCTTGCTTAGATGAAAGGCTTCTCGGTCAGCTCGATAGGGGAGGCGACGCGGAGGAGGTTGGGCGGAGCGATGGTAGGAGGGTTGGGAGTGAAGGAGGAGTCACCGCCGGCTTGGACAGGCTCGTGCGCGACGTTGGACCCTGAACCTGCATCCTGCGCGTCATCCGGCGGAACCATTGCTCCATCGTTCGGATGCCGCCCTCGCTTCCCCGCTCACACATGCCATGGCAACAGACATTCCTCAAGCGGATCTCTTCAAAATGCAAAACGGGCCACGATTGACCGGACAAAAGACAGACAAATGACGAAAAGTACATGCGGTGCAAAAGAAAACAATGCGATGCTGCGAAACAAAACTGAACTAAAAGTAAACCCGAATTGCCTGGTGCAGATAGCTCTCCGTAGGGCAATAGGGGCACTTGAACCTGCCATTCCCCTTGGCCAACCTGTTCAACGTTTCCAAACACAACACGTGTCCGCACGCCAGCATCATGGGCGGGTTCTGCTCGGTGCCCTGCTCCTTGCTGACCGGACAGGCAAAGATCGAGTGGAAGCGCAGCTTGGTCGGCAGCGGAATCTCGATGGGTAGTTCGTCGGCTTGGGACCACTCGTTCCCGCGTTCCTTCATGACCGCTTTTACTTTGATGATCTTGTTGAGAGCGCCACCGGCGCCGACCTCGACGCCGATCGAGAGCGGCGCGTCTTTGGGAATGCGATTGCGCGCGCAGAACTCGAGCTTGAACAGCGGCTCGAGGAGAGGTGCATGGACGAGGTTGGCGTCCAGAAGCGGGCGATAGATGGGGAGGACAGTGGGCAGGAGGTGCTCGACGGGAACCGAGTCAAGGCCTTCCGGTCCGTAAGCGGGCGCAGGGATGAAGTCGGGTAGGAAAGTGAGCAGCGTATAAAGACGCGCGATTTCGGGGAGGTGGCTGGCACAGAACGGCTTAAAGTGCTCCCTGCCGTAGGCAAGCGCTCTCTCTTTGTTGGTTTGTGGTGGGGCAAGCGCTGATCCGGCTGCAGCGACGGCTGTGTTTGTCATGGTCGATGCGGGATGGAGCTGATCGATGGAAGCACTCATCATCTCGACATTCTCTCCATCCGGATCTCGGTTCGTCAAAGCATCGTCGCTGTCCGGCAGGATAGCTCCCGCTGCGATGCGGATGAACTGACTTCGGTGCAGTGCGAACTCCAACCCACTCTTTCTCGACTGCAACCAGGCTCTCTCTGTTTCGGCCCATGCTATCGCGGGCCGTAGGTCACCTCTCGCCATGGCAGCTACCACATTGTGCAGCTGCACGTACAGCGCTTCCGTCTCTGGCGAGAGTGGTAGCTTGGCCTCTGCTGCAAACTTGTAGCTCGTCGACCAGTCGCCGTTTCTCTGCAGGTGATTGAAGATGACCCTCTCGAGCGCAGTCTGCGCTTCTGGCGATGAAAAGAGCGCAGGGTCCGCGACGCCATCGATGGGGATGGGGAACTTCTTGTCGAGCGCCTTTGTGGATTTTGAGAGCGCAGCGTGGAACTCCTTCTGACGGTCGAGGATGGACTTTTGTGCTGATTCCACCGAAGACTTGAGCTCTGCTACAAGCACAGCTGGATTGGGTGCTGATGAGGATGATGATGCGGAGAGCGCGGCTTTGGCTGCTTCGACTTGTGCGATGAGCCGGTCGATCGAGTCATGGACGGAAGGGGTGGTGGCTGCTGCTTTCGCGGATGCCGAGTTGGAGTGCAAGCCCGGAGCCCGCTTTGCGACTTGCTCGAGCGACTTTTGTACTGCCTCCATCATGGGAAATTTGGCCCGATCAGAGCCGTACGGAGTCAAGACGTGTGGTCGTGCGAAAAGCTCAGAGATTGCTTGAATACGCCGAGGTATGTGGTGAGCGTACCAGTCGCTCAGGCTGTCCAGATCAGGGATAGGTGTATGGCGAGGTTCAACTCGGGCGGCCAATCGACAGAATCGTGGATGTCTGCGATGCGGAGCACCGTCAGTCGTCGCTCAATATTGTGGACGATGCGGGTGTCGGCTCGTTGCTTAGGAAGTTTATTGAAGTCGACGGAGATGGTGATGGGGTGGTGACTATGGCGTGAGCGATTGCGACGGTGGAAGTGGTGACAATGGTGGTGTTGATGGTGACGGCGATGATGTGGCGATGATCAAGCAGGCTCTGATGCTGCTGTTGAAGGTCGTTGGTGGTGATGGTGACAGTGCAAGCCTCGCAAGACCCAGGTCAAGGCGTTGTTCCCCCGAAGACAGGCGCTGCAGCCGCTCTTTTTTTCCGGCGAGCGTAAATCTGCAGGCGTGCAGTTCATCCGTCGACACTGCGATTGTGCCCTGCTCAGCGCGGCCCGGCATGTGGAGAGATAGCACGTCCAGGACCCTGATCTGCTCGTCACTGCTGGCACCGACATTCACCTTGTCCATGAGCTCAAGCATCAATACACCGAAGACTTTGCATCCAGAGATGGGATTTCACAATGTCATTCCTCCAGGCAGATGAACATGGACTACCCTCTCAATCCACCACGACATATCGGTTCTTAATGGGCCTCTTCTTAACCGTTCCCGTCCTATTCCCTCCAGGCGGAGGGGCAGGTAGATCGCCCATCCCAATCGGCGTACTCGTCCCGGACGCCTTCGCCGGTTGAGCAGCGGGGGGCATCGACTTGTCCGCCAAATTGCTCCTCGCCCTTGTCAACCCACCCGACCCCGGTGGGCCGCGATTCGGTGCCAGACCCGAACTGCCCTCCTCGCTCCCCTCGCTGATGGGCGGCGTAGCTCTGCCGACGGTAAAGCTCGCCGAGGGACCACGCATCGGTGGGGCGCTAGCCGCGCCAGCGCTGCGATCCGGTTGCATCGCCGGGCTCGCCGACTGCGTCCTTGCCGGTGGCGGCGGCGGTGGCGTGCTCGCAGCGCTCCCCGTATCACCCACCTTCTTGTTCACCCACCGCTTGAGGTCTTTGTCGTACACAAAGCTCGTTTCTTCGCCAAGGTGGGCCTTTTTCGCCTTGGCCTGCGCCGCTTGAGCCGCACTGTCCGTGCTCGGACTGCGACCCCACAGACGACCGAACCACGAGGCCGAGGTCTTGAGCTCCTGCCTCTTCTCATCGGTGCCACTGGCGTTGCTCGTGGAGTCGTCGGCTTCGCTCTGCTTGGTCGTGTTGGCGAACGAGGTGCTGGCAACGCTGTCGTCGGCCGCATTGTCGTCGGCGGGTTCGTCCTTGGGCTTTCGGCGCATGCTTGAGTTGCCAAAGCCCAGGTCGTCGTCCACCTCGTCTTCCTCCTCTCGGTCCTCGTTGCGGCCGTGCGAAGGCGCATACTGATTGGCTTGCGACTGTGGCTGAGGCGTGCGGCTGTTGGAGGAAAAGGCGTCGAAAGGCGAGACGAAGCCGCCTTCGTCTGCACCCTCCAGAGCGTCGGCGCCATCGATATTGCTGACAAACTGCGGCTTTTGAGCGCCATGCGGTTGGTAGCCGTAGAAGGGAGCCTGTCCTGGAGTAGAGAGATGGCTGACGTCGCCTGCTTCTTCTTCATCGCCGGCCTCGTCTGCTCGAGATTCGGCGCCATATCCGCCGGCGTAGCCTCCATAGCTGCTGCCGCCATAGCCTCCGTAGTCACCGTATCCGCCGTAGCCCGCTTCGGAGCCACCGTTGGCGGCCGTGCCATCGGCACTGGGTCGGCGAGAGCTGTTCGAAGTAGGTGCACCCAGACCAGCGCTGCCTGGCCAGGGAGCACCATCCGAAGCGAAGCTTGTTTCCGCTTGGTCATCGTAGGTTGACGACGCTGCAGAGAATTCAGACACTTCACCGCCGCGACCGTGACCGTAGCCGTAGCTTGAGCCGGCTTGAAGGGTGGCGCCATAGCCAGGGTTGTTCCTCGGCATGTCGGAGCTCGACCTGATGCTCTCACGGTCGTAGTTGCTGGCACCTTCGCTGCTCGTGCCGTTGCCCGACGGTCTTGGCTGCGGCCAGTCGCTGTATGGATCCGAGTTCAAGGGTCGCATCGACAGCGCGGTGGAGGCACGGTGTTTGGGCGAAGCGGCACGCTTGGTAGCGTTGCGGAAGTCCATAGCCGAACCGGATCGTGACGCCGGTCCGTTGGGCGAGCCGGTGCGCATGTCGTTGAACGACGGCTGCCTCGTCATGCCTCCGGATGCCGCGTCTGGCGTGATGGCGCTGTAGTGAGAGAAGGGACCGACGCTCGACGACACGGAGCCCTTGCTGTTCTTGCCAGTCGGATCGACTTCCGTCGCTCCCTCCTCGCCGGCGATGAACTTGGTAAAGCGACCTTCGAGCGCGCCCCATACGCCGTCTAGAGTGGGTCGCTGCATCTTGCGCGTCACCCAGTTGCCGCCGGGACCTGCGTGCGGTGCGCCGACCAGGCGATCCGAGAGCTGCTTCGACTGCGAAAGCAGCGTCGAGTGCAGGTACGGCGAATGCTTGCACTGCTTTAAGCACTGAGCGATCGCCTCGCAGTACCGTTGCGCCTTGGCGACCTCCCCCAAGTCGGCCAGCTGCTGTGCGTGGACAAGCTTGTACGCTTGCAGGTGCGGGATGCCCGGGAAAGGCTCCTGACCTTTGATGGCAGGGACAAGGCCCTGTGCGAACTCGAGCACCTCAGTCATCAGGATCGCGTCCAGGTCCTGCGCAAACGTGGAAGACGCTTTGGGACTCGAGACGCCGAGCAGCGTGAGTCGGGCACCGTTCGTGTCCGCACCGCCGATCGGCGAAGTCTGGGGCGAGAGGAGGTAGCAGAAATGAGCAGCTTCGAGCAAGCCTCTCGTGCAGAGACCATCACCGATGGCGGTCAGAGCAGCAGAATCGCTGGCACTGCGATTGCTTGCGACAATGACAGCCGACTCTTTCCAGCTTGGAAGGGCGGACGACGCCGCCACGGTTGCGTCCGCATTTGCAGGCTGCAGCCCGCCCATCTGACCCAGCTGCGTCTTGGTGCGGAACAGATCGAAGATCGACACAGGATCCTGGCCTGAAAAGACGTTGTAGGCGACCTTGAGTCCCTGCAGGTCCCCCTGACCCTGACCGACAAGCGAAGCCTCGCCAGCGCCGACCTCTTGCTCGATGAAGTCGCTCACCACCTGCTTCCAGCAGTCCTTGTCGAGGCAGCTGGCGATGGTCATGGCGTGCGCCCACATTTTTGTAGACACAGCGTAGTCGACAGCTTCGCGTCGCTCGCCACGCAAGAGCATGACTTGCAGCTTTTGCAGGAAGCCGGTGCGCAGCTCGTGAGATGTGATGACGCTGCCCTCGGCACCATTGTCTTGCGGTGTCGGCGTCACTGACATGGCAAAGATCCCGGCGGACGTCGCATCTTGCGTCTCCGGGGCAACGATCAGCGTTCGCACACCTTGTTCGAAAGCCGTAGAGCTCGTCTGGCCGTCGTTCTCGACGAGGAGCTTGAGCAATCGAAGCAGCAGAATCTTGTCTTCCGTCCTGCGCGCTTCGAGTTCTCCGTCTGACTCGAGACCTGCCTGACTGCCACGATGCGAGCCCGCAGACGAGCCCGAGAAGGACGCTTTTCGGCGCAAGTAGCCGACGCCAGCAGACAGGCCTTGGACGCGCTCGTCAAGGTGCTTGATCAAGGCCGCCTTCTTGCCCTTGTTGGCAGACGCAGCCCCAGTGGCTCGCGAGAGCGCATTGGTCCCGGCCGCCCCTTCAAAGACAGGGCCAGGGAAGGTCAAGGGGTCGAAAGCGGTGGCGTACGCCGACGACGGTACCAGCGACGAGAGCGCCTGGATCCTGACCTGCGTCGGGTGGCTCGAAGAGTTGTACGAGTACGAGCCGTAGACATTACCAGCGTTGTCCGCGCCGTCAGCCCCGTCACCTCCAGCGGGACTGCGCGACGTCGGGAAGTAGCTGACGAGCTTGCCTCCAATGCCAAAGCTGACCACAGGGACGGTGGCGCCACGTCGTGTCTGAAGCATGTCTGCACTTGACTCTGATGCGGCTTGCGAGCGCGCCTCGCTAGTGGCACTGTGAGGTCCTGGTCCCGGCGCGCCGTACGCGTACTGGTCGTGCGGCTCGTAGGGTGAAGGGGGCATGTCGTGCGCGTTGCCTTGGCCATAGTGCTGAGGCGATCCGGCGCGTTTGGTGAGTTCAAAGTAGTTGCCTTCCCCGGCCTCTCCGCGGGGCTGACTGGGTTCTGCATACGCATCGTCCACGCTGGACCCAAGCTCTCGTTGCGCTTGTGCTTGACCGTCGTGCGCCGCATATGGATCGTTGGTGTGATGAGTGGCTGAGGGCGGACCATACGGATCATAGCTGCTCCGCGATACAGCAGCACTCCCTTGCAACGGCGCGAACGCACTGCCTGTATCCGCTGCAGGGCTGTACGGATCTTGCGCAGGATAACCTGATGTGGACTCGCCGAGCCAGCCACCTTTTTCTCGTTGAGCGGCCAGAGGCGTTCTGGCTTCGAAATCGTCTTCGCCGAACGCATCGGATGCCTGATAGGCTTGACTCGTCTGTTCCTGCCCGTAGCCGAACGCATGCTCTGGATCTTGCGGTGCGGATCCTTCTTCCGAGTAGCCGTATTCGTCATCCGCCTTCGCGTTGTCCTCCAGATTGATACGGTCAAACGCACTAGTGGCGTCTTCGACTGGATCTCCCGAGCCAGTCTCAGGATCGTATTCATCGATCTGGCGCACCTCCGTGTCGGACTGATCACCAGCGTGCAGACCCTGATCGAATCCGTGGTCGGACTCGTCTGTGACCGTCAACGTCGGGAGCGAATCGTCGCCAGCGATGAAGGTAGGAGGCGTAGCCGCCGCCTGCTCGAGTGAGTCGACCCAAGCGGAAGAGGGATGCTTGTAGGTGGTCGGAGGCGTGTCGGTCGCCCCTGGCAGGTGTTGATGTCGCTTCTGGGGCGTCGTGGCGCCGTTCGACCATGCAGGCCGCTGCGATTCCTGCGGAGCTTCCTGTTCCTCCTCGAGCGAGATGGCTGCTGAGTTGCCCCTCGGGCGAGAGGATGTCTCCGAAGCGGCATGAGACGAAATGGACGCGCTGGCACTGTTGGCGTTTCGTGAGGCGGATCGAGATGAGCCTCTGGGCGGTCCGCGCGGTGGTCCCTGTGGCGGACCCTTGGGAGGCGGTGGCGGGAGACTGGCAGCTTGTGTGCTAGCAGCGGGGGGAGCCGCATACTCGGTTTGCGTTTCTTGGGCGAAAGTGGCTGCAGGCGGGTCGTATGGGCTAGCTGCGCGTGCCACGGACCGACCGTTTGCGTTGGTGTCTGTGCCTGGAGTGGCTCCGTACGCACCTGCGTCGTAGCCAAGTGAGCTCGATTGCGCGGCCTCGGCGCCGTATCCGTAGTTCTGATCCGACCATCCTGGTTGCTGCTGCTGCTGCTCTGGTTGGGACTGTTGAGGCGGAGCGTAGGGGTCGTAAGATGGACTCTGCTGTTGTGCGTAGGGATCCGATGCTGCTGGCTGCTGTTGCGAGGCCTCGTCAGGGGCGGTATAGTCGGTGCTGCCGTAAGCAGAGTAGGAGGCGTCCTGCGCGTAGGAGCCGGCGCCGTACATGTCCTGCGCGTTCTGACCTTGAGCTGCATCGTACGATTGACCGGGTGGCGGTGCATCGTAGCTGTAGCCATGCCCTTGATCATAGCTTGCATAATCGTTCGAGACATGCTGGGCGGAGCCTTGGTACGCGGACTGGGCAGCAGCCGGAGCGTATGGATCGGCGGCAGCAGACTCGTTGTAGTTCAGCTCGCCGTAGCTAGACTGATCGTAGCTGTACTGCTGAGCGTCGGGCTGCCCGTACGCTTGTGTCTGCTGCTGCTGCTGCTGCTCGTAGCCTTGCTGCGAGTAGTCCTGCTGGGCATAGCCTTGCTGAGCATAGCCTTGCTGAGCATAGCCTTGCTGATCATAGCTTTGCTGCTCATAGCCTTGCTGACCGTAGCCCTGCTGGTCATAGTTCTGCTGTCCATAGCCTTGCTGATCGTAGCTTTGTTGGCCGTGCTCTGGCTGCTGTTGGTAGTCATAGCCTCCTTGCTGATAGCCATAATCTTGCTGCTGTTGATCATAGCTCTGCTGCTGGTCATACCCTGCTTGTTGATTTGTATACTCGTAGCCCTGCTGCTGGCTCGGATCGTAGCCATATTCTTGCTGCTGGTCACCCTGGTCGTAGCCATACCCTTGCTGCTGCTGATCATAGCTCTCCTGTTCGTATCCGACGATCTCGGCGCCGTCGGCTCCGATAGGTCTTCCGTAGGCGTCGTAGTGCGTCTCGCCAGCAGCGGAAGCGTCTCCCTGATTGAGCCAGTCTAGCGAGCCTTGACCGCCCTCCGTTGCACCGAACGGATCCGCCCCTTGTGCCGTCGCTGCTTCTGCAGTTGGCTGACCCGCTTGGTCGGTTCCGGAGCCAAGCCAATCGTCTTGGTAGTTGGAGTCCCCAAAGAGACCGCCGGGCGAAGCAGGATCGGAACCAGGAGTTGTCGCCTTTGCATCTGATGTCGGCACGGTCAGGCCCCCTGCTGGTGCTGAATCGGCCTGTGCTGCCTGTGAGGTGGCAGGTTCGACTCCGAAAAGGGCAGCAGCAGCGCCCGAAGCCGCTGCAGCCGCATCGGTTGGGTTGCTCTGGTCGCGACTATGAGACGCTCCGATCGAGGCAAATGGGTCCGACTCTTCCTCCTCCTCGGCGAGCTGTCCAAGGGAAGATGAGCCATTGGAGGCGGCGATGCTCGAGAAGGGGTCGTCGTCACCTGCTGATCCGAAGAGCGACGCGGCGATTCCCACACTCGGTTTGGGAGCATGCCCCTTTTTGAACGGCGACGTTGATGAAGGAACCTGCAGGGATGATGATGGAGCAGCAGCTGCAGCCTCTTTCTGAGCAGCAGCAGTAGGCGTGTCGGTGTGAGACGGCTCGGATACCTGTGCCGCCGCATCAGGTGCAGCTGATGAGCTGCTCATGATGTGCAGACGATGAGAAGCCTAGCGAATGCCGCGCCAAGGTTGTCGAGCCCGATCGCAAGTGAAAACGTCCAAGTGGTTCCCCTTAGATACTCATGAAGTGAAGGTCCGAGCTAACGATGGCTTGCGTCGGGTTGCCTAGATCGTGATGGTGCGGGTTCTGATGCGTGTGCCGTTCGTCCTTCCTTGTCGGCACGATTGCTCGGGTTGATGGTGGTGAAGCAGCCAAGAAGGGTCTGAGCTATGAGCATCGTCGTTCCGCTTGCCGCGTTGGTTTCAGATGTGCGGAGGACGGGGCCAAAGACTGACGAAACGACACTCTCAGCTCTTTCGCCTTGACTAACAAGCTCGGGCCACGTCAAAAGGGCTCAAATTCTGCCGAATCTTCGTCATTTCCAACCCTTTTGACGAGCTAACACCTTTGAACCCCAAAAAATCCACAACTCAGCCTCCACTTTCTAAACCTCTCTGCGCCCTCGCCATCAACCTTCACCCTCATCCTCAACCTTCCAGTGCACCGTAACATCATGGCGGCGATGGCATCGACCTCTCGCACGACGCTCGATATGGACCCGGCCGATCAAGCGTGGGCCATCACCGAGAATCGCTTCCGTGCTCGGGCGCGGCTACGTCTTCAAGCGCGTTCCCGCCGACCTCGAACCCAACCCCCAGCTGTCCCCTCCATCGGTCCCAATGCGAATCTCTCCACTGTCCCCTCTACGTCTCGCAATGCGCAGCTCGATCCTTCTTCACTCAGCGTCGTCGGCTCCAAGGGCAACGTCGCGCGTACTCGCAAGGTGGACGAAAACGAACTTCCGTTGCAACGAGACAAATCCCTGGGCGACTATATCGAATTCGACCTCTCCAAGCTGCACAACTCCAAAGGTGGATTCCTCATCGATGATGAAGACCCGTCCGCATCCACCAAAAAGCTCGACGACTTACGAAAAGAGAAAGAGCGAGAAAAGCAACGCATGCGGGATTACGCCGAACCGGGTATCTCGTTGGATCTGGCCACCAGACCGACATGCGAGAACTGCGGCAGCCCCGAGATCGTCGACCATCCCTTCAAACGTGTGTTTGGCATCATCGTCTGCAAAAAGTGCGAGCGGGAGAAACCCGAGCTATATTCACTCCTCACAAAGACCGAGGTCAAGGAGGACTATCTCTTGACAGACGCAGAGTTGAAGGATGAAGAACTCATGCCCCATCTCCTCAAGGCAAATCCGCACAAGGCGACGTATAGCAACATGATGTTGTTCTGCAGAAAGCAGGTCGAGGAGTTTGCCTTTGGACCGGGCAAGTGGGGGTCCGAGGCGGGGTTGGATGCCGAATTTGAGCGGAGGGAGGAGGAGAAGGCCAGGAAGAGGGGGAAGAAGTTCCAACAGGGTCTGGCGGATTTGCGGAAAAGAACGAGGGACAACGTCTGGCAGAGGAGGAAGGATGAGGAGCATGTGCATGAGTGGGAGGAGGCGGAGGAGAGGGGCAAGGCGGTGCAGAGGTGTACGCAGTGTGGGTACGCCGTCGAGGTCGAAGTGTTCTGAAGGCGATCATTGATAGCGTTCTTGACATCTCGATGATGGAAAGCAAACAGTCACTCTTCCTGTATGCATTGTTGGATTGCATGCTTCTTCACCCCAGCGTCGAATCACGGGAAGATCTCGGCCATCATCAAGGCAACCGTGCTCGTCCATCCCGTGAACGGATACCCCCTCTGTCCCTTTCCATCCTTTGGATTGTACTGTTCGAAGACATATCCGGTCCTCTCGTACTCCTTGAACGTATTTGCCACCACATTCTCCCGCAACCTCTCGTAGATCTGCTGCGCCTGCTTCTGATGAGGACCCGACGTGGTCGCGTACTTGTTGCGCAACGCCCTCAAGCTGAGGTAGCTCATGTGCACCCACACGGGTCCTCGCCAGTAGTTGTCTCCCTTGCCAAAGTGCTCGTCCTTGAGGCTGAGCGATCGGATGCCGTACGGCGACCACAGCTGCTCTGGATCCGAGAGCAGATCCAGCACATGACCCAAGTGTGGCGAGTCGGGCGGGAGCAGCTCGAGCATGAACGGGAACAGAGAGACGTAGCCAGCGTGGCAGACGTGGTACGACTGATCGTGCTCGTCGACGCTCGCATCGCAGTACATCTTGTTCTCCTCGCTCCAATGCAGATCTTCCAGATTGGCAACGATGTCCGAGTAGTGCCGGGAGAACTCTTCCACGTCGTCCTCCTTGCCCAGAACGCGGGCGATCTTGGTCATGGTGTCGGCGAAAGAGCCCATCCACGAGTGCAGGTCAACGTGAAGCTCGCCCGTGTGAGGCACAGGCGCACGCGGATAGTCATCCAATCCACTTGTCAAGACATGGTCCTTGGTGCGGCCGCGCCATCGATACGCCTCTAGCCTCGAAGTGGCCTCGCGGTCCCATTCGCGCACTTCGCCCCGTTGCGTGCGGCGGAACCAACGGTAGTGTCGACGCAGCTTGGGATAGATTTCGCGCAAGAAGGCTTGACCGAGCGCCGTCGAGACCAGCATCTTTTCCGAGATGGGCGCTTCCTCTAGCGATTGCGAGTCTACGAGAGCTTCCTGGTTGCCAAGAGAAGCGACGCTTAATCCTGACTTTTCGATTCGAGCGACAAGACGGTCAACGTAAGCGCTGACAGCCAGGATGAGGGTCGGCGGGTTGCCGTACTGCGGGTACTGGGTCTGGAAGCCATCAGGCACGCGTGACCTGGCCTCGTCGCCAAGGATCTGCTCGCGGGCCACCCAGCCGTCTCGATCGATCAAGCGAATCCAACTGCGCAGAATGTCGAGACTGAGGTCGTTGTCCCACGCACCAATGTGAGCCAGGTGGAAACCTTCATCCCAGTAGAAGCCGCGTGGGAAGATGTTCCGGCAGGGCGTGGCGGTGAAATGCTGTTCAGGTTCGGTGCGCTGTGGGTTGGGCTGACCATCCACCTCGGGATCGTAGACGCCCGAGCCGGCCTCAATGTCGTGTTCGTGCTTGAAGGTGCGGTCGACAATGGAGGAGCCGTGATAGAAGCCGATACCTCCTGTGATAGAAGAAGTGAGGTCACGGGCGTACTCGATTTGCTGTGCCGAGTAGTTTTTCTTGTTGAGGCGAAGAGCGCTTGTGAAGCGCTCATCGTAGGCTTGACGAGAAGCTCGGAGTGCTTGCGTCAGTCCAGCAGACGAAAGGAGCTCGCCCTTGGGTGTGGATGCGCTGTCGTAGAAGACGTCAAAGGTGAAGTTACCGGTGAAAGATTTCTGGACGGCAAAGATGGTGGAACCAGGCGCGATTTGGTCCGAGAGAGAGAGGGTGAGGGCAGGATCGGGCATGTTGTCCTTTCCGAACGTCTGTATTGCTTGCTGCAAACGGACCGCGATGTCGTTCTGAATGACGTCCTTACCCTTCCAGACCGTGTCGACGGGAATCCGCTTGCCAAAGACGTGAGACTTGCCAACGGTCTCGGCGTAGTCGTCGGCGGTAGCAGAACCGCTGTGCCTGGTGACGAATTGATTGCCATTGGTGTTCGAGTTGCCATGAGCCGCCTCTGGCTCTTCGACGCGCAGTACAAAGTCGCCAAGTCCTGGAACGGAGCCAGCAAGACGCACGGGCCGGTGACGCTCAATCCCTTGCCCTGGCTCCACCTCGGTTTCGAGACCGAGCGTGCCGCCCAGGGTCTCGATGGCGGTGTACCAGAAGGTGGTGAGGGATGCTGGCTTTGTGGGATCCAGGACAGTGCCCGAGATGCGAGCGCCCCAGCTGCCGCCGTTCTTGTTGGCGGTGTTGACTTTGAGGAAGCTGGTCTCGAGGCGGTAGTTGTTCTCGTTGTCGTTGATCTCTTGAACGCCAAATTCGCGCCCGTCGTGGTACTTCCATGTGAAGCCCTTCATACCATCTTGATCGCTGCACTGATGTCGAATGTGCTGATAGTTGGCGTAGTCCTGCAAGCCGAACCAGGCGAGACCGGTGAGGAGCGAGTCGGGAAGACGGGGACGAAGACCAAAGTAGATTTGTGGACGGTATGTACCCCAGAGCAAGGAAGCGTCGGCGAGCTCTTTGGCTTGTTGCGCTTCTGGTGGTATCGAGATCTGCGCGTCGTCGTCTGCATCTGCATCGTCATCGTCGAAGTCGTCTGCATCGTACGCGTGTGTTCGGAGAGGAGTCAGAACAAGCAGCAGCAAAAGAGATGCGGCCACGATGGCCACAAAGGTTCGTAGACGTGCTCTTCGCCGCGACGCGCACTGATGCGTCATTTTGACCGGACAGTAGGCGCTGTACGAGGCGTCTTGCGGTTAGCGCCTGCGGTACGATGGAGTGATGTTGGCCGGAAAGGTTGAAGCCGAGACTGATCCAAGCTTGACGTGGAGGCTAAGTTAGCCGCCGTCTTGGATCTTCCAAAAGCAACAGCGCGGCGTGGCGTGGTCTGTGCTGCGAGAAGATCTGGAAAGGGCAATTATCAAATTTTGTTAGACTTGCGCTGCTGAAAGGCACAGAAAATGGGCTCGGCGAGGCAAGAGCCGGCTGGCAGCTGTGGAGCGTCATGCCTTCGAGTAGCTTCCCTTGGAGCCTTGCCGGACACGAGATGCAAGCGTACAGCTTCGCGCCGAAGGGTCAGCTTAGAACTGTGCTTTGGAAACGACAGGGTCCAAGAACGATCTGCATCGTGGGTGTGCGGGGGTGGTCTCGGCGTTGCTGTCGAGTTGAGTACGAGACCGAGGCAAGAAGAGGTGCGAGAAAAAAGCCGATCTTGGCCCTCGAGCCCCTCACGGAACAAGGCAGCCGTACGAACTTGCAGGACAATGGAGACGAGGTTTTGCCATCTCTGGCTGCGATCACCGCCCTGCTCCTTCGCCAAGACTCACTCGCGACGGACCTCCGCAAACACCCTTTGGCAACCGCACCAATCAAAGTGCGCTGCAATAAGGGTTTTGCAATGCTGCGTCAGAGTATGATTGCGTTCTGTCCATGTCAGTCCGATGCCGCCAAACTGAGTCGGTCTAGACACTTGGACGCAGATTAGAGCTGCGTAGAAGCGTGTGTTGCCTTGACGGTGCAGCGGCACGATTCAATGCGCGCTCTCTCTCTCTGCTTGCTGTCCAGAAATAACCCTTTCTAAGCTGGCATTTTCCCTCTCGGAGAAATGACGCTCAGATCGCGCACGCATCAATCCACACTGCGACAGTCACGTAGACTGGCCTGCAACCACAAACACGCTACCAAAATTGTGATTTCCTGAAAATCGTCGTTGCAGAGCGTGTCTCGCCTGGCGCAACAGAGACCCTGACCAATGCGTCACGGCAGCGAAGAGAGAGGCAAAGCCAGCCAGCGTTGCAAGCGTGTGAGTGTGTGAGTGTGTGTGTGTTTCTCTCTCTCGCTCTCTGCGCATGGCGCTCTCCATCTCCCCTTCCTTTGTTTGCTGCTAAGCTGAGCCGGGTAGCGCTGCCATCATCGTCCTTCGTCCTCTTCCACCTACTCATCGAGGGTCAATTGTTCGAGCCACACCTCCATCCTCTTCCGCTCGTCAACAAACACATTCTACTTCTTCCTCGTGACGAGCCCGTCGACACCTCGAAGCCTCTTCTCGTCGCGCTCTTCTCGTCTCTTCCTTGCTCGCTCTCTTCCTCGGCCAACTCTGGCCAGCATCTGCGTCTCGAAGCTCCTCTTGCAGCGTCAGGCACTCGTCGCCATAGTCAGCGCAGGCACAACATCGCATCGAATCCGACAACGAGCACACCTGGAAACATCGAGGGCACATTGCCAGCAATCAATCTTGTACAGCGCATCAGAACTTCGAAACAAGGCTTCATCGACGCTTTGCCAGATTTCGACCAGAACTACTCTGCCGTAGCATTCCTCCCCATCCTCGACACGACTGAGCCTCCTCTATGATCGCTCAGCAGCGACCCACGCCGGCCATGTCAGGATCTTCGTTCTTTTCGCAGATCTCCTCCTTCTTTGGAGGAAACGCAGACCAACCCTCTCGATCCAGCTCCACCCGTCGCACCACCGCCTTTGGCTCCGGCTTCAGCTCCTCGCCTCGTCGCGGTCCTCCCCAGGCTCTCGACCCCAACGCGTGGTCCCTCCCTTACAGCAACAGCAATACCATCCCTGCCTCGCCCGCCTACACCACCGATGGCGTCGCTTCACCCAGAGACGGCGCATACCCTCCGGCCTCAGGCATCGCTCGCGCTTCTTCACCCTACGGCAACGAGCACGTCTCGGCCGTCTCCACCAGCTCCGTAGCCGAGTTCAGCAACATGTACCCTGCAGCTTCCACCTCGACCCTGGTCCCCGGCAGCGCCAGCCGTTCCGTCAGCGTGTCCACCGGCGGCTCTGCCGCCACCACCGCATATCCGCCCGTCCGTCAAACCTGGGGTCGTATCCGCAAGTGGTGCCACAAGAACTACCCCGAGATCTCGGACACGCTCAATTGGCCCTGCACCAACGACGCGCTCGACGAGCTCGAGATGACCATTGGCTACGCACTGCCCACGTGCGTGCGCGAATCGTACCTCACCTACGACGGACAGGAGCTCGAGTCCAACCAGTCGTGCCAGGACGGGCTCTTCTTCGGCGCCGCGCTGCTCAGCCTCGAACAGGTGGCGCAGGAGTGGAAGTTCTGGCGTGCGGTGGATGAGGATCCGGAGACGGCGGCTAATCCGCAGGTGCGCAACCTCATGGCGAGTTGCCCGCACAAGTGGGTGCGCGCCGAGTACTCGTGCCGCGGCTGGATCCCTCTTATCACGGACCATGCGGGTAATTATATTGGGGTGGATCTCAGCCCGCATCCTGCAGGAGGCGGATCGGCGGGACAGGTGATTCTGTTTGGCAGAGACTTTGACACCAAGGTGGTGTGCTGGAAGGGCGAGGGTGCCGGTGGATGGGGAAGATTCCTCCAGACGTTTGCGGACGAGCTCGAGACGGGTGAGTTCTGGACGCTCGAGGAATTGGGAGCTGGCAGCGAAGATGAAGAGGACATGATCGGCTACGAGAGCTACTTCAGTGGTGGTGCGGGTGCTGGACAGGGAGGGGGCGATCGTGGAGGCGAAGGTTCAGCGAGCTTCCGACTTGCTGGCGAATACAAGGGCTGGCCTGTTCTGGAAGCATGGGCGGACCGTTCGGTGCGGTTGTGGGAATCCGTCGGTCTCGCCCCCGGCAAGCCGGTCGGCAATCCGCATCAGCAACCGCAGCCTCAGCCGCAATCGGTCGTCGACGCACGGTCTCACCGACTATCGATGCTCGAGGGCGAAGCGGACATGCAACCGGCTTTGCGTACTGTCGACGAGAATGGCGAGGCGATCGACGCCGAGGGCAGCGGCGTCCATCGCGCCCCAATAGCCGTCGGCAAGGAAGAGGAGGGCGAAGTGTCGGTGGATGGACCCGCCCACCCTCTCGCGGACAGCTCGCTGGCTGGCGATACGAGCGAGGAGGTGCTCATTGCTGCTGCGGATGGTGACGCCTCGACCTCAACGGCAAACGGAAACGGCAGCGTCACCGATGTCAATCTCACTCCCACCAACAGCATGCGTCGCACATCGGGGATGCTCTCCCCGCCGCAACCCGAAACCAAGGCATCGATGCGCAAGCAAAAGCAACGCGAAGAAGGATGGGGATCGCCCATGCTGGGATCGACATCGCCTGTAGTAGGTCAACAGCAGCAGCGTCGACCGACGCGACCCGCGCCCGCTCCCGCGCCCATGCTCGATCTGCCCACGCTCGAGGACGTGAAAGCGATCCAAGCCGCGGCGCTCGCCAACGACGGCAAGTCGCACAGCGTCCAATTCGACGCGCACGCCCAAGGTCGAAGCTCGTTCAGCAATCTCGGCTTCCGCGATCTCGCCGGCAAGCGGGCCGTCCCCAACGGAAACGGCATCATCGGCAGCCCCAACGGTCAACCCGAACGGTCGGAGAGCGTCGAACTCGAAACGCGCGCTAGCGCGGAGAATCGCAGTGCGTACATTGTCGGTCAGCGCGGGAGAGCGCGCGGGCTGGGGCTGGACGAGGTGGACGTCACGGCTCAGGCGTTGGGCGGGATGAATGTGAGCGTGCCAGGCACGCCCAAGTTGATCGATGCCAATTCGGCACCTGGCTCGCCCGCGTTCAGGGGTAGGTTGGGCGAGGCTGAGGTTCCTGCGGCTATTGCGTGAGTTGTCTGTTAGCAATGGACTCTTTCTTTTCATCGAAGGCGAGCTAAAGTGTGTGTGGATGGCTGAGAGCGATTCAGTGTGCGAAACGGTTGTGTTGAGGGTCAAGCGTGGTGTGATCCAGTCGAGTCGAGTTGCTGTGCAAGAAGGTCGTCTTCAATGTCATCCGATGTGACACGCAATGGAGCTCGAACGAATGGTATTGAGATGCGTGCAAAGGTACGTGACAAATCGACCTGGCTGATCAAGCATCACTTGCCGTGGTCGGGAAAGCACTCTGCAAGGGTCTGTTTCACATCCAACAACACAAATGTCAGCGCTCTCTTCTCCCTCATCCCTACGACCCTTCATCCGGGGGGGGATACGCACCTTGTTGTGTCGGTCAGCAGCATGCTGTATCAGCGCGGGCTCACGCACCGTCAGCAGAAAAGTCTGACGACAGGTCATGCACATGACGTTCTTAGCGGCCTCGTTGACCTTTTTCTGCGACTTGGCCTCTCCGCCGGCCGCCTTGGCGTTGCGCTCCCGTTTCTGTTGCGCCCTGTAACAGGCAGGAAAGGAGAGATCGAGACAGATCCTGTCAGTAAGGGAGAGCTCGAGAAGGGTCACAAGGTGACCGGGAAGACTCACTTTGCTCCGTTACCCATGCTTGCGATGTACGATCAGTGGGAGGGTTGAGAAGATGGTGGTGGAAGAGTGTGTCGTGTGTCTGAAAGTTTCCAAAAAGTCAAGGGAGAGATCCACGTTTTTGGCTAAAGACCCTGAACCCTTTAACGAATTCTGGCCGAGCTGAAGAACGTGAGATTGGCGACGTAACAGCTTTGTGCCAAAAACCGCGCACCAAGTGTTGGTCTCCCGACGCACAATCCACCCCTCTATCCGTCCACCTTGGCACCTGCTCTCGTCCTCCATCACAGCGGTGAGCTCCCAGCAGCTCGTAGACACGATGGCAGAAGGCAGCACAATCCCATCATGGCGACCATCTCGTCGTCGAACCAAGCGACGCACGCTCGTCCTCCTCACCCTCTCCCTACTGGCAACCATCCTGGCACCCACCTCCACCGCCTCCTCTTCTCCCGACGCAACACCCGTCGAAACCCTGCACGAATCGCTCCTCCTCAAACCGCTCCCCGACGGTCGACTCCTCTCGACATTCACCTTCGCCCTCCACACCACCTCTTCCTCCATCTCCTCCTTCCGCCTGTTGCCACGAGCGCTGTTGGCGCCGATCGCGCACTACGGCGCGTCCGAGGTCCATCTAGCGCTCAACTCGGGTCGGTGGAGGTACGATTCCTGGGGTTCGCCGCTCACCATCCTTTCTTCTCGTCGGACCTACCTCGATCCCCGTTCGCCCCTTCGGCTGGGGGAGGAGAGCGTCGGCGTGGGTGCGGAGCTCCGAGCTACATTCGACAATTCTACGTCTGGCTGGTCCGGATTAACTAGCGCACTAGCCGGGTTGTTCTGCACCTCGCTCGATGCGTTGGACGAAAAACATACGGTGGCACCCCACCACACGGGGCCGAGCACTCTGCATGCCATGTTGCCAGGGGAAAACGTGTGCACCGAAAACCTCACGCCCTTCCTCAAGCTGCTTCCGTGCAAGCAATCCGCCGGACTCGCAACGTTGCTCAACCCGACCAAACTCTTCGGCGCCGCATTCCACGGGTTGGCCGTTCATGTGGAGCAAAAGGACGGGTGGAAGGTGGAGTTGACCTTCAGTGCAGTGTTCCAACCGGCGGTGACGCGCGATGTGAGCAAACGCGATTGGAGCATGAGCTCAGTGTTCGGGCGGTCGTTGGAATCGACCTGTCCGTTGGCCGAGACAAGTATCGTGCGACTGCTCAAACCGGTCGATGGGGCGAGGTTCGATGTTGAGCCCCTGCCCGGCTTCTCGGTGTGCGCGAGACCCGGCGGCGAGTGCGCTGAAGCGAAGCTCTTTCCTGTGTTGGACGAGGTGGATGAGGTGACGGACGAGTTGGCCGCTTCGAGATTGCTGGCGTTTGAGACGGAGGCCGAGGGCGAGGCGTACGAGGCGAGACTCAGGGAGCGGTGGGCCCACCAGCTGCGGGTGGATGGCGAGTATCTCTACAACCTCCCCAGCGCGCTTGCCGAGGGGAGTTTGGATGTGGCGATGAGGTGGCCGCACGAAGTACGTTTTATCTATCCGCGCAACATCACGTCCACCGCGCTAGGCGTGGAGCGGACACTCCTCGGCAGCGGGCAGGAACGAACGACATTGCAGGTGGTCTTTACCAACAACGACGTGGTCCCTCAGCGAATACTGTGGTTCGAGACGCTGGGTTACTTTGTCAAGCCCTACCTGCACACCCTGTCTCCCACGGTGACCTTCCTCCCCGACCCCCCTTCGGGTCTCCTCCGCAGCGAGGCGGATGTGGGGGACCCGGTAGAGGAGGTGCTCTACCAGCCAACACGCGGGGCGAGAGTCTCGAGGAAGCCGTTTGTGCTGGAAACAACGTTGCGGTTGCCCGCGCGGAGTCGCGTCGTGGTGACGCTGGAGCTGAGGAAGGTGTTTGTCGAGTATAGTCGACATCCGCCGGATGCGCATCGGGGGTTTGATCTGAATGGGGCGGTGGTGGTGCCGTTGGCGCCGGTGGATCCGAGGGAGGAGGTGGTAGCCAAGGAGAGGGCGAAGCAGCGCCGACGCACGGGGACGAATCGCATCGCGCCCGCAACGCGAATGGGCTGGAAGGAGCAACTGCTGCACTTCCTCCAACAGCAACGACAGCAGCAGGAAGAGGTACCAGAGGAACGAAGGTGGGTAGTAAGCAAGAGTCAGTCGAGAATCTACACCCTGCCCAGGCTGGTCGAGTTGGCCACCCCCGACTTCTCGTTCGTCTACACCAACATCATCTTCACCAGCACGGTCATCGCGTTGTTCTTCGGCAGCACGTTGAACACCCTCCTGCGGACGTTTACGGATTTTGTACTTTAGGCAAGCGGTTGGACGCCATCGAGCAGACTCAGACTGCAGTGTAAGGTGCGAAGGCCCATGGAGCTCCTGCGATCGACCCGGGACCGCGATGCTCCTCGAGAAACATGAGCAATGTCTTCTGCCGACGCTCGGCAGCGCACGGAGATTCGACGCGAGTCAGCGACTCACAGGCAGAACAGAGAAGGATGGGAGATGCAAGTGGGAGCTGGCCATCAGCCGAGGCAGAGCCTCCAGCGGGACGTGAGATGTGCAGCTGATGCCAAACCACTCAGCAGCACACACCGAGAATGTGAGATGTCCATATAATATGTTTGAGTTGCAATACTACAGATCCATGACACGAGTCTATCCTCCCCACTCGAAGCATTCGCTGACCACATTCACAATGCCCCTCGTGTCGCCCTTGCGCACCTTGGTCGGGTCGATCTGCTTGCTGACGATGCTCCTGAGCACCACGTCCAACGACTTGGGACCGCATCCAGCCACGAGGGTGCGGCCTTGGCTTCGATCGACTTCCTGTCGGATGATGCGGTCGAGCTTGGGATGGCCCGGTTGTGCGAGCTCGGCGACGACGCGCAGGTCGAGGTCCTCTTCGGCGTCGAGGTCGATCGGTGCATCGTCCATAGGTGACTTTGGCGACGGCGCTGGGGCAACGGCCGTGTTGAGCAGGTTGAGCGTCGACGAGCCCGCCTTCTGCCGCGAAATGGTGTCGGTCTCGTCGGCGTCGAGGAAGCTGTTGCGGAGAGGATACTCGCTGCCGTACGGTGTGCCGAGCGGGGATGGTGACATGCGCGGCGTGCTGGCCCTTGAAGCGGATCCGAACGGCGGTGGTGGAACCAGGTCGTTGTTCGCCGACCCGGGACGAGATGGGCTCGGCGAGGCGAAAGCGGACAGTGGCCCGAGACCCGATCCCGGTGGGCTGTGGGGCATCGCCAGGCCAGCCGAGTTCGGGGGCGATAGATGCCTCCTGTCGCCAGCAGCACCTTGCCCTTGGTGCCGGTAGGGATCTCGTTGCTCCGGGCTCCAGGCGTGCCCTCCGAATCCATCTCCCCCATACATCCTCCCGCCGCCTTCTCTGGAATCGGCGAGATCCTGCTCCGCCGCGTATTGCGGTCGCGAATAGTTGGGCGCGCCGAGGTGGCTCCGTGCCCTGCTGGACAGCGAAGGACCGTCCGATGGTCTTTGCTCCGGCTCGTACGGCTGTTGTGGCTTGCGAAGGCCGTGACGCTCCTCGTACATGGCTCGCTGCGCTTCCATGGCCTGCTCATCCCGATTCAACTCGACATTGGCCTGCTTGGCGCCTCGCCCACCTTTGCGTTTGACCGTGTTGCGTCGTGTTTTCGCACGTCGCAGCTTGCCCTCGTTTCGGATGCGCTTGTTCATCTCTTCCTCCACGGCTGTGGGTGCGCTCTGGTCTTCACCGTCGAAGTGGGTCAGATCGTAGGCCGTAATGTCGTATTCCTCCTGCTCGGGCCCTTCCGTGAATCGGGCAGCGTTGCTGTACACGTCAGCGCTTGACGTCGTACCACTGATGGACCCTGGAGCGCCGTGGTGGCTGTATTCGTTCACATCGGATTTGTAGGTGCTGAACGTGTGGCTGCGTCCTCCGGCGGATCCGCTTCTCGGCCCTTGCGGCAGGGCTGAATGGTGGTTGAAGTGCGTCACGTAGAGATCGACCTGAAGCTGCTCTGGCGGCACCATCTCGATGCATCTCCTCAACGCGGCCGCCACCCATTGCAGATGCGAAAACTCGCGCACAATCCACACGAAGCGCACCCTCTGCGTCAAGAACTTCTTGCCTCCCTTGCCACCCTTGCCGAGCGTCACGGCGCCCACCATGCACGCGCACAGGTGCTCGAGGACAGACATGCCGAAGCTGACCCCCGATCCACCGCAGATGATGACGATGCTCGAGTGGATGCCCCAGTGCGTTCGGTCCGACGAGCCGTAGGGACCATCGACGATGGCGCGGATGTGCACGCCTGTTGTGTCTTTGCCGAGCGTAGGCACCATCGCCGTGCCAGGCATGCCGTACATGCTCGCACCTTGGTGGGCATCCGCAGCCGCTTGGATCTGCATCTGTCGCTTCTTGGCCACAAAGTTCCACAGCTGACGAGTGAAACCGTGTCGACATCGCACGAGCAAGACCATAGTGCGCTCTTCCCCCTTGGCCTTTTGCGCGTGGGCGAGACCCTTCTCGGTGTCTGCATCGACGAATTGAGTGGCGACGGGAAAGTCGGCGTCGTGGGCAGATGCGATGGTGAAAGGATGCGATTCCCAGAAGCGCACGTTGGGCATGTTGAGGTAGACCCACTGCCCTGGTTTCCACGACATCTTGTTGGGTGTACGTAACGTCAGTCGCAGCGTTTTGCCCGGCAGCAGCTGAACAAAGGCAAAGCCGGGGCGGATGACAGCAGCCACATCCGCCGACATGGCAGGGCGCGGTCTGAGCTGGCGCGGCATCGAGCCGGACATGACGCTGAACATGGTCGATGGGCGGGCCGCGAGCGCTGCAGAGGAATCGTTGCGCGATCGACCGCTCAAGGGCGGGTAGGTCGAGCCTGGCACCGACAAGGGTTGCTGTTGTGCAGAGTCGAACGAGTCTTGCAGCGAGTACTTGACGTCAGCACCTGAGTGCCTCGCGTACTGTTGTGGCAGTGGAGGCAGGGCCTCTATGGGTGGTGGCGGATAGAAGTCGGCATTGGATGGCTGCGAGGAAGGAATGTAGTCCTCGAGCAAGTCGTTGACTGGGTCGTATCGAGCACTGAGACGAGTGACCCTCCTTTCCAGAGGCATTGATTTGCGCTCGGGACTGGACTCGCTAGGCTCCTCGAGGGGATGTGCTGCACCTATTGTCGTGAACTGCTTTCCGAAACTGTCGTCGTGCATGGGAGGACTCGATCTCTTGCGGCTTTCGTTGTCTGCGAGGGAGCCTATGAGCGTATGCTCGTTCTCGGAACTACGGCTCGATTGGGGTGGATATTTGAAAGACGAAGCCGAGCTCACATCGGTTCGGTCCCCTCGCGTGGATCCGTCCAAGGTAGTCGGCGGGCGGTCGGCGGGGTGATAGAAGCCGTCGCCTCGATCTTGCCCCATTTGCTGATGCTGTGAGCCGTTTTGATGAGGACGTGAGATAAAGTGCTGCTGCTGCGGTACAAATTGCTGATGCTGATGCTGTTGCTGATGCTGCGGTCCGAAAGACTCGCTGTAGTACGCGGGCCGTTGCTGAAGATGCTGCTGCTGTTGCTGATGGTGCGGCGGCGGCGGTGTCGGTCGTTGCATGTAGCGCTGAGATCCCTCGGACCAATTTCCAGATTGAGAATGTGACATCTGTGGCTTGGATGTGACGGCGAATTGAGGCTTGCGACCGGCAAAGCCGAGACCGTTGATCCATGCCACCTTGAGAGCCCTGGTGAGACGCTCTGCGACCCACCAGGCGAGCGGAATGTACATCCACTGTGCGAGCGGAGGGTGATGGAGCATGGCGGTGATGATGAAGCCGGCAACGGTGACGACATGCGCAATGTAGAACCACTCGTAGAAGCGATTTCGAATGGGACCGATGGAGAGGACGATCATAGCCGTGAGGAAGCCGTACGAGACCCATCCCCAGCGGAACTTGGTCCACATAAAGACAAAAGTCCAGACTGGCTCGCCGATGCGCGTGTCGACATTGAGCTGAATGCACCAGGTGACGAGATGGGCGGTGCCGAAAAGCCAGATGATCCTGCCGCCCCACTTGTGCAAGAAGGAAAGTCGATCGAAGCCGTAGCCGCCAAAGAAGCGCGTCGAGAGCAGCGCAAAGGGCACCTGCTTGAGCGCCATGATGAGGACGATGGGCACGAGACCCATGGTGATGTCGCCGGTACGGTCGCCCGAAGTCCACCAAGTGCGATAGGGCAAGGTGCGGTAGGGCGGATAGGTCGAGACGGAAGGGTACGAGCCCTGGCCCCATTGGACTCGCTTGTGCAGCGTCTGGATCGCGCGGCGAGAGAGGCCGACCATGTTGGTGGTCTGCGGTGGCCAGCTTTCGGCAAAGTTGAAGACGCCGACGCTGGGACTGATAAAGTCGGCGCCGACCAGCGTCAAGACGATGGGTACGGCCAGCATAAAGAAAAGCAGCACGACTCGGCCAAAGCTGGGAAAGGTGAAGATCTGTCGATGTGCTAGGGGTGCATAGGCGCGAACGAAGCCCTTGCTGTCCTTGGTGATGGGATTGCCGTGGATGTCAACGCGCTTGCCCACCTTGTAGACACGGTTCTTGGTGGCCCATCGTTTCCAGAGGGCGCCAATGTAGGTTCTTTCGCCGACACCGAGCATGTGGAACGACCCGAGGACGAGGCAGACGGCGATGGTGATGAACCACAAGAGGTAGACGTATCGATAGGAGGTGGCGGGTAGCATGTGGGCGGTGAAGTAGCCCTGGAGGTATTGGTACTTGAGTTGGTCGGGATCGAAGCAGGAGCCGGAGCAGCCACGGTCCGAGCCCGAGCCTGAGCCCGGAGTGACGCCGGGCGAATAGCCAGGCGAGTAGGACGACATGGTGACCAGCGGCGTGAGGTGGAAGGGTGAAGACGCAAGCCTGCTGTAAGGTCGATTACGGATCCGATGTGAGATACATTGAGGAGAAGTGGAGTTCCGAATGAGAGCGAAGACGAGTTGTAGATCAAAGCGTGTCCATGGGAGTCAGGCCAGCTTGGCTGTTGAGAGAGGCTCGACTGTTGTCTGGGCGGTCAGAGGGGCGACAATGAGTGAGTGAGAGGGACACGGCAAGCTGCGCGCGTTGGTGCGAAAGAGCGTGCTGATGCGTGAGCTGCGGGCCGGAAGTAGAAAGCAGCGTGTGCGCAGGTGCGTGGTGAAGCAGTTCGTGTTGGTCGCAGATGGCGGTCGTACCGAATGACAAGGTGATGATGATGGAAAGAGAGGAGGCCGGGCGTAGCGGTGGAGGAGTATCACTCGAGTCTGCGTGTAGATTGCCGCAAAACGGCGACTAAGTCGACGAGTCGGAAGAGCAGCGAGTCGGCGTGGCCAGCTTAGTCAGGGCAGACGCAAGCTGTTCGATTCAAGCTGTGATTGTTCTCGAGAGAGTGTGTGTGTGCGTGACAATGGGAAGGAAGCATGTCAAAGTCGGAAGCAGCCCGAGCCGTAGCCAAGAGAATCGCGAAAGAGGCTCATCAGCGTGGTCGGCTCCATGCCGAGCTCGTCCCAAAAAGTTGACTGTGGCCGAGGCGCTTGGCACTGTGACTTCGGACTGGGCTCTGATGCGCTGTCGAGAGGTGACGCGCCAAAAATTTCCCTTTAGAAACCCCTGCCAAGCCCACGGCGAGCCAGACGCGCTCTGCTCTCAACGTGCAGATGAGTTCATATTGTTCAGCCCAAGTCACAGTTCATGTGTCTGACGGTCGCGGGCGCTTGCTGTGGGCTGCTGCGAACGGCGAAGTCCGTCCGTCACGCAGCACCGACGTTCGGGATCCTCTTCGAAGCCGTGCTGCTCCGTGGACGTCCTGCTGCTCTGCTCGAACTGTCTTCTCTGCGGATAGCGCACTGAATAGCCACGGCCGGGTCATCTTGAGATCGCACGGAAGGATATGCACCTCTGCAGATTTGTGCTTTTGCGAGCACAAGGTCAAGCTCGACCGGCGCCAGTTCTGCCACATGACTCCGAGCAAGATGCTGCATTGCATTGCCGCAGCGGTCCGTGATTCCGCGAGGCCTCTCAAGCTCGTCAGCAGCTGTGCTCTGACTGCTGCGAGACAGGCGCCGACGCATCGGCGAATTTTTCAGGTGGCTCAAAAGAGAGGTACGCGAGCAGCAAGCCGGCAGATCCTCTTCTGGATCCCGTCACGCGTCTCGCCGGGTTCTTTTGGCCGCCTCGGAAATCACGCTTTACTACAGTCGTCGGCTCTGCATGTATCGAGCTTCATTGCCATAGTTGGTGATTCGATCTACGATAGGACAGCTCACTCATTCTTGACCGCCGATCGACGGTTGGATCTTCTGGCGGTCTTCACATCCTTTCCGTTCTGGCCATCCTCCTTCTTAGCCTGTTCCTTCTTATTCTCGTCCTTGTCCTCTTCCTCGCCGTCGGTCCAGTTCCACACCTGCTTGAACTCGCCGCGAAGAGCAGCAGTCAAGAAGACAGCACCCGTACAAGCTGGGCTGAGATACAGCAGCGCGGGTTGAGCAGCCTTGAAGAAGTGCATCACGCCCATCGTCGTAGCCAGGCCTGCCACGTACGCCACCAGCGTAGCCGTAAAGTATGGCTTGCTCCAGCGCGTGTACGACTTGGTGAAGCTCACCGACGGCTTGGCCTCGCTTGCGACCAGCTGATCGTACCGCAGTGCCAGCGCGACAAAGATGCCAGGGATCACAATGTCGCCCAGACCCAGCATGGTAAATTGCAGCTTGGGCAGCGCCTCTCGAGCTTGAAGCGCGACGACCGCCTCGATGATGTTTTTGGGCCAAACAATCTTGATGGGCGCATCGAAGTTGCGCGCCACCGACACCATGACGGGTGTAGCAAACACCCAAAAGATATCGTACACGAACAAGCCTCCGAGCATGATGGCGCCCGTGCGGAACGAGTCGAGCGACATGAGCGCGATGGCGTTGAGCGAAAGCGACAGAGCGAGCAGGTTGCTGATGATCCAGTTCTTGGTCACGAGGTACACTCCAACCAGCAGAGCGGACACGGCAACCAGAGCCACGTCGACCGTGGTGAACGAGAGCTTGAAGATGCGCCCTTGCCCGCGTTGGTCGAGAGAGAGTCGGAAGTTGGGCAGCTTCTTCCACAGCTCGCGACCGACTACACCGCGAGTGAAGGACACCAGCGCCTGACTGAGAGCGAGACAGCCGACAAAGCCAAAGTAGAAGCTGAGCAGGAAGTTGACGTACTTCTTGTTGAGGTACTTGAAGATGAGGAAGAGGCCGAAAAGGACAGCCGAACCCATGATCGGAAACCACATGGCATCCGACGAGGTCACCTTCTCTATCACATCGTCGTCCTCCGAGTCCGAGTCCGAGTCGCTGTCAGAGTCGTCCGAATCGTCGCCATACCTGCGCTTCTGCTTGGCAGCTTTGAGGAGGTCTCGTGTCGTCTTGGGAGTCTTGAGAGACGAATACGAGCCAAAGTAGATGGGAGCAACGGCACCAGCCATGAGCACTCCGTAGGCGATGAAGAGATCGCGATCGTTCGACATACTTGCGAGTCGAATCGAGTAGGTGTGTAAGGATGATGATGTACGCAAGAGTCGCCAGGGTCGGAGGAGGCGTTGTGTGTAGGTCGCCTGGGTCAGAGCGTGGGAACGCTACGTGTTAAATGAAGCCGAACCGTGGGAATAATCTCGTCGATTCAATCTGCGACGGGGCCGAGTCTTCGATAGAGCAGTAGGGAGTCGTAGTGATATGGGATCGATACGAGCAGCCTTGACGCTCGATGCCGCTGTCAAGAGTCAGGTGAAAGTACGACGCTAAAGAGAAAGTGTTGGACTCCTGACAGGGTCTTGAGCACCGAGGCCTCTTCAGAAGAAAGTGACACGTCGAGGCTGCATTTGGCGCGTAGAACGCCGAGATTCGAAATCGCAGTCTAACACTTGAGCTTCGAATATTTGGAATCGGGAATCGGGTTCCATGAAGCGCGAAATCTCAGGCTTGCGAAGCGTGAGAAACAAAGAAAGCGCTGGAAAGGCGCCCTCAAGCGAGATGGAAGCCTTTGGAAGGTTGATTCACTCAAGCTCAGCACATCTAATATCCGGCGCCCAACGCGGTGCAACCTTGAGCTCAGCTTCGTCACCAGGGCGGTGGGCTCGAGCTTAGAGGCGACTGTTGATGGGCACACCTCATGTCAACGCTGGCATCATCGATAGTCCTGACAGGTTAAGTGTCTTCGAAGAGAGCTCTCTGCTGGACACTCAGCGCGGTGACTTGCGTGGCGGGAAACTTTTTTTCTTTTTTTTAGATTTTATTCAGGAATTTGTTTGGTGGCCGCCTTGAGAAGTTCTTGGTGGGAGCGGTATCTGTGCGTGTGTGTGTTCCTTCAGCGTTCTGGAAATTTCAGGCAGCTGCTGCGCTTCCGCGCTTGGTGTGTGATTTCGTGAGAGTGTCGCTCGACAACGCATTTCAAGATTGTTGCTCTTCCTCCCTTTCTTCATCCCTCAACTCACCACCACTCACCTAGCGGACGTTCTCATTGCGGCTCATCGCATACGTTCAGGCTCATCACTGTCAAAGCAAAGCTCCACTTTTGGACACTTGCACCTTCGTCACGGTCCTCGATTCGGCTTCCGATCTCGACGCTCATCGTCCGCCGCTCCCGCACCCTCTCAACGCAGGAACAATCGCAAGCACAGTTCCGCCCGCATAACAAACATCCATCATGGTCAAGGAGACCAAGTTCTACGACCTCCTCGAGGTCACGCCCGGCGCGTCCGAGGCCGAGCTCAAGAAGGCCTACCGCAAAAAGGCGCTCAAGGAGCACCCAGACAAGGGTGGTGATCCCGAAAAGTTCAAGGCCATCACCGCAGCATACGAGGTCCTGTCCGATTCGGACAAGCGCGACCTCTACGACCGCTTCGGCGAGCAGGGTCTCGAAGGCGGCGGAATGGGCGGCGGCATGGACCCGCAAGACCTCTTCTCGCAGCTGTTCGGTGGAGGTGGCGGCGGCTTCTTTGGCGGTGGAGGTGGACGCCCGCGCGGTCCTCGCAAGGGCAAAGACCTCGTCCACCGCGTCAAGGTCTCGCTGGAAGAGCTCTACGTGGGCAAGGTCACCAAGCTCGCGCTGCAGAAGCACGTGCTGTGCAAAAAGTGCGACGGTCGCGGCGGCAAGGAGGGCGCGGTCAAGACCTGCGGTGGTTGCAACGGTCAAGGTATTAAGGTCGTCCTCCGCCAATTGGGTCCCATGGTGCAGCAGATGCAGCAGACCTGCCCAGAGTGTCAAGGCCAGGGCGAGATCATCAACGCCAAGGACCGCTGCAAGGAGTGCAACGGCAAAAAGATCAACCAGGAGCGCAAGGTGCTCGAGGTGCGCATCGACAAGGGTATGGAGGATGGTCAGCAGATCACTTTCAAGGAAGAAGCGGATCAGGCGCCCAACACGATCCCAGGCGATGTGGTCATCGTTGTCGACGAGAAGCCGCACCCTCGTTTCAAGCGCAGGAAGAACGACCTGTTCATCGATGTCGAGGTGGATCTGCTGACCGCGCTCGGTGGTGGCAAGATCCTGATCGAGCATCTGGACGACAAGGCGCTCTCGGTCGAGATCCCTGCGGGCGAAGTGGTCAAGCCGGGCGACATCAAGGTCCTCCGTGGTCAGGGCATGCCCAGCTACCGTCACCACGAGATGGGCGACCTCTACGTCAACCTCAGCGTCGTCTTCCCCGAAAGCATCGACGTGGAGCACATCCCGCTGCTCGAAAAGGCGCTGCCACCACGCAAGGCGCTGCCAAAAACAAAGAAGGAGGTGGACGTCGAGGATGTGCAGATGGACGAGCTGGACGAGCGCGAGGCGCGCAACGTCAAGCCCAACGGCGCTGGTGGCCACCCCGGTATGGATGACGACGACGAGGAGGGCGGCGCTCAGGGCGTCAGCTGTGCTCAGCAGTAGACAGCTTCCCCCATTTTCCCATCGCAGTGTGTACATAAGATTCGCGCAGTCGCAATGACCCCCTAGTTTACATCCGTTTCAGGTTGAATGGGTGAAATGAGCGCATCGATGGCGGTTATCTAACAATCCACAACCCGCCGCAGTACAAACACTCTGCCGCAGCCTCGAGCAGTTCCTTCTGCCAAGCGCCCTCCGACCCTTCCGGAAGTCGCGCCTTGGCCCAGCAGCCCGAGCAGACGCGCACCTCGCGGTCCGAGATGGTGGCCAAGCTCACCGAGCAGCGAGGCCACACGTGGCCTCTGGAACACTTTGTCCAGCCGAGGTCTTGCCTCTGGTCGTCCCAGGAGAGTGTAAGCGGGGACTGGCACGCTGCGCACGTCTCGTCTGTTGGTGTTACTCCGGTAGTGTGCTGTGCTGCGTCCGGCAGCAAATTGAAGGCGGCGGTGAGGCGGGAGAGCAATCGTTGATTCTCGTCATCTGTGCTTGACCGCTGCGAGAGATCGGAGCGCCATCGATGGATCCATGATCTCAAGACGGAGGCTCGATACTGCTTTTTCAGGGTCTCCATTTGTGGCGCCTTATCCGAAAGCAGGTCGTCCAGACGGCACACCAGCAGGTACAGAAGCCGTTGCTGAGCTCCGTTGCTCGGATCGACGTGCGCACTAATCAATGTCCTCCAGCGCTCCTTCACTGCGGACAGAAGTTGATCGCGGAAGGCCGCCGGCTGCTGCGATGTGTGCAGGAGAGCCAGGATTATGCGCACCAGAAGATATGGCACGGTGCCCGCAGAGGCTCTCTGCAGCGCCTCGTCTAGCACCGCCGCCGGAGCGATCCTACCCGACTTGGCGATTTCAAGCTGGTATGAGATGGTGTCCGAGACGTCGTAGCCAAGAAAAGCGACTCGGTCATTCGTGCGGACTGCGCCCACAATAGAAGCAGCAGAGAGGCTGGAGCCAGACTCGGTCTCGTAGCCCAAGAAGGCTTGGTAGAGGTCGTGCTTGCGTTGTAAAGCCTCGGTTAGCGGTGGGTATCCTGTGAGCTTGGTCGGGTATATAGGAAGCACGTCCGTGCCTGCTGATTGCAAGGATATGTGGTACTCGCGAAGGTCTTGAAGGACGACCTTGACGCTCCTGCTGCTGTTGGAGATGTCGCAGATGCTGATGACTGGTGAATAAGGATCGAGTTTGCTGTCTGCCTCCGTATGCAGTGAGAGAGTCGCTGTCTGTCCGGTGCGTGCGTCGTGGGCGTGCACTCGCCCGATTGTTGCGTAGACAAAGAGATGACCATGCCAGTGCGCCGCCGTGATCTGACAATGATGGGACTGGACCGGCGTTGCCGTCGACAACAAGACCGAGACCTCCTCCCCTGTGACCTGAAGATCACACATTCGCACGCTGGACCCATCTTGGAATGCAATTCGTGCTCGTGCTTCGGCGCCCGTTGCCCGAACGTCCGTGGTCGCCGAGAGCTTCTCGATGCCCGTGTCGCTGACCGGTGTAGCAGAGATGAACTTGCAGAGGCCTGACACGGGAGCGCATTCCCAGATGACGATGTGGCCAGACCTGGTTCCAGCCACGATAAGGGGCGAGGCATGTTGGGTTTCCCCGTCACCGTTCTGAGCAGAAGCGTCCAAGTCGATGAACGTCGCAGACAGCACCTCTTTCGCCAATTGCTTCCTCCTTAGCAGCGCGCGTGGTTGAGAAAAGACCTGCTTTCCTGCACAGTCATTCTGGGCAGATTGTGGAACATCGAGCTGCGTCAAGTCGGCGGCCGGCCCAAGATCGAGAGCGTGGAACAGCTTCCAGTCGCCTGTCCAAGTATTGAGGGGTGCACCGAGAACGAAGAGGTCCAACTCGGAGGTGGTGGCCAGTATCAGGCAGCTTCCGTGCGGCCCCATGCCTGGGTTGGACCAGCTCGCCGAAGCCCACCTGGCGCTCTGAAAGCGCGCATCGACAGCGGAATGGTCCGACTCGAGGATGACGCGACTTCGTTCGGAGTGCTCGTTGTCAAGCAACGTTTTGATGTTGATCTGGGCGACCGAGTGAGGGAAGCCATCCTTCCAGTCTGGATGATACTCGACATCTTGAACACGGGCTTGTTTGGCGAGATCGATATGCAGACCGGTCAACGGGGATAAGATGATGAGAGCATCGTCTGTGACCACCAGAGCCTGTCCGAGAGCTGACCATTGGAGGTTGCCGAGAAGCTGCGATCCTGAAGAGAGAGCGATGGAACACGCCCGAATTCGTTCGCGATCTTCCGATGGCGGTACGTTGCGAGATGGACGTGCCTCGACTGTCATAGTTGCTACCTGTGCCGCAGCATGTCGAATGACTGAGCCTCTTCGACAAGTGTGATGGTGGTGCGGAAGAGGCGAAGCGTGGGAAGACTAGCCTCGGATGTCGGAAGGGTCAGCGTCGGCAACTAGCCGATGTGTTGGTCTGAGGGCGGAGACGCGCCGCGTGGGAGGCAAGAAATTACTCCACTCTCAGCCTCCTGACCAGACTAGCCGATTCCTCGAGCTGAGGTGTTGGACTCCTTCATCCCACTCCAGCTCTTCCCACCGCATTGACGTGACTCACAGCGTCACGATCAGCCACGCAGACATCGGACGCTGCCGGCGAGAGGGATGCCGTCGTCTGAAACTGCAGCAGTCAGCGAATCACAATCCAGCTAGACTTCATCCTGGTGATCTCTCACGGGCCTCGAGGTTGGCAGCATGAGTGATCCCCTGGCCGCCACTTTCTCGGCCCTCACAACTCGCAATGGACCCACTGAGGCCGCAACATCATCTCAAATTGCGAGCAGTCCCTCCTTGGCCACACAATGGAACCATCTGCTGCGAGGTACCACCACTTCGCCCAAAGAGGCGCTCAAGCTGCGTGCGGTAGAAGGCAAGATAGCCCAAGACCAGAGCGCGTCGCTTCGCTGGATCCAATGGAAGTCCTTCCTCGCCGAGCACATCTCCAGCATCCCTTCGTCATGGTCCGCCACCTTGAACCAGGAAAGAGATGCATACAACGAGCTGCGTTGCCGCCTGTTGCGCGCACCGGACGGCAACTATCCACCCGAGGTGGGCTTCGACGGCACACACACAACCCTCGACTCGGCCAGCGCTTCTTCCTCTTCGCGGCAGCATCCTGGCGCAGCCTCAATCAGACGGACCGTCGTCCATGATCTTTCGGTCAACAATCCGCTCAGTCTCGACGATTCCAACCCATGGACAGCTTACTACACCACCTTCGAAACGAGGAGAATCATCTTGCAAGATGTAGAAAGAACCTTTCCCGAACTCGACCTCTTCCGTCAGACGCATGTTCAGCAGTCTTTGACCAACATTCTCTTTCTCTGGACTCTCGAAAACGAAGACGTTGGCTACAGACAGGGTATGCACGAGCTCGCCGCTGCTCTGTGGAAGGTCAGAAGCGATGGTGCCGTCGATGCGCGCGGCTTGTCCGGCAGCCGCTCGTCCGCATCGGCGCAGAACTCGGTGGAAGCGCCGTTTCAGCTGGCTTTGGCCGACGTCTTCATCGAGCACGACGTCAACGCGCTCTTCCGCTCCCTGATGCAAAGCGCAAAGAGCTGGTTCGTGTGGCGCGACTCTCCGAGCGCGCCAATCGCACCTGCAGCTTCGACTTCACCACCCTCCGCGTCCCTCCGACAGTCGCCGACGCAGCGAAGATCAGCAGAGGCCGCTCGTCCTCCGCTGCCGATTGTCGCCAAATGCGAGCACATCCTCGACCTTTTGCGGCACATTGATCCTGCCCTAGCGCAGCATCTCCAGAGTCTCGGCATCGAGCCTCAGATCTTCTGCCTCCGATGGATCCGCATGATCTTCACACGCGAATTTGCGCTCGACGATGCATTTGCCATTTGGGACGGCCTCTTTGCGACTGGACTGGACCTCATCGACTATGTCTGCCTCGCAATGCTGCTTCGTATTCGAAATCAGCTGCTTGCCGGCGACCATACCTCGGCCTTACAGAGCTTGCTACGATACCCTGCAGAAGCACAGGCGCAGCCCAGCCTTTTGGTCAGACAAGCTATCTTCATGCGTGACAGTGCGCTTCAGCCGAGCACGGGAGTAGCGGTGGTGATGCAGAACAGAGACTTGCTGGGCATCGCTGTACAAGCTGTCGACAGCCAAATCCAAGGCCAAGATGCTACCCGGCAAGCACCTGCATCACCTACACAGCGTTTCAACGCTCAAAAGTTTGCCACGGTCGGGAGGTCGCCGTCCGGTCCAGCGACACGAGCTTCTCCTTGGGCTCGAATGCAGGATGGCAACTCTTCTCCGCAGAATGGCAGGCAACCTGCTGCCAGACGCTGGCAAGCTTCCGGTGCCACAGCGGACCCTCTTGGAGCATCGCAAGGCTCCACCTCCCTTGACGCCAACGGTCAGCGAGCCTTTGGCATCAACCCGACTGCGTACCTGCCCGAAGGCATCAGCGACATGGCCAAAGGCTGGTATGAGCGATCCGAGCTGCCGCAAAGCCTCAACAGCGCCCTTGCCAATGTCCAGAGAACCGTTGCTGCCGCAGCCAATGCCTACGGGTCCGCCAAGGTCGAAAAGTCAGGCTTCCCGTCTGGCTTCGAGCAAGCCTTCTCGAGTCAGACTGGACTGCGGGCTGCTTCTTCGTCCAACCTCGACCGCGCGTCGCCAGCGCCGTCACCAAGGCCAGCAGAGCAACAGCTACCCATCGTGGAGCCGCAAGAGCCCGCATCCCCACCATCTCAACGTCACAGCGCGAATCTTGTTCAAGGTGTCTCCAAGACGACCACAGCCAACAAGGCGATCGGCTCAGCCCTGACAGCCTGCATCGAAGTCCTGGAGCAGAGCTGGCTCGATCGAAGCAGGATCAGCGGCAAACAGAGTCAGGAAGATCTCGATCAGAGCGATTTGAACACGCTGATGAGTTTCACCGCTCTCAAGCACATCCGCGATGTTCTCGAGGGCACAGCTACCGAGTTTGACCCAGCGACGCTGCCGGCACCGATCGTGAAGCCAACAGCTCCGTCATCAGAAGTCGCAAAAGTCGAACAAGTACCGCAGCAGAGCAGCATCCAACAGCCTCCGTCGTACAAGCCAGACGCTATCAGGGATGTGCCTCCAAAGAATGGCCCATCGCTACCCATGTCGCTCCCCGAATACGCCCGCTACGGTCGCCAGATGATCCTTCCCGACTTCGGTCTTCCCGGCCAACTGCGTCTGCGCGCTTCCAAAGTCCTCGTCGTCGGCGCGGGCGGTCTCGGCTGTCCCGCCATCCAATACCTCGCCGCCGCTGGCGTCGGTCAGATCTCGATCTTGGACCACGACGTAGTCGAACCGTCCAACCTGGCACGTCAGATCCTGCACAGCGACGCTACCGTTGGGCAACCCAAAGCGAATTCCGCCGCCGACGCTGCCCGGCGCATCAATCCGTACATCACCGCCATCCCGCTCGTTGAGGCCATCAGCGCGCACAACGCCCGCCAGCACATGCGCGGTCAGGACCTCGTGCTCGACTGCACAGACAACCCGTTGACGCGCTACCTCATTTCGGACGCTGCGGTGCTCGAGGGTGTGCAAGTCGTCTCCGGTGCGGCGCAGGGGTACGATGGCCAGCTGGTGGTGCTTCACAAACGGATCAAGGCGGAATTTGCAGCGCCCAAGGCGCGGGGGGATGGAGAGGCACGAGGACCATGCTACCGATGTCTGTTCCCGCAAGCGCCTCGACCGGATGAGGTGACGAACTGTGAAGACGGAGGCGTTCTCGGTGGCGTCACTGGGCTGGTGGGGACCATGCAGGCGTTGGAAGCGGTCAAGATCCTAGCTAGGATAGGGGAGGATACCCCGCCGATGCTGACACTGCTCAGCCCGCTGACGGGGATGCCCTTTCGGTGTGTCAAGATCCGTCCTCGTCGTGTCGCTTCTTGTCGCGCCTGCGGAGACCCCGCCCAAGTCGCCGAGCCCATGATTCGGGACTTGGAAAGCGAAGACTACGTGTCGTTCTGCGGCCTCACTCCCACCCCTGCGGAGAAGGAGGGTCCACGAACACAGGCCGCCGCCATGCAACCCGCGCTGATCGTAGATGTGAGGCCAGAGATCGAGTTCGGCATCGCCAAGCTCGACGGCTCGATCAATGTGCCGATACAAACGCTGCTGCGCAACCCGGCACAGGCGTGGAAGAGGATTCACGAGGCGCAACCGGCGGCGGGGGTAAAAGAGGTGCTGGTGGTGTGCAAGAAGGGCAATGACTCGAGGGTCGCTGTTCGTGAGCTGCTGCGGGTTAAGGCGGAGGGTGAGGCTGCGCCGGTGGACCCATTGCAGGAGGCGAAGGGGGCAAGGGGAGAGGTGAGGCCGGTGAAAATATCTGATCTGGTTGGCGGTCTGCGTGCATACAGTCGGGAGAGGGATCCTGGCTTTCCGGTGTACTAGACTCACACACAAGAGGGCAACGATCAAGAACCACAAGGGCATCGGCAGGTGTCGATTGAATGACAGTGGTATTTTGCATGTCGGTGATTTTCCAGGTGTGAGTGTCTCGTTGAAGCGAGTGTGTAACCCGATGACTGAGAGCCAGGGTGATGCTCAGATGGCCGACGGGGCCAGTCCAGCGTTCTGAGCCGCCGTCGTGTCATTCAGTCCGCCCCCGTCTCCCCGGAGGTCGTTGATCTGCCTGACGCCGCTCCTCGGGGTGCCTGTCAACCCCAGCCCTGAAACACCGTGGGGTCTCTGAGGCGTCCCACTCTGCTGCCCCCTCCTTGCCCCGTTGGGACTTGCGCTCCTCGCACCCGGACTCGCGGGGAAAGTCAGTCCCGGATTGGGACTGTTCCTGCCCAACCCCATTGCTGGGCTCCCCACTTGCTGCTGCTGCGTCGCACCCCTCCCCTGCATCTCATAAAAGTTGAAATCCTGCAAGAGGCTCGTCTTGGCCCCATACTCGGACATGATCCTCCACACCTCCCGCCCCGCTTCCGGCGTCAGCTCCTGCGTATCCCGACTCTGCGTGACCGGCTTGCACTCGGGCGTGTTGGTCAGCCGGATATGCCGCAGCTGCCCATTGGGCAAATCCTTCACGTAGATCCACCGCACTTTGAACGTTCCCTTCCACTTGCCATCCTGCGCCCACACGTTGGAGGACGTTGCGTAGTCAAGCGGGGTCAGCATCTGCGCCATCCCGCAAAAATGTCCAGAGGCGTTGACCGAGTAGAACAGGTAGATCGGTCCGGTGTGCGCGGTTTCCCGGAAGGCTTTGTCGAGTCGCTGGTTGCCCTTGTCGGTCGAGGCCCAGATTTCGTATTTGAGGGATTTGTGCACGTCGTCTTCGGTGTAGGATTTGATTACGAAGAAGCGGGCGGTGGGGGGTGGGGGGCCGAAGGCGCCAGGTGGGGGGTTGTAGCCTTTTTGAAGGGCGAGGGATGTCGCGTCCACCGGCGTGGCTCCACCGGTCTCGAGGGTGGGTCCAGGTGCGGGTCCAGAGGGCGGCGATGCAGCGTGCATGCCCGGAGGCCGGAGGGAGGGCGTAGACTGCTGCATCGGGAATGGCTGACCTCGCGATGGGAGATTGCCGATTCCACCTATCGGCGGAGAGCTCGGCAGAGCACCTGCTCGCAGCTGCTGTCCGATCGACTGCATCGGACCATTGAGGTCTATCGGCTGCATGCCGAAGAATAGAGGATCAGGTGATCCGGCTGAGTGGTTGCTGCGCGCTCTGAGCTGCGCTTGCAGCACCGCGTTGCGCTTCTGTTCCTGCGCCAAAGCCATGCTGAGTGCCATGAGGTTGGGATCGATGTTCATGGTAGAGTGAGGTTGCTGCGGCCATGCTTGTCCGCCTAATGCTGCATCGCCGAATCGTCCCGCGATGCTGTCCTTGTCCTGCCAACCGCCCGTCGGTGCTGCTGTGAAGGGTCCGAATCGATGAGACGGCTCGATGTCGAAGGTAGAAGCCTCGATCGCGAACAGGTCGTTGGACTGATGCCGAGTGTGCGCATGGCCAATCGGCGGCACGAAGGCGGCAGCTGACATGGGACCGGACGCGCCGTTGACACGCTGGCCACGCTGTAGGGCGTCGCGGCTGGTTACCAGCTGAGGAAGTCTTCTGCCGCCGAGAGCTTGTCCGTCAGCGCCGCCGCTGCTGCTGCTCTGCGCTGCGGAGTTGGGGAACAAAGAGTGCTTCGTCGGGGTGATCGAATCCTGATCGTCGCCCGCAACCAGCGCAGAAGAGCCCGAAATGTCGAGGTTGGACAGGTTCTGACTGATGTCGGCAAGGGAAGACGTGGGCCCGTCGAAACCAGAAGGCAATCTGTTGTGCGGGACATCGTGGCTCTGCGACGGGAAGGAACCGGCGAAGCGAGATGGCGATCCGATGGGCTCTTGCGGTGGCTGGTTCCAAGGTGCTTTGGAGTAGCCTGACGGCATCACGGGACTATTCGTGGCGGAAAAGCTGGTGGTATGGCGTACGGGGCTGAATGCTGCGTCGCTTTGCAAAGGGTACGATGGCGTCGCTGAGTCGGCTGCATCGCCTGCGTAGCGGCTACGAAGATCACTCGAACGAGCTGCCAGACGATGACCTGCTGATCGTCCTGCGTGATGATTGAGGGACTGATGACGACGAAGGAAGCTCGCTGAGCCACCCAAAGCTTGCGTGTCACCAAACAGATCGACGCCGCTGACGCTACCGTCGAGATGAGCCGCCTCGGAAAAGGGGCCAGATCCGGTGATGGGCGATGTAGGATGCGACGACGAAGCGGGCGCACCGAGCTGGCCAGTGGAGAAGAGGGACGAGGACCAGGGCTGATCGGTGCGCACAGAGAGGCTGTTCAAAGCGTGAGGATCCTGATGATGCTCGTCGCCGAGCGCGTTGCTCGAGTGGATGAGCTTTTCCCAGTCGTGATCGTCGAGGTCAGAGCCTCCTGTGATGGCCGAGAGGCTGTTAAATTGGCTGGTGCGGCCTTGTGTGGCGCTGGACGGCAAGTTGGTGGTGGTGAGTTTGTTCGTGTGACGACTCGGCAGCGAAAGATTGCGGGAAACGCCTGATTTGGAATAGAGAGCCTGCAAGGGGGTCAGGGACGGAACGAACTCGGCCGCATTGCCTGCTGTGGCTGAGAAGGACGAAGAGTGGGCGAGAGAAGCTTCCCTGCTGGAGGATGGCGAGGCCTGAAGTCCGTAAAGCGGCTGATCGTCGTTGAACCTGGTGCTGTGCGGCGCCGAATGACCCGATGCAGCCGCGTCTGGGGATCTTGGCGCAGATGCAGAGGAGTCTTCCGGCTGCTCGAAATGCTTCTCCAATCTTGGCTTGCCGTGTTGTCGGGCTCCATGGATGGTATGATTGCGACGGACACCGGCGCCCGAGGAAGGAGCGGGTGGTGGACTGCGCATGCCACCCGTGACTGTGCCCCATTTAGCAGTAGCTGGACCGGCGTTTGGGTCCACCTCGGACGATGACGGGTCGGTTGGACCGCCTTGCTGAGGCGGCGTGACAGACATCGGGTCTGTATCTGTGCCTCGAGAAGCGATGACGACTCGTGTTGTGGAGAGCAAAGGGCGGCGAGAATGCTTGGCAGTAAGATGATCCGCTGATGAGAGGAAGCCTGTTTGGGAGAGCGGATCCTTCAGACAGATTCGAGACGCTTCGGTGGCTGCGATGGTGGGCGAGAATGCGTATTGGCTTCCAGGCTGGAGAGGCTATGGTGCAGTGAGACAAATGAGACAATGCGAGTCCGGGATGGGAGATGCGGCGCCTTGGGAGGGAGAGAAAGCAGGCCCGAGTGCATGCATGCCGTTGCCTGAGATGAGATGATGGCGGTGGGGAGACAAGAACGTGGGAAAGCTGACACCAGAATCACAAGTTGCGAGTCTACCCTTTGTCAGGAACAATAGAGCCGAGAGCCGAAGAACAAGGAGCTTCGCGGCGGTCCGTTGTCAAGGAATGCTACTGTAAATGGAATGAGGCGTGGTGGGAGTCGGAACCAAGTAGCGCAAGCCGAGGCAGGTCGACTAGAGGGGTGCGGAGCGATGCGACGAGGCCCGAATGAAGTCGTGACGACGTCCGTGGTGTCTTCGGATGGGTTCAGCTGTTAACTGTGTGTGCAGTGGAGCGTTGCCGTCCCAAGTAGCTTCGACGCCGAGCTGCGATGCGAAGAGGTCGACTGAGGCCGCCTTGCACTTCCTCTCAGGTTTGGGGGTTTTCGGTGGTCTCGAAGCCGAAAGAAGGGACTCGAGCCCGTGCAGAGGTTGCGCTGGAGCGTCGAGGGAGGACGCAGATGATGATGGAGACCCGATGAGAGGCAGAGTTGATTAGCAAAGGGAAGAAGGATGCGTCCAACCCTGAAACAAAGCGCAATCGCCGACAACGATGACTGACGGAGGCTCGCACAGCTCAGCGAGCAATTTTTGATTTGCCAAAAGGGAGGGTGCAAGGGTCCTCTTTTGAAATGTCACACTGAACCAGCCCCTCGGTCTCTCACGATTGCTCACGATTGCTCATCAATACCGGAGCTGTGTCATGATGCTGTCACTGCGGAGCGGAATGTGCAGTTCGCCATGCTGGCGAAAGCAGTAAGTCTATTGCAAAAGTCGAGGATAAGAGAGAGGTGTGCGAGGTCGATCTGCCGATTTGCGAGACAACTTATGCAGCAATCGGGGTAGCTACCGCGCTCTCGGTGCCGGTGCCTTTCGGGTCGTACGTTTGCAATGGCACAGATTGGCCTTGCAATCGGAAGTCAGCACCCAGCTTGCCGCCCGGGTGGTTGAAAGCAAACATGTCTCTGCCGAGGCCTTTGGCGCGAGTCACTGAGAAGGCGAGCGCGTCTCCCATGGCCAATGCGACCGTGGTGCTGCTGCTCGGCGCAGGAACGTCGTCCCAGGCCTCGTCGGTGGTGGGTCGTGGGGCTTTGTTCCGTTTTCTCCTTGTGGAGCGTTGCTTGCGACTGTCGCACGCATCGCAGGATGGCATTGTGGCTCGACGGGCAGCGAGAATGGACCCGTTCTGAGGTGCAGAAGTAGAGGCAACCGGCTCGCTCGACCTACGCAGCTCTGGCAGACCGTCTGCGGAGCTGCTCTCTTCTGCATTGCCGTCCGAGTCTGAAGCTACGGCTTCTGACCATGCTTCTTCGTCCTCCTCTTCCTCGGAATCCGAGTCGTGGTCATCCTTGCCAGTAGCGCAGTCGATCCAGGCGTCGGATGCCCTGACAAGGGCACTGTCTCGCTTGCCGACCAGGGCAATGATGGGACACCTACGAGCATTGAGATGCGGAACCAGAGCGAGGATCTCTGGCGACGATCCCGAGTGGGAGAGTGCAATCACTACGTCGCGGTGCGGCGTGAGCAATCCAAGGTCACCGTGCAGCGCTTCCGTGGGGTGCAAAAACATCGAGGGCGTGCCGAGCGAGAGGAAGGTGGCAGAGAGCTTCTTGGCGATGATGCCGCTCTTGCCCACGCCGGTGAGCACCACCTTTCCACCTCGATCGCCCGTAGTGGCGCGCATCACAAGACGGATGGCCTGTCGGAAGCCGTCTTGTTGCACCTGGTGCTTCGAGAGACGCTTGGCTGCCATGGCAAGGGCTCGCGCTTCTCGCTGGACGATTTGGGCGCCAAAGGCGAGCGCCGAATCGAGCTCCTCCTCGACCCTGCGGTTCTCTGCTTCGATGGCGGCTGCCTCGCTATCGTCGGCGCTACCTTCCGCCTCTTCGTCGATGTTGCTGCTATTGCTGGCCCTGTTGAGGGGACTTGCCTCTGCAGTGCGGCGCTCCTTTGCATGGGCGAGGGAGAGCTTGTCGGCCTCGGAGGAGAGATCGCTGACCGAAGTACACGCCGAGGTGGAAGGCGAGTTACGCTGCGAATTGAGAGCGAGAAGCGAGAGCTGCGACGCGCCTACCGAGCTCGATGTTGGGCTGAGCATGGCTGAGTTGGAGGGACTGGCTCCTCCGCTCGAAGGACCGCTGAGCGGCGATTCCGAGCCAAAGTAATCGGTCTTGGCTTGAGTCATGTTGGCGTGATTGGAATCGGAGCTTCCGGCTGTGGAGGGAGAGACTTGGCTGCTTTGTAGCTTGTAGAGGCTAGAGGCTGAGTGCGCTTGCTGTGATGATAAGAAGAGCTGTTTCGCACGCCTGTTGCGGAATGTCCGAGCTTTTGGAGCGTGTAAAGATAAAGTTGCGATTGGAGTAGATTGGGGGAGCGACCGCGATGAATGTGAGCAGCTGGTGTTGAGCTCGAACGAGGATATATGCTTGCGATACGTAGGATCCGAGAAGAGACGTATTCCTTCGATGGCTCTTGAGCCTTCCGACCAGATGGCAGAATGCGATATATACAGTAGGCGAGGAGGTCCAACCTTGGACGAGATCTCGTCGTGGATGAGGAAAGCAGACAGAGGACCGGGGATGTGGTGGGTGATGAACGTGGAGATAGGAGAGCAGAGCAGAGCTCAGTCTGTTGATTACCTTGTCGGAAAGATCTCGGCCTCCACGGATATCTTCCAGCGAAGGCAGTCCTGGCGCACAGTGAGACTCCGGCTTCTGACGACGACGCATACAAGGACACGAAGCAAGCCTCGGCTCGACTAGGGCTCAGTTAAGCCCGGCTGTGCTCAGCTGCCGTCTGACGGAAGTGTTGCAGCCGATTTGCCTGGTCTTTTTGGACAGCCAATCTGGATCGACAGAGGCAATTCGGCTGGAAGCCTGGCGGACTGGCTTGAGCCCTTTTCTTGACAGATCTGAGCTCGATAAGAGAGAGGTCTTGATTTCTTCCGACAAAAAAAAGTGCACGGTTGCTCGCTCTTCTTGGCGCCTGCAGCCAAAACTCCGCAGCGCTGTCTAGCACACAAATTTTCCGCAAATTCTCCACTTAGGCACTTGGTCACAGCAGACGCGACCGAGCGTGGAACGCGGACCCTCTTACAAAAGCAATCACAACGCTGCCCTGGATAGCTGCCAGACCCTGGATTCTCAGCTAAGCTCTGTCGTCAGGCGCCTTAGCCAGGGAGCCAGCCATGTTCCATGTGGTTTGCCGTCCTGCAGCTTCCAGCCAGGCCAACGCTGCACTCCACGCGCTGCCTCGACGCACTTTCAATCCGCAATTCCGTAAGAATGATCCGGCTGTGCGACCGATTCGAGAGCGAAGGCAGACTCGCGCCCTTTCGTAGCTCGCGGGTGAACAATGGACCTCAAATGGAGATGGATGAGCTCGGCATTGAAACCCCACATTGAGCCCGAGGGTGGATCGCTGCCATCGCTGCAGCAATACAAGGAGCGACTGACAGGATGGTGAGTAGCCGGCGGCAACAGCCCTAGCCGTAAGTTTGTGAAGAGCTGCTTGACCGACATCCCACTCTCTTTTCATTGGCATAGGGCTAAAGCGAGATGTTTCCGCGGATCTGAAGCTGGGCAACAACGGCCGTAGCACGCACTAGGGGGCAAGAGCAAGCAACTTGGCCTGGCGATGTCGCCATCGCTTTGCACACACGTGCCGAGCTGTCTTGTGCATCTAACGGCTTCTGCGAGTCGTCTTAGCTCTACGCAGTCTAAATCTTTCTGGCTGCTGCAGCAGCGAAAAATCAACGCGCTTCCGATCTGCACGTCTTGGCCTCCACTTGATCTCGTTAGGACGCGTCGACGCCAGCAGGATCGACAGGTGCTTGCATATCGCCTAATCTTGCGGATGCAGCCGCCCCGCATCTTATGTGACGCACCAGGATGCACGATCGGAATCATGACAATGCGACCCGATAGTCGATGAGCCATCCAGACATCATCCCCTTTAATGGTTCATGTCAGCATCTAGGCCGTGCCGAACCGGACAGTGCCGAAACCACGCCGACTCTAGGAAACATCCGCGGATTCCCCGCGCGTTCTATCTTTACTGTGCCTAAGTCGAGTTCTCCATCGACCTTTCCTCCTGATGCTGCCACCAAGCTGGTCGATCATACCTCTACTCCCTCACTGACATCGTGCCTATCGCCGATTCGAGTCTCGAGCTGTCAAGTAGCTTGACCAATGCGGCTGGTGGGCACCCAAGCCGAGATCTCATGGAACCTTCCGAAGCTACGGCGACTCGATGGTGAGCGAAAAGAGCGATGACGCAGGGTTTCGTAAAACACGAAATTCGTGCGCTCTTCTCCCCTTGAGCTTGAGCTGTCACACTGCACTGTTCGAGGCCGCCGCGCGCAGGAAGCATCTGCCCTTTGCGGCCGCTTCCTCCTTAAAGGGTTTCTCGCCGTCATTCACCAGACCCGTCTCTGCTTAACGCCGACAGACACTTGTTGCACATGACTCTACCGTCCCGTTACGATGATGAGCATGTCGCGCCTCTGCAGCGGCTATGCACTAAGATGCAGAGTCACTTTCGCTTCCAAATACTTTGTTCCTTGCCGCGTCTTCCAGACCGCATGGTCCACTCTGCCGCACGCCTTCCACCGGGTCTCAGCCGGCGTCATCACAGATCTCGTCATCTCACTGTTCGAACTGTTCTACTTGTATATCGTTTGAGTAATTCGCCGAGAGAAGCTTTTCCGTGCCGCTCGCTTAGGTACCCTTGGAAGCAGGGACGGTCCCTTCTGACGTAGCTCGAGGGTCCCTTGTGCCCTTCTTCGGCACGGATGACTCTTTCCCTTGTGTGCGGAACCTGTACCTTGATGACACGGAGACCATCTTGCCAACCCACCACCACCACCCATACCTGTCCACGTCCGTCGAAGAGGAGGTCCAGCTTCCAACAAAGAAGCTAGTCAACATGTCCAACAACCCACAGCTAGCAACGGTGGAGGCCAGCGGAGATCAAGCGTCTGCCCCACCTCGACGTGGCCTGCACGCTCCCAAGCATGGCTGGATCCACGAAGCCAACAAGCGCGTCATGGGTCAAACGCCCAAAGGAACGCCCTCAGCAACACCTCGACCTTCCAACGTCGCTTCACAACAAAGACCGGCTTCCGCAGAACTCGACCGCGAAGTCGAGACCATCTTCCGCAGGACAGCGAGATACGGAGGCGATGATCCTCGTGACCCTAAAGACCATGCCTACGAGCCCGCACGCGAGCAAGACAGCCCCGATAGCGACAGCGCCACGCGTGTGCCTCCGTCTCCAACCAACCCCAAGTCGAAGCACGAACCCCGCCAGCACGACGACAATGACTCGGATCAGGGTCGTCCTCGCGGCAACCCGGACGAGTCCAAGGACCCGAACCAGGTCGAATGGGAGGGCGAAGATGACCCGGAGAACCCACAGAACTGGTCGCAAAAGAGAAAATGGATGCTCACCTTGCTCGCCTCGTTCCTCACCGTCAACGTCACGTTCGCATCCTCTGCTCCCTCCTCAGCGACACAACAGCTGGCACAGGAATTCCAGATCGGTACCGTGACGGCGACGCTCATCACCTCGCTCTTTCTTGCCGGATATTGCCTTGGGCCGATTCTTTGGTCGACCACGTCCGAGCTCGTCGGTCGAAAAGTGGTCATGATCGTCGCCATGTTCATGTACATGCTCTTCATCCTCGGACAGGCGCTCGCCAAGAACCCCGAGACGCTCTTTGTCACTCGTTTCATCAGCGGTGTCTGTGCCGCTGCACCGCTGACCGTCGCTGGTGGTGTCATCGCCGACATGTGGGATCCCGTCGGACGCGGCTTTGCCATGAGCCTCTTCTCGTGCGCCGTCTTCATCGGTCCCGTCCTCGGTCCCATCATCGGCGGCTTTGTGACGCAATCCTACCTCGGCTGGCGATGGGTCTTCTGGGTCATGATGATCTTTGCGGCTCTCTGCTGGGTCATGATCCTCATGTTCATGCCCGAAACCTTTGCGCCGGTGCTGCTGATGCGCAAGGCCAAGCGACTGCGCAAGCTGGACCCGGAGGGCAACAAGGATCTCTACGCACCTCACGAGAAGAGCGACTGGTCCGTTGGTGGTATTGCTCACCGAACGCTGCTGCGACCCTTCCAGATCCTGATGAAGGAGCCCATCCTGGTGCTGGTCACCATCTACCTCTCGGTCGTCTACGGTATCCTATATGGTCTCTTCGAGGCGGTCCCGGTCATCTTTGAGATGACGCGCGGCTTCAACCTTGGCGAATCAGGGCTGATCTTCATCGCTGTCGGTCTCGGCACCACCATCGGTGGCATCATCAACGTCTTTGTGCAGCTTCGATACCGTCAGCTGACGCCCTTCTGGCACGGCATGCCTCCACCCGAAGAGCGACTGTGGGGCTCCATGATCGCCGGACCCATCCTTGTACTTGGTGCCTTCTGGCTCGGTTGGACCGGAAACTACGTCGCCGTGCCGTGGTACGTTCCTGCCCTGGCCCTCGTCCCGATCGGTATGAGCTTCACGCTCGTCTTTATTTCGCTGCTCTCCTACATCGTCGACTGCTACACCGTCTACGCGGCATCCGCTCTGGCCGCCAACACCATCATTCGTTCAGCTGTGGGAGCCGCATTTCCCCTATTCACCAGGCAAATGTTCACTGGACTGGGCATCAATTGGGCCTCTACGCTGCTTGGACTCGTAGCTCTGGTCCTGACGCCGTTCCCATACATCTTCTACATCTACGGAAGCAAAATTCGCGGTTGGAGCAAGTTTGCGCCCGCCTTCGACCTCAAGGTGCGCAAAGAGCTCGAGGAGGAAGGCAAACTGCCCAAGGATAGCCTCAACACCACCAGCCCCTTCGACCGCAACGGCCTCAAGCAGGCCAAGAAGGATGCGGCTGAAAAGAAAGATCCCGAGAAGAGGCAGTCGTCGTCGTAGCTGGCTGTCCGGGAAAATGAAATTGCCATGCCGCATATGAAATGACTTCATTTCGTACCACACCTCTGAACCATGTTTCTGCATCACCATCCACTCGACTCGCTGTACATTAGATAGACATCTTGCATCATACCACACATTCGAAAGGATCGCTGAGCTGTATGTCTGGACTGTGACTGCGGTGTACGGGGTGCTGAACGAATGAGCGGAGACGCCCTTTTTGTTTAACAGAAATACCGCGGGTTGGAGTGGGAGCTCAGCTGTCAACCAGCGCCAGCGGCGCGAAAATACGCCGAGTTCGTCATCGTGCGGCGGCTCTGTCAAGGCCTCAACAGGCATATCACAATGTACAGCCTTCCTCAAGTCTTGTCCACGTTGCGAGGACGTGCGTCGCAGGCGGCAACGTGTCACGTTATCCGATCAAGTCAGTCGGGAGTCGGGAAGGAGAGCTCGTCTGTGTTACGCGAGAACGAGCTAAAAGGGTAGGCCGCAGCTTATTCCTAGCCGAGGTGATGGAACCCTGGTTCGCTTGAGCGGCCGTGTTGCACGTTCTGCGTCTTGCTTGACCGCTCAGCACGTCGGGCGGGGCGCAGGATAATCATGCTCGGCGAGCGCATACGGCGACCAGCTGCATTTGACGTCCACATCGATCAGCAAGCACCAATGGACCCGTCTGCGAAGGGTGTCCTGTTCATCAAAGGGACCAGCATCCTGGGAGCTTTGCTTTGCGGAAAAAGATTTGCGAGCGGATGCAGATCCTCCGACTTCCAAAAGTGGCTTTGATAGTGTGAGCCGCGCTGTGACGCACAAGGCCCACGCCATTGTCAAACAACATTGAAAGGCCGACCTCGCCGCGGCGTAAGCGGCTCGGGATTGATACTTCCGCCATCGCAACCGACGGCAACGGCGTCGCCCACTCCGACCACCGTAGCCCCCCTTCTTCCGCCTGCTTGGACCCGACTACACGTTGAGACGATGCTAGTCCACGTTTGCGAGCCGCCTCAGAGGTCACACCGACAAGTCGGGTCACAGAGCTTGGTACTGGCTCTCCACTGCCGCCCTGTGAACGTGGATCTCGCTGCAACCGTATACAGCGTGGGGTAGCGAGACACACGAACAAGGTTTCGCCCCTCGCTTGCCTTCCGCAACAATGCCACATCCTCCTTCCGCCGTTGGTCAGCGTCGCGGTCGGCTGAACGAAAGAGTGCGCCTCGCTTGATCGCCAAACACTAGCGCATCCGTCTCCCGACGTTTCGGTGAACACCGATGAGAAGAAATGATGCCCACAATAGCAACAGCGAGAGTGAGCTGGCATGGGTGCACAGACGATAGCAGAAGAAACAAGGACCCAATAGCGGACGTGCATGGAGCAACATTGCGGAGCGTGAGACTGAGAAGCATTTAGCAGAGATTCACAAAGCTTTGAGCGGATGACTACATCGAGACGAGAAACTATAAGTACGGACATTCTAGGACATCTGTCCCCTTCGTTCGACAGCAACAAAGTCTTCTCTCCCCACACACAATCAAGCACTCACGATGAAGTTCTCCATCGCCACCCTCGTCGGCGCTGTCGCCGCCCTTGCCGCTTGCACCCAGGCCGCTCCTCTCGAGAAGCGCGTCTCTGGCGTCCCCGGTTTCGACATCTGTAGGTGACACACTCCCAAAGCAGCCCTTTATCCCTTCGCCCTCGTGCTGACCTTTCATCTCGCTGATTGCTCCTCCACAGCGCGCTACCAGTCCAACGTGGACTTCAACCAAGCCAAGGCAAACGGCGCTCGCTTCGTCATCATCAAGGCCACCGAAGGCACCACCGTCAAGTCGTCCGCCTTCTCCTCCCAGTATACCGGTGCAACCAACGCTGGTCTCATCCGCGGGGCCTATCATTTTGCGGTTCGCATCCATAAAGACTGTAAATGACTTTCCAGGCTCTCATACTGACAGATGACTTTGCATTAACAGCGACCTGACTCCTCCGGCGGTGCCGCGCAGGCCAACTTCTTCCTGAACAACGGAGGTGGCTGGTCGTCCGATGGCCGCACTCTTCCTGGTATGCTCGACCTTGAGTCGTCCAGCGGTGTTGCTACCTGCTACGGTCTTTCCCGCAGCCAGCTCGTCAGCTGGATCTCCGACTTCGGCGAGACCTACCGCTCGTCTACCGGACGCTACCCGATGGTGAGTCACTTAGTTCAGCTCGAGGTAGAAGATGAGTACCTGTACTGACATCGTGTGTATCGTTTGCAGATCTACACGAACTCCGGCTGGTGGAACCAGTGCGTTGCGTCGAGCGCCTTCGCCAGCAACTACCCCTTAGTCGTGGCGAGCTACTCCAGCAGCCCCAAGATCCCTACCGGCTTCAGCACGTACAGCTTCTGGCAGTACGCTGACAGTGGTACCTACCCCGGCGACCAGGACACCTGGAACGGCAACCTGGACAACCTCCAGAAGTTCGCTAGCGGCTAAAGGCAATCACGTCCCCACTGGAAACATTTCCAGCGGTGATGGTACTACTGTACTTCTCTTCGCGCGTTTCGACACAACAACTCGCTCGTCCGAGACTGCAATCACAGGCCGCTTTCTCTGACATTGCCTCGTACTTCATGGCGGCGAGCCTGACGCAGAGTCTGCATCGTATGTGACCATTTGAGGACCTGATTGAAGTGAGGGACCGGTACGCGGGCCCGGACGCGGTGACCAAACCGGCGTTTTTGGAAGGGCACGCGCTGCCAAATTATTTTGCCGCGGTTCAACGTGTGTGTGCGAAGATAAGACACGCATGAATCTCTGGCTGCCTTCTCACCACCATCGCCTTCGGTCATCATCTCAAAATGGCTCAGCAACAGAAGAAGAAGGTCGTTTCGATCGCCCTCCTCGTCGCCGATACTCCACCTCCGCCTGTGGTGGCTGTTCGCGGAGACTACACCCAGATCTACCCGCGCTTCCTGCAAGAATCACTCAACACGATCAAGCGGCACTCGTGGCAGCCGCAGGTGGAGCTGCACGTCCGATGCTACGATGTCGTCAAGAAGATGGAGTACCCTGACGAGGGGCAGCTGGGCGATGGGCTGTGGGATGCGGTGATGATCACTGGTAGCGCGTCTTCTGCGTATCTGGATCTGGAGTGGACCAGGAAGTTGGCAGCGTTCCTGCGGGCCACGGCGGAGAATCACCCGCTTGTCAGGCTCATCGGTATCTGCTATGGCCACCAGATCCTGGCGAGAGCGTTCGATGGGCAAGTGGTCAGCAACCCTAAAGGGTGGGAGCTGGGGACTTTCTCGTGCACCCTCACACCACACGGCAAGGAGCTGCTTGGCTACGACGAAAACGAAACCCAGATGGCCATCCAGCAAGTGCACAAGGACCACGTCCCCGAGCTTCCACCCGACTTCGCCGGAGAGAGCTTCGAGAACCTCGCCTCAACCGAGATCTCGCCCATCCAATCGCTCATCCTGCGCTATCCGACGGAAGCACCGCCCCTCGCATCCACCGCCCAGGCATCCGCCTACATGGCGTTCGATATCGAGGACTCGGAGACGGCCTCGTCGGGTCCCAACCCGCTCCGATCGATGCATCTGCTGTCCTTTCAGGGCCATCCAGAATTCGATCGCGAAATCGTCGAGAACATCATCGAGGTGCGCACCGAGATGGGGATCGTCACGGGCGAGCTGCGGGAGAAGTCGTTGGTCAACGCCAAGAAGCCGCATGACGGATTGAAGCTCGGCCGGGCCATCCTGGCGATGCTCGGTGTGGAGGAGGCCAGGACCGACACAGGAGACAGCATGGTCCATCTTCAGTAATCGCAATAATCAATCATCTCTATTGTACGTTCGAGCGCAGTGTGCAGATGGGCCGCGGATGGGCCAGGTATCGGTGAGACTAGGTATGTTTGCCGACTCAAGTCGAGGCGGAAGCGGCCGCACCGGTGGTGGGTGTAGTCGCGCCGCCAAACTTCTTCGTGTCCTTCTTGCCCTTCTTCTTGTTCTTACCAGCGGCGTCTGCGACGAGCCTCTCCAACTCCCTTCGCTCGTCATCGCTCTCGTCCGGCTGGACCGACTTGTAGATCATGCCAAGGAACAGGATCGCCTGTGCGCGGTTGAATAGCACCTTATCTCCCACGCCCTTTTCGTGGAGCACCTTGTCGCAGACCTGCCTGAGGATGCCCGAGATCTCGAAGCGTGTACCCCTCCACGTCGCGAGCAGCATCTTGCCGCTCATGTCCTGTTCGAGCGCGCGCAGCTCGTCTTCGGGGATCTCGCCCTTCTCCTGTCTCCGCGCTAGCTCGTCCATGGACGCCTTGACGTTGAGCGCCGACCCGAGCATGCCCCACGTCTCCTTGACCACGGCACCGCGTTCCTTCATGCGGCCCATGAAGCCGCCAAACCCGAGCATGCTGTGCTTCTTGGTCTTGATGAACGTGGTGGCCTTCATGACGTAAATGTTGCCAATGGCATGGAGCAACTCGACGCCGAACGATTCGAGCTTGAGGTCCTCTGCCTCCTCCTTCATCTTGCGCTCGAAGATTTGAGTCTGCGAGTCGTCCTTGTCGCCCGGCTTGCGGGCGTCGACAAAGGGTCGGATGCGCTCCTTGAGCTTCTCGGAGAGCTCTTCGACGCGCTTGCGCTCGTTTTCCTCTTTCTCCTTCTCGAGTGCTTCGAGCTGGGCCTTCTGTTCCGGTGTGAGCTTCTGCTTCTGCTTTGCGTCCTCCTTCTTTTTGACCTCGGCGACCTCTTCGGGTGATGCACCGGCCTCGGCGGCTTTTCGCGCAGCAGCATCGCCGGCGGTAGCAGCCTCTGCGGGCAGATCGGTGGTCTTGGTCGCATCGACCGCCGCGGGCCCCTCTGTGGGGTTGACCTTCTTGTGCTCGGCCTTCATCTGCGCCTCGAGCTCCTCCTTTTCCTCTTCGGTCATCATGATCTCGCTCGCCTTGCCAAAGTCCTTGATCAGGCTGATCTCGCCGATGAGGTCGACGAAGCGCTCGCCGCCAAAGAGACTGCCAAACATGTCGGTGGCCTCCTTGAGCCCCACTTCGTCGGTCGGCTTCTTCTTGCCGTACTTGTCGTAGTCGGCGCGCAGGTGGTTGTCGGAGAGGACGCGGTAGGCTTCGCCGATCATCTTGAAGGTTTCCTCGTCACCACCCTTGTCCGGGTGGTTCTTGATGGCCGCTTTGCGGTACGCCTTTTTGAGATCGAGATCGGAAGCGTCGCCACGGACACCAAGAAGATCGTAGTATTCCATGTCGGCGATCTTGGCGCCATCGCGGGAGATGTCGCGGGGGCCGGTGGGCTCTGTGGGTGCAGCAGCGCCGGCGGGCGGGGCCGCTGCGGCTGGCGTTGATGTGGATGCCGCGTCCGCCATCGTGGGTGTATCGATTGTCTATGTAGGTTCTGTTTGCGAGCTGAATGCCCTGTCTTGGAGGTTGGTGGCTCTGATGAAGGGGGTAGCAGGGCTTCTCGGAGATGACGAGCCAAGACTCCTTGGAGAGAGAGGTTATCGGAACGCCAAAATAAGAAACGCTTGTTGGTTGGCTGTGCTGCACCTTGGCAAGCCAAAAATTCCAGCTCAGCCAGCCGGCCCATTTCACACACGCGCTCGCAGGCTGTAGAGTGAGATCATATGCTGACCCTGACCGGAAGTCGGCAAGCCCCCCTTTTTCACGCTGACGACCTTTCAGACTCGAAAAGTCCGTCTCGCTGCACGCCTTTTCGTAGCCCAGCCTGCGCAGCGTGCGTGTTGCCTCGAGACAGGCTCTGCAAGCGCAGCGATCCACGGGCCCAGGAAGTATATATTCCTCAGGCGTTCCCGCATCCCACTTCTTCGCAAATTACTCTTCTGGCCTATTGTAAGTGTACCCCCAAGCACTCGCAACACACGCTTTCAGCTCGTCTCAGTTTGCTGACCGCATTCGCATTCTCTCCTCTCTGCGATCTTCACACCATACAGGGCTTAGATCATGTGTAGTATCTGTTCTAAATAGATTGACATCTATTTCTCCTCGCTCCGGCGAGGATTTTTTTGTCATACACTTTTTCCTAGCGGGAGATCACCGTTCAGGTGCTTGCACCTCGGGATCTCGAGGATGTCCTTGGCCCTACACTTCTGCCTTGAGACGTCCGCCGTCCTCTCTTTTTTCAATGATATGTATTACGTAATCGAGTGTCATGCGACCGAGCACCCAGCCAGCCGAGTGAGGTGTGGATTTTCGCTGAGTTCGCTGAGCCAAACAGAAGCAGAAGTGGAAATGATTTTAAAGAAAAGTGCAGTCTTCGGTCAAAAAAGGCCGAAGAAAAGGAGGATGCAAAAAGACGCGGCTGAGCAGTCCCACCAAGCCCCCGCTTTGACCGCCTGACGCAGTCTCCTGATCGATCCCACATACATGCTCGCGGCAGCGACATCATCCAGCATCGAGTGGCACTACCGCCTGCACACATACTCATCTTGGTATACGAGGAAGAAGGAGCCGACAAGCACATCACAGGCAAGGCGAAGCGGAAGACCTACACAACTAACATTCTTTCAATTGGCAGACCAACACTCAAGACGCGCTGTTGTGATTGTCGCGTCGAAAAAGTCACCGCGCAGCAGCAGCAAACAAAGTCACACTCCGCCAATCACCAGAGTAATCACACACGACCTCGCTAGCCAGGCAACTTAATTTCGCAGTCGAGCCCCGCAGCTCTACATTCTTTCCGCACCCCATCGACGTCCGCTCTTCTCCTCCACCATCTCAAGGCCACTTCTCGCCATACCCGCAATCGCACGATGTATGCTCGCAGCAATGCATCCAGCGATGCGAGCGCGCCACCAGTCGTCCGCTCGGCGCTAGGCTCCCTCAAGCGAACATGGTCGGGCAACCAGCAGGATCTCGGCTCGTCAGCGGCAAGCACGACCAGCAGCAAGTCGGCAGTCGCACCCCAATCCAGCCAGGAGATCTTCTATGAATGGTCTGACTCGCCCTCGCCACCGCAACGGCATGCAACGCTCAACAAGCAAAGCACCGACTCGGACAAGGAGAACGGCTCATCCGCTCCGCCCGGCAAGAAGTCCAAATCCGCAGTGGACGTGGCCGTAGCATCGATTCCAGCAAAAGCGGCTCAGCCACAGACGGGCTTCGTGCCAGCTTCGACCATCGCGCGATCATCCAACTACAACAGCAGCGGAAACTCAGCACCTTACAACGCAGGCTCAGCACCCTACAACGGAAGCCGACCCAGCCAAGGATATGCGAATCGTCAGCAATACAATGCTCCGTCGTATCCTCGTCAGAACTCGCATCCATCGATGAGCACCGACCTTGCAACACAGTTCTCATACGACCGCAACCAAGCTCGCAACGGTTCCAGCGCCAACGCATCCGGATCAAGCAGACTCACCATCCCGCCTCCCAGCAGCGGTCCCTCGAATGCATACGCGCGCACCTCTTCCGCACCCTCCATGCCCTGGATGAAGACGGCGTCTCAACTCAAGAATGAACGACGCAACGACCCTGACGCCTATCAAGCCAGCTCCCTGATCGCGTCCTCGTCAAGCCGAGCCTCTCCGAGCGCCATTCCCAGTGGCGCACAGAACGAAAAGAAGCAGGAAGTCAACAAGATCTTCCTCTCGCAGGAGCAGCGCAAAGTGCTGCACATGGTCGTCGAGGAGGGCAAGAACGTCTTCTTCACTGGTTCGGCGGGTACTGGTAAATCCGTGCTGTTGAGAGAGATCATCAAGGAGCTGCGTCGGAAGCATGCCAAGCGGCCCGACTCGGTCGCCGTTACTGCATCTACGGGCATCGCCGCCTGCAACATTGGCGGTGTTACCATCCACAGCTTTGCCGGCATCGGTCTTGGCAAGGAGCCCGTCCTCCAGCTGATGAGCAAGATCCGCAAGAACCGCAAGTCGTCCGCCCGATGGCAGCGCACCCAGGTGCTCATCATCGACGAGGTGTCCATGGTCGACCCCGCCCTTTTCGACAAGTTGGAAGAGGTCGCTAGGCTCATCCGAAAGAAGCCCGACAAGCCCTTCGGCGGTATCCAAGTCGTCATCACGGGCGATTTCTTCCAGCTGCCGCCCGTGAACCCTGGCGGCAGCGTCACCTTTGCCTTCGACGCGCAGAGCTGGGACAAGGTAGTGCAGCACAAGGTCAACCTGACGCAGGTTTTCCGTCAAAAGGACGAGTCGTTTGTCACCATGCTCAACGAGATGCGATTTGGCCAGCTGTCGACCAAGACCATCGAGGCTTTCAAGAAGCTAGAGCGGATCCCGAGATACGAAGACGGCATCGTCCCGACTGAGCTCTTTCCCCGACGCGAGGATGTCGACCGAGCCAACATGGACCGTCTCTCCGCGCTGCAGAGCGAGAGTCAGACGTATCGAGCGCAGGACGGCGGCAGTCTCCCGGCCGAGGCACGCGAACGGGTTCTTCAGCATTCGATCGCGCTGCCGGTGGTGCACCTCAAGAAGGGCGCCCAGGTGATGCTCATCAAGAACCTGGACGAGACGCTGGTCAACGGATCGGTCGGCAAAGTGATCGATTTCATGGACGAGACCGAGCACGAAAAGAAGCTGGGGATGCTCGACATGCCCGAGGGCGGCGAGAAGGAGGGTACGGACAAAGGCCCACGCATCTCGACGCGCAAGTGGCCTCTGGTGCGCTTCGTGCTGCCCAACGGCCAGACGCGCGACTACCTGGCCAAGCCTGAGTCGTGGAAGACCGAGCTGCCGGATGGCGAGGTGCAGGCATCGAGACAGCAAGTGCCGCTCATCCTGGCATGGGCCATGTCGATCCACAAGTCGCAGGGCCAGACGCTACCTTGCTGCAAGATCAACCTCAATCGGGTGTTCGAGAAGGGTCAGGCGTACGTCGCGCTGTCGCGAGCTACGTCGTTGGAGGGGCTGCAGGTGCTCGGGTTCAAAGCGGACAAGGTGATGGCCCATCCGAGGGTCATTCAGTGGAGTCGGTCGTTGATCACGATGAGCGAGTGATTGCACGACCCACTCGGCGACGACGACATTATCCACATCAGCATTCGACATTGTAAGATATCAGCATTCACATTGGCTATGGAGAGTAAACGTCGGAGCACGAAGGACGTGACCATCGCGCTACGACTGCGCACACCGTAAACGACGACAGATCCGAGCCTGCAAAGACGCAAGTCTAGGAGAGTTGAGTCGATAAGCGCCAGCAACGAGCAGTGCCGTCTCGTCAAGAAGACGCCGCGAAATTGAGCGAGCGGGCGGTCAAAACGTGACTCGCTAGAAGAAATGCCTCTCCGAAAAATTGGGAAAAAGCAGCGCAGCAGGCGGCGCAATCCAAAAACAAGATGGCGAGCGATAGATAGCCGCCGGCGAGCTTTTCTTCCTCAGAGCCGGCTTCCCCCCCGCCCTCCCCTTCCTTTCCCACCATCAACGATCACACCGTCGTCAGAACATCCTGCTCGGTGTATCGACACTACATCATCACCTCACAATGACAACCAACGGCGCCCCGACGGCGCTCCCCACGCCCTCCCTATCCACCCGCGCCCTGCACGCGGACCACCCGGACCACACGACGCACCCGAACTACCCTGTCGCCCCCGCCCTCAGCCTATCCACCACCTTCCGATCCCCCCACCCTCACTCCTCGGATGCAGCCCTGCTCGAATCAGCCATGCGTGGCGAGGCGTCGCTCGATATGCAGGACCCCTCCTTCCACATCTACTCGCGCTACTCCTCGTCGACCAACCTCCGCGCTGAGAAGGTGCTTTCGCAGATCATGGGCGCCCATGCGCTCACCTACAGCTCCGGGCTTAGTGCGAGCTATGCTGCGCTGACCTTCTACGCTCCTCGTGTTGTCGCCATTCGCCGCGGCTACCACGGCGTGCATGTTGGGCTGGACGTCTATTCCCGCGGTCGAGAGGTCAAAGTCATCGATCTCGACGACGACTACTCCGCCGCTATGGAGGGTATCGACCCCACCTCCACCGGCAAAGGCGGACTGCTAGTGTGGGTGGAAACCCCCCTCAACCCGTCCGGCGAAGCCCGCGATCTGTCCAAATACGTCCGTCTCGCCCAGGCCGTCAACGCCCCTGTCGTAGTCGATAGCACCTTCGCCCCTCCCCCCCTGCAAGACCCCTTCACCCAGGGAGCGGATATGGTCATGCACTCGGGCACCAAGTACTTCGGCGGTCACTCGGACCTCCTCTGTGGTGTGCTTGCGGTGAAGGACAAGAAGTCGTGGGATGGGTTGTGGAGCGATCGAACGTATTTGGGTAGTACGCTGGGGAGTATGGAGAGCTACCTGTTGTTGCGGAGTTTGCGAACGTTGACTGTTCGGGTGGCGAAGCAGAGTGCGACCGCAACGGAGTTGGCGAAGTGGCTGCACTCGCTCACGCTTCCAGACGGACCCGTGGAGGAGGAGGACGAGGCGTGGGGGAAGGGCAAGGTGGTGGGTCGAACAACACATTCCTCGCTCCAACCGCGCACCCCGGAACCTGGATCGAAAGAAGATCCCTCCTTCGATCCATCCACCCAAATGCCAGGAGGTCACGCTCCTACCTTCGCGTTCCGAACCACCAACCCAGCGTACGCAACGTGGATCCCCCACCTCACAGAGTACTTTACGCCAGCAACCAGTCTCGGCGGCGTAGAGAGCCTCTTGGAGCACCGGGTCAAGAGCGATGCCAAGGAGGATCCGAGGGTGGTGCGCGTCAGTGTGGGGCTGGAGGACGTAGGGGATCTCAAGGCGGATCTGCGTGGGGCGTTTGGGAGGGTGTTGCAGATGGAGAAGGAGGGCAAGCTCAAGTGATGCTGCGCTGAACATTTGTCGAAACGGTCAATGGAAAACTGCAATGCCTGTGAGCGCGTGTCGTCAGGGATGCAACACGCGGCTCGCATCCCTCTCAAGCGACTCACCCACCAATTCATCCGACACGCTCTCAATCAACCCAGTCACCCACTCACACTCTCCGACGTCGATGCTGTGTATGTATCCATTCAAACCCATAAACAAGTGATCTATACGCTGCCCCTGTGAGCACTAAGATAAGCACCCAAGTTCCCATACTGCTGTTGCTGAGCACCATACGGGAGTCTTGGATCGCCCTGTTCAGCCGTGGCGTACTGCACCGGAGTCGCGTTGGCATGCATGCCCTCAGCCTGAGCAACATAAAACGGACCCTGGGGGGCGGACATGCTATACCCCCTCAGATGGGCGAGACTCTGACCCATCGTCGGCAACACTCCTCCCTCAGTCGATCCTCCAGTACTCGCATAATTTCCACTGTTCCCACTGAACGAGGCCCTCGACTCAGCCGCAGCTGTCGTTCCGGGGCGGGAACGTCGTTGTTCATCCTCCTTCTTCTGCTTTCGCCATGCTTTGCGCATGTCTTTGAACTCGCTTGGTGCGCGCTTTGGGCCGTGCTTCTGCATCGCCACGTGTGCATTCAAGTGGTTGAGGGTGCCGTAGCTCTTTGTGCACCCAGGCCAGGAGCAGGGGTAGAGACGCTCGATCTCGTCGTATCGCCTGCGAGGGCGTTTCTTGCTTGAGCCGGCATGGTAGCCGTTGCCGAAGTAGTGGCTGCCATATCCCTGGGGGGCGAGGTTGAGGTCTTCGCCACCCGGGACCATGTAGGAGAAGACTTTGCCGGCGGAGGGGTCCGGCATCGACATGCGACGGTTGGCGTAGTACGGATCGACACTGCTCCCGGCATACGAGGTGGAGGTGTACGGTCGCGAGGACGAGGTCGGGGTGAGCGAGGGGTTGTCCGGCGACTCATGCGTGCTGCTGGGTGCAACCATGCCAAACTGGCCGAACATGCCATCGGCTGTGTGCGGGCGCGCGGAGCCAGAGGCATTCTCCCACGCTGCTAGGCCGTGCACGCGAGGCGGCGCAGGCGCAGTGGGGGCAGCGTTCTCGTAGCGTTCAGCATACGAAGTAGTGTCCATCGAGGGGCCGGAGATGGACGCGCGGTGCTGGAAGTATTGCGACACGCCCGGGTGGGTGCCAAAGCCCTGGTACTCGTTGTGCTCGTTGTAGTGCGCTTGGTGAGTGGGGTGGCCCTGATAGACGCTGGCCGCGGTGGCACTCTTGGGCGCGTAGGGCGCTTGGAAGGTCGAGGCGGTGTCGTTGGGACTGTGGGGCTCCATCTTGAGGTCACGCGTGCTGGCTTGATTCCAGCTCTGCTCGTGGAGCGACGGAGACGTTGTGCCGCTTTGGAGGGCGGGCGAGGAGGTGGCAAAAGGCGCAGTGAGCGCAGACACCTGGTGGAGCGAGGGCGTCTCAAAGTGATAGTTGTTGCCTGCACTCATGGCCGGCGAAGACTCACAGGTCGAGTCGGTGGAGGAGGCAAAGGCGTTGCTGTCGACGCTGCTGGTGATGACTGCTGAGTCGAGGCCCAATGACGTGACGACGTGGGTAGTTGCCAAGGAGGAAAGACCTAAGTGGTTGAGGTCAGTGCCCGAATGGAGGTGGGTGAAGTGCGTGGCACCCGTCTTTGGCTTCGAGTCGAGGTCGAGCGAGGTGGTGGCGGAAGAGGACAGGGAAAGGAGGTCCGACGAGGGCCAGAGAAGGGGTGGGTGGGCGGCGCTTGGCTGGCTTTTGAGAGGGGTGGGCTCGAACTGGACGCGCTTGAGCGATAACTGTGCCGGCGCGGATGGGAGCTGGGAATGAAGCATCCGGGCGAACAGAGCGTAGAGACCAAGAACAGGCGACGAGGACGGCTCTACGGGGAGGGCCACGAGGTCGAATGTGTCTAAGTAGCGCTCTAGGCAGGTGCTTGGGGAAAGAGAAAGGGGCGCTAAAAAGGTGCCGTTATATCAGCCGTGGTCCTGAGCTGACGATCGATGAACAGGCGACTTGTGCGTGTGCGTGTGTGTGTATGTGTGACGTGATAAAAGAGATAGAAGAGGAAGACCGAAGTCACGTCGATGTTGCCGAAAGTGGGTTGAGCGGCTGTGAGAGAAGGGCTTGTTGAGATCGCTGACGTCTGCCGCCGGAGGTACGATTTGAAGATGGCTCGCGTGGTGGCACCGGCTCAACGGTATGATGAGAGCCGAGTTCAAGTACGGTGGCGATCCGAGCAAGCGGGCGAGCGCGAGGAAGAGGCGCTGGTGGACAGCTTCGAGCTGATTTGTTCGCTCGAGCCTCGAGGCGGGAGCTTATGCGTGAGTGGAGAAACGTGGAGTGGGAGAGACAAGCCGTCCAGTAGGTCCGAGCTGAGCGTCGACAGTAGTCTGAGATGAGGTGGTCTAAATCGCAGCCGTGAACAGGGGGCTCGTGAAGGACCAAGCACTGCCGAGTGACAGCTGAGAGTGATTGGCCGCGGGAGAGATAGAGAGATGGAAGGGGAGATCGGAGCGTCGTGCAGCTTGATGGAGGTGGGGGGGAAGAGAGATGCAGATCTGGTGGGTTGATGCTTGTCGAAGCAAGAGGATGGGTGAGGGAGAGGACGCTTGGGAGAAGGAGGAGGAGAAGGGGCCTCCGACTTTATCAAGAAATCAAGTGTCAACTACAATAGGGCGGGTGAACATGACAGCAGCCAAGGGCGACACCGGAAACGGGGCGCCGAGTGTGATGGGGTGAGCGGAAGGCAACCACGGTGTTGCTGCAGGCGGAGGTTGAACGCTACGAAGCGAGCAGCGCTATGCATGCCCTGTATGAGTCGAAGATCTGTTGTTGATGATGATCAAGACGGACAATGGCCGTCGAGGGTCCAGGGAGAGGCCGTGCGGCGATATACGGCTGCGAAAGCGAGACACACTGGTCAAGATCTGGCTCGACACTGTCCAAGGACTCTGTGGGTTTGGCAGCGATGCTGTACGGCCAATTTCGCGGCTACGGCCAACATCCTGCGGCTCAGAAGATGCAGGCTAGCTAGTCAGTGTCAGCAGCAAAGACGAGAGAGAGAGAGAGAGGACGACCAGGCGATCTATCATTGAGACAGCGACAACGCAGCCGAGTGAGACCTGGGCTATCCCACCCTTGAGCAATCGACCCCCGGCAGCAGCAACATCCAGGCGAGCCGAGAGGGAGAGCGAGAGCACGGAGGCAAGAGAGAGTGGCGAAGACTGAGACAGAGACGGTCGCCAGAGCGCATCATGAGCATGACCCGAAGCGCGTTCTGATTGCCGAGTGGGAGGTGCATGGAAGCTGAGCACAGTTCAACAGCGCATGTGCGATTTATGCAGTAAAGGTGGGCAAACGATGCAGAGCGTGAGAACCGACAAAAGGCGTAGCGCAGAGATAAGTTGGGCAGCTGGCCAACCGAGCTCTCTGACCCTTTCCTTCGGCTGCAAGGTCTTTTTAGGCAGGAAAATGCAACAAGACCGCAAGAGCCGAAGAGTGCTTGCTGCACGTACTACCGTTGCCCTCTCCTTTCGACTCGCTGGTCAGCTCTGCCGCGTGCTTACCTGTGAGCAAGCATGCATGGGTCCGCCTGGACTCGGTCACACCAGACAAAGGACGAGATCGCGCTGCAGCCATGGACGTGCTTGTGCGGTCGTGGTTCAGATCCAGGCGGCTCACAGCATCCAAAGTGGGATGCTAAGCGAGCCCCAGCTCGGGCAAAGCAGAGTAGGGTCGAAGTCAGCACGGCACAGCGCAGTCTGCCGCGGCAATGATCGGCCTCTTGCTGGCTGAGCACGCAACCAGCTCACCGAGACCAGCAGCGCTCCCATTCAGTCGGATCTGATCCGCACCCTGTCATCTGACGCGATGGCTGGATTGTGAAGGACGTGAGGGTGATTGCTGTGACGAGCGCGAATGATGGGAAAGCGGCTGCTGAATTATGGTATTTTGCTTTTTGTGGCTGAGCCGCAGCCGACGGAAAGGTTGGAAGAGGCACTTTGCCAGTCTCCAGCGAGGCGGTTGAGTTCTGTCTTTATTTTTTATTTTTTCTTTCTCTGAAAATCCCTAACAGATCCGCAGAATTCGCCTGCTCTTCTAGAAGCCACTTCGGGGCTGCAAAAGAGGACACAACTGGCAGTGTATGCGGGGAGGGTGCAGCAAACCGCTCAACCAGCCAGTTTGTCTGCGTCTCCGACCTGCTGCTTGATCTCCGACCATCGAGTGCTGGGGTATGACAGTGGCGCATCATGCCCGATACAGTGTTACCAAGTCGAGCTTGACCCCGGCCATTCCGACGTGGCGTACTTTGAAAGGTTGTCATCGCGTCGGCAACCGCCCGTAGGCTTGAGCAGCGATGCCGGCTCTGATTGGATGTGGCGAACGAGTAGCTTCGGCTCGAGCGACGTTCGAGGCCTCAACGACGGCTCCATACTGCGTGAAGCGGATCGGCCTTCGAGTTGACCATCCAGCGAACGTGTTGGTCATCCGAATCACGCCTTCGTTCGATCAGGTATAAGCAGGCGAGGGCGAGAGAACGGCAAGCGAGCGTGACGCGCACACTCCGCCCAAAGTGGATGAGCGTGACACAGTCAGACGCTGGTACGCATGAACTGCCAAAACGGAGGGGGAAGCTGGCTTTCCCTCTCCCTCTGGTTTTCGCGACTGGCTCGCTTATTCTCCGAAGCGAGAGCCCTTTGGCTCGCCTGTAGCTTGCGACAGAGGCCTCGACTTTCCTTAGATGCGCCTGCCTTTCCCGGTCGCTTGATCTTCATCCACCAACCATAGCAGCGATCCGTCGCTACATGATCTACGTCGCCAGTGACAGCTCAGACGATATCGGCTGATGCAGCTCGACGGATGCTGAATCAGCTCATCGGAATGCAAATGCCGCGTCGGTTCTGCGCTTCTGCGCTTCCCACAGCGATAAGATCCAGTCGACCGGAGGCAAGTGGCTGAAAGCTGTGGGTGATGGGATGGGTGGGGTTCGGATGTGGCGTCTGAGCATCCACCAAATCTCACGGTCTCCTTGTTCTGCCTCCCCTTTTTTTCCCAAGCCATGATCGGGCCTGATTCATTCGTTTCAATGCGTGTCAATCCAGCAGCAGGCGACAACGAAACCTTGATTCTCTGCTTTGTGGCTTGCCTCGTCGGTTCACCCGTGCGATCGACGATCGACGTCCCGTGATCGTGGAAGAGGGGATGGGAGTGTCTCGCAGCAGTGTGGCTGATTGATTGCGACCGCGTTTAATGCGATGGAGGAGGCAGCAGCACCACGCAGCCGAGCCCAGCTCGATGCGGTCTCTGCATTGGCAGCATTATCAGATCACCTCAAATCGCAGTGACAGAGTGCACGAGTAGCTTTCGCCTTGTCACCTTGGCGTCGCCCTATCCGGATCTCGATTCAGCTCGCTTGGCGACAGCCGATTCATCGCTCCATCTCCTGCCCACCTCGGCCAAGACATAGATGAGTCTAACGAAAGCGTTTCCAGCATCTTGGATCCCCTGTCAGTCACCCAAGACGCAGAGACCTTTTTTTTGGATTCCCGCACTGAGGTCGGGGTTTGAACGCTGATCACGTTGTCATGGGCGTAACACGAATGCCGGAGCCTCTCGATCGACATGTGGTCTGATCGAGCGGCGCAAATCGGTGCGCCACTTTGTGTTCAACTCAGCAGCGTCGAAAAGGCGAAAAGGCGAACGCCGAGGACGCATCATGGTCAATTCTAGAAGAGCATGACGATCCAGCCGCCAGCGGAGCGCGAATCAGTGCCGTAGACAGCTCGACCGGGCTCGACACAACACCATTAGACCACCCTCCTGCCCTCGGCCCATCCTTCACCAGTGAGGCATAGCTTCAAACGCAATCTCGGAGCCTTTTTTCTAGTCGGACTCACAGGTGCTGCCGACCATGGCAACGTCACACCAACTCGATCGCGTCCGTCCGAATTGAGGCTGGCGGGGTCCGATTTGGCAGCCGAAGCACTTATCCGAGTCAGTTGATAAGGCTTTTCTTTCCTGCTCAACCGGCTCATGTGCGGTTCAGAGGGCGACGATCCCTTTCACACTCCTCTTTTCTTTCCAACAAGACCCTGACGAGCTCGATACCTGTCGATCGTAATTTCGGCATCGACGGGTGAACCTCAGATGCGCCAAGCACAACGCGAAGCGCCGGTCAGCTGCAAGTGCCGTTTGACACTGCAGCGGGCGTTTGGGCGATTGCGTATGAACCGGCCGTGCAAATCCGATTGCGGGGTCTGTCCAGCTCCAGCGCCTTTCGCCACACGTATCGCGCTGAGCAATCGTTGCTCGATAAGTGGCTTGCTAGGGCGCAATCAGGCCAGCCAACGTCGAGAACATCCCCTCGCACATCAGTGTAACAATGGCAACGCGTCCGACAAGCCGCCTGCTAACTGGATCTCCTGCCAACTGCACCCAGATCGCTAAGCATCTGTGAGAGGAACGTTTGAGATCCAGGAGCCTCCGTTCCAGCTGATCTGCATAATCTCGCAATGCCACTAAACTTAGTCTATCGTGAGTCTTGATCAGCAAACAATGCCGTTATCTCGCCAGTACGTAACGTGACCGTGTACGTAACGCGTATCCAAGCACGTCTTGCGATCTATTTCTAGCAGCCGGCCAAGGTCTAGGCCTCCGAATGAGCCCCAGCTCGGCCTTGCGGTGAGCAGCCACCCCGGCTAATACAACCGAGTCGAGCTCGCTTGGATGCTCATCGTGTTTGGCGAGCTCACCAACACCCGCCGGAATTTGCACAGACGATGCGGAATTCATCTGCTTTCCTCTCGCACGTGTTCTCGAAGAGACCCCCTTATCGGCGATCCTGTTGTCGATGTTGTGTCAAGTGATGATCCCATTGCAACGGTGACTAGCTGGAAAGACCTTTGCGATACAGGCCGTTTGTTAGAGGTGACCAGGCTCGAGGACGCAGAGCGGATACCCTTGCGGCACCGCAAAGTCGGGCGACGAGAGCCTTCGTCGCTTTGGTTCGTCGTTCGAGAGAGATGGTGCTACTTTGCGGCTCGAGGCGCGCTTGGCTCAATGTGGCATCGTGACAGTGGATGCACTGGGCTGAAGGAGGTCAGTAGGGTCGCGAGGCTGGGACTTACCGTGAGTCTTGAGCAGAGCGACTGCTGGGCATTTTGGACAATTGTTGACCTTTAATGCAGTGTCCTGTCGCTTGTGAACAGGACGGGTATCCGAATGAAGTTGGATGTTGGATCGAGTCGATGGAAGTATCAAAAGAATGAGAGCTTGTTCCTCGAGAAGCGGCTCGAGACTGGCCAGGAGGAGGCTGGGAGTGTATAGCGAAGGGCCATGCTTGGCATCCTAGGGGCAATGAAGCATTGATGGCGAAATGCCACCGCCGGAGGTGCCAGTGCCAAGGGATCGACGGCATTGGATGTGTTGTGCGTGACGCAGGATCGAAGGAGACAAGCCGGTTGCAGAGATAATTCTGTCCGCAACTGCGGCGACCGTGATGCTGTGACTTGATCCTGTGCATCAATCCACCTTGACGCGCTTGTTCTCTGCCTCGTAATCGTCCTGCTCGTATTCGGCGTTGTCGTCCTCGTCTTCCAGGCCGCGCTTGCGGTGCGCGCCCGTTTGATATAGGGACGACGTCGTCGATGCGGGAGAGGCAGCGCCGAGGGGAGCTTCGCTCGGCTCTTCAATGTACTCGACGATCTGGTCTTCGCCTTCTTCCCCTGAAGACGATGAAACGAGAGTGAAAGGGAGACGAGTTGGGTCAGTGGACAGCCTCGTGGAGCTTGGACTCGACCGTACATCCAACATACCTTGCCATTGGCGCTCTTGCTCAGCGGCCTCATCGGCATAGGCGGTAAGAGGTTCCTGAACAGAGTGCGTGGCAGCAACGTCGTGTGTGACGCTTTGATCCGGTTCCGCCAGCTGGTCTTCCTCGGCTTCGCTGCTGTCGTTGACGGTTGTGTAGAAGGTTTGTTCGGCGTCTTGGCCGTTGATCTGTGCCTCGTCGACGTATTCCTCTTCCTCCTCCTCTGCGTATTCCTCTTCGTACTCCTGCCCTTCCCCTTCCTCCTCCTCATCAAGAGCTTCCTCGTCTTCTTCTGCCCACTCTTCCTCTGCCTCCTCCTCTTCTCCTTCGTCATCTTCCTCCGCATCTTCGCCTTCGTATCCCTGTACTTGCGCCACCGCGGGATCATGCGAAAGCGCAACCGACGCTTCCGTCTCTGACGCAAGGGCTACTGCACCGTCTGTGGCTGCTGTTGTGGGATCCTGGTCGTGCTCCTCCGCCTCTTGTTGGATGTGTTCTTCCTCCGCCTGATGCCCGTCTTCTTCTTCCTCCCGCTCGCCTTCAAGCTGATCCACCGCCTCTTCGTCGTCTTCCTCTTCTGGATGCGTCGCATGGCTCTCATGCGCTTCGCCAACATGGTTTGCGTTGACCTGTTCCGATGCTTCGTTGACCGATCGCAATGGCAGAGAAGCTGAAACACTGCTGTCTGATGCCAGATCCCCAGCTGGTACTGTGGCACTGCCCCGGACGTCGCTCCTGGAAGCCTCTGCGACGCTAAGCTTTGTATCAGCTTCCGCATGCGAAATAATGCCGTTGCCGCTCGCTTGCTCCGCTGCAGCCGCAGCCTCATGAGCAGCTTGCAAGCCATTCGTCTCGTGCGCAGCGTCGTTGACAAGCGGATTCGCTGTCTTCCTTGAATGACTTTGAGGTCGAGCCGAGTTGGCTGCCTCCTCTTCGTCGTCGCTGCTGTGCTGCAGCTCGTTTCCGATGAGGCTCGCAACGTGTTGGGCCAGCTCGTTGTACTTGGTGATGAACCGCGGACGTTCCGAGACCTGGATATGCAGACTCGTCGGGAGACCCAATCCGTAATGCAGCTGCAGCAGATCGTCGAGGGTGAGTTCGCGGCAGTAGAGATTGTCTTCTGCGACGTCTAGCTCGAGATCTGGAAAGGCAATGTGCAGTTCGTGCGACTCGTCGAGGAACTCGCCAAGAGCGCTCTTTTGCCTGAGACCAGCGAAGAGGCTGTCGAGCGGCTGCTGGAGAACGTCTTTGGACACATCGAGCGCTGGCGCCTCGATCTGCACCACTTCTTCTAAATCGTCGCTCGGGTCGACCGCATCGACCGCGACAGCGGACGCGAGGAAGGACGGAATGTCGGCTGCCGACCACATGACAAAGTCTTGACCATGGAACGAGATCCGTACCGCTGCATCCTGTACATCCTCTGTATCGTACTGCGCGTACGTGTCAAGCCCTGACAAGTCTCCGTTCTCGTTCTCCTCGCCATTTGGCTGCACCTCGCCTCCACTGACAGGCTGATCCTCTTGGTGCGGATATGTCGCAGAGGCGGCCCCGTTCTGCGAGATGGAGCTGTCTTCCTCAGGATGCAGCTCGTCCACTTCTTCTTCTGCTTCTTCTGCGTGCTCCATGCTGACGAGCTGATCCGCACCCTTGGTCGCTGTGTCGGGTCCCATCGCGTTGCTGCTGGTTCTGGCGTGTGTATCCGCGCTCGTCGCTGCCTTTTGCAGAGCTTGAACGGCGTCAAAGTCCAATTTTTCAGTGCCCGCAATTGCAATCGGGTCTTTTGTCGGCGCCGCGAGGACATCGACGATCTCTTCCGTCTCGATCGGAGCAAGTGGCGCGTCCAAAGCTGGTGTATGCGCCTGTGTCTGTTGTTGGCTGGCGGGATCGTAGAAGTCGACATCAATTCCACTCTTGTCGGTTGCCTCGGAGCGCAGATTGACCTCGGACATGGCCATGCCTTCGCTGTTCAGCTCGTCCATCGCCTCCTCGGCGCTCGGATGGAAGCCAGCCAATGCCGCCTGCGGCTCCATCTCGTAGTCGAGATTGGAATCGTCGTCCATCGTTGATGCGGTCCAGGGCTACTGCTTGCACTGCTGTAGCGAATGCAGCACCGCAGATGGCAATGGAGTCGGGCCTCAGATATCGTTGAGTGGCGCTATGCTTGCTTTGGGATTGCGACAAGCGGGTCGAGAGGCAAGCGTGGATGGATGAGGAGGAGGAAGAAAGAAGAGGCTGGACGTGCGCGTGCGTGAAGCGCGTTGCGAAATTCCAAAATGCGCAGCAGCAGCTTCCCAAAAAAAAGCAGTCACGCTTGCCATCACGCTTTCTCACACACCATCGACCGCTCATACTGTATCAACCACGTTTACTCAAAATCAGGAATCAGCATTGAACGCGGATCTACTTTTACACATGGAAGTCATCGATCAAGCTGAAACGATCAGACTGGCCGCGCCCATCCCGGAACCGACACACATCGAGGTGACGATGAGCTTTTTGCCGCCCTGGCGCTTGGCCTCAGCGAGGGCAGTGGCGATCTGTCGTGCGCCCGTGGCTCCGAGAGGGTGACCCATGGCGATCGCACCACCATTGGGGTTGACCTTTTTCTTGTCAATGCCGACGTGCTCGACCGAGAAGAGCGCCTGCGAAGCGAAGGCCTCGTTGATCTCGTAGATGTCAATGTCGTCCTTGTTGAGGCCGGTGAGCTCAAAGAGACGGGGGATGGCGTAGGCGGGACCAACACCCATGATGTTGGGGGGCACACCGACGACGGCGCAGGTGACAAACTTGCCAATGATGGGCAGACCGTGCTTCTTGGCAGCGCTGCGGCGAGCGAGGAGGACGGAGGCGGCACCGTCACTGACCTGCGAAGCGTTACCGGCGTGGGTGAAGCCGTCCTTGGCAAAGGCGGGCTTGAGCTTGGAGAGCGACTCGACGGTGACACCCTCACGGATTCCGTCGTCGGCGTCAATGCTGCGCTCGTTGCCGTCGTCGTCAGTGTACTTGACGGTGACAATCTCGCTCTTGAAGTTGCCGGCCTTCTGGGCAGCGGCGGCCTTGGCGAACGACTCGGCGGCGAAGGTGTCCTGCTTCTTTCGGTCGATGTTGTACTTCTTGGCGACGTTCTCGGAAGTGATACCCATGGGCATGAGGCAGTCGGAGGCCTCGTCGTTCTCCATGACGGCGTCGGACATCTTGGCAGGCATGACACCGGCACCGTAGTTGAGGGTCATGGACTCGACACCCGAGCCAATGCCAATGTCGATCTGACCGAGGGCGATCTGGTTGGCGATCTGGTTGACGGCAGCGAGACCCGACGAGCACTGACGGTTCAAGCTGTTGCAGCCTGCAGTGTTGGGGATTCCGGCCCAGAGAGCGCCCATGCGGACCTGAGTGGCGCCACCGCCGGGAGCGAGGACGGTGCCGACGGCGACATCCTGGATGAGCTTGGGGTCGATCTTGGACTCGGCGATGACACCCTTGAGGGTCCAGCCGAGCATCTCCTCGGGGGCACACTGCGAGAGACCGCCCTTCTTGCCCTTGGTGATGGCAGTTCGGAGGGCCGAGACAATGACGACTGCGGAGGGGAGATTGCAAAGCAGAATGGAGAGCAACAAAGGCGGAGAGGTGCGAGAGTGTCAGCTGTCATTGATCTTGCATTGAGACGCATACGTTCCGACTGTGTGATGCTGGATGGACACACGAGAGCGCCACCACCATCCCGGAAGCAGGGTTGACCCGGTTCAGGTCTTCCTTCTCCTACTTACCATCGTCATCGTGCTCGGCGAGGATGTTCTTCTTTCCGTGACGCTGCTCGATAGCGGACATCTTGAATAATATGTTCCGAGTGTGGAGTGAAGAGGGGATTTGAGTGTGTGAGAGAGAGAAGGGATGGTGGGAGAGCAACAGGAAGAAAGCAGCTCTGGCTCAGCTCTCTTTATGAGCCAAACGTGAGTGCGGGGCAGGCAGGCAGGCACAACTAGGACCGGCCCAAGGCAAGCTGCTCGATCCGGCAAAGCGGAGAAAGTGCAAGAGAGAGCGCTGAGCTGGCCGAAATTTTCTCGAGCGTGCCGGAGACGTTGGCTGAGTGGAGACGCAGGCATGCACAGGCCGGGGCAGCGTGAAGTCGAGTGAGTGAGTGCGCGAGACTGTGCGGTGATGGCTGGAAAGTTCCAAAGCCACGCAAGCACCAGCATCGTCCATCGAAACACAGGCAATGTGCCTAAGTAGTGGAGGAATTCGGGTGAATGTGAAAGCCCGGCCCAGCACAGACGCCGTGTCCGGCCAGGAGAGGCCGATTTGGACGTAAAATCAACCGCCTAGCTGAGTCCCAATCGGGGTTGCCCCGAATCAAGATTCAAGATATTAATACTACACAATGTGAGATCGCTTTGTTGCAGCTGAGCAACGCGAGACGCTGCTCTTAGCTCGACAAGCCACTGCAGCCCCTTGCTCTTCGCACCCTGACGATGAAGGGTCCGCAAGCAACGCAATGTGACTCCAGCAGGACCGTCTGAGAGCACCATCAAGTACGACTATGAGCGCGGCACTGGCACGTGAACAAGAGCGTGAATTCAGATACGACACGCAAACACATGCAAAGGAAGAGTTATCGTGGTACCAGATAGCATTCAGCGTGAAACTATGAGGACCATTATGGCAAGACTAGAAGTACAAAGGGAGAAAGAAAGCCACGACAAAAAAAGGGAAGACCAGGGCTAGCTACCAGCAACATGAGAGCGCATATCGGCGATCAAAAGGAGGTGAGGAGGATGAGGTTAGGAGGATGGAGGAGAGAGCCAAAGGCACACCGCTTAGGTGCGCTCACCGCGGAGTCGGCGGGCAAGGGCAATGTCCTTGGGCTGGATGGTGACACGCTTGGCGTGGATGGCAGCCAGGTTGGTGTCCTCGAAGAGCGAGACGAGGTAGGCCTCAGCGGACTCCTGAAGAGCCATGACGGCGCTCGACTGGAAGCGGAGGTCGGTCTTGAAGTCCTGAGCGATCTCACGGACGAGACGCTGGAAGGGGAGCTTTCGGATGAGGAGCTCAGTCGACTTCTGGTAACGACGGATCTCACGGAGAGCGACGGTACCGGGGCGGTAACGGTGAGGCTTCTTGACACCACCGGCCGAGGGGGCCGACTTGCGGGCAGCCTTGGTGGCGAGCTGCTTACGGGGGGCCTATTGTTATGGAAGCGATACAAACGAGCAAACGAGTCAGATTGCTGTGACTGATGATGATGAGCACGACGAGCGTGTAGGAGATCACTTACCTTGCCACCGGTGGACTTTCGGGCGGTCTGCTTGGTACGAGCCATTGTGATAGATGGAGAGATGAACTAGTACGGGAAGTACGAGAGGGAGATAGTGTTGGATGAGGGAAGAAAGTCTGAGGGATGGATCGGTTGGAGGTGGATCCTTATGTATGATTTGAGGAGGAAGCGGAGCGAGGGCGCCGAGTCGAGACGTTGCAGTGTGCGGTGGAGAACGCAAAGAGACCAGCTGCGCAGCACAGCGCAGCACAGCAATCACCCAGCCGACGTTCAGCCCCACCGACCGTGACGATGATGCAGCACAACGCCGTTTAGCGAGCGGAGCATGAGCGTGCTTGTTGCTTGTCAAAAGAAAGCTCGGGATTGCAGCGTGAGTGAGCAAGGTGGGCTGGCTGGCTCAGCAGCGCAGCAGCAGCAGCACAACGTCGGGCGCAGATCAACGCCGTGGTCCAGTGAGCAGAGCGGAGAAAATGGCCGGCTCAGATCCGATTTTAAAAAATAATATGCAGGGTCGCATGGAATCAATACAGGGCAGCAGAGCGCGCTATGTCATCGAATCGCGTGGCCAATTTGACGAGTAAATTGCGCATTTCTTTTTCCAGTTCTCGGTCTCCTGTTCCCCTTCCGCGTCGAGCACCGAGAAAAAAAGACGGGCAGGGATCACACGTAGAACAGCGCGACGTGATGTCCTGTCTCTGAACCTCGTTTCTCTACCGCCGGTTCTGAGCTCGACACTCGTTCCATCCAGCAGGAAGTGGTTCTCCTTCAGAGACCCAGTCGCTGGTCCTTCTCAGACAACCTTTGCTATCACAGACTGCCCAACACAGATCAACATGACTCAACAATGATTGGCTTAACGAGAAGGATTGGCCAAAGTGATGACCGACACACCGCTGAGCTGATTGTGCATTGGCGTAGAAAGAGTCATGCTACCTATCGGCTGAGGAGGGCGTCGATCCAACTTCAGCCCGTGATTTGCTCGCAGCAGCGATCCGCGTCCAGCCTCTAGACAACGGTCCGAGGTTTATTTGCGGGCGCGTTCACGACCAAGAACCATCATCGTGAAGATTGATTCGAGCACGGAGTTTTTTCTTGGTGATGTTCATGGCCGGGGTCCTTTGTTTTCGCCCTGGCGCGTGTCGAGTCTGACAGCAATACAAAATTGAATTGAATCTGGCCTGCAGAGGGAATGTTGTATTGGATTTGGAGTCGCGTGTCTTGTGGAATGGACTTGCAGATTCAGGTGCAGCGACCCGGCATAGAGGCAGGGTCGTGAGCGGAGTAAATGTTGTTAAACTCATCTCAGCGCTGAGGCCCGGGAACTCGAGAAGGATGAGCGCATCAGCCCAGACCCACAACATCGGCAAGCCATCTGTCGCCAGCACCTGATTTTCCGTGCAGGCAGGCTCAGCGAGACAACCCAGAGCTGCCCGTCCGCCCGCCTTTTTCCACTCTGCTGTTCGGCTGCGCCTGATTTTGCGTTCTGCATGATGCGCCCGCCCGCTCTTTCTGACCCGACCGACGCTCGACTGAGCCCTGAATCAAAGTGGATCCACACACTGTGCGCGCGCACTGGGTAATTGCTCAGCATAGAGTCCACACAGCACACCGCACCCCTAGCACTCACACGTCAAGCCTTTGCCGATCTGAGCACGACCCCCCGAATCCGACCCTTTTCATACAAATACAGACCACCGAGCCGGCGTAATTCCCCTTTCCTTTCCTCATCAACCATCTCAACACAACTCTCTCTCCTCCACCACCCCCCACCAACAACACATTTATCAACATGTCTGGACGAGGAAAAGGCGGCAAGGGTCTCGGCAAGGGTGGTGCTAAGCGTCACCGCAAGGTAAGTCTTCGACCTTCACTGCGCATCGGCTCTGCTATCTGCAACGGCCAGCGCCACCGATACCGTCACCACATCGACACAGGTCACTGACTCGATCCTGCTCTTTCCTCTTTGCTTTTCCTCCATAGATCTTGCGAGACAACATCCAGGGTATCACTAAGCCCGCTATCCGACGTCTCGCGCGTCGTGGTGGTGTCAAGCGTATCTCGGGCCTGATCTACGACGAAACCCGCGGTGTTCTCAAGCTCTTCCTCGAGTCGGTCATCCGCGACTCGGTCACCTACACTGAGCACGCCAAGCGCAAGACCGTCACCTCGCTCGACGTTGTCTACGCTCTCAAGCGCCAGGGCCGCACCCTTTACGGTTTCGGTGCCTAAACGGTGGTCTCTCCCCATCCCACCACCTCATTTTGCTGCTTCCCTGTCTCGTTTCTGGCGCTGCCCTCTGTACTTCTAGCATTTCCGATATGCCTCTCTTGTTGCGGCGATCCATCTTTGTGATGCCTGCCAGCCCATGGTAATTTCGACCTTTTTACACCCTGTAGCTCTTCTCTCGTGTTTGTGCATGTGCGATGCAATTGCTTTGAGTCTCTCTCGCCTTTTGGCTCAGTTCTCAAGTCATCTTCTTTGTACATCCTGAGACCGCTTGATCTCAGCTAGCAAAGATCTCGCTTGCGCCAGAGACGATGGTGTTGCCCCTTGTGGGTTTCTCGTGCGTGACTTGTGATTCTGGCGAGCGTTCCGACCCAGCGGTATCGCCTTTCCGGCGGCCTGACATCTCAACCTTCTCAGACTCTCGCCGAGACGTTTCGTGTTTGCGCATGGCAGTCTGCCTCGTAATAGTCTTTGTGAACAACGACTTTGACTGCGTCTTGTCGCTCACGAACGACTTGAAGAGCAATGCAGAGCGTACATAGCTGCTGGCAAAAGAAACCATGCCCGCTCGAAAGTTCTGCTCATTGCCAGCCAGGAAGCTTACGACATACGAGGCGCAACGACGCTTCTTCCTCAACAAGTCAACCGAGTAGGGTTCGTTCTACGATGTACCACGTCCCTCGAGGATGGATTCGATATGAGATGGAGGATGGCACCGACAGGAGTTGATCCGGCGGTCAGATGTAACACTCCGTCGAGTCAGGATCTACTGTGTGTGTCCAATACATCAAGCAGCCGGGGCCTTGCCCTTTGTCGTCCAGTTCCAATCGAGATAGGCGCTGGCTCCATTCAAGCCCGACCTGCTCCTGGCTGAGAATTCTATATCATGCACAAGCGGATCCCCATCGGAAGACTCGTCAGTAGACAGAATCATGACTGACACTCCAGGCTAGCTCTCGAGGCAGCGGTGATCGTCCATGCAAATATGACACCGGAAGCGAAGGCGGGGGGGCCGGATGAACGAGAGTGGCGGTGCAGCTCTGATTTTGGACGCGGCTTCTTGGCTCCCAGCTCAGCTGAGTTGAATCGCAGCCAAGCATTTTTTTGGTACGTCACCTCCAGTCAAGAAAACAACATCACTCTCCAAAGGAAAGAAAAACTGAGCCAATCTCAGGATCTTTTTTCGTGCAATTCGACGCTCATCTCGCACTACACCCTCTCAAGCCTGGTCATGACACCTAGCAGAAGGGAATGTACTGAGGCAACGCTGGCGGCATCAGTATCGACAATACGGGGACGGACAGCCACGGACTGCTTGTTTGACTAACGTACGGTGACTGCGAATCGAAGATTCGGCTGCCCGACACCGGCGCGCTGCCAAGACCCTTCTTCTCTCCACGAGGGTTCCTTTGGCTTGGCATCGCTCGAGACCCTGGCAAGCACATACACACTCTCCTTCCCCTCTTTCCGCTACCGATCTTGGCTACGACCGGCACAGCCTTTGCAACTGCATCCCTGCATCGTCTAGCGCTGACGTAAATCGTCCACCAACGAAGCCACTCCGCCGTCCGCTAGGTGGAATCATGCGATTTGGATAGCCTTACTTTCTCCGCGGCCCAAAAAGGGTCCTTCTTCGTCACTGCAAAGAGCATCCTTTGGACCTTGATCAGGAGCAGACACTTGAATTCGTCCATCCACTCGACGTTCTTTCGACTCCACCACTTCCATCCAAGCCCCACACGGTACACTCTTAGCTCGCAGCAAGTCCATCATCTACAAAAGCTCGTCCATATGTCGCACACGACGCACGCTCTCGTTGCGCATCGATGGCTCGCAGCGCTGCTGCTGGCTGTACTCCTCGCCACCACACCCATCACAGCAAGGAGTCGTCGCAGCGGCCCGCTCCAGCGCATAGCAAGGTCGACCAACGTCCAAATAGACAAAATTGCTCCGCGGTCATCCCCCCTGAAAGGCAGCGCACATCTACAAACAAGATCCACACCATCGCAGCCGCCCCTTCGACTCAGCTTCCGTGCCTTTCAACAGGAGTTCTTCTTGCATCTTCAACCCAACGAGCACATCTTGCATCCGGAGGGTACCCTCGTCAAATACTACGGCCTCAACGAGACCACCGGTCAGAGCTACGTCCGCTCCACCGAGACGCTCTATCCAGGCGACGTTCCCGCCTATCACGGAGTCGTCGTCCATTCTTCGCACTCTGCCCGACGTCTCGAAGAGGACCGCGCCGGCGCTTTCCGCGACATCTACCAGGACCGCGACCTCGGCGTTGTCGGTCGAGCCGCCATCATGTTGCACGACGACGGCTCCGTCTCGGGCGCTCCTTCCTTCTCGGGAAGCTTCGATTGGTTCGGCAACGTCCACCACATCAACACACCCAAGAGCTATCTCGCCAAGCGTCAAACCGGTGATCCTCAGCTCGAGCCTCGTTCCGCACAGCATGGCTCCATGGTCGTCCACCGCGACTCGGACATCACTCTCGAGGCCAGGGACGACACTGTCTTCTCCAACGTCACCGCATCGCTAGGCTGCAGCTCCGATGTGCTCGATTTCAACAGCCACAATCGACTCGTGCTCAGTCAGGACACCAACGATGCCTCCAGCCGCTCGGTATACTCCTTCTTCAAGCTGCCCACCCCAGCTCGTCTCTCCCGCCGCGATCTCTTCTCTGGCTGGAACGACCTCTTCACCCGCTCGCTGCAAGACGACGTGGTGATCGAGACGCCACAGGCCGAACCGGACGCCTTTGTCTACCGCGAGGATCTGGACGACTACCTCGAGCCCACCTTCCGCAAGAGGCAGGCCACGGGCAACGACATTGGGAACGGCAACAACTCGACCAACAGCTTTGAGAATGTCATTGGCAATACGGCCGGCTGCCCCAACAGCGCTCGCGTCGTCTATGCCGGCGTGGCTGCCGACTGCGCCTACACCGAACGTATCGGCACGCAGGACGACACCCGTCGCGAGATCCTCGACAACATGAACTCGGTCTCGAACCTGTACCGATCCACGTTCAACGTCTCGATCGGCGTGGTCGAGCTCGACGTCCGCTCGTCGAGCTGCCCCTCCTCCGCCTCGCAGGATGCTCCCTGGAACCTCGGCTGCGGCACCATCACCATCGACGAGCGCCTCAGCGACTTTTCGCAGTGGCGATCGCAGCAGCCTGGCAACGGCATCGGCCTGTGGCATCTCATGACCGCCTGCAACTCGGGCAGCGAGATTGGTGTCGCTTGGCTCGGCACCGTCTGCATGACCGACGCTTCCAGCAGCGGTGGCCAGACGGTCAGTGGCACGGGCGTCAGCTCGCTCACCTCGCAGCAATGGCAGGTCATGGCGCACGAGATGGGCCACAACTTTGGTGCGATTCACGACTGCACCACCGGATGCACCAGCAACTCGAACTACGCGGTCCAGAACGGCGGTGCGCCCTGCTGCCCCAGCTCGGCCACCACGTGCGACGCCAACGCACAGTACATCATGAACCCTTCGTCGCGCTCCAACATTCAGAACTTCAGCCCATGCTCGATCGGCAACATCTGCTCGTTGCTTGGACAGGGCCTCGACACGTCGTGCGTCCAAGCACCGGGCCAGCGTAGTACGCTCAGCACGCAGCAGTGCGGCAACGGGATCCTGGAGCCCGGCGAGGAGTGCGATGCTGGACCCAACGGTTCGCAGTGCTGCACCTCGCAATGCCGGCTGACTTCGGGCGCACAATGTGACCCTGCCACCAGCGCCTGCTGCTCCAACTCGTGTACGTTTGCGGCCTCGACGCAGCAGTGCCGTCCCTCGGTCGACGACCGCTGCGACACGGCCGAGTTCTGCACGGGCACTTCCGCGGAGTGCCCGGCGGACACGACCAAGGACGATGGCAGCTCGTGTGGCAGCGGTCTCACCTGTGCGAATGGCTACTGCACCTCGCGCGACCTGCAATGCCAGCAGGCCTCGACAGGCTCGCTTCGGTTCCGATCGGCGTGCTCGGCCTCGAACGCCAACTCGTGCCAGCTGACGTGCCAGAGCCCCAACTCGATCAACCAGTGTCTCATCCTGCAGCAACCCTTCATCGATGGCACCAGCTGCGGTTACGGTGGTCGATGCGAGAATGGCGAGTGCAAGTCGGGCAGCTGGCAGAATACGTTCCGCAGCCTGTACAACGACAACCTGCGCATCGCTATTCCCGTCACCATCGTGGTTGGCATCATCGTCTTGCTCATCCTGCTTGCCATTGTGCGTCGATGCTGCTGCGCGGGAGGACGACGACAGCGATCGTCTAACAAGGCTTCCGGTAGTCGACGACCTTTCCGCAGGTCGAATGGCAATGGCGCCCTTCCAGCACAGCAGACGGCCTACTCTACGCCTCCGATGCCACCTCCGCAACACCCCATGCGCCAAGGTTACCCAAGCTATCCGGCGGCCTCGCAACAGCCCAATGGTTGGGTCGACCCTTCTGCGTACAACGGTCCCAACAGGTATTGAGAGGCATCGACGCCATCTTTGCCCATCTCCTCTTCGCTTTCTTCGACCCTCGGACAATCTCTCTCACTCATAGAACGTTATTCCATCTTTGTTTCGGCTCATCCAGCAATCTCTTCTAGTCTCTTGTCATTCTTACATTCATGCAATGCACAAACTCGCTTCGTAACGTCACTCAGACCTATCTCGCGACTAGAAAACCCGGACTTGCTCCGCCCTGCGAAGGAGTACCTTATAGCGTCACTTGAAAGCTGCAGCCATAAGTGAGGTGAAAATCTGACATGGGCTGCCGGGCTGCAGCGGGTGAGAGGAAGACCCTGGGAGCTGATGAGGCTCGGGAAGCTGGAACGTGCTCATGCAGCAGAGCACGGTCCTGGCAGATTTTTTTTTCCTTTTATAATATAATTAATTCAACAGCAGCACAACAGGGCAGCGCAGCGTGTGGGCAGTCGAAGAGGATTCTGCGAAAAAGGGCTGAGCAAAAACAGCGTCGTGACGCCTTTTTTGCCAATTTGTGTTTCTGATTGGACATCTCGTCGCCATCACCCCACTCGCTCGCTCGCTGGCCTTGCTTCTTTCTCTTCTCTACCAACTCACAACGCAAACCTGCCGGTCGACCTACAAGCCCACACACATACGATCTCTTTGGCGTCGACCGTGCACACAAGCGTTCCGTCACCGACACAGCGCGTGTCTGTCTCTCGGAAGACCATCTTTACACGACCCGCACCGCCACGCTGCGCTTAGATATCGCGCTGTCACATGAGTGACTTCTCGGGGCCGATACATTCCTGACACGCCCGCAACCTGGCATCGCAAAACCTGTCTCGCGACCATCATCCCAGCTACACATCGTGTCGGTCTTTGCAGCTTCTACTGGCAATCCGGCGCGGCTCCTCTGAGCGTCCGTCGCATCGACTTCGATCGACCCGCGAACCATGCACTCGAACAGTCCATACAACCCTTCCGCAGCATCGCCACCAGGGCCGCCTTCTTCGCAGTCGTCCTCCGTGGGATCCTGCTACACGACCGAATCCTCGCAAGCCTCGTTCCGAGCGCGGCCAACGCTGTCCGATCCTTCGTCGAGCTCCACCAGTCCAGCCAGTGCATACGAACGACGATCTGCTGAGCACCCGCACGCACCTGCACACGTCAAGCCTTCGACTCCCTCGACCTTCGCTTCGGCTCAAAGACCAAGACAATTGTCGAGCGGCGTCTACACACTCGTCGAGAGCCAGCTTAGCCCGCCATCCGCCCCTGGTTTCACGAGCCCATCTGCGTTCGTCTCGCGTTCCTCTCCTCGAGGAGCCATGCAACCGCCATCGAGCGGCGCTCTCGCGACCAACGACCTGCCCTCTTTCCATCGTGCTGCTGGCCCATCCAACGGCTTTGCCAGCGATCCTTCGTCACACATTTCGTCCTCGTCTAAGACGGCACAGCACTCGGCCAGTCCAGACAGTCATCGCGGTCCTCTGCCCAAAGCGCGCAGAACCAGTCCCGGCGGATCCCGAGCCGCCTCTGGTCACCTCGAAGCTTCGTATGGCTCGGCGCAGTACGACCCGCATTCGCATTCCCATTCGAGCAGTTCCAGATCTGCAAGCGCAAGCAACGCCGCAGACGACGACCGTCAGATGTCTTCGACCTCGACCGCAATCCAACACACAGGTCATGCGGCCGGCCCAGCATGGTCCAACACCTCATCGTTCGCGAGGTCGCCCAATGCAGCTTCAGGTGCCAATGCGGGCGCAAGCTCCCATTCTCATTGGCCGCCATCCGATTCACAGCAAGTGCAAGCAAGCAATCACCCACACACCTCGTCTTCGAACATGCTGTCGCCCCGGACGCGAGTTGACGATGGCCAAGCTGATCCCTCGGCTGGTTCCGCCAAGGCTGCTTCACCTAGACACGACATGGCATCTTCCCAGCCCTCGCTGGGCCTGTCCACAGGCCAGAGCGCGGCAAGCAGGTCAAAAGCGCCGCAGCTCCAGCCACCATCGCTGCCCAAGATGGATCTCGCGACCTTTGCACCTCAGGAGCTGCTCAAGATCCTCGCGACCCTGCTGCATGAGATTGCAACCGCCAACGACGAGTTCCAGCCGGATGGCAGCAAGGATACCAGCAGCAGGAAAGGGAATCGCAGCCGAGACCGTTCAGCGCCAGCTACACCCGCCGAGTCGGCTCATTCCGCGGACGGATCGGCCCTGCGCGACTACTCTGCCCCTCCAGGCTCGCATCTGTCCTTCCAGGACGCGCGGCGTCCCTCGGTCACTACCGCCGCCTTGGGAGCGCTCGCGACGCCATCGAGCACGCTGTGCTTCCATGCTCGCAACGTTCCGAGCATCAGCATCGAGTCGTATCTGTTGCGCATCCTCAAGTACTGTCCGACGACCAACGAGGTGTTTCTGAGCTTGCTCGTCTACTTTGATCGCATGAGCAGGATGGGGACGGGCGCAAAGCCGGGCGCCAATGGTGAAGGCGAGGTTGCGGGCGAAGCAGCGGGTCTTCCTCGTGCCGTCGAATGCGCCACAGGCCAGCAGCACGACCTTCCAGGGGCTGAGTCCGGTCGACTGTCGGACGGTGGTTCCTCGTCTTTGTCGGCAAAGGAAGCGCAGCCTTACACGCATCCAGGCATTCGCGGATTCGCCATAGACAGCTACAACGTGCATCGCTTGGTGATTGCTGGCGTGACGGTGGCAAGCAAGTTCTTTAGCGATGTCTTCTACACCAACAGCCGATACGCCAAGGTCGGAGGCTTGCCCCCTCACGAGTTGAATCAGCTCGAGCTGCAATTTCTGCTGCTCAACGATTTCCGGCTGACGATCCCGCTCGAGGAGATGCAACGCTATGCCGATCAATTGCTCATGTACGCCAGCGGTCGACCGGAAATGGCCAAGCTCACAAAGCAAGTGAGCCCAGCCGGAACGCCCAGCCATGCCGCGCCCGGGAACAGCACCGCACCTGATGCAAGGACGGCGTCGGATCACCAGCACCACCAAGCAGCAGCAGCAAGCACGGCACAGAGTGCAATTGCAGGCCGTTCAGAGGCCGACGCAGAGGGGGACGTGCAGATGTCGGACGCTCAGGGGTAGGTGTACTTCCATTCAGAGGAGGTGCAAGTGGATTGAAAGGACGCGACCACATCGCTGCTGCCGCCGACGACGACGACAACAGAGGTGGTGATGACTAAGGTGTGACATTCCCTTTAGCGCCAATGACACACCACGCTTTCACATTCGACGATCAACCGCCTGCCATTCATGCAAACCCGCTCGCGTGCACGGACAGCGACCCTTGAGCCAAAGACGATGAGAGAAGGAGAGAGGAAGGGACGTTTCCTTGCGGGAGAACGCGCGTTCGATCTGCAGACAAACAAAGCGGGACGCTCTGCACAAGGTCTAGATCGCATCGGAGGACCCCTGAGCCATCCCGCCGTGTCGCCTTCGCTGCCATTGTTGAGCGCCTACACCCGACGGAAGCGAACGTCGCTCACTTTGTCGGGGCGCAGAAAATGCTCCCGCCTTGCAGCATAGGGCGGAAGCGACCTGCTTGTGAATTGAGGACGACCAGACAGAGATTTGCCATCGGACAATGGATCCGGGCCCATGTGGTCAGGCAAATTTGAAACCCCAAAAAGCACCTAAAAGAACAATGGCGACAGCATATGCAAGCGGCACCCACATGCACAAACACAAAATGGCGTCGCAGCCGTTGCCCCAAGTCCGCCATCTCGACGAGTCTTATTTGGCAATCTCACCGGATAGCACTGCTGCCGAATCGGCAAGGGCCGCTTAGCCGACCAATCAGGCGCTGTTGCTCATCGCCGGTTGTCCGTTTCCGAACATGCTGGCGCAGATGCCACGCGCATGAACGCGCTGTCATCGATGCCACATCCCTTAGCCGTGCTCGCTACGACCCTCTACCTGCTCGATCGTCGACGTCAAATTGTGCTGTTCGCGTCGCTGCCGCCGCCGCCTCATGAGCGCAGCATCGCCTGTCTTTGTTTCGCTCCTTCGGTTTCGGGTCTCTCTGCGACCCTTCCACTGGCCGGCCAGATCAGCCCCATTTTGCTCGGTCGGAAACGCATCATCACCCTAGGCGATTCGGTAGACAGTGGCCAGCGAACACAATGTCTGGCATGGACAGGGCAGTCTCGACCTTGACCGTGAACGTTGCTCAGCGCCTGAGGTGCGGATACTTGTCAGCAGCGATTGCGTGGCTCGACGGGCTCGTGCTCCGTCACGCTATGCACAAGCACAAACAATGGAGACGATCGGATCGGTCGCATTGTGCGCCATTGTCCTGCACCCAAGCTAAAATGGCTACGTCGCCGGTGACGCTGGACGCTTCCACATGCAGAACGCTAGAGCTCGGCTCCCCATCCCAGGTGGCGATCGCTACGGACCCACTGGCCCTACATGCATGGCCCTTTGCAAACAACGCGCATCGAGTTCAAGCTGGTACGCCTTCCAATGGTACTTCCACAAGCCCTGTGCTGATCTTGCCGAGTGCGGGTCGATACTGTAGCCGAGTTTCTACGAGAAGCTGCATCATTTGAACATCGCCTTCCCTCGTGCTCTCTCGCTTAGCCTGGTGGAGCCGTGGAAGGACAACGGACGCGTATTTGTGACGTTGGCTTTCGTACCGTACCGGATCTGGCTATCGTCGGTCTCTCCATGGAGCAAGGGACCCAGGATGACGGCGGACAAGATCTCTGCAATCTGTTCACGACTCGGTCGAATTCCGCCAATTTGCACGCTTCTTGACCCCTATTGGCCGTCAGCTGATCCAGCGTCAGCGCGCCACAAACACATGCGCACAGAACGAGGCGCAGCCCCTCAAAGCGCACAATAGGATCCCTCAGGCTGGGTCCGCCCACTCTTTCGGGACCGAGATTCCGATTGCGAGCCAGGAAAAGGTGTGACGTTTGTGCCACTGCCATCTGCATGCATTCGAGACTATGGTTCGTGCCGCCAAAGCTTCGGCGCTACCTAGTCTCTGATCCTTCGCGCAGGAAGACGTGAACCTGTTAAGCTTGTACCCAGGCGTGAAGTCAAGCTTCGGCAGCCTAAAGCATTGCTGTCTCTGCCGTTGCAGATGGCGTTCACTGCGTGGGTGCCGCATATTCCGGTCGCATGAAACTCCTCTATAGGCCGATCGTAACCTGATTTCTCCGAATGCGATCGCATCCATGCCATCCGCCGCACACAATGGAACCCTCTGCTTCCATCTGTCTCACAATGGCATCGACCCCTCCCATTCCGCCATTCCGCGGAAGCTGCTCTACCGACAAGGCGGACCATCTGCTCCGCCTGGGCTTTTATTCTGCCACAACGTGCCCTGGCGCGGTCTTCGCAGAGGACAAGACTTCATTTCACGGCAACTTATCGAGATCCCTTTGCGCGCCGAGGCCGTTCGTCTGCATGGAAAACGACCTCGACTGCGCGTCCCACCGAGCGTGCATGATGCACGACCCACGCCTCCCAGATCCAACAATGCTTTCGGGACGCAGCAATACAAGCCCAAGTCTGGTGTGCAATGATATCGCTCCCACTTTGTTCCGCCCACCTTTCAACTCGCAGCAACGCAAACAGCGCAGCCAGGAGCCGCTATCTCGCTCCATTCCTCCCGTCGACTTTGTCTTTCTTTCAAGTCACCGGTTGCGCTTTTCCGCTTTGAATACGTGGCACAAAGCGTTGATCCTTTGTGGCCATCCGACGCTCGTTCCTTTGTTCTACCTGCCAGCCTTGCTCTTGCTGCCATTTGCTTCGTGGTTGAACTCGTGCTGAAAGCATTGTTGCTAAGGCGATCTCCATTGTTCCTTGTCCCTGTGACAAGGGACTTTTTTGTCATGCCATCTTACCAGTTTGGCCATTCCCGTACCCCCTCTCACCAAGGTGAAAGCTTGTGGTTGGCACACTGCCCGACCCCTTTGTTCGGATGGCCTCTGCGTTCAACAAAGGGTCGATCCGTCGACCTTCCGAATGCGCAACAATGCGAGTTCGTAAAGCGTTTTGCGCCGCGTGCACACAGTGGCGCCTGCCTCGCCCATTGTTGGGCATCGAAGGCCCCTGCACCCGAGAACCTTGACAGCTCACAGCGTCCAGCCCCCTTTGCCTATGCCTCAACCCACTTTGGTCTCGTCGTCGCCATCTTTCTCACGGGTCCCTTGCTGCAGCAACAATGGAGGAAAGCGTTTGTCTCTCGACGCTTCGACGCTCGGACGTTCGAACGCTTTGACGTTGGGAAGGAGGGTGCATCGACTTCATTCGTCCACCAGTAGGACCCACCGTGTTCTGTGCTTCCGTCCGGTATCTCTGAGACAGTGGGGGTCCTTGCTTGCATGCGTGTTTCATATGGTCCCTCCTCCGCTTTCCTATAATACGGACGAGTCCTTTTGATGGCATCGTCCCTTTCTCTTTCTTCCTCTCTCTCACCGTTACCATTGCACCGCTCCTTTGTCACACTGTCGTTTCATCTGCGTAAAGATCGCTACTCGTCGTCATGCCAAACTCAAGTAGTTCCAGCGGCGTCACCACGCGATCGCAACATCGCGATCATGTCATGGTCGATCTCTTTGAGGGATGGTCGACCGATCCGCAGCCCAGCGATCGTAGCAGCAACAGCAGCAACAGCCTTCCAACACTACAAGACGAGCTCAATAGCGTCCACATCAAGCGTTCCGCTTCGCAACAAGACGCTGTCTGGTCCAGCATCGATGTTGCCCCTACCTTTGACTCGATCTCGTTCCCGAGAAAGGACACGTCGTTTGCCGTCTCGCTCTATACAGGCCAGAGCGACGACGCCAACCTAGAGCAGAAGCCTCTGCCGCCCTCGAAGCGTCCCGGCGTATCGCACGCCCGAAAGACGCCTCCCAACCACATCAAACGCCCGCGCAATGCCTACATCCTCTTCCGTTCGCACACCGTCTCGCAGAAGCTGATCCCCAAAGAGGTCGAGCACGATCATCGCAACATCAGCCGCATCATTGCGCACATGTGGAAGAGCCTCGCGCCCGAAGACCGCGCTTACTACGAGAAGATGGCCAAGGACGAAAAGGAGAGACACAAGCAGCTGTTTCCCGACTACCGCTACCAGCCCACCACGCGCCGCACCGAGGTGAGCAAGCGCAATGTCAAGAAGCTCGAGAATGGCGAAGAGGAGTGCCAGGAGATTGCCGACATCATTCTCAAGGCTCAGGGCAAGGACGGCGTCGTCGTCCGGAGTGGTCCCTCCAAGGGCGTGAAAAGGGCACGCGAGGCGACGCGTCGAGAATCGGCAGCGCCGCGCATCAAGCGAACCAAGGCGAGCAAGCCAAAGACGGTCAAGACAGGGGCTGGTGAGGCTTCGTCGGCACCCGAACAAATGCTCGAGACGGTCTTTTTGCAGCCGTCACTGTCGCACTCTCCCTCATCGACGTTCGCCAGTGGCAGCACCACCGGTCCGGCGCCGGCGCTCTCGCCAGAGCCGTTCCAACTCGCCTCGAACTCGCCGGCCGTCGAAGATGCGCCGGGCATTCCCTTGGCAGACCCTCTCCCCACTATTGCCGACATTTTCGGACGTCGTGCTTCGTCGCTCCCCGCTTTGCGACCACCATCCCCTCCGCCGTCGTTCATCCCGGCCACTCACGAATCGACCGCGGAGGTACACGCCACTGATCTGACCACGGACGTTCCGCAGGACCAATCGGGCTGCATGGACAACCTCATCATGCCCGCGCCTGCGTGGAAGGGACGCAAGACTCAGCCGTCGCCCATCCCCAACACGTGGCAGTACGCCTCGTACGACGATCAGGCGCTCCCCTCGCCGCGCTCGTTCAACAACAGCTTTGCCGCCGCCGGTCGATCCCGAACGGCCATGCCTTCGACGCCGAGCTCCGGCACGTTCCGCGGCTTCTTCCACCCCTGGGCATTCGAACATGGCGACTCGATGCTCATCTCGCCCGTCCACGCTTCCTTCCAAGATGGCAGGCGGCGCAGCTCTTTTGCACGCTCCGGGTCCGTGAGTCGACGACCAGGTTCGTTTGCCATGGAGGCTCCTCTGGGAGATCGGGCCGAGACGAACCTGTCGACGTCGGACGCGCAGCTGTTTGACGAGGCGGCGCGCGCGGCGGCCATCAGCCTCGAGTCGCAGGCGGTGGCGGACGACTACGATGCGCACGCCTTTGCCTTTGACCCTGCGTTGGAGAGTGAGAGTTGTGAACCGATGCGGTCGCACTATCCGCCGCATCCGCCACCGCCCGCCCTCGACTCGCCACGTCAAGCCGACAGTCCACGCACCTCGTTTTCAGGGAGCACGCTCGCCGCTGCCGCACGCGACTGGACGAGCATTCGTCGTCGTCGCAGCCGGCTCTCCACCCACGAGATCCCTCCTCCATCGGACAACGCACCCGTCACCTGTGGCGACCCCACACCGGTGCAAGGGGGACCCAAGTACTCGTCGCTGCAAGAATCCGTCGAACGAGCCGTCTCGCTTGCGCTGGGCAAGGACGGAGCCGCCGCCGGCGCAGACCGTGGCCAGATCGTCCAGCAGATCCTCTCCTCGCTCAACGCCGAACTCGCCCTCCCCCAGCAGAACGATCCGCTGCCCAACCGCCCCCGCGAACGCCGCAGCAATTCTTTCAGGAGCTCTCAGTACTATCCAGCCAGCACAGGCGCCGAGTGCAGACATAGCAAACCGTTGCCTTCTCCTCTTCAGCTCGTCATGTCCAACCACGAGATGAACGGCGAAACCTACTCTCACTACTAGTTTTTAATGTCAAGGTCTTGTTTATTGATTCGCTAATGCTTCTCTGGACGTATGCGTTTGTGATCTGTTTGTCAAAAGTTGTGCTACCGAGTCGATGACGAGCCTTTGTTGGCTTTGACATGTGCCAGACTTGACAGCAAGCGAGGCTGAGTCTGGTGAGGCTTAGCAGCTCTCGTGCCAAGTCAGCGGCAGGCTAAGCCCTCCGTGCATTTTGCGGTGAGCGAGCTCGAAAGGCGCGCAGAAATCCAGAGCTGTTAGGCCGCGCGTGTCATCATATCTGCCGGATCCAAAATTCAGTTAACAGGCAAAGTCACGTGCAGCTCGACCAGAACTGTAAAAATATTTGCAAGGCAGATGACAAGCGCCGCCGAAATTCGAGGCAGCAGAGCACGGCTCGCACCGTCAAGCTCACCGAGGCTCGTGAGGCACCAGGTCGGCAGCGAACACCGTCGAGTGCAGCCTGAGACTCTGAGTTGCAGCCAAGCAACAAGTCGGCAGGCACGCAGTCTAGAATCTCGATGTCTTCGCGATCCTCTTTGACTCCTTCATCCTTCAAGATCCCCATAGCATATTCTTCAAGAGTAAGTAGGCATATACATACGGCGTCATCATCGGTCTCGGCACGGCACGACATTGGTGGAACAGCAGGGCAGGACAGACAGCAACCACCGACCGAGGTTCGGAGTTGATCGCAGTTGGAGGTGAAGGAAGCTGGCACACTCGGACTCGACAAAGCAGATGGATGTTCAGAAAGATGCCGGGACCACATCAATTGCCGTAGCTGGGACAAGATGGTGACCGATACACACGTCGCAATGGCGTAGGATCCCAACACGAACATGAGACTTACCACACCCTTATGATCGACTCTATTCTACAATCACCACCCACCCTACTCGCCCGACCATCGCACGCGCATCGCATCGTTTCGCCCATCTCGCAGTGGTTCGCGGCCCCAAGCACCACCTTAAGCGCCTGACCGCTCCCTCCTCGTGGATGCTGGACAAGCTGTCCGGTACCTACGCCCCCCGTCCCTCCAACGGTCCCCACAAGCTCCGTGAGGCCCTTCCCCTGGTCGTAAGTATCTTCCAGCCATGCATAGGCATCTCAGCAGACGAAAGAGGAGCATCACGAAGCATCGCATCGCACACGACGTCGATATCAGGAATGGACCAGCTGCAGCAGAAAAGGAGGTTCAGGACGATACACCGCAGCATGGATCAGCAGGGACGTGGTGGACATTTGACCCGCAGCAGTAGTGACGCTGGCAAGTGCAGCAGATCGGTGGACAAGCAACAGGACAGGCATGATGCAACATCGACGGGACACCTGCTTGCAACATCACCGCTGCATTTGCGCTCACTGCACTCGCGTTATGAAGAACGGCTCAACGCACGACCGCAGCCGGAGAATCGCAGGATCATTCGAAAAATTGGCTATACTTTGACGCACGGCTGGACAGCGCGGGTTCAGACCCAGCAGGCGCCAATTCTTGGATCGACTCAGCTTCAGACTCGTTCCCGACGATAGCTTCGTGATGCTTCTCTTTCTTGCGACGCTTGCCGCAATTGTCTTGTCTCGCCTCGGCAACATCCCTTGCTGACCATCCCACTCCCTTCCTTCACGCAGATCCTCCTCCGCAACCGATTGAAGTACGCCCTCACCGGTCGCGAGGTCAACGCCATCACCGCCCAGCGTCTCATCAAGATCGACGGCAAGGTCCGCACCGACCCCACCTACCCCACCGGTTTCCAGGACGTCATCTCCATCGAGAAGTCCGGCGAGCACTTCCGCATCCTCTACGATGTCAAGGGTCGTTTCATCGTCCACCGCATCACTGCTGAGGAGGCCACCTACAAGCTCCTCAAGGTCAAGAAGGTGCAGCTCGGCGCTCGTGGTGTTCCCCACATCGTCACCCACGACGGCCGCACCATCCGATACCCCGACCCGGCCATCAAGGTCAACGACACTGTCCGCTTCGACATTGACTCGCAGAAGATTCTCGACTTCGTCGAGTTCGACACTGGCGCCACCGTCATGGTCACTGGTGGTCGTAACCAGGGCCGTGCCGGTGTCATTACCGGCAAGGAGCGCCACCTCGGCGGCTTCGACATTGTCCACATCCGCGACGTCCTCGGCCGCGACTTCTCCACCCGTCTCGGCAACGTTTTCGTCATCGGCACCGACGGCAAGCCCATGATCTCGATGCCCCGTGGCGGCGGTGTTGCGCTCACCATCACTGAGGAGCGTGACCAGCGCCGACGCCAGAAGGAGGCCCGCGGCCAGTAATTCGCCGGCCCCGCCAAACCTCCAACATCATCTTGTTACATTACGCATTTGCCCTCCATCACCCCAAAAATTGTTCATTAGCCACTCTCAATAGCTAAGCTGATTCGCCGCTGAGAAGTAGTGTTGTGTTCGGCTCTGTGTTGACCCGTCTCGCGTTGTGTGTGTGTGTGAAGCACGAGAGGTCCATGGCTACAGCCCGTCTCGCGTCTGTGAGGCCCGGCTGAGGTGGTCTAGCGGGGTCTGCGTTTCTCCGTGCTGTGTGGTCCGCTGTACGCAGCCTGACCATGCTTGTGAGTTAGCATCAGCAGCGAATTCGATGCTCAAGTCACGGAGACACAGCCAAATGTGGAAGCAGGGCCCGCAATCTGTGATTGTGTGGTCCACTGTCTGCCGGAAGCTTGTCTGTGAGGCAGCGCCAGCAGCGTCGTGGCACCTCTGCGGTCTGCGATTCTGTGCTGTTCGCTCGCTCGCTCGCTCGCTCGCTCGCCGCCGCAGACCTTGGCTGGCTCTGCCAAACCGGATTTGCTGGTTCAGGCAAACTTGTTTAGCAGACTCACTGCGCTACATTTCGCAAGTTCGGTGGATCACCTCCCACCCTGCTCGCAGTGACCTCGTCGCTCATGCACGCACGTCTTGCACACGCTGCTATGTAAAGTAGGAATACTGAATTTGACCTGCCTGCTTGCGACACCTGGTACTTTGAGCCGCTCTTTGAGACCCCCTGGAAGCCGTGCCTTCGAGGCTCCTTGCTCTTCTCCGAGTTCAGGATGTTGAACTGCGGAGTGACCCAGTGTAGGTTGGCGTCGGTGTCGTCGCGCGTGTTGTGGTTCGCGTGGTCGACATGCGTCCGGGCCGGGTGTGGGTGGCGGTTCTGACCTGCAACGATGCGAGAGACAGGGATGTCTGCTCAGCTTCTCCTTCGCATCTCCGCCGTGGAGCACCAGTGAGAGGCCACCGAGCAAGATGCGCTCGTTGCGGGTGTCGATTTTGAAGTCGGCGTCCCCTGCTTGTCGTTGCGGAGCAGGCAATAGGTGGTGACGCCGTCCTTTCGCTCGATGATGCGGCCCTTGACGGAGTAAACGCGGGCAGATGTCGATCTTGAAGTCCAGCGTCCCCTGCCAGTCGCTGCGAAAAGGGCGATAGGTGGTGACGCCGTCCTTTCGCTCGATGGTGCGTCCCCTGGCGGAGTGGACGCGGGGACGGGGGATGTCGAGAGGAGCCTCGCCGCAAAGGGACCCATCCGGCTGGAAGTCGGTGGGATGAGGCGGCGGAGGTGGAGAGGGGTTGCGCGCGGCTGGACGAGGCTCAGCATTGTCGGGCGCAGAGGGACGAGGCTGGGCGGAGTCGGAGGCTGCTGAAGGGAAGGGGGTTGGGTCGTGTCGGACCCGGCTGAAGAGGACTGGGGCGTGTTTGACCCAGCTGAACGGGGCGGAGGGGTGTCGGACATGATTGCGAATGATGTTTTCGAAAAGGTCGCTGACGGGTGTGGAAGGGGGTGGTGTTGATGGTAGTGAACGAACGACGATGCTTAGCCTACCATAAGTGCTGTCTGTATATGCCATTCCACGCACACGAGCATCACATTCTGTGCTGGTTCCTCACGACCATGTTTGTTTTGTATGAATCGCTGCGGTCGAGGTAGACGGCGATGAAACCACTAACGTTCCGGTGACAGCGTATCCGAGTGACTTCCAGACCGACGGTGCTCTGTGGGGCAAGCTGCCGCTCACCGTGCCTCATCCCCGTCCTTCCTGCCTGAAGATCCTCATCACAGGCCGCAGCAAAGGCGTTACGAAATACGATGTCTATACAAACAAGGACAGCGCGAACAAAGGCGAAGTGTTGCATGCCTTGATCGACACAAAGAACGAGCGTCTCCTTCTCGGCGGCCTCCATCCGACCAGCGACACTCCGGGCAAGGTGCGTCTCTACTCGTCCTCGACGGCCTTGGCCCGGATCGTTGCGCCGAGCTTCCCGTCCTCAGATCCTTCGCGTATCTTCGTCGATCATGCGAACAAAGACACGCTCAACGATACGGAGGACAACCTTCACTGGGTGACTCCCGAGTTCAATAGCTTCAACGCCTATCGCGTGGACTTGTAGCCTTGTAAGTAAAGCGGAACCTTCACAAGAGCTGTCACGCGTTGGGCGGATTGCGATCATGAAAGTGAATTAGTGCGAAAGAGAGAAGAATGCTACTTCGATGCAGAGAGGAGAAGCACCGAAGCGGCGGAAACACATGGCGTGTGCAGATCAAGGCATGGTATGTGGATCGTTCGACGCCTGGCAGCGTCCGCCGTGTCGAAAGGGGAAAGGAACGAAGTGATTGTCGTTTGAGGACGTGGTATCATCGTGTTGCTTGAGGGAAAGGATTCGGACCGCAAAACATCGCCTCGATCAGGCGGTGAGGGGCTCCTTGACGGAACGACCACCTCGGAACGAGCCGGCGCCGATGAATGCGACCAACGCAAGGATGATGACGAGCAGCCCCCACTCAATCCAAACGAACGCCTGGAGAGCCCTCGTCGAGCCGCAGTAGACGATGCGGTCCCTGCTGCAGGTCAAGGCACCTCCAGTTGCGTCGGTGAGGGAGCCGGCGCTCGCGGTGACGAAGATGAAAGTAAGGAACGTGGAGATGGCGTGACCGGCGATGGAGGTGAAGACGCCGCCCTTGTTGATGAGGAAGAGCACGGCGTAAGCGGTGCTGATCACGAAAGTCCACCAAGACGCTATGAGAGGAGAAAAGACAAGTCGGTACGATCAGTATGCTGTCAGGGTCGAACTTCTACGAACAAGAGGTCGTTGTACTTACCGAAGACGGTAAAGCGGGTGGCATTGTTAAGACTCGTGCTGGGGGGGTTGCCGTTGTTGTTGTAGTCGGTGACGATCGTTGAGGCAATGACAGCAGCGATGAAGCTGATGACCGCGAGGGTGATGAAGAGGATGGGGTGTGCCCTGCGGACAATGGCGGAAGTGTCGACCATGGTGTCTTTGCCGGATGGGTGTTGCTTGTTGCGAGGATAATAAGGGAATGACAGCAGCGATGATCTGTCTGCAAGAGCGTCGGGTATGATGGTGGGTGGTGAGTGCAGCAAGATCGTATGGCGAGGCTGGATATATATGAGTCGCTCGGAACTGAGACGGTGGAGATGACGCGCTGGATGAGGTGACGGGTAGATGACTGAGTGAGTGTCTGAGCCAAATTTGGACGTGAGAGAAAAGTCAGGTCATCTTCTGCGTCGCACCTGAGCTTTGCAAGCGGAAAAAAGGGCGCAGGCAGGGTGATGCAATCGAACCCACCATCTGGCGGTGCGGAGCTGACGTTTCGCTCGTGACGAAATCCTTTCGAGACAAGCAGCGATGCCGAGAGGCTTGTCCTTCCGTCATTCGCTCGAGCGAACCCATCTCAACACGCTTAGCCCAGCCTTTTGCGCCGCGGCTTGTCAGCAACGCGAGCTGACCGGAATCCGCCCTGCTCGTCATCGACCTGTGATACCCGCTCCCGACTCGTGGTCTTTTGTTCACATATGACCCTTGACCGTCTCAATCAGGCTTGACACATGGCTCATGAACGGGCCCATTAAGTATAAGCTTGCCCCGCTGCATCATAAGCTAGAACACTTCTTTTCTTCACACATCGCAGCACAAACAGACGCTTTAAAAGTCGGTGCACACGCTCAACCAGGAGCAAAGGAGCCATCTTTGTTCAAGTCCGCGGCTGCTAAAACCCGTCCCGGCCTGGTTCTCAAGGGGCTTCCGAAGCAGTAGAGACCCTCGGCGAGTCAAACAGGGGCCCAGATCCAGAGCGAGGCGGAGGCACGAGCGGTGTTTGTGAGAGGGACCATGTTGTTGACGCTAGCGTGCGGAGGCTCGACCCTCGTCTGCCGCATTTCGTCATCGATGTAGATCATCCAAATTTAGGCGAGCTGCACTGCCCAAGCGCCTCGACCCTTGTTTCTGTCCGGCCCGTGACGTTTCTGCTTTTAGCACTTGCCATTTTTCCGGACAAACCATGTTAGCTCTTTATTATTGACATCATCACGGCAATAAATGTGAAGCAATACCATCTTCTGATGCTCCCCTTTCTATTGCTTGCGAGACCGAGAAGTTCACCGAGCTCACACAGCAATCCGTTTCAAACATCTCCGACCTCATAGGGGCACAGCCAAGCGGAAAGAGAAGAGAGGTGGTAATGCAGATTGCATTAAAACAACACTGCGGGGGACACAGAAAAGAACGGGCCGAGACGAAACGCCGATCGGCTCTGATGGCGTCGAGGCACCTTACTTGGTCTCCTCGCGAAGGTGGGCTGTGACAACGAAACAAGCAGAGAATGAAAGTTCAGCGTCTTGAATGCAACGAGTAAAACTGCGTAAGGCGAAATACTTACTGATGAGGTCGTTGCGGTCCTTCTCCTTCTTGAGACCAGCGAAAGCCATCTGTGATCGTCAAAGAAGAGTTCTCATGTCAGTCAAAGGTCTTACGACGTCGTCAATAGCCTACAACATGTAAAAAATCACCTTTGTGCCCGGAATGTACTTCTTAGGGTTCTCGAGGTACTCGAAGAGAGTCTCCTCGTCCCAAGTGACGCCTGAAGAAGACGAATATGAGATGGTGGAAAAAATGGTCAGTGCGATGATCGCGACGACGGCTCTTATCGAAATTCAGCAAACTTACCCTTGTTGATGTTGGCCTGGGTGTACGAGAAACCTTCTACGCTACCCGTCTTACGACCGAAGAGACCGTGAAGGTTGGGGCCGACTGATGAAACGAAGAGCGGAAGAGAAGCAATGCAAGTGCGGGTCAGCAAGAGGTCGGAGGTGCGGAAGAGATGGTGTCGGGCTGCGCGCAACGCATGCGCGCATCGCTGGCGAGTGCGTGCGCAAGATCCTAGTCGAGTCCGTGTCATCCGTGTCGCCGTGATGGGCATCCAAGTCGAGGGGAAGACCTACCCTTGTTAGGCTCGCCGGCACCGAGGGTGTGGCACTGAGCGCAGCGGGTCTTGAAGAGACCAGCGCCCTTCTTGGCATCGCCGTCTTTGAAACCCATTGTGAATGATCGAAATGTGTGCGTTCGAAGAAGAACGGGTGGATGTCGATGAATGTGTTGGATGTGGTGGCGGGAGGAAGAGTATGGTGTTGACAGCACTCAAATATCGGAGAGGATCAATCCGGGAGGGTCCTTCTTTCAGCAAAAATTTGGGGGCAGCAGCAGGCGACCCGGTTCAGCTTACGAATGCACTTCCATTCACAGATCGGTGGGTTGACGATTCAAGGGCTTGCAGAACGCTTTGTTGTTCGACCCGACCATTCCGAGAGCCAATAGCAACGACTCGATTGAAATTCGCTTTGCTCATCCAACACCGCCATCTGCAACCGCGTTTTTTGTCCTACCTCGGCGCAAAACTAGAAGAATTTCCCGATCCGCATGAGTCAAAGGGAATTTCTTTCCTTCGAACTTTTCCCAGCGTCGCAGCATCGCAAGCTCGTCAGTCCGGTCCGCACCGCTGCTTGTCTGAAAGTGCTTTATCGTAAAGCACGCTTTATCGCGATGGAGCTCAAGTGTATCAGGTTCAGTCGCGGTCGTGTCCAACTTTGGACAAACCCATGTGATACGGGACAAGCCTCTATTCCAGCTCCGAGCAACGACCGATCCATACGGAGGCCTGTTACTTTTCTCCAAAGCCCGACGTCATCAGCAGTGGTGAAAAATCGATCCGGCGAAGCCCGACCCTTTCACGGCCGTGTCGCATCGGACGCCCCTCAATCGGGAGATTCGTATGAATTTGAGATCTCGATTCGCATGTAAGCCTGCAGATCAACTCAATCCACCCACACTCACACTATGTCTGGCACTGCTTCTCATTCCTTGATATAGACAGCGTTCAGTCAAAACGAGGTCCGGTGACTACCAGATGTTGCAACGGTCCTTAGGGGCGCTGGCCATCTTATCCTTTCCAGCCTTGCATCCGAATGCCTCGGCAAACTCGGGCATGTTGACCAGCACACCGTTGACCCGGTACCTCGTGGGACTGTGTGGGTCGGTACGAATGCGCTTGACCTGTTCGCTGGTTCGGATGTTTCGGGCCCAGCTGATGCCGTAAGAGATGAAGAACATCTGCTCCCGCGTGTATCCCAGACCTGGCAGCAAAGCGTTGGCCGCCTCAACGACCTCTCCACCAGAAGCCAACTCGTCCTTCCACGCCTTGAAGCTCTGTACGAGACCGCCAGCATCGGCGACGTCCTCACCCTTGGTAAAGTTGGATCGCAGGTGCAGCTCACCACCCTTGCCGTCCGAGACGGTGTACGAGTGGTACTGGTTGGTGAGGCAAGCCTGGCGCACCTGGAACTCCTGGGCGGTGGTCTCGGTCCACCAATCGCGCAGGTAGCCGTCCTTGTCGTAGAGTCGTCCATCGGGGTCAAAGGCGTGCGACAGCTCGTGTCCCGCAACAGCACCGAAGGCACCACGCTGCAGGTACGAAGGCCACGAGACGTGGAAGTAGGGCGGCTGCATGATGCCCGCGGGGAAGAGAATGTAGTTGCCTTGCGGCGAGTACTCCGCGTTGACCTCGGCGGGGAACATGTCCCACAGATCGCGGTTGAGCTTTCGTCCGACAGACGCCCAGTTGCGCTTTGACATGCGAGTGGATGACGCTAGTCGGTTGGAGAAGTAGTTGGAAGGGTCGACGGACAGATCGGCGTAGAAGTTGGCGACTGAGACGGCGTCGGTGGTGTTGGGGCTGGTGGGGTAGCCGACCATGACACGAATGGCGTCGGCCTTCTCCTCGGCCTTCTTGCGAGTCTTCTCGTCGAGCCAGTCGAGTTCAGGCAGGCGTGCCTTGAAGGCGGCGATGACTGAGTAGATGATCTCCTCGACTCGCTTCTTGCTGTCGCCCTTGAATGCTTCCTGCACAAAGTAGCGACCCGCCATGAAGCCAAGAGCAGCGTTGACGTCGTTGAGACAGACGGTCTCGCGGTTCTCCTTGGCGTCGGCATCGACACCCTTGGTGTAGCGATCGAGACGCTCGGCTGCGGCGCGCAACTTGACGTTGGGACCCAGAGCGGTGCCCAGCTCTCGAATGGCGGTCCAGATCAGGTAGGCTTCGAGGACCTCGGTCCTGGTGCGCGAAATGAGGGCGTCAAGAGAGGTGACAAACTTGGGGCTGCTGAGGATCAATCGCTCCGGAGTGCGGACGGTCAGGGCAGAGAAGTAGTCCTGCCAGTTGATGGATCCGAAGGTGTAAGGTAGCTTCGTAGCGTTGATGGGGTTGTACGAGGCGACGGGGTCGGTGATCTCCTCCGAGTCGGGGGTGATCTCGGCCAGCTGACGCTCGAGCTCGACGACCTCATCGGCAAGGGGAGCGAGAGGGGTACGTTGCTCCTCGTGATGCTTCTTGTCGCCCTTCTTGTCGCCCTTCTTGTCACCCTTCTTGCCCTTCTTCCCCTTCTTCTTGCTGACCTTCTGTTCTTTCCCGTGCTTGACTTCGTTGTCGTAGGCGCGCAATCCGTCCGAGACGACCTCTTTGTAGAAAGCCACCTCTTCCTTGTCGTCATAGTAGGCCTGGTCCGGGAAGCCAAGACCGGAAGGGAAGAACCAGGGAGTGGCAGCCGTAGGGTCCTTGACGGCATCCCCGTCGATGTTGATCTCGAAGAAAGCAGGAAGGCCTCGGCTGTGCGCCCAGGCGAGCGCCTCGGTGAGACCCTTCTGTCGCTCGCTGGAGGGAGGAGTAGGGCGAGGGCTCTCGTGGGGCAGGTGAGGCTTGGGCGAACGTCCGGGAGGCTGGTTGGGGGGCAAGGGCTTCTCTCCTTCATCCAGCGATCTCACGTGGAAGTAGGACTGGTGCGAAGAGGCGGGAGGGTTGCCCTCCTCGTACTTCCCGTGTTTGTGCGAGTGGAAGAGCGTGCGAATGTGGTCCAAGACATCGAGAAGCGGCTGAGCACCAAGCTTGTCCTGACCAGCGACATCAGTGCACGAGTCGTAGTAGCCCTTGAGCTTGGCAAGGTTGCGCTGATCCGCCTCGGTCTGCTCGTCGCCGAAAGTCATGGACTCGACGTCCTTGACGGAGGGAGCGTCGGCGATGATCTGTCGAATGATCTTTGAGTTCTCGCTGAGGACATACTGGCCCGTTCCAAAGAGACCAGCATCGGAGGGAATGGGATGCGATTTGAGCCAGTTGTTGGTGGTGAAAGCGTAAAAGTCGTCGCAGGGGTTGACGGTCTCGTCGATGGAGCGGAGCACCTCGCCGGCGGCGAGAACGCAGTCCTTGGTGGTGCAGATGTCACCCTCGGGCGGGTTGGAGTTCGGGTTGCCCGGACCAGGAGCAGGTGCAGGCGAGGCGGGGCGATGAGCAAGCTTGTGCTGGGAGCCTGCAAAGAGGCCGATGAAGATGGCGGCAAGGAGCAGAAGAGCGACTGAGAAGATCACGAGGAAGCGTTCGAGGGGACGCAGCTCGTCTGGCTTGGCGAGAGGGGCAAAGGTAGCCGAGACCTGGCGTTTAAAGCGACCCCAAACAGACTGGTCGGATGAAGCTTCGACATCGTTGTCTTCGCCGTGAAGCAGGGGACGATCTTCGTCATGATCGTCGGTCGAAGGACGACCATAGTCGCGGGTAGCCATGGTGAGCGACCAGCGAGACTACCTGAGCTCGAATGGGCGTTGCTACCGAGAGCGCTTGTTGGTTCTACGACAGAGGATCCAGCAACGTTGAGCTGGAGAGATGTCCTGCGGACGGTATGGTGTTAAGAAGGAAGGTAATGTTATCTGGGGTGCACGAGTTTTCTTGAAACCCGCACGAGCCCTCCCGTGAATTTGGTTCGCTTCGCAGGCTGTGGAGGCATCGGTTTTTTCTTTTGGTTTGTTAGTTTCACGGGTTTGACGGTCTCTCACCCCACCACCATCCTGCATGGATCACCTCAAGACGGGCGCAGTCGATCAGGCTCAAGCGAGGTGACAATATGCCTGAACCAGGACCCTCGGCTCCGAAGCTATCGTTCGGCCTGAAGCCGGCGTTGGCTCCTTCCTCGACAGCGCCCAGGCCAAGCATCAAAGCTTCCGCGGCAGCTTTCGATGTCGACACGGACTATGAGGGTGAGGATCACCAACAAGCTCCCAAAGCTTCTACATCAAGAGGCAAGTCAACGGGTCGAAGCATCGATCTCCGTGCTCTAGCTCCAGCCAAGTCAGCAGCACCGGCGACTCGTACGGAAAAGAAGAAGCTGCAGGAAGCTGAGCAGCTAGACGCCTCGATCTTCGATTACGACGGCGTCTACGATACCATCAAGGATGCCGAACGGAAGGTCAAGCAGGCGAGGACGGACGAAGATGCGATCAAGAAGCCAAAGTACGTCGACGGCATTCTCGAATCTGCCGAGCAGCGCAAACGCGATCGATTACGAGCCGAGGCGCGGACCATTCAGAAGCAGAGGCAGGCAGAAGGCGACGAGTTCGCCGACAAGGAGGCTTTCGTCACCAATGCGTACAAGGAACAGCAGGCGGAGCTAGCCAAAGCGGAAGAGCAACAGGAGGACTCACAGCAGCGCGCATCGAGCAAAGGCATGGGCTCTTTCTACCGTGACATGCTCAACGAGACCAACGCAGCAAGAGACGCCGCCATCGCCGCATCGCTAGCCAACCAGTCGTCCACGTCCAGTGCTCAAGACTCGCAGCAAGAAGCTCGAGAACGTACCGATGCGGACCTGGCGAGAGAAGCGAAGGAGAAGGGACTCGAGGTGGAGCTCAACGACGATAATCAGATCGTCGACAAGCGTTCGCTGCTGAGCAAAGGTCTCAATGTGGTTTCCAAGCGAAGCAAATCCGGTCGAGACGACCACCTGTCTTCTAGTGGGCACGACAGCCGCGAGTCGAGGAGAGAACGCGATCAGCGACGCCAAGAGGAGTACGAGGCGCGCATGAACCGGGACGCACAACGGTCACGCCAGAGCGCCGTGATCGAAGAACAGATGCTAGAGCTCGAACGCAAACGGGCGCTGGAAGAAGAGGAGGCGAATCGAAGAGAGAAGAGCAAGGTGGATGCGAAGCGAAACGACAGCGAGAGCATCTCGGCAGCCAAGCAGAGATATCTCGAACGCAAGAGGCAGCGTCTTGCCACTGGACAAGAATCTTGAGGCCGTTTGCAAGTTGGATCGCCGTAAAGCGTATGAGATCCATCGCTCCATCGCTCGAGACACGCCTCGCAGACGACAATATACCCATGAACGATTCGATGTATGCATGATCGTGTGTCGTATGTACAAGAAGCTGAGCAATCAGATGCAGTGCGGTCGATCGAGGCCCAGGCTAGTAGTCGTCGGTCTCGTTGAAGAAGCCCGAGTAGGTCAAGATGGTGCCGTAGACGAGTCCACCACCGGCGATGGACATCCAGCAGGCCGTTGGCGCGATGACACCGGAATGTGCGAGTGACAATGGCAGTGCGAAGCCGGAGACGATCATGAGACCCGTCATGAAGTTGCCAAAGTCCAAGAATCCGCTGTTGTAGTCGGCGGAGAAGTCATCCGCACCGGCACAGCGAGCGCAGAGGCTGTTGGGTAACGGTGTCATGACATAGATGAGCGCAACGAGGAGCGGAAGCCAGTTGGACCATAGTGCGCACGAGAGGATGATGAGCAAGAAGCCCAGCGCCAACACGAAGGAGAGCAGGATGATGGCTGAGGTGCGGCGAGAGGGGCAGGAACGGGATTCAAGGAGTCAGTCAACGCGTTCGGGGTGCCGATTGCTTCGAGAGCGCGGCAGAGAGGAGCAGTCCACCTATTCTGCCTTCTATGTATTATCCTTCACTCACTTTTGAGTCCGGCCGCCATTGTAGATGTATGGGCTCCGCGTCCGGCGAGATGCTGACCGGATGGATGGAAGGAGCTGCTGCGATTCAGCTGCCGTGCGGATGCTCGTTCTTTTGGCAACGTCCGCGACTACAGAGCTGAATATCGCTTTGTGGCGTATAGCTTTGCGGAAAGCGTTGATGATAGGACGGTGGATCGAGAGGATGGACGACAAGCACAGACATCGCTCACGATCCAGACCATGATACGGGTCCAAGAACGATGCACGCTCCAAGCTGCAGCTCAGCCTCGAATGTGGAGAGAGAGGGCGCAGCTACCGGCCGATTCCTTTCGTGATCGAATTCAACTTGATTTCAGAGGAAAAGGCGTGAATTAAGCTCAATTTTCCAACAAAAGGGGCAGCAGAGCGCGACGTGGAAGTCTGGCTCAGCGTGATTTTAAGCAGTTTTTTTTTTCGCTCTCAGGTGTGACTTTTGTGGAAAATGGCTCAGTCGACGGCTGAGCGTGCTGAGCAGCGTGTGACTTGAGCCAGCCACCACCACGGCTCGCGCTTTGATCTCCATCTCGAACGTCGACTCAGACACTTTCCAACATCATCTGCCTCAACCATCTACATTCCGTCCCGCTCTACTCATCCCGACCTTTCGTCATCTCACGACGCACATAGCATTCAACATTCGCCCTCGCTCTTCGATCCTAACGCCAGAGCAGTCTCAATCGAGTCCACCTACTCTTCGTAACGCGCTCGACCTTCATCCGTGCCAACGTCCCCCGCTCGCTAGCGCGTCCGTTCCGCTTTCCTCCTCCTATCAGCCCGGAGCGCCTTGCGCCGCCAGTCCCCATCATATCCGACATCACATACATTCCGCTCGATCGCTCACCGGTGCTCGAGCTATCCGTCTCGCTTCGAGCGGTTGCCAGCGTAGCTTTGCTCTGAAAGCGGCGATCTCATCATGGCGAAAAGGACAGCACCCACCTCCAGCACCACCGGTCCCGCGTTTCCGCCCCTCGGACTGGTGGTTGGGCCAGGTGCGCCAGCAGCTAGCTCCCTACACCATGGCTCGCATTCCTACTCCACCTCCAATAACGCATCCAGCTCTCCACCAGTAGAACCACAGCATACAGCCAACGGCCTGCCACCAGCGCCCAACAAATTTGATGTCAGCCAAGCTCAGCAGTGTCGACTACAAGATGCGTATTGGTCAGATGAAGAGGAGGATATGGATTGTCCGTTGTGCCTGGAAGAGATCGATCTTTCTGACGCCAACTTCAAGCCATGCCCATGCGGATACCAGATCTGTCGGTTCTGCTGGCATCACATCAAGCAGAACCTGAACGGTCGATGTCCCGCATGTCGTCGAAAGTACTCGGACCAGACGGTCGAGTTCAAGCCTATGACTGCAGAAGAGATCAAGCGACTCACCCAGGCCAAGAAGCAGAAGGAGAGGGAAAAGAAGGAGCTCGAGTCTATGAACCGCAAGCATCTCGCCAACATGCGTGTGGTGCAGAAGAACCTGGTCTACGTCGTTGGTCTCAGCTCCAAACTCGCCAAGGAGGAGCTCATCCCCACCCTCCGCAGCAACGAGTACTTTGGCCAGTACGGACGCATCTCCAAAATCCTCATCAGCAAACGAAACACAGCATCCAAGCTCGTCATGGGCACAACTGACACTGCTCTTGGCGTCTACGTCACGTACCACCGTAAGGAGGATGCGGCAAAGGCGATCGTGGCTATCGACGGCAGCAAGGGCAGCGACGGCAGGGTTGTCCGCGCGAGTTACGGCACCACAAAGTACTGCACCACCTACCTGCGCAATCTGCCATGCACCAACCCGGGCTGTACGTATCTGCACGAGCCAGGGGAAGAGGCCGACAGCTTCACAAAAGAGGATTTGTCGACATTGCGACATGCCGCCAAAGACACAGAGCACAAGATCAAGCCGGCCTCGCTGGGCATCACGCAGGCGCCCAAACGATCCGACTTCCTCGGCAGCGCCGATGTGGAATCGTCCGCTCTACCCAAGACAGCTTCCTGGGCATCTGGCAAGCTCATGTCCGCCGCATCCTCGCCCGCACCTGTTGCGGTGGGCAGTCCTTTCCGCGATTCCGACATGCCACCACTCTCAGCTAGCTCAGCGTCCGCACTCGCTCGCAAAGTCAGCTCACAGAAGCCATCGACACCCAAGGCGCAGAGGCAGGCCTCAACGACGTCCAAGTCGAAGCTCTCCCTGGCCACAGGACGACCCGAGTCACCCGCTATCCTGGGCACCGACTCACCAAGTCAGTCACAGCCGTCTTCGCCTGTCCTTGGCAGGGCGGCTGCCGTCTCGTCCGCGACGGATACACCTCGAAAGGACCAAGAGGCCGCTGCGATCCCTCCGCCGCCAGGTCTGGTCAAGCCGTCGTCTCCACCTGGCCTGGCAAGGTCCGCTTCAACGACCGACTCACGACCCGCTACCCCGCATACCGACATCGACCATCCATCGTCCAACTACCAGCCTTCTTCCAGTGCGCAAGCCTTGCTCGACGACATGCTGCAAAGACGAGAAGCTCAGCCTGAGCTTATCAAGCCCAGCCCTTTCCCCGACTTTGATGACGCCTTGTCCAGCTTCAAGGATGGCGACTTTTCGTTCAACTTGCCCGCCAACTCGCAGCTGCCCAGCAATGACGGGCCTTCCGAGCTCACCAGTGCCTTCACGACGTTCAATCCGTTCGGTGCGCCTCCCGGCATCTTGGCTGCTAGTCTCGCCACGGCTGGCACGCCTCCTCCCGGTATCGTTCGAGCACCCAACCGAAGCTCGACAGCTTCACCGGCTCCACTGAGCTACTCGGGCTCGTTCGATCCCTTTGCACCTGGCGCCGGGGAGACGATCAAGGAGGATGGCAGCTCGTTTGGAGAGAGCACGTACCCGGGCTCATTGAACCTGGCGGATCAAACGCGAAAGATGCTGGGACAGGACAACATCGTCGGCGGTGGCATGGGAGGACTGGTTCACGACGATGCGCTCGAGCCTGGACCGGATGCATCGAAGCGCGCATCTCGGTTCGACTTCGCAAAGCGAAAGGAGTCCGACTCGTTCCTCGGTGCCTCGCCCCTTCGCACAGAGATGATGCAGGGCTTTGGCGAGAGGGACGCCTTCGGCCCCGGAAAGGACGTGACGAGTCTGTTGGGCAGCGTCTTCGACCAGGACAGCTCTTCGAACCGACTGAATGGACTCGGAGACGGTGGAGCTGCTGCAGCAGCGTTTGGCTTGAACGGTCGCGAGACGGGCGGATTCCCCGGCATGGGACTGTCTCGACCTCCTCCTGGCATCGGCGGTCCTGGCTTCGGAGGCCGCTTCGGCACCAACACGCCCCCTCCAGGCATCTCGGCACCCGCCAGCCGTCAGCAGCAGGCATTGCTGGCTTCCTTGCACCAGCTCGGTGGCAACAATCTTGGAAGTGGATCCGACTCGCAACAGCAGCAACAGCACAGCCAGCTCGGCAACGGTGGCAGCGTCGGCTTCCTCACGGAGCTCCAGCAGCAAGCAGCCCAGCGAGCTCAGCAGCAAGCTCAGTTCGGCTCGGGCAGGGATGGTTCGGAAGGCAACCGACTGAACGGAAGCGGCAACGCCAGCTCTTCCGACCCGCTCTTGGCCCACTTGCTCGCCGGTCGTCGCCCCAACTACGGCTCTCAGTCTGGGTCGTCCGACCTGCCCTTTGGCGATCCGGCCATCATGTCGATGAGCCGAGCCCAGATCCAGGCCGCGCAGCAGCAACAGCAACAGCAGCAATTCAGCGGCAATCGATTCGGTGGTGGCATGGGCGGCTTCAGCGGCGGCTTCTCGCCCTTCGACCAGATTAGCAACGCCAATGCAGGCTTCGGCTCCGCGTCGCAGTTCGGCGATCACCAGCGCTTCATGCAACAGCAGCAGCAGCAGCAAGGTCAAGGTCAGGGCCAAGGATCGGCGTCACCTTACTCCAACATGTCCTGAGCTGAATGAGCCTACTTTTGTCCTCCTGATCCGTGTCCATTCGCAATACACTTGGTTTTGTGGTCTCTGCCTTTGTCGAGCGAGTCAGTCCAGTTTGTGATGTGGGTGAGAACACAGATGCCTGTGGTGAGAACGAGTGCTGACGTGCTCAGTGGACGCAGCGGGTGCGTGACGGGCGAAACAGGTTCGGCAGAGTCAGCAAACAAGATTGAGCGTGGTCAGCATACCTGCATTGGCGGGATCAGCCAACAAGATCCAGCGTGTGCGGTACAGGCGAGCCAGCTTTGGCGGGCCCAGCGAAATGGACTCAGCGGGCTCAGCCAGCCAGCGGAACAATGTTGGCAGGCCCAGCGAAACAGATGGAGCGGGGTCAGCGATTGGATTTGAGCGGCCCAGCGAAACAGACTCTTGTAGGCAGGGTCAGCGAAACAGGAAAAGCAGGGCTAGCGAGACAGACACAGCGGGCGGGCTTGCTTGGGCGGGCTCAGCGCAACGGCCGTGGCAGGGTCGGCGAAACAGCTCTGGCGGGACGCGCCAGCGAGCAGCGAGCTGTTTTGCTGAGCCTGTCATGGCCTTTACGCTGAGCGTCACTCGTCCACCCGACAAGCGCTGGCAGTCCTCATTCCCGCTTCCTGTGCAAGGCTGACCCACATCAGAAAGGGTCGATCATACGTCTGGCGGCTTGCGACCCTTGACGCCTCTGTCAATACTCCGACAGCAGAGAAAGTATCCTGTGGCGAGTTTGCGTGTCGCCGGTCCTCGTGTGCATCTTGTTGTGCAAAATTCCCATCACCACCTTGAGATACTTTGGCTTGCTCACAGTTGCTCAACTGTATTTGCTCTGAAGGCCATATAATGAAGGAGATGCATTAGGTTTGCCAAGCAGGCGGGATGTGTTTCCGCACCCGCAGTCCATCCCGCATCTCTTTGTTTGCAATTTGTCGCCATCGTCGACACAATCGAGAAGGCATATAATAGGCGTTCCTCCGTGCTACTGACCCTTCCCTCCCCCTTTCCCTCACATCCTCCGTCCCCTGCCTCTCGCCCCTATCCTCCCGCCCCCTTCCTCTCGTCCTCCGTCGACATGGCGCACAAAGACGCCCTTGCCATCAGCCGTCTTTTGGCAGTGCAGACGCCAGAGAACCTCGACCTCCTGATCGACATCGCGGGCGACCCCTCACGCCTCGGCTTCCTCGCCGACCACTTGCGCAGCCTTGCAGGTGACGGTCGAGCACCCGCATCAGCCCTCGTACCTTTGTCGTCTGGCAGCTCGGCCCGCGCGATTGCCCTCGCTCCTCAAGATGGACACGAGCACCAGCCTTTCCGCCAACTCGCCGCAAACTCGGACGGACCCATCTTCCTGGGAAGGACCGGCATCTCCGACGAAGACTACGTCAGTCCAGCCTTCTTCCGCACCGTCTGCGGCTCTGTCGACGAGCCAACCTATCTCAAGATGGTGTTGATGATCCTCAAGACGGACAAGCTGGACATCAGGATCGGCAACTCTTGGGCTCGTCGTCTGACGGTCGACATGGGCGATGGCGTCAGGACTGGCTTGGTGGCCGAAAAGGGCTCGGTTCTGTACGACTCCAAGGACTCGTACCCGGACGGAACCCTCATTGCTGCCGAAGACATCGAGGGATTCATCAAGCGTGGTGAGCAGAGTCTCTTCTTCGACAAGCAGGCCAAGGCGCTCCTGTTTCCCGACGAGATCCGTCCGCCCTGGCAGGTTGTGCAGGCCTGGCACAGTCTCATCGACCGGAAGCGCAAGCGCGCCAAGTTGATGATGGTCCCCGCACGGTACGTACTCAACTGCGACCCCTTCGCTTTCGCCCTGCGCTGGTTTACTGATCGTTCTGGCTCTTGCTTCACATTCACAGTCATGTTGATGCTTGAGCGACCGAGCATTCTATTTCCGCAATGTAAACCGAGTCTTTGTACATGCCTGAATCACGAACGACCTGAGCAGAGAGAACACCATGCAAGGCAACGCTCTACCATCGGTAACGGAAAGTGCTGACCTGGTCGCCCTTGAGCACCTTCGCCTCCTCCCAAGTAGCGTACGTTCCGCCACCGCCGAGGTGGAGACGGCGCATGAGGCCACCGAGGGCGCCGGCCTGCTGGATCTCGCGTTCGCGGATCTGAGCAGCCTCGGCCTGGAGGTCCTTACCCGAGGCTTGCATGGAGGGGTCGTCGGCGAGGATGGTCTCGTTGCGCTTGCCTGCGTCGCGCTGGCGGTTCTCGCGCTGGAGCGCAAAGTAGAAGATGGCGTTGCTGATGAGACCGATGGCAATGTAGGCGAGTACGACAGCGTGTCCAAGGATGAAGCGCGGAGAGGTGTTGCGTGGGTAGATGTTGGAGGACACAGCACCGTTGATGTTACCGAACGAGATGACTACACCGGTGACGACGGAGCGCACGTAGGCGCCCTCGCTATTGCCGGCGACGATCGCAATCGTGTTGGGAATCATCGGGTAGATACCGCAAGCCGCGAGGTAGACGGCAAAGTACGAGACACCGCTCTTGCGCCTAGCATCGTTGGCAATGAGGATGATGTAACCGATAATGCCAACCGCCGAGAGCACGATCGAGTACAGCGTCCTGCGCGAGGTGCGATCGGCCAGGAAGCCCACGATGACCGTGACAATGCAAGCCGTGATGTAGATGGGGATACTGATCAGGTTGGCCGTGTTGGCCGACCAACGAGGATTGAGGCTCTTAACGATCGTTGGGGTAAAGAGCGAGAATGCATATAAAGGTCCCACGCAGCCTGATGAGTGACAAGAAGAGAAGACAGAGAGAGGTCAGCTTATGAAGACGATAGCGTCGGCGAAAGGCGCTGCTATGCTTACCGATGTACGCGCCCATTCCAACCCATGTTTTCCAATCGCCGAAAGCCTTCCAAACATTAGCCCACTTGAATTTCTCGCCGGCAGCCGAGAATTGCTGATCTTGCTGAAGTCGATAGATGACAGCTCGACGCTCTGAGTCGGACAGGAAGCTGGCAGTGTCTGGGAAGTCGGCGACAAGCCAGAAAGACATTACTCCCGATACGAAAGTAGCAAGCCCAATAATGATAAAGATCCACCTCCAACCACTGTAGCCTCCAATGCCGTCCATCTTGTTAATGGCGAAGGAGAGGAGACCGCCGAAAGCGCCTGATGCTGTTGCAGCAGAGAAGAAGACGGCAGCTCGGAGGCCGAATTCTGAGCGTTTGTACCACCCACTCAACACTGTAAAAAAATCGTAGCATATGAAACGTGGGTCAGTAAGGCCGCTTTGCATAACAAAGACGCTTTATGAGTGTCGGGAGCTCTGGGAAAGGAGTAAAACGATGCGAACAGTAGTTGGCACCTGGAAAGAGACCTGTAGTGTGGGAGCAAAGGACGACGACGAAGAGAGGCGAAGAAGAGGGGAAGAAAAGTCAGCGGATGAGGTCGCCTGAAAACTCGACGGAGTGAGCGAGAAATCGAGCCGCACCTGCTTCAGTGATGCCGAGGAAGAATCGAGCGACAACAAGGCCCTCGTAGTTGTGAACGAGGCCTTGAGAAAGCATGCAAATGCCGACGAGGATCGTGATAGCAGGGAACCAGATCGAGGGACGAAGGCGCTTGAGCAAGACGTTGGAGGGCACCTCGAAAAGGGCGTAGGGGAAGAAGAAGACCGTAAGAGCGATATTGTACTGCTGGCTGGTAAGGCCAAGCTCAGCCTCGAGACCGTAAAGACGAGCATTGCCGATAGCGGAACGGTCGAGGAAACTGAGAAGGTAGAGGACGCAAAGCCAAGGGATCAATCGCATGTCGATCTTTCTCATGAGTTTCTTTTCGTCCACATCGGCAGGGAAGCCCTCGCCATCGATGGAGCCAGAGGCATCGCCGCGGGATACGGTGTTGACGACGGTACCATCGGCACCTTTGACGTGCTTGTCGTCGTAGGGAGAGGCGTTGTGGCCCTCGCTGTTGTTGGAAGACATGCTGGCGGAGGAGAGCAAATAGGAAAAGATTCCAAAGGGGGAGAACTCACTGCGCGAAGGCGAAGATGGCGCTTTCTTATACACATGTCAAGCGCGCTCACCGGTCAAAGAAAGTGCGGGGTAGGCCAGTCATCCAATGAGATGATGCATCGAGTGCAGATGCGCTGGAGGCGAGGATCCTGACTGGCTCATCGAGGCTTGAGACTGATGCACAGGTGCTCGCGTATCAACGACAACGCGCTTGTCGAGCCCTCGAATGTAGACACAGGCGGGGTAAGCTAGTTCAAGACGTGGGCGCTGCATTAGAGACCGAGTATGGCCGAGAGTATGATCTGGCTCGAGACGAGTGTCGATCTGGCAAGCTTGGACGCGAGGAGGGCTTGGCGTGGGGAGGACAAAATTCAGGGCTGCCCAACTCGACAGACGCGGACACGCGGAGAATAATTTTGCGGGGCAATCGAAGCGTCGCCGTGTGGAACCGAGAGGACAATGGACACTGCTCTCATGCATATCCATCTCGTGTGCCGGCATTCGACTCTCCGCTCCCATTCCCGCGAAGGATATGACCGGCAAGTCCTGAATTATAATATGCATGGCAATACACTAGACCGAGCTTGGTGTTGTGCGGTTGATCAGGAACGCCTCATTTCGCTCCGAGTTCCCATCACTCAGTCAACTACTGTAGCTCAAGCTCGTTTCCGCCTCTCGAGCTAAGACTCGTGGTAGCGAACCAGGCACCCTGCGTTCCATGCGAGCTTCTTGGCCGAGTCAACAACGGATAAACCAATGCAGCCCGCGACGGTGAGGCAAAAGCGGGGGGGCCCGGATCTTGCCGCTTTGAAGCATGGCACCTCCAACCCGAGTGATTGAGACCAGCATCAGTGTTACTGTCCCTCCATCGATGAGGGCCAAGACCACGTTGTTCGGTCGGATCTGAGACAGAGTCGTGATGCGCCAAAGTGAATGCAGCAACAACAGCGGTGATTAGCACGGGCGGGAGCATGCATTCGATATACGGCAAGAGGCGTGCCAAGGCACCGGAACTCTCCGCTGATGGTTGTTGCGACCTCCTTATCCTACTCTGGTCTGTTATCGCGATCGCTTTTAACGGGGTGGGGTTCGAAGGTCTGTGGGCACACACTGCCGGCCAAATGACCGTGATGCCAAGGCCATCTACCGTGCAGGTTAGACACAGCGCCAAGGCCAAACGTGGCTGCAGGCAGTCCACATCGCCCGCGTGGCTTGGCGAGAATTTCGAGCGGAGTGTTAGACCTTCATACAGATTGGGCTTAGCAAAAGCCGAAGAAGATAAAATCTGTTAGGTCCCACATACAGTTGCCGGCCGAGGTCACGTGCTACCGCTAACCACCGTGGGCTTTCTCGCAGCAGGCAGTCTGGCTGTCAGGATTCCACACGGCTGGCCATAAAGCCACCTGGAGCCGGCTCTGGAAATTCGAGGCTGCAGACCGCGACGAGTCCAGTTCGCTGCGAAGATTGCTGAGGCCAGTGACTTGAGCTAAGGGTCGTCGACACCACCTTGACATCACCACCATCACACATCATATATCGTCAAAATGGAGAACGACCGCGTAAGTTGCTGCTCAGATCGACTCGAGACAAGCAGCATCGCCATCAGCATCGACAGCATGGAGGAGTAGACCAGCACTTGATCGACACCAAACCGACATGAATCGCTTTTCGCAGCTGCTGCATCGACCAGAGATGCCGCGACATCTTCCGACACCTAGCATCAGATGGAGTTATGCAGGAAGGTTCCGACGGTCAGAGCACCAGACAGTGATGCCGACTGGAGGACGGGAGTGGGTGGCATGGTCGCAGAATTGCACATGGCATACGAAAGGATGAAGGATAGGCAGCATGGCGGATTGGTAGAAGTTGGACCGGGACAGGATAGCCAGCTGGCAAGACGCACGAATGCGATCCTTGATGGGACATTGGACTCCAAAGCTTCGTTATGGTGCTGATTGCACTCATGGGCAGCACTCAGCTGCGACCGTCCAACTCGCAGCAGCTCAATGAGTTCAGCATGGCCAACCCGATCAAGCAATGCCGCACCTACCTGCAACCCAACCTGCTCCTCCATTGCTCCCTTTCGACGCATGCTCTTGTCTCGACCTCGTCCAACCTTCGATCAACTCGAGCAAATCACTGACCCTTCCCAATACCAACTGCGACCTTTCAACCTCACAGGGAGACCTTGTTGACCTTTACGTCCCCCGAAAGTGCGCCGCCACTGGCCGCATCATTGAGGCCAAGGACCACGCCTCGGTGCAGATCGCTGTCGCTGACGTTGACGCCAACGGCCGTGCCATCCCTGGCCAGTCGACCGTCTTCCCCTTGTCCGGCTTCGTGCGCCAGCTCGGTGAGGGTGACGACTCGCTCAACCGCCTTGCCCAGAAGGAGGGTCGTAAGTATCTTTTCGCAACCCAGCACGAACATCGACAGCAGCAGCAGCGCATCGACACCTAGCAGGACACAGTATCGCGGGAAGCAGCGTTAGGAAGGGAAGGAGAACAGGACATACCGCCCTTGACAGTCTGCATTAGGCGCATCACACGCCCATTCGCAGGATTCCAAAACATTTCATAAAGGAGCGAAGAGTAACCCTACAGCATCGGATTAAGATCTCAATGCCCGGCCTTTTGGCCATTCAGTGGGCCCTAGAGAGTCAGACCTTTGCTACATTCTTATTGCAGCCGGCTACGTCGTTTTCGACGTCTTTCGTTGACGGAAAAGGGAGGAGACGGATGATGGAAGGTTCCACGACTGGATATGCTGCTGCTCGGTGGTCGTCGCACCATCGTCCTGTTCAACCGAACGGATCGCTGACCTTCACTCTCATCTCAAACCCCTTCATTCGCGCCTTGCAGTCCTCAAGAACGTCTGGCAGTACCAGAAGTAAATCTGCTTTACCCTTAGCAGTCTCGTTCTCGGTTCCCTCTTTCAGCATTCGCAGCATCGGTTTTTTACGTCGGACGTCTCAGCACGCAACGACTTTGTACAATCGCTTGTGATTGTGCACGCCGCACAGGCGTCGCTTTCACTTCACACACCCAAAAATAAAACCATCACAGACTCATAATTCACATATAGCCTGTCCCAACCTTGAGCAACGGGGTCGATACTTGGAGGAAAAGATTCTTGAATCATACAACACAGGAAATGGGGGGGAGTAGAGTACATGAGATGCAGACGATTAGGCCTCGGTAGTGGCCTCGGCAGCGGGAGCAGTCTCCTCGGTCCCATTGGGAGCCGCAGCCTCCTCGACCACCTCAGCCTGCTCCTCGACGGCTTCAGTGGCGCCGTTGGGATTGTCGATGGCGTGGCGGCGTGCTGCCAGCCAGTCATTCCAACGCTGTGTCCTTCGCTTGCTCACCACCGCAGCCTTGCGATCCAGCTCGCTCTTCTCCTCGTCCGCGCGGATCCGGACGAAGACGTCCTCGGTGCCGTGAGCAAAGAAAAGCTTGAACGTGCGCAGGCAGATGCGAATCTCGAGCCCGCTGCGCGTAACGTAGCGCGTCTCAGCAGCGTCGTTGTCCGCGGTGCCGTTGCCAGAGAGCGAGCGCTTGATGAACGGAGCATGCGCCTCGGCCGGCAGCCCCTCCGTGGGCGTCCACAGGCTGAAGCTCGACATGTAGTGCAGCCAGCTCTGCTCGACCGTCCTAGCATCGTCGAGCGTGAGATCGTCTTTCGAGAGCATCTGGACGAGCAGCGTGCACGACGAAGGAACCCATTCCAATCGGAACAGGCTCTCGTCCTTGCCGATCAGGCCCTCGGCCGCCATGCGGTCCGCAATCTGCTGTCGATAGCTCGTCAGCGTGCTCTGCGCGTTGGTGCGGTTGGCCTCCATGATGGCCTGCATCTCTTGACACTTGCTGTCCGTGGTGAGGAATTGCACCACCTTGATCATGGCACCGATCACCTTGTCGAGCGTAAAGACGATGTAGCCCTCGATGCCGTACATGTAGCGGGCGCTCTCTTCGTACGTGCCTTGGTCGACGTCGCCGTCAAACAGCTTCTCGCACATGTCGAGCAGCGTATCGTAGTAGCGCGAAGGGTGGAGCGTGAGACCGGCCTCCTCGTTGGTGGGTGCCACGGGCCCAAGGCTCGACGAGTTGGCAGCCGCGCCGACCACTGCGGCTGGCCCGCTCCCACCATCCTGAAGCCCGAGCTCGATGGCGAGCGGATTGATCTTGCTGCGCTGGGGCTGTTTCTCGGCCATCTGAGCACCGAGCGCCTTAACCTTGTGCAGACGCGAGTAGAGCAACTGCAGCAGACGGATGAAGACAAAGTACTGGCTGTTGCAGAAGAAGTTGACGGGACGAGCTGGCGTGGCCGAGGCGTCTTCGTCGTCGACCATCTCGCGAACGCTGACGTTGTGCCCCTTCTGCGAGTCAAAGGTGGCGTCGAGATCCGTGTTGATCCACGTGGATGCCTTGGGATCCGCCGCGTCTTCGATGTCCTCCATGGCGACTTCTTTCGATGCGCTCTCGGCCTCGGTGGCTTGAGCGGCATCCGCGACAGGAGCCTTGGCTGCCGACTCTTCTCCGGAAGGGATGACAGCAATCTCAACCGCCTTGGGCGCATCTTCCATGTCCACATCCTCGGAAACGGCGGGCGCCACCGTGTTTGAAGTCTGATTGGCGAGCGCTTCGACGGCCGTGTCCACATCGGCCACAATGGTGGGGCTCGAGGCGCGAGCGTTGGCGGAGGCCGCGGCACCGGTGGCATCGGCCGACTCCTCGGCGCCATCCTCGGTCTGCTTGGAAGTCTCGGCCTGATTCTTGAGGATCTTCTTGCGCAGATCCGCAGCCTGCTTCTTGCCCCTTCGAGCAGCGGAGCCCGAAGCGGTGGACGAGGCATCGGTGTCGTCATCGCCAGCGGTGCCTTCGCTCCTGGCATCGTCGTCGGCGGTGCTCTTGGCTTCGTCGTCGTCCAGGTCGACGTCGCCGTTGAGCAGCTCTTCGAATTCGGCCGCGTCTACAGCAAGAAGCTTGGGCACAAAGGCGCGCAGGAAAGCCTCGATCCTCTCTCGATCGTTGGAGCTGTAGCTTCCGGTGGCTCGGTCGAGATAGCTAAAGGCGAGCTTGAGGACGTCGGTCAGGACGTGCATGTCGTCCATGACGTAGACGAGCTGGTGACGGGGTTTTGGACGTGGCAACGTCGGGTCCATGCTGAGTCTGCGTTGCTGCTGCTGAAGCTTTCTTGCCTCAATCTCGGCGATGAACGCCTTGGCGGTGATGGCCTTCTTGTCGGAAGCCTTGAAGTTGACGCCTTGGTGATCGAGACTCTTGTAGTAGTTCCTCGCATCAACCTCGCGCCAGACCTTGTTCCATTCGCGCTGCGCTCGCTTCCACTCCTCGTCCTTCTGCTTGAGTCTGTGCAGCACAATAGGCACGGACACGCACGGAGTGTCGTGAAGCGCATTGATGACCTCGAGGCCCTGCTCACGCCCGTAGACCTTCTTGATGACGCGCTGGTAGATGCTCTTGCTCTGACCGCCAAGACCCGGCTTGAGTCGGAAAGCGGCCTTCTCTTCATTGTCCATGGTCGAGATGCGCGCAGCGATGGGCTCGAGCAGCGCAATGGTGCGGAGGTTGGCCTCGATGTGGTAGTCGTACTCGTGCCTCTCCTCCTCAGAGCGGTAGAGTGCGTCCTCGTAGGGGTTCTTCTTGTGCGGGTTGAAGCCTTCGCCTTCGGAAGCCCAGGTGGGATGGCTGACCCAGCTATCGTTGAGGACCTCCCAGCACATGGGATCCCGGCCGGAGCAGGCGAGGTTGACCTCGGACTTGGGCAGCTTGCGATACGAGGCGCCGTAGACCTTGCAGTTGTTGAGGTCGACGCGCTCCCGCAGCGGCGCAGGCACGTTTTCGACGATGGGATCCTCGTTGTCGAGCCAACCATGGCGACCCATGTCGTAGCCGCAGAGACCCTTGAACGTGGCGAAGAGCTCGCGATTGCCGCCGATGAAGAGGGCGGCTCGATCGACGAGCGTCTTGACGTCGATGATGTCCTGGGTGTAGAGATTGAGCAGCTTGAGGAAGTCGAGGTAGGTGGTGCGGTCGTCAATGTGCTTCTTGACGCGATCAAAGAAGGCGACCTCGTCGAGCGTAGCCAGGGGAGCCTGCGGCTGACCCAGAGCGAGACCGTTGACGACGGTGCCTGGGGGAACGAGACCCGTCGCTTCGGCAGCGACCATACCATCGATGCCGTAGACGTGGTGCATCTGACCAGGGTGCGCAAAGGTGGGCGAGGCCGGCATGGGCTCCTGTCGGAGAGGAGGAGTGCGCTGCTCGGCCTTGTGACCGTGCTTGGATTTCTTGGTCTTGCCCGAACCAGGCTTGCCCGACTCGTTGGCGCCGCTTCGCTTCTTGCGCGAGCCGGACGAAGGCACACCGGCTGCACCAGGCATCGTGGCGGATCCCGACTTACGACTGGCGTCAGGGCCCTCTCCAGCTCGGTAGCCTTGCTGACCTTGCATGACGCCGGGCGGCGGTCCACCAGCCGCGTTGCCGCCGAGGCCCGACGTGACCTGACCAAGCATGTTGAAGAGACCGCCGCTGGGTTGGGCTCCTGCCGTGGTGTCGGGAAGGAACTGCTTGAACTCATCGAGGAGATCCTTGGCACTGTCGAACAGAACCGTGACTTGCGCATAGACGTCGTGGATGGGGCGTTGCTCCTTCTGATACGTCTGGAGGATCTCGAGGAATTGCTTGTAGGTGTCGGGATCCTGAGAGAATCGCTGCTTGATCTTGTTGACATAGTTGATGGCGTGGTTGAACTCGACAGGCGGACGCTTGGGGTCTTGAACGGGGGTCATAGGCCCGGTTGGGCCACCGTGGACGCCTGCGTGGCCGCTGGGGCCGGCTCCTCCAGGCGGAGCGCCGCCGCCACCGCCGGGACCCATGGGCATCGGTGACGGAGGGCGGCCGTGGCCATGGTGAGGAGGAATCGGGCCCATGGCACCGCCAGGTCCTGGGCCATGACCAGGGTGCTGAGGACCGCCAGGGCCGGAGAAGTTGCCGCCAGGACCGTGACCCATGGGATGACCCGGAGGCCCGCCCATGTAGGGCATGGCACCGGGAGGACCGTCGTGAGCATGCGGAGGAGGAGCGTGCATGTGCGGAGGGGGCTGCTCGGCGTGTCGAGGTGCTGAGCTGTGACCCATGCCCATCCCGCCAGGGCCTCGAGGAGCGGAGGATTGGCTGGAAGGCCCTGGAGGCGGGCCGGAGGCAGCTCCGCTCATGCGCTTGAGTTCGCCTGCGATGCCGACGCCACCTGGTGTTTGGGTGGTTGTGCCGGTAGGTGTAGTGACGGTGATGAGGTTGCTCTCGCTGGGGTCCAAGCTGCATTCGATGCGGTAGCCGGGAGGCAAGAATGTGTTGAAGCCCTGGATGAGGCTGGGGTGACCGCGGAAGAGGGTGGAGACCCTCTCGATGACACCGGGGGTATCTATAGATTGGCTCTTGAACTGGAGAGGGAACGGAGGGGTTGTGGGCAAGAGTCAGTGACAGATCCAAGCAATGTCTCTGATGGGGCTTGTGATCTTGCACTTACGTCTTTCATAATATCAAGGAAACGGTTGTAGACATCGGGATGCTCTGCAAACTGGACCTTGACCTGGTCCAGGTAGGAAAGCGCATCCTTGACGTTGAGAGTCGCCTGTAGAGCCGTAACGAAGGAGAAAGGGGGTCAGCAACGGTGATGCGATAAGGCGCACTGTTCTGTGTGGGCATAGAGGCGAACATGTACCATGATGGCGGAAGGTCAGCGTCGAACGCTGGGTGCGAACGTGTAGATATGGATGGTTCGACGAAGCTCTCTACAGCTGAAGCGTGTGACAAGGAATCAGAGCTACGCAGCTGGGAGCATGGATAAAGGTTGCGTGCTGTAATTGTAGCTGCGGCAGACGCGCGATGAGAGGCGGAGGATGGTAGCAGCGCCGGAAGTGAAGCTGACGCGTTGGCGGTAAGAGGACTGCTGGTAAAGTCGCGGCGCGAGAAAGGTCGAAAGGGGAGGTCGCGGATGTGGACGGTGCGGAAGGAATACTGTAGAGTGGCAGGGATGAATGGTCGTCGACTGGGAAGAGGGAGAAGCGCGGGTCCAAAGACGGAAGACGGAGCGGATCACGGTTGGAGCTGCAGCGGTGCGGATGGGGCGAGCTGAGGACAAGAGAGCTGAAAAAGGGTCGTGCTCCAATCTGAATTCAGAAGACCAAGACAGACGATCAGCCCAACCTCGGCTGAATCGCGTCAGGAAGTCAGCCAGCCGGCCACCCAGCCAGCCAGCAGAGCCCTAACCGCGGGCCCGATTCGTGCCCAAGCCAGCCGCCATCTCTGGATCACTTTTGGGTTTAACAATCGAAACAAATTCTCCCCATGTTGCAGCCTCGTTTGCTCCTTCTTCAGGAAGCGAGAACGCAGAACAGGGATCAGCTCCCACTTTAGATTAGCTCGAGTCTGAGACAACGTGAACACGGGTATCTACCATCGCAAGCAGCACAAAAGATAGAATGTAGCCGACGGTCGGGATCAGGAAGCACGTCGAGGGTAAGGCCGTCTCGATGGTCAAGCTGTACACGACGCTGATCAGAATTGGGCTCAGTCCGTTGACAATGTTGTCAGAGATGGATAGTGCTGCGAGCCAGTCATCCGTGGGCGACGCATGGAGGCAAGGATGCAAAGTAGGATGGCCGGCTCGCTTCTGATCCTGAATGATGGCAATCGCAGCGGATGCGACTGCTGGGCCCGCGCCTGCGCCAAACGAGAGGAAGAGCGTGCCAGTGATCATAGCTGCCGCATTCGAGAAGCTGGCCGAAATCAACACAACAAGGTAGCCAACAATGTCGGCAAAGTACGACACTTTGCCAATGGCAATGTCGACAGCTGTTCTCCAGAGCACTACGGCGCGGATCGTTTCTGTCGATGTGTCTGCTGCCCCTGCATCCAGGGAGCTGTTTTGATCCAAGGGCTGTGCGATTCCTCGATCGCCTACGTCTGCAGCCTGTCTGGCATCTGCTTGCTTGAGATCCGGATCCTTGAGTCCAGCCTTGGCGAGTGCTTCGAGCTGCGCTGCTGATAGCGATGCGATGTTTCCAGGCTTGCGGATGGTGCGCTCAAACGTCACGACGAGCAGCGGAATGGCAAAGATAAGCCAGACCGCCCTGGTTGCACCGATCAGTCCTAGCAAAAGGCCGATCGCATCCGGCGTGAAGTCAAACTTGTAGCCCGCAAAGACCGCAACGTACGACAAGGCGTTGGTGCCAATGTTGCTGAAGGCGCCAGCCAGAGCAAGCCACGTCAGACGGTAATCCTTGCGCCCATCTCGTGTCACTTGAGGCAGGTAGATCGACAGTGGGCCGAGCACCTTGTGTGCGCGAAGTCTAGCGGGCGACAGCGAAAGCGTCTCTGTGTCATCATGCGCATGAGCATCGCCATCTCGACTCCTGGTCGGCGGGACCGACGCGGGCGAGTCTGCTGCATCTACGGCAGGTGCCGGCTTGGTCTCGGGAACCAGCAGCGTCACCCAAAAGATCGCAAAGAAAAAGACCCAGCAACAGGCGACAAGAGCAGCAGGATTGCCGTGCTTGGAAGGAGCCTGAGGCGTTCCTGGAAGCGGCGGCGACGTTGGATCTGTTGGCAGCTCCAAGCCCGTGCTGGGTGTCAAGAAAAGGTCCTGAAGAGCGAGGTGCGTTCTTGCTTTCCTTGAGGTCTGAAGCGCCCAGGCCGCCAGCAGCGGTCCAAAGAAGGCACCGCAGAGAGTCGCACTGATGAGCCAGTTGAGCGCCACGGTTCGGCGTGTGGGTGGTGCAACGTCGACAATCATGACCCGCATTACGCAGAGAAACAGGCCCGTGAATCCGGTGAGGCCCGTAAGGAAGCTGCAGAGGAGGACAAAGATCATCGAAGCGGCAGGGCTGATCGGCAGCTCAGACGGGATGTCACCGAAAGGGTAGCCGAGCGGAAGGAGCGCAAAGGGGATATAGTTGATGATGTTGGAAGCGAGCGAGATGAGCAGCATGGGTTTGCGACCCCATTTCGAGAGGCGTGGACCGTAGTAGAGCATGCTGATGCTCGAGACGACGAAGCTAAGCATGGTAGCGGCGGCGACCACAACGCCGACCCTGCTCTCGACACCCGAGACGGCGCAGGGTCGGTCGCGATCTCGAGGAAGCCGAGGATTCGGCTGCGTGGGCAGCAAGCCGGGATGCGTCGAATAGACGTAAGCGCACGTGTAGCTGCGGAGGCCGTCCAGATAGGACGGCACCGCACCGTAATTTGCCGCTCCCCAGAAGAGCGCGACGGCGAGAATGCGTAAGATGGGCCATTGCCGCCTGAGTCGATCCGATGCTCGAGTTGTCCAAGCCTTTGACTCCGCGACTGAGCTGGTGTCGGCGTCGTAGTGGTGGTTAGTCGCAGTCCCGCCCAGAAGAGGGCGAGTCACGTCGGCTGTGCGTTGCATCGTCGCGGTGTATCTCCTTCAACGATGCCAGCGCATCGAAGAGAGCTCCACGCCGATCGCGACCTTGAGCCCAGCGACGAGGATCAAAGCTTTGCAATCAACAGTCAAAACGATGCAGGGGTCGACGAAGAGAGGCAGGGCTCAGCGGAAGGTGCGTTCCCAATCCGTTCAAAGCTCAGTCGAAAAAGTGTGACACACCCGCACGCTCGTGCTGAGGCTCAGCCAATTAAGCGCTCACTCTCAGGGTCCTTTTGGGCGCGTGCATGTGTGGTGCCGCGGCAAAATGACCAACTCGCCAACGCCTGGCATCTTGGACCTCGACGACACCTGCACACATCATGCTGCGTGTTTGATTGCGCGAATGCCTGAAGAGGTGCTTTGAAAGGAAACTACATGTATCGCGACGAATCGGACGCTCCAAGCTGCAGTCATCATCAACGCCTGAACAACGGAGAGATCTTACTGTCGGGGCTGGCAGTCGAGCAATAATACGCTAGACTCGAGAGCGCTCGACGTCTCTTGCCTCCGAGCAGAAGCTGCCTGACAGCTGGGTTGCCGCCACTTCTAGCTTGAAGGCCTTCTTTTTTGCTGCTGCTGTATGCCGGCTTCTCTTCTGCATGTATTGCAGGCAGACGAGGTGACCTGTACCCAGGGGAATTCGATGGAGAATGCGTGGATCTGTCCGCATGTCTTCTCGAAGAACGTTGCGAAGATGCGCTGCCGTGGGATCTCGCTCTCGGCGGGGACACACGATCAGGGCTCGACGAGGAGCGACGATGCCACCATGTCCCGAGCTTGAGTCTTGTGGCTTGGGACAGTGCAAGATGGCGCACGTTGAGCATCACGCCCTCCCAACGCACACGCCCAGATTCCATTGCCTCGATGAGCTTGTCAAAGTCACCCATGTACAGGTACTCGACGATGACATGAAAGCTAGCTGGATCCGGTAGATCGACGAAGAGGACTGACAGCGGAGTAGAGGCGCTGTCTGAGTCCGTGCGACGATGTAGTCTCGGTCTTACAGCCGGCTCCAAGACGTGGTGCGGTGATGGAGACCCGCTCGATGGAAGCGACGTCATGAGCTCCCGAAACAAGCCGGACTGAGATGTGAGAAGGTCCTTGTGCAATCGATACGTCGATGCATCGTGATAGCTGGTATCGCAACAACAAGCAGCGTTGGAGGTGCCGGACATATTGGATGGCGCGCTCTCACGACGAGCGATTCCGATGTAGGGCCGCTTTCGTTGTGTCCTGAAGCTCGACAGGGAGTCTCCCTCGCTGAGCTCTTGGTCGCTTTGTCGCAAGCTGGAGAGAGTTGGCAAGGAGGCGCTGGATGTCAGCAGGGGAGTCCGAGGACCACCAGAGCTGGAACCCGGACCACGTGAAGCTGGGTCCTCTCGTGCGTCTTGGAGTCCGAGGTCGGTACCGGTTCCATCGTCGTTTTCGTCGCTGCCGTTCTTGTTCAAGACACAAGAGTTTCGACAACGGAGAACAGGATCGCGGCGCGATACATGCCGCTGGGTACCCATGCGCCTCACTTTGATGAGGCAGTCAGCCGTGTCTGGCCGATGCCAGTAGAGGTGGCCTATTCGATGTAGTGAGCTGATGAGACGATCGTCTGACTCGGCCATAGTATCATTGATGTTGTGTCCCACCGAGTACAGAATGCGGGTCGTGCAGAGGTGGTCGAGCATGGGAAGGGAAGCAGTGTTTTGAGCACGTCTCATCCGATCTTTTTGTGACTCGGCCTGTGTATATATGGGGTTAGTACCGAATATGGTGTGGATGCAGACTTTTCTTGGTTCTCACGGCCAATTCTTCCCCGATATGGCGTCCTGGGAAGAAGGCCCAAGACAAAAGGCATTCCCGCTGGTCGGAAGACGGACGACGAAGCAAGGCCCAGCAATGCCAGGGTGACGGTGGTGACCTCCTTGTCTCAGGAGCCGTTCTCCGTCGAGCAGAGCCTGGACGGGCTGGTCCGAATTGTGCTCTGTCACGCTTTGAACCGATGCATGAATCGATCGGTTGAAGCCTCGGTGCGTCGGGGAGACATGCTGGGGGCATTGCTTCCGCTCGTTCGGAGGACAATGAAGAGCAAGCTGTTGGGGCGTCATTGGACTGCGGACCTCCTTCATCTGAGCACACAATGGAAAAGCATTCCTGCGAGGCGATCACGACGATCCCCCTCAAGGTAGTGCTGCCGATGGACAGCAATCCGAATGGCTGCTTCTGATCACGAGCTCGCTGTACCTTGAAGTGTGTTCACGTCGGTTCCAGGGATGTGCATAGCTGCAGAGTCGCTGAGTCACTGCAGGTTGTGCTGTGCGTCGTCGTCGTCGCACTGCAGTGCTTCTTTGAGCCTCGATGAAAGGGCAAAGTGGCTATGGGAAATTGGGGCCGCAGCGTTGAAGATCGCCGTTGTGCAGACCGGTACTGGTTGGCTCGCAGCATACACAGTGCTCAGCGGTAACGAAGCTTTGTGTATATCCGAGTGGCTGCAAAAGCCCATTGTTCTGCTCGGAGCTGAGACAGCATGAGGCCTGAAAAAAGGTCTCATTCGAGTTCCCATGCCTCGTGCGAAAGCCAAGTCCCTTTGTCTTCGTGGGTTCCCACCGAAATGAAACAGAAATGCGTCCTCCGCCCGGTCTCTCAGTGGGTCAGGCCGGTGCCTACAGACGGCACAACACTGGCCTGTGCTTCTCTCCCATGGACAGGCGGACTCTCGCGCTGCTCGGCTTCCGGGCCGAATGGATCCGTTCTGATGATATGATCGATTGCAAAGTGAGATGGAATGTACTGACGGACACAAGCTGCGATGCAAGGCTTCTCACTGGAAGCACTTGATGAGATCCTCGACGTCTTCCTTGGATCCGAGGAAGACGGGGCATCGCTGGTGGATCGAGGTAGGCTGGATATCCAGGATGCGCTCCGTGCCGGTGGTGGCCAAACCACCCGCCTGCTCGGTGAGCAAGGCCATGGGAAAAGCTTCGTAGAGCATGCGCAGCTTACCGCTCTTGGATTTCGAGTCGGCGGGGTAGCCAAAGATACCTCCGTAGAGGAGGGTGCGGTGGACGTCGGCGACCATGGAACCAATGTAACGAGCCGAGTAGGGCTTGGCACCCTCGGCCTTGGGGTACTTGATGCTCTCGAGGTACTTGAGGACGGGTTCGTGGTAGTACATGCTGTTGCCCTCGTTGATTGAGTAGATCTTTCCGCGGCTGGGCAGGCGGATGTTGGGATGCGTGAGGATGAACTCGCCGATCTGGTTGTCGAGCGTGTAGCCGTTGACACCATTACCCGTAGTCAGTACCAAATTGGCCGACGAACCGTACATGCAGTAGCCGGCGGCGACCATCTCGCGACCGGGTCGGAGCACATCCTCAAGTGTGCCCTTGGAGCCGTCCTTGACGAGGTAGATACCAAAGATGGTTCCGATGTTGACACCGGCGTCAATGTTGCTAGAACCGTCCAGAGGGTCAAAGACGACGCAGTACTTGCCCTGGCCTCCCTCCTGCTTCTCGCCGACAAAGATGGCCTCGTCGTCCTCTTCGGAAACGAGGACCGCCGTCTTGCCCGAGGCTCGCAATGCGTTGATCATGATCTCGTTGGAGAGGACGTCGAGCTTCTTCTGGTCCTCGCCTTGGACGTTGGTGTTGCCGGCGGCGCCGATGAGGTTGATCAAGCTGGCCTTTCGCACGTTGCTCTCGATGAACTTGCAGGTGGTCTGGAGCGAGCTGAGCAAGATGGTGAGGTCACCACTCGCAGCGCTTTCTCTCCTGACCTTGAAGCCTTCGGTGAGGACATGTCGCGTGAGCGTGATGATATCCGTGGAGGGAGGGGAGTAGTCGTCGGCGCCCATCTTGTGTGTTGATTCGTTCGGGAGCTTGCTTTGTTGTTTGACCGTGAGTGAATGAGTGGTGGATGGTTCCGATGATGTCTGCAGTGGCAATGATCGTTCGAGGAGGAAGAAGACGTGGAGGACAGCAACGCAGCGGATGAACTGTATGGAGAACCCTGATATTGCTTTTGAAGCCGGCGTGGGGGAAGGGTGCTCCCGTTCAAGTCCGAAGATGTGTGTGTGTGTGTGTGTGTTGGTCCGCCTGTCTGGCGGCTGCAGGGCACAGCGCAGTCGTCGATCGAGCTCTGCCCGGTTGAGCTGACTGTGGTAGCAGCCGGCCCCTAAATTCGCCAGTCTCTCAGGCCGAAAGCGGATTGCAGGCTGAAAGTGAGTTGGCCCAACAAGGGTCCGAGCACCTCTCGCGTTGAAATTGACAGCCGATGGGTCATTGCAGCCCAGTCTCTTGGAGAGTGAGTGTGTGGAGAGGCAGCAGCACTTTGCGGGAGGAAGCCGCTGTTTTCCGTCTGCCGGATAGGACCGGGCCCAACGGCGTGAAACGGCAACATCGCCCGATTCGGCCATTTGACACGTCTGATGCTGATGATGATGCTGCTTTGCTCGGCTGCCTTCCTCGCTGTCCATGATCATGCTAGTTGCCTTGGCCTATCTTCCCCGAGGACAGAGCGCTCATCGATCCACGCCTGATCTGCTTGCTGAGCATCAGAGTCCGGATCATTTGATCCATGTCGACGCCGTAGGTATGGCTTCTTGGCCGAATCGGGACCCTATGGGCAATCCGGACCGCTTTCCGCTGCCGTTTCTGCAACAAGCCGAGCCTGCCTTGTAGCGCTGGCTTCGCGAAGCTGGAGCTTGCTAAGCACTGCGTCGAAACGCAGATACTGCTTCAGACAGCCTTCGTTCATGGCTCTTGTTCGGCTGGGCGACCTTGTCGCCGTGTCAAGGGGGCGGAGCTCTCCTGGACAGTCGGGTCTACGCGGATCGTGTGCACACAGGGCCGAGCGAGATACAGCAGATCGGGCGGCTAGTCATCTCGTATCGGGCTCGTTTCCTCTCGCTTCCGTCGCTGACCTTGGCCGTCGGACTGCCCTCGCTAGCGCGTTCTGGTTGCTGACGACCGTCTCGAGCATGCCTGATTATCCGTCTCGGCTTGGCTAGGTACCTGTGCAGGCGATCGCTGCAAAGGAAGGAAGCGGAGATCTTTGTTACGCAGAGGCAGCAAATGGGTTGCCAAATTCAGGCCGCAAAATCCGGCTCCAAAAGGCATCTTTCTGAAAGTGTTGACTTGAGACGGCTAACATCCTGACGCAAAAATCCCGTACGCTTCACTGCAAGGGCTGAGTCGCGCTGCGCCGTTGTGTGTTCTGATCCGCACCCTCACGCCGGCATCTTTCCTCGACAGCTCGCCATCACCTCCCCTCGACGCATTCATACTTGACGCAGCGCACTTCCTATAATGTTGAAGCCCATGGCCTACATACGGACGAAACAGAACGAAGCGTGGACCGCCATCAACACCCGTTGAACCGGACGGGCCCAGCATAACAGTACGAGCTGCAGTAGCCAGCTTCGACGAAAGGATCACGCTTGATCGTGCGGGCTGGGTACCGGAACAGCATCGTGACCATCACAACGCACATGCCGTGCAGTGCCATCCCTGCAGGCCGCTTCCAGTCCGTCTTCATCACGCTGCCGAGCTGCTACAGTGAGCTACCATCTCACAAGCTTGCAGCGGAGCGATGTTGGCCGTGACTGCTTCCGCTGTAGCTTCTCATCGCGTGGCAGCCCGTCGAACCGCACTTCCACCAAGGACAATGCCATGCCGGGGCGTTTCAACGCGCTTGGCGGAACCGGGAAAGTCGAAGCAGCGCTAAGGTGTTCTAACTCAGGCAAGAAGAAAGGAAGGAAACGAGGTTTTTGGCATGGGAAAATCACGAACTCCGGCATCTTCTGCCTTTCCCCGTCTCGTGCCTGCGCCGTCTCTTCTTTTCGCTTGTCGTTTCTGTACTCCGCCGCCATTCCCACGCCCGCCCGACCGCGTCCAAACTCAGATTCGCTCGAGGCTCCGCTCGGTGGCGTTGCAGCTGTTCGATCATGCACGAGTCTTATCTTTGCCTGGTACTGGCTCGGACCACAGAGCCTGCGTCCAGAGCCTGCGTCCAGAGACGACGTGCGAGGTCCACAGCACGTCTTCGAGCGCGAATTACCTGCGTCCCAAAGGCGACCTCATCTCGAACCTGCTTGCGAAGAGCGGACAGCAGCTCCTCGGCTAGCTACTGGATCAAATGAATTAGCCCGCTGGTACGCGAGCTTCAGATAGTAGGTCGTGAAGTTCATGCTCAGGACGAGGAGATCTTGCTTCGGACATTCGGATGGCCACGATCTGAAGCATCGCCGGCTCCAGCTGTGAGCTCGTCGGGCTTTCAACAGGACCGCGCACCATGATCCAGGGCTGCTTCTCTCTGCATCGTCCAGAGGCTTCTAGCGCTCGATCCCACCCAGCTGACTCTCGGCTGCACGGCCCGGAAAGCTGGCTGGCTTTTGCAGCCTTGTCGAGCCTTCCTTTTTTTGGCGGGGCCAGGTCGCGGAGACCTTACCTCGTTCTTGCCTGCTCGCAAAAACGTAGCGAGACGGCGAATGCCATGTTGCCGCCCTTCGATAGATTTTCCCGCTTTCCTGTTCCCATCGCCTGGGCTCTCAGCGTCTCATCTGTGCTGTAGCGAGTCGCCAACTTGATCCGAGCTCGCACAGCCGGTCAAGCCAGCCGATAAGCGCAGAGGTCGCCTTACTGTGGCTTGGTGATCAAGAACACCAGCATCAAATACCGCGCAGTGTCAAAGCCATGTCCCAGCGCTGTGGATCGTCAGTCTCCTTGAGAAGGGTCAGATCGCCCTTCGTTCGACCATCACGATCTGCCTTGGTTCTTCCGACGGGTACGACGGGGAAGCTTCAGTCGAGCGACGCCACGAGAAAAAAAAAGAGGACAAAACTTCAATTTCAGGACAGTGTCCCGAGTGCGCGCTAGTCCCACGGAATCGATCGTTTGGAAGATTCAGAGGTGAGACCAACACCTGGGGAATCGGGCAGACCAGAGGCAAGACGCGGTCTCCCACGCGTCACGCGTCGTGCCTTGTCCACCCTGGTGCCTCTCTGATCCCTTCGTCTTTTCGGCGTTTGCGGCTTGCACAAGTCTGTACGAACGACCAGGATCGATCGCTCTAACGTTGGCATCGCTGCTGTACGTTTGTTTAACAGCCACAGATGCCACTGTTATCGAACGCAAGCATCTACGTTACGCCGCCCGAGGGCGATGCGAAGCGTGGCTGCCAACAACTGCCGGACCCACTCTGATCTAGAGGTGCGATCCAACCGGCCTCGGGGACGAGAAAGCCTTGACGCCACCCAAGCTGGCTTCGATCGGCTGCTCTGCGCAATCAAATTTAGGCTCGGGCCCAATCATAGCCGCAGCAACACTTGGACACTGTCATCATCTTATTAATAATCTGCGGTCAAGAGCGACATGGATTCGGGTGGCAACGGTGAGCCGAAGCGAAAGCACATGCTCGCGAGATTCGTATTGCTGTGCTGCATCCCGTCGGACCAAGAGCCACCATTATGTCTCTGGACTGCATGCAGCTTTCAGAACAGGGGTCTCCTTGTGTCGGCATGAAGCGGGCGATATGGTAGCAACTGCAGCAAAAGCTTGGGAAAATCCGAGCTGCCTGCAGCTTTCTTTGTACGTCCGACCATCGATGCGGGAGACGGGGGAGAGAGATTGAGCGCCTTTGGGTGGCAGCAGCAGCAGTCACACAAGCGCTGCACGATGCTGTGCGGCCGCTGCATGCTCGATGCGAGATTTCATTTTTCGAGTTCATTTTCATTTCGATGGACTGCAGCTCGACGCTTCTCGGCGTTTCGCTTTCTCTCGAGGCGACGCTCTCCTGTGGCGGGCAGCGGCCTCTCAAAATGAAATCCCTCGCCTCAACGAGCCTCGGCACTGCAGCGGGCTTACTTTTCGAACTTCCTGCTGCTGCTGCTGCTGCTGCTGCTGCTGCTGGCTCGCTTCACGCTTTCTTCCCACCCTCTTTTGACCGCTCATCGCAGCTTGCAGCCTGCATCTTTCCCTTTGCCCATCAGGGTTGATGTCTCAGTGCCTTTCCCGAGCCTACTATTGCAATTAGGTTCTTCTTTTCGGTTCCTCGCTTATAGCCCTCCCCCCCATCCTCCAACCTCTCTCAGCTGTCAAACGTGGTCCAAGATTCCGTCTCCGCCTCGGCGTTGAAAAAAAGAGGCTCTCATCTTCGCAACTGCCCCGAGCTCACGATGCCCGTCCACCTATCGTCGACGAGCCTGGACATGGATGGATCTCGCATGCCCGTCTCGATGGCGCCCTTCATGCGACCAGGAGATCGTACGGGACCGAAGTGCGAACTTTCCCCTCTTGATTCCCATCGTCTCGGTCTCGCTGCCTCACAATGCACACGCGGTCGCTGCCATTCAACGGGACTATGGTACAACTCGCACATCATTCGCAATCGCGCATCGTCGCTGCTGTCCCTTGTGCAAGTGATCCTCGGCCTAGGTGACGCCCGACGCGATCTCGACCGACCGACGAGGCTCATCAATGCAGTCACGTTCGCAATTGGTGCGATATGGCTCTCTTGTTGGAACTGGAAACTCTCAGCCCAGCAGCACCTCAAGTGCCTCGCTTACTGGCGCGGAGGAGGCATTTCGACATTTCACGATGGGCAGAATTCGCCTGCGGTGGTACAGCCATCCCGCTGGGTGCAACATTCCAAAAGGCGGCCGGCGACGGTCGACTTCGTCAGCGGCTCTGCCCTAGCCGGCGCTTGTGACCAGGGTGGCTGCTGGGTCAAAGCTGCACCTTTGTCCGTGCGTTGGTGCAGGAATGTGCAGGTCGCCCTCGCTTGTGCTGCTTCCGCTTTGCACAAGGCGCCTCGGCTAGAGCGCTTCATTCTTCTCAGACCTGCATCTCGGACCTGTCAAGCAGCCTTGCATGTGGGATCCTTGCCCCTCTCGCTCCTCTCCTCCTTTGCCTCCAGTGTCATTGACATTTCCCCATGCCTTTCTCGTCCTCAGCTCCTGCGCCCGCCTCCGTCGCCAGACCTTCGTTTCAGTGATAAAGTTTGGCGTGCCTTGCCAGGGCCTGGCACACAATCATTGTGGTTTCGTTCACCGAACAAGCGCCACTGATTGGGTGCCTCCCTCCTCTCGTTCCCTTGCTGGTTGGACAGGCTTGGTCACTTCGCTCTTCTGCTGTAGCGCCCACCTCGGACATGTCCTGCATTTGCCGCTCGTCCATAGCCCAGCTCGCCATCTTCGCCGAAGCCTATTCTTCTCTCGAAACTCGGTCTTCACTCTGGCTTTTGACGTGAGCTCTCTTGGCGTGGCCACACAGTCCATTCACATCTCGCAGAGGGCTCCTGGCCCCTGTTCTGAGGTGGCTTTTGGATACCCGAGGCTAGTCTAGCCAGCCCCTTCCGCCTCTGCCGCTGGACCAAGACATTCATTCTCGCCCTTACCCACCCTTGCCTCTCGGATCTTCTCGTTCGCTTCACGTCTCGATCCAACCTCGCGTCTACTGTCCTGGTGCCTTTGCCGACCATTCAGCCGCCTGCTGCCGTACCTGTCCAACACCTACACCATCCAATGGCTCGTCCACTTTCCTTTAAAGACCTCCTCACATCTACCAAACACACGACCGATTCCGAACATTCCCCCCCTTGCTTCATCATCATCATTTGCGATCCCACCACGAGCTCTCAGCCTCAGCCCGTCTCGCCTATCATCACTTCCCCTTACGTCTCCATCGCCCCCTTCTCCCTCTACGCTCGCTCTTCCATCCCTTTCAACATCGTAGTACCGGTTACATCTCGATCCTCTCTTTCCGTGAATCATCCCTCTCACCCCTCGCGACATTGCTTCGTTCCACCCATCAGCTTAAAATCGCCTCCGTTCCACCACCATATCGTCGTCTATCCAAACTCTTCCTCACAATTTCGCAGCCATGTCCTCATCACACGCTTCCAGCTCTGCCTCGGCACTCAACTCGAGCTTCCTTCGCCGACACCCCGCCAGCTTGATCCCCAAGCTGGTCCACAACCCCGCCCTCACTGACCTCATCAAGAGCCCCGTCACCCGCGAGATGGTCGTCTACCTCGCCAACCAGGCCGCTCACGTCATCCAGTGCGGCTCGACACAGTCCCCCGACACTCCGCCAGCGACACCCACCCGCTGCCTCGCCACGGCCGAAGCCGACCCCGCGGGCAAGCTCGAGATTAACGGCCTGCCCAGCCTGGAGACCTTCATTGCTCTCCTGGTCGAGCGATCCAACGTCCAAGTCCCCACCCTGCTCTGCACCCTCGTCTACCTCGACCGCTTGAGGTCTAGGCTGCCGCGCGTCGCCAAGGGCATGCACTGCACTCGTCACCGCGTCTTCCTCGCTACCCTCATCGTTGCCGCCAAGTACCTCAACGACTCGTCGCCCAAGAACAAGCACTGGACCAAGTACGGCGCTCTCTTCTCGCAAGCTGAGGTCAACCTCATGGAGAAGCAGCTTCTCTACCTCCTCGACTACGATCTCCGAATCGAGGAGGACGAGCTCATGGTCCACTTTGCCCCCTTCTTCCGCCGCGTCGAGACGCGTGCCGAGGCCGGTCGTCGCGAGATGCACCTCCGTGGTCTCGAGTGTGGTCGCGAGCGCGAGCGGTACGTCCGTGCTAGCGAGCGCCGCGTCCACCTCCGCAACCTCCCTGCTTCCGAGGTTCCCTGCTGGAACCAGCAGACCGAGGCGAGTCGCTACGAGCAGCACCGCAGGTCGGCAGCCTACGACTCGCCCGACTCGCTGGATGCCTCGCCCAAGGAGATGTACAGCCACGCGTCGTCGTCGTCGCTCATGACCCGACAGGACTCGGTCGAGTCGAACGCCAGCTCTACCTCCTCAGAAGCCGAGCTCACCGACGACAACGGCTCCTCGTCGTCATCAGCGGAAGACTTTGACGACTACGAGGAGGACGACTACCTCGAGCAGGAGGGTCTCAACACTCGCATGCAACAGCATTCGGTGTCTGGTCTTCCTTCCAGCCAGTCGCACCCCGTCATGGTCGCTCACGGCGATGACCTGGATGGTCACAAGTCGGGCTCGGTCATGCACCGCTACCTCTCGCAGGCCTTGCCTTCGAGTCTCAAAAAGAGCAACGCATCGCACCCCGACATGCAGCAGCCGAGCCAAGCGCACATTCCGACGTCGCACTCGATGCGCAGCGTGCGTGGCAGCTCCAACCTTCTCTCTAGGATGCTCGGCGGACACCAGTCCTCCGCAGCATACTAAACTTGCCTTCTCCTCGGGATCCCGTGTCGCGTTCCTCTCTGGGAGAGGAATGGACAACGAAGGATCGCCGGACATTCTTTCTTCTCTCGTCTTAGTAATGGTTTCTCAGTCCTAGCATCATGTCATGGTTCATCGTCAGCAACAACCCCCTCCCACCTCACCTCGTCATCATTATCATCAGCATAGCCTCCCTAATGGACCTCCTCTAGCATTCATCCCTCATCAACATCATAGTCGTCGTCTATCAGCATAGTAATTCTTCTCTGCTTAGTCTACTCCTTGCAAATGCAAAGCAAAACAATGGATTGCCAACCATCAAAGCCCTTCTTGTCTGTCTGTCTGTCTGTCTGTCTGTCTGTCTGTCTGTCTGTCTGTCTGTCTGTCTCCCTATGAAGGCTTTATATAGTACGATTGCCAGCTACGTAGTTGACAGCGACCTTGTTTGACAGGCGGTGAGATGACCCTCCTGTTGGCAGACCTCCACGATAGGAGGCGCCGAGTTCCGATTATTTTCTCAACACCCCCAATCCTCTCACTCAGCAACCTTTCATTGCGCACCGTCCGAACATCACACTCCCGGACCAGTGAGCCTGCAGCAGACATGGCCGAGGACACTGTTCGCCAAAGCGACCCCTCGTCCCGCCGGCGAGACGGAGACGACCGAAGCCATCACCGTCACCGAGACTCTAGCAGGCGGCATCGGGACGACGACCGGGACGAGCGGAGAAAGCACAGCAGCCATAGCAGCAGAACAAGAGACGACGAAGACAAGCACCGGAGCGGCGATCGCGAACACCGCCACCGACATCATCACCACCGCAGTAGCCATCGTCACCAGTCGGACTCGCGCGACAGACATCGCGAGCGACACCACGACGAGGAGCGCAGCGAGCGGAAGCGGAGGCACAGAGAAGAGGGATCACCGGGAGCGATACCACGGCCCGCTTTCAAGCGACCAGGCGAGTCCTCAGGCTCCGCCACGCCTACTTTTGGTCAGTCAAGTCGCCCACCGCGCAACATCGGCTTCGAAACACCTTCGTCGAAGCCAGCAACGGCCACGGCGATTCCCAGCGTCTTTACGCCGGTCATTGAGCGACCACCGGCAACGCCTCAAAAAGGCGTCATCATCGACAATGGCTCTAGCGACCCTGACCGGCCCATCATGACCTCGGATCAGCTCAACAAACTGCAAGCAAAGATCCTCAAAGCCGAGCTCATGGGCGACAGCAACTTGGACGCCCTACGAGCAGAATACGACAGCGAGTCTGCGCGAGCAAAGGCGCATCAATCCCTTGCAGGCGATCGAGGTGGCGGATTCGCCTCATCCTCAATCAGTGGTGATCGAATGGGCAAAGTATCCACGAACGCCAGCTCAGCAGGCGTGCTAGTCGAAGACGGCCAGCGCGAGCTGCAAGTGCTTCCGACGCTCGACGCTCGCGGACGCATGTACGACATCGGCTCGCTCAACTCCCAGACCGATCCGCCTCACGACCCCAAGGGCAAACGGAAGCTGAAAGGCCGTGACGAGTACGAAGCGCGTGACCCGTGCACCGGCTCCATCGTCCGCTACTCGGCCGACGACGACGGCACCAGCCTCGCCGACCTCGTGCGCCAAGAGCGATTCTCTGCCGGCTCCCGTTCGGTCAAGGACCCAGACGCCGAGCTGGCGACCAACATCATGATCGACCACTCGTACAGCGCCAATCTCGACGAGCAGGACGAGGAAGCGCATCGGTACGCAAAGAAGAAGATGCGGAGCGATGCGCTGAAGCGGCAGTTTGCGATCAACGACTTTGCGCGGACCAAGAAGGCGCTCGACCGATGTCGGTTCTGTTGGCAGGACGAAGGTGCCAGGCCACCACGGGTGACGGTAGTCAGCAGTGGGTACATGGCGTACTTGGCGATCCCGGATGTGGAAGCGGCGTCGGAGCGCGAGGAGGACCATGTTTGGATCGTGCCGATGCAACACCACCTCAGTCTGCTCGAGGCAGACGACGACACGTGGGACGAGATTCGCAACTTCCAGAAGTGCTTGCTGCAACTGGCAGCGGCGGGAGGGCGAGCGGTGGTGTTCTACGAGACGGTAGTGTCGCTCAAAGGACAGGCACATAGCGTCATCGAGGCGGTGATTCTGCCGAAACCAGCGATGGATCTCGTACCCGGCGTATTCAAGGAGAGCCTCCGCAGCGTCGGCGGCGAATGGAGCACGCACAAGAAGGTCATCGAGTTCTCCAGCTCCAGACCCTTTCGGCATGCGCTCGTGCCCAACCTGCCTTACTTTGCCGTCTCGTGGGACTACAGATGGAACACGGGCTACGGCCACGTCATCGAAAACATGGACTCCGACCGAGGCGGCAAGGTTGAGGATGAGAACGCCTTTGATGTCGACGAGATGACAGCTGGCGGAGGCGGTGGAGCAAGCAGTGGCAGGTTCGATCCCAACTTTGCAAGGGACGTAATCAGGGGCGTCCTGGAGGACCTGGACAATGACAGCGGGAGTGACGGCGGCTACATTAGGTCGTTCGGCAAGTCCAGAAGGAGATCGGATGACGAGAAGAGACGGGTCAAGGACAAGTTCATGCGCGAATGGACCAAGGTGGACTGGACAAAGATGCTCACGTCTCAGTCGTAGAGCACGCAAGCAGGGGCATGGCAAATGAAAGCTACCATTGGTTCTGGCGATAATTGACCATTGAAGCGTGCGTGAGCTTCATGCTCCTCCAGCTCCGCCTGCCCCTCCTCCGCCCATCATGCCCTTCATCATGTTCATCATTCCGCCCATTCCACCCATTTGCGACATCATATTTTGCATCGCAGCCATATTCGGCATCCCTCCTCCTCCGCCGCCCATCATGTTGGCGAGACCTCCTAAGCCTCCCATGCCGCCCATGCCTCCCATGCCCGCCAGCCCCTCTGGCATGTTGCCGCTCTGTATCTGCTGCAGGAGCTTCTCTCTTCCGCCTGGTTGACGCAACTGCGCTTTGATCTCCGGCGGCAGCGCGTTCTGCATCTGCATGACCTGCTCGCGCGACATGCCGGGTGGCAGCTGGCCTGGTGCGGGCATCTTACCCTTCGCTCCTGGTCCTCCCATCCCCATCTGACGCAAGAAACCGTCTTTGCCACCGAAGCGTTTGACCATGCCGCCCACCATCCTGTACTGCATCAAGAACTCTTCCACCTCTCGGACGGACGTTCCTGAACCGCGGGCTACCCGACGCGCCCGAGCGGTCATGCGCATCTTTGGCTGTGGCTTCTTCTTCTTCTTGCTCTTTCCCGCGGCAGTGGAGCTCTCTGCGATGGCGAGCTCCTTCGACTCCGCAGGCGGCTTCTTGGATCGAATCGGCGCAGTGAACATCCTGCCGTCGCTGTCGAGTTCCTCAGCGGTCATGGCATCGGTGATGAACATCATGCGCTTCATCTTGCTGCCTGCGGCCTCGTCGTCTCCGCCGGCACCGCTGAGCATCTGGCCCATGCCCGGGATCATACCTGCGATCTTGCTGAGCGGACCCATGCCCATGATGTTCGAGAGCTGCTCGCGCCAATCACGGATGCTGAACACTCCTCCTTCGCCGATCTTCTTGAGCATCTCCTGCTGTCGTTCCTGTCCGCCGTTCATCTGCATCTCCTCCATCTTGTCCATGAGACCGCTGATGTCGCCCATGCCGAGCAGCTTCGAGATGAACGGTTGGGCGCGGAACGGTTCGAGATCGGCAGCGTGCTCACCGGTGCCGATGAACATGATGGGTGTCGAGGTGGCAGCGACGGCCGAGATGGCACCACCACCCTTGGCGTGACCGTCGAGCTTGGTGACGATGATGGCACCGTAGCCGGCGGCTTCCTTGAAGGCACGAGATTGCGCCTCGGCAGCTTGGCCGATGTTGGCGTCGAGCACCATGATGGTGAGATCGGGGGTGACGGCAGCGTCGATCTCGCGCATCTCATCGAAGAGCTCCTGCTCCTGCTTGTGACGACCGGATGTATCGACGATGATGACCTCGAACCGGTTCTGCTTGAAGCTGGCGACACCGGCAGCGGAGATGGCGACCGGGTCGGTCTCGGTGTAGCTGCCGTAGAAAGGGACGTTGATCTTGCTGGCGTTTTGCTTCAACTGATCGAAGGCACCGGCACGGAAGGTGTCGGCACAGACGAGACCGGTCTTGAAGCCGCGCTTCTGGTAGTAGAGCGCGAGCTTGGTACACGAGGTCGTCTTACCGGAACCCTGGAGACCGACAAACATGATGACGTTGGGCTTACCCTTCTTGGGCTTGAAGATGTCGCCTGGCCCTGCATTTCCGGCTGCGACGACTGCGCCCGAGTCGTCCTCGGTCTTGGTCTGTCCGTGCTGTGGGTCGACGAGTGCAACGAGGTGGTCAAAGACAGCCTTCTGGACGCGCTGACGACGCTGCGCATCGGTCCAGTTGGCGTTGGCCTTGTCGTTGAGAAGGGCGGTGACTTGGGCTTTGACCTGCGAGCGGAGGTTGGCGACGAGCTTGACATTGACATCGGCTTCGATGAGGGCGTTGCACACAGATTTGAGGAGTTGGTCGATCGAAGCAGCGTCGACGGTGGGGACCTTGGAAAGGTCCTGGAAGGCGCTGTTGATGCGCCTACCGAGGTCGGAAAGAACCATGCTGGGTAGCTGTCCACTCGCGAGGACAAGCGAGAGAGGATCGAGCTGCTGATGATGGGGGAAGGGCTAGTGTCGCAGGGAGGATGAGCACAGACGTTGGGCATGCGAGATGCTCCGTTGCTCGGGTGGCTGCGGTCACGTGGCTCTCCCCATTTCTCAACGTTTCTCTTGCACAATGCAGGTCTAACAAGGATAGAAAATTCACTAGATCTGAGGTATCGACGCGCCCGTCTGGAAGGCGGTGCTGAAGACCAACACAAAAGAACCTTCCGACGAACGATGCCTTCGGTCGCGGCTATGTCGCATCGACGCCTCCGCAGGGCTTGGCTATCAGGAAGATGGTGATGATCATCACCGGCGACAGCTTGGCTAGTATCACATACGAGGTTGACCTGGTCAAGGCGAGCTCTTCGAAGGGCTTCTTAAAAGCAAGGTGCCGGCCATAGGTGCGGCCGTCAAGCGGCAAGAAGTGCTCAACGCGTGTCAGAGGATCGCCTCGGCATCAGCGCAGACCCACGAATGCTATCGAAGCTGCCGTTCTGATGGCCACGGAACACCAGAGCGATGATGCGACGACGACGACTCTGAAAGGGAAAGCAGGGCCAAAATCGGGCCATTATGAGCGGGGCTGTGCAGTGATTTATGCAGTCAGCCGAGGCGAGGCAGCAGAGTGCGGCACTGGCGACGCGCTAGTCATTGTGCATAGATGATCGACGTCAGTCGACCTCCTTGAACCGGTACTGATCTTCTCGAGATCAGCAGCAGTGTCGACGCCCAGCATCACGTCCATCAGCGAAGATGGCGGTATTAAGTCATTTCCTCTGAGACAACACCTTGACTGATGCGCAAACAGCGTACTAGAATGGTGACAGCGAGCGTACCAGAGAGCCAGGCTCTGCGCAGCCAGTCGATCCCAAATTTAAAGCGTTGTTGAGCTTGAAAAGGGGCAAGCCACCAATGCTGTGCAGAGAGCAAATTGTGCCTGCCAAGCTATCAATTTTGGCAGAGCGGACCCTAACGACGGTAGCAAGTCACAGCCTCCACTCCCACATGCGCACGAACAACCCTTCTTCGGCTTCGCCTCGTCGCTCCTCCTCCTCTCTTCGCTCATTCGTCATCTGGTACCGAGGTCAGCCAAGTCGGTCTTCCTGCGGTCGCGTCACAGCGCCGTTTGAGTCTCACTTCCCGCCGACGGACAGGTGTTGGTTCGGACGCTTGGCAACCGCGGCTCTCCATCAACCGCGCACCCTACCGCACTGCTGACTCTCCCTGCCTCATCCTTCCAACGTAAGTAACCAGCTCGACGTCGACCTTGTCAATCTATATCACCTTCGCATCTCGATATCTTCACTTGCTTCTTCCGCGCATACACACCCTCACCATACTCATGACAACGCCGTAGCATTCCACACCATACGCAACCTGTCATCTGGACCACCCGCAAAGAACATGCGATCTACTTTCAGCCTTTGACCTAGTACATCGACATGCTCTCCTACCAGCAGCAGACTCATAAAGCCTCTTCCTACTCCGATCTTTGCAACCGCAGACCCTCCCTCAAAAGACTCCGCTGCTCGCAGGGACAGGCTCGTTCCCTTTGTGTCAAGATGCGCACCACCTCAGGCGCATCCTCGAGCGCCTCCGGGTCAGGTCGACTCAAGGCTGATCTCACAAGAATCGTCCGTCAAGTTCACAAGACGGCGTCCGACCACAACATCGGCAGCGATTCAGGCGTCTCGTTCTCCGGCGAGGCTTCCTCCTCTTCACAAAAGGCGCGCCAAGGCACAGGAAGCTCGATTGCCAGCACCATCACGCCCGAATCGGCTCCGGACCGCGCATCCACCGTCACGGATGACAGATCCACCAAAAACGCTCCCACGCTTTCCACGGGTCTTCCGATGCTGCCTCAGCTCGGCGCGGACGACTCCGACGTGGTCGACTCGCCTGCGCAATTGAGACCCAGCGAGGCCTTCTTCCCATCAGCACCAGAGTCGTCCTCTCGCTCCTCCTTTTCACTTTCTCCCTCCTCTTCCCAAGACTTCGAGCTCAACGATCTGTGGGACGCCCTGTCAAGGCAACTCAAGCCGATCGCCGATGTGTTGCGCACAGGTCGACATCGCGAAGATCTCGGCGCCTCGAGGTTGCCTGCCGATTGCGTCTCGGCGCTACAGCTCTGGCTCTGTACCGACTCGGCCACATCGAAGCAGCAACCTAACAATCACGTCCTCGAAGCTGCCATCGAGATCTTCCGCGTGCTGGCCAACCTTTGCATCGATCACGACGCCAACCGCACGGTGCTCGATGCTGCCAAGGCCGCACCCACCATTCTGGCCGCCGTGTCGGCTATCTTGCGCAAGCAAGACCAGTCCAGATCATCGGCGCTCTTTTCCGTCAAGATCCTCACCTTCCTCCGTGCTGCCATGGGTGCTGTCCTCAATATGCAGCTCGAGCACATCGCTACCCGCCTGTCGCTGGCTACCGTCGACTGCATCACCACCCTCGCCTCCGTCGCTTCATGTCCACGCATCTACCTGCCGCATCTTTGGGCCATGCCACGCTCTGTCGAGATCGAGAACGATGCCGATGCCCTGAACAAGCTCAAGATGGGAGCCACCGTGACCAGCTGGGCGTGGCGTATCATCCAGGAGATCTTCGACGACGCAAAAGAGGAAAAGGAAGGTCAGCCGGATACTCCCTCGGACGAGATGCACGATGGCGACCTAGACGATGCCTCATCACGTGACGTGCGTTCTATCCTTGCGCGACGATGCTTCACAGACCTGCTGCGACCACTGTCGCTGTACGTAGCTTCAGAGGGACAGACAACGGGTCACCGCATCGAGATCGACGCAGATGACGTAGAGGACTTGGTCGACTCGGACGCCGAGATCATGCAGGCGGTGGCTACCCTCATCGAGTCGTGTGCCGCCGAGGAGGCAGATTTCCGTCAGCGCGCTGTTGCCCGCTTCGTCGCCCAACAAGACCGATCCGGGCACGGTCAGCTCGAGAATCAGTTTCAATCCGGCCTCGACGTCCTCATGTCGTTTGTCGAAACAGTCGAGCTGCCTCGCGAATGGGTCAGAGACTTTTCGGCGCTCGACGGCTCGACCCAGACCAGCAGCAATGCCGACGAGGATGCACAAGCGGCGGAAGAGATGCGCAAAGCTTTCGCACAGGCCAAGGCCTTGGTGGCGGGTGCTGTGGTGACCATCTCGGGTGATGACGACAACATGGTGGAGCTCTTCAGCGGCCCGCTCCACTTCATCGACCGCCTCAAGGCGTGGGCTCGGTATGATCCCAAGAAGCGCGATGATCTGGTTAGCTGCGGTATGCTTGCACTTGGGAATCTGGCAAGAAGCGACGCGCACTGCCTCAGCTTGGTGCAGGAACACGGCCTTGCGCCTTTCTTGGCTTCGCTTCTGGCACAGGCGGACGACATCAAGGTGGCACATGGCCTGGTTTCGCTGCTCAAGAATCTGTCCATCCCAGCGCCCAACAAGGCGGTCATCGGTCAATTGGACGTGATCGACGCCGTGACTCGTTTCATGAACAAGGACAAGGACATGGTGCAACCGCTCCAATTTGCCACGGTGGGTCTGCTCAAGCATCTCTGCGCAGGCGTTACCGAGAATGCAGTGCGACTCGTCGATGATGCGTCCAGCAGCAGTTCCTCATCGTCGGCACTCAATGCGCTCATCGACATGATCCGACGTATCGACGACATGCCCACCAAGATGGAAGCGACCCGTGTCCTGGTCAATGTGGTCAAGAGCCTTTGGACGAGCGCACGAAGCAGCGGATCGCAGGCATCATCGGAGCAAGCCAACCTCGCAGCTCGCCAGAAGGTGGTGCGAAGGGATGTGATTCAGGCTATCGCCGAGATGGTGCGAACCAGCCCCAAATACCCAGTGCTGGTCAACGAAGGCATCATTGCTCTTACATTGGTAGGAAGCGAGAGGATGGGTGCAGAGCTCGTGAGCCTCTCGCTCCTTTCCGAGCCCACCAAAGCAGTGGCAGAGGACGACGAGAACGAAGAGATGGGATCGGACAACGAGACCGGAGCTGCCGTAACACGACGACGATCCACGGTCGACAGCTCGGCATCCACATCATCGCATCCGCTGCCGCCGCCGGACTGCGCGCTGGACATGGTCAACCTCGTCCTCGCCAGGAGGGACGCACGCATGCCTCCGCAATTCGCTTGCAATGCGTGTGCACTCGTGCTCAGCCTCTGTCATGCGAATCAAGGTGCGAGCAGCACAGGAGCGGTGGGGCAGGATGCGGTCGCTCGTGTCGCCGCAAAGACGCGACCGGCACTGCAGCAGTTGAAGGAGCATGGACCGACCGAGGCGCTTGCTGCTGCGGCAGATGCCCTCGAGGCTGTCAGCCAGGCTGCCAACATCTAAACTACATCTCGTCTAATAAAAGACAGCCCATCATATCGACGTCCTTGCCGGAGTGTCCGGTGTGGTTGAGAGTGAGAGTGGTGCTAGGTGGCATGTCGAGCAGATCGGCGATCGGAGACCGTAGAGGCGCTTCGCATCGCGGTTGTCAAGCTTGACAACCGAAAAAACGTGGCAGAAATTCCCGTTGCAACGGAACGGCGAGCGGGCGGTCGAGCAGTCAGAGCGTTGACGTAGTTTTCTAAATTCAAAATGAAAGAGTCTAGAGAGAGAGAGAGAGAGCGCACGCGGCGGGCGGCGCGGTGCGGCGAACCTGCGGAGCTGTGATGTCTCTTTATGCAGGAAAATGGCCTCGGATCGGCCACAATTGGGCTGTGACCGAGCCACAGTCTGAGAGTCGACCTTCGAACACTGTAACATCACATTTTGAACCGTGCTGAAGCCTGTTTTGAGCAATCACATTCTCATGCGCCGATTCAAGGTCAACTTTCTGTTCCTGTTTCAGTTGTGATTTCAACCAGCAAGCTTCACCTTTTGAGTTTTTGCTCGTCACCACCATCATCATCCTCACACGTACGCTTTCGCCCTGTTCCTTCAGCGACGTACGCGCATCAGCTCGAGCAGACAAGGTCAAAGCTCTTCCCCTGCGGTCCTCTCGCGTCGCGCCGCTGCTTCGCCCGGCTTGCACTCATCGCGCTCACGAAGTGACATTTTCTTCCTCGCATCGCATACCCAGCATTCAATTCTGACGACTCAGCACATTCTTCGGCCCATCATGTCGAGACTCACCTCGTCAGCACTCTCGCTGGTGCTCGCCATCGCATCACTGGCGCTGCTCCTGCCCTCCTCCGCCTCCGCGCAGGACTTCACCTTCCAAAACGTCACCTCGATCATGGGCACATGGTCCTCAGGCTCACAGAACGTCACCACAGGCCTCGAATTCTTCAACCCCATCACGCAAGAATTCACGCTGCCAGCCACGACCGGCATTTCGTACTCGTTCACCGACGACGGCTTCTTCGAGGAGTCGCGCTACCAGTTCACATCCAACGCCGTCACCAACCGCTGCTTCAAAGCGTCGCTCATCTGGCAACACGGCACATATCAGTTCCACACCAATGGGTCTATTACCCTCAACCCCTTCCCCGCCGATGGATACGTCCAGGTGCTCGACCCTTGTGGTGCCCAAACCAGCTCCATCTACCACTATGCCGAGTTCGAGCTGATCAGCTCGTGGTACAACTACCAAGACAACCACCCTGGCTTCATGCCGACAGGGACGTCCGCGTACGCCTTGCAAATGCAGCAATTCGACGGCAGCAAGATGCCTCTCATGTGGCTCAAGTCGCGGCCCCCTAACATGCTTCCCACTAAGCAATTGTTCCAGAAGGTGTTGAACGACGCTGGCGCATGAGCTGCCCGACGTTGTTGCTGTTGCTATCGTCCTTTTCCGGCTCTCCCCGAAGATAGCAGACTTCTCGCATTCACGGACATTCGCATCCCACTTGTGATTCATATACCAACTTTCTCGACAAAGACCAACCAGCGCCGCCCACTTTTCATACTCTTGCATGTTTTTCGCAATTCAGTCGTACACACATTCCATCCGCCCACTTGCTTGTGTTCCCCAAGCTGCGAGCAAAGGAGGGCCAGGCAGAGAAGCGTATCTGGCTGTGTTGCAACGTGATACTGAGTCTCTTGACGCTTTTGGAGACGCATGTCTGATCGCAAGGCGCAGTTGAGACTCTGAGCGGCCAGTGCTTCACAGTCCGCGCTCGAACACGAGACGAAAGGATCGAACAGGCACACGTGGAATGGCATCACGGAACGCCTTTCGATCAGACATGCGTCTCCAAAAGCGTCAAGCCACTCAGTATCACGCTGCAACACAGCCAGATACGCTTCTTTGCCTGGCTCTCCACTGCTTGCGATCATCGTTGACGGAGGAGTCGTGCTTTTTCATGATGCGTACTCTATCGTCTACACCGCTTGGTGCGGGAATGATCACGCGTCCGTCTGCTTCCATACGTTGGCCTCCTCCGCCTGTGGCTTGCCATTCGACCTGCTCGCCGGTCCGTCGTCCTCCTCGTCGTCATCGTCGATCGAAAATAGATCCTCCCTGCGCACTTTCGCCCCTGGATCCGCCGCTCCGCTTCGCTGACTCGTCGAGGGCATCGCACCAATGTCAACGCTGTCGTCCCAAATATCGTTATCGCTGAACCGTGCCTTCTTCTTCCCCGCTCCCTGCGATGTCGCACCTCCTTCCCTCAGTATCCCCCTCGGCCCCTCCTCCTCCTCTTCGTCCAGCTCGGCATCCCCATATTCCACATCCAATGGCTCATACAACCGCTCGATCTCCCTTCGTGCCCTATACCTCTTCTCTGCGTGATAACTCAACCACAATCCCAAACTGCTCCCCAGCAAATTCGCTACGATATCTCCCCACTGGAACACCTTATACGGCAGAGCGCTTTGGACGATCTCGCTACCCACTCCGCCAACTACAAAACATGTGATTCCGGTCAAAAACAGCGAGGCGTTGCGCCAGAGGTAGCTCGCCCTCGCCGGCTCATCGACATCCCAGATCATATAGAACATCGACGTGGCGAGGAGGAAGCAGATGAAGTGAAGCAACTTGTCGTTGAGTCGTAGCCAGGTGGAGGAGCGAGGATGGAAGCCGAGGATGCCGAGCAGGAGGAGATCGAGGATGTTTAGTAGGACAAAGGCGGGGCGGATGCGGAGCGGGAGCGCGGGGCCGGAGGTGGAGGAGGAGGGGGGCGAGAGACGCACGGAGCGGAGGAGGAGGGAGCGCAGGATGGTGAGTCGTTGCGAGAGCGTGCCGGTAGACGGGTGGAAGAGCGAGGTGACGTCGGCGGTGAACCGCGACCATCCGGAGGACGTTTCTAGTCGAGGCATTGTGAGGGAGTATGCCAGGAGAAGGTCGCTTCCGATGACGCCGCTGTGATGGGTGTGCAGCACTACAGATGAAGTGCAGAGGATGTTGAAGAGCGGCACGGCAGGTTCAGCGTAGGCAGATCCGGCCTAAGAAGGCGGTCGAGAGTGCAGCTGCAGCAGATGTTCGTCGCTGGTATCGTCGCACTTTCAGCTTGGCCTTGAAGTGCAATTCGGTGGCAAGCGTACAGCTGCCTTTCCTCTGGGCGACGATCGAGGTGGTGACAGCAGTGAAGGCTGTTCGTGCTCTTGAAAGATGCGATCAGGGCGTTGGTCGAAGAGCAAAATGAAAGCAGGTGACGAGAACGAGGAAGGTTCTTGGCGCCAGAAATTTAGGGCGGTGGCTCGTTCACTCTCACACTCAGGGTCCAAAGCTCTTTCTTGACTGCGCCATCCTTTCGTTCGTCACGCGCCCCCTCCTTTGCTCAGCCCCACCATCTCAATCCATCTCAAATCTCACACACGATCACGCTCTGAACAGTGACAATGACAACGATCCCATTTCCGATAGAAGCCCAACAATAAAAGGTAATGTACGCTACGACTTGGACAGGTTGGGGAACTGCGCCTGCGCGCTCTGCTTGGGCGACTCCAAGACCCCTACAAGGTGCTCGGGCATAGGGTCATGCGACACGGTCCTCTCCTCGGTGATGCTGACGATCGCCGCGGGTCTCTGCGCCTCGACGTCGTCGTGCATCGAGATGGTGCCGAAGCTCTTTGCGTCTGCGGTGGGGTGGACGTTGCCGCCGGTGTAGCTGAGCGAGTTGACGCCCGTCTGGGACACGGCCGTTGCGCCGGACGCCGTAGCCCCACTCCTGCCGGCGAAGGACGGGTGGAGCTGACCAGTGCGACGGAAGAAGCGGCTGAACTTTTCCATGCTCGACCCGCTGAGCTCCGCAAAGCTCGTGCCGTCCGGTCGCGGCTTGGCCTCTTCGGCGAGGTTGACGTAAAGTCGGGTGGCGCACATGACGCACACGGTGGCACTTGGGATGGCGCAGATGAGCGACATGACCGGGTTCAGATTGGCCAGCGTCAGACCTGCCACCAGACTGTTGATCAGGAAGGTGGCGAGGAAGTACTGGAAGCCCTGCTTGACGAGGATGGTGCCGATACGCGAGCCCGAGTTCATTCGGACCACGCCGACGACGGTGAGCAGCATCACGACAAAGTCGAACACGATGGTGACGATGTACTTGATGGCGTAGTTTTCCGAGATGCCGGTAAAGTTGCAAGCGCCCTCAGTCCACGAGTTGCCGCTCTGGGCCACCCACTCAGCCTGGATGTCGGTCACGCCCTCCATCCACGCCGCGAGCAGGCCGAGCGTCATCACCGCCAACAGGACCGAGACGGCGGTGCGCGTCTTGCCGTTGAAGACGCACACAGCTCGGAACGCCAGCAACACGGAGGATGAAACCGCGACGAAACCCATCTGCGTCTCGATCGCCTCCATGGTGGCCTGGCAGTTGATGCGCCAGGTCGAGGTGATGAAGATGAGCGAGGTGCACAGGAAGCCGATCATGAAGATCTTGCTGAGGATGTAGGGAAGCTGCGGCCATCGACGCTGGCGTTTGACGAAAAGCATGTTGATGTCGAAGAGGAAGTACTGGCAGATGTCGTAGGCGAAGATGCCGATGCAGATGTACATGAGCGCCTGGGCGGCGTAGAACGCCTGCCCGATGACGACGGGGGATTTCCAATCGGTCATTGTTGGATGAGGTGAGTGTGCGGATGATGGAGGTAGGGAGGGGTGATCCGAGGGGGCGACGACGAAGCATGAACGAGATGGAGCGGATACTTATACATTGGGGGACGAGCGAGCATCCCAGCCACGGCGACTGGCACGAGTGCAGGCGATCGTACCGACCACGCATGAAACCAAGCCAACGGCCACCACCACCATCTCAGACATGGCTTCTCGCATTGCTCCGCACCTTTCTCTGGACGGAGTGCCAATAGGGTTGACAGCCGAGAAACACGGAATCGGCCCATCGAGAGCATCGAACTGCAAGGCGGCTATCAGCTGCTGCCAAACGTGGCTGGGACAAGGCAGCGTCGGCGGCTGGGGGACTAGTGCAAGCGCCTAGTCTCTCTGCAAGGAACCGAGACGAGGCTGTCAGCTGGTGCCCACATTTTTTGCCGAAAAAGGTAAGCGAGCGTCTTGAACGTGGTGCGGGGTTGCAAAGCGTAGGCCGGTGTGGTACGGTCGATCTTCTTTGCCAAGTCGCCTCTCTGACAGGTGTTGGACAGATCGATGTTGCATGCGGTCCACTTTGGCAGTGTGTCCAAAGCATAAGCCGCCCGATTTTTTTTTTGGTCGGTCGCAGTTCGAATAATTTCGATTTATCTCGCTGACAAGCCCGCAAAAAATGTTTCACTCGCTCAAATGGCTGGGCGTCTGCCCGCATGGCATGGTTTGAATCGCTGCGCACATGCAGACGTCGGTCAAGCGGGCAGGTCTTGAGCACGATAGGTCGATCGCACGAGGAATTCGACACGAGGGTGTGGTGATCTGTGGAGACGGGGTTGCGATCCAGGCCTGATCGGAGAGGTTAAAAAAAGGCTACGCGCTCCCGTATCCGGATGGAGGTAGATTTTATTCCAAGCTTGCCTACCTGAGGCGATCCGAGATGGCCATTCCGTACTGGACAGCGATCGTATCTCCCCCAGGTAGTCTCGGGACGGGTGTCCGACTCGCCCCAACTGGGGGCACGGGAGCAGCCTCCTCTCGTGGCTGCAACAAACGTGTCTCACCTCGGGTGGTGCGTTAGCATGTCTCTCTGGCTTCGCTTTAGGGTGGCGACTCGATGAGACATTTTTTTGTTCCCCCTTGGGCACTTTTTGACAGTCCAACTGACGGATTGCAAGCCACGGCTTTCGTGTGCGTGCTGGGTTTCAGCCTCCCCCTGCTGAAAACTCAGCTGGTAGCTCTCCTGTCTCTCAGCGACTCTGCAGATGCGGGCTGGCAAACAGCGACTGCAGCTTTTAGAGCTCGATCTGCAGCCTCTCCCGACGTGAAGGGCCTGGACTCGCACGCAACAAGGTTCGATCACAGCCAGCCACTGTATAAACAAAGCTCCGCGATCTTTCGTGGTCCCGGGATTCGCTCCTTCCGTACCATCGGATGGTGATTGCAGCACGCAATGCGCAAATGATGGTGACGAGGAGGAAGGTACATTACAGCGCGGTGTGGTGCAGGTGAAAGGGCCGCGGCAAGGCCGGTGCTCGTCGCTAAGAGGCCTGGCCCTCAATGCGAAGTGCCAAGAGCAGGCGTAACAGCCACGCCTACTGTGGCTCAAGCTGCTCGTGGCGTCCAGGCTGGACACGCTTCAACGCGAAACGATCCATTCAGGGCTGTTGATCGGCAAGCAGGACGAAACGACGAGCGAGCACGACATCCAGCAAGTCGCATTCCGATCCGGGAAAGCTAGTGAGGGACCGAGCTGGGAAGCCCTATCGTTCCGCGTGCGGTGTGCGGGATTTGCAAAGCCCGCCGGAAACCTTCTTTCCCACGGTCCGTCGCCGCAGATTGAATCTCACACTCGTTCAACAGCAGCATACCCCGCAGCACGCACCCGATCGTCCTCGCTGATCACGCTCCAGCCTCGCGCTCGTTCTCGAAGTATGAATGCATTGCTCTATACAAGGTTACTGCGCACCCTCAAACGCAGGCCAGACCTTCCTCCCCGGTGTCGCGGTAGGCACGCGCATCTCTCTCGGGAACAACCCTTCCAACCGTGCGCCTCCCGCAACGGCCTTGACCAGTCTCCTCGCCTCTGCGCCGCTAGGCGCATCCGCCTTCGGCTCCGCCCCTGGCAACGTCACCAGTCCCAGCTCGACCAGTCTCCTGTGTTCCTTCGGGGACCGCTTGTTGGGGGCAACCTTGTACGTCGCCGCTGCGTACAGTCGTTCATCGGTCGATTTGAGATCGGTCAACGCCTCGCGGAGGCGGGCTTGCTTGCGATCCAGTCGTTCCGAAAGCGATTCGCGCTGGGTGCGCTGGAAGAGCAGCCAGGCGCGCGTGATGGTCGAATGGATCTCCTCCGCCTGCTCGGCCGGGAACGGCAGCACCGACGCGGCCGAAGTGGCAGCTTTGTCCTTGGCAGAGGTGGGCGGGTAGACGATCTTGCGGATCGAATCGGTGCGCGGGTCGGCGGCGGGCGGGATGTAGTTCGGATCGTTCGGGTTGCGCGACCCGCCAGTAGAGGGTTTGGCGGCGGTGGCGTAGCCTCGAACGCTACCGAGGGCGGATGAAACCTTGTTGGCCGCAGCGGCAAAGGCTCCGGACACACCACCGGCGGCGGCGGATGATCGCGAGGCTTGCTCGCGGATCAGGTTGAGCGCCGATCCAGCTCGAATCCAGTCCAGGTGCGCCGCACTCAACGAGTGCTTAGTCGGCAACTCGAATGTTTCTTTGACGGTAGAACCGTCCTGTTCGAACTTGGTCACCTTCAGCTTGACCTGCGTTGACAGATCTCCACCCGGTCGAATCAGATCCGTCAAATTGACCGTCTCGACCAGATCACCTGAGCCGATCCGGAGGTAATCGTCCTCGTTCTCAAACAGCAGCGTCAGCACGCCCTGCTTGCGCAGGTTGGTCTCGGCAATCCGCGCGATGCTGCGCGCCACAATCAAGTTGCATCCGTAGAACCTGGGCTGCAGGGCGGCATGCTCACGTGCCGAGCCTTCACCGTAGTTGTGGTCGGCCACCATCATCCACGGCTGCTGGCGCGACTTGTAGATCTTGGCGACGCCGGGGATGGTGTCCTGTTTTCCGGTTTCGTAGTCCTGCGCGACGTTGACCGCGTCGAACTCGTCGTTGGTGGCGCCGATGAGCGTGTTTTCGGCGAGGTTGGACAGATGGCCCTTGTACTTGAGCCAAGGACCGGCGGCGGAGATGTGGTCGGTGGTGCACTTGCCCTTGATGCGAAGCAGGCAGCGCATGGTGGGCAGCTCGTACTTGCCTTGCGCGGCGGTGGCGGCAAAAGGGCTCGAGAAGGGCTCCAGCGGCTCGAGACGCGCGGACGTGGGGCTGATCAGCACCTCGGTGTCGGGCTGCGGCTCGGGCATGGGTGCGGGCAGGTAGTCGACATCACCCTGTGCAAATCCGCTGGCGGGCAGCACATCGCTCTGAGGAGGCTCAAACTTGAACGGCTTGCCATCCGGAGCGGTGAGGGTGTCGGTCATGGGGTTGAAGTCGAGACGACCAGCAAAGGCCATGGCGGTGACAATCTCGGGCGAGGCGAGCATGTTCCACGTCTTGGAGTTGCCATCATTGCGTCCGCGGAAGTTGCGGTTGAACGAGGTCAGGATGACGTTCTCCTCGCCCTGCAGCTCCTTTCGGTTCCACTGACCGATGCAGGGACCGCAGGCGTTGGCGAGGACACGTCCACCGACGTCCGTCAGAACTTGCTGGATGCCATCGCGCTCGACGGTAGCTCGGACCTGTTCGGAACCAGGGGTGACGTCGAAGCTCGACTTGACCTTCATGCCACGGTCGCGAGCCTGCTGAGCGAGCGAAGCGCATCGAGCCATGTCGGCGTACGACGAGTTGGTGCAGCTGCCAATGAGCGCGGCGCTGAGCTCGACGGGGTGGTCGCGAGCCTCCGACTTGGCCTTGTTGACAAATTCGGAGAGGGGCGTGCTAAGATCGGGGGTGAAGGGACCGTTGAGGCAGGGTTCGAGGTCCGAGAGGTTGATCTCGATGCGTTCGTCGTATTCTGCGCCCTCGTCGGCGGCCAAGAAGCCCTGACCAGCCGCCTTCTCGGCAGCGCGGGCCACCTCGGCACGACCCGTCGCCTCGAGGTACGAGCCCATGGCGGGAGTGAAGGGGAAGGCGGAAGTGGTGGCACCGACCTCGGCCCCCATGTTGGACATGGTGGCAAGACCCGTAGCGGGTAGCGTCTGCAGACCCGGGCCCGAGTACTCGACGATCTTACCGGTGCCGCCGCGCACGGTGAGCTTGCCAGCGAGGTGAAGGATGACATCCTTGGGCGTGCACCAGGGGCTGAGCTCGCCCTTGAGGTGGACGCCGAGCACCTTGGGTGCCATGAGCTCCCAGGGAGTGTTGGTCATGGCGTCGACGGCATCCGCGCCACCGACGCCGATGGCGAGACAGCCGAGACCGGAAGCGTTGGGCGTGTGCGAGTCAGTGCCGAGCATGAGAAGACCAGGTGCGGCGTAGTTCTCGAGGACGATCTGGTGGATAATGCCGGAACCGGGACCCCAGAACTCGATGCCGTACTTTTGGGAAGCCGATTCGAGGAAGGCAAAGACCTCCTGGTTGGAGGCGATGGAGCGCTTGAGATCGGCCTCTGCGCCTTCGTACGCCTGAATGAGATGATCGCAGTGTACACTGGAGGGAATGGCGGTACGTGGCAAGCCACAAGTCATGAATTGGAGAAGAGCCATCTGTGCGGAAGCATCCTGCATGGCAAGACGATCGATCTTGAGCTTGAGGTACTTCTTGCCTCGAATGGCCGAAACATCGCTGCCGACACCCGCCAAGTCCTGCTCTGGGTTTCGGAGATGCGAGTAGAGAATCTTTTCCGAGAGTGTCAAGGGTCGGTTGAGTTGCGCTCGGACGGTTTCGAGGGTGGAGAGTAGCTCTGTGTAGGGTGGGACGCGCGATGGGTGGAAGGTGGGAACGCGGCCATCGGCGGCCGGGGTGGCCAGGGAGCGGGTAGCGCCAAGAGCCTTTTGGGCGGCAGAGATGCCATTGCGGCCGCGCTGAACGCGAGCGAGCGAGGCGATCATTGTGGCAAGAGTGGGTGTTGAAGCGGACTGCGATGCGGGCTAGGCAAGGCAGCGGCTGTCAACGGGTATGAGTCGGACGAAGGATGGCTGATTGGAATTCAGCACGCTCGCCTTGCCTCTTGATGTCTCGACCGATGCGAGGAGTGGTGGAGTGGCTGACTCTTTGCTAGGGATGGTGGTCGACGATAGGGTGGTGGATCACGACAAGACACGGTAAAAGACCGAGTCAGGCTCGCAAAAAAGCATTCACACGAGCGCGCCTCTCTGATGAATTTCATCGGACGTGGGCGGGGCAAAGTCGGGAAGAAGTGCACTTTCTTCTCACTGCCAAAGATTAGAAATCCGCGCCTTCAGAAGGCTCTCGCCGCTGGGCGCTCATCAGTCGAATCGCTCACATCGGGAAGAAATTCGCATACTCGGATCGGGGGTCTTTTCTCACGACTGGCGACTCGCACGTTTGGTGTCGTCGATGCCCTCTCTCAACGGCGCACAACTCGCTCAGAACAGATCTGTATCGGATGCGGTGCCTCTTCTAGTCGAAGAGACGATGGAGTTGATTAGGGAAGTGATACTACTATTTGTGTTCTACGGTGAGTGCATTGGAACAGAGAGTGGTGGGAAAGTTGGGAAAGCGTAGCGGAACAGGAATGGGATCATGGATGATCGATCTCGACACCTCGACCTTGCAGCATTTCGACGTTGCGCTTGATGATTCTGGTACGAGCTGCCAGCAGATCGTAGCTCGCGGTCGGCAAAGAGACTCTACCAGAGCCGTGCGCTTGCTTCTTGCCCGTCGCCTTCGCCTTCAAGTCCATGATCCATTCCCACGCCATCTCGAATGCGAATCGCGGCTTGTGGCAATAGGTGATTGAGTAGGCGTACGATGCGCGCAACTTCTCAAGGTACTCGATCTGCTCGTCGCTCATCTTGCTCATGTGCTCCTTGACGATACCCTTGGGCCATTGGCAGAACCGAGCTGCCACCTCGCTCGCCGAGCCTAGAGTGACCGGCACTTCGATCGTGCCGTCGAGCCGGTTCAATAGATCATCTCTGTTGAGATCGTCGACGGCTCCACTGTTGCCGCCAGCTCGTTGTCCGTCGGTGGTCTCGAGTCGGTCCATGACCACAGAGCTTGCTGCCTCCGAGCGTACCCTTCGCAGCGGCACGCTGCCCAATTGTCGCTCCTCCTTCTTGCTCTTGCTCTTGGCCGCCGTTGCACCCTTGCGTGCCTCGCGGGAGCGACTCTCGATCTCGCGGCGGGTTCGTGCGTTCGTCTGCGCGTAGCTCTGTTCCACGATGCTGACGTGCGTTCGAATAGCCTTAAGCACGTCCTCTGGGATGCAACGCAGGCTCGACGCCTGGCTCCATGCGCGTGTGATGTCCTGGTCTTCGACGCCTCGCAGCCCTTCTACTTGCTTGAGCATCCGCGCTTTCAACAGCCCTACCTCGATCTTGCCTTCTTCCCACAACCGGCACAGCACCGAGTCGGGCTTCTGCTGGTTCTTGACCGTGCCGACATTCTTGTGGCGATCCTCCAAGGCGAACCAGTCCTTTGGGTCCGATTCGTCCACGGCATCGTAGCCCCACTCGGGTAGATCGCCGAGGTAGTTCTTGGAGTCTTGCATACGGATCCTCGGATTGATCGACAGACCCGTCTTGGCGCTATCCATGCACTGGCAGAACTTATGTGCCAGGTCCACCGACTCTTTACTGTGTGTACCAAATTGCCACGCCGCGTACAGGTGCATCGCTCCGTAGAGGCCTTGCACAGCAGGTTGGAATGCACCCGCGACGAGCTCCTTGATCAGCGCGCGATCCCGCTCGTCGATCCCTTTGTCGGCATGCTCCGCGACAAACTCGGCCACCGTCCTATCGGATCGCTCAAAGACGTCCTCGATCGGGAAAGGGCAGTCGGCGTAGCGCACATCGGCGTTCTCGAAAGGCTCGACCAGCTTCGGCTCCCAAAACACGCGGATCAGGTCGCCGTCGTAGTCGCCACCACTGAGTAGCGAGGCGAGCGGTCGCTGTCCTTTGGTCGAAAAGACGACCACGTCCTTGTACATGGCGAGCTCGCGTCGGAAGACGGCTCGAACCTTGCGGACGTCGGTCGGCAGCAAACACGGATGGCGAGTGACCAGCACGTCTCCTTCCGGAACGTGGTGGCGCCAAAGGGAGTCCTCCGGGTCCTGGACACCATCACCGCTAAAGTTGAACTGCATCTCGTCCTCCTCCAGGGTACCGGTGGGGTCGGGAATAACGATCGCTTCCGCACTGCGTGACACGGGAATGGCAAACTTCTTGATGAGTTTGCGCATCGCCAAGTCGGCGACGTCGAGCAAGAGGTCGGCCAAGTATCCGCATCGGACGGGATGGAAGCCTTGTAGAAGCATGTCGTAAGCTCGCTCGTGCTTCGAGACAGGCATGCCGTTCCAACGGTGACGGCCGTCGGGGCCAAAGAAAATTTCGCGATCGTCGTCGCCGAGATAGGGATCCCGGTCGGTGGTGCTGTCGCCGCGGATCTCATTGGCCATGCCCTGAGCGCGATGCTCGGCTGCCTGTGTGCTCCGCTTTGCCTTGGTGGCCTCCACCTTGCAGTATCGGTCGACGACCGTGAGCAAGCGCATTCGATCCGTGTCCAGATCCTTCTCTTCCCAGTTCGAGATTTCGTTGGCGATTGCTTGCAACTGCGAGCGCTGCATGTCCGCAAACGTGTCGATGGGCACCCCGTTACTCTGCATGACGAGGATGATCTGCCGCGACAGAGTCGAGGGAGCAAAGGTGCGGGAGGGCCCGAGCAAATCGACGACGGTCTGACTCAGGTCGAGCGGCTTGTCGGCAGGGTACTGCAACTTTTTCTGCGAGTCGCGAACTTGAACCCAGCGCTTTGCTTCGTCGCCATGAAGAGCGACTCCGGCGGCGGGGTCGAGAGTCCATACGCCCTTTGCGCCAGCGATTCGGCCTTGGAAGGCGGCGGGGATCGAGCCGTAGCCGAGATGCTTGGTTATGTCCTTGAAGACTGCGAGCGATGCGATGCCGGCACCGTCCGTCATCTCTTGCGGCTTACCCGTGACAGGATCCGGATCGCCGAAGATATCGGGAATGTAGGTGATCGTGTCGATGATAGACGCTGGTAGCGAAGTCGAGAGGCCGAGCTGCATGCGCTGGATGTATTTGCCCAGCTGCGAGCCGCTGTTCTCGGCAAAGGGGCCGTGGTGATCGACGAGGTCCCAGATACAGTTGAGCTTGGGTCGATCGGAGCAAACGTGCACCGAGTCGACCCAGAGGTAAAAGATGGTCTCTTCTTTGCAGAAAAAGGGACGATAGTAGCGGCCGAGGATTTGAATAGGTCGCTGGAAGAGGTGCAGGATCTCCTGCTGGATCTCTTGATGCTTTGGATGATTCGGAAAGCGCCGCGCGTCCTTGGCCATGGCCGGATCCATCTTGAGCCGCACGATGCTTTCGCTACCGAATCGTCGTGAGAAGCGGCAAGAGCCGCCCAGCTTGGGTGGAAAGAGCTGGACGCTGATGCGACGGTGCTTGCTGTTCTTGCCGCCGCGTGTCTTCTCGTCTACCTGAGTGCAGATGAGACGCCCTTCGAAGATGACTCGACCGCCGTAGGATCGCATCTCCTCGCCGGGTGGGCCGATGACGCCGTTGAGTGGATCGTCGGCGAGGATCTCGCTCTCTCTGTCCAGCTCCTCGTACACGCTGAGTTCGCGATCGGTGGCGCGGCGAGCTGTGATGACCATGTCGTTGTGGGATTCCCAAAGCAGCTGCTGGTTGGCCGGATCGAAGAGAGCACGGATCGATGCAAGGTTGGAGTTCGAGCGGAGAGCGTCGGTTCCCTTCGCTGGGTTGAGCTCGTCCAGGCTAACGTAGTCGAGCGATGCAAGCGAAGCGAGGTAGTACTGAACACCCCATGGAACAGCGAGACGACCGTCTTTCTGCTTTTGCATAATCTTGACGCGCATATGGCTCTCGACGACCATGAAGGGGGCCGTGTGCAGAGATCGTTTGCGAGGGGTGACTTGGGCGATTTCGGCTGAGTCCGCTTTGTCGGAGGAGGGCGGCTCGACTACTTGTACCTTTGCGAAGACTGTGTCTGGCATCCTCTGCTCTGGCTGATGTGCCTCCTCTCTTGCTTCCGGCACCTCCTCTCTTGCTTCCGTCACCTCCTCTCTTGCTTCCAACACCTCCTCTCTTGCTTCCGACACCTCCTCTCTTGCTTCCGGCACCTCCTCTGCTACGTTCGGCAGCGTTCCGCATCCTGTCGAAAGATCGTCGGCGACCAGTGGCTCCTCGATGACCGCCGGGGGCTCCTCATCCAGCGTCGGCAGCTCATCGTGGGCCTCTGGGATCACATCTTCTACCTGCAGCTCGAAGACGGCTTCTTCGGGCTCCTCGAGGTCGTCGTCGTCGTCGTGCGGCTCGGGCTTGATAGCCGGGTTTGGCTGCACTAATGGAATGGGTAAAAAGATGCGATCCTGCAAGCCGTCGTCTGCGTGGTCTTGGCGAAAGAGGGCCCAGGTGGGTCCTTCTTTGGCGAGCGAGGCTGATTTTGCGGGGTTTGAGTAGGGCGTGGATACATCTGGCGTTTGAGACGAGCGATCCGTGCTGTTGGACGATTCGGGCGTGTCGTAGAGATCCGAGCCCGTCGTGGAGTGGAAGGAGTCTTCCTCGGTGTCCGAATCGCATGTCGTCAGATCAATGAGCTCTCCTTTTCCATTATCGTCCTGCGAGCGGAAGAGAGAGCCAAGGACGGACGACGATTTTGATGATGAAGCCGGCTGGTGGACCGCCTTGGCGATCTTCTTCGCCGGTGCGGGCAACGGCATTGCTTCTATAGCGGGTCTTTTCTTGGGGTCTTTGATGGCTGCATGCCTTGTGCTTTTCGGGAGTGGTCGAGTCGGTCGTAGGTGATCCGTGATGCGGGAACGATCCATCCTTGATCCTGGAGAGGGAAGTTCGGAAAGAACGTAGCAGACGAGAGTGAAGGCGTATCTCGAGGTTGTGTCGCACAAGGATGACACTTCCGCGCGGGGGAAGATCTAAGGATGAGATGGTGTTGATGTCTTGACACTGAGAATGATCATGAGATGGTAACGGAGGTGGTAGCGGAGGTGGCAGCGGAGATGGTGGGGTGATACGGAGCAAAGATGGTGGAAGACGTTGGGCGGCAGGAGCAGCGTGTATCTACGACCTGTATTGGCTGGGTGCGAGACTGAGACGGAGAAGTGATGACAAGTATGAAGTGCGGAAGGTAGATCAAGACCAGGGGCTGCACTATTTATGCTTTAGAGGTCGTTGACGAGACGGTGATGTCGACGCGCTTGAAGGTTCCGAGTGGAGAGAGAAGGAGGGTGCGGAAGGAATGCGGGAGTGACTCGTTGATAAGAGAACCACGTGTGATGGCATGAAGAGATCCCTGACATGGCAGTGAACCACGCTTGAGGTGTCTCTTGTGCGGTGCGGCCTTGACGATCTGCACAAAGATGAAACGCTTCCGAAATGAAGTGTGCTGTGCTGGCGACGCTGAGTGTGAAGTGCGGAAGAACTGCGAGTACGATGCGGATGTTCGAGCGCCGGCTTTCAAGCAAGATCATGAAACGGCTGTTGCAGCGCAAGTGCGGGATTGTATCAAGCTTGCAGCGATCAAGAAGGTGTCCGAGGAGAAGACGGGTCGTCACCTCATGGATGACGGCGAGGGAGAAAGGGGTCCGTGCTCGTATGAGTCGACTCTGAGCTGGCTGGTGGAGTAAGATGACGGGAAGAGATTCCTTCCGGTGCCTGGTTGCAGGTTCTATTGTGACAATGCTAGGACAAGTTTGATGGGAAGTGACGATTCTGGAAGAGAGTCAAGGTTGATATGAATTGCAGGCGTTGACAACGACGAGTAGTCGGAAACCCAGCCGATTGCTGCGGCCATCAGCAATGATGATGTCGGCGTGCGGGTGATGGCAGTGGACGGTGACGGCTCAGCCATCAGATAGGCTCAGCCTTTGTGATACCAACGGTGAGAGCGAGTCCATAGCTTAAATCTGGTGTGCTGTGGAGGAGGAGCGAGCGGCCCGTTCGCGGTACAGAAAGTGTGACTTTAGAAAAGGGTGCAGCCGTGTGATAAGATAGAGGAGGGCGAGTCAGATCGGGCTCGTGGCGCACAAGCAGAGTGTCGATCATGATTGGCGACGTGCATTTTCGGTTAAGGTGTGAGACCAACACTTTTACGACTGTGTTGTTCTCTCCAAAAACACGAGCTGCAGCTGTCAGACGATAGAAGTTACATCACCCCTTGTCAAGCTCAACCTCAGCCTCGAACTCAGGCTCTTGCTTCAATCACAGCGAGGTCACCTTCCTGCTAGAACAGGCAAGTGTGGTATCCGCTATCCGATCTTGAGCCTCAACTTTCCGCACCCATTCGAGGTTTTCGAGCTTATTTCCATCCACTGACGAGCACACTCGCTCTTCACGATCACATCCTCTCCTTCTATCCTCACCATCACATCCTATCTTTATCTCTATTATCACGCACTCGTCGCTCATCCCACTTACAGCCACTCGCTAACATCACCACCACCGAACACTTTTATCCGCAGCAACTGCGGGTGGGGCACCCATAGCAGCACTCCTCGGCTTCCACCTTCAATATGAACGGCAATCTGCTTCTCTCCCCCGATGCGCTACACTGCCTTAAGCGCAAGCAGCTCATCAACCTGTGCAGACGCTTCGGCATCAAGGCCATTGGCAAGAACGCCGACCTCATCGAACGCCTTCAAGAGTACGCCGCCTCGAACATTCCCACCGACAGTCCGACCAAGGGCAACGTCCCCATCTTGCGGCATGTCAAGCGTCCGAGGCAGAGCGATGAAAGTCATGAGTCGGCTGTCGTCGACGAGACGCTCCCACAGGAGCGTTCTGCTCCGCTCTATCCGCCACTGACACCGCGTACACGGCAGAAGAGGGTCTCGGACATGGTGGCAGCCATCGAAGAACAGATGAAGGAGCAGGAAGATCAGATGGATACGGACGACGAGGATGAGGACAACGACGTCCGAGCTTCTCGCAGGAACACCATTACGTTTCCGACGTACTCGCCCACTCCCGCTCGCCAGCCGTCGCCGCTCCTGACAGCAAGCGCCACAGAGGGAGGAGAATCCACACAGCCGCTGCGCATCATCAAGGCGCTACCAAGCATGAACCGGATCGCATCGCCGCTTTCGGCTATGACCATCTTCGAGTCAAGTCCCACGCCTACACCCGTTTCCACATCAGCAGAAGGCGCTTCGAGCCTGTACCCGGACCTCTCGAGTTTGCCTCTTCCGCAAGGCGTCTCCAGCGAAGGTCTCGCCAGCTCTTCGACCCTTCCCTCGATCACCTCTCGACAGTTCTCGGCAGCGGCTGCTACCGTGTTGGCCGAGATGAACGCACGTCTGACCGCAGCAGGACGATCGGCCGGCTCGTTGACGACCATGTCGAGTCTAGGCAACGGCACATGGTCGAATCTCGCTGCATCCGCCTCCTCGCAGGGCATGTCTAAGAGTCGTTCCGGCAGATACGAGATCCGCCACGAGCGTCAATTCAATAAGATGGACTCGATCGTCAACCACTATGCCGCTCGACGTGTGGGTGCAGGTATCGCGGAGAAGGCCATGGATGCGGGCAAAAGCAGCAATTCAGCACCGTCGAGCTCATCAGCCGTTGCCGCGGCACCGCGACTGACAGCGAGCGCTTCCTCTCAGAGACGCACCCGCGTCGACGCTTCCACATCCACCCGCAGTCTTGCTGCCATGGCTCGCACCACCAACGCACGCAAGGTCCCGACCCAACGTCGCCCATTGCCTATCCCACCCGTCGCGCAAGCCAAGCTCCCGACCATCGTCAGCAACCCCGCATCGCACATCAAATCCTCCAAAGCACGCCAAGCCTCGACCGCAACCACCGGCACCACCACCAGCACCGACTCGCGCGGCGCAAAGCGTCTCCGTGTCGCCGTGTCCGAAGACCAAGACGCTCTTCAGAATACCGTACTCGAGATCCCTCCGGAAAAGAAGAGCGTCATGATCCGCGTCACCCGCCCCGAACGCGAAGGCATGCCGTACAAATTCGACGTTGCCTCCTCGTCAACAGATGGAGCGACACGCGCAGCCTCTTCGCTGCGCAAGACGGTCATCAAGGCAACCAAAGGCTTGAGTGGTGGCAAGACGAATGCCAGTGCGCAATCGCAGAAGAGGGAGGCGGCGTTTGTCAAGCAGCAGCAGCATCAGGCGGCCGTATCGCGCAGCATCAGCTCGAGAGCCGTTGCCGGCGACACACCGAGCTCGACGGGGACGAGGAACAAGTTTACTGGCGTGCCCACCACTACACCGGTCGAGTCGAGGCAGGAGATGCGCAAGCCCTCGGTAGCGGCATCCGCGCTGAGCGGCGCTACGGAAGCGAGCAAGCAGGGGAGCATCAGCAGCCGGTTCGGCGGGAGCATACGGAGTAGTGTCTCCCAAGGCCTGAGTCGAGCCGACTCGGCACGTCAGGCTCGGTTGAAGGAGATCAAAGCCAGGACCAAAGCGGCGTTGAACGGGTTTGCGAGTCAGCGCAACGTCAGTGCGTCTTCCACCATCGCCACTAATTCACCGCGCAAACCGATCCCGACGATCCACGAGACATTCTCGTCCAGCGTCATGCGACCTACCATTGCGAGCCTTGGCCGGTCTGCAGGTACGACGGGGAGCAACGGCTCTGCGTCTCTCCCTATGCTGTCCACTATCGGTCAGCCTGTCACCCGCAGTGCAGTGACAACCCTCCAACGCGCCGCCACGCACGCCGCTGGGGTCGGTCAAATCCTCACCCCCTCCCTCACCCCTCGCTCTTCCTCTCTGCGTCACCTCCGCCGTGTCCTCCGCAAACAGCAAAAACAGGCCGAGCTGGAACACGATCGCGTTGCGGCGGCGGAGAACATCGCCCCCGGTGACGTGGTCCCCTCGGTGATCCAGCAGGGCAAGTATTTCGACAAGGCCGAGACGAGCATTCGAGCGGTCAACTCGAGTTTCGGGCTGAGTCGCGCGAGGACGATGGGTGTGCGACCGGCCGGACCGAGGGAGGCGCTGACGAGCAGCCGGATGACCACGAGCGCGCTCAATCGCATGTAGACCCTCTTTCGACTTTCTTACCCAGCGATAGGGCTGGCCTTCTTTCACTTTGTGTTTTCCACGATATATACCCACTAGAATGAATGCATGTCTTTTGAGAACACCATCTCAGCGTGCGATGAAGCACCATCTCAAGTGCGATTCATCTTTTGGCAGAATGAGCGACCTGTGTGTTATTGCGACGAGATGCAGCTATTACGATTGTCCGAAACGAGACTCTATGCGAGTGGGTCTATGCGGTCCATCCTGTTTCAACGACGGGGACCGGTATCTTCCCCTTCTCAAACGAGCAGAGCGGTAGCGCCGAGGGCGAGGGCGGCAGCGACGCTGGTGGCGATAACCATTACCTCCCCACCCATCTTTCCGGCTGAGCTCTTGTGGTTCCCACTGGCGGCAGCGGCGGCGGCACCGGTGGTGGAGGAGCTCTTACTACCCAACACTGCACCAGTGGCACTCGCCACACCACCAGTTTGAGTCCCCGTCATGGTCTGATTCACCGCCGCCGTCGGGTTGTACTTTGCATCCTTGGCCTTGATCGTTGCGCCCTGAGGCAAGCCCGTTGCGTTGATATTGCCCGCTACGTACTGGGCAAAGTTGGGATACGTAATGCTTTCCGGGTAGGGGTTGGTCTGGTTCATACACGCCGTGAGGGGGACAATGTGTTTGAAGGCCGCTTGGATCTTAGGGTACTGGGCCATGAACTCTTCCATGGTGTGACCGTTGATTTCGTGCGTGAGGACGATGTTGCCTTGGTGAGCACGGGGACCGGCGGTTTCCTGCGCGATGATCGAGGCGTAGTTGGCATCGATCGAGGCCGTGGGAAGAGTTCCGAGGGGGAGGATCTTCCAATCATCCGTGTCGTCCGTCCAGAGCACACTCTCGAGCCCAAGACCCTTGGCAATGGCACGAACGCGGTCGTCAATATCACCGAAGGGAGGTCGCCAGCAAGTGGGCGTCACACCAACAACATCCTTGATCACCTTGGCCGTGTAGTACAGCTCGGCAAACACCTGCTCGTCCGGGAACGACGTCATGTACTGATGCGACCACGTGTGCACGCAAATGTGGTGACCATCGACAATACCGCGTTGCGCCTCCAAAGGCCAATCGAGCACGTTGGAGCCGATGTAGAACATGGTCGCCTTCTGGTTGTTCTTCTGGAGGAAGTCGTAGAACGCGTTGTGGGTGCAGTTGGGTCCATCATCGAACGTGAGTCCCCACGTATCCGGTTCGGGGCAGCTGACGAGATCGTTGGCGAGGTTCGGGTGCTTGGGCGTATCGCAGCCGCCGAAGGTCCACCAGCAATCCGGGTCGCTGTGGGGGTAGGTAGGGGTGAAGGCGGAGAAATCCCCATTGGCCGTGCCCTTGGGCGTGATGCCGGCGGGGATGATGCCGGACGCCTTGATGGAAGCCCACACCGCCTGCGCCTGCGTATCGCCGGGCAGGATCGTGGCGTTGTCCCAGGGCGCAGGGAAGTTCTTGGCGATCGCCGAAATCTCGGGAAGGTTGTAGGCGGTGCACTCTTGGGTGGCGTCCGTGATGGCCGCTTGATCGGGCTCGGTGGTGGCGCGCGGTCGAAGGGCAGGTTGAACGGGCGACCCACGCTTGTGAATCAGCTTCTGGTACTCGCCACTGTCGCGATGACGACGGTAGAGGTCCTCGATGGCTTTGGGGTCGGCGATGCCGCGACCGATGTTGGCGGTGACCGAGGTGGCCAGCGTCACGGCCGCCACGAGGGCGGTAGCGGAGAGCTTCATGATCGTCTATGGCTATGCAATCCAAGTCGAAAGGGAAGGTGATGCGATGGAAGGAACGTTGCCGATGAGAAAAGGGCGGTAACGAAGGGAGGGTGATGAAGGGAGAGGAGATCAAGAGTAGTTGATAGGGGAAGGAGAAGGACCAACCGCTCGGGACGTATGATACATATATCAGGGATCTCGACCCGCACCTTGACTCAAGCTCAGGGGCGTTGAGCAGACGCATCACCAAGGGCGGAGTCGGGCGAGCGGGTCCTGCCCTGCAACCCCCCACCGCCGACGTGGGTTTGCATTCGGTGGGAGAGGGCACGAGCTCAACAAGCTTTCATCTCAAGGCACACGGGCAAGCAAACAAGCGCCTGCAGTCCAAGCCGGCGGCCAGCATCAGCTGCGGCGTTCGACAAGGCTGCGGCGGCAAGGATCTGCGTCAACAGGACTCCCGAGGCGATCCAACAAAGGCGTCAAGATTATCCTTTGTCCGATTGACCGCCGGATGGCTCGAACAGAGCGGATTGCCGAGCACGTTTGGCAGCTGCCTCCTGCTTCGGTCGCGGATCGACACGAAGGGCAGCAAGCGGGTTCGGAGTTGCAATGCACAACGGACATGGGGCGACGCGATGGCAGCCAAAGCACCGGCGAGTCTTGAGGGAGGGAGGGGCTCGGAAGCAGAGGTGCAGGAGCGTAGCTGGCGAGGCGAAACGAGTGTCGATCCGTTTCTCGCTCGCCAAAGCCGAGGCCATCCAGCAGTGCAGACGAAGACCGAAGCGAGGGTCCCGGTGTGCTGGAGCCCTCGGCGTTGGAAGAAAATTCTCTGGCAGCCAGGGCCGCCTCGCTTGGGTGCCCAGCGACGCTCTAGCGTGCAAGCCAGTGCCGGTCTGAACATCGGCCGCCGGAAACAATGGCCAAGCAGGAGAGAGAGGAACACACAACCTTATTGTTTCTCTGAAACGCGTTCGGAGTTCAGAAGCCAGAGCCTATTGTAGGCGTCAGACGCCATGAACCTCGAAACCTGTCTTTGGACTATGTTGACGCACCTTTGTCGTACGATGCGGATGAATCGACGTGCAAACGCCGTCGGCAAGCCATCCGAGCAGCGTGGTGACACAACGTAGAAGCTCACCTCTCAGGCTAGGTTGGATGCTGGCGTGGAACTCCGTGGCTTATAAGCGAGAGCCAATGGGAATAGAAGTCTTCTTTTTCGGGAAAGACTCGCCGAGCCGTCGGCAGGTGTTGCAGCGTGAGTCGGCGGCACGTGTGTTGGATGTGCTGGCAAAGAGTCGTGTGTGTGTGTGTTGACGCGCACAAAATTTCGGGGACGCGTTTTGAATGAGCTTGTTGCCGAGATTGACTAGTGCTTGTGACATGCCGTGCGTCGATCATTGTTCTCCTCGGCACCGCTCGTTTGCAGATTCGAGGTCATCGCCACAGCGTCATGTTGCTGTTCAAGCGCGCATACGCGAGGCCATAGGCTCGTGCTCTCGTCACACGGCCGCTACAGCCTCGGGCTTTTCGCCTTGAGTCGCGGCTCGCTTTCATAGCTGGGCCAATGCACAGTGCACGCGCGCCTTGCTCACAGAACGCTCCAATGGCCGCTTGTGCCCCTCCTAGCTGCTTTTGCGCGCCAGTGTGGTCCTAGCAAGAGGCGGCTCAGTCGCACGACAGTCTAGCAAACGCACAAACCCACCTCGTTTCCGCTGCAGAGATCGATCTGACACCCAACACAAGGCAGGACCTTTCGCTCTCATCTGGCTGAGGAAAGCATCTCACCAAATCTTGCGTGCCCTTTGACTCGAACAATGATACAGATGATCAGCGGCTTTGACGAGAATGCTGCTTTGTTCGTGATTGGCTGGCTTCAGCTGTTGGCATGAACGGATGCAACTGTGTCAAGGTCTCCCCATGCAACCGCGCGGTGCCCTTTTGCGGCCCTGTGTCACCTGGACAGCCAGATGTGTGCCGTGCGGAAACGCATTGACGGCGACTTCGCTGAGAGGAGGGCACGGCGACCTGTAACCTTGGCCTCCCGTGCGAAGCAAGGAGCATCGAGCCTGGTCACGAGGTACGTCGAATAAGTCGCCGAGCCTTTCCTCGCTGCTGTCGGCCGCACGCATCGCCTCCATCGCTATATCGATCGAGATTGGCTCGGGGCCACGATCGGGCGTGTACCATGCTCAACGTCGCGGCTAGCTTCCAACTCATCACGTCGACCCGCGCACGATGGGCGATCGTCGTAGCGGATAGGTGGGTCAGCTCGCCTCTTGCCCGTATTGCTGTTTGCGGCCACTGATACACTACTGCCCGGACAGCCACGCGATCTCTCGTGTCGACCAACCGCAACTAGTGCGTTAGTGAGACCCGTTGAACGACCGCCCGCTGCCCCACCGTCCCTTCGCTCAGCTCCCCATCTGAGATGGACGCCCGCAACTATATTTAGCCCGCTGACCTACCAACCTCGTTGCTTCGCTGATGAAACCAAGTCTCGACGGCACTACACCCACACGCAAAGCGTCCAAGATGCCAACATTTGCATTCACGATTGAGCCCTCACAGCGCCCTCGTCTGCCTGATCGATCCGCCATCCGTTGGTCCTCTCCTGCTACTGCATGTCGATCGGAACACAGACACTTCACGCACGCCTTTCCACTCTCGACAGGTCAACCAGGGGGAATAGGAGACTTCGAATTGAACTGTGAAACGGGCAAATACGTTCGGACCGTTGTTCGGGGGAAATCATCGTTGGAATCGCGCACCTGGACTCGTTGGGTCGTTCGGGTGGTGATCTTGCTCGGTTCATCCCGTCATCCTGCTTGACCCTCCTCTCCTCTCCCTCTCGCGCGATACGGACTAGGTCAGCGGAAGGCGCCTAGCAGCAGTCACATGCGACGCATCCCTTCTCGCACTTGCATTCGCCGCCGTCCTGCTCGCACTTGCAGTTCTTCTTCGTGGCAGACTTGCAGGCGCAGGCGTCGGTGCAGCCGTTGCACTTGCAGGTGCCGGGTGCGCACGTGCACTTGCCGTTGTTGGACGAGGAGCAGCTGCAGGCCATTTAAGTTTGGGTTGTGTGTGTGTGGCTTGGCGGTGTGCGGTTTACGTGGTGTGGTGTGCTGCGGTGTGAGTGTGTGTGGTGTGCGGGGTGTGCGGATGATGGAGGTTGAGCGACTGGGGAGTGGGGGGTTATATACCCTTGATCCTCCACGACTCGTCTGCGCACGCCCCTCCTCAACTCCGGCCCCTCAGGGTCAGGATCAGGGTCGAGGGCGCAGGCGAAATTGCCTCAATTCCCAAACTCAGCCTGAGCCTTGGCTGGGATGTCGTGTGCCGCCCGCCCAATTTCCCAAGCCTCACCAAGCCAAAATCCTGCCGCTAGCCTGGCTGGGAAAAAAGTGACTGATCCGGATCAGCGTGGAGGCCAGGGTTGCGCGAATTTCGCCAACCAATCACAGCCCTCCCCTAGGCTCGCCTTATCAGAGCACCAACACTGAGAGCTGAGTAGAGCAAGATTCGACCGGATTCCATGGTGTAGAAGCGTAGAAGCCTGTAAGAGTGCGGTCCCGGGCCGGACGAGTGTCAGCGAAATGAAGCACACAAAGGTGGGGTGCAGTGCGGAGTCGACGGTCGGTTGTGCAGCTCAGTGTGCGAGTGCGAGATGAAGCGCTGGTGGGATAGACGGCATTTGACAACCCACCACGCTGCAGCTCGACAAGTGCGTATATGCGCCCGCTCGTGTCCGCGCGGAGCGGTGGGGTGCTATTCCTGTCGCATCGTCGATCAACGACAGCCATCAGGCAGGGGATGTATATCCGAGTCCCATCTTCCTCACTCACACTCGGTCAGCCTTCATGTGAACACCCGTCTTCCGTATAGAAACATGCATTTCGTGACCATGCCTCGCAATCCACCACAATCTCGTGCTACCGCCGGCGCGACTGACTCGACCGGGCAGCGTCCATCATCTCGCTCGACAGCTGCATACCCTCCCTACCATACTCAAATGGTGCGCTGGTGGATGTGGTCATCCCGCCATACACCTCGATCGACCCATTCGAGGAAGATGCACTCAACCCCTGGGAGGCAGACGGGCTGATGTGGCCCATGCTGCTCTTCCTCGATCTATCAGCGGGTTTCCGCTCCCAATCTGCCGTGCGAATCCCACCAAGGGAGAGACTGCGACCCTGAGGATGACTCGGTTCGCGGCGCAGCTCGGCGGGAGTCTCGCCAGGGGGGGTGGGGGACAACCGACCCGTGCTATTGCGCATGCCTAGCCAGGCACGTTCCTTCTCCGCTTCGGCGCGGTACGTTCGCAACGCAGGCTTGTCCGACACGCGGCGAGGGTCGTCACCGTCCGATCCACCCTGCTGCATGTCGCCATCCCACAGCGGCTCCGAAGACTCAAACTGATGTCCCAAGCCGAGGTAGTCGGTCGTAGCAGATTTGGCCTGGTCCTGATGCCCGCCTCCATCCACCCTTGGATCCGGTACGAGCCGATACGGCGTATTCGCTTGCAACGCCTTGACGTCCACCACCTGCCCGACGACAAACCCAGAGTGCTGCGATCCCATCGTCTTGAGGTCGTCGTCGATCTGGCGGTGCTGCATCCCGTATCCCGGTTGTTTCATGGGCATCTCCGCCGAGCGACCGCGACTCGCTGCTGGGGCCCGATTGGGCTTCACAAGACCATTTCGCTTCTGCTTGAGCGCTGCACCGTTGCCTTGCCCGCTGTTGGCCGTCGGAGCCCACTGTTCCGCACCCGAGTCTTCCGAGTCGGGACTGCTTTCGATGCCGTCGTAGGCGCTGGAAGTGTCGATCGCTGGTGCGTAGCCGTTCGCGATTGAGTTGGTGGGAGCTGCGGCATTGGGACCATTCTGCTCCGATGGCGTGGTCCCATTGCCCTGCTGAACCTGCCCCTGCCCCTGCCCCTGCTGTTGCTGTTGCGTCTGCGCCGCACCATACTGTCCCGGTTGCGTGCGGTTCACAATGCTCAGATACCAGAACATCAAGTTCGAGATCAGCACCTGCTCGTACAACGGTCGGCGCGGATTCGCCAGCTTGATGTGGCTCAACCTGTACACCGCGCGCTCGATATGGATCGGATAGCGCGCGTAGTAGTACGCGCCTCCGGTCTTGCCGTACATCTCGTTGCGCTCCAGCAGACTTCCCGCCGTCAGCTGTCCGTTCGTCGGTCGAGACGGAGCGTGCTGCGAGGGCTCGTCGTGACCCTTCTTCTTGCCGAAGAGCGCACCGAGGAAGCTCGACGAGCTGCTCTCGTCCTTGTGAGACTCCTCGCGTTCGCGTTCCTTGCGCTCCCGCTTCTCGTGCTTCTCGCGTTTGCGGTGGGATTCTTTGCGCTCGTCCTCGTCGTCCTTGCCGAGACCGAACCAGGAGAGGCCAAAGGCACCTTTGCGGTCCTTCTCCTTGTGCTTGTTGAGCGTCAAGGTGGGGGGAGGTGGTGACGTGACGCCTTGCGACGGCGTTGGCTGTGACGGTCGCTGGGCTTGCTGCTGCTGCTGTTGCTGTTGCTGTTGCTGTTGTTGTTGTTGCTGTTGCTGCGGTTGCTGTTTCGTCAGAGCGGGTGCAGCTGGAGGCTGAGAAATGTGTGGAACAGGCTGGGCATCGCGTCGTTGTGCTTCCTGCGCCACATAGGCTCCCTGGCCCTCGGCAGACGCAGGCCGAGGTGCTTGCTTCTGCTGTTGCTGCGAAGGCATCGTCTTTTCGAACGACTTGACCGGCGGCAGATGCGATACGGCGATCGGCTTGATCTGGTTGCTGCTGGTTGTCGGGGCGTCCGGTCTCGAACTCTGCATCGACTCGTTGACTCGCGAGGCGGCGTGCTGCGACGCCGAGGGCTGGTGGACAGCACCTTCCAGCGCAGGCTGTGCACCGGCGAGAGCGGCGTACAAGTCCTGCGTAGGCGGGCGGGGCGGCTTCTGCGTCGACTCTGGCTCCGCTCGTAGGGCCGACGTGCTGTCATACCTGACACTATCTACTGCCGAGGTGACACTGGTCCTGTGCGACACATCCGACTGGTACGAGTCGCGCGAGTAGGCGTCGACAATCGAGTCGGTCGCCTCGGTCGAGACGGGTCGCGACGAAGCATCGCCCGCCGACGAATCGTCATCTGCGCCCGAAGACAGCTCCGACTGACCGCTGAGCCGCCTCTCCATGTCCTCCGAGTCGCCCTGCTGCAGCTCCCACGCTCGAGATCCCTCCGCGGCGGTGCCGGCCGACTCGGCATCCGTGGAGCTGCGAGGGGCTCGTCGCCGCGCAGCCAGGTTACCTCGCGTAGCGTCGCCGGATGCCTTGCGCATCTTTGTCCTTGCGGCTCGTCGCAGGATCTGACCCGGCTTCGGCACGATGATGGGCTCGTCGGGGTCTACAGCAGATTCGGCAGGCATCGCATCGATCGTGTCGAGATCCGGACCGGTGTTAAGACTGAGGGTGCGGCGGAGGACGCTGCGCAGCATGGCAGGATCCTGTGTCTGGCTAGCTTCCTCGGCGGCCGCTTCGAGCTTTTGCAGGTCGTCGATGGTCAGATTGGGTATTGGCAGACCGTAGGTGCCCTTGCTCAGGCCGCTGCGATTGCGCTGCAGCGGGCGCGGCGCCTTGTCATCGTCGGTGTCGTCGGTGTCCTGTTCGGGTCGATACTGGCGTCGGAGAGTACTGCCGCGTCGCGATAGAGAGGTAGATCGGCCGATGAGAGTTCCGCGTGCGTCGCTGGACGATTGCTGACGACCCTGCTGCTGTTGCTGCTGACGGCGGACCGAGTTGAGCCGCTGTGCAATGGGTGATTCGCCCACAGCAAGAGGTGGCAAGGAGTCCTGCTCAGTGGCTCCATCGTCGGCGCCAGCATGCTGAGTGACGGCGCGAGCGGCATGCTCCTTGATGAAGTTGCGAAAGTCGGTGGGCGAGATCTCTGGATGAACCGAAGCTGGGACCCAAAAGAGATGACTTGGGTCTTTGGGCGAAGATGGACTGGTGGAAGTCAAACTCGTCGGTGACGAGGCACGAGCTCTTGAATCGTATGCATCGCTACTGCTAGGTGAAGTCGAAGGCGAAAGGTGTGATGGTGAAGTCACGATGGACTCGACGCCAGACGAAGGTTCAGCGCCTTGACCCCTGCGTCTCGCCGTGAAGCGAGCTCGTTCATTGGAGTAGCTCTGGTTGGGAGATAGGGATCCAGTCGAGGAAGAGGAAGGACTGCGTATTGGTACGGCGCCATCGTCTACCAAGCTATAGCCGCGCCTCTCTCGCTCGGGCGATGGAATGGAAAGAAGTTCCTGTCCGCCGCCATAGGCTGCTGCGAGGTCGGGAAGGTCCGGATCGAGCAAGGCGCGGTTGACGGAATGCCTGCGATGCGATTTGAGCGCTTCGACCTCGCGCGCCAGCTCATCGTCTGTGATACGCATCGTGCCGCCCGACGAGTAGACCCTAGGAGTCGACGCCTATTGAATGCTGGATGACGACGCTGTTGCTGCTCGTGTTCAGATTCGAGTCTGAGAGGAATGGGTGTGAAGGTGCACGGATCCAAGCCGTGTGATGACGGAAGAGGCGAAGACGATGCAGAGACTGGCTTTAGAGTCAGTTGTCCATTGGTAGCTCGAGATGCTGCGTGTCTTGCTTAGATCGAGCAAGCGTGCCAGGCGTTGACGAGGAGGGGGTTCAAACTGGGAAGGACGAGAAGGGAGCGAAGTGATGGTGACTCCAAAGCGGATCTGAGGGTGCTTCACGAAGTCGCTGGTGGTGTGCGAGGTCGGTGCGATCCGATGAATGCAGCTAGCAATTGAACCCTCGACCGGAACGACTGGTCGGATGCAACAGGTTGCAGGGGCTGCGATCGAGCAGAGGTAGTTTGTGAGGGTGAAGACGAGCTGTCGTAGCGAGTACCAGCTCTTCCCGGCTGAGTTCGAGCGTACCCTCGAAGTGATCCGCGGTGCGTCCCTGAGAGGCTTCGATCGAAATGCAGGCTAGGTTGGCTTGATCTGCGTCGCAATACGTGTCAGCGACGGCGATTGCCTTGCGACAGGAGTTGGCGCCGAGAAGGAGGCAGCGCAAGGCCTGTAGATGGTGATGAGTAGGAAGGTGCGTGTCGAGGGTGACGTTGAATCGAATGGAGTCGCAATCACGAATCACGAATCCCAGAGAGATGCAGGGAGCGGAATGGATGAGTGAGTGACAGCGTGCCTGGTCTGGAAAAGGGCACACGGGTGGGGAAAGCCGTGTCAAAGACAGCAATTCTGCTGCTGCTGCTGCCCCATTGTCGTCGCAATAAAAAGGGTTCTAAATTGGCAAAAATCCGAAGGAGCGTGCTCTCTCGCTTGGACCTCTCTCTCACTCGAGAGACTGTGCAACCAACGAAGCAAGCAAGCAGCCCGCATCATCGCCCTTTTTTTAGCCACGAGCCAGCACCTCGCCGGTTTGCAGATCGGGCGCTTTTCTGGGCGGATGCAGCTGGGAAATTGACATGCCAAGCCAGCGCAGATCGGGCGGGCATGTCCCGACCCCAAATGCAGTCCTCACTTAGCACTCCTCACCCCCATAGCAAAGCATGGCCCTCTCGAGAGGGTTCTTGGCGAGGATCGTCATGCGAGCGAGCACACATGTTGCCAGGAGAGCCAGGAACAGTATAACCAATCACAGACGTCTACGCCAAAGACAAAGCATGATAGAGTCATATCGTCGTGGCATGCAAGGGTATATATGTGAACGATTGTGGGTCCCTCCTGTCAGCCGATCCAGACGGACGTGTCAAGCTGAACTTCCCTACTTCTGACCTCGAAGAAACAGCGACGACTTGAACGACTTGAGCTTGTTGCCCTCGGAGCTGACATCGGAGCTCGAGTTGCTTGCGCCATTGCTTCCCTTCCACGGTCTCTCCTTGTTCTTCTTCTTCTCCTTCCCTCCATCCTCCTTCAGGAACGCCGCTTCGGCGCGAAGGATGCTGATGGGCTCGTATCCCACCTGCTCCCCTTCCTTCTTCCTGTGCTTGTTCAAATGCTTGCTGGACAGCTTCTGACCGCTCGACGTCACGGTGGCGGCGGCGAGCCTCTCGGGCATCCTGTTGAGCCTCGCGTACTCCACCGGATCAACATGACCCTGCAGGTAGTGGTTCGACATCAACGGGGGCAGATCTTCCGCCACAACACCACTGCCGCTCGACCCCCGTCGCTCGGGGATCGGGAAAATGGGATTGAGGTTGGAGGACGAGTCGAGTTCCGCATCGAGCCCGCACGATGTGTTCTCCAGACGCGCGCGTTGGATGATTTCGCGCGGATCGAGATCGCGCGTGCTGCTGCTGTGGGAGGAAGAGGAGGTGATGGAGTTGAGGCGAGAGGCGCGAGGGGCTCGAATGGTCCCCTGATGGGAATCGTGGGGAAGGAGGGTGGGCAGCTTGAAGGCGAACACGTCCTCGTCACTGCTCTCGCCGGATGGCAAGACAAGGGGGTGGCTGCTGCTCGGCTGCAGACCAGTCGTCTGCGATGAAGGAGTATCGCCTGTGCTGACGGTGGGCTTGGGCGGCGGCAAAGGCGGTAAAGGCTCGAGCGGTGCTGTTCGCTTAGCTCCGCTCTGCGTTCGTGCTCGTGCTGATGGTAGGTGCGGCCTGTCTTGCTCCGCCGTCTCGTCAAAGACCGAGTGAGCTGCAGCTCGTCTCGTGGGCATCAGCCTCGAAGCGCTCTTGGTCTCCTCCGCTCCGTCGTCCGCAGCCTCCAGAAACATCGACTTGGCCTTGCCCTTGATAAGCATCAGATCCTCGAGTCCGATCTCGATCGTGTCGACGTTCCACTGCTCCTTGCCGGTGCTACTGTTTATGTCCCTCGTGGGCACGCCGGGGAACTGGTCCATGTGCAGAAGCTCGTCCGAGTCGTAGGTGGCGCGCGAGTCGGTGAAGCCGAGAACAGGCAGATGGTGAACCCCGAATGCGCCGTCGTCCGCCTTCTTACTTCGCTGCATCTTCTTCTTCATGCCCGTCAAGCGTGGTTGGCCGTTGGTATGCTCGCGCTGCACGACCGGCTCGACGAATTTGAGCAGGGACGGCTTCGAGTGGCTCACACTGCTCAGCGCCTCGTCAACGTCGGACGTATCGTCCAGTGACGGTGCCACGTCGGTGCAGCCCGTCTCGCAATCGCTGTGCGTCATGTCGGCAGAGTAGTCGCCGCAGTCGCGTCGGCAGAGCGAGGGCGGATAAGATTCGGTGTACGTGTTGAGGCTGTGCGAGAGACTCGGTTGACTGGTGTTGGACGGATAGCGGCCAGAGTCGAAGCTGCGGTCGTACGTTGGGTGGCGATACATCGACTCGGCTGCTTTGGACAGTGTCGCAGCTAGGTAGTGAGGGTCTTGCTGCGTTGTCGACATGATAGTCCACCCGGTTGTCGAGCGATGCCTTGGTCAATTGGACTTCTGCCCGCAGCCTCGAGGGTGTCGCTGAGAAGCCTGCCCTTTCGTCGTCAAGCAGCAGCTGGTGGGTCGATAAGTAGACCGAGCGCAATGCAAGCCGAGGCTGGAAGCGCTAGACAAATGAAAGAGTCAAGAATCAGGTCGTGAAGATCGGAAGCGTCTTTGAAGGCTACACGAATGGGTTGCGATGGTGTTCAGCGGCGAAGATGATGCTGTGTACTTAAGGATGGGCACCGGAGACCCACAGAGCTGGTTATGAGAGGTCAAACGGTGGCTGGCTCCGGTCTCTCCTGTCCGAAACGAATGCCGTACTAGCCGAGTGTGTGTATGCGTCAAAGCCAGAAGGGGCGTCACAAAGTTTGCTCGTAGTTGCTGCTCGTTGGTGGGCGAACGATCCAAAGGAAGGGAAGCGAAGCTCGCTAGAACCAGCTCCGTTGTGGCTTGTTTGTCCCCTGACGGAGAGAACAGGTGTGCAGGAGGAACGAGCGAGAGCGGAGTCGGTGGCTGACCATGCAGGTGATGTATCAGCAGGAACACAACAGCGAGAGGTACGGATCAAAGGAGGGCAGATGAGCACACTGATCGTGTTGGGACACAAGCTGCAAGTCGTCAGGAAAGCCACCAATCCGAGCAGCATCCAAAGAGGCACGAGGATGCGTGCAGACCGGTGAGTTGCAACCAAAAGCGAATGCTGCCGGGCGTACCAGCCGAGGGAGGACAGGGGAGCATGTGTGCCATGCAGCTCAACTCTATCTGCCGTAAGCGAGGTGGATGACAGCACGTCACCCTTGCACTGTGTTTGAGAAATCGAGCAGGCTTGATCCCGAAAGAGGCGCAGTTGACCAGTAAGGAGGGAGGACATGACGTCCGACGGAAGCTGAAAAGTGGCACATCAGCATGAGGGTGGGGGGGAGACGCCGATGTCGAGAGCAAGCGAGTTTGCGATCGACCGCGTGCATGGCATTGCTACTCCGAGCAGCGAGACGAGAATTCGCAGCTGGTTCGGGAAGATGAGCCGGCTTGGTCGCTCTCAGCTCCAACGTGCGGCAGGACACAGCTTGGTCGAAACAGGTGAAAAGACTTTCCCACGGTGACTTTGTCTGCATTGTCGTCGACAACAATGCTCTAGGGCTGATGGCATGCAGGGTCATTGCTCTAAGCGAGCACCTTTTCAGTGGAGCCGAGATGCCATGTGGACACTTTAGCTTTTCAATGAGACTTTTTCGACGGTCGATGTGGCCGGGAAATCGACCTTCCCGGCCAAACAGCAGTCGAACGAGTTTCAAATCCTCGACTGGTAAACTCCGACTCGCAGAGCCAAGTCCATTCAATCACGGTCCGAAGAGGGAAAGGAGGTGAGGGCAAACCGGTCACGGTGACGAATCATTTCCAAACTCAGACCGAAGAAAACAGCCCCTCAGCTGATGATTGGGCAGTCGAACCGCAGCGAGGTGTGGCTTTCCCACTGGTGCTGAGGTCGAGTCTTGACAACACTGCATGTTGCTTCTGGCCTGCATATCAGCCACGAGCTAGGCGTGCTTCTGCTGGATGCGCGCGTGGGACAAGTTCATCCGGATGCAATGCCCCGTGAGGCGAAAGGCGACCACGTCCGCAAATGGACTGCCATCAAGCCAGGTAGTCAACCTCCTTTCACCCGAGAGCAGACGTCGGATCAGACGCTCGCTTCTCGAGCATGATTGTGCACGTCGACGAGCTTCCATCCGTGCTGTCAAGCCTCTAAGCGAGAGAACACTCTTTCGCAACTTCACGCTCCGCTCCAATCGGGTGGTTTCACTTTGGCAAACTCGAAGCCGGTCTCCTGCCTTGATTCGTCGTTTGAGTTTGGTGCCGTCCTTTCCCTTGCTTTTGCGTGCCATCAGAGCAGTGTGGGTCCGGTGCAAGGGACAGCAGAGCTGGTCTCTTGGAGTCACATCCTACGTTGTGTGCGACAGCGTCTGGCAGTCGAGCACGATCGCTCCTAGTGGCATTCAGCGTGGTCTTTGAAGACACGCCGTGGTTCTCTCGCTGCTGTTCTGGCCACCGATTCTGCTTCGGGCGACCCACATCCGACCTCACCTCGTTCAACGGCACAAAGACAGGGGCACGTCTTTCTCGAGCGCGCAGATCCGCGGTAAACACAGGAGCGGACTTTCAACGGGCCCCTCGCGGACCACTTTCGTCGGACTTGAGGCCACATTGGCGGGCCTCGACTCGTTGGCAAGGTCAAATGGGGGAGATGAAGCTCGGATCGCGGGGCGCGGGCGATGAATCGGCCGATGCTGCCTTTCGAAAAACGAGGATGCAGGCTGCACGGGGCCAGGGTTGAATTTTGGCGCCTCCTTTCTCGTCCCTCTTTTTCTTATCTGTCTTGCTTGAAAAGATGAGCTCGTCGCGAGCTGACGACGACGAACCAAACTCAGTCATCCAGACCGAGGATGCTCCGCGGGAAAAGCAGACGCAACGCTTGCAGTCGGAACTTAGCACAGTCTCAACCACAACCGTGCGGCCTGTCGGCCGAATAGATTGCGATCGGGCCCCATATCGACCGATCCATCCCATCATCCTCTCATCCTTTTCCTCATGCTTCCACTCAGTCTCGCTCACACACAAACAGCAGTCCTTGATGAGCTCCTGTGATGCGAATGCCATTTCATGCGTGGTATACGTGTATGAGTGATGAAAACAGCTACGTGATTATGCGGGACTATAGAAAGACAGCTGGTATAGTGGGGGGAGATCAGATGCGGACGCTGAACCTGTCGAGCGCCGCCCTGTCCATCCGTGAGAAAGCCGGCTTGACCAGCTCGTCTTCGGGGCTGTTGCTAGGAGCCGAGGTGGGCGGAGTTGTATTCGAAGGCAACGAGTCGTCGCTGGAGCCGCTGCCGCTGCGAAGGCTGAGCAGCGCGCCGACCGCCGAGTCGTGCTGCTCTTTGAAGCCCAGGGGACCGCTGTGGGTGGAACGGAGCTTGGAGACGCCCTCGTCGTCCGAGCTCACACGACCGAGCGGGCGAATGGGCGCGAGCATGTCCTGTGCGGACGAGTGAGGGTCGCTCATGCTTGAACTGCGCATGCGCTGCAGGCGTGGACGGACGGGTTTCGTGTCGTCTTCGAACGAGGGTGCGCCACGGAAGTCTTGATACGATCGTTTGCGACTGTACAACAGACCGGCGCTGCCAGGCGCTTCAAGCGTAGCGTCTTTGCTGTTGCGACGAACCGCGAGCTCTGCGTACTTGGAGTCGACGGGGATGGGTCGGATGGGCAACAGGCCGCGTGCTTCGTGCAGCGGCGTCACCTCGGCAGCGTAGGGCAGGCGATCGGCGGTCTCGGTCTTGATGGCGCTGTAAGGCGACATGTGGCTGTCAGGCCCACGCCTCGAGCTCGACTCGCGTGGTGAGAGATGGTGCGGATCCCTCGAGCCGGGTGAGATGCGACCACGATCCATAGCAGCCCGCTCGTCGGCGTATGCCCTTGGACTGGGCGACATCTTGCGAGCGTGGAAGCTATTCTCTCGCGAATGAACGCTGGGCTCACCGTGCGATGCGCGCAGGTCCACAGGTTCCCTGTGAGCAGGGCTGGGAGGCGATGCAGAGCCCTCGTCAAAGTCGTCAGGGTTGACGCCAGGGGGCAAGTCGCCGGCACGGCTAATCGGGTCGGGATACTCGGCCTCATCGATCTCGAGACCCCACTCGCCGCCGTTCTCGCCAACAAAGCGCGGGTCTTCGCTCACCCTTCGAAGCAAGCCTTCGCGAACGTCGCGCTTGGTGTAGTACGAAATGACGTGCAGCTTGCGACCCGAGGTGGTGGTCATGCTAAACGACTGCTTGATGAGACCATCGGCCTTGTAGAGGTTCGAGGTGGGACCGCCGGTGATTGAAGAGGAGGGCTTCTTGCGTGCCTCGAGCTCGCGGTAGGTCAAGAAGCAACCACTGACGCGACTAGCGGACCAGCACTTGCCGTCGGTCCATCGTCGCATACCAGCCTCCTTCTCGTCCCAGACAAAGATGCTGCCGGAGCAAATGAGATCGGCGCGCTCCGAATCGAGCAGACGACGGTTGACACGTCGCGGAGGAGGCAGACCGGGAGCCCCAGCATCGTCGACGAGATCGCACGCTGCGAGCAGGAGGATGGCATCCTTGGTGGTCTTGATGTGACCTCGGTAGGTGGGCTGCTGCTGCGAGCCGGTGGGCATCGAGATCGGGTGGGCGATGGAAGCGCGCATGGCGTGCATCGAGGAAGAGGCAGATGAGGCGTGGTGCGAAGGGTGCAGATGACGCGCGTGTGCTGCGTGGCCGGGGTGCTGCGAGTGGGCGTGGTAGCCGTACGCGTAAGGTGCGTAGGACTGGGCGGCATGGATGGCAGGAGGAGAACGAGCGCCGGCGTAGCCATAGTGGGCGTCTTGGGGGTGGGGAGCGTGTCTGTGGTGAAGAGGCGGGGGAGGCAGAGGACCGCGTTCGTCGTAGTACGAGTGATGCTGTCTTGTGTAGGTGGGGTGAGGAGCGTGGTGAGCCGGGTAGGCACGCTCGGTCGGGTACGAGTGGTCGGCGGGATACATGGGACCGTGAGGTGGGGCGGGAAGCGGACCTCGTGGCATGGTCTGAGATCGAGCAAAGTCGGGCCTGGGGGGAGCCTGTTGTCGGTTGGAGTAAGCGTGCATGGTGGCGTTGTGTTCAGCGTGATGCGAGTAGCGATCGTTGGTGTACGCAGAGTTGGAGTAGTGTGCTGGCATGGTGTCAAAGTGGAGAGCGAAAGCGAAGGAGGGCACGAACGATGACGATGATGAGGTGAGCTGATGAAACTGTAACAGGATAGAGCGGCTGAATGGAGCCTTTTGAAAGTATCTAGATCAAGAAGACGTGGTGGAAGAACGTCGGGGCTGGCTCGCCGGTCGATCTAGGACGGGCAAGGCAGCAAAGAGTGGGTGGAGATGATCACAGATGGCGATCAGAGAGCAGGACGATGTCAATGGGGTTGAGATGACGAAAGACAAGGGATGATGGTGATGAATGTCGTAGCAAAGTAGACGACAAAGATGAAGAGAGCAGCGAAGCGACGTCGCTGTTGAGGAATGAGACAGTGAGAAGACTGCTTGGTAACGATGGCTGGTTGGTGGTGGGGAAGAGAGCGAGAGAAGGGAGCTTGGATCTGTGGAAGGGGATAACGAACGCACGTCTGGAAAAAGATGTGGCTTGATGCACCCGAGAACGCCAGCTTAGCAAAGGCAGCTGCAAGCCATGGGTCGATCCAGAATGGCGCAGCAGCCGCTCTCGACAGGAAATTGTCATCTGGTCACCAGAGCGAGGCGAGCAAGATGCTCACTCACTCGGATTGAAAATGCCTCGGACCTGGGGGCACCACAGCGGCGAATGGAAAAACAAAGCGCAGCAGCAGCAGCCACATTACAACGGGAGCCGTAAGACAGTTTTAAATTATTGGGCGGAATCACGGTCTCGCTAAACACACACACACAATTTCTGGATGCATCGCCTGGAAAAAGCATGTATGCTTGCTTGAAAAGCCTGAGCCGTGAGATGGCCTTTCATCCCGTGACGATGAGGTCTCACAAGGCGGCTGAAGGAGACTAGAGCAAAAGCATCACCACAATCCGATTCTCGGGATCGCTGTCTTGGACTTGGATCCGACAAGGCTAACTTGACGGGCTGAGACCCGACTCTCAAATCGAAGATCGGCCTTCGCTCTGGTCCCACTACCTGCAGCAGGCCTGCATTGCGGGACTGGAAACTATGCTATGCACTGTTGGATCGGAGAGGGTCTTTGGTGCTTTGATTGGTGTCCACCACTCTCCCGAAATTGAAAAGGTGGGAACGATCGACAGGGTTTGGCTCCAGAGACACACCAGAACGCGGAGCGGGGATCCACTCGAAAAAAAGATGGGAGTCCGAGCCCAATTTAGGCTCTGCTTGCTGCCAATTTTGAGTTTTGGTTTTTGGATTTCATTTTGATTGAATTCGGTTCAGCAGCCGTCTGAGCTCACAGAGCAAAGGCGCAGCAGGGCCTGGCAACACCAAGCGAGACGCAAAGGCGCTCAAAATCAAGCTACCGCTGCAGCAAGATGTGCCAAGCGATGCTCAGGGTGCGTCATGCCCAATTCTACTGGGCCCGCCAGTCTATTGTTCTAGAGCAAGCTTACTGCATCCGCTTGCATTGCAAGGTGCTCGCCATGCACAACGTGCGACGCCTGCTTATCATTGATTCTTGTCGTTGAAACGTCGTGCTGATTTCGAATGGACGATGCTCTCCACTTTTTCGTCGATCGAGATTCACCATGAAGGATTGGTGCTCGCCTCCAACGGAAACAACGGAAAAAGAGACGCGCTCGACCCTTGACCGGGGCCCTACTTCTGGGTGTTTTTCACCACCACCATCGCGCTCGGAGCATTACTATCTCAGCACCGTCCCGTCTGTACTTGCCCCGCAAGCGATCCGCCTTGGACCATGCCCCTTCCTTTCTTTCGTCAATGGACACACGCGTTTAAAGCGGTTATTGCGACAACAAAACACTCGATCCGCGTCTCAATCATTGTCGCTCATGCGAAGCAGCATACCCGGGGACAATGGCCTGCAGCCGGCCGGCGAACCGAGCTTACCTCAAGAAGCAGCACAACATGCACCTATCGATCTGGAATGCATCTCTAGCTCCATGCACAGCAGCTCAAATTAGGACTCGGTGCCGGTAGAATCCACTGGACGACGCCCTTGCCGAGCTACTGTAACCCACCGCTTCTCTCCGCTTTGGCAAACTCATCGTGCTTGGTCCGAGGATCGTGCATGCCTCTCGATGCCGTTTCGACGGGGCGTCCGTTACCTACGTTGGGCATCTGTGCCTGATTCTCGAGCGGCATTCCCCTTTGTCACCATCTCACCACCATCCCGGCGAGTGATTCAGAAGCCGCTGCAAGCCATCGTTTGTTGTTTGCGAAGGGCGAATGCCCCGGACGATCCCCCTCTCCCGCCCTGGTCAGCCGATGTCGCCTTATCTAATCGTGGCGCTGTGTGTGTGTGTGTGTGGCTTTGTGCGAGCATAGTCATGAGGAATGCTGGTGGTAGTGAGATTGCACTGGATCCTATCTTGGAACGCATCGTCAGCCATCGTCTCACCCAGAAACTCGCTCGTAATAAGACTCATTTTGCGGAGCACCAATTTCAGCCCCTTTCTGCTCTCCTCGGCTACCGAGGGGGCACGCGCGCTGCAACCTTATATTGAACGCGCGCTTGCGGTTCTGCGGGAGCGGAGAGTCATTGTTGCCATATGCACGTCAGGATCGGACGGATTGTTTGTCCCTTTGCCGTCACGCAAAGACCGCGAGCCTGTGGACCCTTGCCAACTCTATCCATTTCCCCCCTTCCCTTCTCCGTTAGAGCGTACCATTGTACGCTCGATACACTGAAACCGGCCATGCAGACGACGATCGGTGGAGCTCTAATTTCTTCGGCCTTTCACCCTCGCACTCCGGATGGTCAGCATTCCGCTCCGAGTTTCGCTGACCCTGTGAGGACGACTGAGCAAACCGCACACCCGCGCATCGACCGCCCACACAAGTCTTAAAGAAGGATAGAGCTCACGCCCGCCTCCGCGCATCACATCATCGTGCGTTGAAGACCTGATCCCCGAGCAGCGTCGTGCGCCTCTGAGCGAAGCACCCGTCCGAAACCCCACCAATCTCATTCATCCTCGCTAGTCGATCTGTGGAGTCGTTGCAACAAGACCACACGCAGAGTTGGTGAAGTATTTATGTGCAGAGCAAAATTTTGCCAAATTTGACCGCTGAAAGGGAAAACCAGCCCGGACAGGGAAGCGCACAAACTGTGGTACAGAACCCGTATTTTTAGAGCTCTCATCTCCACAGGCCCGAGCTTTTTTTTTCGGATTCCGAGAGGGATCAGGCCTAACAATCCTCGAATTTCCATGGCGTGGCAGCTGAGCGTCACCACGGGTGATAGCGAGCGTGCCATCCAAACGGCGATCAAGACTTTGCACGCTGAGTCCCTGAACACCGACCGCAGTCGAGCAAGTAGGCGAATACAAAAAAAAACAGAAGAACTGCAGCACCTAGGATTCCCGCGTGGTCCCCCACCGCAGTACTGACTAGGCGATACCTTGCTTAACTTCGCAGATCGGACGGGATGCGGTGCTTTCAAGGTTCTATGGCCGCAGATGTCAGCACCGCACACCATGTACAACATAGCCTGTAAACAAGTGAGGGCGGAGTGAATGTGGGTAGGACCGAACACGCGCCCACCGTGGCACTCCAGGTGGGCAGTTTGGCGGTTGGGTCCATTGATAGATCCCGAATCCTACCTTGCCCATCTCTCACCTTCTTGCGCATCCTCTCTGCACCGGGTCGCGGCTAGGCGGGTGTTCCAGGGAACACTTCACGCGGCTGAGCTGCCACCGGCACGAAGAGGGGCAAGTGGACGAGAGGGTGATCTTGCTCTAGGACTGATGATGCCTTGTCGAGTCTGCATGTGGTTGTTCTCCCAAAGGAAGAGGGCATCGCAGATTCGCCATTGGATCGTCCACATCACACACCTCACACACAACCCTACCACCACATCATCCCATTATCGAAGCGACGAGAAAGTTTCATTACTCACCGATACAGACTCTCTACTTGGGGTGGAAGGGGGATGTGCGAAACGTTCAATGGGTCTTCTCCCACGCCGAAGCAGAAAGGGAGGGACCTAAATCCTTGTTTCGGTTCGATGTTGCCCACTTCTTCAATCGACCAGCCACTGAGCAAGACTGGTCAATCAAATATTTGGGGCGTTGGTGAGGTCGTCACGACGAGGATGGGAAAGGGGAAAAAGGTGGAACCACACACACACATCACGCCGATCACACCACGCCATCTGAAGAACAGCATCGTATTCCCGACCTGCACTCCACACCTCAGGACTTGCTCGCCGCCGTCTCGAGCATCTCCTTGAACTCCCCCGCCATATCCTCCGTCTTGACCTTCAACCTCACCTGCATGGGCTCCTGCCCATCGAACCCCAAAAAGCTATTCACCGTCTTCTCCTGTGTACACTTCAACCCCTTATACGTCCTGAAGTTAACCACGACTTTGCCGTTGGCCTCGTTCCTCGCTAGCAGCCGGTGCTTGTCCGTCGTGGCATCGTGTTTGATCTTGGCGATGCAGATGCCGAGGTCCTTCCAGGATTTGGTGGGGAGGTCGAGACGCCAGATCTTGGCGCGAACTTCGAGCAGGGTCGATTCAGACTGTTCGCCTTCGCCCTCGCCGAGCAGGCCGGAAGGTTGGGAGGTGGAGGCGTCGTCCGTGGCTTCGGTTGTGTCATCGTCAGCGGCGGTGGTGGCAGCGGGTACGGCCGCCGCAGCTGGTGCGGAAAAGCTGAACCCACCGCTGCTCGGTGCAGCCGCCTTGAGCGGAACACTGTCCCCCTTTCCGTCCGCGCCAGCGGACGTCTCGATCTCGTACACAAAGTCGAACTTGGGCAACGCCGACTCGGCCACCGACCGGATCTCGTCGCGCAGCGCTTGACTCGCACTCTCGCTGCTCGAAGCCGTCACAGCAGCCACCTGCCAGTCGAACGAGGGCAGCTTCGAAACGTCTTCAGCGAGCACTTGATCGCGGATCGAGCTTGGTTCGGTGCTCTTGTTGGCCGGTGGCGCGGGAGTCGATGTGGTCGATGAGTGAGAAGTGAAGCTGAATCCGCTCGTCTTAGGAGCGCTGGTCGCGGCTGGCTTCTGCTGTGGCGCAGGGGCGGCCGAGACTGGGCTGAAGGAGAACGATGTCGAGGGTGCCGGTGCAGCTGACGTTGCTGGCGCCGACGTCGCCGCCGGTGCAGTCGGCTTCAAGAAGGAAAACCCACCGGACGGCGCTGCAACTGTCGAAGGCGCCGAGCTGGCGCCAGGCTTGCTTGTGCTGAACGAGAACCCTGACGACGGCGCTGACGTCTTCGCTGCGCTAGCGCCAAAGTTGAAGTTGGGCTGAGCAACAGCAGGCCCGCGCGACGGAGCGGGCGCAGCCACCTCCGAGTCGGAGCTGGGCGAGTCGGGCGCTTGGAAAGCAGCCGACAGCGGCGAAGGCTTCTTGGGCTTGGTGGCCGTGTACTGCGGTGGCAGCAGGTTGGCGGAGACCTTGGCGGCTTTGTTCTCGACGGGAGCTGGCTTGGGTGCGCTGCTCTGCGGTTCCTGCTTGTCCTGCTGCTGAGTCTTGGCCTTGGTGAGCGCTTCCAGTCGGCGCTGCACCTCTTCTGTCTTTTGCAGCTTGCGTTCCTGCTCTGACGGCTGCTCGGCGGCCGGATTTGCGACGGGCTCTGGCGCACTATTCTTCCCGTTGCGGTGAGGCTCAGGCTGTGGGTCCTCGGCCGGTGCCTTCCTCTTGCTGATCGTCTTGGGCGCCGTGCGCTCGATCAGGTCGAGCACCGATTCCTTGGGAGGACTGTGCTTCTCCGATGCCTTGGCCGTTTCTCTCGCCTTGGCACGCGTAAGCATCGTTGTGCGAGCGGAGCGACGCACCGGCGCTGCTGTGGCTGCACCAGCCTCAGCGCTTGGCTTGCTCTTTGCAGCCACGGGTGCAGACGACTGATATGGGTTGATGAGCTCTGGCTTGGTGGGAGCACGCACCGGTGGTGTCGTCTTGAGGATGTCTTGAATGGCGCTGGCCGTGCGTGTAGGTACCTTCGGCGGGCTCGTCTTGACGGAGGAAGCGGCGGTAGCCTCGATCGATGGAGCGGCGCGCTTCAACGGCGATGTTGACGCACTGGTGGCCGATGACGAGGCCGCGATGTCTCTTGCGAGGAGACTGCTTTGACGAGCCTCTTTCTCGTATGCTGGCGCGAATTGCACCGTCTGAGAAGAACTCAATCCGCGACTGGAAGAAAAGCTCTTCTCAACATCGACGGCGGTACGACGGCGCTTGGCCTCTTCGTTGCGAGCCGATGCGTCCTGCGTGTCGTCCACATGTCTGGCGAGCCCTGCGAGATTGGGATCCGTGCTCGATCTGGGCATCCCTCCGGCGGCTTGCGACTTGGCCATCTCTGCTGCGCGCGATGCGCTGGCCACGACGGGTCGTCGACTCCTCAGCGAAAGGCTGCTCATGCCTGGACCGACGTAGATAGGTCGCCTGCTGCGAGCAGACGTCGATGCTCCAGCGAAGCCGAGTTGCGAGGCGGGGGCACGGGGAGCAAGGAACGAGTATGCGCTCGAAGAGGCGTTCATCTTGTTCGTGCCCGGGTGGAAAAGAGTGTTTGTGCTCTGCGAGTATGGAAAAGCGGGCGGTGCGATGCTGCTGGCTCGAGAGGATGGCGCAAAGCCGGTCCTTTGCACTTGCGCATATCCTCGACCTTGATTGGAGGTACCAGCGAACTCAGATTCGAGGTTTCGCCCATCTGCCATGCTCTCCTCGATCAAACGAATGCAGCCTTCGACTTCGACCTCTGTGAGCCCGCCTTGACCGCCGCGCTGCTTTTCGGCGAAGAAGCGGGCCAGCAGGTCATAATTGCGAGACACGGGGCTGGTCTGTGTTGGTGGCGCATAAGATGTCGTTGGCAAGGGCGTGGATGACATGACTTCGGGCTGTGCGTTGTTGAATTGTCGACGCAGGCCGGGCGTGACGAAAGCATCGTTGGCCAAGGGAAGCGTCTTTGGCGGTGCGGCCAATGAGGAGCGTGAGGAGCGACTTGGCGATGGTGGTACTTCTGAGCGTGCGCTGCGCTGACTGCTCTGCGTATTGGACGAGGCTGGCTGGACAGCAGATGCAGAGAAGCCCTCCTCGGCATCCTCGATCATGCGGTCGTCTGTATCGTCATCCTCTTCAACTTGATCAAGCTTCGACTCTTGTCGGAGAGGGGTGCCGGCGGGTGGCTCTTGGTCCATGTCCACCTCGTCACCACCTCCTCCGAAAGCAGCCGAACGCCGGGCCCTGCTGAAGCCGCGGAAGGGACTGATCATGGAGAAGATCTCGCGCAGCATCATGGGCGAGCTTGTCCGCGATGTTGGCGTGCGGGGGCCGAGAGTAAGTGCAGAGGATGTCGGTGCCTTGGTCGGCGTCCTCGCATAGGGAGAGGGTCGTGTCGGTGTCTTTGGAGCTGGCTCTGTCGAAGTGAGAGCAGAAGATGAAGAGGAAGCAGGCTCGTCTTTGCGACTGGATGAGGATCCAGCAGCAGCAGCCGCTGCCGCCGTGCGAGTGTGTCTAGATGGCCCCATGTTTGCAGTTCAAGCAAGCAAATGAAGTGGGCGGGTTTGTCTGCGCGGAACTGTGCTGAACAAGTCGAATGCGATTGCTGCTGCTGATCTTGTGCGAGCTGATGAGGGTGTGACACGACGCACAATAGGGTTCGAAGACAACCGAAATGAAGTGCGCATGCATTTAGAAGCTGATGCTGCTTAGACGATACCGCAGACCATGCGCATGGGCGACTTTACAGCGCGTCGTTGCGGCACGAAGATCCTGGCCGCTCGTGCAGAGCGAGGGCGAAACGAAGACTTGAGGTGCTCGACGGAAGTGTAGCTAGTTGCAGTGAGAAGCTAAGGAGCCCTTCGTCGATGACGAGCGGACGAGGTTGTTTTTTCCAGCTGGAGGCTCAAGAAGATCGCTGATCGGTCGCCTGATTCTGCCTGATTTTCAGTCTTCTTTTTTTCTCTCGCACGGACGGTGAGAACAACACTTCGACATCGACGCTTGCCAGATCAGCACGGCTCTTCATCTTCACTTTGACTATGGGCCGTGGCCAAGTAACAGCAATGACTGTTCTTTCGCAAGCAAGAAGAGATCCTACACATTCGCATACGTCCGTGGAAAGTAAAGAGAGTCCATGGTAGAGATTCGCACAGTGAAGGGTGACTAACGAAAGAAGGGTGACTAACGAAAGCATACAACTCGAAACCACTATGCGTTGCTGTTGCTGTTGCTAGCATCCAGCGAGCTCGACAAGACATCGTTGATCGAGCTGCCCTGGAATCCTTGAGCCAGCGCATCGATCTGCGTGCCCATCCCCGGTCCTGATCGCTTCTGCTCCTCCAGAATGCCCGGCGCAGGAATGGCGAGGGGTGCAGCGCCCGCAGGCAGACGTTCCACCGCCTCGGCTGACAGCTCCTGCGATGGCTGCGACTGCAGCTGGACGGGAGAGAGACTGTTCAAGGGCGGTGTCGAGCTGGCCTGCATCATAGCGCTGAGGGAGGCCATCTTGCCATCAGCAGCATTGGTGGGAGGCGAGCGCGAGCTGAGCCCCGTCAGATCGCCCACGCCGTCGCGGAAGTCGCGGCCGATCTTTTGGGAGCGGATCTGCGAGGCAGTAGGCGATGGGCCGCCAGCCAGCACGGCGGAAGAGGCTACAGATGCTGCCGTCGAGTCCGCTTCAGAGTTGGCGACCGTCGAGGGCGAGGCGGACATTGGGACCGAAAAGGCAGTTGTGGTGGTCGGCACGGCCATACTGTCGGGGTATGGCGCCTCGGCCGCGATAGCGTCGGCCGCTTCGGGCACGGGCACAGCACGCAAGGTGGAAGCGCTCGAGCTGGAGATGCTGCCGTGACCGCCCATGGGAACCGAGGGCGTCGTGGTCGTCGGTGTCGGAAGCGGCGTCATCGATTGGAATCCGCTGCCGAATCCACCACTCTCACGCCCTGCGATGCTCGACGTCGTGCTTGGATGTCGCGAAGGCGCCGCCGAGTTAGGCCTCGTCGCTGGCTGGTCCGGCGAGGCCATACCGATCATCGGTCCTCCCCGTGCCAGCAATGCCTGTCGAACCATGTCCGCCGATGCACCCCCCGCATCCGCGTCGTCCTCGCTGTCCGACGCGGCAGATTCGCATCCCGACACACTTGCGCTCGATGCCGTGTCGCCATCCCAGACATCCTCCTCCTCGTCGTCATCATCGTCGTCCTCGCGATTGAGCATCTCCTCAATGGTCTGTTCTACCTCCTCGTACTGAGCACGCAGGATCGCTTGGCCCTCTGGCACACTGCCATCGCGTCCGAGCCACTTGCGCACCCCCGTGTCGTTGCCGTCCTTGTCGAGCACCTTGCTCCGCATGTTGTCGATCTGGTGCAGTGCCAATCGGTACGGGTACAAATCGCGCATGGTGAAAGGACCGCCGTACTTGGACACCTCCTTGAGGCACTTGGACACGGTGGATAGCTTGTTGCTGATGGGCATGAGCTCTTCCGAGATGGGCTCGGACGACGCCACCAGTCGGTAAATGAGACCGTAACATCGTCGCAGCAGGTACAGAAGCACCAGCTGGCCTTCGGGCTGCTTGCCCTCGGAATCGACAAACTTGCCATTGACTCGCAATCGATCGATCTCCTTGAGCGTCACCTGGTAGTTCCAGAGGTCGGTCTCGCGCAGCGTCCATCGATGCGTCAATACGAGGTGCTCGAGCTGCGACTTGATCTCGACGAGTCGGTCGTAGATCGGCTGCAGCGTCATGGGGACTTCGTCGTTGCGCACCGTCATGTCGTGGCAGATCTCGAAGCACTCCTCCAGCAAACCAACGAGAATGGCTTGACCGGCTGGCACCGAGCTACCGCCTGGACCCAAGAACTTGCCATCGACACGCTTCGCATCAATCTTTCGAAGCTCTTCCTGCAGCTGCTTGATCTCCGCACGTGCCGGCTTGGGCTTGGCTGCTGCCGCGGCGAGTTGTCGACGAATGGAAATGATCTTCTGATGGATAGGCACGAGCTCGACGGAAAGCACCTTGAGCGTGCTCTCGAGCTTGCGGAGCATCGTCCCGCACACCTCGAGTTTGCGCGTCATGAGCTTGGTAAGCTGCGGAGGATGACGTCCGCCTTCGCCGTCCTTGCGAATGATCTCTCGGAGCTCGGAGAGACGTGCGCCAAATGGTTGAAGGTCGGCCTCAGTGTAGATGCCGGACTCTTGCAGATGATCCAGCAATTGCTTCATACAGCCGAGTTGAGAAAACGTCGCTGGGCTTTCTCGACTGCGCCCGATGGTGAGGAAGAAGAGACTGAGCAGGGAGAAGACGTCGTTAAGGGTGGTATCGACCCGGTTCTGCTGAAGCACGGGCGAGTCGTCGGAACCGCCGGCCGCAGTCTGATCGGCTTGCTCGACTTGGTCCGAAGAAGAGCTGGCAGCGGCAGCGTCCTGAGCGTTGGCCTGCTGCTCGTCTCGTACAGCATTGAGCTTGGTCACCTGCTTGATGACTTGCTGATATAGCTGCTGGACATCCTGGGATCGAATGAACTCGGAGCTGTCCTTCTTCAATGCTGTGAGCCTGTTTCGGATGTTGATAAGCGCCTCAAGGATGGGGAGCTCCTCGTGCGGAATGCTCGACATGGACGACATGATGGGCGCGGCCGAAGTGTTGGCAATAAGTGCGGGTCAATCCTTTCCGTGGGGATGAAGATGGTCGCAGCGAGCCTCCCGCAGTGCGCTGCCAAATTAGATGAGCGTCCCAAGAGCCGTTGCCGCGGATGTGGTGGAATCGACGCTGCAGTGCTGACGACTGTTGGTGAAACGTTGTCGGCGCTCCGAGACGAATGCGATCTCCTTCAGCGAATTGATGATGGTGGACTGGGTTGCCGGAGCGGAGGGATCTGCAAACTGAGCCTCAACGCGTGAAAGTGAGACTGGACTGAGTGGACGGTGTTAGCTGCGGATAGCGCTGAGGTCCACGGCACGGATGAGCGAGCAGAGAAGCGTGTTTCCTTGCAGGTGAAACAAAAGAGCGTGATAAGCCGAGCAGTGCCGACGTCGTAGTGTTGTGTGTGATGTGATGAGATGAGGGAAGTGATGGTTTGTGTGGAAGCCGCGGAGGTGTCGATCTCAATTTGGTGAAGCCGAATCACGGAAGCGGTCGAGCGTAGCTAATTTCGGCACGAGCTGCAGGTCTGCGTGTTCCAGAAGGCTCTGCTCAGCCGCCCTTCCACGCCGCGGTTTGAAAATGCACACTCCATCCTCGAGCTCTTCTGAAAGCTCATCTTCCCTTCAATACCACTCAGTCTGATTCAAGTCACCGCACACACACGTCTCATACCGAGGACGGGATCGATGGTTTGCAATGACCGCATCGACACGATGATCCAGTCGGTAGCTATGGCTCTCCGAGACTGAAGCAAATTCTGCGCGACGTCGAGCCAGATCAGTCGCTCGACCTCTTCTGCTTCTCCTTCTCCCTACGCTTGGCATTCTTCTTGCGGTTCGCTTGCCTCTTCTTATCGTCCTTGCTGAGTGTACCGCTGTTTGCCAGGTCCGACCCCGAGGGCGAGTCGTCCTGCACCGACTCCGACCCGCTGCGGCTCATGCTCGCCGGCGTCGGCGCCGACTCGACCATGAGATGGTCCTTGTTGCCTTTTGCTTCCTGATTCGACGAGGCGTCTGGCTGCGTCTTCTGAGCCAGCTCGGCAGCGGCCTGGATCTCGGTCTGCTCGGGCGCTGCTTCCGATCCGCTGTTCGCTGCTGTGGAGGACGACTCTGCATCCGCCGCAGTACTGCTGTTGCTGCCATTCGGCGCCTGCTCAACGCCTTGAATCGGGTTCTCTGGCTCGCCAGTGACGGCAGGCGGAACAATGCCAAGCAGACCCGGCTGCGCCTCCACCGACTTTACGTCTTCCTTCTTGGCTTCAGCCTCGACCTTGACCTCGCGACTCGCCTCCTGAGCCGCCGCTGCCGCCTCCTGCTCCTTCTGCGTCTTGATCTGCTGCTCCCACATCTTGCTGTACAGTCCCTCGCGTGCGATCAGGTCGGCATGCGAGCCGACCTCGACCACACGACCCGCGTCCATGACGATGATGGTGTCGCAGTTGATGATGGTGGAGAGACGATGTGCGATGGTCAGGCTGGATCGGCCCTGCATGAGATTGTTCAGCGCCGACTGCAATTGACGCTCTGTCTGGCTGTCAAGTGCCGATGTTGCTTCATCGAGCAGCAAGATGGGAGGGTTCTTGAGGATGGTCCGCGCGATGGCGACACGTTGCTTCTCACCACCGGACAGACGGACACCGCGCTCGCCGACGACAGTGCCGTAGCCATCCGGGAAGCCCTGGATGCGGTCGTGGATCTGAGCAGCGAGGGCTGCAGCCTCGACTGCCTCGTCTGATGCCTTGGTGTCGCCGTACAGGATGTTGGTGCGGATGTCGTTGTTGAACAGCGAAGGCTCTTGCGGCACGACACCGATGGCACGTCGGAGCGATCGCTGCGTCACATGGCGGATGTCTTGACCATCGATGAGGATTCGTCCGGATTGTATGTCGTAGAAGCGGTAGAGCAGACGCAGAACCGATGACTTGCCTGCACCAGATTCGCCGACCAGGGCCACGCTCGAATGACGGTCGATCTTGAAACTCAATCCCTTGAGCGCCTCCACCTTGCCGTCGTACGAGAAACGCACGTCCTGGAATTCGATGATACCATCCGTGACGACGAGGTCCTTGGCATCCGGCAGATCCTTGACTTCCGTCTTCTCCTCGAGCAGCGTCATGAGCTTGTCGGTGTCGACGAGGTTCTGCTGCACCACGCGGTATAGAGTGCCGAGCATGGACAAGGGCGAGTAGACTTGCTGGAGGTAGGTGACAAAGACGACAAACTGCGAGCTGGTCGTCTCGCCGCGCACGACACTGCCAGCGGCAAGCATGATGGTGAAGAGCGTACCGAAAGACAGGATGAGGTTCTGCACCATGTTGAGCATGTTGAGACTGCCGATCACCTTGAATTCGGTCTTTTGGTATTCCTGCAGAGCACTGCGGAAGCGCTCGGCCTCGTACGATTCGTTCGAGTAGCACTTGACGGTCTCCCAGTTCATGAGCACATCGGCTGAGATGGCGCGGCAGATCGAGTCCTTGTTGTTCATAGCTCGGCGAAGTCCCGTCCTCCAGGTGGTGAGCTGGACGCTGACCCACGTGTACGCGACCATGACCACAAAGAGCGCAATGCCGATGGCGGGGCTGTAGGTGCGCGTCATGTAGAACATGGCGACAAAGATGTCGATAAAGACGGGAAGCAGGCTGAAGAGGAGGTACTGGAAGAAATTGTTGATGGCGCTGCCACGATCGAGGATCCGCAGCACCTCGCCGGTCTTCTTCTTGGTGTGAAAGGACATGCTGAGGTTGAGCAGATGCTCGAAGGCCATCATGCTCATCATGCGGTCCGAGTACTGCTCCACGGGCACCCAGAGGATGTTCTGCAAAACGCTGAGCAAGCTTCCGGAGCCTTGCAGCATCTTGAGGCCAGAGTAGAGGACGACGTCCCACCAGGGCGAGGCGCCGGTGGAAAGGTCTTCGACGAGCTTACCGAGGGCGAGTGGGGTGAAGAAGTTGACGACGCGCGCTGCAAAGAGAAGGATGACGCAGGCGACCGCAATGAGCTGTAGGCGGAGCGACTTGGAAGGCCAGAGGTAAGGGAAGAGGAATTTGATGCGGTAGAGGAAGACCTTAAAGGTGGGGGGCGGCGGTACTGCAGCGACGGTGAGACCCATAGAGGCATTTGGATCGCGGTTGGGCGTCTGTGTACCCGAGTTGGCAGCCGACTTTTGCTTTGCGTTGCCGTTGACGTTGACGGTGGTGCTAGTAGCGCCGTACGAAGGGGTGGCAGAGGAGCCTGGAGCTTGGAGAAGGCCGGTCGACTCGCTGTTCGTGGTCGGCGCCGAGCGTGGCTGCGCAGAAGAAGAAGAGGGACCGCTGGTGGCAGCCTCGTTGGCCAGCTCGGCAGCACGCACGAAGCGAACACGGTCCCATGACAAGGCGAGGATGAGCACGGGATAGAGAAGCAAGAGTCGGAGGATGATGAGTCCGAGTTGGGCGATGGACCACGGACTGGTGGAAGGAAGGTCTCGACGCTCCTTGGGAATCATGTAGAAGACGAGAAGCAAGATATCGGCGATGGCGCCCACGGTGAGGGACCAAGCCGACTTGCCTCTGCCGTACTTGCCCCTGCCTCGCACCTTTTCCTCCCACAGTGCAGCAATGACTATCGAGCCCCATGCCAGCAGACCGCCGAGAGCTTGCACGTCGACGGCGGCCCAGAGGTAGAGATCGGGCTGCCATTCTTTGGGAGGCAGCACGGCTCGAAGAATGATGAGGACGCCTGAGATGAAGAAGGTGGCAGCTAGGCCGAGCTGAGCGGACTGCGTCAAGAGACGGCGGCGTGATCGAACTGGCACGATGACGGGTGTTGGCTGTGGTGCGTCGTCATCATCTTCGCGACTTGCCTCCGCGCGCAGCTGTTCGTAGTCGGATCGTTGCGAATGCAAGCGGCGAGCCAGAAATTGTTTTGCAGGATCGAGCAGAACCGAAACGAGGGCAATGAGGAGAATGGCGAATGGCTGGAGGATTCGGAGGCTGAGGAGAGCCAGCTCATAGTTGACGTCGGTTGTCGTTGCGAGTAGCGCGAATGGTGAAGAGCCCAGCGCTGACATCTTGAAGTACGCCTGGCAGGGCTGGATGGCCAATCCACGAGTCGACCAACACCACCGTCCTTCGCTGTCCGAGAGCGTCCCTTCCGGTTTCCAAATGGACGAGCGAAGATGAGTCGGTTGACGACTGCTTGAGCTTGAGTTTGTTGATATGAAGCAAGGTATCGAGAGCCTGAGCTCCATGAATTGAGCTGGGTCCCTGAGTCCTCACAAGCGAAGTGTCACTTACACCCCTGGGCTGAGCCAACACTCTCTCACGACTTCATAAGCCAAAGCTGTTCACACGCAACCTTCTTGATCGCCAACTTTTTGCAAGTGCAGCTGGGCACTCCACCTTGACTTGATTGGCTCCCTCGTGTTGCTCTTCTCGTCCAATTCCGGAGACCGCGGCGCCCTTTTTGCCTCGAGGAGTGTGAGATTCCCATTACCACAGAAAAAACAAATCATGCGCGGCACGGACCCTGTGTCTGTTGGTGAGCCCTGCTGAGCTTTCCGGCCGCCGGCTGTGCGCTGCAGCGTGATATCTTCTGACATGGAGTGAGCATTTGGCCGTGCCGAGCTCCGTGCCGGGACCCTGCACGGCCTCTTGTTCGAAGCGCACGTTGCTTCAGCGAGCGAAGCTTTAAGTAGAGCCGGCCTTCCCTCCTCCTTTTCCTCTCCCACCCCCGTCTCCTCTACCGCCTCTGCTCATCGCGCCACCATGGCATCCCACGACGGCGCGCACCCAGCGCAAAAGCTCAAAGCCACCGCCGACACGGTCCTCTCCGCCTTCCATCACGAAGATCAATCCGAGGCGCACCGCATCTTCCGTTCTCACCCTGGTCACTCCGGTCGTCGCACCTCCAAAGTCTCCACCACCGACCTCGAATCCTTCAAGTCCTCGCTCGATCATGACAAGATTGGCGAAAAGTTCCCCGCCATCGAACACCCCGGATCGACCGGTGTCATCTACGTCACCGACCGTGCCACGAGCAACGGCTTCTACTATGGCAATCCCGAATGGGCCAACATGGGCCAGGGAGCGCCGGAGGTGGGCAACATCGAGGGCGGAGTCCCACGAACGCTGCAGTTCGATCTGAGCGAGTTCGGCGAGGGCGTACACGAGTATGCGCCCAACACAGGCACCATGGCGCTCCGAAAAGCCGTGGCCAACTACTACAACGTGACCTTCCGCCAAAACAAGAGCAACAAGTTCGACTACAGCAACGTGTGCATCGTCCCCGGTGGACGAGCGGGTATGACGCGACTGGCTGCCGTCATCGGGTCCGTCAACTGCGGCTACCAGCTCCCAGAATATACTTCTTACGAGAGCATGCTCAGTGCGTTCAAGAGTCTCGTCCCCATCCCAACGGTCCTCTCCGCAGAGGACCGATACAAGCTCAGCACGGATGACCTGCGCAAGGAGATCAAAGGTCGCGGTCTGAGCGCCATGATCATGTCCAACCCGCGCAACCCTACGGGCATGCTCATCGAGGGCGAAGAGCTCAAGGCTTTGGTCGAGACGTCCAAGGAGCTGGGGTGTACGATTCTGCTCGACGAGTTCTACTCGTGGTACATGCACGAAGGTCCTTCGGGTCGGGCAAATTCCGCGGCGGAGCATATCGACGATATCAACGACACGCCGGTGGTGATGATCGATGGACTCACCAAGGGGTTCCGTCTACCCGGCTGGCGCGTGTGTTGGGTTGTTGGGCCTAAGGACATCATCACTGCTCTCAACCAATCGGGATCCTTCCTCGACGGCGGCACCTCCCACCCGATGCAGTGTATGGCGTTGCAGATGCTCGACATCGACCGATGCAACCAGGATCGCATCGCCTTGCAAAAGCTTTTCAGGCACAAACGCCAACACGTCCTCTCCCGACTCGCCAAGATGGGCCTCAAAGTGCACATCGAACCCCAAGCAACCTTTTACATCTGGCTCGACCTCAGCCCTCTCGCCCCCTCCCCGCTCGCTTCCGGGCTCGTCATGTTCGAAGAGCTGCTGAGGGAGAAGACCATCGTAGTCCCCGGTATTGCGTTCGATATCAACCCCGCGCACAGGAGGAACATCGTCCAGAGCCCGTGTGAGAAGTTCATTCGCATCTCGTACGGGCCCGAGATGTCGCAGATCGATCGAGGATTGGATGCGCTCGAGAGGGTGATCGCAAAGGCGCACCCGGACCACTCGGAGTATGGAAAGGTCGGCAAAGGGTTCGCGCCCACCAAGACGGCGCATGCGGATGTCAAGCACGATTAGAGATCGAGGTGTGGTGCGCAATGTCAGGTTTCGTGTCAAGTGAACGCTGTGTGTCCAGCGTGTTATTTGTGTGAATTAAGTAGCAGTGCTCCCAGCCAACGTGGCGCGGCCATCAGATCTGGCGCGCTCAAACACACATCACGAGCAACACAGGCTACCGTTTGATCTGATGCTGCTTGCTCTGCAACAACCCGTACATGCCCCATCTACGTCAGCTTGTTCGCCTTCTTATACAGCGAATCCACCACGTTGCCCACATGCTTCAACGTATCCAACGTCACCTGATACGTCTTATCCTCCTGGGGCTGTTCGTACACCACCAGACAACCTGCGCCCTGGTCCAGAATGCCATGGAACACCTTATCCAAAATCATCTGACTCAATTTCACCTCGACCTCCCGCACCGGCTGTCTCACCTCCTTGGCGATATGGGCGATCTCGACCCTCGAATACGGTTCGATGACCCTCAGCAGGTTCTGCTCCAACAACGTGTCGTACAGTGCCGAGAGGTGGTTCTTGACAATGGGATCGTTCGAAAGTTCATCCTTGTACGTGCGGAGGGCTTGTTCGAATCCTTCCAGCGATCGGTCCTCGTGAGCCTTGGCGACGGCTTTCATCGCCTCGACGTCTCGACCGGCGTACTTGGTCGCGTGCTTCCCTGCAATGATGCTGTTGACATCCTCCGAAAGATTGAGCATGATCTTGCACAGAAGCATGTATTTGAGTGCAAGGGGCGCACGTGGGTCGTCTTGGAGCGCAAACCCTTCGAGCGTCTCGAAAAAGTACGAGTAGGCGGTGGTGTAGTCCTTGTCCTCGGCGTGGAGGACGCCGGCTTGCATGTCGAGCTGCGCCTGCAGGGTGGGCGGGCAGTAGATCGAGTTGGCCGCTGTTCTCGCCGATGTCAGCGCCGCTTTGGCTTTGGGTAGGTTGGAGATGGCATGGTTGACCTTGGACTCGAGCAGGTGGACTTCCGTCAGGATCATCTTGTCGTCCAGCTTCTTCAGCTCTCGAAGCAACGTGTCGATGAGTGGAAGCGCTTCGCGGTAGTTCTTGTTCTCGAAATAGAGTCCGATGAGCTTGGTCTCGAGGTTCTGTTTCAAGAAGATCCGCTTTTCGGACTTGGCCCATTCTGCGTTCTCCTTGGTGACTTGAATCTGCGTCTGCTGGCTACCAGGGATGCTGCCAAAGTAGTCGATGAGCGTGCGCACCAGCTTGGCCGTCTTGGCCTTGGCGATGGAGCTCATAAACGTGCGTGAGGAGCGCACTGTCTCTGCAAGCGCGTCGGAATTCTTAGTGTCGCGGTAGAGCTCTCCGAGACGGAGCAGCGCCGCTTCCTGCTCTTTGAGGACAGCATCGTCGGGGGTGGCGGACTGATTCGAGAGGATGGATTTGAGGATGCGCTCGCCTTCTTGCGGATTGCCTGCCTTGATGGCTTCGTCGGCCTGTGCTACTGTCTGTGCTGCCGTCATGGTGCTGGTTTGAGTGCTGATGGGCTGATGTGTGCTCTGCAAGCGGATGCGGTTGATCTGGCAAACCTCGCGTCGAGTGGTGCTCGCGTTAAAGGGGTCCAACTACAGTCGAAGGATGAGAAGAGTGCTTTGGAAGGGCTCTGCACGGTGGGTTTTGTGTCGAGGCGAGAATGAGGTTGCTGCCGGTGCGGGTGAGAAAGGCAGCAGTGATGCTCGAATAGGTGATCGGCAAAGCGAAAGGTATGAGATGACTCGAATGGTGATGGTGTTGGTGTCTGTTGGTCACCGTCGAGAAATCGCAGGTTTGGAAGTCACAAAGTACGCGTCAGTTGGCTTGAGCTCAGACCCTTTGGAGATACTGCCGCTCTACAACCGCAATTTCTTCGCAGAGCGTGATCGAGGCGCTTTCGCCTCCACACTGCAACCTCAATTATTCGATTTTGTTAGACCGACAGGTGAGCGTTCCCAGCTTCTCAATGGTGCTTTGTCTTCATATGAGCACAAGTCGTGGCTTTGAGCCGCTTCGAGGAGCTACAGAGGCGCAAATACGATCCATAAACAGCTCGGTATAAGCATCAGGTTCCTATTCCGTTCCATTTCAAACAAGCCCGTGACCGGGAACGCGCGCTAGAGACCGCTCGACCAGCTCCACTCCCGAACGCCCCTCTGAGCAAACAGATCCCGAGCGACCTGCTCGCTCCTCGTCTGCTTCTTGTACGCCTCGAGTTTTGCCTCCCTATCCTCCTTCAGCGGATAGAGCACCTTTCCAGCCTCTGTTGCGCCAGCCGCCAGGATGCGATACGCCTCGATGGTACTGTGGACGTGATCTGGGTTGCTCAACCCGACCAGCGTTCTCAGCTGCGGACCTTGGCCTGAAGGATGGGGCAGTTCGGAGCCGCGGAAGCCGTAGGTGAGGGCTGTCATGGTGAGCGAGCTTCCTTGGGCGAGGAGGGTCTGGCTTGCTTCCTTTGTGGCTGCTTGGAGGGCGGCGCTGGCCGGGTGCCAGGAGGGAGGCGTGCCGTCTGTAAGGAGGCCCATGGAGAAGGGGCTACCATTCATCAGCAGCGGTGCTTTCCAGGCGAGGTCCTTGAGAGAGGCGGCATCGGCGCCACCACGAGGATCGGCGGCGAAGAGGTCCTTCCAGCCCTCTAGAACGGATGAGTGAAGGCAGTGGTTCGAGTAGTTGAGCACCACGTCGAGCGAGCGATAAGGTGCGCTGGTGGCCACCAGTCGAGACAGTCGCAGCAAAACGGGAAGAGGGTATCCCGAGATGCCTACCCGCTTGATGACGCCTTCGTCCTTGAGCTTGAACAGTGTCCTCACAGCTTCGAGGAACTGCTCGTCTCCCTTTCCGTGCACCTTGGAGGCTGCTTCCAGCCCAGGCGCCAGACCCAGCGACTCGATGACTTGCTCCCTTGTCTGGTTCACGCCAACCCGAGACGGCTCGACGAGCCCCGAAACGATCCCACTCTCCCACCCCGCATCGTGACTTCTTCCCACCTGGTCGCACACGAACTCGGCATCGTGCGTAAGAGCCACATCCAAATAATTCGTGCCCAGCCTCCTGCAGCTGCCCCTCACACTGCTGTCGATCTTCGCCGCGCTGTAATCAAAGTCCCCTTTATCCGGTCCGTACCTTCCGCACTTGGTGATGATGTAGTACGACTCTCGCGGGAACTCGGGTTCCAACCGTCGGAGGATGTTGCCGAGCGTGAACTCGGATGGAAAGTAGTACGGCGAGGTGTCGAAGGCGTTGATGCCGTATCGCAGGGCTAGGCGGACGGTGCGAAGGGGTAGGTCGGAGGCGAGCGTTTCCGAAGTATTGTACATGTCTACGCCAAAGACGCCTCCTCCAAAAACGAGCGGAGACGCGTCGGCCGCGAGATCGCCAGCACCCTTAGCGAGATTGGATGGATCATTGATGGCGTTGGTGCGCCAGGGTGCAAGACCGCCTTTGAGCTCGTCTTCCACCAGCGACTCGAGCGCCGGCTGTTGTGGGAAGTCCGAGTTGCTCGGTTCGACGGAAGGATACTTTGGCATCTCGAGACGTGGTTCTGAATGAAGGAGGTTCGGGGTCGAGGAGTGAGCCTTGGGGTCCAGCGCTGATGCAGACTCTCCTATATGCTGCCCGAAAGCTCGGAGCCCAGGACAAGCGATTTGTGGGGTAGTGAAGACGCACGGGACAGGCTGATTGGTGTTGGACAAGAGAGCAATCAATCGCACCGACAATTCCTAACCCGCAACCCCACTCTTTCGAGACGAGCCCGAGAAAAACAGCAGACACATCGGCGTGGGCGCCGAGACGGTGACCGGCGTCTGTTTTCCCCGCGTTGATCCATCTCCGCTACAGCACCTCTTCAAATTCAAAGGCAGCTCGTTCAAAGGCAGCTCATGTACACAGGGCGAGCGGCAGACAACTCAGAGGCCACTTGGGGTCACAAAGATGTCAAGCAAGGAAACGAGCAAAGGAATCTGAATTCAAAGATCACGACTTGTCGACGAGTGTGGGGTCAAAAGATTGTTGAATGCGGGGGTGAACCGCCTCAAAGAGTATCGGTCTCGTCGGTATCGCCGCTGCCGAGTTGCTTGGTCTTGTCGTCCGAATCGAGCTCTTCGGGACTGGCCACGTGAACAGCAGAGCTCTTGGTCTCCTCGGCGAGCGCAGAGCCCACCTCAGGCTTACCGAACGCGCGGATTCTTGGAGCAACAACGCCAGGGACCGGGGTGCTTGACGCCCCGGGCAGAGGCGTGCTCTTGAACCGGCTCACGCGCGTGCCCGAAGGAGTGTTGCTGCGGCTCACATCGCCGCTTCCCTGGCGTTCGGGAGCAATGGCAGCGGTGCGGCCGCGCAACAGCGACTCGCCAACGATGGCAGTGGCGACGGTCCCATCCGAAGCCTGGTGACGGATCACGATCGGCTTGTTGGCACGAGGAGCCGCGAGGGCAGGCTGGTCATCTGTGCTCGACATCAAAGAGCCGGGGCCAGGCGAGACAGGTCGCGAGCCAGGACGCGACGAAGGGCGCGAACCAACGCTGATCTCTCGCATCCCAGCGGTGCGGCCACGCGGATCGACGGCATCGAAAGGGAAGTGGACGCCCTCGCTCTTGGTGGGATCAGCTGGCTTGGCCGTGAGTGCCTCGGCAGAGCTGTCAATGACGGGGGTCGGCGGCACGGAGGGAGCAATCTCGGCAGCTGGCCCGGCGCTGACGCTCGCATCCTTGACACTGGCGCTGCGACCCAGCTTGAAGCGGGGCAGAGCAATCTTGGGGTTATTGGGGAGCTTGAGGATCGAGCCAGGCAGCTGCATCTCATCGGCGTCCTTGGGCGTCTCTACCCTCTTGTCCACCATCTCCCTGTGACCGGGACTGGGCGGAGGACTGATCTGCGCAAAGTTCTGCTCGACCTCGGAATCGTACTCGTCCAGAATCTCTTCACCGATCAGCTCCTCCAGCACATCCTCAAGCGTGATAATACCGATAGGCACGTCTCGCTGCGCCATCTCGGTGGCGACAGCGCTTGCGTCGATGTCCTCGGAGAGCGTCTCAGGAGGCAGATCGAGCGAGGTGGCCTTGTCTGCATGACGATGGTGTCGGCGCAGATGACGCGACCAAAAGCTGGACTTCTTGATGTCCGAATCGTCAAGTTGCTTCTCTTCGTCGATGTTGCCGAGGTCTCCCTCGATGCGTGCAGCTGTTCCGGAGCGAGCCGGAGCCGCGGCCTGGGTCTTCTTTGGATCGTTGCTACCGAGGCCGACAAACGAACCAGGCAACGAACGGCGAGTGCGCGAAGAGACGATGGCAAGGTGCGAGCGACCTTCTTGGAAGACGTTGAGCAGGTTGAGCAAAGGCTCGTCCGCAGGAACAGCCGGCAGAGCGTTGATGACCATATCGCGAACCGGCGTTTCGTCCTCGGGGTCGAGCAGCACACATTGCTTGACCAGAAGGGCGCCGATGATCTTCTTGCGCTTGATCATGGTCATAGCAGTCGCCGAGTTGCTCTTCTCGTTGGTCATAGCAGAGTCCTGAGAGTCGCTGTTGTTTGCGAAATAATCCTTCTCATTGGTGACGCTGCCCTCGAGGGTGCGCTGATCATCCGACGAGCCTTTGGTTTGCGAGTTGCTGGTTTTGCGACTCAAGACACCGAGGAAGCCACCACCGCCACGACTGGGCGTCAAAGTGCCGCTGCCACCGCGAGTGCGGCTGACGGGGATCTCGATCTCGTGGTAGACTGGGATACGCGAATGGCCCGAGCTGACGATCTGCTGAAGGGTCTCGTAGCCGAGCTTGGAGTCGATGGAGATCATGAAGACCTGGTCGATGGGTGTCATGGCCTGCTTGACGACCTTCTCTTGCAGATCAAGCGCACCTCCGACGATGGTGACAGTATCGTTGTTGAGGTCGCCACGTCCGGCGCCAGCAGCGTGGAGGTTGACGAGCTCCTTGAGCTCGGAACGCCTGTAGACGATACCAGAGTGGGGGCCAAGTGTCCAGTGCAGAACTCGCGAGACGGGGAAGGCGATGGGCCAGAGGATGATCATGACGACTCGGGTGAGTGGTGCGAGCTTGGCGCCGATGGCGAGACCGTATCGCGAGCAGACAGACTGAGGGATGAGCTCGGCAAAGATGACGACCAAGACGATACTGACGATGACAGCCTGGACACCGCCACCGAGCAGAGGGTCGGCGATGATGGGAAGCGTCTCATTGGTGATCATGTTGGCAATCAGCAGCGTAGTGAGCAAGAGATGGCCGTCCTTGCGGATGGGCATGATCTTTTCGGCGTATCGCTTCTGCTTGGGCGTTCCCTGCAGCGAGAGCACCTGCAGCTGGGTCTCATCGAGCGACATGTAGCCCAGGGTGAGACCTGCGAAGAGACCAGAGAGTACGACGAGGATAGGGATGAGGATGCCGTAGATGGCCTTCTGACCCTTGGACAACTCGGTCTCGTGGCATGTCGACTCGCTACTGCTGCCCGATCCAGCGCGCTTCCAGAGGCGGAAGCGAGAGGATTTGGGACCGACGTTGTAGGAGGCGTCGTCAGCAACAGAGCGCTGCTGGATCGACAGACGCTGGTAGAGCTCGTCGAAGAAGAGGCGTGACTCGGGCGAGTCGGCGAAGTGGGCGTTGCGTGTTTGATCCTGGACCCACTGCAGAATCTGGCCACTAGAGATTGAATTGACATCGGAGGGCTGAGCGTCCGAAACGCTGCCCCGAGGGGCGGTCGCTATGAATCGATCATTGTGGGCTATGTGGGAGAAGACTTCGGGCGAAGCTAGGACGTTTTCACTGTCTTGATGTTGATGAGCGTCAGTGGGAAGGACGTGAGCCTGGGCAGGGCCGGTCAAGCAAGCAAGGAAAACGACGAGGCTGCAAAGGACAAGGAAGGCGGAGCGGAACGAAGGTCGAGCACGACGGGCAGAACTGACGGAAGAAGGGCGGCGGTTGGTGAAGCAGGCGGACCAGATGCTGCTGTTGGTCGATGTGTTTAAGGCTCTACAATCATCGAGGTCGGGGCCATCATTGGTAGGAATCTCCATTCGTTTGAGCGAGGAGCTGGTGTCGAGAGTGGAAGGCGTCACGGACGTAGATTGTCGATGACGCTGCAGTTTGCAAACAAGATGGTTGGATGCTGTACAGCAGTGGAGAGAGTCGAAGGTATCGAAGTGAGGTCGATGCCAAGAAGATGGGGGTCAGATTGACAGCTCTTGGCAACGTGATGCCAAGCCTATATATCCTCAGCGAGCCGGCTTATCTGATGCCTGCGGTTGCGTTGCCTGCGGTGCCACCAATGTGCAAGGCGGTGCAGCAGCCTGCGGGATTGGTGCGGCGGCTGAGCAAGTGGGATTTCGGCGGCGGAATGGCAGTGTGTGTGTGTGGGTTTCAGCCAAACAAAGAGGGTTCAATGCGCGCCAAACCGGAATACAATTTTAGACTGCTCTGATGGATCGAATAGAAGCGAGCCTGGCTGCCAGTCATTTCCAACCTCGATGGACTCACGACTGCCTTCGACGGTGCATATCTCCAAGACCGATGGTCTCGATATGATATGCTTGAGTTGACGAGCTGACTGATTCTGGAGCGCTCCTGTCGAAGCAAGGGAGCGAGCAACGCCATGCTGTGTGCGCTCTAGTGTGCTGTGTTGGATTTCCGAGCTGACCATGTCGGGCCTGCTGCACTGCATTGCGTCGACGCTTGATTCGGCCCACAACGCGCTAAGATTCGTCGATGACGACACGGACACCGCCGTCAGCCCTGGTTCCTTCATTCGATCCAGAAGGCTTTCTTTCGGCTCTTTGACGTCGCCGAGCCCCCTCAGGGTCCACGAAGCACCCTTGTGTCAGAGAAGCTCGCTGCTCTCGAGGCTTGGCAGGCTGGACATGGTCGTGTGACGTTGATCCGCCCAAGTCCTCGTCAATTCTGCGGTCTAACACACCATCTTTTTTCGACCCGTCGACCCTCCCATCAGCAACTTGCGGACGACTTGTCTCGAACACACACGATGGGGACATCAAAGGCCCTGGAAAGGTTGGCGTAATGTTGCTGTGCTGATTCAACGACGGCTGTTACTTCTTGGTGCTGGCTGTTGTCGCTGTCGATGCCTTGAGCAGGTCGTTGGTGAATCGCTCGTTGACCGTCTCTGTTTGTCGTCAGCGCAAATGTGGGTGTTCATTGGGTTAGCGCCTTATTTGCAGCCGTCCGCACCATCGCTGGTTGGTTGCAGCTATCAACTTACTCTTGTTGGGCCCCCATGCCGATCCTGCACTACCAGCTGCTGCTTTGTAGACCTCGGGTCTCTCTGTTGAGAGTCGTCATTGTGAGCGAGAGATGATGCAAGTCAGTACACTGTCGTGAACTGCATCACAGCTGCTGGTCGAGTCACATACGAGTCTCTGGTATCCTCTTGTCGATCGAGTTCGCATGCACCGTCTTCCATCTACCCTGCAGCCAAGCTTCGGCCTCGCTGACGTCAAAGCCGTTATTGCCCAGCGCGCCCGAGGTCGAGCTCTTCTTGGCAGTTGCGACGGAGCCCTTGACGCTGTTGGCCTTGGCGCCCAGATCGGCGCCGGAAGGCACTGCTGCTGCAATTGCTGCTGATGTGGACTGCATCGTTCAAGGCTGCTGTAAAGAACCGGTGGATGTGGAAAGGAGTGAGGCATGAGGAGGATCAGATTCTGAGACCAAAAAAGCCTGGCCCGAACGCGAATGAATGCATGCAGATCAGGGTCTGATTTCGACCGCTTGATGACCACTCCCACTCAGGATTTGGCAGACTGCAGCTCCATCAGTCGGCTCTGCGGCGTCGACGCGAGTGCACTTCATGTTGAGGTAGCGATGACTTGTATGACAGACAGCTCAACTAAAGACTCCAGAATTGGCATGAGTGACACAATGAAACGTGAGGGAGAGACAAGCGCATGTCTTCGGTGTATAAATGCATTGTATTCGGAAAGCTGTGAGATGGGTATCGCGATCTTTGAGCTGGTTACTTGGCTTGTAGTGTGGTCACGAGCCTGGAAAGCGAGTATGCGGGAATGGGGAAGAGCCGATCACAGCAGAGAAGTCAGTCTCGTCCTCCTCGATCCATCAAGCAGCCCATTTTGCGACACTTACCAGTCAAGGCCTTCTTCCAGGCCCTCGCCCTTGGTTGCGCAGCACTTGTGTATCGACCATTGACGATCCTTGAGCGAGCTCAACCCGAGCTTCTCGCTGACCTCACCCTCATTCAAGGCGCCTGGCAAGTCCTGCTTGTTCGCGAAGACGAGCAGCTTCGCGTCTTTCAGCTCTTCCTCTGAGAGCATGGCCAGGAGCTCTGCTTTCGCTGTGTCGAGTCGGTCTGTATCTGAAGAGTCGATCACGTAGATGATGGCTGTGGTGTTTGCGTAGTAGCACCTCCAATATGGTCTGCAGATGGGAATGAGGCGCAGTTAGAAGGTCAGCCAAAGACGACAGAGATCAAGATGGTCACATCTTTATACCTACCGAATCGACGTCTGTCCACCGAGATCCCACACCTGGAACTTGATGTTCTTATATGTCACCGTCTCGACGTTGAAGCCGATGGTCGGGATGGTAGAGACCACCTCTCCAAGCTGAAGGCGATATAGGATTGTCGTCTTACCCGCGCTATCGAGTCCGAGCATGAGTATCCTGACCTCTTCGCTCTTGTTCCAAAACGCCAGCCTGGAGAACATGGACGAGAAGGTGAGACCCATCTTGGCAACTTAAGTGCTTCGCAAGCCCTGTAGGGGTGGTGGTGTGAGTTGTATCTCCTTTCTCTCGTACAGATCAGGGACACGAGGCGAGGAGATCCACCAAAGCGTGTCGATCGTAATGCCGATAGACACCGTGAGAGGATCGGTATGCGTCGAAGTTTTGAGGCCGTGTGCTATGCGCTCTCTCAGAGCCGAGCCCGCAAGAATGAAGTGAGGTTCGTTGAGCGCCGACGATTGCCTGTGTATCAAGCGCTCGTTTTAAAATCGAAGCGCAGGACCGAGGGAGTAGCTTGCGATGTGGTTTGACAGGATACGTGAAGGGCTTGAGCGAAGGGGCTGTTGAGCTATGGCAACGTGTTGCCGTCATGCAAGGCTGCTGCTGGGAGAGCGTGTCCCGAACGTCAGCTCCGAAGAGAATCCGGGGCGATGTGAGATCGTGATTTGGCTAGCACCCGATCTTCAAGGTCCACGTGATGCAGCGAATTTGGAGTGACTTTCGAAGATCCAACCTCATCCTGGTTGTGCTTCCAACACCATCGACTCCTCCCTACTTACTCGCGAAAGACTTCACAAACCTCTCAGTGAAAGCGTCAGTGAAAGCGCAGAGGCTACGCAAGTATCAGCATAGGAACATACGTTCAGGCTAAGCCATCGCCATCGCGCGTCAAGGAACTCCAGCGCTGCTTCAGAGCTCTCCTCTTTCTTCGCCCACAAGCACATCATACGTACTGGTCTCGGTAGCCCACATATCAGCGCTTCACGACTCGACCTCCTGCACACGTCACGCACACCATGTCAGGGCGAAGTAAAGTATCGGTGCAGCCGATCAACATCATCTTCCGCCATTTGCAGCAGCAGACAAGGGTGTCACTCTGGCTCTACGACAATGTCGACTTTCGCATCGAGGGCAAGATCATTGTGAGTTCCCAAGCGTTCAGAGCGTCGCTGATCAGGATGGTTGCTGACTTGGACATCTGTTTTCCGACCGTAGGGCTTTGACGAATTCATGAACGTCACATTGGCGGATGCAGAAGAAGTATGGACAAAGAAGGACAACAAGCGCGTAGAGCTCGGCCGCATCTTGTTGAAAGGAGATAACATTGTAAGTGCATCCCGAGGGCGTGGTCGTACGATCCAGACCAAAGGATCCCTCGCAGTGTCTCAACTGTACTGACAATCGTGACCTCAATTCCTTGTCATTGCTCCGAACAGACTCTCATTCAACCGGCAAAGTGATGCGCACATCCTCGACCTGTCATCGTCCTCTTCCTCCAGCAGCATTGTACTTGTACTCAATCAAAAGCACTTCAGTCACAAAACACATTCGATTTGTGTATACGTGCCAGGAGCGAGGCGAGCTGGTATCTTGATTGCGATTGCGGATGCTGCAATCTATCGCCCTCCGTATGGACCATAGCCGGCTCCTCCCGCGCCGACAGCAGCGGCATTCCCCGACGCACCACGTTGCAAGGCCAACGAGTTGCTGTCGACGTTCTTTCTGTATTCGATCTTTTCCACCTTGACATCTCCGTCGATGAGCTGGTAAACGTACGTGACAACGACAGCTCCTTGAATGTCGAGCACTGTGAATAGAGTGGGAAGAGTTGGTCAGTAGATGCTCTCTCGCAATTCGAATGGGAATGGTCTCATGACACTCACGAGCAAAGCTAGGAATGGGTGCTGGTGCCTCTTTTGCTTCTTCGACCTCTTCTGCTTTCGCGTCGCCGGCCTTGTCGTCCGCATTCGCATCGGTCGCCTTGTCAGTTGCTGCGTCATCGCCCTTCTTGCTGTCAGCCGTTTTCGCTCCCTTCTTCGCCTTCGGATCGTCCGCCTTCTTGCCAGCAGCTGCATTGTCATCCTTCGCCTTGGCTGCTGCCTTCTCTGCCAACGCAGCTACAGACGCAGGATCCCTTAATGGCCAGGTAGGATGCCAAGCTCCTGTAGCGCTACCTGGGTTGACGAAGAAGCGGCCCTCCAGCTCGAACGCCTCGAACCGATGTGTGTGACCCGTCAAGAGAATGTCGACATCCATCGCTCTCGCTACGGCTGCTAGCGATTGTGTATCGCCCGCTGGCACGACCTGGTGGCCGTGCAGCACACCGATGCGAAGTGGTGGATGGTTGAGGATCAAGCTCGATGGGAAATGCGGGTTGTCATCGTAGTCGCCTTTGACGAGGTGAACATCTCCAGCGATGGTGCGCAGATAGTGAAGATAATCGGTGTTGCAGACGTTGCCGGTGCAGATGATCTGTTGGATCTTGCCGGGTACGAGGAGCTTCTTGAACTTGGCGGGCAAGTCGTGTGCGCGGAAGGGGATGTGCAGGTCGCCGATGACGAGGACTAGCATATTGGCAGCTTGCGATCCTGAGCGACAGCAGCCAGTGAGTGCAGTGTATGGTGCGGTCGATCGTTGTGCTTCGAGGTGCAAAGGATAGGGGTGGAGAGACGAGGAGGTGACGGGGAGAATGGTGCATGTGGAGCTTGAACCGGCTCGCAAGGGCCATCAAGCTGAGCCAGCGCTCTCTGTGTCTTGTCTCACGATTGACGAGGAAGCGTTGTATCGGGTGGATCGGCGGCGCCTTTTTGGCACGCGAAGCCAAGAGGGAAACGGTTAAGGCGTGTCTTTCTGCGCGTGTTGATTTCATCCTGGCAGCAGAGCGCAGTGGGAATCAAGCAGGGTCCTTCCTTCTTCCTTCAGCGAGCGGCCATGGCGCGCTAAGTAGCTTTCTCAGCTGCGCTTGATCTTAATTGATCTGAACATGATCAAGCACTTCGTCTGCTAGGCAGCCGTTTCTTGTTTCCTCATCACCGCTTCTCCTGATCATCCATCCCCTTCAACTCCTTTCGCTCAGCCACTGCGGCCTAGCTGCAGCGATTCACTGCACTGCTAGAGAGCCAGAGCTTGGCCTGGATACATTGCCGAAAGGTGCAACTCACGGACGCAGCTTCTGTTGACCACTCGATGATCTGCCGTCACCCCGAGACCAGCTATTCACGACGCCGATGAAGTGAACGTTGGATCCGTAGCAAGCTTATACAGCCTCATCGTCCCCGACGACGGAGCATTTGCTCCGCCACGTGGGTGCTAGTCCAGAATGCCTTCTTCTTCGCATCAGAACGGCTGGGACTCGCCCTCTTCCTCGAGGCATGCGGAGGGCGACTGGTCTCACTCCAGACCCTCCAGGTCAGATCGTGACGAACGGTATCGCAAGCCGCGCTCGCCCGACTCACGTAGTCGCAGTCACAGAGACGACGACTGGCGCCGCCGCTCCCCTGAGCATAGAGAGGAAGACCACTGGATACCAGCTCGTCGTTCGTCCTGGAGGTATCCGGACGAGGACAGCTATTCCTCTCACCGGGACCGACGCGATCCTGGCTACGACTACAGAGAGAGGCCGTCTCACGATCGGCATGATCGCGACCCGCATCGACACGCTGACTCCTCGGCATACAACAAGAGCCGAGACGCCACCTACCATGACAGCTACGACCGCGACCGGAGTAGGCGAGAAGACGGTGATCGCTACGTAAGGCGATCTGGTGAGGAGGACCGTGCATACAGGCACCACAAAGAACGCAGATCTCGGTCTCGAGATCGGTCGGAAAGGTCTCACAGGGACTACGAAGAGGGCGGATACCGCTCGAGGGACCATTCCGAGAGAGACCGCTATCGAGACGATCGCGACAGAGACTCGAGACGTCATGAATTATATCGCAGTCACACTCGCAGTCGCAGCCGGGAGCGCTCGCATGCGGGGGATGAAAAGAGCGAGCGCCGTCCCTCCATATCCGATGGTCGATCAAGGTCTACAAGGCACGAGGAGCGACCGTCTCAACCCAACGGGCGGTCAGAGGACGGCCAGCTGCTGAAGCGCAAGCCTCCGGCGGAAGAGCCTAGCAGCGCACGCCACACTTGGGACAGCGCCGAGGCCACGAAAGCTGCCAGCGCGCGAGACCATCGGGGCGAACATGGGTCGAAAGACGCAACAACACATTCGGAACGGCATCCTCAAATGGCGTCGACCTCGCTTGAGGTCAGCGCAACACGTAAGGATGTGCATGCGGCGCCAAATGGAGCTGGGAAAGAGCATCTGAACTCAGGTATTCCACTCACAAACGGCTCCGGACGGCACAGATCGCGCTCACCGTCGAGTAGGGGGACAGCATCCACATCTCAGACCGTTTCATCGAAGCCGACATCATCGCATCGTCCGAACGGGACGTCCACATCTGACCCAATAGACCACGGACAGCCTCGGATCAAGAAAGAAGCCCCCTTCGAGCGCTCCTTTGGTCATGTTCCTCTGCCACACGAGCTACCTCGGGACCTTCGGGGACAGAACTTCATGTCCACGGGTCCAATAATCCAAGAGATGGCTCGTCCCGTCTGCAAGTCTGCGGCGGAGAAGCACCTCGTCGACGCAGACACGGTCGATCCACGCCGCGGCAAGACTCAGGTCGGGCGCAAAGCACTTCACCGGAGTCACTTCAAATGGGACGCCAACTCGGTCGGAGACAAGCCTTTGCCGGCACCACGCAATCTCGTCTTGACCAATCTCTCCCCGCTAACGCCAATCCCGCAAGTCCTTCTCAACATCCGCCGGTTCGGCCGCGTCGAGTCCTCCAAACTCGAGATGCATCCCGCGATCGGTCAAAGCCTCGGCATCTTCCATGTCACGTTCGCCCACGACTTTGACGAGCGCGGCAAGCCTCTGGAAAGCGTCGCCGCCGGACAACACGGGCAGCACGCTGGCAGAGTTGCCAAGGCGGCTTGGCTCGGCTTGAAGGATCGCCAGCTTGGCCAGAACGTGGTTCAGGCTTTCCTGGATCGCAGCGGCGAAGTTCTTGCCGAACAGATCAAGCTCAAAATTGCTGAACACGACGCAAGGCATCGACGACCAACGGCACCCGCTCCCGCTCCTCCACTACCACGTGTGAGCGAATCACCTGCCACACCCGGCGCATCAAAGCCAAGCATGCCTCCGCCGGACATCCCTCGTGGACCAAGATCATTTGCCAATCCCGCACCCGTGCCGTCCCCGCGTGCGCACACGGATCGAAACGAGCCCGCATCGTCCCGGTATCCGCGATATGGCTCGAGCTACGACGATGATCGCAGGTCTGGTTCGTCCGACCCGCATCGTCGCCGCTACGATCCAGAAGAAACCAGCAGATCTCAATCCAGCCGCGATTCGGAAAGGTACGGTCGACCTTCTGCACCGCCTCGAGCAGAAGCGCCCAAGAAGCTCAAAGACTCGACCGAAGGAATCATCAAGACACTTCGGAATGCGGAACAAGCCTACGTCTACATCACCAAGCCCGCTGGCTGTGACATCGACGCCTCAGATGTAGCAACGGAGCTGCGCAGTAGGTCCGACCCGCTCTGGGTGCTGGAGGGCGATAACGGATTCTACGCGGCATTCAAGACGCACAAAGAGGCCGGCCAGTGCAAGGTGGCCAATGAGACGCTGTCGATCGGCGGATACATTCTGCAGGTCGACGCACGCAGAGCCCCGTCTCAACTCGCACCGAGCGCCGACAAGAAGCCAGCGAGCAAGCTGGATCCCGGTGCGCCACCCACATCCGCTGTACAGATGCGCCAGAAACTCGACACAGGATTGCGTCCGCTCACCGCAGAGGAAAGGCAGAAGACGGACTGGACGGCAGCAGAGCTGCAGCAAGCTGTCTTCCGTCTGCTGCAGAAGGAGCTCGCACACACCTTCCTCCGCGACGTCAAAAGCCGAACTGTTACGCAGCATCTGGGTGTGTATCTCAAGGAGGGAGGGGAGGGTAAAGCCATTCTCGACAAGCCGATGATCAAAGTCTCTGTGCCTTCTGCGAAGGTCTCCGACCGCCAAGCATCCTCTCTGGCGGCGGACGGTGAAGCCCGCCTTCCGACTTTCCGGAAGCTCGGCGGCACGAAGCCTAAGAAGCCAGTCTCGGACGCGGATGAGGTCGCCTCGAGGGCTAGATGGGAAAGGAAGAAGCATTCAGACGTGACCCACAAGCCGAAAGCTTGTCGCAGCAAAGAGGTTGTGAGCTCGGACGATGAGATCGAAGACACGCGCCGCGGCAGCAAGATCTCCTCGCGTCGCGATAGCGGCGCCAACGTGCGCACGAAGCAGCGCAGTTCGGCAGCCCTGCTCCTTGACTCGACGGACGATGAAGAGGATGATCTGGACGACGGAGCTTCCACTCAGCAAGACGCTGCATCTACGCCTGCGACAGCGGATCATCTGGACGAGGAGCCCACACCAAAAGGCAAGAAGGGATCGAAAGCGAAGGCTTCCCTCGCGACCAAGAAGAAAGGCACGAGCACGGCTCGAAAAGGCTCCAAAGTGGACGGCACGCCTTCCGAAGTGGATGCCGAGACCGAGCATGGCAGCGAAACAGCCACGCCGGAAGTTGAAGTCCCAGTCAAGGCAGCCAAGGCCAAGGCTAAATCCGCCAAGGCGACGGCCAAGCCCAAGCCCATTCCCGCTGATCCGTTCGAAGCGGGAGTTGTGGAGGACGCGGAGGAGTGCGCCTACTTGCGTCTAGCCTTGGAACACCTGAACGAGACAGGAGAGCTGCCTAGCGAAGAAACGCTCCCTGACGAGATAGAGTTGGAAGCCGAAGCGGAAGAACAAGCGATCGCCTCTGGAACGATCCCGAAGCATACGACCGGATCGGCAAGGACGGAGGGATACTACCGCATCCCACCCGAGCAAAAGGCGCTGCATCTACCGGACCGCAACAAGGCCACTGAAGAAGTTGACACGAGCCAAAACGCCCAGGTGCTGCAATCCGCCCGGAACAACCGTGCCGACTCTCGACGCTTGGTGCTCGGCATTGAACAGCACAAACGCGAGACGGCCACGGACACCGACATCTTCAAGTTCAATCAGCTCCGCACGCGCAAGAAGCAGCTCAAGTTCGCCAAGTCCCCCATTCACGACTGGGGCCTCTACGCCATGGAATTCATCCCCGCGGGCGACATGGTGATCGAATACGTTGGCGAGATGGTGCGACAGCAGGTGGCCGACGAGCGCGAAAAGCGGTACGAGCGACAGGGCAACTTCTCGACGTATCTGTTCCGAGTCGATGACGATCTCGTGGTGGATGCGACGCACAAGGGCAACATTGCGAGGTTGATGAACCACTGCTGCACGCCCAATTGCAACGCCAAGATCCTGACGCTCAACGGGGAGAAGAGGATCGTGCTGTTTGCCAAGTCGCCCATCCGGGCCGGCGAGGAGCTGACGTACGATTACAAGTTCCAGTCGTCGGCGGATGACGAGGATGCGATCCCGTGTCTGTGCGGTTCGCCGGGCTGCAGACGCTTCTTATAGTCGAGAGGGAGGGCTCGGCTTCGGCGGAAAGGGGCGAGCACAGTGCCGCGAATGATAGGATTGGGTACAAGTACAATTGCGTGTTGTGTGTGACTGATTGAAGTGCGCGTATCACCTTCGAGATGAATTCATCATGCGGTGAGCGGAAGGCAGAGATTGGATCTTAGGCATCATCCTCCTCGCCCTCGTCATCGTCCAAACTAATGTCCATCCTCTCGTCATCCTCAGCCCCCCTCGGTTTCTCCTCCGCCTGCTGTTGCTGCTCCCTAGCTGCCTGCGCCGCCCTCCAAGCGTGCGCCATCTGCAGCAGCTTGAACGCGCCCTTGCCCTTCTCCTCGTCATCGGGAAAGATGAGATCGTAGTATTCCTCCATCGATCCATCCTCCACCTCTCTCCTCTTCTTGACCACACGAGGGAACTTGGCTTCGACATCGGACAGCGTCGACGATGTGCCGTGTTGCCTCTCGAACGTCTTCCATGCTTCGAGCAGCACGACGCGTTCGTCTTTGAGCGCGCGCGATTTGAGTGAGGTGTAGGCTCGTTGGAAGATGTCTCGAGCCAGCGAGGCGAGGTGGGAACGACGTTCTTGGCGAACTTGCTGTTCCTCCTCTGTGAGCTCGCGTGCCGGTTTCGATTCTGCTTCTTCTTCGTCCTCGTCCTCGTCTTCGTCTTCGTCCTCCTCGATCGCTGTGGCCTGGTTGACCTTGGACAGCGCATACGAGATCCACACCTTGACATGCCCGCTCTTCTCCAGCAGCCGCTCGTACAGCGAATCCACCCTCTCCCACTCACGCTCGCCAAATTCGAAATCGATATACGCCTTCCACACAATCTCGGGCATATCGAGTCCGCTGCTGAGTCCCTCCTCCGCGCCCTCGGCCTGCGCCACACCCAGCTCGAACAGCGCTCTCGCTCGATCGGTGTCGAACAGATTCTTCTCGAGCTCAGCGAAGCGCACCCACGTCTGCGAGTTGGTCGGATCCCACTCGAGCGCCTTTTCGTAGATCTTTCTCGCCCGGTCAAACTCCTTCAGGGACAGCTCGAGCTCGATGTAGCTGCTGAAGAGCTTGAGTTTGGGTGCGAGGCCGATAGCGGTGCCCATGATCTTGCGTGTGGTGGGGAGGTCGAGCCGGCGCACCTCGAACCGGGCGTATTGCACCCACAGCTTGGCAAATGTAAACCGGCGGTGAGGGACGACGGCGACGGCGGCCTTGTAGATCTCCCGTGTGCGGGTGTAGTCGCGTGTATCGAGCTCTTCGAACAGCGCGTAGCGCAGCCAGAGGAAGATGTAGCGTCGCCAATCGCGCTTGTCTTGCGAAGCGGGGACTTGGGCGATCGCCCGTTCGTAGACTTCGCGGACTCGCTTGACGGCTTGCTCGAGCTGATCCGACGACCCGCCCGAGTCGCTGAGCGCGCGATAGGCGTCCTCTTCGAGACGGGTGTAGTCGAACCAGGTATCGTAGTCTTGCGCGCCTTCGGAGGTTGCGAGCTCCTCCTCGTACTGAATGCGTCGCTTGCCGATGACGGTGTCCTCGACACTGCTCATGGTACCGAACTGCTTCTCGAAGCGGGTATAGCTCGAGTAGATGCCTTCGGACTTGGAACGTGGTAGCCGCTCCAGAGCGTACTTGTAGATGACCCGTGCTCGCTCGTACTCCTTCAATCGCGTCTCCATCTTGGCAAAAGCGGTGAAGACGCTCTGCGCCTTCTCCATCGCCTCCTCGTCTTCGCCGATGTAGTCCAACGCCATCTGGAAGACCATGCGTGCCTTTTCGAGGTCGCCTCGGTCCTCTTCGAACTTGGCCCATCGGATCCACTGCTTGGGTGTCGGATGACATGTCACTGCTCTCTCCCATATCGCGCTCGCCCGTTCCATCTCGTCGTAGCGTACCTCGAGACTGATATACGCCTGCCACGCCTTCTCTTCTGGCTCCCACGACATCCATCTCTCGAACACCTGCCGAGTTCCTGGTACGTTTCCCAAGAGCTCCTCCAGATGCACGTACTTGTACCACAGCTGATCGATGCGTGGCAGGACGCTCACCGCGCGATCGTACAGGTTCCTCGCATGCTGGACATTCCTCATCTTGAGCTCCTGTTCCGTATACCGCAGCCATAGCGGCAGATGATGCGGTTCGACGTCGAGCGCGCGCTCGTAGATGGAGCGACATCGGTCCATCTCCCCTTGGCTCGCTTCCCACGTCGCGTACTTGATCCACATGGACATGTTCTGGGCATTGCGCCGGAGACGGTCTTCGAAGTCGGATCGCCTCCGTCCACGGTATTCTTCGAGCTCCTCATAGTCTTCGATCTTCTGCGCGGGGGCAGCGGCGGGGGCTTCTTGGCGTTCTTGTGCTTCGCGGAGGAGCTGCTCAGCAGAGATCTGGATGGGCGCCGGCGCGCGGTTCTTGATGCGCGGGGCGGAGCGCGACATGGTGGCGGGTGCTTGCCGTCCGACACAAGCTGACTCGCTGACGGGCTGGTATAAAGGAAGAGGGTGTGCGCCGTCAAAGGTCCGTAGATATGGTGGTCATGCTCTGGATGTAGCTCTGGAAATTCTCAAGAGCCAAAAGTCCGACCCTTGGTGAGGGCTGCAGGCCGAGATCCGAAAGAACAAGAAAAGTGAAATGTGTGACGAACGTCGGCGTAACACCTGGATCCGAGCAATTCGCTACTGCGCCACCTTACATAGGCTTTGTAGACGACATGAGCGAGATTGGCCGGTAAAGTGCGCTGCACAAGACTGGAGGCTATGGCTAGTGGTAGCGACAGCAAGGTGCGGTGTAGAAAGCCCTCAGCCCACAGTCCGAGCCACCTGACAGGAGGCAAAGCGGCCGCCAGGAGAACCCTCGACCCATGAGAGACGCGACCAAGCGGCTGGGCCCCAGGGTTACAGCTGTGGCTGGCACGCTCGCGCCTGGCTTATGAAGTCACACAAAGCTAGTCGAAGGTCTCTGTCCGCCGGTCAAGCCTTGCTCTGTAGACCAGCACAAGTCACTCAGCCGAACAAGCAGTGATCTGCGCGATCTTTGCCTGATTGAGTTACTGCAGCGTGGAACGAGGGTTGGAAGGCTGGCTGTCTAACTTACCCCGGACCCTTTCTCGAAAAATGCGCAGCTGCAGAAGCACGCAACGCTCCGAGATGATGAAAACCCTCCGCCCAGCTTAAGCGTCAGACGCCAAAATAGCCTCTCTCGAGTGCCGTAACTTACTTGCTTCTCATCCTTACCCTCTGTAGTCTGAGTCTCGTCTCGAAGCCCTCTCGCAGCCACCCGACATGCTTTGGTGACCCGTGCTGCACCTTTGCCGCCCTTGACCCTCCTTCAACAGGCTTCCTACGGGCCATTTGGCTCGCATTGACATCTCCCAGCTTAGCCAGCCGATCAAGATGAGCTCGCGGTGACCTCTCCTCACACCAGGCTCTCTCTTGGGCATCGATACTGTCTCGGTCTGACTTCCATTATCCCAGACGTCTCATACAGCTGCGCTCACCACCATCATCTCGATAGACAACAATCACGCCTCTCTATTGCGACCCACCCCATCCCACTAACGAGCATGACTGCGACCACTGCCACCGCCTCGAGGCCGTCTCACTTCTTCTCACACCGATACAGCGATTCGATGGCTTCTCCACACTCTAGAGATTCATCATACATGCAGAGCTTCTCCTCATCATCGCCATCTTCCCACACTCGAGAGGGCACAACACACAGGATGACATTCTCGATACACTCGCCGAACGCCGACCGAGAAAGCGGGCCCGCGAAATTGTCCCCTCCCCGAAGGTCTAGTCATGGCGACGTGCCTATCGATCAATCATCCTCTTCGGGAGTCAAGTATGCTTGCGCTTCTTGTATTCGAGGGCATCGCACATCGTCCTGCACGCATCAGGACGGCTCCAAGGGTCCTCTTCAGCCGATTCGTAGCAAGGGCAGGCCGCCGACTCAGTGCGAAATTTGCCGTAAGAAGCGCAAAGAGAGTGGGCGTCACGTTCGCTGCGATTGCACTGGTAAGAAGACAACAACAACAGCCACAGTATCGACTTCGACAACCACGCTCAAGAAGCCAGTAGCGCCCAAGGCTTTCGCGCCAATTCTGCCTCGAATCAGCGATGACCTGCCCAGCATGGACAAAGGCCAGCGTCCAACAAAGAGATCCAGAATCCAACTTGAACCTGACTCGGCGCAGTCCACCTCAACGTTCGCTGGCCGAAGGCTGAGCGATCCAGACTCGTCCGACGAGACCTTGTCCCAGTCTTCTGCACCCGACAATGTCCTCGCTCCGATCCGACCATCCCGTGCCCCTCACTCTTGGAGTCTACCCAGCATTCACTCGACGCACGATGCGTATTCGGTGCCCCACGGCCCATACCGAGCGGACGAAGAAGCGACTCCACGCCGATCTTCGACACTGTCACTCTCGAGCCTCATGAACCCATGCGGCTGCCGCAGCACCGGCTCATGCACCACCTGCTCCGAGCAGCGACGTCGTCGAGCCCCCGTCTCACCAAAGCAGCTCAGCAGCGCGCTGAATGAGTGCGACCCCGTCATCTGCTCTTCGTCGAAGTCTCCTCAGCAACACGCGTCACCGCCTGCATCAACCTCAACGCAGCTTGAGTCGTCAAAAGCCAGCACAAGCAGCTGCTGCACCGGCAAAGGCGCCCTCACCTCTGCTGCGCCAAGCATCGAGCTTCTCCTGCGCGCTGTCGATATGACGACCGACTTTGTCCCTCCTCCTTGCGCTTGCGGTCAGGGCTGTCGATGCTCGCGATGTCTGGCCAAGCAACGTGCGTCCTCCCCTGTCGGCCGCAGCGACGGGCCACATTCGGGGCATCGCGCATCGAGCACCATTACATCCTCCTCCGTCAGCCCGCGAACTCCACCCGCGACGCTCGCCGCCCAGCCTACCTCGTCTGCGCCCGGCTGTGACGACTGTGCCGCGTGCGACCTCGCCCTCGAACGTCCCTCGGGTATCGGCGCGGTGGACAGCTGGATGGATAAGCAGCGCGCGTCGCCCCCACGACGCCGCTCGCCGCCCATAGAGGTCAGCCCTGCACAAGCCTCCGTACCGACGCTGCACGGCGGACTCGTCACTTCCGAAGCGGGGTTGGTGGATGGTGTGCACGCCGAGCTGGTGCTGGTGCATCCAAAGTGTGCGGCTTGTCTCGAGGTCGTCAGAAGCAAAGGCGTGGGCGTGCTCAGTAGCGGTCTTGGCGCCAAGTGATTGTCAATACGTCGTTGTGCTGCGCAAATATACCCCTCATCACATGTCCCTTGCATTGTATCAGATTGGGAAAGGTCGTGTGTGAATGCCATTGAGCGCCAGAGCAGGGCGAGAGGGAGGGAAAGCTGGGTATACAAGAGACGGCGTCAATGACGCTTCTTTTTCTTTTTCTTGGCTGACGGCTCGTCGTCGTCCCATTTGGACTTTTTGGGTTTCGGCTTCGAGGCTTCGAGGGCTGGTGCTGGCTCGCTTTCTGCAGCTGGTGGCGCCGAGACTGTTTGCGACGCAATTGAGTCGGGGCTCAGTGGCAGCGCCGGCACGTTAGCGGAGACAGCGGGGAGGCTAGCGTCGAGAGCTAGTTGAGCAGGCTCAGGGCGAGTCGGAGAAGGGGATCTGGCGTCCTTGACGGGTGAGTCGGGATCGACAAGGGGTGCTGTTGTGGCAGGTGGTGGTGTAGATGCGCGATCGGCGATTGGTGAGGAAAGGGCACCCGCCTCGTCAGAGCCATCTGCGCTTGCCGTGTCGTCAGCGTCGTCCTTGGATTCCGCGATGCCATCCCAACCGCCGACGTCGGCAAAGATGTCTTCGTCTTCGTCGTCCTCTTCAATGGTGGCTGTAGGCTTGACTTTCTCTTCAGCTGGCTCGACAGGCCGCTTTGGCGGCGACGGTGTGCGATTCGCCGAGCTGGATGCGCTGATTTGGCGGTTTGGCCCTACTGCACGCATCGAAGTCCCCGCTGCAGATGCAGAAGACTGCTTGATCGCAACTGGAGTCGGGACTACCTCGCTTGCATCCCGTCGTATCGGGTCCATCTTTGCGCCTTGCACAGCTTTGACCTGTTCGGCCTCTTTCGACGCCAGCTCTTCTTCCACCGGCGCCGCTTCCAGCTTCTTCTTCTTGCGCATCCGCTTGCCACCCACCCATTTGTACTCTGCCAAACCCTCCTCTTGCTTGTCTGGACCTCCGATAGGCTTGAAGCCTATCGGGCGGAAGCCCGTCTTGGGTTCATCCTTCAGCGCTCCCTTCGCTTCCCTACGCCGCCTGATCGCCTCGACGATGTCCTCTCTGCTCCTCTTCCCCTCTCCTTCACCGTCGTCCCCCGCCCTACCTTCCTGATACGCAACCTCGAGCTCTCCTTCCCCTCCGCCCTGCTCATACCCTCCATTCTCCCTTTCGACCCGTGCCTTGTTCTGCGCCAACAAGCCCCAATCCAACCCCTTGACCAAGACGGAATACCTGGCGTCTCCACCGACACTGCTGATCTGGTCCCTCAACCTCTGCCGCTCCTCCTCGGTCTCTGCTGCGGCGATGCGCTCCTCAAAGTCGCGATGCAGTTCCTCGACGTCATCAAACTCATTGGTGGTTCCGGAGCGACGGGCGGAAGCTCGATCGGTGTAGGTGCTATCTCTTTTGAGCTTGCGCGGTTTAAGATCGGAGGGTCTGGTGAACGAGGTGGGTGGAGCGGAGCGCTTGTGCGCTTTGCCAAAGCTGCGGTTGCCCGTCGAGCCGCTCGGGCCGGCGAGTGCGGACGACGTCGAGATGAGGTTTCGGAATGCTTCCTGGTCCATTCTTGCGAACGATTCGAAGTGGTGATGGGGGTGGTAGGAAGGTTGAGGTGGAGGCTGCGAGGGGAAATTTAGAGCTTGACTCGGACAATTGTTCGGCCAGAGCTGGCGCAAACGCTCTAAATTTCCTCGACAACGTTTCTTCCAAATCTTATCATCTTTCGCTCAACCCCTCTGACTCCAACTTCCCACCGTCCCTCACTCTACCACACGCATATACAACATCACCAGCTCGATCAGAAGTCACAAAGTGACTCGCAAGTCCGGCAATCATGGCAGCCAACGTCCCCGACCCATCACGGATCCTCAGCATTCAAAGCCACGTAGTATCCGGCTACGTCGGCAACCGATCGGCCACCTTCCCGCTTCAGCTCCTCGGTTGGGACGTCGACGTGACCAACACGGTCCAGTTCAGCAACCATACGGGGTACGGACGCTGGGGTGGGCTGCGATTCGATGCCGAACACCTGCAGGACATTTTTGACGGTCTGGACAAGAACGGGTTGTTGCGCTACTCCCGGATGCTCACCGGCTACATGCCATCCGCTGCAGTGGTGCAGACGGTGTTGTCGCTAGTCAAGAAGCTTCGCGCGAGGGAGGGTGGAGAGGAAGGCGGTCTGATCTATCTGCTGGATCCAGTGATGGGCGATATGGGTCGAGGGATGTACGTGGCCCCGGAAGTGCTGCCCATCTATCAAGAGATGCTGCAGTATTCGACCATCATCACGCCCAACCAGTTCGAAGCGCAGGCGCTCACCGGCATAGACATCGTCGACCTCGTCTCGCTCAAAAAGGTCATCTTGACGCTGCACAAGAAGCATAAGGTGCCACATGTGATCATTACGTCAGTGGAGCTGCCCGATGCGGATCTTGCAGCGATAGGTGCGCAGAAGACGTTGGCAGATGGCCGGCCAGCCATGCTCCAGGTCGGCTCGAGCTGCGAGATCCACCTTGAGGCGGGCGAGAGGCAGGAACCGAATTTGGAAGAGGAGAATCTGCAGGTGTGGTCCATCCAATTCCCGGAAGTGCAGGGCTACTTTTCGGGTGTAGGGGACATGTTCGCTGCTCTTACTCTCGGACGCTTCCACCGAGAAGGCCAGATGGCATCACAGGCGAATGGGGCGACAAAGGATCTGACACCCATCGCAAAGGCAAGCGAGCTGGCCATCGCCAGTCTGCAAGGCATCCTCAGCAACACGTGCAAGGTCATTGACCAGATCGAGAAGGATCTGCCGGACTCGACAGGGAAAGATGAAGCGCAGGAGAAGGTGGATAGGATGCGAAGGAGAGAGTTGAGGGTGGTGCAGAGTAAGAAGGAGATCGAGTCGCCGATGATTGTGTATCGCGCGAGGTGGATTGGAAGCTGAGCGGAGTGGCTTGGTGTTCGTAAAGTTCGCATCACATAGACTGGACTCAACCTTCGCGTTGTCTGACTGAGCATTGCGTGTCCGCCCTAGGTCCACACTGTAAGAAAGTTGTTTCACAAGCAATGCTTTGCTTGGACCGTCAGAGGCGCTGTAGTGTTTGCTTTCTGACATTCGACGACTGGTCTACAAACCCCACCCCTACGGTGCGTGCTCCCAATCGTCAATCACGTCCCCTCAACCGAACGAAGAGATGAACTGCTTCTCAGCGCCTTCCACCGCCTTCTTGAACGCCTCTGCCTGCTTCCAGCAGTCCAACGTCCTCTCGGGGTTGTTCTTGTAGCACTTGACCAGCTCCTCCTGCGCCTCCTTCACTCCCGTATAGTTGCTCACATCCTTCTGCTTGTTGTACTTGTCGATCTTACTCCTCAACCCCTCGAGCTCCTGACGCAGCACGTTGGAGTTCTTGCCCTCCGAGGCGCCCGTGTACTTGGACTCGCGTGCAAGATTCTCCTTCTCGATCGCCTTTTGGATCTCGTTGCGCACTTCGGCCTCCTCTTTGCGTAGACGGTCGAGTTCCGACTTGATCTTGGCCTGGATCGAGGTGTCGAGTTTCGCTTGGCGCGTTGCATCGGGTCCTTCGACGTTGTCCAGCGAAGTCTTGTCGAGCGAGTTCAGGAGCGAGCGGCCGAACTACCATGTCAAGAGCGAGAGGAAACGGAGGTGGACTGTCAGATCAAGTTCATGCTGATGCCCAATCGAATGAGCTGCTGCAGCTTGGGATCGAGGTCGACAAGACTTACCTGAAGATGACTTGCCTGCTTGTCCTCGGCGGCCGGCGCTGCCGGCGCAGCTGTGTTCTGTTTTGAAGCTGCGGCACCCATATTTGCGTCCTTGGCTATGTCACGATACGGTCCGAGGTCGTCGACGGTTTGTGATGAGGTTGTTGGCGATGATCGTCTGCAAGAGTGGAGCAGGATCGAGATTGTGCACGGTTGGAATCGGAAGAAATGGCTTCAGAGCGGAGCCTGGCTCGGTGCGATTCCGCCGTCTGAAATCACGTGTGAAATTTGATATCGGAATGTGAGATCGACAAGACAGCAGCCAGAATTAAGGGCGCGACGCGATTTGGCCTGCAGCTCAAACCAACACCAACATCATCTTTGTCTTTGTTGATGTCCACCCCACCTATCGTTCCGCACCGAGCATCACAATCACACCTACACCGCAAACGAGACGGTACCACACAGGGACTCGATTCTGCTCAGTCCGGTTCAATCTGCTAGAAGCCGTCTTGGAAAGCTCTCAACCTATACACCTTCTCGGCCACCCTTCGACACGCGGATGGCACTTCGTGACGGCAGCGCAACATGATCACCCAACCCTCCTCCTCACGGAGCAAGCTGGTCTCGCACGAGGACCGACATCTGGTAGCACACTCAATCAGCCTCCGACGTCTCCTCTCTCGCCTCGACAAAACCGAGCTCGTATCCCTCGTCACACGATGGCTCGACAATGCCGGCCCGTCCTACATCCCACCCATGCTCTCACGCCGTCAACCCAAAGCAGGCGAGGAAGACCCAGCATCCAACCTCACGCTCTTCCACGCCATCCTAGATCTGAACGAAGAGCGTCGCTGTCGCTCCATGGACGAGCTTCGTCTGCTCTGGACGGGACCCATGGCGGACCCCAAAGTGCCCAAAGCGCGTGCGCTCGACCGCATCGCCGATGTCGACTGGCCCGAAGGTCTCAGCTACGCAATGGTCGCCGAACTCGACCTCTTCTACATGCACGCCCGCCAGCTCTCCAAGACATGGACCACCGTCCGCCTCGAATACGATGACGAGGTCGATGCGGCCGGTCGCGGTTGGGAGAGGCTCAACGAAACTCAAATTCGAGCACGACTAGGCGACGAGCTGGGACACTACTTTGAACATCACATCTACCTGCATCCGCGCGGCAAGGAGGAAAGCATGTGGACCGATCACTTTTCGTACTTTCGCATCGTGCTCGCTCCCACGCCGAGTGACGTGTGCGGAACAGGACTGCACATCCTGCACCTACCGAGGACACCGTTTCTGCTCGTATCCGGAAGTCTCGGGAGAGGATCAGAGAACAGGGAGATGGCGCTTTCGGCGTTTGCGTCTGCGGCAGGAGCGACGACGGTCAACTACGCCAAGCCGAGCGCTGGATCGACGGCAGCGAAGAAGCTGCTGGCCGAGCTCAACGACGCGGGCGAAGACGCCGCAGGGAACAGGAGGACGCTGGGCGAGCTGCGTGGCAAAGATCCGATGGCGCTGCGCGCGATTCTCCTGCACGAGTCGGGACGTCTTTCGTCAACATCCGATTCGAGTGCGGCGCCAGCGGGGGTGGCAGGCGGAGGCAAAGCGCGGCAGATGACCAAGCGCAACGGTGGGGCAGAAGACGGTCCGCTGGTCGCACCGCTTAAACGACGCAAGGAGGACGACCTGAGCGCGTTCGGGATCGCCCCTCCCACGCCACCTACATCCGCGTCTGAATCGGATAGCGTCTCGCTCTCCTCGACTTCTGCGCGCCGCGCTCAACGTCGTCACTCTCCCACTCCCGGCGTCCACGCACCGCACGAAACGACCGAGCATGCGCGCGCAGCCCTTGCCTCCCAACTCGCATCGCAGCGCGAAGCAAACGACCTCTTCGGCCCCGCAGTCGACGCGAACGATACGCTACCACGCATCGAACGCATCGAGTACGAGCTGCACCTGCCCTTCCCCAATATGCAACGCTACAACACGCGCAGCTTAGTGGACATGACAGCGTACAATGCCGATCCGGAGCGACCCAAGATCCGACTTAGGCTGGAGGGCACACACGTGCTGGCCGGACTGAGGAAGGTCGTGGCTGCAGGACTGGATAGGCGGACAACAAGACTGAATGCTGGCGAGGAAGAGGAAGAGGGAGGAGTGGAGCTGGACGGGTTGCCCGGGTGGTTGACCGAAGTGAGAGGGACCAAGGTCGTGGTTCTGCCGCCGCCGGCGGGCGACGATAGCAGTCGCGACATGTGATGTGCTTTCTGTCTGTATTCTAGTTGTATTCTTACTGTGCGATTCGTTGTATACCACGCTCTTTCGACATTGACTCGACGGTCTTCTTCGACTCGATGATTCCAGTAGGTTGTATACCGTGTTGAGGGCCGAGGGTAAGCAACGAGTTTTCAGAAGAAACAATTTCACCGTTGCCGAGCATGACTCCACCTCGCACGGCCGTCCAAATTCTCATTCGGTTGATTCTTCTGAAGCCTCTTATCATTCCTCCTCGATCATCCTCCTCGATCATCCTTTCGCTGCCTCATCCCAACAAGCGAGGCAACAATCTACGATGCTATCGCCACACCTCCTACGATCACCTCTGGCTCGCGTCGCAGCCCGAACTATGAGCACCACCTCTTCCACCCTCAATGCTTCGGCGAAGCTCAACAAGCCAGCCCGCTTCTCTGTCCCGATCTCCGCCTCCGACCTGCCGAAAGGCTTTGTCGTCTCATCCACCTACGCCGGGATCAAAGCGGCCATCTCGCCCAAACCCACTTCTTCCTCCGGACCGTCAAATCCGAATCCCAAGCCGGACCTCGCCTTGATCGTGTCGACCGTCCCTGCGGTGGCAGCGGGAACGTTTACGCGAAACGTCTTCAAAGCTGCACCCGTCGTCGTTTCGAACCAGACGATTCTCGATGGTGCCAAGGTGCAGAGTGTGCTGGTCAACTCGGGGTGTGCCAACGCGGTGACGGGTACGCAGGGGATGGCGGATGCGCAATCGTGTGTGGAGCTGGTGCAAAAGCATCTGGCACCGCATCCTGGGTTGGGTCAGAGTTCGGGGGATCGAGGCACGCTTCTCCTCTCAACAGGCGTGATCGGTGTTCCGCTTCCGATGCCGACGATCAAGCGGTGCATCCCGCATTTGAGCAACGGGATGATCCTGCGTAGCGATCCGGAGTCCTGGCGTGAAGTAGCGAGGGCGTTCATGACGACGGATACTTTCCCGAAACTGCGCGCTCGCACCTTCACGCTCGGTGGGCAAGAGGTGAGGATGGTGGGCATAGATAAGGGGGCGGGAATGATTCATCCCGCCATGACGGGACCTACTCCCCAGGCGGGGTTGCACGCAACGATGCTCGGTTTGATCGCTACCGACGCTGCGGTGGATCCTAAAGCTCTGCAGACCGCGCTCAACCGGGCGGTAGCAAGGAGCTTCAACTGCATCTCGGTCGACGGAGACATGTCCACCAATGATACGATCCTCCTTCTCGCCAACGGTCAAGCACCCTCCGCCACACTCATCGATGAATCCTCCCCCCATTTCGAGGCGTTCGTCTCCGAACTCACCTCCTTCTGTCAGGACCTTTCCAAGCTCATCGTGCGCGATGGCGAAGGAGCCGAAAAATTCGTCGAGATCACGTGCACCAATGCGCCCAGCTACGAAGTCGCACACGGCCTCCTGAGCCGGCTGGTGACGAGCATGCTGTTCAAATGCGCGATTCATGGCGAGGACGCTAACTGGGGTCGCATCCTCGCATCTGTCGGCGGAGCAGATCCGACCTTGACCAAGGGGGTAGATCCGAGTAAGGTCAGCGTGAGCTTTGTCAACCCGGATAAGGAGGAGCAAGTGGTGGTGTTGCGAGATGGAAACCCGGTCAAGGTGGATGAGGAGGTGGTAGGGGCGTTGCTGAAGAAGGAGGATGTCAAGGTGGTGATTGATCTGGGGGTGGGTGGGGAGGAGTGCACGTACTGGACGTGCGATTTGAGCAGGGAGTATATCGAGATCAATGCGGATTACCGCTCGTAGCAGGAGGCCGTAATAGAATGTCACATGCTCTCCAGGTTGGCTGGTGTGAAGGGGAGATTCCCTCGATGAACATGAATAATGATATGCTTGTCCACGATGGGCTGAATGCTACAACTCGTCATTTGTCACCAACTTGTGCGATCCACCCGCGGTCCCCTCCAACAACGAATACAGTGTCCTCCTCAGCACGTTATACTCCTCGCCGCCAAACCAAACCACCGCAAAGTACAACAACGCAAACAGCGCAGCCACAATCGTGTACGGTGCGACCGCAAACGCATCCGCCACGCTGAACGTTGCTGCGCTCTCGCCTGCTCTCCACCTCTCCCACGTCTCCCTCCTGCGGTGGCTGGCCAGTCGGCCCATCCTCACGTTCCACTCCAACATCTTTCCACTCTCCAGGTGGTAGATGCACAACGTGGGTGCAGCGATGATGTTGAGTTTTGCCGCCAGATGGACTCTCGAGAAGGGCCTGAGATACGCCTCTCCGCTCTTATCCGTGTGGCTGAGGCTTTCGTCGATATCCCCTTCGTTGGCCAACAGAAAGTCCTCGTTGTTGTACAGCCTAGGTAGCTCGTCCAGATCGCCATCGGGACTGGTGGGTGCAGCGGTCCGATCCGCACGCTCAGCAGGCATACTGCTCCCATCGTTCCACACCATCGAGATCCACGGCTTATCCTTCACACCCGCCTTGTACCACTGCTCGTCCACATCGACGCTTACGTAGATCGCCTTGAATTCGTGCGGATGGTGACGGCAAAAGTCGGAGATCGCCTGGTGGTATTCTTTCAACGGCTGACCCGCCCATTGCGAGGCAAAGTAGAAGCCGACCACTTTGGTATCCCGAAAGGTCTTGCGAAGGTCGACAGGGACGCCGTATGCGTCGACCAGACGGAGGCGACGCAACAAAGGGTCGGGGTGCTGGTATTGCTCGGGAGGGGGAAGACGCTTGCGATCCTTGCCGGGCTTCATGGCGGACTTGAGCACCGAGGAGGGAGGAGATGGGTTCTTGGCGTTGCGCGGTGTGCTAGGCTCACCGTCGTTGGTCGGTGACGAAGAGGCGTCGATGCCGTTGGTATGCGGAGGAGAAGACGCGTTTTCGGAGGGGAGCGTGAGGGTGTCCGATGGGCCGAAGGAGACGGTGCGTTTGGGTGTCGCCCCTGGACGCAGCTCGGTCATCTTTATGTGTGAAGGAGAGGCGTGGAGACACGCGTCGATAGGAAGGCCAAGGCGCAATGTAAGCGGTCAGCACGGCGATATGCTGGTGTGACCGGCGAGATCGTTCGGTAGAGTCGAGCCGTCTCGGAGATACGAAGTAATGGTGGGAAGGGCTTGGCCGGAAGGCGCGACAATCAGTGGCGTGAGTAAGCGGATGAGCCAAGCTGAGAGGAGCGAACAAGTGATGACGAAGGTCAAAGGTTCGATATGTGTTCGGCAGAGAGATACCGTCGAGACCGCGGATTTGGGATTTGGACCCTCGTCTTTTTGGCTTTGTGCCTGCTTGGCTGCTTGGCTTGCACGGACGGTCAACTGGAACGTTTTGACACTTTTCATAGAGAAGCGCGCTTGGTCCTGAGCGAAGCCAAGACACACACAAACCAAAAATGACAGCAGCTCACAGCACACACAGGGGCGCATGTCAGCCATTTCCCAAGACGCGTCGTGGCAGGACCCTTGATGGCGTGGCACAGGCTTTTGCTCAGCCACACACACATTCACACTCAGCAGCACGGTGCATTTGGCGCAGCCAACTGCATCAAGTCTCACCAAACTCTGATGACAATGTCTGCTTACTTGCATTCTATCTCTAGAATCATCTGAATGGCAGGGATGGCTCGTCGTCTTCAGAGTCGGAGGCTTCCTTGACGGAAGCTTTTGGGGTGTCCAATCGACGCAGTTGTGAAGGTGGCTGGTCCGATGGACTTGCAGATGCACCTGACTCCTGCTCAACAGCGTCCCTTTTGAGACTCGTAGTGATAGCAGCGTCCCCTGCTGATGTGCGGCTGGGTGCGAGAATGCTGTTGCGCCAATAGGCTTCCAGATGGGCCTTGAGTTCGGGGAAGAACTTGAATGTCTGGCCTGTATGATGGCTCATCAGCGGGCCCTTCAGGAGCTGCTCGTATGCCGCCTCGCTCTTTGGCAACGTCCTCCGACCAGCTTTGACCATGGCTTCAACATCATCGAGACGCAGTGCGAATCCGACCGTAGGATGGAAAGACCGAAAGTGCTTCTTGTGTTTCAGCCTGTCCGAGACGAGGTCCATCGAGACGACGTGCAGATGCAGATGCTCCATGCTCGGCACTGCATGGAAGGCTCTCTCGATGTCCCACGTAGTGCCATACTGTTCCTGCATGTCCTTCGTAATATGCTCGATCACCCGATCGCTCGCCTCGCGCAGAGCCTCGAGCACCTCGGCCGCGTATGGACTCGCTAGCAGCGTCGAGATGCTCTTCATATGCGAAGCGGGAACGCTATTACTGCTCGTAGCTCCAAAGTTGAGCTTGCCATTTGATGCTGAGAGTGTTGGCGCCCCTTGTGAGCTCAAAGCTGGCTTCGACGACGACGCATGAAAGGGTATGCGTGGCAGCACGAGGAAGTGGTACTTGGCCTTGGCGAACTTGTCGTAGATGGTGATGGTTCGCTTGTCGTAGATCAGCATCCGGTCGTCCAAAGGCAGGGCTTCAGGATCGTGCGACCGGGCGATCTTGACGAGAGCCTTGTCCCATTGTGGTGCCATCTTGCGTCGAGCTCGAACACCGTGCTGCCGGCAGAGCAGCCTGGCGAGCGTCGTCACGTTGGTGTTCAAAGCACCTCGATGCAAGGATGTAATTATCGCGTTTGTCCTTGGCAACTGACGGCATGCGGCTATGGCCTTTGGCAAGGTTGCATTGCTTCGTTCCTTGTTCCTCGTGGCCGAAGGTAGAAGGATCGTGCTGCTTCGAGCTGCTCGATGATCGCCTAAAGATGGATCAGAGGATTGACAGGTGCGCTGAGTTTATTGTGCTTGGACCCTTTAGAGGCTTTTGGAGACCAACACCTGCACACGCTCCAAAATCAACGTGCATATCCACCTGCCTCCTCATCTAGAGCACGGAGGCTATCTCTATCGCTCCCTTTGTTCCTTCCTTCATCTCTCCCTTGCTTTCTTGTCTCTTCGATCGTCGCGCTTCTTCCCATCGACGGAAGTCTCTACGTTATGCGATAAGCGATTTTCCTTTCGGGTGCCTACCACGGGCCGATCTCAAAGCATACATCATATACCCAGCCCGACATTTAGACACGCACATACAGGCGCTGCGACGCTCCATCTACCGCCATCATGTTCGCACCCATGTCCAAAGGTGGCTCGGATGACGCATGGCAAGCGCAGGACAACGCAGGATCGCTCAAGCCAGGTCGCTTCCGTGCCTACCTTGCGGACCAACTCGCAGGAACGGGATCAGCGAGTGCCGCTTCAGGATCTCGTCCAATACCCTTTCCTCAAGACGCAGGTACTCCCGCTTCATCCAAGCGCCGAATTGCGAAACCGTTGACCGGCAAAGGCAAAGCGAAGGATAATGATCGTGGCTTCATGGCTGGCTTCGATCAAGCCGAGACGGCGGGGCCCTCCAGCTTGGGGCAGAGACTCGCAACGGGCCTCGGCTTTCGTCAAGGCACCGACAAGCCTAGCAAAGCAGCAGGTGATCCGGCCACATTGCGCTCAGCGGGGACGTACGCCACGGCATCTGCCTTTCCGGCACGCTCGATCGATGCACTCCAACCGCGCTCGATACGAGAAGGAAGCTATGCAGCAAGAGGTGACTTTCCAAAACCCTCTCAGGGACTGTCAGCGTCACTCGCACCATCACCGTTTCAGTCACCACCACCTCGTAGACGTAGAGTCACCAGCATACGTGATCGCAACTGGGAAAGGGAGCGCGAGAGGGAACGACTCAGACCCAATCGCAGCTGGCTCAACAACCTCATTCGACCGCCCAGGGAGATGGTCGAGGGCTGGCTGGATAGCTGGTGGCAGCGTTGGTTCGCGCTTGCCGGTCTGCCGAGTCTGGTGGTCTGGATCTGGTGTGCGGTACCTTTTCCGAAGACAGACCCATACGATCCCAATCTGCCATGGTGCAGTCCGGGCGAAAGCGGCAGGTCAGGTGATCCAAACAATCCGCCCTGGTGCTATCCCGCCAATGCCACTGTTGCGAGCGCTACTTCCGCGTCAGCTCCAATAGCATACTCGAGCCTTCCAACAGTGGCAGGTTTCGCCTTCAGTCTGGCGAATGGGCTGCTCTCCAAGTTCTGGTTCACAAGAACACCATCCTCGGCAACAAAACAGCCCATCGGCGACAGTGATCTGATCGTCGACGCCAACTTCTGGTTCTTCCTGGTGTTCTACTACGGCATCTACGTCGGTGTTGCTCTCATCTATATCACGCAGCTCTTTGGTCTGTACAGGCTCAACTGGTGGCCAGCTGCACTCGGCGCTAAAACGTCGTACACATTCTTCTGGATCGGCAGTCTGGTTGCTGGCTGGGTGCTGCACGAGCTCGACCCGCTTGGCACCGAGACTCGGCATCGACCTGCACTTGACGGCGCCAAGCCTGCGCACATCCAGTCCACCGGACATTTGGGCACAACGTCTCTGTTGTCTCTGCCGAGCGCCGCACAACTTCGTCAATGGTCCACAGCTGCAACGGCAACTGCGTTAGACAGTAATCCCACCATCGACGATGCGGACATCCAGTGGCAGCGAAAAACGCTCTGGGTTGGCCTCGCCTTTGCGACCATGGCGATGCCTGCTCTCGTCTGCTTCGTCGGTCTCCGTCGCTCTGGCCGTCAGACCTACCGACACAGTCTTACGGACCACCAGAAAACCTTTCTCGAACGCCAACTGAACCGGCGCATCCCCTCGTCCTACATCCGCTTCCTCTGGTTCATGTCGACCATTGGCCTATCCCTCTTCGCGCTCATCGCGGGTCAAGGCTATGCATCGGTCTACCTCTCCACCCTCCCGCACACGGGCCTGGACGGCGTAGCGTACGTCTCCTTCTGGACGCTCACCGTAAACGGTCTGGCCCTGGTCTCGCACTGGATCCTCGAATCCAAAGTTCGCAGTCGAGCCCTAGTATTCGCCTTCAAGTACTACTACTTCTTGGTCTACTTTATCTTCTACCGCAACCTTTTTGCGCGACTTCGGTCGTTTGACCAGTTTGCGCTGGTGCAGCTCTTGTCGTCGTTTTGGATCTGCATCTGGTATCCGCTCAGCATGTCCAAGACGTGTCATCGGGTGGTGCAGTATTTCAATCCGTCGCCGAGATCCTGGGAGGAGTATGTGGAGAGCGTTGGGTTGGCCTTCTACCTCCGAAATCTGGCGCAGAATACTACCATGCTAGCATTCTTGGGCTGGGTCAGCATTCTGCATTTCGGATCGAACCAACCTCTCTATCCGTTCTTTGCGTACGATAACAAACACGATCCGTACAACTACCAGCTTACGATGCTCGGGAGTATGGCGATCTGGGCCAGCGAGCTGTGCTCCTCGTTCGTTGCCAGACAGATATGTTATTGGGCCTTCAGGGTGGATGTGACGAACCTGGGATTGGACGAGATGAGGGAGTTCCCGGAGCTGCTGACCACCATCGGCTGGGGAAGCGTACATACGTTGATGGACATGCTGCTGTTCTTGATCAAGCTGAACTTTCGTTAGACGCCTTCATTTAGAGAACTATACCCCGCGTTTGACCACACACCCCTTTCACTGCGATAGAGAAAATATACCTCCTCTTTGAGCACACACAACGGCGGCAAAACGAGGATGGTGTGAAATGGACCCCTGAGGAGTGGAACATCTTTGATCCGGGATTGAGGGGAAAAATTCGGCGAGTGTCGGCCGGTGTGACGCGTTTTGCCGGGTCAGGACGGCGATCAGCGCGGCTCGCGCTACACGACCCTTTGCGCTTCATGAGCCGGAAGGGACAGCTTTCATTCGGTCGAGATTGGCCTTCCGAGAGCAGCGCAGAAGGACAGACCGGGTTGCGTCTCGCTGTGTCGTTGTCGGATCCCACTGGGGTCTGGCAGTGTTGCGGTACTACACGAGATGGACCAACGTACGAATCTCTCCAGCGAGTGCGCCAAGTGGGAGCAGAGGGCCAGCGAGCGACGCTGGAAGAAAGTCAGAATCCATGGCGGGGCAAATCTTGCTTCCGCCTGGTTGAGGTGCGCGGCCGGAAGACGCGGAGAAGAGCGAGAAAACCCGGGCGCCTTTTTCCTGCACCGAGTGTATCCAGGTCACGTCAGACGGACGAAATAATAGCCGAAAGGCCCTCTCCCCACAGAATTGGTCCAACGAAGAAGGAAGTGCTTGTCCGAGCCCTTCCGAGCCCTTGTTGATATACTTGGACGGACTCGGGATTGCTTAGTTTGCCCACTACCACCATCCGCAAGTCCTCACGATGTTGACAAGTGTCCTTCGCACGCGGGCCCCTGTGGCCGTTCGGGCCTTCACCCCGCTTACGCTGCCCACGCGCACCTTTGCCTCCACCTCGCTCCGTCGGATCCAATCCAGCAAAGTCTACCCATCGGCCGACGAGGCGGTGGCAGACATCCCTTCCGGCTCCACCGTCCTCTCTGCCGGCTTCGGTCTCTGCGGCACCCCTGAAACGCTCATCGGCGCCATCTCCCGTCATCCTCACATCAAAGACCTCACCGTCGTCTCCAACAACGCGGGCACGGGCGATTTCGGTCTTGGCAAACTCCTCCGCAGCAAACAGATCAAGAAGATGATCTCCTCCTTCATCGGTGGCAACAAGTATTTCGAAGCGCAGTATCTTACGGGGCAGGTGAGTCTGCAGCTGACACCGCAGGGTACGCTCGTCGAAAAGTGCCGCGCGGGCGCGTTCGGTATCCCCGCCTTCTACACGCCTACGGGGTACGGAACGGCTGTTCAGACAGGAGACCTGGTCGTGCGCTACGAGGCACGCGAGGAGGGCTCCAAAGAGCCATTGAAGGCGGCCGAAATGGCAAAGCCTAAAGAGGAACGCAGTTTCAACGGTAGGAACTACATCCTGGAAGAAGCCATTCATGGCGATTACGCCATCATCCATGCGTGGAAGGTGGACGAAGCAGGCAATGCCGTGTTTCGATACGCCGCGAACAACTTCTCCGCTCCCTTCGGTAAGAATGCCAAGATCACCATTGTTGAGGCGGAGGAGATTGTGCCGGTGGGCACGCTGGGGGCGGACGAGATCCACCTCCCCGCCATCTTTGTCGATCGAATCGTCAAGTCGACGCACGAGAAGCAGATTGAAGTGCGCACCGTCAGCGACGCTCCCAAGTCCTCCTCCTCGGGATTCGATGCGGCGAAGGCCGAAGCAAAAGAGCGTCGAATCCGCATCGCCAAGCGCGCCGCACGCGAAGTTCAGGATGGCGACTACATCAACCTTGGCGTTGGCATGCCCTCCCTCGTGCCCAACTACCTCCCCCCCGGCGTCAACGTTGTGCTTCACTCTGAGAACGGAATTCTCGGCATGGGCCCGTATCCCAAAACCTCGGAGTTGGACGCCGACATTGTCAATGCGGGCAAGGAGACCGTCACCCTCCTCCCCGGCGCATCGACGTTCGATTCCAGCGAATCCTTCGGCATGATCCGTGGCGGCCATATTAACGTTACCATGCTCGGCGCACTTCAAGTTGGAGCTAACGGCGATTTGGCCAACTACATGATCCCGGGTAAAAAGGTCTCCGGTGTCGGTGGAGCCATGGACCTGGTGAGCAATCCCGCGAATACCAAGGTCGTCGTGGTCTCCGATCACGTGGACAAGAACGGTAGGAGTAAGATCGTTGCGGATTGCAAATTGCCCTTGACGGGAAGCAGATGCGTTAGTAGGATCGTGACCGACCTGTGCGTTTTCGACGTTGATAGGGTCGGAGAGGAGGGTTTGACCTTGATCGATCTCCAGGAGGGAGTAAGTGTGAAGGAGGTCAGAGAGAAGACGGATGCCCCGTTCAAGTTGGGTCCCGGCATCAAGGAGTAGAATAGTAAAACTTGTACAGATTGGCTCAATCGACCTAGACTCAGAGATGGTCGTGTGTGAGAGTGTGTGACTGCCCCTCAGAGAGGAACAGTGTTGTGCGCTGAGCGAAAGAAGCTTGACAAAGTGGACAGGGCACAGCATCATTCCTTCACTTTTCCCTCACTCGAAACAGCCCGCGCACTGGACACACGAACACACAGAACGCGCCATCACGTCACACACACACAAAGTCAGACGGGAAGGAAGAATTGACATTGACTTCACCAAACCGCTTCTGGTGGACGCACCATCTCTGACGCCATCGAACGCAGGGAAAGGGGGATGAGCCGGTCGGACGCTGCGGACAGAACGACGCTGGCACCGAACAAGGAGGCAGATTCGCTGACCGAGTCCGAGGCCACTTCGACTGAGCCGATGTAGCTCGATTCGGGGTCTTCGTCGAAGGTGATGTCGGATGAGAGAACGATCGGTCGAGTCTTGTGAGGCAGGCGACGATCGGTTCGGATTGACGGGCCCAGCGCGACTGCTGGGAGGCGTGAAGGACCCGCCTCGGTTGAGGGGTGAGAGAGCACCATAGCGAAAGAGCCAGTGATGATGGATGGGAGCGACGAGGATGACAACGCAACGAGAGCGCAGGAGAGAGAGAAAGGGAATGAAATGCGGTCGCGTAGGAGCCAATTGAGGTGAAGATTGGAGACAGAAGGCGTGCTAGAACGTGAAGAGGTCGAGGACGGCAGTCGAGATGCTGCTGCTGCTTGTCAATGAGAGCAAGCGAAGCGAGGCATTACGATCGAAACATGCGAATGAATAGATGTTCGCAGTGTAGCCGTGACAGCCGGGACGAGCTTAGAAACCGTGCACCTTGACGTCGGTCTTGGGGGTGATGCCCTCCTGGACGATGAAAGTGGCCACCTTCTGACGCTGGTCGCCCTGGAGCTGAATGACCTGGCCGAGATCCTCGTCGTCAACGATGGTACCGTTGCATGCGAATTCCTTCTTGAACGCCTTCAGCAGTTTCTTCTGGTCATACTCCTTGGGCAGACCCTGGAGCGTGGTGAGCGTCTTGCGACCGTTGCGCTGCTGGATGCGGATGTGGACGTAGCGTTCCTGTGTCTGCTGCTTCTTGGCGGCCTGCGAGGTGGCTTCGGGCTTGGACTCGTCGCCGAGATCGGCGAAGGGATCGTAACTGGAGAGGTTTTGAATATTCATAAGACGAGGTTGCGATGGACGGTGAATCAGGAGCAGGACCTGACTGTGAAGATGAGAAAGAGGCAAAGAAGCTTGGGAAAGAGACCGGGAGAAAGAGATTGAAGAACGAGCTTCAAGAGACTTAAGGAAGAGAGAGAAAGGGAATCAAGAGATGGAGGTCGAGGTGAAAGGTTGAACGAGGTCTGTAGAACAGCAAAATGCCATTCGCAGTCTGACGTGAGTTGACGCTGTGTGGCTGAGGCTGGCTGAGCCTTGAAATTCAACGCGCCTTTCTCAAGTGTGTTGTGTGAGTGAGTGAGTGTCGTTCGAGCTGCGCTCCGCCGCTCAGATTTGCTGCTGCAAAATGCACGACTGCGCAAGGCGATCGAAGCTCGAAAAGGGGTCCGCGACGGTGGGACGCTCAACTCAAGCAGCCAACTGCGTATTCGCTGCTGCTGCGCTTCTGCACCGAAAAAATCGAGCCCCGGCAGGCCGCAGTCTGGGCTCACTCTCTCTTTCGAATTACGGATCTGCGCATTTGTAATCCAACCTGCAATCGAATGGCTGCGCTGAATTTGTATTCAAGAATTCAAAAGCGGCGGTGGGACTGTCGTACGGCTTCCCAAACGCTTGACGCCCATCATGGTGATCACACAATGTATCGATGGCGAGACAGTGCTCGAGAGCACACAAAGCGAGGCGCGATCCAAAGGAAGTATCCATCTGGATGATGTACAAGACAAAGTAATGGTTGCTATTGCATTTCCGTAAAAGAGGCTGGGGTCCAAAGTGCTACATACGAGCACCGCGAGGGACCCCTTCGTATTCGTGTGTTATATCGAGCTCCCAGAAATACAGTCGCCGGTGACAAGGTCCAGAAAGGAGAGAGAGAGAGGGAGAGACAGAGAAAGATGTAGAGACAGAGAGAAGAAAAGGAGGAGAGGCGAGACGGAGAGCTTGTGAGGATGAGGGAAAAGGGGGAAGTTGAGATGCAAAAGGAAAAGTCCGGGATGAAAGAATGGCGAGTCGACTGCAGCTTGCAAACGCTCACATCTGACCGCCGCCCCCCATATTGTTGAGACCGTTGTTCGGATGCTGGTGTGGGTTCTCGTCGAAGGAGTTGCGGCTAGCAAAGCCGTTCGGAGACGAATTGATCATGCCGTGCATGTTCATGCCAGGTGGAAGCGAGCCAGGTGGCGCGATCTGCATGCCCTGAAGCTGGCCGCTGTCGGCCCTGTTGAACGGGTGTGGATGACCGTGCTGCATCGGTGGACCGTGAGGCATCATGTGCGAGCCCATACCCACGTTCATGCCCATTCCTCCGCCGCCGCTGCCAACACCACCACCACCGGGTGGCATGCCGCCGCTGCCGGGAGCCATCATCGAACCAGCAGCCAAGTTGGGATCACCGCCCTTGCGCTTGATCTTCTTGGCCCATCGCAGACCGCACGCATTGCACAGCGTCTTGGGTCCTAGAGGGCCTTTGCGCCATTCTGGCGAGTCGACACGACCACAATCGGTGCAGACGTGGTCGCCGTCATCCTGCTTGGGCTTCTTCTTGCGTCGAGCATCGTCGGCTGCATTCGGGTCAGCGCCTGCGCCGTTGGCATTGCTCTGACTCGCTGTCGCATCTTCGTCCGAGTCGTCGCCCGCAGAGACGCCAAGGCCGGCCAGAACCTCGTCTCTCGCGCTGTTGGTGCGCATGAGCGGGCTGGTCGGATGCGATCCCAATGAGTTCTGCCGCGAGCCGTGCATGGGTCGTTGACCCGAAGGTGTCGACATAACGCGGCCATCCGGACCCACCGTCGCCGAGCCAAACATGGGGTTGACGGCATGCGCCCAACCGCCTGCCATCGCGTCGCTCTCCAATTCCTGCTTGAGCAGGTCAGGGTGGTAAGCAGCTGCGAACGAGTTGCGGTCATGCTCGTTGTCGGGACCGGTCAAGTCCATGTCGGCAATGAGCAAACGCAGCTTCTCATTCTCGAGCTTGAGTTCGAGGAACGAGTCGAGCATGCTTGTGTTCTTGCTGGGGTAGGGGCGTGCGGAGCAGAAGAAACATTGCAACTGTGCGCGTGAGGAGCTGCTGGCGGCATCGCTGGTAGGAGTCTGCAGCGTCTGCTCCTGGCTGAGTGGATGCGCCGCTTTCGAGTTCGTAGACAGGCTAGGCGCCATGCTTTCCGATTTGATTTGACCCTGCTGCGTCTCGCCATCGGAACTCTTGGACGCGGTCAGGCCGTCTTCTTCCCCGGCCTGCGCATCGCCTTTGGTGTCCGCGCTGTCGCCGGACCCATTTGTTGCGCCAGGCGCAGGCTCTGGCGGGAAGTACGGATGCCCCGTGGCTTCAAAGACAATATAATCGCCATCGCGTGTGAATGCGTCTGCGTGCTCGACCTCGCTCCGACGCTCGTTGCTCTTGTCCTTCTCCTCGGCCGTATCGCCCGCGGACGACTCGTGCTCCTTGGACGCCTTGTCGCCCTTCTTGCTCGGTCTGGTCGTCTTGGGCTTGGTCTTGAAGCGGTAGTAGGTCAACAGCTCGCCCTTGCTGGATCGCATCCGATCGATCTCTCGCTCGACCGAGGCAACATCCTGAGGATGGACGAACTCGGTGAGCTTGCGCCCTTTGAGCTCTTCGCTCTTCCAGCCTGTGAGCCCTTGAACGCTGGGGCTGGCAAAGAGAATAGTTCCCTCGGGATCCAGCACGTGGACAAAATCCAACAGCTCTTCGACCACACGGCCGGTCCAGCCCTTGCGCTTGGTGAAATCAGTGGCAGCGGAAGAGCCGCTCGCGCTGACATCGACGCCGCGAAGGATCTGACTTCCGAGGCCGGGTGGATGGCTGGCAGCATGTCCACCCATGGCTGCCAGCGCCTGCGATCCGACAAACGAGTGGCTATGCTGTTGACCTGCGGGATACAAGGGCGGCGGTTGCGGGTAGCCGACTCCGCCTCCGTACAGGTCCTGTGCGCCCGGACCTAGCTCCATGCTGCTGAAAGAACGCTGTCCGAAGCCCGGTGGCCCAACCGCCTCGGATCCGCTGCGGGATCGACGGTGACGGAAGGGTGGACGCACAAAATTGGCCTGCTGCTGCTGTCCATCTGGACCGAACCCAGGCATGGGCCCGGATCCCATGCTGTTGTTGAGATCGCTCAGGACGCTACTGCTGGAGGTATCGTTGTGCACGAGCAAGGGCTTGTTTCCGCCTTGCATCTGGGCGGGGTGGATGGGCGCGCCTCCAAACGTCATTCGTCTGCGCTTGCCCTGTGCGGATTCTTCGCTGCTGTTGGAGCTGGGCCCGTCGGCTTCGTAGCCGTTGATGCTGTTTCGGAAGTCCATGTTGGTAGGAGCGCGCATGGACATGTTGCCAGTATTGTCGGCACCACCATTCTGCATATAATCTTGCATGTTGTTGGGCATGCCGTTCCAGTTGCCGACGTTGGGCTGATCCGATTGCGACGGGTCGTTGTTCTTTTCTGACTGTCGTCGAGATGCGGGTGCGGATATCGAGTTGTTGAAGGCCATCTGATTGTAGGCGGCTGCTGCTGCGTCCATACCGTTCTGGGCCATGTTGGGGTTGAAACGCTGTGAAGGGTCGCCCATGCCCGAGTGCTGTTGCATCATCATCTGAGACGGGTGGGAGAAGTTGGCGGATGAGGCGGGGTCAAAGCCCGAAAAGCCTGCGTTTGCCATGTCATTGGGCACATTTCCCTGGAACATGTTGTGCATGGCCTCCTGGTTCATGGAGCCGTCATTGTTGAAGAAGGGAGGTGGGTTGAAGTTTTGGGACGGCTCGGCTGCAGGGCCGGACCAATTTTGACCCTGCATGGCTGTGAAAGAGCGGTTTGAGCGCAGAGACCGGAAAAGCGGGAGGCGTAAAAGCGTCGAGCGGAGACGGAGCGCCTGGAGGAGGAGGCTCGGACCAATGTTATGAGGAAGGCGATGGCAGACGTGCTGGCGCTCCGGTGATGTTGTGTCGTGGCAAGATGGACTAGATGCGAGACACGAGTAGCATGCAGGGCGATGTCGAGCGGACAGGTTGGCAAGGTGTTGAAATGGCTTTGCTCGGCTGCGTCGGTGCCAGAATATCCCTGCGGGTGTCTGCGAGGCTAAGGAAGAAAGCAGCTCGAGACAGTGGAAGGGCTGACGGTCAGCGGCGTGGGTCGCTGGGATGGCAGGACAGGCGCTGAGCGTGCGGGTGGGTGGGTGCGTGGCGTCGTCTTATCGAATGCCGACCCGTTGATGAAGGGAGCGATGCGCGAGGCTGTCCGAGGGCAATGGCTGCTCAGCAGATATGCGCGAACAATGATCGAGGAGCGAAAAGGGAGATGAAGGTGACCTCAAATTGTATCCGCCGAGTAAGAAGCAAGATAGACCAACTACTGTTGAACCGGTAAGCGATACGGGCGATCTGGCCGGGAGATGGTGTCAGTGATAGTGCAAGGCCAGTTGGCTGGGTGGGTGTCGAACGCAAGAGAAAGATGTGGTGGCTCTGCTGCTCCGGTGTGTGCCGGAAATAGGCGAAGCAAAAAGAGACTATGAGGAGGAGATGATGATGATGATGATTATGGAGATGGAGATGGAGATGGTCAAGGCAAAGCGACAATGAAAGACGGACGGCGTTTGGTACAGAGTGACGGACGGATGGCAGGCCCGAGAACCGCAAGCAAGAGAGGCAGCGAAGAAAATCAGCAGCGGCAGTGGAAGCAACAGACGGAGAATCATGGGCCCCCAGCTTGCCATCCAACTGGACAGGCACTGGCTTGTCTCAAGGCTGCCTCGCCTTCAACCAAACGTCTGCCTGGACGACGCTCGCTACGCTGTGGAAACGCGGGCAGCCCACCTTGGCTCTCATTCTTTTCAGGATTTTCTTTTCTTTTTTCGGTTTCGAGTAGCTAGCTGGCTGGCTGCGTGGCTCTGCGGGTCGTCGTGCAGCATCTCCAAGGTGGGATCAGCAAGCGATCTCAAGAGGATTCTCAAGTGCGCGAGTGTCTCGAATGGATCTCATTGTCGGCTTCGTGGTCGAGTGATTTGGTAGCATTGTGATCAAGCGAAAAGGCGAGACCAATCTGTGGTGTTGAAGCAGTGATGGTCGCCACCTTGACCGACCGAGCGAGGGCGCGCGTCACTCACTCTTGGTTTGACAGCGGCTTCCGGGTCAAGAAGAAGGACCCTTGAACCCTCGAACCCTGGCGAGCGGCATTCCATTCGCCACAGCGACCCAGGCACACGCCAAGTGCACCGCTGCAGCCGTGATTGAATATCAATATTCGAAATATCAATTATTCCTCCGTAATCGATTCAAAGTGCTTGACCGATTTCAAAAGGGACCGTATGCGGTGGTGCAGTTTGCTTGTCAACGGTGCTTGCGACGGTGACCGAGCCGTGAACGGCCGGCCTTGATGCGGTCTGAGCGCTGCAAGCGTCATTTCAAGAGGCAGAGAGCAACAAAGCATCATGACCGTCCCTCGGGCGTCGGATATACAAGGAGGCCGATGGATCCGTTTATCTCCTCGATAGCGACGTCGAGCTGCTGTCCATGTCATGATGATCCACCGCTTGTGACAACACTTTCAGCTTTGTTTTGAGCGGAATGTGCTCAAGATTGCAGTTGCCATCGTTGCCACCGGCCCTGACGACGCCAAAGTCTGTCTAAACCTTGACCTTGATCTTGCGGTCTGGACTCGGTGCGCAAGTTTGGTGGTTGCCAGGTCGTGCTCAACAGCAGCAAGCGTGTGATACTATAAAGCTAGTGTCGAGCCTCGTCAGCTGACCCACACAATTGAGTCTATCTTATGCTCAGCTTGGTCGCTTTGCTTGACTATGATCCAGGCCAAGCTCTTGCTTTGTTTGCTGCTGCTGCGACGGCGCGGTTCTTCTCACTCTGCACGCATGTGGCTGCGATTTTCCCGTTGGACCCAAGGGTCTTTGACGCCACCTTTTTTCGCTTGCAGGTTTCACACCAGACAGGTCCGTGCTCGCTTAGAGCCCTTGTGGGCGTCGTACGCCGCAGCCCTTACCAAATCAAGCAGCTTCCCTCACGACTTTTGCAGCTGGACATGTCACTTTAAAAACGCTTGCATTGACGACAAACTGGTCGGTCGCTTCGGGATGAGGAACACCGCGGAGCGTCGCAGACAGCATGTCGGTGACTCGGGACCTGCCGTTCCACTCGGATTCAGACTGCGACGACCCATTCATGGCGAGAGGGCTTATCAAGGCGTTGAGCTGCTGCCTCAAGAACCAAATCGTCGCGTTCACATGGGCTCCGAAACTCATTACGAGCGGAGCTTATTCCTTCGCTTTCGCCAAGAGCAACCGTGCAATTTGAATGACTGCAAAGACTTCATTTCGGTTACGCACTGCCCATTCGACGTGGTCTTCCCTCGCTTGCGAGCCAACTGCATTGCGGGGAAAGCCGCCTTTGGAGAGCCGCTGTCCTTGCGGCAGACTCCGACCAGCTTGCCAAAATTCGATGCCGTGCTTGGTCGCAGGGCAGGATCGCTCGTTACCCCTCATCAGCCAAGTAGACGTCTTCAACAGACGCTTCGCGATCACATGTCAGACGACTTCAGGCTTCAGACTGGTTGGCATGTGACAAATTGTCTAGGCATTTCCTCGTCCGAAACAGTTGTGAGGCCATATGTAGTCAGTGGGGACTGCCGAGCTAAGTGGACCCGTTCGGTCCCTCGTCCTCGTCGTCGTCGGTCGTCTCATCATCCGTGGCGCCTGCTTGTTGCTCGCCTAGCACCTGTCCTTCCACGATCAGACTTGCTCCTTGCGAAAGCCCGTCCACGTCTTTCAGCTGCTTTGCACCTGCGCCAGAGAACTCGATGCGTTTCCTGGGGTAGCCCGTCACAAGGCTGAACCTGTGTTCATGCTCGTAGTTGTCCGGCTTTCCGCCGTGGACCGCCGTGCTGTCCGCATCCGATGCTCTCGAGGAGGTCTCGACGAAAGCAAAGACGGCTGCGACCGAGTCGGCAGGCGAGAAGCGACGTGTCAGCGTCTTGCCGCCTGGCAGTCGGAAGCTGAACCGGATCGAATCGCTGGTAGACAGAGGCTCCGTGGGAACGAGATGGTGGAGCGCCCACTTCTGCCATGCTTGCTGTTTGCGCTGGTGTTGTTCTTTCTGCTCCTGTTGCTCTCGGATTCGTTGCGCCTCTATGGATTTCCGTCGTTCCTGCTCTCGCCTCTGCGTGATTCTCTCCGCATCGCGTCGACTCGCTTCCTGATATGCTCGATCCTGGTCGGCGCGCAGCTGTCGCTCCACCTCACGCCGGCGCTTTTCTGCTCGAAGACGGTCCAGATACGTCCGTGTCCTCGGTAGGAGAATGTCAGAAATGTGCGACGCGATGATCGCTGCCGACGTGGCAGAGACGGGTGAACCTTCCAACCTCGAAAGTATCGCTGCCCTTGGGGAAGACGTGCTGGACGCCGCCGAGCTTCGACTGGCTGAACGGGGTGGCTGAAGCGCGATGAAAGCAACGAACGGGTACGTGCTGGCTTGTAGCGTCGTCGCTACCTGATATGCTTCGCGTTCTCGTACGTCACCGCCCCACACGATGAAGTCGTCCTTTGACAGCAGATCCACGAGGTCACCATCTGTCAGTGTGTTCTGCTTGAAGCGATCGTCATCGCCATGCTCTCGGCTGACCAGAACGATGGCAAGGATCTTGATCTGTTCCTTTGCCGCTTTCAGCGCGTCTGCATAGCCTCCGATGAAGAAGGGGGGCAGTCTCGTGGGTACGGGGGCACGGGTCCCAGAGTCTTGCCTCGACACAGCCGACGCGTCTGTGGTTGCACCGGTCTGCTCCTCGAGCTCTCGTACGAACGTCTCCGCATTGTCTCGAGGATCGGAAGAGCCCAATCTTTGAGGTCCTGGACTGCCGGCGAAGAGGGAGGGAAACAGAGCCCGAATCCTCAAGATCCGCGCTAGGAAGAGCAGCAAGCTCGAGGCAAGCGAAAGCGGAAAGGTCAAGGCAGACCAGATCATCTGCGCGATGCTTGTTGAAGGACGGTCACCAGGTCGAGGATAAGGACGTAGGCCTGCGCCGCCGGGGAAGCCACTAGGCACGCCGTTGCCACGTTGATAGAGCCCATTGGAGGAGCCATACGGCGATCCTGAGTGAGCTGCCGACTGGTCGAAGTCCATTGATCCTCGGATTTGAGCATCTTGCGCAAAAGACCTGGCGATTGTCTCGTCGTCGGCTCCACTCCTTCGCCTTTCGGCAGTGCTATCCTCTTCCACCAGCCGTGCCGCTCGAGTGACGTCCCATCCTTCCACCTCGAGCAGGGTGGCCAGCATCTCATCGTCCGGGACCGAGCCACTGCTCCCCTGCAACACGCTTCGCAAGCTCGCAATGGCATCCTGCTGGCTTGGAGTGCGCTGCGTCGCCATGGTGGGATTTTGCTTGTTGTCTTTACACCGTCCCTGTCATGTCTACTCTGTGGTGCTGGATCCAGTGTCAATGGTAGTGCGTATACAGTGATGCGTCTGTGCTTGTAATGGCTGCAGAGGCTGGCTAGCCGACTTTCGCTCGGTCTCTCGTGCACCAGGTGGAGCGTGTTTCTTATGTGTTTCCAAATGGCAAGAGGCGTCGTTGTTGAGGGTCCCACGGTGTGTCGACTGGTGGACGTAGAAGAGAGCTCTGTGTCCGCGATACAGTGGATGCGAACCAGGCTTCGAGAGCGTCAAGGTGAGTTGATGGTAGTGGTCGTGACGCTTTGGCAGCTATTCCCCACATATCCACGGTGTGTCACCGTGCGCATGGCGTCAAAACCGGGCCGCATGCCGTTGCACAGCGCGGCAAAGCAAACGCTTCGGAACTCGGATTCTGCATTCATTTTTTTTCAGCTCGATCTTTTGTTTTTCTTCTTCTGCACCTCTTCGCTCGGCAAAACTTCACCAGAGCAAGCCAGACAGAGAGACCACCAGGCTCTCGCGGTTGATCACCTCTCACCATCGTCATCGTCACTTGCTCCCGACCACGCTCAGAGCAAGCACAACAGCCTTCAGCCCCGCCACCACGACGATCCTGTCTCTGGCGCTGAAGACGGACGTGGGCAGCTGCTTCAACAGGCGATCGCGACCATGAAGTCGTCGTTCAAGTTCTCCAACTTGTGCGGCACCGTCTACCAGGGCGGCAATGTGGTCTTCTCGGCAGATGGCGATTCCATCTACTCGCCTGTAGGCAATCGTCTATCCATCTTCAATCTTGTCCGCAACACCTCCACCACGCTGCCATTCGAGACGAGGAAGCCCATCGCACGGATTGCGCTTTCGCCTGCCAACCAGGCGATCGTTCTAGTGGCCGACGAGGATGGACGTGCTCTCTTGATCAACACCTTGAGAAGGTCGTTGCTCGCACAGATGAACTTCAAACAGCCTCTTCGCGACGCACAGTTCTCCAACGACGGCAAGTACCTCGCCGTCACGTACGGAAGCCAGATTAAGGTCTGGCGCACTCCCTCGCATCTGGCTCGCGAATTCGCGCCCTTCATCCTGCACCGCACCTACACCGGCCACTTTGACGATGTGCTCAGCATTCGATGGACCAAGAACAGCAGGTAAGTCTACATTGCACCGGTCTCAAGACGGTCTCGACGCACCTGCAGCCCTGTCAATGCCGTTCCGAGGATGCTCCAAAACTACAAAACTGATTTAATGAGTCCGCTGATCAATAGCGGAGAACTTCGCAAATGTCTGAGGAGCATTGGTAGGGTGCAGAGATGTTGGACGTCTTGCAAGACCGTCTCGTACCAGCATGGATGCTGTTGAAGCTGGATCAAGCTTAGCTGACCCTGATTACCTCTTCAACACCGCAGGTTCTTTATCACCACATCCAAGGACATGACAGCTCGTCTGTATTCGCTCGACCAAGTGGAAGGGTTCCGTCCCAAGACATTCACCGGCCATCGAGATGCGGTCATCGGCGCTTACTTTTCCAAAGACGAGAAGACCATCTACACCGTCTCTCGCGACGGCGCCTGCTTCACATGGCAAGGCAAGCAGAGCGACGACGAGGATCAGGACGCCGACATGCGCGAGGACGACGAAGACACGTGGCAGCCGATCGAGGGCGCCAAGGGCGGCAGCTCGTCCAAGCAGGCTGACAACGCCGTCGGCCTGACGCGTTGGGGAGTGGCAAACAAGAACTACTTCATGCAGACCGGGGCCAAGACCGTGTGCGCTAGCTTCCATCAGCAAGGCTCGCTTCTGGTCGTCGGCTTTTCGAACGGCATCTTTGGGCTCTGGGAGATGCCCGAGTTCAACCCCATCCACACGCTCAGCATCAGCCAGGAGAAGATCACCAGCGTCGCCATCAACGCCAGCGGCGAGTGGCTCGCGTTCGGTGCACACCGCCTCGGTCAGCTGCTGGTCTGGGAGTGGGCCAGCGAGTCGTACATCCTGAAACAGCAAGGCCATTACTACGACATGAACACGGTTGGCTTCGCTTCCGACGGCGCAGTAGCAGCTACCGGCGGTGACGATGGCAAGATCAAGCTCTGGAACACCGCCAGCGGTTTCTGCACCGCGACCTTCTCGGAACACTCGGCTTCGGTCTCTTGCATCGAGTTTGCCAAGCAGGGACAGGTGCTCTTCAGCGCGAGCTTGGACGGCACGGTGAGGGCCTACGACTTGGTCCGATACCGCAATTTCCGCACCCTGACGAGTCCTGAACCGGTCCAATTCGTCAGTCTCGCCGTCGACCCCTCGGGCGAAGTGGTGTGCGCGGGCAGCGCCGACACGTTTGAGATCTACATGTGGAGCGTGCAGACGGGCAAGCTGCTCGACATCCTCTCTGGTCACGAAGGCCCCGTCTCCGGCCTTTCGTTCAGCCCCGACGGCAGCGGTGTGCTGGCCAGTGTCAGCTGGGACAAGACGGTGCGCACGTGGGAGGTGTTCAGGACGTCGCAAAGCGTCGAATCGTTCACGCTCAACGCCGATGGTCTGGCGGTGGGGTTCCGACCCGACGGACGAGAGATCTGCGCCTCGACGCTCGACGGCTACCTGGCCTTCTTCGATCCGCACGAAGGCAAGCAGACGGGCGTCGTCGAGTGCCGTCGCGACATTGCAGGCGGACGCAAAGTGAACGACAAGATTGCTCGCCGCAACAATGCGAGCGGAGCCTGCTTCACCACGGTCTGTTACAGTGCGGATGGTGCATGCATTTTGGCAGGCGGCAATGCCAACTATGTGTGCTTGTACGACGTCAAGGAGCGAGTGCTGCTCAAGCGATGGGAGCTCACCAAGAACCTGGCGCTGGATGGCACACAGGACAAGCTGGATAGCCGTCGTGTCACGGCAGCCGGTGCGATCGATCTGGTCGACGACCGCGAGGACGAGGCGGATCTGCTGCCGACGGAGCGTGTGGATCAGTCGCTGCCCGGTGCTCAGCGCGGTGATGCGACCAAGAGGACGACGCGTGCCATTTCCCGAGCCAAGTGCGTCCGCTTCGCGCCCACTGGTCGATCGTGGGCGGCTGCTTCCACCTCCGGGTTGCTCATCTTCAGCCTAGACGAGCAGGCCGCTTTCGACCCATTGGACCTCGATATGGATCTGACGCCACAAGCCGTCCGAGAAGCATCGACGCGCGGCGCGCATCTACTGGCTGTGGTCGGCGCTTGTCGTCTCGGCGAAAGGCCGTTGATGGCCGAGGTCTACGAGCGCACTTCGGCAGCAGACATCATGCTGGTCTCGCAGCAGTTGCCTCTGATCCACCTGCCGACGGTGCTGCGTCTGATCGCGGATCGCCTGCAGCCCAGCAGCGGCAGTCCCCACGTCGAGTTTCACCTTCGCTGGATCGCCGCCATCTTTTCGGTGCGTGGTGCCGAGATCAAGTCCAAGGCTGCGACCGAGTATGCACCCGTGCTGCGCGCTGTGCAGGTCGCGCTCAACGAGCTGCGTGCCAACGTGAAGCGCATCAGCGACGAGAACTTGTACTCGCTGCTGTACGTGTGGAACGGTGTGACGAAGGGCGAGCAGCAGAGCAGCAGTGCCAAGGCTGCGAATGGAGCTGCTAGCCTGGGCGAGCTGATGGAGGTCGAGGCGCTCTAGGCTGTCGTGTCATAACAAGCTTGGATTTGTTGTTCGAAACACAAACTATTGCCATCATCAGCAGCCTGGATTCTTCGTCAATCTTCCTAGATCGTGTGTGAGGACGCCAAATGAGTGTGAGATGGAAGAGTTAGCAATCAACCTCGGTGTATTGACAGGCCCGAGAAGATGTCCCGGGCCGAGAAGATGCAAGTGCGCCCAAAGTGAAAGCTTCCTTTGAGCGCTTTTCCTGACTCGAAGAAATTCAACCTCCGCCCAAACCCTGGGGTGCAAACAGTGGAACAGACGCGCAACGCCCAAGACCAAAAAGGCTAAATTACAACGACCCAAGACACTGCTCTTTTGCCTTTCTTCGCCACTTTGATGCAAGGGAAGGATGAGCGAGCGGGAAGGTCCATCTTCAGGCACGAGGACGGCTTGGCCGGTTGCTAGAATTTCCCTTTTGCCTTTTGCCCGCTCGCTTCCTGCCACAGACAGACAGACGGCTTTACGGCTAAATGATCGCTCTGAGTGTGGCTCAGCAAGCCAGAAGCCAACTGGCGACTGCGCACGTACGCTTCTCGCTCCTTTTGACCTTCTTCTCTCTTCATCATCAGACCATCCATTCATTCGTCCTCTGAACAATTCAGAACACTCGTCCTACTTCGAACCACCATCAGCTCGACGCTCCTTCAACTTACATCTACCAAAGTAGCGTTGCGATCACGTCTCATCTGCATCCTCTGTCATCGGCAACAACCAGCTTGTACAGGCAATCTCGTCAAGCACATTTGCCTGCTCGCATTCCAGCTCAAGGGCTTCATCGCGCGAGGTGACCTCCTATCGATCAGCGCATCACGAGCATACACAATTGTCGCAACTCTTGCAAACAAGGTCCACCCCGCTCTCAGACGCAACCTAGCAGGCCTTCGACTCGGGCCTCTCCTCGCGCACCGTCGGATATCGACCCCCCATCTTACACACCAATTCTACGTTCAGCAGCGGTCACCTCCCGTGTTCCGCTCGCTGCATCACCTACACACAACAATGTCGTCGTCGACCCCAACACAGCCAGCCGCCTCCCCGGCAGCATCTTCGCCACTCCGTCTACGCTACATCGATGCATCCACAGCGCAAAAGATTGACGAGGAGCTCATGTCGTCCTCGGGTGGCTTCTCGATCGACCAACTCATGGAGTTGGCCGGTCTCTCGTGCGCACAGGCCGTCTTCGAATGCTACCCACCAACCCGCTATCCCAACGTCCTCGTAGCGTGTGGACCAGGCAACCAGGGCGGTGACGGCCTCGTTGCTGCGCGACACCTCTATCACTTTGGCTACGAGCCTCTCGTCTGGTACCCCAAGGAAGGAAAGACCGAGCTCTTCTCGCGGCTCAAGGTGCAACTCAAGAACCTCGGCGTCCACTTTGTGCCCCAGGACGACTTCCAAGACGCGCTCGAAGAGGCCGACGTGGTGCTCGACAGCATCTTTGGCTTCTCGTTCCACGGCGAGGTGCGCGAACCTTTCAAGGGACCATTGGAGAACCTCAAGTACGAATCACGAATCGAGTTTGAGGCGCGGAAGAAGATGCCTCCCATCGTATCGGTGGACATCCCAAGTTCGTGGGACGTCGAGAAGGGCAACGTGAGCAAGAGCTTCACGCCCAGCGTGCTCATAAGTCTGTCGGCACCCAAGTTGGGAAGCCTGGGTTTCAGCGGGAGACACTTTTTGGGCGGAAGGTTCATCAGTGAGGAGTTGGAGGACAAGTTTGATCTCCAGCTGCCGGATTACCCGGGCACGGAACAGGTGGTCGAGATCACCGGCGCAAAGCCGTTGGAGAGCCAGCAGACCGCATGACCGGCCCAGCCGTAGTCACTTGTCACCCCTCCCCCTCTCTTCTTCAGTCACTCTCTTTTTTGGGCTTCTCTCTCGTTGGAATGCAAACAATCCTCATCTACAAAAGCACCTTGAGCTCCTCCTCCGTCAGAATGTGCAACAGATCCACATCCCCCGCAGCCGCGGTGCGACTGTGCGCACGGATCTCGTGAAAGCTCTTGGCCAACACCTCGGCCTTGCTGATGACGATCTGGGCGTCGAATTCGCCCGTGAGGCTGTTGAAGTACTGGAGGATCTCGTCAAAATGCGCGAGGTAGCGCATGATAGGTTCGCGGTGGAGTTCGAGTAGAGCGAGGGCGCAGAAGAGGTGGAAGGATGGGGTGAGGGACCATTCTGCGGCTTCGAGTTGCTCTTTTCCAGTTTCGGAGGAGGATGGGACGCCGTCTGGCTTCGATGTCTCCCGAACCTGCTTTGCGACTCCCTTCGCCCCATCTACCGATGAGCCTGTTGGCTCGGCACACCAGCACGCCTCCCACACCGCCAACGTATCCTCAAACGCAAATTCCCGCTTGAACCGAACCAACAACCACCGGTAGCAAAAGAACAGATTCAACGAATCCGTCTTCTCCAAATGCCCGTACAGCGCTGGGTCCATGATACTGATCAACTTCTGCAGCACGAGCAATTGACTCTTCATCCCGCTCTGGTCTTGCCTAAAGTTGCCCTTTGTCCTCTGCATCAGCCCGACAAAACACCAAAAGGTGCGCACCTCGTCGCCGCCACAGACGATGTAGAGCGGCGAAGCGAGGTCCGACATGCCCTGGACGTAGCCTGCTAGCCCATCGGCTGCGGAATGTTCGGATTCCCACAGACCGTATGTGAGCAAGATCTCGCCCAGTCGTTGGGTGTGCGGATTGGGGTCTTCCATAGGATCGGCGTTTGGATCCGCTGCAAAGACGGCATCGCGCGAGAAGAGAGGGTGCGTCCGATCGGTCCGGAGACAGTCGACCCGAACGCGATGCCGTTGTTCGCGGAATTCGTCGGTGGAGAGGAGCGCGTCATCGTGCTGCCACCGCGCTTTGTAGGTGTGATACTCGACCTCGCGCGCTTCCCATAGCGCGGCTCGATCGGCGGCAGTGGTGGTGAACGGGATGGCGTCCAGCAGAAACGGCCACGCCTGCTTTCGTGTTTCCGTGGCGAGACCGTTGACGAAGATGCGATGTCGGATCTCTGAAGCGGAATGCAAGGGTCGACCGGAGACGTCGAATAGCGAGTTCCACTCGGCGAGATTCAACCCGGAGGAGCAGGGAGAAGCATCGACGGCGAGATCAGCATACCTGGCTTCGCGTTCCGACGTCGGACGCGGTAGGTCGTAGATCTTCTCAAGCAGCTCGAAAGCTCCCAGTTCGCTTCCTTCCGTCTTGGCCCCACCAGAGCTGGACGATTGGGCTGGCGAGTCGCCACTGCTCGCACCCGCCAGCCCAGCACCCAACCTCTCCTCCTTGCGTCGATTCTTCTCCCCCTCCTCCGCGACCAACCTCGCCCACCGAGCCAGGTACACCCTCGCACTATCGTAGTACTCGCCCGTCCCGCTCTGATTGGCAATGCTCGAGGTGCGCCACTCCCACTCGCCCTCGTTCGGTCCGAGCGGCACGGGTCCGGCGTGCGCAAACGACTGCACCGGCCTCGGCAGATGCGGCACCACCGGCTTGGCGAGCGGATGCGACAGCACCGTGTGAGACGCGTGCCGAGCCTGCTGCGTGAAGTGGGCGAACGAGGTGAGCATCGACATGCGTGCGCTTTTGGCCCAGACGGTGAGGTTGTCCATGGCGAGCTCGTTGCGTTTGGGCGTGCCGGGCAGGGACTGGTGGAGAGGACTCATGGAGTAGGCGTTGTCGGAGAGGTCGTTGCTCCAGGCGGCGTTGGCTGGGTTAGGATTGGGAGTGTCGATGGCGTCATCGTCGAAGAGGGGGGTGTTGTGGGTTTCTAGGTCAGAACGGGAGGGGTTGACGAGGAAGAGGTTGGGCTCGATGGCGCTGCGATGGATGTTGGCGTACTTGCGCAGTTGGTGCACCAGCTCGTCGCCGCCCCAGGTGGGGGCTGGTGAGGTGGAGCGTATGGAGGTGCGACGTGGAGATGCGGAAGACCAGGCTGACGAGCCGGCTCGTGCAGAAGAATGGGAGGGGTCTTCCAAATGAGGTTGGCCCAGTGCAGATGATGCAGCAGCAGCAGCGGCGTCGGCCGAGGCGCTCTGCTTTGCCTTGTGCATGGATAGGACAGTGCTCTTGCTTTCATCATCGTGAAAGTGAAGTGTAGGCATCGCAACTCCGCCAAGCTGACTGATGGTGACGGTGCCGTACCACGAGCTGATGGTAGGCGTCTTGATGGTGAGGCTGTATATCCTGTCGAGCGGCAGCGAAAAGGCGTAGGTAGAAGAAGTGGGAGGCGCTGCGATGAGCAAGGATTCTTGACTGTCGTCGTCGTCGTCTTCTACAGCGTCGAGACTCTGACGTGGCTCGGCTTGAGAATCGTCATTGGCTCTGGCCGAGGTGGTGTACTCGATGCGGACGAACTTTTCCAACTCTTGACGTTGCTCTACGAGGCTTTCGGGAAGGAAGGAGAGGAGCACCTTGGCCCCTGGCTTGGCAGGACCAGCCCTACTGAGGGCAAGGTAGCCGGGTACATTGTGCTTTGCGTATGGCGACGGATGAACGTAGACCTTGGATTTGGACCAGAGCAGGGTGTGCGATTGGGTCGATGAGCCTGCGCTCGATCCGGCTTGAGGTTGGCGAGAGGTTGATGCAACTGCGCTGGTCTCCATGCTCGATGATGGACCCGGACCATTGGCTTGAGTGTTGTTGTCCATTACTGCGAAGTCGGCATTGGCGCCTCCTGCTCTCTACGGTGATGCAATTGATGGCAGCTGGACGAGAATGGTTCTGGCACTGATAACGAAGCATGCACGGACACCTGCAGCTGTCAGACACAGCCAAAAATTGCTCCACATGCGCAAAACTCAGCCTTTGGGAAGCTCACGCACACAGCCTTGCCGCTGCTTTTCTCGACCAAAAATCAGCACTCGAAATGGCGGTAACTTACGGAAAATCACAAGCCATCTCCTACTCTGGGCTTCCCACAGCTCAGACACCCGAAACGGAAGCGATGGGGTCTTCCCGAATGACTGTGTGATATATCTCGAGAGTTGATCATGACTGAGCGACAGTTCGAAGCTGTGACAAAGAGCGTTGCAGCGATGGTGCGCCGAGTTAATTTCGAGCTTAGCAGCACGTGATCCATCAGACTCGAATCGCGCCCACACGCGCCCACAACATGAATTCTTTTTCGGCTGTTGGATTTTTAGATCAGGAGGAGGAGGAGCCAGAGAAAGCGCTGTTCCAGGACGGCAGACTGTATACAGAGCAGAGCAGAGCAGAGCAGCAGAGCAGCACAGTCACTCGGCTCGAGTGTGCGTCTGCATCGTGCGCAGCACTTTCAAGATTCGACATCTCATTTCACCTGCTTCCGTCTTCCATCGCTTCTCTTGACCGTCACCCATCCGCATCATATACCTACTCAGGCAACACTGCTACTGGTCGCGGCTGACCTATGGGACAATCACACTAGGGCGGACTGACTTCGATCTGACCAGCAACAATAGACGCGGCTCTCTTCAAAGCAGACCGAGAGCACCCTCGCAATCGCAGACGCAATCACGACATGTCAAGAGCTCATCGTCATTACCCAGTTGCATCCACGTCTTATCACCAACCACCATCCACGCTCGCTTCGCACCGCATCCGCACTGCCGTCGACCGCAGACAGGCTCTCGCATCAGCGCATCCTGACTTTTCTCAGGACATCTACATCCCCGAATCGCAAGAGGAGCTCAACAGGGTCAACATCGAATCTCGTCTGCTTCAGCCTAGCGGTCCATCGCACAAATCAAACATGCGCAGAGCAGATCTCACTTCCGCATCTTCCACCTTCGATACCTACGACCGCATTGGCCGCGAAGATGATCTTCCATCCACCCGAGCAGCCGCGGCCTCAACCACCCACAGACCTTCTCGACTCACCTCTGACCGTCCCCACCACTTTGACGCAGACGAGAGCTTGATCCCTGGCGTCGGCCGCGGCGTCCGCAGCACAATGCCCTCGCAGACCTCGTATCAAGAGCGCATCCGATCGCTCAATCATCACGCCGCTCAGAACAGATTCGAGTCTTCGCCGTCAAGGAGTCCGTATCGCCCTGGAAAGTTCTCCTCCGGCTATGTTGCTGCGTCATCTACGAGGCAGCCAGTAGCTTCGTCTACCATCAGACCTTCGATGGCTCATGCTCGTGCTGGCGCAATCCCCCGAGCTGCAGCGGTTGAGAGCGAGAGCGAGTCGGATGGCGACTCTGCAACCGACTCTGGCGAGTCTGACGCCATGAACATCCACACGGCCACTTTCAACAGCACCGGAAATCACCGCAATTTTGCAGCTACACCCGCCGGCCACACCGTCACAATGACTCAAAACCTTCGTCAACGTCCCACACTTGGACAAGATACCCTTGACCGCATCGATTTTGATATCCACACCGATACTGATGGCGAGCATCGTCCCTCCTCCAGAATTGCAGCCAGCACACGTGGCGGAGCAGCTCAGCACCAGCAGCCGCGTCCTGATCCCACAGGTCCCTTTGCTTCACCACGCGCCACCAACACCTTTGGCATGAAAGCGGCCGACTATCAACAGCACCTAGCGTCACGCACCCTTACCTCTCCCGCCTTGCGTACGCTTATTGGCGACCGTTCCAAGAGCCCCGATAGCCCAACGCCGGCACCCTCGATCGACGGTAGGCTTCACGCTGGCAAGACGACGGCAAAGCCTCAGCAACCTCGAGCCGCGCGCCAATCCTCCATCTCCGCCATCAGCGCTTTTGAGGATCTGGCACGTCGATTGCAGAAGGATGTGGAGCTCACGCAGAGAAACGGAGACGCCAGAGGGGAGGAAGTGGATGATGGAAGTGCCTCCAACTCGGGTGGCAGCGGCTTTGGTCCCGGCAGCCAAGCTTCGAGCGCACGCACGCGCGTAGACAACGACGCTGCGCCAAACGCAGGCAAGGCGTTCCAAGCGGCGCAGTTCAACTCGTCCGGTTATCCAGCACACCAGAAGACTGTGGCTGGTAACGATCTCACTTCGCCTTGGGGTGTGCGCCTGCCCGACGTGACAGGTCTCACCTCTGCCCTGGGTTCTCCCGTCAAGGCACGCGATGCTGTCAAGCACCGACCCTTCGACGGTGCAGTAGGCAACCAAGAGGCCCGCCTGGAAGAGCTCGTCAATCTTCGCTGCTTTGTTGATGGTATCCAGGTCGAGCTCGACCGTGCAGGTGAACGGATCCTCAATCTGGAGCAGGCTCAAGAGCAGCAGAGTCACGAGTTCCAAGGGCTGCGATCCGAAATGCAAAGTGCGCTCAAGGACGTGCGCTCTCAACAGCCAGCGTCAGACGAGCATCTGATGCAGCTCATCTTGGAAAAACTGCAAGGATCGGACAAGCAGCCACCGCAGACTCAGAAGCGCAACCAGTCGGCACCGGCGACTTCCGAACCACAGACACAACGAGAGCCACCACAGCCGGTCCAGGACACACGCGCCACTCAGCAAGCAGAGAGTCGCAGTCAGGTCGAAGTCGTCAACCGCCTGTACGCAGAGCTCGACAAGCTGCGCATGACGATGGAGCAGCAGTACCGCAACGCAGCAGGCTACAGCCGCGAAGGGGCGGAGGTTCAAGTGGATGGCGATGCAAGACCGCACCACGCAGCCTACAAGCACCGGGACAACTTCCCCTCCGGTCGAGACCCATGGGACGCCATTGAGGCGTTGCGGCTGCAGGTGCTGAGCCTGGCGGACGAAGTCGAAGGCCTCAACGGTCTTGTCCTAGACCACTTCGTTCAACCTCCTACTGTCAGTCGGAAGAGGAGCACCCGCTCCAACGCCGCTCGTCACCGCTTCGAACGCGACGAGCGTTACTATGAAGACGCGCACCCTGCCTCTGACCCAGTCTACTCAGCCCGCGGCGCCTCCGCTCGATCCTCGACTCCGGCCTACCGCGAGCGAGACGACATCCGCACCGACCCTATCGACGACCACATTGACGACTACTACCACCGTCGGGTCTCGTTCCATCGTCAGCGATCCAGTCCGTCCCGCCCGACCTTCGGAGACGACGAGTACGACCGTACCATCGACGCAGTCTCTGAGAACCTGCGCGTGCAACGCGAACGTCAACGACGACGACACGAATCTCAGTCGGCCGAACCGGCCGAGCTGGACGACTACGAGATCTCGCAGCTGGCCGACACGCGCGCTGCTCTCGCCTCCGCTCGCGCCAGCCCGCCTCGCAACACGCACGATCCTCAGCTGTGCACCGTCTGCGCCTCCTCCCTCCGATCCGACAAGCGCAAAGCTTCCCGCCGCGCACGGCTCCTCGCTGCTGAGCAGCGGCGCGAGCTGGTCGATGTGGAAGAGTCCATCCTGCTTGGCCAGTCGGGCCCGGTGAACGAGGAGCAGAGGGCGACGCTCCGCGTGATTCTGCAGGAGCACTGGGATGAGTTTTTGCACCAACGCATGCTCTACTCGGAACTGGCGGATGAGCTCAAGACGATGGAACCGGGCATGAGCAAGGCCAAGAGACGCATTCTGGCGCAGCACGTGCTCGAGGCGGTGGAGCTGCTCGAGTTGAAGGCGGACAGGATCGAGAGGTTGCAGAAGCTTATCGGGTCGGAGAGGTCGGAGAGGACGGAGGCGGAGAAGGTGAGGAAGGAGGCTGGGTCGAGACAGGCGAGCAAGGGAGAGGGGAACAGATTGAAGCATGCCATGGAGTCGTTTGAAAGGACGAGTCGGTCCAGCCGTGCAGGTGGGAGGAATAGCCCGCCGACGACGATGCAACTGTAATAGACCGTCTGACCGGGTGGTCACTCTTTTGAAACATCAGTCTCAGTCAGAGCACCAAGTTGTGTGTCTCAACGGCCTGAACTCAAGAAGATGTGATGAATGCGAGATGCGATTGCGGTCCATACAAAGTGGGTCTGAGTGAAGAAGAGGGAAGGGTCTACTTGCGACTCTTCTTGGGCTGTGCCGGTTTGCCTCCCTTGCGCTTGGCTTTCCCGTTGCTTCCGTTACCCTTTGCAGCTTCCGGCTCGCTCTCCTCGTCTTCCTCCTCATCGTGATCGTCGTCGTCCTCCGCCACCCCGTCTGCTGGTCCATTGACCTTGGCGCCCCTCCCATCTCGCCCGCTTACTTCCTGCATATTGGCCCAGACCTCATCCTCCTCCTCTTCCTCGCCATCCTTCACCCCCTTCAGCCCTGGCGGCACGACGCCATCCCACACGACCGCAGTCGGCATGGCGTGCACGCTCTGCGTCGTCGAACTCGCCATCATCTTACTCCACATCGCCTCGCCCTTCTCGGCCGACATTCCCGGCTTGGGCACCGCCAGCCCTGCCGGCACCGTCGAGTGCAGCCTAACCAGGCTGTCGGAAGACACCGTCACGAGCGCCTCTGACTTGTCGTCGGGCAGAACCGTCATGGACAGCGTAGCGCCTACCTGGCCGGCGCCTTTGTACGCGTACACCACAGCACCCGTCTGCCAGTCGACCGCAGACAACTTAGATCCTGTGTCGCCGGCAAACAGCAGTCCTCCACGGGTAGAGTCAAGCGCGGAGGAAGAAGCGCAGAGGGTTTTGACTGCCCCTTGACCCGCTGGGACAACACGCATCTCGCGGACATGCCGCCGACTCGGGCCGCCAGGCTGGAAGATGCGCACCAGGCCGTCTTTCGTTCCCACCGCAATGACCGACGACTCCCCCAGCCCGTCCGCCTCTTCGGTCAGGGCGAGGATGCACGTAGCAGTGATGTTGGCTCGTCTCGGCAACGACAGGTTGTCATTGGGCAGGTTCTTCGCACGCCACACTTCACCCCACACCAGCTCGCGAGCTTTGGTCTTGGCCTCGAGCTGACGCTTGCGTTTGCGCTGCTTGCTGTTCAGCCCCGCCAGATCGTCCGTTTTGGCGGATTCGACGCTCATATCACCTTCGGGCGGCTGGTCGGAGAGCGAAGTGGGGATGTGCCAGAGGGAGAGAGGCACGTCTTCGCCGCCGTAGCAGAAGTGCGTCGGGTCGGTCGGCGGATAGAAGTGCGCATGCTGCAGCGGCGACGGTAGGATGTCGATCACCGTGGCCTCGCCAAGGGTAGCGTTGGTTTCCGTGCCGGCGGAGGTGACGCTGATGGGTGTGAAGCGGAAGATGCCGGATGAGGTGATAGTGTAGATGCCTTGAGTCGACACGGCGAGACCAATGAAACGGTGAATGCCGGCTTTCATTTGCGTCTCGTAGACGGTGCAGAGAATGTTCGCCTGAAGCTCGGAGGAGGGAGCGGGAGCCGTGCTGGTGGAGGGCAGAGACTGGTTGATGATCTGGATGACGTCGATGGTGGCATTCTTGCGGGCGAGGGCGACAACGTAGGTGTCCGAGCCCAGCACGCCGGTGGCAATACGCTGAACAGCATGATCCGAGTGTGACTTGAAGTTGGGCAGGATGAGGGGTCGGATCGATGGTCCGGCGAAGTCCTTCGGGAGGGACGAAGGTGGGTCACACTGTGCGACGCGAAGACAGCCTATCGAGTCACCGATGTAGACTCGATGCGACGAGCTTGGGTCCTCGAGGACCACATTGTCCGTCGACATGTTGCTTTCTGTGGTAGAAGCGGATGATGTATGCAGAGGTGAAGAACGAAGAAGCTGAGCATCTCGCTCTTCCGCAACTCAAAACGCTGCTCAGCTTCTCAATCTTGCTCCCGCCGCTCCGCACCGCTGTGGAACCAAAAATCTTAAAAAAAAAGTCGTTTCAAACCAACACCTTTGGTCCGCAAAACTCGGGATTCGGCCACCTCCCTGCGCTCAAACGCCAGGCGTCAGGTGTTGGACTCGAAACAAAGCGCAAAGGACAAAGAGATGGTCCGATCACATTGACGCACAGACTCGTCGTTCTTCTCCATCACAACACTAGACCTGGAGCTCGGTCCTTCCACAGCACAGAAGCACTCTTTCGATCATGTCGGGCCTCGGCGAAGCGAGCAATGGCGCTGCCTCCTCCTCGTCCGCCTCAGTCCCCGCTCGGGTGAGCAGCATCGCCCAGCCCCCGACCACGGTCGAGGACAACGACGACGGCGGCTCCTCTTCCGACGCCTCGGACGATGAGACCGCTCCCACCACCACAGGCGACGGTCAAACAGCAAAACAGCGAAAGAAGAAGAAATCCAAAGCAGCCGCCAAGCTGCGCAAGAAGCTCGGTCTCTCCAACCCCACCTCCGACCCCACCGAAAAGCTCCTTGCATCCGGCAACGCCGTCTCCGGCAAGATCAGCGATGACGTTGTCACCCAAGTCCAACAAGCCGTTGCCGCAGAGCACGGCTCGTCCGCCGCCAACGCCGTCACCAAAGCCAACCTCGCCAAGGTGATGGCCATGATGAACATGGAGCGCTCGGCGATGCTCTCTTCGCAGGAGACCAAGGCCAAGGCGTCCAAGCAGATTGCCGATCACAAGTTTTGGAAGACGCAACCGGTGATGAAACCGACCGATGCACCCGTCGACGAAGAAGGATCCATTCAACCCAGCGTCCCACCCTCGGAAGTGCGACAAGAACCCTACCCCCTGCCAGCCGACTTCGAATGGGTCACCGTCGACGTGGACAACCCCTCGGAGCTCAAAGAAGTTTACGACCTGCTCAGCGCCAACTACGTCGAAGACGACGATGCCACGTTCCGCTTCGACTACTCCCCACAATTCCTGCATTGGGTGCTCAAACATCCTGGCTACCACCGAACGTGGCACATCGGCGTGCGCGTCGTATCCACCTCCAAACTCGTCGCCTTCATCTCCGGAATCCCGCACGAGCTCCGTGTGCGCGAGAAATCGTACCAGTCGACGGAGATCAACTTTTTGTGCGTGCACAAGAAGTTGCGTTCGAAACGCCTAGCGCCGGTGCTGATCAAGGAGGTGACGCGGCAGTGTCATCTCACTGGGGTGTTCCATGCGATCTACACGGTGGGCAGTGTGCTCCCTACACCTGTGTCGTGTGCTCGGTACTACCATCGTACCATCAACGCGCGCAAGTTGGCGGAGATTGGGTTCAGCGCGATTCCGCACAACATGTCGATGGAAGCGCACGTGAGGCGATTCGAGTTGCCGGCGCGACCCAACTTGCCCGGTCTGCGAGAGATGGAACGCGGCGATGTTCCCTCCGTGGGCAAACTCATGCGTCGCTACATGCGGAGGTTCGACATGGCTCCAAGGTTTACCGATCACGAGGTGGAACACATCCTCCTCTCCGGGCGAGGGGAGGACACGCCCACCGGTCGAAAAGGCCAGGTGACTTGGACGTACGTCGTCGAGACTGAGGGCCGAATCACCGATATGTTCGCATTCTACTCGTTGCCGTCCAGTATCCTGGATAACGACAAGCATAAGAGTTTGAATGCTGCCTACCTGTTCTACTACGCTACGGACGTTGTTTTCTCGGACTCACCCGAACCTCAGGAGAGTGGAGCATCGACGTCGTCCCCCTCATCGGAGCGGGCGTTGGCGCTAGCATCGGGTAAAGAGCCGTGGCAAGTCAACCACCTGACCAACCTCCTCCCCTCCGAATTGGCCGACGAATCCCGCGTCCCCTCATGGGACACCGAATCCCCCACCATCAAATCGCTCCTGAAACAGCGCCTCAACTTGCTCATCAACACCCTCCTCATCATTGCCCGCGACGAAGGCTTCGACGTGGTAAACTGTGTGACGGTGATGGACAACCCGTTGTTCCTGCAAGAACAGAAATTTGGCCCTGGCGATGGGTTTCTGCGGTTCTACCTGTTCAATTGGCGATGCAAGCCGGTAGCGGGTGGCATGGGCGGTCGGCCGGGCGAGGGGGAATTGGATCCCGTGCAGAGCTATGTCAAGGGGTTGGCGAAGAAGGCGAGTGGGGAGGAGGAGAGGGCGATGGTCGAGCAGCTGGTCAGGAAGGTGGGGAGGAATCCGGCCGATGTTGGATCGGGTAATGGCATTGTCATGGTGTGACCGAAGGCACACGAGGTCAGCGGACGGAATGCAATCTTCACCCTCACACAGGTTTGGCTGTGATACGTGCAAATCATGGATTGCGTCGCTAACTATGAAACACCAGTGGGACTCAGCCACAGCAGATAGACGGTCAGGTTGGAACACGCCTGGGCCACCTGGCCGAGCAAGCGTCGCACCTCGCGCGGGAACTCGTGCCCGACCGAAATCGCCTTGATCAGCGTCGACGTGTTGACGATGGCGCGCACGAACTCGTGCGATTCGTCGAACAGCTTCGTCACTGTGGACTGTGAGATGTTGTCTGGTGAAGGAGCTGCGACCGCGTCCGCCTTCAAGTCGTTGGCAGTCACACCTTCCTGGGCGGAAGCGTTTACGGGCGAGGAGCTGCTGTCGATCGATGAGCCTCGTTGTTCTTCTTCCCGAGCGCGCAGGTAAGTGGAACGCAGCTGCGAAGTGAGATCGTCAGTGACCTGGGCCAGGATTCGCAACTCGCGCAGCTTCTTGACCGCCTCTGCATCCTGCGCGGGCGCAGCGACCGTGGAGTCGGCAGCGTCCTGCTCGCCCTCGACTTCATTCACCTTCGTCGCACCATCGCTGTCCTCCTCTCCCTCCAGTCCTGTTGATGCATTCTTGTCGTCCGCAGGCGAGACCTTAGACGAGCCCTCGACTTTAGCATCCACGCCAGCCGAACGAAGATGCTCGAACATCATCGACCAGACCCGTGCCGACAACTTTGTTATATTATCGACCATCTCGAGCAAATGGTCGTCCACGGTCACCTTGGGATCCGAGACAGCCATGTGCAACCTGCTACCCGCTGCAGTCGGTCCCGAAGCAGCAGCGGCAGCAGGCGCATTCGCGGAAGATGGCGTTGTGGCGTGCAGGCTGCGCTTTGCCGTGCCAGCAGCGGGCGTTGCAGGCGTCGTCGCTTGACTTCTCGGTGTGACGGCGGATGCATCTACAGCTGAGCTGGCATTCGAGCCAGAGCGCTTCTGCCTGGACGACATGGGCGTGCTCGTCGCGCCTGGTGTCGCGTAGATCGTTCGTTGCGCAGATGATGTTGCCGTGTTGCCGCCAGGTGTGCTGGGTGCTGTCGACTGGATGCCGTCTACCACTGCACTGCGATCGGAGCCTTCCGATTGCGCAAAGGTAGCAGCGCTGCTTGCGCTGTTGCCGAGACTGCCTTGGCGGCGATCTCTGGCGCCGCGTGCTGGCGTGTTGTATGCAGAGGTGGCCTGGAGATCTTCCAGGTTGAAGGGCGGCTGCTGACTGCTGTTGCTCGGTGTCATCGCTGCCCCTTGGGCCAGATCCTGAGCACTGAAAGAGCCAGCATGACGGCGTCGGCTCGGACCACGAGCAATGTACGGCCGGCTGCCTGCACGTGAAGGTGTGGTGGCCTCTGCGATGCTCGGCAGCATCGGCGCAGATCCGTTGCTGGTGCTGCTCATGCTCTTCTGCAGAAGTGTGCCCGCACGTGCCGACGGCGGAGTCGCCCTCTCGCTAACAGGAGCCGAGGAAGTTGCTGCAGAAGTAGAGACGGCGTCCGACGAGGCTGGGGAGCTGATCTCGCCATCAGTCTGAGTGAGATACGGCTGGACCGCTTCCACCAGCGGCGCCATCTCGGTCCAGCTGTTGCTCACTTCGGCCATGCTGCCGTAGAGCATCAGCAGCAGTGTTCGAGCGTAGCGGACATCGGAGCTGCTCTGAAGTGCTCGCAATTGGAGCTGCAGTACGCTAACCAGCTTGCGGAAAGTGATGACCGAGTCTTTGCAGGTGACCAGCACGCCACGGATGACGCTGGGATCTGGCGTGCCACGTCGTGACAGCGAATCGAAGCGATCCAACGCATTGATCAGGTTGCCGACCGAACCGTTCGAGATGTCGAGCAGTCGATGGAATTGACTCGAGATCCGCTCGTCGATGACGGGCGTCATGAATTGACCGATGGCGGCATGAATCTGCGAGAGTGCAAACAGGACCCCGCGCGTGCCATCAACAAATTTCAGCACCGGCACCGGCACTGCTTTCGAGATGGTCGAGGACGGCAAGGTAGAGAGACGCCGGAAATAGCTGTTGCGCTCCTGGTCCGCTGTATTGCGCGCGCCGTTGACCGTCGGCGATGCTGAACGAGAAGGCCAGTTCCCTTCACCCCGATCTGATGCCATTCTGCCATGACCGACGTCGAATCGCTGCTGCGTGGGTCCGTAGCCCGTTCGACCAGCCAACGCCGCAGCCGCGGCCTCGGCAGCTGCTTGTGTCGCACCCACTGTTGGCAAGCTCAGTTTGCGGAGTCCGCCTCCTTGTCCCTGACTCGCGCCAGGTTGCGCTGCGCTGAGCATCCCATTCTCATGTGTCTGGCGAGCTGATGCTAACGCGCCATTTCCGAGAATGGGCCGCAGACCACGGCGGATCTGTAGCAGCGGCTTCCGGGCAGGTGGGTTTGCGGGAGCCTCGGACGGCGACAGGGTAGGATCAACGACCTCGACGGGTGATGCGAGGGTCGACGTCGGTAGCTGACTGCGATTTGCATCTGACTGGGTCACGTTCGACGCGCCTGGTTGCAGCGGTCTCCTCTCTGCGTCCTCGTCGACAATGATCTCTCTTCGCTCCTGCAGAATGGCCTCGTGGCTCTTGCGCAAGTCAGGAAGTGACTTCTTGCTTTTGAGGGATCGACGCGCCTCCACCTGATGAGTAGCGGCAATGTCCTGAGCGACGGAATGCGAGTTGTTGCGTGCATGCTGTCGGGAGTCTTTGTCGTCGGAGGCGACATGGCTAGGAAGGCCGTGCGTGGGTCGATCGCTGTGACCTGCGCTTGAAGTGGACGGCGATCGGGAGCTTTGCATGAAGTGCTGAGAAGGTTTGGCGGTAGTGTCAACCTCGCCTCTTGAAACGGAGGGATCCGGCTGAATGGAGTGCGGAGCGGCGTACCCTGTGCTATCCTCGCTTGAAGAGTGCGGAACCAAGGGAGGAAGCAGTCCCGATGCGACTGCGTTGGCATCACTTGGCGCGAGTTCTTCCATAACGATCCGAGCAGTGTCTGGTGCCTCATGTGAGAGTGGGTCTGCTCGAGGTGTGTCAGGTCGGAGCGTGCGATCCGAAACGCTTTCGGGCACTTGAACTTGCAATGACATGAGTCCATCGGATGGAGAGGCAGGGAGCTCAGGCCGGACGGTGCCCGAAGTGCTGGCAGTATCGCTGCCTTCATTAGAATGCTGCCCGGGTATTGGCTCCTGAAGTGCCGACAACTGCAGCCCTGATCCCGAAGGACCAAGACTTTGCGGATGGTTGGCGGGATTGTTGATCCACGAGCGTAGCTTGGCGATCCAGACGATCATCTGTCGGTCTTCAAAGCGCTTTGCCTTTTCACGCTCGGCTGCTGACGAGCTGTTGGAGGAAGGTGGCGGCTTGGGTGGCGCGACATTGGGCATCTTGGAAATGTGAGGTGGTGGCCACTCGAGCGGGTTGTTGTCGAGCTTGAGGATGCGGAGATGCTTCATCTTGCCTACCCATCCTGGCAGCTCGGTGAGGCGATTCGCGTTGAGCGAGAGTACACGAAGGGCAAGAAGACGGCCGGGCTCTTGCGGCAGCTTGCGGATCCTGTTGCGGCTCAAGTCGAGGATCTCGAGGTTGGGCATTTTGGCGACGCATTCGGGAAAGTTGGCAAAGTTATTGGCGCGAACGTTGAGATATCTGAGACCGTGCAGATTTGCAAAGTTGTCGGGCAGTCGGGTGAGGTAGTTGTAGCCAAGAGCCAGACGAACGACTTGGTCTTTGATCAGGTCGGTCAGAGCATCTGGAACGCGCGTGATGCGCTTATGACAGAGATCCAGCGTATCCAGAGACTCGGACCTGTCGGTTGCATCCCTGCGATCCGCCTCGTCTCTCTCGTCCGTGCTTCTGCGTGAGCGTTGCTGGTCGACGAAAGCCAAAAGCTCCGCCTCGGAGATACCGCGTTGATGGGAGCTGGTGGCTGCATTTGGATCCCGCCTTGCTGATGTCGGCGTTACTACAGCCGGTTCCATGCTTGTAGGCGGAAGGTGTTGCATGGATTGGGAGGTGTACATCGACGAAGTGGAAGGCACGGTTGCCGCGTCAAATGCGCGTGACTTTGCATCAGCGAAGGAAGCAGATTGGGCGCTAGGAAGGCCGCCGTAGGTGTAAGAAGGATCGGTTGGCTGAGCAGAGTCGAATGTGTTCCAGTAGGGGGCGCCATTGTTGTCGTGGTACGAAGGCTGGTCTGCAGAGGCGTAAGGGAGATACGACAAAGATGCGCCGGATTTGCCTGCACCGACTCCTGCCATGCCTGCGGATGCACTCATGGCCAGTCCTCCAGAGGAAGAGGAGGAGGAGCCCATTGGTGCCCTGCCGTCTCGTTGTCCAGCATGCATTGTTGGCGAGTCGTGACTAGGATAAGACGTCGACGCCTGGTCCCTTTGCGCAAGGCGATGCGCAGAATCCTAGCGTGAGACCATTCTGAGTCGAGAGTGAGACAAGATCAGACAATGGGTACCGTATTCGAGCAGACAGCTAGATTGACAAGCAGCGCAGCCTTGCTGTTGATGACCGGATTGATGTGTCTCTGCCTTGCTGAGACTTAGGTGGATGAGAGCGAGTCGATACAATTCGATGCAGTGCTTTCGGGCGAAGAGTTAGCAGGTGTTTAAGGGTCCGTGTTGCGTCGGCGAAGCTTCTAAGGGTGAGCGATGTTGACCTTCGAGGGTATGAGAAAGGAGCGGTGTGTGACCGTGGTGGTGGGCGACGATCGAGAAGAGAGATGAGACTGGATCGATGTTTTGGGCGGCTATTCAACCTAAAAAGCAAGAAACACAGAAACACAAGCTGTGCTCGCCTGCAGCCCTGCGCAGTTCACACGGATTTTAATTCTTAATTTTTATGCGACTTGGCCACGAGCCAACGAGACCCTGAACAAGAAGGCTGTGGAGACAAAGCGTCGTTGGGTGTGACTTTCGATTCGACCATCATCCTAACCTATCTCGAGCTTCGGCGGCGAACCCGATGCAGCCGCTTCTGTCTGTGCGGTGGCTTGCATCGATCAATCAAGCCTACAGTCAAATATGACTCAGCTTCCTTCTACGCCGTCACACGGCCTTTCGGCTAAGCCCTCACAAGAGGCAGACGGGCTGGAAAGGGGAGAAGGCTCTTGTCACCGCTCTCGGCCAAGCAGAACTGCTTTTGATGGCAGAACAGTAAGTGCACCCACGTCGAGACTGATGAGACCAGACTATCAGTCTCGATCTGTGGCAGCGATAGCGCCTCCGTGACCAACACGCAGGTCAGCACTGCAGACAAAGCTCCAACACACCTATATCCTTCACGGCGTAGCTCGGTCGGCGATTCCCCAAATGATCCAAAAGCCAGATTGTTGATCAAATCCTTCTCGTAACGACCTCATGTTATCTCATCAGCAAGGACCGCATGCAACTCTCCCGCCCTCCTCGTCTTCGTACCGCCCAAGGCATGGTGACATGGGCTCGTATCAGCCTCGATATCAAGACCGGGACGATCCTAGATATGCGCAGAGGGATGAGGACCAGGGACATCATCACAATCTCTCCAGACGCAGATCAAAATCTCCGGATATGTCCCGCCACCTGACGTCGAAAGCGGTCCCCGTGAAACCGTGGAAGGACTTGCGTGCGCCGGTCAGAGATCAGGACTGCACAGCCAGCAACACGTCAGCCGTCAAGGCGTCTTCGACCATGGCTTCCACGTCCAGCACGGCAGCAACCAACAAGCGATTCGCAAACGACATTTCACGGTGGAATCGGAAGCAATCCGAGCTGCAGCAAGCCCGAGTCGACTCTTCCACGCCATCACTCAGCGCAGATCCGATCCGATCGGCTGGACCGAGCAAGCCCGCTCAGCCGTCCGGTTCTTCCGTTCGTGTGTCGCAGAGCTCCGCCTCGTCGTCGAAGGCATCAGAGACAGGACTCGATGCAGCTGACCGACTTGACGCAGCGAATCCCAGTCAGATGTTGGATGCCCAATTGTTAGGTTACGACTACAAGGACGCAGAGCGCATTGCATGTCTCTTGTGCCAACGCAAGTTCAAGAGCCTCGATACGCTTCACCGACACGAGAACGAGTCTCAGCTGCACAGGGACAACCTCGCCAACATGAACACTTGTCGACAAGGAGTCTCCAGACATCTCGAGTCGAAAGCCGACAGCCATTCGCCGATCGGTCCTACTCGGGTCAGCGACGCTGCATCTCAGAAAGCCGAACCGCAGACCTCGTTTGCTTATCGAGATCGCGCTTCAGAACGTCGGGCTGTCTTCGGGTCAGACACGGCCTCAAAGCAGAGCGACTCGAGCAGCAATCGAGCAAAGGTGTTTGAGAGTCCCAACAAGGCCACATCCTCGGCGTCGAGCGTGGTCGAGGTCACACCACTGTCTGCTCCGGAGAAGCCGATTGGCAATGACAACGTCGGCAGCAAGCTTCTAGCAATGATGGGCTGGTCTCAGGGCCAAGGCCTAGGTGCCAAACGAGAAGGTCGAACCGGCATCGTCGAGACCAAGATCTACAAGCCAGGAGCAGGATTGGGCAGCAGCGCTCCGACCGACACCGCCGCCCACGAGGAGCATGTTGCACAATCAAGTCATCGACCCGGCTCTGGCGTCGCTTTCGCTGGCTACCTTGACCGCGCTAAGGATCGTGAGTACCTCTCACCTTTTCTGTGAGCAACAGACGGAATGTATGCTGACATGCCTTCTTGTTTGTGATGGTGATTCACCCTTGTCAGGCGCACGACAGCGGCTCGCGGAGCATTCTCAACCTCCACCTTAATAGATACTACACGGGCAAGCACCTCTGATACACATCGACATCACCTTTGTCAATTCTGGGTATACAGGCTCCGAAACAACTTCACTACGAGCCGAGTTCATCCTTGACGTTTCCGGTCTCCTGCTTGAGCGCCCCTATCTCCTGCTGCTCAGCCCGCTCTTTGTCCAATTCCTGCTGAACCAGTCGTTCGACATCCTCGCTCCAATCCTCTTCCGGTGGTCCATCCTCTTCCAACCGTGCTTCCTTGACCTTCCAGTCCTCCATGTCTGCTTCGTGTCCACGGCGCAGCGCGAGGATCTTGTCGTACCAGAGCCGGCCCTTCTTGCCCCACTCGCCCGAAGTCGACGGTCGGAATTCGGCGTACAGCTCATACCCGCGTGAGTTGAGGTAGTCCTCGCCATACTCTGGCGCTTCTTGCGCTTCTGCCTCGACCTCCTCTTCCTTGCTATCCACTTCCTGCATCGATATCGGCTCCATGAAGCTGTCGGCGAGCAACGTGAGCGCGCCCATGACGCTCGACAGCGTCTGCGCCATCGACCTTCGCATATAATTGAACGCCTTGTCCGGCTGCACCACCTCGCCCGCACTAATTCCGCGATACGACCCATCCTGCATCTGCATCACGGGAATCTTGACGCCCATCAGCTCGAAGTGCGGCTGGTTCGGTCCGACAATGTGCACAGCGCGCTCCTTTTCCGCTGCGGGGATGATGCCGAGGCTGATGCCACGCATGGTGCTGGTGTAGTTGACGTAGCAATGAGCCAGACTGAGCGCTTCAGCGCGGCTGAAATTGAGACGCTCGAGTAAGATGGTGGCCCAGGCAGTCATGACCGGGGCACGGTTGACGACGGCGTATCTGCCCTGGAGGAGTGACTCCTCAAGGATCTCATTGAAACTGTACTGGATCTCGAGCTTGGGCCGCCGCGACGATCCGGGGCGCTCGTCTGACGGAGCGGTCACGTTGCCGTACTCGCGACTGAGCGTTTCGTCGTCGTCGCGACGACGCTTGCGGTACGCACCAAAGTCAGGCGCGAGCCCGACAGCTGGTGCGCCCCCTGCAGACCCTGGAGCGCCGGAAGACGTAGCAGATGGAATGAAGCCTGCCGCCTTCTTGCCTTTGAAGGCCAGCACCGTCCGTTTACGATGCTCTTCGGATTCTATGCCGATATCTTGCAGCATGATGAGCGAGATGTGTGCCAGCGCGGACGGCGTATTTGCCCGGGCGTTGATGAGCTTGCCTGCCACCGCCATCGCATCTCGCATCGGCAGCCCTCCTTTCGAGGACAGCGTCTTGAGCAAGTCTGGCAATGGCATCGCCACTTCGCTGCTCGAAGGAATAGCTTTTGCACTCGACTTGGGACTGCTGATGAGTGTGGCCGGCTTGGTCGGAGACGAGGTGGTGCTAGATCGAGCATGTGCTGCGGGAGAAGAGGAGGCTTGTGCGCGTGCTTTCGAGAGCAATGCTGCTGCACGCGATGCGTGGCTCGCCTTGGACGGTGAGCCACCTCCAGCGCTTCCTGACGTCCGCTTGGGCGGCATGCTGCCTGCACGATGTCGCTCTCGTGGATGTGTACGAGGAAGGATGGAGCAAATGCAAGTCAAGCGGCCATGTATGGAGAGCTTCAAGTGTGGAGGTTTGGGTGTGCGGACGCAATGGCCGAAAGCCGAAACTGCGAGAGCTGGACGGGGTTTGGCGGAAGAACGCGCTTGGCAGCCTCGAAACAACGCGCACGGTCAGACCAACTCAAGCTGGCTTTCCTTCCTTCCATTCTTCCCCCTTGTCTCTCCCGCATACTGTTGTCCTTTCGTCTTCCCCTCAACGCAGCCATTGTTGGACTTTCGACAATGGTCCTCGATCGCCAGTCGGCCGCCGTGGCCAATTCGGTGCACTCGCCGCGCAAAAAGCTTCGCATCGGCTTCGTCCATCCGGACCTGGGCATTGGTGGAGCTGAGAAGCTCATCGTCGACGCCGCCGTTTCGCTCCAACAGCTCGGACACGAGATTGTCATCTTCACCTCGTATCACGACCCAGCTCACTGCTTCGAAGCAACCCGCGACGGTACGCTCAAGGTGCAAGTGATGCGCACCTGCATCCCCCGCTCCGTCTTCGGCTGGTTCCACCTTCCCTGCGCCATCCTGCAGCAGATGAGCCTCGTCTTCCAGCTCATCCTCGCCATTCTGCTGTTCAACTTCCCTGGCACCCTGCCTCGCTTCGTTGCGAGACGTCTCACGTCTTCCCCGCCGATCCCCGGCTTCGACCTGTTCTTCTTCGACCAGCTGACGGCGGGCATTCCGTGGCTCAAGATCCTACTAGCGACGAGGGTGGTCTACTACTGCCACTTTCCGGACAAGGAGATCAGCAATTCGATTGCCATGCAGAAGGCTCACGCGCGTGGCGAGTCCGGTCCCTCGATCTTCCGCAAGTTCTACCGGCTACCGTTCGACCTGTTCGAAGAGGGCACCACCGACTACGCGGACAAGATTCTGGTCAACTCGGAGTTCACAGCGGCGCAGTTTGTCAAGTCGTTCTTCCGGCTCAGGAGGCAGCCGAGGGTGTGCTACCCTGGTGTGGACTACCAGAACTTTGAGAGCGACAAGGTGGAGCAGGCAGTGAAGAGGCTGGAGAAGGAGGCGCAGGAGGTGGGCGATCCGATTCGCAAATCCATCACCCAATTCTGCCAGGACAGCAGCAAGACGACGCTCCTCTCGATCAACCGTTTCGAGGCCAAGAAGAACGTGGCTCTCGCTCTGGAAGCTTTTGCGATCGCGCAGAAGGAGCTCGCTGCTACGTCGACCGCAGGCGATGACGTCGGCCCACTTCGACTCATCCTCGTGGGCGGATACGACAAGCGCGTGCATGACAACGTCGCAACGCTCAAAGAGCTGCAGGAGCAAGCGAAGCAGCTTGGGCTGTCATCGGTCACGCTCAGCTACTACCGCAAGACGTTCGAGGAGACGCCCACGACGGCGCCTCCTGCGGCCGAGCTCTCCAAGGCGTCGGTGATCTTCCTGCCGTCTCTGCCCATGCCGCTCATCCACACGCTGCTGCTGAACACATCAACCAAGGCGCTGCTGTACACGCCTACGGACGAGCATTTCGGTATCGTACCACTGGAGGCTATGGCGTGCGGACTGCCCGTCCTTGCAACTAACACCGGTGGACCTGTGGAGACGGTCGTCGACCTTGCCCTGTCCGCCGATGGCACCCCTACGAACCTCACCACCGGCACGGGTCTGCTTCGTCACCCATCTGCGTCCATCTGGGCAGTCTCGCTCGTCGCCCTCCTCCGTCTCTCGCCGTCGCACCGCAGTCAAATCTCCAGCTCGGCCAAACAGCGCATCAAAGAAAAGTTCTCCACCGAAGTCCTAGCTCTCGCCCTCGAGCGCGCCTGCTACGACGCCTACGAGCTCGGACGGGTCAAAGGCGACGAGGGTCTGTACCAGTGGAGCTCGACCATCGCCATATTTGTCGTCATGAGCGTGCTCTTCTGGGTCAACGTGTATTTTGCCCACGACAAGTGGTTGGCTCAGCAAGCGGCCAAGTTGGCCGTGGAGAAGGACAAGTGGTTGGCAGAGTTGAGGGCACACGGGTTGATCGCGGCCGCGCCGGTGGTGGGTGGGTTGAACCCCAACGCGGACCCGGTTGCCCAGGCCCCGCCGCCGACGCCGTTGTGAAGGAAGGAGCGAGATGAGAGATGAAGCGCCGGGGGGTGCGAGCCAATGTTAGATGTGTCACACAAAGCAGCGAGGGGCGTGATCACTCGTCAGGGTCTGAGTGAATGAGCCTGAGGAACGTCAAACAGCAGCACCAGCCGCTGTCAAGCACGACGGAAAGCAGAAGCTTCTTTCTTCCACCGTATGGCAACAACGCGCGCTTTTGCGGGGCCTGCAAGCCAGGGCAACGCCTCACCCAACCGAGAGGCTGCGTGAAAATCCCCTTCTGTCACCACAGTCGGCTGTGTTTGAAATTGGGCGTTGCGATTTGCTGTGCATCCGCACTGTGCTGCAAATCACTGCGAAATTGCGGGGAATATTTTCAGTCAACCCAGAACCGTTTGCGGCAGCACGAGTTGCATTGAGGGGCAAAGCGGCCTGAGTTCTAAGTTTGGAGCAGTAGACCTTGACTTTGACAAAGGCTCTTGACGCCATCCGCCGCTCCACCATCATCCTTCGTATACCCTTCGCACTCCTCCCACCCTCTTAACGGATACACACAGCGATCATTCGATAGCCGCGTACTATACCCACTCGACAACCCCACATCATCATCCCACATCGCAGGTTATCGAGAAAATGAAGTCGACCTTCGTGTTCGCAGCGTGCGTTGCTTTGGGTGCGTCATTCGCCCAGGCGCAAGGGACGGCTGGTGTGCCCGCAACGATCAATGGTAAGCCTCCCGCCACCCTTTCTCCCATCAACCTTACCTCTCACTAACCGATTCATCCCTCCTTGCGTTCCGACAGTGGGTAACGGTCAAGCAACCGCAACCTTCCCCGCGGGTCTCGGCGGTCTCTCCACTGGCTCTGTCGTCTCGTTCACCCCTGGCGCGGCCTCGTCTGCCTCGCAATCGCCCTACTACGTCGCCACCAACGCCGAGCAATCCTCTACACTGGCGTCGTTGAACACGCACTTTTCGCAGGCCATCTCCGCCGCGACCCCCACCACCGGCCCCCCGACCGGCATCAGCACCGGCGTCACCGGCGGCTTTGACGGTGCCAACACTCTCAGTATCCTCGATGGAAGCATCACCACCATCCCCAACGCCGCAACGACGTATACGGGACCGAGGAGCTCGAGCAGCAGTGGAAGCAGCGCACAGGGTCAAAGCTCCGGTGCACTCGGGATGGGTGTCAACGGCGCCGTGATGGGTGCCATGGCAGCGGTCGTGGTTGGTGTTGTTGGCGGCGGCGCTTGGGTGCTCTAGATCGACAGATGCACGTTCGTTACGGACTCTCCCCACCCTTGATTTCTCTATACCTCTGTTCAAGGTGAGAGGTGCTCTCGACCACTCAGAAAGAGACTGCGTCGAGAACGTCTGCCATCCCTGCTTTTCACGCATGTGCCCCACTTTCACTCGTTTATGGATACGTTCGTTAATACCATTGCTCGAAACACTCATCGTGCGTGTTGATCGACGCTCTGCCTGCTTCGGAGCCGGATTGAGGCCCAAGCTTCTCACTTGCTCACTTGGGCGCCACATCATCCGCACTTCTACACATACACAAGGCGGTTGAAAGGACCCAATTGCATGACCACATTCTACTTCCCCTTGGCCTCAGCCCGCTTCGCATCGCGATTCACCCTCTTAACCCGCGCCCACAGCCCGCTATCACCACCCAGCACAAACCTGACCGTCACCATGGGCCAACTCGTGTGTCTGGGCAGAACATCGTAAAACTCGGGCGCGATCCTCCTGAGTTCGGGCAACCTGGTCCAAGGAACGCTCGGGAAATCATGATGTTCGTTATGATACCCCACGTTGTACGCTAGGACGTTCAACGGGCCGTAGTAGGACCACGTTTCTTGCTGAATCCCCGCGAACATGTAGTGTTCCGCAATAAAGTGTGCTGCGCACGGATGGAGACTTCCCGCAAAGAACGAGGACTCGAGGAGGTACACCAGTGCGGTCCATCCGGCGAACTTGACAAGGAGGAAATTGGACAGGGCGATAAAGGCGATGTTGAGAGCGTGCCAGATCGTCGGTCGTTGCGCACGAACGAACCCCGGTCGAAGCGCATAGAAGAAGATCTGAAACGTCGCAAAGAACGCTTTGCCCAACACGTTTCGCAGCACTACGGACTCGAACTTGGTCGGCAAGTCCGTATCCGTCCCATCCTCGCCCAGGTACTTGTGATGTTCGAGATGATACGGCTTGAACGCCATAGCGTACGGCACGCCGATAGCGGCATTGACGAGGATGGCCCAAGCTCGATTCGCCCGAAGTCCGCGGAAGGCGAGGTTGTGCGTGATCTCGTGGATCGCTAGGAAGGTGTTTTGGTTGGCAGTCCCACCGATGGCGTACGCGAGCAGCAGGAATTGCCACGAGAACGGGTGGAGCGAGGTGTACTTGGACAGGTAGACGGCGAGCGAGAGTTGCAGGACGAGAACAGCGAGGGAGACGTACTTGGTGAGAGGCTCGTAGCCCATGAGCCGTTTGACTTCGGGGTGCGCTTTGAGGATCGCCATGCGCCGCGAACGGTGAGGCTCCTCGGTGTGCATCCACAGGAAGTCCTGGGATTGGGTGTCGACGGGTACGATGGTGGGTAGCCACGCTTTGCCGTCCACCGCAGTGGCGCTTCGCACGGCGTCGGTGAGAGGTGCGCTCCTAGAGACTTGGGACAGAGGCGCGTCGTCCAGCTCGTCCTGGTCTGAAGATGTCGCCTTCTTGGTTTGCCGCGCATCGCCGTCGTCGTCGTCCGAGGTGAACGAGGTGGATGAATCACTCTGATGACTGAAGTTGGGCGAGGAGGAGCGCGAGTTGCGGGACGACGAGGAGGCCGAGGAGAGATCCGAGCGCAGAGCTGGACGAGTGCGATCCGGCTTGTTGCTGGAAGAAGAAGGCGGGGACGTGGTCTCAGCACCGCCGTAGAGAGACCAGTCGACCTGAATGGTCGAGTTCATGGCGCGACCTGCGCGCGAGGTGAGGCTGGACAGCATGGGGATGGCAGGACGGAGAAGCTGACCAGGGCTTCTGTCGCGAATGGAATTGGTGTAGGAAGAGAGGCGTCTGTCGAGTCGGTGGCAAGTTGCTGGTGTTGGCTGTGGGGCTGGCCGTCAATCTATCGAACGAGCGAATCGATATAGGTCGTCTTGCCAGAGGAAGTCCGCGCCCTTAGGAGAATCTATGTGGGTAGAAGCGGTCCAGAGAGTATCTGGAAGAGAGGTTCGATGAAAGAAGGAGCAAGGATCGAATCAGAAGCTGTACCCTGAAGTGCTGTGCTGTTGGGTGGTGAGGGGTGTCCGCTCGAGAAGAAGGTCGCGGTGGCCAAGCTCTAAATTTGCCAGCCAAGTTCAGTTGGCATGCACAGACGGTCCAGCGTGCAGCAGCGACTTTTCAGCGCAGAAACTTTGAAATTCAAAGGCAGCCAAAGCGCAGAGTGGCGACCGCGTGCCTCTCTGACTCCTTGTGCTGAGACAGTCGAGACCCTTGATGCCGCTTCACGTGCTGCTCACTCGTTCGCTCGCAAGAGGACATGATACCGTGTCGTTGCTCGAAGAGCGCTTCCGATTGCAGAACCAAGTCAGCATTGGCATTGGCATATGTAGCGAGCGACCTTGCGCCCATATCTTGAGAAGCCAGAGTCATGGCGACTCGGCAAAGACAGCGTCTCGAGGCGGCGTGGGGAAGAACAGCAGTCAGGTTCGACCGAGCCTCACTCGAAGCGAGACGCAAGGCGCAACGCTGCGATTTTCTCCAAGCTGCTTTCCATGCTGGTCTAACAAGCCATAAAAATACATTGCCGCCTTAGGACTCGGTCTGGTCTTCTCTGGCAAAGAGTGCGTCTGATAGACATGCTGTTCCATGCAATAGATTGTGTGCTGCGTCCCCTACACCTCTTCGGGCAAGTCTGGAAGCCAAAACGCTACCTCGGCTCCCGCGCTCATGAACTCTGTAAGGTCAGAACGAGGATCATACGTGTCAGTCTCGGTGAGCTAGCAGCTTTCCCCTCGGATCGTCGCTCTCGGTACTTACGCGCATGTCTCGGGTTGAAGGCGAGAACCCGACTGACGCCATCGTGACCCGTCTGCTTGTACCGTGGCCTCAAGTTACGAAACTCGTTGCGGGAGGCTTCTTGCAAGTCGATGTACCAGAACACCACCGAGCCGTCGGCCGAGCCAGACATGACCCACTTGCCATCCGGTGTCCAGCACACCTCCTGTCCGCTGATGCCTGCTTCCGCCACCATGCCTATCGATACGCCGCTCGCCTTCTCCAGCCCTTCGTGACCTATCAAGCGAGCCACCACCTGGCCTCCGTCCGAGAATGTGTCGATGACGTAGTGCACGTCACCCGAAGTTCCAAGCAGCAGATACTGACTGTCGCTGTTGAAGGTGAGCGAAGTGATGATGGGTACTCTAGGCGGCATCGATACCCTTGATAGCGCAACCGAGTCGTCGAGGTGCACCACGAGGAACGGCATCTGGTCGAACTTGCGGATATCGTACAGCAGCACTGCCGATCGCTCGTTGATGGCGACCGCAAAGACCTTGCCCGTCGGATCATAGGCGACCACGGGATGTCCATGTATGTTCATGCTGCCTGTCGGCTTGTTGGTCCGCAAATCCCACAGCTTGACGCTATCGTCGACAGCGCCTGATAGGAACGTGTCGTTCTGCGGACTCATCTGCAGCGTCACCACCTTGCTCTTGTGACCGTCGAAGTAGCGCTTGTACCCTACGTCCTTGACGAGGCTCATGTAGCGGATCTGATCATTCTCCATGGTCGAGGCATGGATGATGTGATCCGAGTTGTGCGTGAAGCGTGCCAGATGCACTCCGTACTTCTTCGAGTAGAACTTGTTACTATGGGTACCCTGTTTGGCATCGTAGATGTGGATGTTGTCGTCGTCGCCCGAGGTCACACAGAAGCGCCCAGAGTCGTCGTAGCAAGCCGAGGTAATGGATCTGCCTTTGCTGACGTATTGGGTGAACACCTTGGCAGGCTTGAAAGCCGAAATCAGCGTCGGGGTGATGGGGACCTTGTTGGCGTCCGCTGACGAGGAGGAGGAAGCTCCGGCTACAGCGGACGCCGAGGTTGACGCATGTCCGTAGGAGGATGACCCTGAAGCCACTGACGTTGCCATGATGGCGTCGTATCCTACAATCAAATGTGTGTCGGATGTTTGAGGTGATGCAATGAAACGGTCAAGAAGCTGTTCAGGGTTGTCGGCCTTGCAAGTGAGCCGAGCGAGCCGCACAATGGGCCGCGATTTGTTGGAGCTTGTTAAGTTGTGAATTGACCTGTGTGGGATGGCTGGAGCGCGCGCATTCGGTGACAAAAAGCCCGAGAGCGGAGCTGCAAGCCATTTCCTCTCATATTAAAAATTGAGCTTGGTTGGGCAGCAGTGGCGAGCAGCAGTACTCTAAGCCAGTGAACAGCACAGTCCGAACCATGGTCAAGGACGATGATCAGAGAGCTGGCAGCAGTGTCGGAAGGAGCCAGTGCTGAGGCTCGAAAGGGACCAAAAGGCAGCGTGAAAAGGTGCGTTCAGCCTGCGCCTGACGGCTGGCTGGCTGGCTGGCTGGCTGAAGTGGCTGAGTCCCGAGTCTCAGAGGGCGCGCTTCCGCGTCGTGACCAAAGGAGAGAGAGAGACTGACTGAATGCCATTTTGCATTTTGCGCATGACTCTTGTCCAGAGAGGCTTCTGGACCCTGTTTGTTCCCCTCAGTTTTACCCCGGCCTGCCTCCAGCCGAACTAGGCTGTCCTCTCTGTCTCTCTCTGCCTTCTTCTTTCTCCCTCTCTCAACCGCCATCGCATTCATCACACCCCTCGATCACTTTCCGCTCCCACCTTGTCCAAATCCATCACATCCCAGGTCAAGGAAGGAACTCGACAGTCGAATCACTGCGCTTTCTTCGGAATTCGCGTTCTTCGACACCCAACGACGGCCACGCCCCTTCTTGGATGCCATCAGCTGCTTGGCAGCATCGTCTACAAGCCGACCTCAAGAGACGCAAGCTTCGCCTCGATACCTGAACGCGCAGTGTCCCCGCTCAATTACATCCATCATGGTCTCGCCAAAGCCTGAATCCTACCACGGAGCGCTCTACCACTTGGCAGCCGCAGCAGAGTCCTCTCCCTCGCCTCAGCACGCACACTACCAGGATCCGCAACACTATCAAGCATATCACCATCAGCATCACGAGCCGCCCCCTCCGCACCATCACGCCCAGAACCGCCACTACCCTGCCATACCTCCCATGCATCGCGCGGCGCATTCCCAGGAACAGTATCGATACTCGGACAATGGCTACTCCCCGCTGTCCGCAGCGGGCTCCTCCACTAGTTCGGCGCCCCACCATGCCACCGCCTCTGCGCCAAGACAACAGCCCATGTCGGGACCATCCACCCATGCTGAGCACCCTTCCTCCGTGAGACCTCCTCCCAAGCACCTCGATGCTCCTCTGAAGAATGGATCTGCCGCGTCTGCTGCTGCGGCGGCTGCTGCTGAAGCCGCTGCTGCGGCCGCTGCCGCCGAAAAGAAGATCTCTTGCATGGAGTGCCGTCTCTCCAAGGTGAAATGTTCCGGTGGAGACCTCTGCACCCGATGCAAGCGTCTCGGCAAAGAATGCTACTACAAGAGCCACAAGCGCGGCCGCAAGTCGGACAGCTCCAAGATTCAGAAGCTCGAACGCACAGTCGATTCTCTAAGCCGCGCGCTCGAGCAATTCTCCCGCAACAAGGGAGCAGGCAGCCCTACGAGCGGACACACCCTCTCCAAGTCGGTTTCCGTCGACTCGAAGCGCAACGCTCGGTTGCACGCTCCAGAGGAGAACGACAACTCCTCTCCAGATTCTTTCTGGAAGAGTGTAGAGGCGTCTCGTGCACCGGCCCCACCATCCAACTCGGCCATGTCGCCGCCGTCCCAGTCGCCTCGCGCTAATGGTTCAGCTACGTACCGCGATCAGAACAACGCCGTCCGCAGTCGACCGTCTGATCTGCATCGACAGCGATCCGCCTCATCTTCATGGCAGACGCCCAAAAGCATCGCATCAGCTACGCCCACCTCGGATGACCCAGACGAGCCCGAAAACCTTGGTTTGCCCACCCTCTCCAATCCTCTCAAGCTGCTCGCCCACGCAAGTGACTCGGCTCGCGACGGCGAACCCGGCGCCGAAGTCTCTGATCCTTCCTCAGCCTCTGATCCACGAGCTTCCGAGGACAACGCAAGATCGACCTCAGGCGGTCCGGCCAACCATCACTCCGGCAGCGCCTTCAACGCCGATGGCACAGTCAGCTCTCCGGGCGGTCAAGACCCTTCCTCTTCCGGTCAAAAGGGCGACACCAAGGATCACAATGGGAAAGCCACTCTGTTCGGCGTATATCAGGGCCTCAACAAGACCAACACCGTCACACGCTTTGGTCCGGGCCGTGGCAAAGCTTTCTTCGACGTGGGTCTCTTCTCCACCAAGCCAGACAATCTTCCGCAATTCGACCCTGTCGACCGTGGCTACCTCTCCCTTGCTGAAGCGGAGAGCCTCTACTCTGTCTACATTCAGTACATCAACCCGACCATCACGCTGCTCGACCCGCACCTGCACACGTTCGACTACGTGCGCTCGTGCTCGTCGCTCCTGCTTAGCTGCACCTGCTGGATCGCAGCTAAGTATAAGGTGGAAGGCAGCCAGATTGCAGACGACCTCGAGATGCACATCCGCTCCAACCTGCTGCCCACCATCCTCATGGAAGGCTTCCGGAATGCGGAGATCCCTCAGGCGCTCATCATCCTCGCCGCTTACCATCCGCAGATGAACACGCTCTCCGAGGACAAGGCCTGGACCTACCTTGGCTTTGCTATCCGGATCGCATCCGAGCTCGACATGAACAGCCGCATCGCTGTCCGCCCGCCTAATCGTCAGGACGAAGCTGGCCTCGCGCGACGACTGCGCAACCGAGAGCGAACCTGGCTCAACTTGTGGCTCTACGAGACCAGCATGAGTCAGCAGATGGGCAGGCGCCCGACATTGGCAAACGACCCGGTGGTCCTGGGCTGCGCACACTGGCATCTGGACCCCTTTGCCCTCGAACAGGACAAAGCGGTGGTGGCAGTGGTGCAGCTGCGCTTGCTTATGAAACGCAACACGGAGCTGTTTGAGAACTTTGTCGATATCTCGACTTCGCCTCTGTCCGCGGAACGCACTGCGAAACACGTCGAGCTCTTCAGACGCATCTGCGCGTCGGATCTCGACGCGTGGCTTGCCACCTGGACTGCACCTTCGAACCAACAGCCCAAGCAACCGACGGAATCTCTGCTACCGGACACAGAGACGGGCGGCTACCAAAGCAGCGCGAATCGCGAGGCGGACGGCAACGGAGAACTGCCGCCCACACATCCACGCACGAATCGCCTCAAGCTGTATTACTGGTACGCACGCCTTGCTCTCGATGCTATCGCGCTCAAATGCAGCCATCTCGGCCTCGACGTCCTGCGTCCGGTCTATAGGGACGCCTACGCGTGCTGCATGGCTTACCTCGGTCTCTTTGTCGCCACCATGGTGCCCAACGGGCTTTTCTGGGGCCACAACTCGGCGGTCGTCACGCCAGCGTACTGCGCCATCTTTGCGCTCAAGATTGTTGGTCTCATCTCGACGACTGCTGGAGCCGCAGGCGCGTCAGCGTTGACTCAGCGTGCAGAGAAGGTCAAGGAGGAGGATTTAGGAATCGACATTGATGCAGAGTACACGTTCGAGATGGTCGAGAAGCTGGCCAAGGCGTGCGAGGAAGCGGGCAATGCGACGCCGCACAGAAGAGCCGCTGCTGGAAGTTACGCCTTCTTCCTGTTCACCGTGTTGGCCAAGGCCAAGAGTGCATGGAACGCAAAACTTGGGATCAAAGACGGCAACGGCGAGGAGAGTAGGGCCAAGGGCAGAAAGAGGGACCGCGAAGGCAACGACGGGACTGGACGCCAGAGCAAGTCGGCAAGGAACGGCAAGTCAGCCAGCAGAGACCGTCAGCAGAAGGAGCGTGTCGATCAGAACGGCGACACGACCCTGTCCGATGCTGCTCCCGGTAGCGCGAATGCCAATGGCGACCAGGCAGATCAGGGTATTGCTGGTGCCGACGCTTCGGTGGATGGAGACCACCTTACCGACCAGCAGGGTGGAGTCGGTGGTACCGATTCGGACCACCACTTCCTGCGCCAGCTCATGCAGTTCCAAGCGGGACCTTCTGGTGTTCAAACAGCGATCGTCCACGACGCCTCGAACCAAGAGCCTCATCACCTCTACGGCTTCCCGCAACAGCACCACTACGCCAACTTTGCCTCGAACCCAATCTCGGCTTCGCACATGGCCCCCATGCCGTTCGATGCCAACATGTCTACCATGGCCGCCTCCAACGCTGCTTCTGCCGCGTTCGGCGCTGCGACTGGCACCGCCGGCGTGGGCCCCGACGGTGCGACTGGCGAAGACGGCACCGGCGCCGCGGCGCAAGGAGTCGTGGACATCGACTGGGATTTCGGAATGCTCGACGGCTTCCTCGGGGAATCGCTGTTCAGCGATATGAGCTTCATCTCGGCCAGCGCCACGCCTGCCAACATGAACGGCGTCAACGGTGCATAGATTCCCGCGCGATTTGATGTTGGCGAAGAAGGAGTTGCATTGCTGTGGAACTGCTGAATTCGCACCTGTTCCCCTGACCACATCGACTGTGTGTGAATGCTACCATACGACCCTGAACACCGCCATGATGACATTCGCCACCAGCCCCATCACAATGGAAACCTGCATAGCGCTGCTCCATACACCCTGCCCCTGCTCGACCCTCTCTTGCTCCCACTGCTGCTCGTCATCCCCTTCGCCCTCCTCACCTGCGTCCAACCCGCCTAGCGAACTCGGATTGGCCTTGTCCCGAAACGCGAAAAGCGGCGCTAGCGGTGGGGCGAAGAACCCCACCATCAGCCCCTGCAGCAGGGTCGTGTACACACCTGACCCCTCCGCTGGTTCCGACGAAGGAGCGTGGAAGCCGTCCATCCACGACTCTTCCAGCTCGAGCAGGTGGGCGTCGTGCTCGTCGGCACGCAGCGCGTCGTACTCGGGCAACGTCTGGGTGGATCGAAATTGCGATCGGATCGAGGCGATTTCCGACGGGGAGAGCCCGGCTTCCAGGAGACGGTTGAAGCCTCGATTGCGCGCACTTTCGGTCGGGTCGTCGGACGGGCTGGAGGTGTCGATCAGCGGTGTGGTCGTGGGGGCACCGACGGAGCACTGGATGTACACCACCGGCGCGGTGCGTAGGATGACCGTGACGAGAGTCGAGTAGTACACCGGCTCCCTCGCTTTTCCTTTCCCCGCACCGCTCTTCGTTGCTTCACCGTCGCCGGTGGGGTGCGAGAGAGTGGTGAGATACTCTACGAACTCCCGTATCGTCATTGTCCTCCTCTCCACCCCCTCCACCTCCTCATCCTCGAGGTCCTGCCCCTCGAGCGCAACAGATTGGGTCCTGCGCCGCTCGACCTCGTCCAGCCAGCCAACCACCCGCACTCCATCCTTTAGGACTCTTCCGGAATGAATCAGCCTCACCCGTCGGCCGCGCACACTTTCCATCCACTCGCCTAGGCGAGCCGTGAGACTGCGCACCGTCTCGTCGCCCACCAGGCCGGCGGCGGTGAGTGAGTCGCACACCTCCTCTGCGAGCTGCACGTCGTCCGATGGTGAGGTCTCCGCATCGTAGTCGAATAGAGTCGAGTTGGGGCTCGGGCGGAGGGAGACGAGCGAGTGGAGGTGCAGCTGAACGTCGGGGATGTCGGTCTCGGTGAAACGGATCGTAGTGGGGCGGATGCGAACGTGCGCCTGCAGCGAGGGCGAGGATGGGCCTTCGCCGCGGTCCAACTGGACGTCGAAGGCGGATGACATGGTGGTGCTCCTCCCCGCGTTGGTGTGCAAGGTGTGATGGTGAGCGGGAAGGATGAAGGGTGATTTTGGGAAATGCGCGTTGTTGGACGTGGATCGTGCGTTTTATATATTTTGTGCGTCAACGACGCTGGGCGCAGCACTCACACCATACGTGCGTCAATCGTGACGCCGGTGGTGACGCACATGGTGTGCGCCATTCCCGCTCCAGGTGAGGACGTGGCTCCGTGAAAGGCCTGAATTGGAGTTGGTCCGTCCGCGCATTCATGTGTCATCATCGCAAACCGTTCGTGCTCGTTTCAGTCTGAGCTCCGACACACATCACCATCACTTGTCACCATCACGTAGCACCATCGCATATCATCAACCAATCCACATCGCCATCGCGCTCAAAAACCATGGCCGGAAAACCCAAAGTCTGTCGCTGCTGGACGTGCGCGCAGGAGCCCAAAGGGTATCTCGTAGTGCCCTACCGAAGGTGGCGCTACCATAACAAAGAGAGGAGGTCTCCAGAGTACTGGCTCGAAAGGTACGGAAAGCTGCCTGGTCCGTCTTCTAGTGCCCCTGCGTCCGCTCAGCCCGCCTCGTCCTCAAAGCCCGCCTCGTCCTCACAGCCCAACAAAAGTTGACAGGCTTCACGCTTCGCCACCGCGGTTGAGAGGAGATCCTATGACATTGGCGGAACAGAGAACAACCCCAGGCGACGTTGGTTAGGGAAGGCCTCACTCCACCGTGTGACGTGCAGCTGTGCATTCCAGTGGCAAGCAGCTCAAGCAAAAGTGCTGCAATCGGCCAGCGACGACGGCGAGACCCATTGACTGTAATCACCCACAAACATCCTGTCAATCCACTTATCCCCCGTCCTCTTCCATATCGAGAGTGAAACTTACGTAGCAGCAGTGTACTCATACCCCACATCGTAGTTGGTACTGGCGCTGACGAGCGGGGTGAAAACCTGCACGTTGCCACTGACATACCCCGGGTTGGCATTGGGGTAGTTGTAGAAGAGCGTGATGGTGTTGCATCCGGCGCCGGGGGTGGTATAGTAGAGCTGGTTGAGGATGCTTCGGAAGGTCGTGGCTGGGATGGGACTGTTGGAGGAGCGGGAAAAGGTGGTTTGGAAGAGCGGGTTGACCAGGCCAGGACCGTCGATCTACGTTCCGTTCCACACAAGATGTCAGCGTCGAGCAGGATCGAGCGAGAGACGACGGGGACCTATCGTATTGACCACGCCCTGTGCGACGGTAAAGCTCAAAGATCCACCCATCGACTTGTACGCCTGTCATAACCCTGGCCACGCGTGCTGGCCTTTCAAGTTGCCACATGGCTCTTCAGGATCATGCGGACGGATGTATCGTCGTGCTTTCTCGCGTGACCGCGAAACTAGTCACGGAGTGTCTCTATTGGGTGGACCCCTTGACACAGGAGTCTGGGGGTGGACTCGTGAGCGCGTGGATGCATACAGGCGCCTCTACCTTCGTTTCCCCTTCTTCCCAGATCCATTCTGCTCTCCCGCCAACGCATGCCCAGTCTCACGAATATGGTTGAAGAGCTTGCTCCTGCTCTCAAAGCCTGCCTTGCACACGTTGCACCACTCCTTGCTCTTACCCGTCGGCTTGCCCTTTCCGCCCTTCTTCCCTCCCCTCCCATCTTCCTCGTCATCAAAGTCGTCCTGTATCGCCTTCTTCGCGTCCGTCTTCCCTGCGTCCTGCTTTGCTTCTTGCGCAATGAGCAGGGCTGGATCCACCTTCTGTTCCTGCAACAGCAGCAGTCGTTTCTCCAGACTGAACAAATGATGATCGACCGACTGGGGTGCCAGCTCGCGCACGGCCTTTGCCAGATTCAGCAGATACTCCGGATTCGGCCCGGACGGTCCTTCGCACGTATAAATGCGTTGCGCCAGCGCATCCAACGACTGCGGCCCCACAAACGCCGGATTCGACGGCAACCCCACATACACCAGCGCGTTCTTCAACACCACCTTCTCCTCCCCTTCGTCAGAGGTGTAGAGAGGGACATGCATCGGACTGTACCCGTTCTTCTCGCGATAGTCGAGGTATTTTCGTACGACAGCGGCGTGCGACGGGTCGATGGTGAAGGATACGCCCCACACAATGTCGCCTTCGGGTGACTTGGGCTCGTCGACCTTGGCGGATCGACGCAAAGGGTGCCAGTCGGACGCTTTGACGAGCGTCACGACGCGTCCGGGACGATCGCGCGTGCCACGATGATCGACAGAGTGCTGCGCGAAGCGTCGGACGAAGCCTTTGATGTAGCAAGGGGTCGCAGCTATGACGTAGGGTGGAGGCTTGAAGATCAGACTGCCGTAGCCAAAGATGTCGAATGACCCGGGTGGACGTGAGAGTGGCGGAAGAGGTGGCGGGATCGTAGAGGAGAATGCTAAGGCTGGGATGTAAGGGTCTTCCAGACCTGCCCACGGGTCGTCGTTGGCGTCGGCAGAGGTCGCCTTCTTCGGTACATGCGCACCGCGGTTCGTCTTTGTGGTGGCATCGTCTGTCGCAGACGGGGCAGACGGCTTCGGTGGCGCGCTCTCCTCGTCTCCAGCTCCTACTTCGTCGCAGACATCGGTTCCGGCGTCGCTGCCGGACGCGCCTTCGTCGTCAATCACGTGGACAGATGGAGTCGGTCCATCTTCGTCTACGCTCTTCGAGGTCTCGGCACTTTGGACCGTCTCGGTCTTCGCCTTCGGCTTGGCCTGTCTACGGTTCAAGTCCTGCACCACGAATCCATCCTCGTCTAGAGTACGTCCAGCCACCTCTTCCATCTGTCTGCGTTTCTTAGCTTGCTTCTTCTGCTTCTTGCTCTTGCCTCCAGATTCCTCGGCGGCAAAGCTGGGTATCGAAAAGCCGGCCGAGACGTTGCCATTGGTTGCCTTTTGCGTCTTGCCACCATCCAGGTTCATATCCGCCAATGACGCATCGATGGCGATGTCTTCGGCGTCGAGCCCGAGACCGAGCTCGTCCTCTTCGTCCTGCATCTCTCGTTGGAGCTTTTGGACGGCTTTCTTGTGCTTTGCGCTGCGTTCGTGGTTGCGGAAGGCGGCTTCGGACTGGAAGTACTTGTCGCATGCGACGCAGTCCCAGCCAGAAATAGAGGGGTCGTCGAGCGGATCGAGGGCCTCACTCGAGCCTGCCAGCTCAGCGTCGTCGTCTTCGTCGTCACTGCCCTGCTCTGTCTCTTCATCCTCGTCCTCTTCTTCGTCTTCCTCGTCAGAGAATCGATAGTCGGGCTGCTGCCAGCTCTGGGCCTGGTACGACTGTGCACGTGCTTCTCGCTCGAGCCTGATCTTCTCGGCTTCTGCCTTTCTCCTTGCCAGCTCAGCCGTCGATCCCGGTCCCGTCGCATTGAGTTCGCTCTGGAACTTCTTGTACCTTGGATCTCGCTTGCGGACGAAGGCGGCAAGCTGGCGGACAGCGTCATTGAACTCTCGCCTCGCTGCATCTCGTGCACGCTTGTTCTCCTTCTCCATCAGACGCTTCACCCGTCGATCCGGTGCATCGCGAAGATCATACTTGTCGAACCAGCCGAAGCTCTTGCGCGATTGAAAGTTCATAAAGACGCTGTAGAAGTCCTTGGCGGGTGTCTGGTGAACGGCTGCTTCCTGGCCTTTGGCGTTGGAATAAGGCGTGTGACTGTAGCCAAACGACGGGAACGAGTCGGATGATGGTATTGTGCTCTCCTTCTCTTCTCCAGGGTATGGTGCCGCAATGCGCTCTTCTTGCGCAAGACGTTCGAACAGCCGTCGGTAGGTAGCGTAGAAGCCGTTGTCGCCGTCGCTGAGGTCCTTGGCCAAGCTGGGATCGAAGAATCGGAGCAGCGCCTTTGCCGTCAACCCTCGCGAGGAGCTTGTCGGCTGCGGTGCCTCTGCAGCCCCAGAGCGGAACGCTTCGAACACCTCCTCATCGTCCAGATCAGGTCCCTCGCCGTTGAGCAGGCGCTCTCGATTCTGATCGTACCATGCCCGCTCTGTGTCGTCCGAGAGAATCTCGTACGCCTCTTGCAGCTTGTGGAAGATCTTATTCGCCTGTTCTACGTTGTCTGGGTTCTTGTCTGGGTGGTGCTTGAGGGCGAGCTTGCGGTACGCTTTGCGAATTTCGTCGGATGTGGCAGTCTGTTCGACCTTGAGAAGGTCGTAGTAGTCGACGAAGGCAGGTTCTCCAGCCGCGTCGCTGGCGGTGCCTCCGGCCGCACCCGCCTTGTGCGACGACTGGGAGGCACCCATTGTTTGGAATGCAGCCGCAGTGAGGGTGGGGCTGTGATGTCAGGGAGATTGCCTGGGAGGTGTCAGAGTACGGTGCGCAGTCGTGTGCATGAAGCTCAGATGACGTTCCAAAATTCTTGAGCCAGAGTCGGAAGTCGGGGATCAGCTGCGAGCGCCTTCTTCAGACGACACTCTTTCCCATCCTCGATCCTTCTTCCACCCTTCACGACATCCTTCACAGCGACCAGATCCTCACGCCAACGTCACCCTATCGACTCGATACGTACACGTCGACTCATTACATTCGAGCTTCCCGCAGATATTGGCTCGACTGCCGAGAAAGTCTTGCAAGAATGGGTCGAAAGGCCGAGGTGCAGCGCATGCTGCTCACCAAGCTCATGGGACCCGAAGCCATGGGCGCACCCGCCGCCAACTTGCACTTCACCGATCCCAAGGTCTGTCGCAATTTCCTCTGCGGTACCTGTCCACACGACCTATTCGCCAACACCAAGGTCGATCTCGGCCCGTGTCCCAAATCACATACGCCCAAGTACAAGGACGAATACCGCAAAGCCCTCGCATCCGGCGAGCGGTTCCCCGACTTCGAGCGCGAGCACGAGCACAACATCTTCGCCTTCATCTCGGACATCGATCGCAAGATCGCCGCCAACAAGCGTCGACTGGAACAGACGCCCGAGGAGTTGGCCAAGTTTGCCAATATGAACCGGGAGATCACCGAGATCGAGACGGCGCTCGCGGCGGTCATGGCCGAAGTGGAAGCCCTCGGTGAACAGGGGCAGATCGAAGAGTCGCTAGCCGAGCTCGCCAAAGCCGACGCATTGAAGGAAGAGAAGGAGCAGAAGGAGAAGGAGCTGCACAACGCACAGGAGAACTCGGGCGCCAGCGGTCACCAGAAGTTGCGGGTGTGCGATGTCTGCGGTGCCTACCTGAGCACGTTGGATTCGGACCGAAGGTTGGCGGACCACTTCGGAGGAAAGATGCACCTGGGGTATTTCAGGTTGAGGGAGATGATCGGCGAGTTTGATGAGAGGAGACGTAACCCGAATGCACCACCGATGGGAATGCCTGCAGGTTTGGCGGGAGCAGCACAGCAGAGCAACGGAAGCGCCAATGGTCGATCTGGACCGTCACAGCCAGCAGCATCGACAGCACTCGCAGGACAGCACAGCGGCTCGGGACACAGCTCGTCCATGTCGCAGAGGGACCACGAACGCGAGCGAGACTTTGAACGGGAGAGGGAACGCAGAGACCGGGAGCGCAAGGAGAGTCGCGAACAGCGTGCGGTCGCCGACACGGAAGATGAAGGAAAGCGTGGTGGCGGCGAGGAGGGCGAAGTCAAGGAAGAAGATGGCGAGATCCTTTCGGACTACAAGCCAAATCCAAGACCACCCATTCAGGTCAAGGACGAAGATCGAAAGCGAAGTCGGTCACCGTCGGGGAGGTAGCTGGCGCACAGCACTCAGGCTTTCCGACTCGGAAACGCGCTCAAGAGCCACTTTGAGGGCTGCTTGCCGCAACCATCTGTACTTGTAGCCTTCACGAGACAATCGATCTCATCATTCACCACACATTACCGCCGTATTGCTTTCAAGATCGCTTCGATAGTCTGAGCTGCTTCTGGCTCAAATCGTTGTTTCTTGACGATGCGAGGACGCCCAACTCCTTTTCGCGGAAATGTGTTCCGGTGGAAGGAAAGCAAGCACACGGCGGCATGAAAAGGCGGATGATAAGATAAAATTAAACTCGATGAAAGCGGCTATGACGACGATCTAGTATCGTCGACAGATCTTTTGCGCTTTGGCTTGCGACTCTACTTGATCTCGACAAGCTTGACGTCGAACATGAGCGTCGAGTTAGCAGGGATACCGGGCAGCTTCTGGTTGCCGTAAGCGAGCTTTGCCGGGCAAGTCAGACGACGCTCAGCGCCAACCTTCATGCCCTTGACGCCCTCGTCCCAGCCCTTGATCACCTCGCCCTTGCCGAGCTTGAAGTAGAACGGCTTACCGCTGGTGCACTGATCAAAGACCTTGCCGTTGGTGAGCTTGCCTACGTAGCGCATGCCCACCTTCTGGCCAGGCTTGCAAGGCGCTCCTGTACCGGCGCTCTTCTCCTCGATGATGAGACCGGAGGGGAGCTTGGTGGTGGTCATCTTAGATGCTGGCTTGTCGGCGGCGGTCTTCTTCTCGACGGTGGCTGCTGGCGACTTGACGTCCTTGGGGGTCTTGGTCTGCTTGTCGGCCTTGGCGTCGGCGACCTTGGTGGGTGTCGAAGTGGCCGAGGCGGTCGGAGCGGCGGCGGCATCCGCCTTGAGCTTCTTGACGGGGGTCTCCTTGGCAGGCTTTTCCGCAACACGCTTCTTTGATTCGGCGACTGGCGCAGCTGCGATCGCCTTCTTGGGCTTCGACTCAACGAGCTCCTCGAAACGGGCAGGGTCCTCCATGTCTTCATCGTCGTCCTCCTCGTCATCGTCCGAATCAAAGTCGTCCGAGTCGAGATCGTACATGCCCTCGTCGTCCGAGTCGTCCGAGTAGAGCTCGCTGTCGGAAGGCTCCTGGTCGAAAAAGTCGGGTGGTGCGACATAGTTGCCTACGAGATCAACAGGCGCGTCACCGGTGATGGAGAAGCCAATAAGCTCCTCCTGGCAGAACTGCAGGTCGACGACGGCGTGGTCCTTGTTGCTACCGTTGAGACTGCAGAGCGTGTAGACCTTCTCCTCGATCTCATCCTCGTCCTCGGGGTTCTTCTCCTCGTCAGCATCCTCGTCCTCGTCGTAGTCCTCCTCGAAGCCAGGGACGTGGGTGTAGTGGATCTTGACGAGCGTCTTTGTGTTTGACTTTGGGGCGTCGGCGTACGAGACGTTGGTGATCTTGAAGTCGCGCGAGACGTCCATCCTGTGGATCTTGCCCGGAACGAGCTTGAGGCCGAAGAAGCCGATTGGTGTAGCAGCCATGTTGTCTAGTTCCGATTGCGAGTATTGGTTGCAAATGGTGGTGTCTTGCAAAGATTGGGTGAGAGCCAAGTGGCACTCTATCAGCTGGCGGCGCTTGATAAAATTTCTTCTGCACGTCGGCGGCTTCTTCCAAAAATCTGGCTGAGATGTTGGAAATTTGCGACAAGACTTCGGATCACGGAACAGCGCGCTCCACATTATTTTTGGCAGCGAGTGCCGTTGCACCCTGCATTCTGCTCCTTGTCTTCCACCATCCTTGCGCACGCTCTCAGAGCTCGCCCAACACGTCGCAGCCATGTCCTACTTCCTACCGCATCTGCCTACGGGATGGCACGTGGACCAAGCCATCCTCTCAGAAGAGGATCGCGTGGTCATTCTCCGCTTTGGTCACGACACCGACCCGGTGTGCATGGAAATGGACGAAACGCTTTACAAGGTCTCGACAGCAGTACAGAACTTTGCCGTCATCTACCTGGTCGACATCACGCAGGTGCCGGACTTCAACAAGATGTACGAGCTGTACGATGCCTGCTCGACCATGTTCTTCTATCGCAACAAGCACATCATGATCGATCTCGGGACGGGCAATAACAACAAGATCAACTGGGCCATCACGGATCGGCAGGAGCTGATTGATATCGTCGAGGTGGTGTACAGGGGGGCGAGCAAGGGTCGCGGTCTGGTCATCAGTCCGAAAGGTGAGTCGATTCATGCCACGCATGCGGTGGAGAATACGTTTGCTGACCCTGTCAATGACATGCTGATACTTTTGACGCACAGATTACTCGACAAGACAGCAATACTAGATCGTATCAGGCCGAGACTACAACTATACCCCTGCCTTTCTCGAAAGACAGACCTTCAACACACTGTACTTCTACTCAGTCGCAACAACCTTCTTGCTCGCAACGTACAAGCGCCCGCTTTGATTGCTTCAATCAAGACGAAGCGGAGATGCGCTAGCAAGAAACAACAGATAGGGATACATGTTGGATGAACACGGGCTTGGACCTTGGAGCTGCAAGAGGCTGGTTAGCCGAAGGGAGCGCCTACTCGCTGGTAAGGGGGCGACGACCGTCAGCGTAAAGAGGATACTCTTGGTCCAGCTCTTCGCAGATCAGCTGAGCGGCGATGGCGGCATTGTACTGCCCCTGGCGAGAGAGGCGCTTCAAAGCCTGGGAGAGCTTGAGAAGAGGTGCTTCGCCAATCTCTCGAAGGAGAGAGTCGAGGTTGAGGGGCTTTGTCTCCTCTTCTTTTGTGGTCTGGCCGTTATCGAGCTTCTCCTTCTCATCGATAACCTCCTTCATCAATCTGAAGCGCACGGTCGGCTTGAGGCGGGTCTTGAGGGCCGCGAAGGTCTTGAAAGCTTCAACGAGTTCCGCGTCGTCAGCCTGCATCAGGTCCTCGTGCGCGTCTCGGATTTCCTTCCACACAGCGGCGTCATTGTCGCCTGCGTCGGGAGCCGAAGCTGCGTCCTGGCTGGTATTCATGTTGAATGAAGGATTGGTGAAGACCTCAGAGGTTCAATGACAGATGCGAGAGGCTCAACGGTAGAAGTGAGAAGCTCGAAGAGGGAAGTAAGAGGACTGTTGGATGAGACGAGAGATGTGGTAGGCTTTGAGAGTGGTTTGATCAGACGGAGTGATGCTAGCAGACGGCTGAGTCAAGGGCTGAGTCGATTGCGCGTTGGCCAGTCTCCTCTCGTCAATCGAGCTTCAGCTCAAGCTTCGAATGAGTGCTGCGCAGCATCTTGTACGGAGATGCTGCGCTGTGACTAGACGAACTGGCAGAGAAGAGGCCCAAGCTTCGGGTGGAATTGCTTGTTAGAATTTCATCTTTTCGTGGCTGGAGACGGCGATGCGAGCTTTCTTCTGATGGCAGCTGTTGAAGCGTGACGAGGTGGAAATATTAAGCATCATGCAGGATATGGGCGTGTCGAGCCTCAGAAGCTGATTCAAATCGGACGTGATACGCTCCCAATTTTGAGCGTCTTTTCAAGACGGGTAAGACAAGGTCAAGATGGGGCATCGGCCGTCGGGTCAAAGACGCTGAGTGCGAGCGCGATGATGCAGCCACCCTCTCTGCCAGCAACCACCATCTCACTGACGCTGGGCGGGCAAGACTCGACGGCGACGTTCAGAAGACTGTCTGCATTCCTCGGCACGCTCAGGCCCGTCACACGACTCGCATCGTTTACACATCGCTAAGCCTTCACCACAACCGCTCCTTTCGAAAGTCTCTGGCACTCGCAGCAAAGGAACAGCAAGCCACATCGAACACCCCGTCCATCACCACCACCTTCGACTAGCGCTGATACTCGCCTCCACCGCCCCCCCATTCGTCATGGTCAAGGTCAAGTTGAGAGTGCCACTCTCGTCTGCTCCACGCGAGGCGGCCTCTTCTCCGCTCGCCAATCCGCTTCGCAGTGCACCCGACTACTCGGACGACGAGGAACCCACCACACCGCGCCGCGACGGCGCTACTCCAGACGATACCGCCGACCTTGACAACTCGGACGCCGAAGAGCTCGAAGACGACGAGGACGAAGACCCAGAAGCCGACGAACTCGACGAGCTGGACGAGCTCGAAGGTGACGACGATGCGTCCTCCAAACCCGCTGATGCTTCGGCAAAGCGCAGAAGCATCACGCTCAAACGTCCGTCCAAAAGTGGGCCCAACTCGTCCGCCTCTCCCTCCGCTGAGGGCTCCACAAGCCCGCATCTCGGCGCCAAGGTGGTGAAGCGAAGCAGCCTCGCTCGCACTGCACAATTGCAGGCCATGTCCGTGGAAGAGCTCGACGCGTTGCCAGCAGCAAAGAGGAGAAAGACGGCTAAAGCGCGAGGCGCCGCTGGACCAGGCAGAGGATGGAGAAAGGGGCTGACCAAGGGTCAAAAGCCAGTGTACGAGCTTCCAGCTTCAGAAAGGACACCTGCGACCTTTGGCAACACTGCCAACGCGCGCTCGTCGCCTGTCGCGCCTACAGCAGTGAAGGCAGAGACACCGACGCCGATCCTACCCAAGCCGAGACCTATCTCGATTGCGGCGGTAGGCGAGTCGAGCAGACCTTCAACATCTGCACCCCACAGAAGCAGTGCACCGTCCGGCGCTAGTGTTCCAGTATCGTCGATCAAGATCATCTCGGGACCCGGAGGGCAGACATTCACAGGCGATCTCAACGCCAAAGCTGGCACAGCGAAGAACCCGGGCTTCCGCTATCCGCCTTTGCCCAGCTCTCGTGCTGGGCCACCTGTGCAGCCGATTGCTAGGATCCCGACAGCCTTCCAGGTGGTGATCCCGCTAGAGAGGAACGAGAGGCAGCCGAGGCGATGGCTGAGAGCCAAGAGGGAAGTTCTCAGCATGGGCGGTCGACCGTGGAGCATTCCCGTCTTTTACGGTGGGGAGGACAGGGGGTATGAGAAGAAGGCTGATGCGCCTGCTCCCACTGCGACCGGTACGACAGCAGCTGGGGGTGCAGAGAAGGTCGTGGCCAAGGCAAGCACGCCGTCTGCTGTGCTGCCCACAACATCAGCACCAGCTCCGGCGGCAGCAGCAGCAACGACGACCAAGACCGTCTCTCCTGCACCGAGCACCCCCACACCAACCGCGCAAGGCACTGCCACTACAACGACGAGCCTGCCCAAGCCAACAGGAGGAGCGGGCAGCTCACCTCTCCCGCCACCCAAGCATCTCAATGGCTTGCAGGCCGAGACCAATTGGCGCGGTCAGTCGCCTGCGTTCCTGTTCGGAGGGCGATAAGCCGAAGGATAACGCAGACACACCTTCCTTTAACACCGGCATTGTAGCTCTGCGTGCCAATCTTATCGTCCACATCATCAGCAACGTGTGGACAGGGTGAATGACGAATGAGATTGCGGCTGCTCAAAGAAATCCTGAGAGAGAGCCCGCTACCCCATCATCATACTGATATCCTCGGGCGGGTACTTTGTCTGTGCAAACGTCATCAGCCGCTTCAAGCTCTGGATGTACTTCCTGCTGACCTCGTCGTTGAGCACGTGAGCCACGTTGCTGCTGAAAATCTTCTCTCTCCCGCTCCTCTCGTGGATACCCACCATCGTGACCCCGATAGGCCAGGGGGCATTCCCGATGCTGAGCTGCAGATACGAGTCGTTCGCATCTCTGTACCTTCTCCTCTGCATGAAGTGTACGATCTCGGCGATGCGCATCAGCACATCCGGTGTGAGGGACCGTTTGCGTAGTTTCTTGAAGAGCGGCTTGAGGTAGTCGGCGGATTGCACCTGGGTGGCGGCGGCAAGCTTGCCCTGCATTGTGTGCTTGACCGAGTCGGGGCGGGTCGAGAGCGTGTCGGCCCATTCTTGGAGTAGACCTTTGAGGGTGTAGTAGATGATGGGGTAGACGCGGTCGATGTCGGTCTTGATGAGGCCGAGGTCGAGGACGCTGTCCATGCCCACGCCTTGCCGAGAAGTGGGTTTGGTGTCTGCTGCATCGTCGACCTTTGCTTCTGCGTCCTCCGGTGCTGATGCTTCGATATCGCCGAGTGCGGTCTTTGTCGCCTCATCCTGCTGCAATCCGTCCAGTCTCGCCTGTTCCGCCTTGCCCTTGCTCGCCGCATTGCGCTTCTCTAACAGCTCCAGCGCCGTCGCGCTCTCCGCGCTCTGCAATGCCGTACGAAAGTCGTTCTGACCCAGCACACCTCCTCCCTTCTCCTCGATCAGCTCGAGTGCTCTCAAGCGCAGTCGGCGCTCTTTATCTGTTTCGCCGAACAGCCGGATGGGTTCGCCCTTGGCCCGCAATCGACGCACAGCCTCATCGTTGGACACGTTGAACTTTTCCCGTTCCACCTCGCCTGCTGCCGTCTCCAGCACCGCTCTGGTTGCCGAATTCAGCCCAGATGGTCCTGGACTTGATGGGGACGGTGCATCTGACTGACTCGGTTTGAATCGCTTGTTCGACGTGGATGAGGACGACGGTGACGCGGATCGCTCCTGTTCTCGCAGCTTTTCGATGTCGCCTCTGCGCATGTACTTCGATGGCGGCGCAGCAGCGGCCGAGGTGCTCGCTGAAGACGATGCGACCTCGCTCGCCTTGCGCTTGTTGGCGATCTCTGCCTTGAGAAAGTCCATGACGTGCAAGCTAGTCCGAGGATGAAGACGGAGGAAGCAGCGGTGGAAGGATCGGGAATGCAGAGCCAAAAGTTCAGGGTCCAGGCCGAAGTGGAGCCTGCGAAAATCCAGGCTGTGTTAGAGCTCCTTCTGCCCCCTCTTGGCTGCAAATCGACTCGGAACCGATCTAGCTTCACCCGTGCGTAGGCGTGAAAAATCCGACATCTGCCGTTTGGCGAGAAGGAACAGCTGCGCGGAATCGAGATCAGCAAAGCTCCCTTAGCCAAGCGGGGTGGGCCTGGTCGCCATCGTCATCGACGCCCAACTTCACCGTTGCTAACCACCACATCGTGTCAAACCCACCCAACGAACTAGTCAAAATGTCCGACGCCGGCGAGCAAAAGTCCTTCACCCTTCAAACCGCCTCGTTCGACGCGCGTTTCCCCAACCAGAACCAGACCAAGCACTGCTGGCAAAAGTAAGTTCCGACCCTCAACCTCTTCCAATTGGCAAGGGATATGATGATCTCGCAAGCAAGAGTCGCTGACACAAAGTCTCGGCCTACAGCTACGTCGACTACTACCGATGCGTCAACGCCAAGGGTGAGGAGTTTGTGCCCTGCAAGCAATTCTTCCGCGCCTACAACTCTTTGTGCCCCAACGAGTGGGTGAGTATCTTTTCGTCGATGGAATTGGAAGGATCGGACGGCAGCTGTATCGGCACGAATGGAGGTTAGGACGCAGCACCCAGCTACATGAGTAGCCTTTCGACACACGAACACCCGGCTAGAAACCTTGTCAACTCCGGCTGGTCGCAGGAGCGGATGGCATCGATCCTGCAACACTCTCACGCCTGCAGCTTGGAAAGCAGTGCTCTCGGAACGGCATCCATGTCGTCAAGAGGGCTTGCACCACCATGCACAGCGTCGCTGTGCGCCTAGTAGAAGCAAAGGAGTCCGCGAGGTTGCGCCGAAGTCAAGCAGCACGCACAGACGAGGGCTGTCTATCCGCCGTCGCATAAGATTCGCTCGCATCTCGCACTGCGCAGCACTCGGACGGGCTCTGCTGTGCACGCCGCGATGTCGTACAGTTCTCCAGCTGTCTCCTCGATCGAACAGCCGCCCCAAGCTCTCGGAATGTGATAGATTATGGCGAGCCGCATCTCCTATGCTGCGCGGCCCGGTCATGCGCCTTCCACAGCTGCCTATCGACGATCATCACAGCAGCTGCAGGCGCCACCTCAACCTCGACGGCTGCAGCTAGTTGCAGTTTGCACCTCATCGATACCGCCCTGCCGTCCCGTCCTTCCGCTGCTCCGTCCGGCGATGTTGTCCGTAACAGGTCGACCGGGAGCATCCCTGCTGACCCCCATATCCTTCTTCTCCACACTCACAGATCGCCAAGTGGGACGAGCAACGAGAGAACAACAACTTCCCTGCCTCGCTTGAGCCTTAAGCAGCTCCCCCACCATCCGCGCTTTGTTACACACGCCATCTCTGCAATGCGAAGATAAACATTTCCATCTGCGCCCCGACTCACAAGTCGAGTGCTGTGCGACGCCGATATTGGGCTGGTTCTCAGGGGGTCGACGTTCAGGGTGCTTCAAGACACTCGGTGGTTTGCTCTGAGACGCCTTGTGATCATCCTCTGCATTGAGTGGGTGCGATCTCACGAGAGCTCTCTATACATCTATACTACGTCTTCGCTCCAGTCTAAGCGCCAAACACTTTGAGTCGCTCCTCATTCTCCTTGTCCTCATTGTACTCCTTGGGCTTAGGCTCGTCCGTTTTGGCGCCGAATACCAACTCTGCGGTGAACTTCCAGTCCTCGGGCAACCCATACTTGCCCTTGACCTCCTTCTCGGTCAAGTTTCCGTAGTGCTGCAAATTTGCGCCGTAGCCAGCGTTGGTCAGGGCGACCCAAGTGTTGGTCTGCGCAATGGCGCTGGCGTGCTGACTCCAGATGGGGAAGTTGTCTGCGTACTGCGGAATGTTTTTCTGTTGACCCTGGACGACGGATTGCGATTCGAAGAAGAGGATGGTGCCGAAAGCCGGTTTGAACAGGTCCAGCCGACCGACGGCGGATGAGACGGCTTTGTCGTCCCCTCCAGAGGACTTGATTGCGGAGGAGAGGGCGGTGGGAACGGTGGTCGACCAGTACTCGTCGTGCTCCGCACCGAGGAGGAGGACGAGACGAGGGGACTTGGAGTTGAAGGATGACGGAGACTCGCGCAGGATCTTGGAGAGGATCGTACGGATCTGGTCGGCGGTCAGGATCGAGGGGGTCTTGGCGAGGGTGTAGGTCGACCGACGTACCGCCAGGTGCGACAAGAACTGGCTAGCTTGCTGTGGGAGCGACATCGTGGCTTCTTGGGCTGGATGATCAGGGTGAGGGTGAGGTCGCAGTCGACGAGTAGCTGATGAGGTGGATTATATACGAGCAGATGTCGAGGGATGGACCGGCGGCCTTTGGTCCTACGCCAGGTGTTCTGTCATGGCGTGCTCGTTGCGAGGACCGTCAGCATTACCACCTGCAGGAAGAGACCAGCCGAGGTGGGGAGCAGCTTCTAAAAACGCAACACCGGACTTTCGGAGCTAAGCTTCTTCTGGCCGTGAAGCCGTGCATGCATCTCGACAGAGAGGTGGTGGATGACGAGCAAAAGAAATCTCGAGATGTCGAATCGGCAATTGGTTTGGGAAAGGAAAATCGCACCGGTTGTGGGGAAGAGTTCTTGGGCCGGTGGGTGAACTACAGCCTGCCAAAGGTTGAAAGTCGGTCGTCGTTCTCCACTTGTCCTCCTGATCACCCACTCGAACCATCGTCCCGACGCACCAGCTTCGCACAGCATCCGACACGGCTTGTGAACGCAAGATACCGAGCGCTGGCGACTGCTCGCGCCCCCCCCCCCCTCTCGC